TATTTAAAATAATAATAAAGTTATTATAGTTTTATTTTAATAAAAGACTATAATATTATATTTAAATATATAAAACTATAAATATCTCTACTTATATATAATTAGAAAGAAATTATCTTTATTACTATAATTCCTTTAAATAATTTAATTTATAATATTATTAAAAATATATAATTTATTTATATTCTAAATATAATAAAAAATATAAATATATTAATAATATAAAAATAATAGTTTTAATAGAAAGTTTAATATAAATAATTTTAAATAAAGAAATCTTTATATTTTTATTAAATTTAATAATAACTTACCTTACTTATTTTATATTTAATAATATATTTAAGTCTTTATATTATAATATTAAATATTAATTATAACTTATTATAAAGTATTTAATAATACCTATATTTAAAATAATACTTTAAAATTTCTACTTTAAGTATCTCCCTTTTAATAGAAATTATAATAGAGGATTAATATCTTTTACTACAATGAATCTTTTATCTTATTTAGGAAATATAGTATAAAGGAATAAAGTATTTATAATATATTAATTAGTTGCTAACTAGCTTCTAATAGTAAGGTAAATTATCTAAGCTATTTAAGTGTTATAGTCTTTAAAAAAGATGAATTAACGATACTACTATTATTATTATAGCTTAAAGAAGGTAAGTTATTTAGGCTACCTAGGTGTAAATTTAACTACTAAGTAGGACCCCTTTACTAGGTAAGTTTTATAACTCTCTCTTATAATAACCCTCTCTCTTATAATATATTAGAAGAGACTTAAAATTATAAATACTTATAGTAACTCTTCTTTTAAGTTAGGTAATTAACTTTTTTTATAAATTAATAATTTAAGCTTATTTATTAAACTTTTAAACTAATGTTTAACTATATATTTACTAACTCTTATTTAACTACTTACTAGCTAACTTATTTAATAGCTTATTTAATATCTTATTAACTCTACCTTATATTATTTAAGTAAATGACTTTTATATACTCTTTTAACTTCTTTCTCTCTCTTATAATCTAAGTAGAAGATACTTTAATATTATAACTATTTATAAATTTAAGTTTTATAATAAAGTTATTTATAGCTATTATAAGTGTGTGCTAATAGTATTCCTATCTATATTATTAAAAGAAGTTTAAGTTAAAAAATAAAATAAAGAAGTATATTAATAATATTTATAAAAAGAAATATATAATAATATAAGCTTAGAAGGCTACTTAAACTATTTAAGTAATTAAGCCCCCTATTAACCCCTTTATTTAACCGACTTAATAGGTAGTATTTAAATAAATAATACTTTAAATAAAGACTTTTATCTAACTAATTAATAACTCTCTTACTTAGTATAAGTTCTTTAAAAGAACTCTTACTCTATTAATTAATAAACCTTTTAATTATTATAAGTTTAAAGTTATATTAACCTAAACTTATAATACTTATAGTAATAAGTAGAAGGAATACTTTATTAAATTAAAGTACTTTAATTACTATATAAGAGATGCTTAAATTAAATAGATTCCCTAACTTAACTAGCTTTATAATACTAACTTTATAAGTAAATTAATTAAACTAATTATATTTAAGCTTGTTATAAATAGTAGCTTTACTTTAATTAGCCTTACTAGTAGTAGTAGTAGTAGTGGTAGCTTTAATAGCTTTACCCTAGCCTATTAATTTAAGTTTAATTAAAAAAACTATATTATTAGTAGAAATAAAAACTATAAAGAAAAGGAGAATTACTACTTAAATAAAGGTGGACTAAACTTTGCTTTAAATAAAAACTTTAACTTAAATAATAACTACTACCTAGATAATTATACTTTAAATAATAATTTTAACTATAGTAATAATTATAATAATTATAACTTTAAAGACGATTTTAATAATTACTACTTTAACTAAAGGAAGCCTACTTAATATATATTAAAGCGCTTTAACTAGTCGAATTATAAAGAAAGAAACTATTAGAAAGACTAGTTAAATCAACTAATAGTTATAAATTAATTAATAATTAGTTATAGCCGGTAAGTAACTAGTAACGGTTTAATAAGTAATTAGTAATTAAATAATTAGGTAATTAGGTAATTTATAAAAACGTTAATTTAAAGTATTAACTATAGAAAAAGAAGAAACTATTAGAAGGAACTAACTAGTTAGATATAGTTATAGTTAGTAACTATTTAATAACGGCCTAATAAGTAATTTAAACTTAATTTTACTTATTAAAGTAATTTAAATTTAAGTAATTTAAGTGATTTATAAAACGTTAATTTAAAGTGTTTTTAAACTATTAAAATTAAGTGAATTATAATTATATATTTAATAGTAATTTTAAGTAATTTAATAATTTAATTAGAAACTACTTTATTAATAAATAAAGCTCTTTAATTAATAGTTAGAAGGAAAGAAGATTTTAAAAGATTAAAAAGGTATTAGTATAGGAATAATAGTCTATAATAGATTAGTTATTATAAGTTAAGTAAGTAATAAGTGGTTTGTGTGTATATATAGGCTAAGCTTAGTTAGTAGGTCTAGCTAACCTAACTGGGCGCTTTACCGCCCAGCTAGGTAGACTTTTAACTAATACCAATACACACTACTTCACCCAAACTACTTCTTACGCGTAAGCTAAGCCAACCGACACTGATTAGTGTTGGTCGGCTTTCTGTATATGTATATGAGAGGAATGGAGGTTATTCGTAATGTGGTTGTATTCGTCTTAGTTGTATGTGTGTCGCCTCTCTAGGAGGTGTGGCGAAGCCACACCTAATAAGGTGACCTACCTAGTGTACTTACTTATATAAGTAGGCACAGCCTGCTTACCACTATCAACCTATTAGATTAGTTTAACCTATAAATGAATTAATTATTAAATAAAAAAAGTAATTTAAAGTAAAGTAATTATTTATTATTTAAATTACTTTAATTAATAACCTTTAATAAAAAAATTAAACTTTTTAATAGTAAGTTAATAACTTTAAGTTATATAATTAAACTTTTAAAAGTAATTATAATACTATTTAATAGTATAATTAAGCTTTTAAAAGTAATTATAATACTTTTAAAAGTAAGTTAAAGAGTATACTTTAATTAAAATTACTTTTATACTACTTTTAAATTAAACTTTTATTAAATAATTCTTTATTAAATAGTTCTTTATTAAATAACCTTTTAAAATTATAGAAAGTATAATTAAATTTATTTATTATAATTTACTCTATTTAATTATATATATTTAAATATATATAGTTATTATTTATTAATACTTTTACTATTCTCTTTTTTAACTTATTAAAATAAACTAATAAAAATATTTCTCCTTTTCTATATATTTATTAATATTTTTAAATTTATTAAGTTTTAAATTTATTAATTAAATAATTATTAATTATATAATTTATATAATAAATAAGTTTAAACTTTATATTAATTAAATAATAAATATATTAATTATATAACTTTATAATAGACTCTTAAAATATATTATTTATATATTTAAAAAAGAATTATATAAAGTTAAAGTATATAAATAATTAAAGTAATAATAGTAAGAATAACTATTAAAATAACTATTAAAATAATTATTAAAGTAATTATTAAAGTAATTAATTAGACTATTAATTAACTTATTAATTAGTTTATTAAAGTAATTATTAAACTAACTTTTATTAAATTAACTATTAAAGTAATTATTAAACTAATTAATTAAGTAATTAATTAAATAATATAAAAGTAATAACTTTTATAACCTTAATTATTTAAAAAGTAATAGTTTATATATACCTATAAGTAGTTAATAACTATCTATTAATTAATAGAAGTTATATAAAAGTAATTAATAAATTAAAGTTTAATTTTATTTATTAAAGAAATTAAAATTTAAGTGATTTAAATAATTTATAAAATATTAATTTTAAGTATTTTTAAAGTATTTAAATTAATTAAATTATAATTATATACTTAATAATAATTCTAATAATTTTAAGTAAATTAATAATTTAATTAGAAATAGCTTTATTAATAAATAAAGCCTTTTAATTAATTAAAAGTAATAAAGATATTATACTTTCTTTTATTATTTAATATTTATAATAGGTATAAAAGGTATAATTAAATTTTTAACTTAATTATTAGATTAATTAATAAGTTTTAAATTAAAGTTAGAATCTTTATTTTAATTTATTTATAATTTAATTAAATAATAACTTAATTATACCTTAATTTTAACTCTACCCTTATTTATTTATTATACTTTTATTTTTTTATTTTTATTTTTTTATTTTTATTTCTTTTATTTTTTTATTTCTTTTATTTTTTTATTTTTTTATTTTTCTAATTTTTAATTTTCTTATTTTTAATTTTCTTTTTTTCTTTTATTTCTTTTATTTCTTTTATTTCTTTTATTTTTTATTTTTTTATTTCTTTTATTTCTTTTGTTTCTTTTATTTCTTTTATTTCTTTTATTTCTTTTATTTCTTTTTTTCTTTTATTTCTTTTATTTCTTTTATTTCTTTTATTTCTTTTATTTCTTTTATTTCTTTTATTTCTTTTATTTCTTTTATTTCTTTTATTTCTTTTATTTCTTTTATTTTTCTAATTTTTAATTTTCTTATTTTTTTAATTTTCTTTTTTTAATTTTCTTTTTTTCTTTTTATTTTTTTTATTTTTCTTTTTTATTTTTCTTTTTTATTTTTTTATTTTTTTTTTTATTTTTTTTATTTTTTTTTATAATTTTTTTTTACTTACTTTTTTATATTTTAACTTATTATATTATATATATTTATATTAAAAGTTTATATACTATACTATTATTATATTAATAGTATTTTAAAATCCACTATACTATACTAACTAACCTAGTATGTATAGTGTAGTGGGCGGCAACCCTAGCCCTAATGGAGTTAACTGCATCCGAGACATCTAGTCTTGCATTAACTCCATCACTGTCATCATTTAGACCATTACCTGGCTTGTGCCCTGAGACAACTGTCAATGACAGTTTTCCTCTACATTCCTGCAAGTTGGTTCCTTCTCCCTGCCACTGGATACTTATTATCATTGAATATGACAACCTTCTTTCCAGTATCCTTCTCTAGGCTGCCACCTGGGCAGGCTATCATGCCCCTACCTTGGGTCAAATCCAGCAGAGACGGTGTTCTATGGTAGGGGTGATCACATATGAGGTTGGATGGTCACATGTGCAGTAGCTTGGACTCATGCATCGCTCGTGACTATCATTGATAGACAGCCAAGAAAGTGAATACCCTGGGGCTTTCGGGATAGAGCTTCATGCTGCGCCTGTCAGTGGTTGAGATATTGGAGATATTTGAGGTTGCTGTATTCCAGGAGCGAATGTTCTGCACCGCGCAGGAACGTGGATGAGTAGCGGTTCCGTACGAGGAATGAGCGCCGATAACGCGGCTCTCGAGTTTGTAGCCATTGCTGAGATGCCGGCCATCGTTGCGGAAGATCAGACCCAATGGCACAACATCTTAAGGGTCATCCAAGGAGATTCCAAGCTTTGAATCGAGTAACACCGGTGCAGATAACCGTCCATGAGACACCACAGCATGATTTCTATATAGGAGGTATTGTAACTGGATTTGCCACCAACGCCGTGCTTCAGAGTTGGCATTTCGAACCCTAAAACTCCACTGCCCTAATCCAGGCTCATGCAAACGCACCAACAAGCGCCATCAGCAAAGATCCTCCCACCACAGCCATGAATGCATTGACTCTCCTACGCCCATGCAGGGTCTTGTAGCTCTTTTCCGTCAAAAAGTCCTCCGCCAGCAGCTGCACCAGCCCCGCAAAGAGCAGCAGGCCGCTCGAAATGGCATTCATGAAGCCGACTAGTGGTACGTTAGTTTTGCCCAAGAATCCTAAAGTGCTGCAGTCAAGAACATTCCAAAACATGAAAGACGGGGACTCGTAAGGGAGAAGGTGATACTGACCCATGAGCAGGCCCGTCTGGCTCATCGGGTCGTAAAAGTTATGCACGATAAGCCCGATGGCCTGGCCGATGGGGGTGGTCGTGCCGTAGGCCAGGACCATGAGCCACGGCCGAGGCGATGATTTGGGGAGGTGTAGTCCCGCTATTCTCGACCCGAGCGCAAGGCCCTCAAAGGTTTGATGGAAGGCAATGGCTACGAGGAAGACCACGAATGGCGGGCCTGTGGCGACAGATATGGCCATCCCGATGAAAACGCTGTGAAAAAGGATACCGGCCTCGAGGAGCAGACACTGCAGCATTAGCCGCCTCTGCTCGTCCGGACCTGGTGGTATGTGAGGCGCGGCGGGGCTCGTGGACGAGGGATCGGGCTTCATCAAGGATCTATTGCCGCCATCGAGGGGCACTGTCGAGAGCTCGTCTATGTTCAGCTCCAGATCCATCGATTCCCGATCCAGATCGTCGTCATCGTCACTGTCCCTCGCTCTCCCTCCTCTTAACTCGCCGGCCTCGCCGTGGCTCTTGCCATTTATTTGCAGTGTAGGTGTTGACTCTGGAAGCGGAGATGCGCCAGCCATCAGCCCCTCGGAAGCTCCCAGATCCTCCAATGCGATGTTGGTCGGTCGGTTCAGGCCGCGCCTAGCTGCCAGGATACCTCCACCTTGCCCGTGATGGGTCACATGCTCGTCATCGCTCTCGTCGCCTCCCCACATGTGCGAGTGAGAATGTCCAGCACCCCGCGTTGTCAGGTAGGACTCAATGGCCACCACCACCATGGCTGAAAACATGGCTATGAACCCGGGCAAGGGCTTGTAGCCCTTGCTGAAGAAGTACGGGAGGCATGGGTCGGTGAGAGACTGGAAGGCGGTCGGGAGGAGGTGGACGAAGGCGGTAGCGATCAGAACGCCGGTGCCGAAGTGCTGCGAGTAGAAGACGATGTTGCTGGAGCGTCGGCTGCGGGAGTGGCTGGATATCAGGGGGAATCCGCAAGCTGCCAAGGGCGGCCAGTCAGCGACAACCACCAAGTCGGGACGGCCGGTAGGGGCTCAGTACATATTGTGCTCAAGGCCAGAATCAGGATCAGGGCGGCGACGTGCATGAATGTGTCGTAGGATCCCTTCTTGCCCGAGCCGCACTCTGGCTTTGTGTCGGCCACATCGTCACGCTTCGCGAGCTCAGCCAGGAGCCATTCTGTCGGGAGGGAAGACCAGGAGATGTCTGTGCACACGGGGGAACGAGGTCAGCACGCAGGTCAGTACGCAGCCACGAGCAACAGACAGCATGCGGTCTCGGGTGCAGGGCTAGGACGAGGCCACGCACCGGTCGCAAGCTGGGTCAGATTATCCATGCTGCGGTCCGAAATGGAGACAATAGAGATGCGGTGCTGGAAACTTGGAGCGCGCAGGCCAACATGGTTCCCGCAGAGGCGAAGTGACCTGAATAAGGGATCTGGCGGACCTAGGAAAGCTAAGCCACCTCGAACGGACAAGTCGACGGTGTCACAAAGGGACCAGCCCGAGAGGTGTTCTCGGCAGACAAGCTGCCAAGGGACAGGGGTGGGGCCCGAGGTTGAGGGCGGATTGCGGCTCGTAGAGGTCACAGTGCAGCTGACAGCCGGAATGCGGTCTCAATAGGGGTGGCATTTGCCTATGGGCGGGCTTCCAAGGGCCCAGTTATTAGGTACCAGGTACCTAGGTACTTGAGTACCTAGATACATAGGTAGGCCGTTCAAGCTGTTGGAGCTTGCCAGTGGTGGGGGAGGACGACGTCGACCCCATCTTCGCCCTGAAACAGACCGAATGGACAGACAGACGCTCTTCAACACCTGGACCATCAATGCCTAGGGAGTTATGTGAGCTCTCACCTCATTCATCTGGCAGGAGTGTTGTCCCGTTGCTCCGCTTGGATTGACGAGTGCTCCTCCAAATTGATCATACCCGTTGGACACGGCACTGCGCACCCACCTCGAGGAACGTTTGCAGATGCAGGTTCCGAGGGCATCAAGCATGACCCGATATTGCCACAACCTATCTATTAGTGACCTGCTGCAAGGGCAGAGCGACGTCCCAAGAAGGAGACCCGATCTATCCAGGCCAAGCTATGGGGTCTCTGCCCAATGTTGAGAGGCCTCAGATCAACACGAGGCAGCGGAGAGCCGGTGCTGCAGCCGAGTCTGTCTTCCATGCTATGCAGATGTGCAACCCACATGTTGCTGGGCATTCGAATATGACCTCAGAGGGTGCCGAACGATGGTTGATATCGGAGCTCGGCCCCGGATTCACACGTCGCTGGTATGCACGTGGACAGCCACGCGAGCGCTCCATACCATACCTACCTACCCTTTGGACTGCGTCTTCGCCGTGGCTCGCCCGTCAACCCAAGCAAATCTAAACGTCAGGCACAAGTCAGCTTTGCGGTCCTCAGGATTGTCGAGGACTGATCTGATACCACTTCCCAGTACTCCTTCCAGTGTCCACCGTCAGGGAGTAGCAACTGGTGCCAGGCCGGCATCAAACAGATCATCAACACATCAAAATCGAAGGCCCTGCTAGTCTCTGGGGGACAATGGAGACAAGACAGATGGACATCTCAGCATGCCGCCTAGTTCGCCCCCACAGCACCCACGATGCCCTCACCCGCCACAACCAGCAAAAAGACAAAAGAGGAGGCGATGATCGCCGGGAATTGAGCCCGACGTGGGGGTCGAACCCACAACCTTGAGATTGGTCTCTGTCAGAATCATGAGGCTATTCAGACCCTCACGAGGTCCTTAAGAGTCTCACGCTCTACCGATTGAGCTAGCCGGGCGTCTCGAAAGACGCCTTGTCTTGTTGGAAGCGGGCGTGGAAATTGTGGCCATATGCGCGATCCACTCAGCCACTGCAGAAATTTTGTGGTGGAGTGGGCCGGGCCGTGGTGGCTGGACATGGGTACCCCTGCTAGCGCGCCATGGAGCGGCTATGGAAAATGCTAGCTCCAAGAATCATCACACCCAACCCTGGACCCTAACAACCCAACAACCCAATGCTGCTTGCTGCTCCGAGGCGAGCATGGCTGAAGATTGCCTACGACATTACTCGGTGATCTCTCTTTACAAAGGCCATGATCCCAGCTGCTTTGTTGGCAGATCAGCTGCAGGGCTGGTCCTTCTCCGAGCATCAACTGTGCTGGATTCTGGTTGTAGGCTCACATTTTCAGGGCTGACCACCTTTGGTTGACCAGGTTTGTCTGTAAGCCAGTCATCGGCAGTGGCAGCTCAGGCCCATGTAGAAAGCAAACATTCATTCATCTGTGGGAATTTAACTGCCTGTGTTTGTCGATCACTGTACATTGCAGGCAATGAGTGCATCTAATCCCTTGTACCACGAAAAGGTCCAGGCACTCTGACAAGGGACCCTCCACACAGTTTCCAAGACTAGCGGACAAGCAGACAGCCATCAACAGTCTCTTCCCATGTGCTTCATCAGGCACGAAAAAAGAAAAGTAAAAAAAAAAGATTGCCCCACTCTCGGCATTATGAGGGGCTGGCTTAGGTCCGTCTTCAACGCGTCCAGGACAACGCTCCATCATTCTCCTCTCAAAGATCCGCGTGTCTCCCATTCCAGCGGACTCGCATCACCTCCAGCTCCCTCCGCCGCACAAACCACGGCGCTCGACAACAAGCAGCGAGCGTTGCGGGCCGTGGCGGGGCAGAGGGATAGACTTCCGGTGGAGAGTCAACGCTTCCATGTGCGCGCGAGACCGAGCGTAAAATAACTCCGGTCCGGATTGTCGTCGTGTGCTTTTCTCCCAAAGACATGCGTGCATTGTGTTCCGGGCATGCATCTCCCCCTGGCTGGGATATAAAGGGACCGGGCGTGGCGTCGTCTAAACTTTCTGCGGAAGACGGTCCCGTCCGACATCTCCGGCTTCCAGGCCGTGCTCATCCAGTGCTATTAGTAGGTGTGTGGATGTGTTGATGCACGAGGCCTTCCAGCGGGGCCAGACGGGCTTTGTCCGACAAGACACGACCACTGCAAGATCGTGCCGGTGGGGTCCCTAAAAAGGTGATCACGGGCGAAGCTCTTGCAGTGTGGGTCAGACAGGTATCCTGATCCGACAACGCGGCCACTTCCAGACTATGTGTGTCCCAGCCAAGGGGCTAGGAAACACGATGTCTTCCAAGTGGGGGCCGGACCGGGGGGCTCAACATCTGGCTGACTGGGAGAGCAGGTTTGTTGTTTGGACATCTGCAGCAGATGGGTTCCCAGTCAGCCGACGGAGGATTGTGCGCTCAACGCTATCGTGACGAGCAGGGGCCAGTGATTTGAGGCTCCTGCTTGAAGCATGATGCGGATCGCATGGGGTCGTTCTCTGCGCTCTACACCTCTGATCTCTCGTCGCAGGGGAGACGGTGCTCAAAAAGGCGGAACTTAGAACGTCGTTGTCGATTGCTCCTCGGTTGCGGATCGATTTTGGCCGGGTCTCGTTGCTGCAGGCCGTCGTCATGGGGCCATGGGTCGGCGTGCCGGCCCCAGCAGGCTTTGGCCGAACTCGACCGCCACCGAAGAGCTTGAGCCCGGAGGACGAGGGGACTGCGGAGAGAAGAGTTCCCTGGGACAGAGGGAAATAAGCAGTGAGTCTGTGAGATTATATAGTTTCTCCAATCTCGCAGCTTGGTGGTCCACGTTCGATGTCGCATCGCATATGCAGGACAGCAAGCGTTTCAGCTGCGCACCAATACCCCTGGAGGTGGCTCCATGTTTGAAACAGCTTTGCTCTAGCATTACGGAGTATTGCCCCCGCGCAAGGTCATTCTGCATGCATCTGCATCTCACAACCTTCCCCGCGGGCCCACATATGACTGTGCACGGCGGCAGGGTGGGCAAGTGTGTTGGCTATCAAATTGGATTTCCACATCGGTACTACTGGGTCATTATCAAGTAGCCTCAGGAAAGGGACTTTTCAATTGAAAGAGGGGTAACAACCGTTTGTGCGATATCTCCATGATGTTGTGGTTTTGAATCTTTTAATTCCCATAAAGTCGAAGACTTTCAGGCCCAACTGAAATTTGCTTTGAACCCTTCTCTAAAGCAAAGTAAACAAATGTGTATTCGTGCCCACTGTGATTACAGCATCCCTAAAGGCACTCGTGAAAATCTGGCTGCAGCCGGAGTGCAAGTCGTTCCAACATAATGTAGAATAGCAATGTCCATCGACCAGAGCACCCTCAGATGTCTGCTCAAGTCATGCATACAGCCCATGTCCGCGCTCATCTACTAAAAACTCTCGTTCTTTGGCTGGGTGGAGCGCTCCTGCTTCTTGACGACGGGTGGCAAGTTTTCGACCTTCTCCTCGCTCGTGCTGTAGACCTTCACCCGGCATCTATAGTTGATGCTCGGCGACCTCTGAAAACCCGACTTGGACCAGAGAAGCGTGTTAGCGCTGCTTCTCTCTGAAAGCCTGATTCGGTATACGTACAACAAGCAAGTTGCGGTCGAGAAAACCCCAATCCTCCACGGGCTGGATGTCGAACTTTGCCTTGTTGAGCCTGTCAAAAATCTCCTGCTCGACTTCCACCGAACACCACTTCTTTCCTGGCCTGAACGTCACGTCGAATTCGACGCTCATGGTCTTTCTGTCGAAATGAGCAGACACCAAGTCGTCATCCCGGCGGGCTTTAATGGAGTTGCCGCCGAACTTCCTCTTGCGCACGTTCATTGGGTGGCTGCCGCCGAAGTTGGGAGCCTAATTTGAACACGGGAAGTGTGTTAGTGGTCCAGATGTCAGAGCCCTAGAAAAGGTACAGCACATTGTTCGTGTGTACAGGACGATTTGGATGGGACTGAATTCGCAGCCTGCATGTGGAAGGGGGAAGTGAAGCTGGGTGATGTGCTTCTGGGTGGTCTGTCGACACACAGCGGATAGTGACAATCGTGGGGATCACCCACCGGAGCAAGAGGCTTGCGATCTCCGCCCTCAAACTTCGGCGCGGCGGCCGAAGAGATTCCAGATGCAGTGTGGGCATGGGTAGGGGCCAAAGGGATGGAGGAAAGACCGAAGTTGCCATCGCCACCCTCTCTTTTGATGCGCTTGCCGGGGTCAGGTTTGATGAAGCTCGGGTCAGCTTCTCGCTTGACAGGCATGATGGCGTTGTGCAGACAGATGAAAAGAATCGGATATCGAGGCTATGATCCAGAAGATCGGTTGGGCTAGATTCAAGGACCAGGAGAGACTTCGAGGGAGGACGTGGGTGGTCGAGGGCGAGATTGACAAAGTTGCGTCGCGAGGGAGTTGTCAGTGGCTTTGACAGAGTTGATTTGAGGTACGGGCTCAGAAAGGAAACACGGGCGCGAAATGGTGCTCGACTTCCACGCGTCACAGAGGGAAGGTGCGCCGGCCCTCCAAGTGCTGAAGACCCCGGACTCGCTGCTGCTTCCATTTACGCACCCCATACACCGCTGACCCATCTCTAAGGCACTGGACAATCAAAATCTCTTTAGATGCCTCTATCCTTCTGTACTTGGCTTTAAACAGGGAGAAATGCCTTGTTCTGGCTCCCTTCATAGCTAACATGAAGTATGCGTGTCCCACCAAGCCAGGTGGTGGTTGTGGCAAGCAGGAGCTGGCCGGCTCCTGGATGTCCGCTCCCTCAGCTCTGACCGCAAGAAGAGACTCTAGAGGACTCTTTTACAATGGTAATGTGTGTATTGACTATTTAGTTACAGGTTATTCTTCCTAAGAAGCAAGGCTGGACAGTGTTCTGTGGAACATCTCCCCTCGAAGCAACAGGTGAAGCAAGGGAACCAATACTTTGAAGTGTACGCGGCCGTGCCATTGTAAATGTGTGTGACCGATTCCTCTAATTCCGTAATAACTGCTCCGAAAGCTCGGATTCAGCGTTCTATATGCTCCACCTTTGTCATCGCCTGAGGGGGGAGATATCATGAGTTGAAGGAAGCACCAGTTGACATCTCTCTCTAAAGCCCGACTCAACACTGGTGTACTCGCCAACAAACAGCGGCCACAGTCTCGCTGTAGCTCTGCATTTTGTCTAGATATTAGACTTGATTTTGAACAATTTCATGTATGTAGTTCAGCCTACTTCTCAGCTCCGATTCCCTTCTTATAAGCTGCCAGCGCCCTCTCCCTACATCCTTTGTGCTCGACCATCTGCTTTGGATATCCGGCCTTCTTCGCAATCGCGCCTGCACCTCTCCCATACGGATCATGAATGGCTTTCCCCTTCACACCCTTGAGCTCTGGAACCCACTTGCGGATGTAATGCCCGTCAGCGTCGAACTTCTCGCTTTGCAGCAGCGGGTTGAACACTCGGAAGTACGGTTGTGGATCCACACCCACCGAGGCAGAGAAGCCCCAACCGCCGTTGTTGGATGCGAAGTCGCCATCGATCAGGTTCTCCATGAACCAGCGCTCGCCCATCCTCCAGTCAATAAGCAGGTCCTTGGAAAGAAACGAGGCGACAATCATGCGAGCGCGGTTGTGCATATAGCCCATGTGCCGGACCTGTCTCATGGCGGCGTCGACAATGGGGAAGCCAGTCCTTCCCTCGGTCCAGGCGTTGAACTCGTCCATGTTGTATGACCACTCGATGTTTGAATACTCGGGCTTGAAAGGCTTGTTCATGCAGATATACGGCCAATTCACGAGCACGTGTTTGTAAAAGTCTCTCCACGCGACCTCGCTGATCCACGTCTTGATGCCATCTTTCCCGGCGTCCAGTTTTTTGGTGGTGTTGGAGTCCCTGGCCGCGCGCACGCAGGTCCTCGAGCTGATCGTCCCGCTGGCCAGGTGAACAGATAATGCGGAGGTTCCGTTCTCGGAAGGAAAATTTCGCGTCGCACCATATGCGCCGACCCTCTCTGCGCAGAACTTTTCCAGCCTCCTGTGCGCCTCGTGCTCTCCGGCGGGCCAGATGGATGCGTATCTTTTTGCGTCCTCTGCTGAAAGCCGTTTCTGCTTTGGCGCCTCTGGGATGGCACTGCCGAAGAGCTTCCCATACTTGTCCCTGGCGGATGTAGGGTTCTTGGAAGGACTATCAAAGGTATCCAGAAGGTCCATGTTTGCATGAACATGTGCGACCCAGGATCGGTACCATGGAGAGTACACAGCGTACTGTCTCCCAGAGCCAGTGATGAGTTTTCCAGGTGGGACTACACAGGTGTCGTGGGCGAGCTCAAAAGCCTTCTCTTTACCAGCCAGCATGTCTACCAGCTTTGCCTCTCGTCGCAGCTCATCGACCTCGTACTCAATGTTGGCAAACAAATGATTGGCATCCCAGTCGTTCAACAACTTGACGATTCGTTGAGGGATCACCTTTCTCTTTTCCACCACCTCGACGTACAGCGGGATGTCCAGCTTGTCCAAGTCAGCCCTCAGGACCTCCAGGGTTCTGAGCATGAAATCGACACGGATTGGTGCTGTCAAATGTGCCTCCCAGTCCTGGGGGCTGATTATGTACAATGCGATCAGGGGCACGCCGGCTGCCTTGGCCTTCTCGCTCGCCATGGAGAGTGCGGTGTTGTCTTTTATTCGCAGGTCCATCTTGAACCAGTGCACTACGGACCCCGCGACCTTCACTTTCTTGCGGGCAGCAGCGGTCTGGTGCATGGCGGATTGAAGCTCTTCGATAGGACGGGTAAGGGCATTGTCGTTGTACGCCAAAGCACGGGCGTTGCTCATCTCAGGGGGGTAATATTTCCTCAGCACTATGCCATGTTCTTCTGCTATTCCGTGGGATGGGTGGGGGTCGGAGAGCGATGTTGTCTTTTGCTTCTTGGCCGAGGCGGCCCCGTTCGCCAGAACTGTGGCTGCTGGTGCCTTGCGTTTGAATGCCATTGTCGCGAGTCGGCGGGCTGTCACAGGTTGTCGGATGCGCGATCTAACCGTGGAAAACGTGCGGTGTAGAATCATGGATGGGCAGATAACTTGGTAGAAGGAACACTGATTGCTCTCGAGCATGGGCAGTGGCCCGCTGAGGACTACAAAGACCTACCTTCCTCCCCATTCACATGTTTCCGCTCAAGTGGTAAAGTTACGGATTGGTCACGGTTCTTCAGATCTCTCGATCTCATTACCTGCGTCATGGGGCCCTGCAGATCGATCTTTGTTCCTGGCTAGCGTCTTCAGCCGCTGCCGCGTGCTGCCCCAGCGACCCTGGCTGCCCACCTGGCTGCCCAGCCAGCTCATAGGCTAGGTCCTGAGGTACTGTGCACATTGATCTTTGACTGCTTTAAAGAGACACAGAGCTTGACTAGTCTACGATATTGTTGGTATGGTTCATTTGCTACAGTTAATCTGAATAGTCTACAGACTTCATCTCATCCATGAGGGAGCTTGTCTTGAGTGGTGAGCCAGGGGTTTTTACTAGATTCCGTTTGATCTGAGGCCAAAAGAGGCTTGCCGACACGAAGCCGGGTCACTCGCCCGGCTTCGACAGGCCAGGCAAGACATAAGCATGGAGGAAATGTTCAAGTAATACAACATCCTCTGGTAGCAACGCAGGGGTCCTGACGCACCTGGAAACCCCTCGGCAGTCATCAAGAAAGATAGGTCGAAGACTGGACGGCCCCGGCACTTGAGACTGTGAAGTTCAATGCTCTCAGGCGTCAGATGCGGCCCAGCACTTTGTGTTGAACGTGCTCACCAAGATGCGTGCTACGAACACCCTAATCGAGAGGTGCTGTTCGCGGGGGAACTCGATCAGCGGTTGTGCGCATTGCCGAGCAGGAGTTCCACCATGATGCTGGGGCCTCAATGTATGTGAGCTCCGACAAATGTGTAGAAATGCCTGATATCATGGCCCCCGCGACAGCATTGGGCAATTGTTGCGCCTGTCTCGGCCGTTCAATGGCGCCACCTTACAGGACGTCGACCGCGCAAGTTTCCCATAGCAAAGACCACGGCCTGGATGCCGCTGGAGCTACTGGGCACCTGAGCGGTATTGGCTCATAGCAGGGTTGTATCATCTACAGGGACCTGGCTGCGCTCTGATAGCTGCGCAACTTCGATGTTTCGCCTGTCACGAGACAGGCAGGAGGGAGCCATGTGCCCGAGGAGGCCACAGTGACCGTCAAAGAAGGGAGAAGACCATTTTGACCGGCGCTCCTCAGCGAAGGACCGGCTTCGCAGTGAGGGAAATGTCAGACCCGTATCTGTACCACGGCGTGCACCTTGAACGCCGCGGCTTTTTCAAGGCCTGATCGATCTACGGCACGGGGGCTATCGAGGTAGCCCCAGAATCCCCGGATATGAATTGCTCCCGCAGGCGCATCCGGACAGACTTTGCCAGCCGGGGCATTTCACGTACGACGGGACACGGTCTCGGGGCTGGGCAATGTTCGGAGGCGAGCATGTCGCATGAGGGGCACGATGAAGCGCATTGGGCTCGAAGGGGTGCTCGTCACATTTTTGTTTGGCTCGTCCGGGTATCGAATTATTTTCGAGAAAAGTCCGGGGACGTTGGTTTCGTGAGATCTCAATACTGGCAAGATGCAGTGCCGTGCCGTCTAACTCCATGAAACATCATTTTTCGATGTCCTATGTCCAGCCACTCCGAGATACCAAAACAAACAACCGTAGCCCTGCTGAGGACAAAGACCGTCAGCACAATCTGTGTCGGTGTATGCTGTTGCGGTACGCCGTGGTTGGATGGGACCGCGCGATGGCGACCAAGCCCGAGCATACCTTCATGTTCCCATGTTGTTCACGCCTTTTCCGTCCCGATTTCCCATTTATCGCTGGCCGCTCCAGACGTTCTTGACGAGGCCGTCACGCTGGGCCAGGCGGTTCAGGGCATCGTCGGACTCGCCCATGGCACGGACGAAACCGCAGAGGGCGTAGACGTGGTTCTCGCCGGAGACGGCACGGCCAGACTCGTCAACCTTGGCGATGGAGATCTGGACGGAGGCGTGGTCCTTGGCCTTGATGATGCGGTTGGTGGCAGAGCACTTGCGGGGGACGTAGCTGTTTGACGCGGGAGGGGTGGGTTAGCCAGACTGGTTCCGCTCTCGTGGACACATGCTTGCGTTTCCGCAGCCCTTTTCCTCCTCCCATCTGCATTCGAGCCTCAGAGGAGGGGGGGTTGCCCTTACAGATCGACGATCTCGCCACGGTCGTTTTCCATTTTGGCGGTGGGTTTGGGGGGTTGTCTGGGTGAACGAGTTGAAGGGGCTTTGTCGGGGGTCAAAAAGGTCGTCCAGTCAAGGTCTCCGTTACGCTGGCTTTGGGGTGTATGATGGTGGTTGCTGAAATTTACCGAGTTTCTCGACTTTGGTGGGCTGGTCCGAGCGCCCGCCCGCTTTTTTTTGCACACTTGCCTGGACCTGTCCTGGATGTACCTTCGTACCGCCTTAGTCAGGATGGTCTGCAGTCTTGGCTCCAGCGCAGAGACCCCGCCAACTCGCCCAGCTGATCTCGCGGGACCAACGCGTCTGCGCCAAGAGATTCAGGGCGCCTCGATATTGCTTGCAGCCCAGCAGCCGCGCCTTTGTTTTTGGCACGCCTGGCACATCTGGGAGCGTTCCTGTGCACCATGTACGCCCGAGTCGGCAGCTGATCGTATATCCAGCCCAACAAAATTTGAATGCGCCTACCTATACTTGTGTTTCACGCTGAAGTTCCTATACCTTCGACAATGCGCATGGCGCATGGGCTCCTACCGTTGGAGTGCCGCCCTGAGACATTGGGCAATGGCTAGAAACAGCTTTACAACGACATCCCCAGAAGCACGGGCGTCGTTCGACCGGCTCATGATGCTCTCCTCGTCTCCTCTCCCCGACATAACGGAGTTCGCTGCGAAGAAGCCCAAGGCAACAGCACTGCGCAGCGGAAGTGCTGCAGTCCCGATTCCTGCGAGCGCGATCAAGACATTCACGAGTGCTGCGGATGTTCTCCGTAGTGCGAACGCCGGCGCCGAAGACTCGGAGGATTTTATCGAAGAGCCCGAGCGGCCTGCGCCGAAGGAGAGAACAACCAAGCCGGCACGCAAGGCAATTAGGGCGCCAAAACGCGTGGCAAAGGAGGTGATCGAGCTGTCCTCTGACGGTGTAATGCCCGATGGTCACAAGGATGATACACATGCGAGACGTGAGGGGGAAATGCGAAATGATGCCGAGGGCAGTCCAATCGGAGCGAAACCATGGAGGAGATACAAGGCGCCTGTTCACCCGGGAGACAAAGTCAAAGGCACAGAATCCGAACCTGTCGAGCCACAAGCGAAGACGAAGGTGCAAAAGAAGAAGAAGAATACCGATGAGACAGTTAGTAGGCATTTTGCAAAGAGCGATGGTCCCGTCAGACCTCCCAAAGAGGATTCGGCCCCGGAGCCGATCCACCTGGAACCAGCAGTTCAGAGGAGGAGAGACTGGACGCCTCCCCGCGAAGACACCCGCCCAGAGACATGTCCAACACCAACTGCTTCGCCGGGCGCAAATCAAGAACACACGTCGCCATCGTCTTCTCTAACAGAAGACAAAAGTACAAAAGAGGACATCTTTAGGAATCTCCACGAAGCGTACGCCCACAAGCTTACCGACCAGACGAAATGCGCTCCCAACAACCCACAGCCTATTTCCTTAGGGAAGAGAAAGGTGATAGATATGATCTCGGGAGGCCAGCCATCGAACCAAGCATCTTCTGAAATTTCTCCAGTGAAGAAGAAGGCGCCCAAGAAGAAGCCTCGAACAATTACAGAATTGGCCACAGCAGCGTACGCCCCAAAGCCCGTCGATCTCCAAGAGGACCCACCTAAAGAAGGAGACTCGATTCTTGAATACTTCGATGTTGACAGAAAGGGTAATGTTTCCAAGGTCACATCAGGGAAGGGAAAGGGAAAAGCTACGAAGGTCACAAAGAGAAAAGCACCGCCAAAACAGCCTGTGCTATTATCTCCTCAAGCTGCAATGCGGCAGTCGGCCAGGCAGGACTTCGTATTCGGCACATCAAGCCAGCTTGTCCGGGAAGAGTCACCAACCTTTCTGAGGGATCTTCAGGCCGCTCTACGAGCGTCTAACACCATATCCAAGGAGGAATCTCAGGCCGTTGAGGACCCCCCTTGCCCACGCTACCTGGCCCTACGATCGACGAATCAAGGCGGAGGACTCTGGTCAGTGAGCGCCAGAGACGAAGACGGTGAAGTAGTAGACATAGAGACCAATGATCTTGTAGGCTCACCTTTCCCGGAAGACGACGCTGTTGCAATCTTGGACCCATGGAAGGACTTGCCACCGGAGCTACCAATTGCTAGCGGCACGGAAACTGAGACGGCCGAGCCATCCCTCATTGAGATTGAGAGGATGCCTGTGGCAACCTCAAGTACACCACCGCCGCCGCCCGTCCCCAAGTCACATTTCTTTTTGACACAGCCAAAGGCATCCATCAGGGCTGCAGCTGCTGTCGCTGGTGACACCGATCCTCCCGGGTCACTAGTAGAGGATCCTTATCCGCTCATTATAGATCTACTCCAGGAAAGCGACGCACCACCACCCAGCAACCAAGAGCAGAGTCAAGAAGACGTCAGACAAATATCGCCAGAGATGCCAAGGAAGATACAGAAAACGCAGCCCAACTATGAGCTCTACACGGACGCCAAATTGGCGAAAGAGGTGTCATCTTTTGGCTTCAAGCCCGTCAAGAGCCGCAGCGGGATGCTTGCGTTGCTTCAGCAATGCTGGGAGAGCAGGAGTAGGGCTCCCATAGGAGTAGCATCCTTCTCTACGACCTCAAGTCCCAAGGGAAAGAAGAAAGCATCTCCTGCGGCTCCTACGCCGACCACTTCGCCACCACCGAAGAAGCCGCGTGCAAAGACGAAGAAAGTTCCTGATGTAGGCGACAGTGACAATGCAGCGGCAAGCGAAGGGGCAAGTACTACGTCGCCGCCGAAGAAACGCGGCCGTCCTCGTAAGGATGCATCGAAAACAGCAGGTCCCTCGAACGCCGCCATGTTGCCCCCTCCAGTATCGACACCGAAGCGTAGGAAAGCAACCACTCAACGGAGGGCGGAGATCGCAGACTCCGATATTGACAGCGACGACTCTGCAGACTTCTCCTCGCCTGAAGAGGTCTTCACGTCCCCTGGCGGTGGCACTGTAGACGTGTCCATCAACGAGGACACGGAAATCTCCCTCGATCTCAGCCCCACAGCGCAGCAATCCGAGCTCTTTAGTCATATCACAAGGGCTGTGACCTCTGCACCGCGGACAACGGACCCGGAGAACCCGTCGTGGCACGAGAAGATGCTGATGTACGACCCGATCATCCTGGAGGACCTGGCTGCCTGGCTTAACACGGGTCAGCTGACGAGAGTGGGCTACGATGGGGAGGCGTCACCCGTGGACGTAAAGAAATGGTGTGAATCGAGGAGCATATGCTGCCTCTGGCGTGGCACTCATCGCGGCAAAGAGAGGAAACGACTTTGAGAGCGTTGGCGTCTGGTTTATGGGTGTGGCTCTTGGGTATCAATGCACTTGGGTGCACTTGTATTTGAATGCAAGATCCGCACACGGTATTGATTTTGTAACTATGAGTATATACAAGCGTTTATATCACCGTGTTCCTATTCTATTGGGACCTGGTCCGAAGCACCTGAGGTCGATCTGGAACCCCGGCACAGTGAATGGTGCCACCCAGGGGTTCTTTGCAGAGAACGACTCCAAGGCATGTCTACTGTCTTCCATGTGAGAATCTGTGCGAGAGGTATACTCCGCGATTCTGCGGATGCTCTGAATTCTATGAGCGCAAGTTATAATTTCCCGGTCTCTTTGGCTCCCTCCTTCAGAACTTTCTGCTCCCTCAAAACCTCTTCCCTCCCTCTCACCTCCACGTCTTGGGGCCCGCCCTTGGAAAACTTGACCAAGACCACCCTCTCGTGGTCACCACCTGCCCCGGTCCCCCTGAGCTCCGGGCCGGGCTTGTCAACCCCCAGCACGAGCCTGCCGTCAGTGTCCCTGATGAACAGAACATGTGGGCTCATGACCTTGTCGGCCCAGGGTATCAGCGCCGTCGGGTGCAGCGCCTTGTCACCGCCCGCGGCAACGGGGCCGGTGGCCGTAGGCGTCCTGCGCACGAACTCCACCAGGGCCCGTCTCTGGGCCGCATATGTCGCCTCCAGGTCGTGGCCGGCTCCTTGGGGCGCCACCGAGGCGAAGACCTGGGCCACGAGGGTGAGGAGGTAGCACTGCGGCGGGAACAGCACGATCTCGCCTTGGGCTTGCTTCTGGAGCCACGCGGAGGCGTCGGCGAAGGTGGCCGCCGTGTGCTCCACCCCGCCGTCTGGGGTGGGCGTCTGCACGACGTCGGTGCCGACGGGGCCCGCGCCTCCTCCGGCGCGGGGCGACTCGGCCAGCGGCATGAAGTAGAGGTACATCTGCGTGGTGAAGCGCTTGGGCCCGTTGGCCGGCGTGACCCACCTCGTGAAGGGGACCAGGTCGTCGACGCACAGGGTCGCACCCAGGCGGTCCTCGGCCCACTGGGTGAAGCTCATCCTGTCCGCGTGGATCTCCCTCCTCGCCTCCTCGCGCTCGGGCTCGGGCACGACGAGGAGGGCGTCGTCGGCCAGGGAGCGCTTGGCGATGAGGATGCCGGACTCCTCGAAGGTCTCGCGGACGGCGGCGAGGCGGTATGCCGGGGAGTCGCGGTGGCGGTCTGGGGAGTGTGGTGGTGGGAGGGGGGGCTCGTGGAAGGGGGAGACGTTGCCGCCGGGGAAGACGTGGGCTGAGGGGAACGAGGTTGATGTCTGGACGCGGTGGAGGAGGAGCACCTGGTTGGTTGGGGACAGGAGGATGATGCTGGAGCTCGGCCGTGCCTCGGCCATGGCCGGCTTCTCTTTGTCGGTGCTGGGAGAGCCGGCTGTTGATACACGCCTGGATTGGCCCCGCGGTGCTGCCATTGGTACTACTAGCCCCGACTGTCGCGGGTTCCCAGACTGGCAGGGCGTCCTGGCTGGTGATGCTGCGGTTGATAACAAACGGGGCGCACTGCTGCTACTGCAAGACCGCCTGGTCAAGAGCATTGGACTGCGTATTCCTTTGAGCCCGTGACGGACGCATTGGACTGCGACCATGGCTCAAGCGGCGTGTGACCTCTGGGCGTTGAGCCAGGAAGGTCAGTCGTCTTCCAAATGTGCGGTGGTGTTGCGCTGAGCCGAGGTCCACCAAGACAGGCCATCCTTGGCTGCGGGCAGGCCGAGGATGACGATTACTATCAGCTTACAACGAAACCACCCAACATAGTCTCACATAGAATGAAGCCACCATATCAATTGATCGTATTCCTCCCCCAATGTCTTGTCATGTCTGTTGGCAATACTCTGCATATGTCTTGGATGCCCCATGGCAAGATTACTTAGGTACCTAGATATCTACTAGGTAGGTATCTACTAGGTACCTTTAGGTGCCGTCTATTTCCAGGATAATTATGATTAAATTGGCAGTTACAACTACAGATAGAGGGAGATAATGCTTGAAGTTGTGAAGTTGTGAATGGTGGTTCCACGGCTGGGGTGCAGTGTGAATACACTGTTATAAACGGTACCTAGGTGTTTCTTTTTTGGGAATGATACAACATTGAACTTATGATGTAAGTTGTACCTGAGTCACGCACACAGTGACATTATCCTAAACAGTCCGATGAGAGACTATTAAGACTGCCTAGGTACCTAGGTACCAACCCATGGTCATCTCCTGACCACATAACAGTAGACAGAAGCCTCCCTCTTTCCTGAATTTGTCATTGTATAATGCGGCCAGCGAGATCGGAGGCGATTCGGCACCGAGGTATCAACGGCAGGGCGTGCATGACCGGCAAAAGAGCAGGTCGCAGCCACTGAGAGGTGGTGGTTAAGCTTCGGCCGAGTACATGTTTCGGCTCGGCTGACCCTGCCGGACGGGGCCCCCAAGCCCCCCAAGACCCAAGCCCTTGAGGGAGATCGCCAGAGCGTCACCAAGCTAGCGTAGCGTACTACGTAGTAGAGTGCGATAATGCACGGCAGAGCACAGAGTCACGGCCACGCTGCCACGTCGATTAGCAGCAGGCTGGCAGGGCGGGATCGATAACGTACCAGCAGCAGCCACGAGCATTTTCCCACAGTCAGACTTGACGGCCATGCAGAGCCGATGGTACGCCGCACCGTGCCTAATGCACACCACGGTTTCGACCAGGACTGCTGTGGCCAGCCATTGGCTCGTGTCGTGCCTTCAGGTAGCACTGGGGGTAGGGCGGGAGGGGATTCCGCCGTGCATCGATCAGATACTGCGCGCGCACATTTACAGCATGTAGACTACTGTACAGATTTGGTTTGATGATGCACGTACTATTATGTAGACATCAACAACTACCAACAGCATCTGTCGAACCTGTTTTGGAGAGGGCATGACTCAGTGGGCGATGCGGGAAATATGGGACGTTGGATCTCGAGAAGGGACATGGGCCTGACGGGCAAGGCAAGACAGGGATCGCAGTGCCGATGCTGAGGTGCCTCATCAGGCCTAAGACGTCGCTGGATCGGTGCTAGGCCCGGCTGGGACTGGCAACAAACTGGCAGTGCCCCGCGCTGACATAATTTTCCTGGTGCGCTCACTGAGCTGCTGTAGCCTGCAAGGTCCAGAGCAGAGCCGGTCCCGCAACGGGAGCGCAACGCCATGCCATGCAACGGTCTCGCCCGTCCGTCTCGCCCGTCCGTCGGTCTTTGGAGGTAAGGAGGGAAGGATGGGCTCTGGAAACGGAGACCGTGGACACTGCGAGTGCGACCCTCACTCATCAGCTCATCAGCCGGCCCAGCTTTATACCAGGGGTTTGGATTTTGGCTTGCCAATTGCTGGGCTGCTCACTTTCCCTCTTAGAAGAAAAGACCCATCCACCGGCCGGTGACTCTCAGACCAGCCTCTCACTCTCACACGCGCACACACACACACCCACACCCTCCTTTTTCTTTCCTTGTCCCTTTGTCCGAACTCTGTAGCCGACGAGGCACATCGCCGCCGGCCCTGCTGCACCCTCTTATCAGACTGCCCTCGCCTCAGAAGTACACCACCCGACTCACAAATCCCACCGCAGGCAGGCAGCACTGGCCCTCACAGTAATAATATCGAAGAAGCCTTTCGCTTTCGCCTATCGTCGATCCGAGACCAGGGCAAGGTCCGGGTTGCTCCTCCTCCCCAGAGCCTCGAGTCGGTCGCACCGCACGGCACTGCACGGCACCGCAACGCAACTCGACGCAACGCAAAGTACCGTCATAAACGCGCCCGCCGCACGGCAACACGTCGCCCACGCACCCGCAGCAGCCGCAGCCGCAATCGCAATCACAACCTCGATCCCGCCCAGTCCAGCCTAGCCTCCCGGCCTCACCACCTCCAAAAAGTTGCTCGCTCCTCCTCTGGCCTACCTGCGTGGAGACCTCTCCTCAATCCGAGGCACTTTTTCCAGGCACACCCACCCACACTCGAGCTTCTTCAATACAACAACCGAACCCGAGCCTGCTTGCGAATCCCCGCTTCTCTCTTGCTCGTGCGGCAACCCCTGCCCTGCCCTGCACGGCCCCGGTGTTGAGACGGTCCCATCCTCAAAGCTTCGGCCCAGAGTCCAAGCTTCACAATGGACAACTCGGGGCAGCCGCTCCCTCCGCCGACTTCTGGCTCAAACCCGTCCAATCCGAACAGCCCGGACGACTCCTTCGCCGATTTCCACATAGCCACAACCACCGACTCGCCCATCAACAATGGCGCATACAACCACAACACCACCTCCCCACAACCACACTCGCATCCTGCCTTCCCGGGCGCCCAGGTCTACACCCCGACCGCCACCCCCTCCGACCGCCTCAACCCCCGCAGCTGTGTCACCTGTCGGAGGAGAAAAGTCCGCTGTGACAAGCACATGCCATGTTCGAATTGCCGCCGCGCCCAGATCCCATGCATCTTCCCCGCCCCCGGCCGCGCACCGCGCCGCCCGCGACCAAAGGACCCCAATGCCCCGCCCAAGCAGCCCTCCAGCGAGCGCGAGATCGAGCTCATGAAGCGCCTGCGCAAGCTCGAGGGCATCGTTGAGGAGCTGAGCGGCCAGATCGAGGTCGAGACCGCCAGGAACCACTCCAGCAGCGGCAATTCCCCAGAGACCACCAACGCCAACGTCGCTACCGAGTTCAACACTCCCGGCTCCGGGCCCCGGCACGAGAGGGCAGGGAGTATGACGGCGGGCAGCACACACAGCCACGGATCTCCTTCCGCCCCCGCCGACGGCAGGCCCGCCACCCTCTACAACTTTAATTCCAGCTCGAGCAACGTGACACAGCGACCCGATAATGTGAACAAGAAGTTTGGCAGGCTGGTCATCAATGACCACGGCAAGACCAGATATGTCAGCAGTGCATTCTGGTCAAAGATCACAGACGAGGTTAGTGGTCTTATACATACAAGGCCCTGCGGGGTGCGGCCACCCGGCGCTGACCCATCATCTAGCTTGACGAGCTGCGGCACGAAACCCAGAAGCTCACCGACGGCGAATCGAGTGATTCGGATGACGAGAGTATAATAGCCACCGCCAACAACCGCTCAGGCGGCGATCACCACGCTTTCGTGCTCGGGTATAGGTCCGCCGATGTCGACTTGAGGCCCCTGCATCCGTTACCCTCACAGATACCGTACATGTGGCAAGTCTATCAAGAGAATGTGGATCCTATAGTCAAGATACTACACGTGCCGACTGTCGAGCAATTGGTAAAGGAGACACGAAAAAATCTGGACAGCCTCACGCCGGGGAACGAGGCCTTGATGTTTGCAATATACTTCGCAGCCATCACTTCTATGGATGAGGAAGATGTGAGTGCTACGGCCCCCGGCTTTGCTTCCGCACACATGCAACTGACAAGAAACAGACCAAGAAGAATTTCGGGGTCGACAGGCCAAGGCTGATTTCGCAATACCGCTTTGCGCTGGAGCAGTCTCTGGCCAAGGCCGAGTTTCTGGTGTCATCCGAGATGGTTGTCCTGCAGGCCTTTATTCTTTTCCTGGTTCTCGTCAGACGCCACGATGATACCCGAGTATCCTGGACCCTGACAGGACTTGCCATACGGATGGGTCAGTCAATGGGCCTTCATCGCGATGGAACCTCGTTTCCGGGTTTGACTCCGCTCGAGATCGAGATGCGGCGACGGCTGTTTTGGGCGCTTTGCATTCTGGACCTCCGAGCAGCCGAGGATCAGGGCACCGACCTGACCATTGTCGATCGAACCTTTGATACCGAGCTGCCACTCAACATCAACGACAGTGATCTCACACCCGAGACGACGGAAATGCCTCAACCTCGCCAGGGCTCAACAGACATGACTTTCTCCCTCATAAGATACGAGATCTGCGGGCTTGCACGGCGTTTACACACTATGTCCTCGGCAAATGCGGGATCCTGTCCCCGAGACGCAGCAATATCCTTCGAAGAGCGCGAGAATATGGTCAGGGAGGTATACGCGAGCGTGGATGGCAAGTTTTTCCGCGGTCCAAACGCCTCATCAGACCCGATTCTGTGGACGGCTGCGAATATAGCTCGCGTCATCGTCGCAAAGATGACGCTCGTTATTTACCAGCCCATGCTCTTCCCCGGGCCTGACGGTGAGGTCCTCTCCAGCGCCATCCGCGATCGCATTTTTACCGCCGCCACCGAGATCTTCGAGTACAACCACCAACTCAACTCAGACCCGCGATCGAGGCCATGGCGCTGGCTCTTCCTTACCTACACGGCATGGCACGCCGTGGCGTACGTTTTGATGGAGGTCGTTCGTCGCCCTTGGAGCTCTGCTGTTGAGCGGGCATGGGCGGCCCTGAATGCTACTTTTGCGAGCCCCAACCCCGATGATCTGAATCGAATAGCAGGAGACCAGTCTGTCTGGCTGCCGCTCAAGAAGATATACATAAAGGCCAAGAAACACCGTGAAGGGGAGATAGCGCGACTCAAGGCGGATCCCCAGGCTGCTCAGGAGCTGGAGCTCGAAGAGCGCAGGAACGTGGGGGCGCCGGCAAGCTTCGCGGCCATGCCAGGGTCAGTCAAGAGTGCGGTGGCCAACGAGAGGTGGCGTAAACTTGTCAACGCACCGCGCTTGCCGCCTGAAGTGGAACGGGAAATCACGTCTCCCTCGTCATTCACACAACAGCAAGGACAACAAGAACCATCGGGACCACAGGGCGAGGCTATCAGCGCGCCTCCACAGATGCCGAACAACATTGGCGTGGGTGATGGCCTCCAGGCTCAGAACTTGGGTGACGAAAGAGCAATGGAGATTGTTGAGAATGTCATGAACCAGCCCCATTTCCAACCCGACGGTTTCTGGCCTATAGCTTTCTCGCCCCAGTACGCGGATATCGCGCGTGCTGCAACAGGCAGCGCGGGGTTCCCGTTCATGTCTGGAAGTGACCCGATTCCGAGGCAAGACTCGACACTGGCCAACTTTGCCAATGGAAACGGTGACGCCAACCGCGCAGTCTCCGGGACCTCGATGTCGACCGATCCACGAATGCAGCCGACTCCGCTTGTCGATGCGCTGAAGGTTGAGGGCAACCTGCCGCCATGGATGTGGGGCGACACGCCGGTGGCGACAGCGCAGACGTTTGGAACCCCTGGCTCCGTGACGACGGCGAGCGGCGGCAGCGGCGGCGGCGGCGCGCCGATGAGCGCGCCGGCGAGGGCGTTCAGCTTCCCGCTCCAGACCGGGAATACCGATGTCCAACCCGAGGACATCGATGTGAATATGGATGAGGACTTCAACTGGGCAGACTGGGGCCAGAGCCTCATGGAATCCACTGGTGCGAACATGGGAGGCGTTTGGAGTGCACACGGGATATAGAGGAGCTGGGTCGGGGGTTTTCCGGGCGCAGCCGGCTCGGGCCATCCCCTGCATCATTATTGCTTTTTATTGCGCCGAAAATCTGACGAGATCGAGGGCCCGAGACCCACTCAGCTCACCTCACCAAGAACTGCAGTCATTTCTGAAACAGGCAGGTATAGACGGAGTGTAATGGGCTCCGGGCCAAGGGGTGGACGCATCTCGATTTGACGGCGCCTGGCCGACCAGCTCGGTACTGGGTCGGCATAGGGAAGAAAAACTGCGGGTCCAGGCAGTTTTTGTCCTGGTCGACTTATTTGCTGCCATATAATGAACGACATGACATGACATGACGTGACATGTCTTTTTAAGCTAGATAGATAGGGTTGGTATTTGCGTGCAAAAACTTGAATATTGATACCCTTGATTCACTCGAGGACAAGGCATGGTTTGTCTGAGGTCTAACCACACATGTGAAGACTTTTATGAGCTCAGAGAAATCTCAGGAGTGTCTACATTTGACCTCCCTGGTGTGGCGGCGTGGACACGGCCCCTGAGCGACGCCCCTGATTCAGGGATGAGTACGTCCAGAGGTTGATGGTTTCGGCATTCGACCGGGCCTGTTCGGAATGTCACGCGGAGAAGCGGGTCGAGATGGACTTATTCTCATACCCTCCCCACCCCTGCTGGCGAGAGCAGGAGGCTGCAATGCGTGTGCTTCCCGCCAGTCACCACTTGTTCTAGTGTATATTCCATGATCAGATCTACGTGCCGATGTCTCCTGCTTGAATCGTTGTTGAGCCTCGTTACAGCAGCAACCGCCCAGTGCCAACGTCAACAACGAAGTAGTTAAATGACCTCCTCTCAACCCAAGCACTTGGTCACATACATTGTTAGCACAACACAGCCACACATTCGAATTAGAACACGTCACAGCGAAGCCCCTGCGGCTTAATTCTTATCTACGTGGTCGCCCTCCTACTAAGTACTAGAGGCTCTTGTACTGGGCGATATTAAATCCTGCATGAGGCTGGGGAGTGTGCAACGCAGCCGCGGAGCAGACACCAGTCGACCTAAGCCGAGCTTGTAACAGACGGGTTCCAAGGTTAACGTACCGGGAGACGCGGTGTTACCTTGAGAAGTACACTGGTTTCGAAGTCCAAAGCCAGTCTCACTTATGTGGTTTCGCTTCTATTCCGTATACGTGCGAGGACATACATGGCGCCTTCATACGATGGTAGCAGTATCACTTATGATGAATGGTATATGTCTGGCTCGAGAACCTCGTCCGGCCTATTCAATCATAAGCAACGTGCGACATGGCCAGCACAATGCAACGAGACCATGAATGTGGCTCACCAGCGGCCGACCCACGTGGGAAAAGGTTACATCTCCGGACAGCCACCGTTTTATGGTGTACCTTGCCTGCGCGGGGTTGTTGCGAGCACAAAACATTTGCCTCCTTGAAGGCACTAATGTTTGCTGTGGGTGGTCAGCAGATTAACCGACATCATGTGTATTCTTGCCCGTACCCACGTATCAGAACACCAGAATTCGTGAGGAATCTGACGTCTGAAGGTGTAGGTAGTTGGGTTGTTGATTAGAAGAATCAGCTATCGAAGGGCGCCTGCAGAAGCGTGGTTTTAGCTGCCTGCAGGGCTTGCTTACGTAACTAGACTACGGATCCACAATCATGCAACGGCGTTTTGGTCTTGACCATGTTTGGTATCGAGTATCTTGTAAATCTGCCCCGTGTGTTTCGTGATGCGTATGAATCCACGCTACAACACTTGATGAAGAGCCCAGTGGTCGCACGGTAGGTCATGTGTTAAGTGCGAGGATCATGATATCAATCTTAGGCTGGCTGCTCTTCTGATGCACCGAAACAGCGTTGCACAGGAGAGAGACTTTGTCGAAGGAGGGAGGCCTGGGAGGAGACACCATATGCCAGAATGACGCTGAAGCAGTCGTGGCCAATGCCTGAGCCATAAAGAAGAACTGAGCCACTCGCGGACATTATGAGTGAGCTCTAGCTGGTAAATGTATTCTCCACAGATGTATCTCGGTACTTCATCCTCTATTTGTAAGCATGGACAGTTCAAACAGTTCGCCGCCGTGCATGTCATCATAGAGCGATCGCGTTTGGGGTCTGTGAGAGCGTGCAATGGGGGTACTGTCATGATATGAAATATACCTTCCGAGGTTGTTTCTCAGGGATCTCCTCCCAATGCCAGCTTGCGGAGAGCCCCAGAGAACAACCAGTATTACGCCTCCCAGGCTTCAGTGGCACTTCAGCCCTTCTAGGGGACCCGGTGGCCAACGCCTCTCATGGATGGCTCGGGAGGTATCGTCTGGACCATCCTTACCAGTCCGATTGGTTGGAAGTGGTGCCTTTGCCCCTGTCACTACTAGTAATGCAAGCGGGTTTGTGGCACGGCCAAGCACCTTCTGCACCCATCGGGATCATCTCGTCACTTCGATCAGATAGGCTAAATATCAAATGGGAACGCCGAATTTTGATGTCTTTCCGGGACTTGGTGCGGGAGGCGTCGTCGGAAATAGTTGTGGAGAAGTGCAGATGGCTTTCTGTGATCACGCGTGTGGTAAACGAGAGGAATGTCAAAAAGAAGCCGCGTGAGATTCCTGGGATCAGGATCCTTCGCCTGCCGAGAGGCTGGTCCAAGTTCGACTCTCACGCATGCAGATGCAGACTAACAATGCGTACGGACTAGATGTGAGACGATGTTGGGGGCCAGGCCCAACGGAAAGGATTCACTTGCAGTATCCATCGCCCCTGTCGCCAGGCTTATCCATTTATGGAGAAGCCTGGAGTCCTTCCAACATCTGCAACTCGGATGCTTGCGTTGTCTTCCTCGGAATCGGTATCGCACTGCTTACGGGTGAGATTCTGCCTTCATGTATCTCAAGCTACCTCAGCAGCGGTCGCCCCGCGAGACCGGTCCCCAGCTTGAGGTATCAGGCTTTCCATATCGTCTTCCTCTAACATCGGCCTGTCCATGAGAGCTCGAATAGCGTCGTATTTATGGAGTTATTATTGGAAAAGACCCAATTGACCGGATCCCTAGGATCAGGCTTTAGTGTCCACGAGATCGCGAGATGTAGTAGTATTGCTGCGGTAGTATTGCTTCGCCAATTACAGCACAAGAAAGGGGGCTTATCACAAAACTAAAGCTCTACCTTTCCGACCAAGCCAATGTACGTCACGGATGGGTGATTTATCCCGACCTTCTACTCCAACTCCACGGTCTCGGTATCGCGAACAAGTCCGAACCCGAGTGAAGCCCCTTATACTTGAGTTGCCTTTGCCTCACATCACCTGGTTTGGCGTGCGGTAGAACGCGACGCATGTTGCAACACACATACTCGATCAGGGGAGCTGTTTAGGCAGTTGGTGACGACGTACCTCTCTCTCTTGGTCGCCATTCACGGAACCTGCCGAGGATCCGACTTGTTGGCAGCACCTGCGCGGCGCGGCGCACAATTTAATTTAGGCCACCTGCGCCGCGGACATTCAAGAGTAACGTCTCATCTCATAGCAGGAGAAAATTCTTCCTTTAGCGTTACTACTTGCACAGCCAACGGCTCTCCCGAAGTGTCGCTGTGTTTTCAAACCCAGTCTCTTGGCTCTGTGGGAGGTTGACAGCACGTCCAACACTTGACCATGGTGGAGTGGACTGAGGATCTATTCCCGAATGCTGCCGACATCCAGCCCCACGAACCCCTGGAGGACTACCGACCGGGAGGCTTCCACCCTGTTACTCTTGGCGATACCTTCCAAGACGGGAGGTATGTAATTAGGCACAAGCTAGGCTTTGGAGGGCAGGCGACGGTGTGGCTTGCGCAGGACACTCGGCAGAGGTGCGTACAACCGCAGAGCGGCCGCCAATAGCCCTGTTAGCCCGACTAATAACATCGAACATCAGCCAATGGGTCTCGCTGAAGATCAAGCAGGCTCGTATAAGTGAAGGTCCACTAGAGCAAGACCAGGAAATACAAGCCCTGCTGGCTCTGGAGAAGCACTACACCGGCAGCGACCAGAAACTAACGAGGTGTTTCACTCGGCTGTTAGCGACTTTCAAGATCTTCGGGCCTAATGGAACGCACAACTGCCTTGTCACTGAAGTGATCGGCCCTTCTGTAGCGAGGGTACTTCGCGCGTGCAGCCTCTTCGGCGAGACGCTGAGACCTGACACGGTGCTCCGAGCTTCGAAGCGTGTTCTTCAGGCAGTCGACTTTGCGCATCGTGCCGGGGTGGTTCATGGAGGTACGTGCTAGCTGTCAACACTGGCAAATGCAAATACTTACGCGAGCCATCCACAGATATATCATTTGGAAACGTTGCATTCACTTGTGATGTGGCCCTTAATGGTGAAGAGGACATATTCGTTGCGCTCGGCGGGCAACCCCTGACAGCGAATTATGCTGGCAGAACACCCTTATCTCCAAATATGCCTCGCACACTAGTAAAGACGGCAGACTGGGACATGTGGACCGACCGCGACGAGGAGGACATACGCCTCCTGGACTGGGGTTTGGCATTTCCAGTTAGCCAAGTAGTCACGACGCTCCCTCAGCCCATCGACCTTAGATCACCAGAGACTTTCTTCTGTGCATCGATAGATTTACGCCATGACCTGTGGAGGGCTGGATGTGTTGTAAGCCCTCTAGCCAATCTCCCAGGGCAGAGCGAAATGCTCCCCTTCTCTAGGTATAGTCCCCAACTAACCCATTCTGTCCAGATCTATGCCCTGTATTTCCAACAATCACCCTTTCCGTTTGAAAGTGGATCCGATGCCGCCTTCGTGGGGAAAATGGTGTCAAGGCTTGGTCCGCTACCGGCTGAATGGCACTTACTCTGGAGAGAGATGCAGAGACCGAGCGCCGACTCTCCACTGAATGGCGAGACAAATGGTCAGAGCCTTAGAACACAAAATTTACCTCTCGAGCTAGGTCTAAGCTGACATCATGCATCGTATTCACAGGATTTGATCAAATACAAGAGGAGACATATGAGGAGAGGAGAACAATTATTATCGGGAAGTGTCGGGAGGGAGATTACCAAGCGGACGAGGTTTCCAATTACGACTTCGAATCACTCCAAGTGCTGTCTCGCACAATATCCGCACTCTTAAGATGGAAGCCTGTGAGCCGTGCGTCTGCCCAAGTCGCACTTTCGCTCATCAAATGGGTTGACTACCGCAACGAGACTTGAGAAATGCTGTCACACAGTTTCTTTACTTTGCATTTTTCTCTGGCAGCTATTCACATGTACCAAATCCATCTCAGGATAGGAACTGCAGATGATCAATTAATTACAATGACATTCACGTGCACATATCTACAGTCGTTTTGCTCAGTTGCCAAAACAAAATATGTATTTGCCTATGGAATTATTGAATTTGCGAGTCAACGCAATACCGAACAAAAAACTTGGTCCGCCAACCTTTCAATTCTTCCCCTGCTCCGAAGCACTCTCAGTTTTCACAGGGGTGGCAGTCCCCGAACCATGCGTCTTCTTCATGGCCTGCTTCGCCTTCACCTTCTGCTCGTGCATGTACGCCCTGAAGCCGCTCCCACCGCGAATGTTCTGCCTCGCGCGGTCGCCACGGAGCGTCGAGAGCGTCCGCAGCGGTGGCCGGATGCCCTCCTCCATCTCAACCGTATTGCGTCTGTGCGCCTCCAGCTTGCTCGGCGTGATGCTCTCGGGGGCCCACTTCTTCCGGATGAACCACGGCAAGCATCCGGCGACCCACTCGTCGGGGCACTTGCGGATGAGCACGCCCCAAGGCAGTGATATGGCGCCAAGTCCGATAGAAAGACCCCATTCCTTGCCGTTGAGAGGTACAATTTCGAAGGCCGGGCCGCCAACGAAGATGATTAGGACCTGGCCTCCAACCATAATTAGATTAATACCTGAAAAGAACCAATTGCGTGTAATTCCTTCCAAGATGTTGATCTTGTTGTCAAGGCGGCGGTTGTTGACCTCGTTGAAAATCTGCAGCCACACAAAGGTATTGAAGACCAGCGTCTTAAGTCTTGTCACCTCGGTCTTGGAAGTTCCGTATCCAAGGAGAGTCCTGCCGCCAAAGTTGAGGCAGAAGGTAATCGCCAGCTGACAGATTGCCTGTCCAATTATCATCTTGGCCATGCGAAGAGTGATAAGTGACGCAGATTTCCGATCGGGCTTTCTGTCCAGAACCGATCGAGAAGGAGGGTCTGTCGCAAGAGCCAAAGCAGCGAATGTGTCCATGATGAGATTCACCCAGAGTAATTGCACAGCATTCTGTCATACAGGTCAGCAGCTAAAACGGCTCCGCAGAGGCGGGATAAGGTTTCTGAAGTCTTTTACTTACGAGCACCGATTCTTCCTCCGCTGAAGCGACAGCCGAGACAAACGTAAGGACAACGGCGGTGACGTTGACGGTAAGCTGAAACTGAAGAAACTTCTTAACGGAGTCGTTCACCGCACGTCCCCACATCATGCCCTTCACAATCGAAGCAAAGTTGTCGTCCATAAGAATAATAGCAGACGCCTCTTTCGCAACCTCAGTACCCGCGATTCCCATTGAAAACCCGATGTCGGCCATTTTTAGAGCAGGAGCATCATTTGTTCCATCGCCGGTCACGGCTACAGTCTCACCGAGCTCCTTCAGAGTGCGCACCAGGATGCGCTTATCCTCGGGACTTGAACGGGCGAGGACCTGAAGCTTGGGGACCAGTTCCTTGAGTTCCTGCTCCGTCTTTCGTCGAAAATCAGGACCTTCCATAGCTATGCCGCCTTCCTCAGGGTGGTAGATGCCACACTCGCGGGCAATTGCTCTTCCAGTCAGTATATTGTCGCCGGTGACCATGCGTACTATGACTCCCGCACGCTGACAGTCCTTTATAGCATCCTTGACAGAAGGCCGGAGAGGGTCCTTGATTCCAAAAATGGCCACTAGCGTCATGTTGTCGTGGACCTTGGCCCAATCCGCAACCTTGGGGTCGTCCTTGGATTCCATGCCCGTTGGTGGCCACGACTCGAATTCGCGGTAAGATGAGGCGATAGTCCGCAATGTCTGCCCGGCGTATGAAGTGATCGTGTTTGAAATGGATTCGCGTACAGAATCCTTCATCTCGACACCGGTTATGGATTCGGGATCACCAAGTATGTGGGTGCACCTTCTGAGCAAAATCTCAGAGGCGCCTTTGGCGTAGACTCGATATTTCCCATCTGAGAGCTTCACAACACTTGCCATGTACTTATTTGCGGAGTCGAAAGGAAGAACTTGGACGATTTCAGCATTGGCTCGCTCTTCCTGAACTGGCCCAGCACCGAGATGATCGCGTGAAAAGGTCAACAAGGCGACTTCTGTCTTGGACCCGATGAAAGTTTGTTCCCCGTCTTGTTCACCCTCGAAAGCCGACGAGTTGACTGCGTTTGATTGAATCAGCAGCCGCTTTGTCTCATCTCCCAGCGAGGTCACGAATTCGTTGACGGGGACATTGGCCACAGCTTCTACGCTTTTCGTTTCGGAATCATCGCGCTTCTCGGTGTCGTCGAGTGGTGGATCCGTCCCACCGAAGCTGTTACAACTTCCAAGAGTGCAGGCGACCACTGTCATCTTGTTCTGGGTCAAAGTTCCTGTCTTGTCGGAGCATACGGTCGTCGCGTTGCCCATTGTTTCACACGCCTTCAAAACGCGTACTAGGTTGTTGTCCTTCATCATGCGAGTGGTAGCGAAGGCGAGAGCGAGAGTGACTGCCAGGGGTAAGCCCTCAGGTACAGCACTATACATGTTATCAGCAGCTGCACGTTTCGAAGGATGCGGTTCCACTCACACGACCACTACCGTGACCGAGACAATCAATAAAGTGAGGAATTGCTAGCATCGAGTTAGAAACCGTCCGGTATGAGGACACCCTGCAGGATCGTTTGACATACCTGGCCCTTCTCCGATGGTGACGCGTCATTTCCAGGCAAAGCGGCGCAGAACTTGATGAAAAGGACGATGAATAGGATGAGTGCAGCACCAGCACCAAATTTCGCGATCCAGTCGGCCAGGATGTTCAGCTTCTTCTGCAGCGGAGTGTCTTCCTGCTCGGTACGCAAAGCCATTGCGGTTCGTCCGTAGCTCGAATTCACACCGACGGCTGTCACAAGGAATGTTCCTGTTCCTTCCTGGACCTTGCTTCCGGAGATGATGAATGGGTCCAGCTTTTCCAGTTCAGGGCGGTCTTTGCCGGACTCAGCCGCCTCGGCCAGGGCAGCGAACACGTCTCTGCCAGAGACCTTCCTCAGGAGGTCCGATTCACCAGTGGCAGAAGATTCGTCGCATTTGACGCCGTATCCGTCGATGAAAATACCATCGACTGGTATCATATCTCCGGTGTTGAGGTGAATTACATCACCCACCTGCACATCGAAAACCGAGATTTCTTGAGACTTGCCAGAGCGGACCACCTTGACCGTGCGGTCATTGTGCTTCTTGTTGAGCTTATTAAACTGCCTTTCCATTTGGAAGTCGTTGAGTGTACCGCTATTAGGCAGTAGAGTAGAGTCAGCAATCACTGGATACCGAAGCCCGTTGAGTGAGCTATTCATGGTCGGGAGCTCTCAGGATTCACGTACACAATCACAACAATTAGAATAGCCGCAATGATAGCGACGCCTTCAACCCATTCTACCCTGGGCTCACCACGTTCGTGAGTGGTGCCAAAGGTCTGGTATAGGCCGAGTGCCAATGATACAATTGCCGCGATTGTAAGAAGGATCAGGACCTTGTCGTTGTATGCCAACCAAGCCAGCTCGAGAAGCGACTTGCTCTTCTTCTCGGGCAGCCTGTTCAAGATTCAGTTAGCTGCCACTTGCTGGGAATGGGTGAGACTGTATGTAGCTACTGGTCTACCAGAACTCTTGTAAATGTTCAATTGACATTACAGCCAGCTTCAACGACCTCCTGGACGCGCTACTTGCTGACAGGCTCCCAGTCAAGACATGCGGTCCTCTCACCATGAGTGGGTGCGAAGGGTTGAGCGTGGGAATACATTTAGCTTACCTGTTATCGTTGAACACGTCCTGACGATCAGAGAAGCCCTGAGTCGAGGCGTGATGTGCTGCCCCAGATGCGGCAGCGGCCGACTTCTCCTCGCTTGGTGCAGGCGGATTGTTCCCAAGGGCACCGTACTTTGGCGCGCCCTTTATCGCGACATCCTCAAAAGCAACCGCGCCGTCGAGAATGTCCTCGTCGGAGCTCAACCCACTTTTCGTGTCGGTTCGCAAACCCTTCTCCAGTCCGTCCAGGCCACCCATAGCAAGGAAGGCATTCAGGCTCTTGGGGTTTAGAAGCTTGGAGAGCTGGCCGGGTGAGAAGGCGAACTTGTTCTTGGGTTTGTTGAACATGTCCTCAGTGCCCGGGTCAGGCGTGAGGGCATCGTTGAGATCCACATGGAATTTGACGTGCTTGGGTCCGGCCTGGTCTTTCTCATCGGCAACATCTTTCTCGCCCGAGACTTTCGCGGCGGCGCCTTCACCCACCACCGTCGTGGCATTCTCCCACTCAGACCCTGCGTTACTAGCCATGCTGGGAATGATGTAGTAGATTTGATGTTGCTGAGGTCCAGGTTTGGGCCAGGTAAACCTCGGCCGTTTTCACAGCCAGTGCTGCCCGAGGGTCGTGCGAAAGAATCAGGCCACAGAACAGCTCAGCAGCTAGAAGCGGCTGGTTCGATGATGTATTTGCTGAGGGGTGTGCAGATGAGAGGCAGGTGGGTTACACAAGCCCTCCAAGCCCAAGCGTAAAGTGACTGGTTCCCAGCAGTGAATGTGTGGCACGTCAGACGTCGGACGTCGGCCACATACCGTTGACTCACTTGGATGTTTGGAAGGAGCGGAAGAGTGGGCCAGGGGCGAGTCGCAAAGGAGGGAAGGGGAAGGAAGGGAAAACAAACAAATAACCCAAACAGGGAACTAGGAAACGGGCAACAAGAGGGAAACAGGGAAAAACAAGGCTGGAAATTGGAAGACAGTAGCAGCCCAAGATCTCGGCGAATCTTGATCGGGAAAAGGAAAGAAGCCTTGAGAGGGCGGGAGGGCACCAAGGTGATATGAGACAACTCCCGTGCTCCCTACCGTTCACTTTTCACCTGCCGTCGTGTGGCTTGTCCCTCTGCCGAAAGGGGTGGAAGGCACACACGTCGTGTCGTACACCTGGATATGCCAGTGCAACAAGCACGGGCATTACCGGGCACACAGCCGTGCTGCCGTACCTGAGGCCAGTGCCTGGTCGATCCCCTTTCCTCTGCGCTGCTGACTCCCGCCAGCCACTGCGTCTCCATCCAGGGGGGCCGATTCCCAGGCCAACTCATCTCTTCAGGATCCATGGATGAACGGATTGGCGATCCTGCTCGCTCAACCCATGAGCTCAAGTGCTTGGCATGGCTACTCTGACAAGGCCAGCCCCCCCGCCGTTTGTTGATTGGAGCCACAGCAGCATAGCATCACTTTGCGGCGGCACTGCAGCTGCGAGTCCTGTGGTCGTCTATTCCAGGTATTTCGGGCCCAACTTGGCGCTGCTTGGCAGTCACCCACGGCCAGCTTGGCGGGCTCCCTCCAAATTTGAACACCCAAGACACCCCCAATGCCCCCCTCCTTTGGCTGGCCCCAGTTGCCCAGGTCTGGCGTGGCAGGATGACCACGCCGCGAGGCTGCTTCCCGTGCCTACTGGGCGCAGGGAAGATGGGGAGACAAGTCCTCCACAGCTATATTCGAATATGTGGCCATACATAGCACGGCCCCGTGCCACTGCGGCCCTGTGGGGGCCGGGGTCCTCAGCGGCTTACTGCATGTGCAGGTGGCCCACTTGCAGCCCAGCTGCCCAGAAATGCTGGCAGCACCTTCTACGTCTGAAATCGACGTCTCCAGTTCCAAGTTCCCAGCCAGTCCTCAGGGGGGAGGCTTGACGCTAGGAAATTGGCTAATATTGGCTCTGAGCACAAGCATTCGTCACCCAAGACTTTGCCAAGCAGCGCCTCCGTAGTCGTGGGTAACAACATGTCGCGGTTCGAGAACTGGGTCAGGGAGCTGGGCAACATCCCAAAACGGCGGTGACTTGTCGCGAGCGGTGATACGGGGCACGTGTTCTTGCGTCTTGTGTTGTCTCTCCTGTCGTATGAGCCTCGGTTGACAGCGTTGGACAGCCTGCATCGCTTCCAAGGTTTGGGCATGGGCATGTCAAAGTATAAAAAGGGAGAAAGGCCATGTTAGCCAAGCTTGCGGGCTGTCTCCGCGGAACGGGAGCTGTTAAGTTCCGGGATCCCACACTCAAGGCGCACCATACACACGTTCAACGTGTCACGGTGAGCTGAGTCAGGATCCACTGTACTCCCAAGCATCTCTTCTCGCGGTCCCCTACCTGTGAGCATTGACGAGGCAGACCACACGTATTATTGCCAGCTTTCACTACGGATGGACTAGCATGGACGAATGAAATTGTCGTTATTTTCTCTGCCAAGGATGCTCAATAGTGACACACAAAGAACAATAAGCAGGCTCGCTGCATTTCTGAGGTCTCCTATTTGACAGCTCCGGAAGGCCTCTGGCATGAGTAGGGTACACTCGCTGGTGTCGTGTGACATAATGCGGGTCGTGGATTCTGAGGCTCCAGTTGCTTGGATCGCCCCAGCTTGTAGCACCTGGCCTTGGAGGACATACCAATCATATGTGCAAGTGTGTCGCGTGTTACAGTAGGGTATCATCATGCCTAGGTACAAGCACTCAAGTATTGACCGTATGTACCAGTCACGTCGTGTTACTTTCCACTATACTGAGTGAGGCATCCTAGTTCACCCACAACACATGTAGTGAAGATCAAAATTCGGGTTCCATTAAGCCGAGCTTACTTCTGCGGTTGTAATGATATATTGTGGCAGTGTGCTTTAACTGACAGTACGGGCCAGAGCAACATCAATCTTCGCGTATATCACTCAGTCAAGGCAGACTCTAGAAAAGCCTTATGCCTGGGGATGAAATACGCCTTGTATGGCCTGGGCATAGCCACGAGCTCACGGGCATCCCTAATACCAGTGACGGGATTGTCGTCGAAGCTGCCGCTTTGTTCGATTTTGAAGCTGTGCAGCATTCTCATAAAGATCACATAGAGCTCCCGGTTGGCCAGGATCGCACCTACGCACATCCTATAGCCCAGGCCATATGTGAATAACGGGGCATCAGGGTGCTCGATCCATCTTTCCGGTCGGAAGGCATGGGCGTCGGGCCATAACTCCGAGTCTGGGGAGTTGTCAAGGTCATATCCATTTAGCGAGCAGGGGTAACTTACCAAAATTGCAAGCCATATTGTTGCAGAGCATAAGCGTACCAGACGGGATGATCCTCCCGTCATATTCCACCTCCTTGATCGTCGACCGAGGCAAGTTCATCCGCACCACACAGAAGTATCGCAAGCACTCCTTCACCAACGCCGCGACATATTCACATTTGGTGTCCTCCTGCGGGTCGCAGAGCGGTTCGTCATCGCCATACATCTCTTTGATCTCGCGGTACGCTCGGTCCTGAATCTCGGGGTGCGACGCGAAGAAACCCAGACTCCACGCAACCGTGGCCCCAACGGTCTCAAACCCGGCCGACAGCATCGAAAGGCTGATGGACCTGACCTCCTCCTGGCTGACCTTGGCCTCCGGGTCGACCATGACGTTGGCCTGGATACACGAGGCGTGCGTGCCCAGCCTCACGCGCTTCCGCAGCTCCTGGTCAAACTTCAGAATGTAGGCATCCCGTCGGTTGCGCAGGGCGATGGCCTGCGCCGACTTGGCCGGAAACAGGCGCCAGAGCGGCACGTAGTCCTGCAGAGACGCGCTGGAGCCGCGGAAGTAGTTTAGCTCCTCCTCGACGTGGACGATTTCGGAGAAGAGCGCGTCATCCTGTGATCGCATTCGGACGCCCCAGTTGAGTGTGAGGACCAGAGAGAGTGACATTCGTTGTATGGCATGGGTTGGGTCTATGGCAACGCTGCCATTCTTGCCGTGGTTCAGCAGGTCCCTGATGAAGTGCCGAGTCTCTAGATCGAGGTGTGTGACCTGTGGTGAACGGCGTACTCAGCATCAATGGTGAAGGACTTGCTCTCACATGAAAATTCAACGCTTGCTTTGTTTCAAGCACTCACGTATGTCTGCACCATCGGTCTGTTCAAAGCTGCAGCCGCAGCTCGTCGGCGCCTTTTCAAAGAGTCATTGTATGGAGTTTGTCCAATAGGTGTTCCCGAGGCGTTGTTGACAAGCTGGAAAGGAAGAGTCAATCAACACTGGATGCAACAGAAGCTAACCAGCTTCAGAAGTGCTGCGGATGCGAACTTCCTGAGCGTACCTTATGCAAGGTATACAATTCAGGCCTTGAACTCGTAGCATGGCTTTGGTGACTGAAGATGTGTTTGGCTGCCGCCGCCGTATTCACCGTCACAGCGGTGATGTTTCCCAACTTGATTTGATACACTGGCCCGTACTTCTCTGACCACTTGCGGCATGGCTCTGCAACACCCTCATGCGCAAAGTACGGCAGATGCCCGAAAATAATCTGTTGTGGCGGGCTAGCGACGCCCGGAATCATGCTTCTGCGGCGCAAATTCTCGTTTATCGCGAGATATCCTACCAGCAGTGCCAAGGTGCCGAGGGCGAGCGAAGGAAGTAGTTTAAGCCCTCCGAGGAGGCTGTTGAGAAGGGAATCCATCGCCAGGTGTGCCGATTGGGTGGTATGTTGAAGCGTGTGGACGCCTCACATCATGGTGAATGGTTGAAAAGGCCAAGGTTTCTTGGCGGGCGTTCCTTTTGTGGGCTTTGAGCATAGAAAGTTCAGACATCTCACTAGACCGTTGAAACCCTTGGGAAGCTGAATTGCTGTGGCGGCATGCAAAACTCGGGAGCCGAACGTGTCAGGAACTTTAGGGCAGTCCTTGTGTCAATTGTCATAAATCGCCATACAAGACCAGCTTTTGGGTGTGGTCGGCTTTGTTGGCTGAGACTGGTTTGGCGGGCCGGGAATTGGCTGACTATCATGACCGCAGATCTCCGGGGCTGACAGAACACCAACCAATGCCAACACGTTATTACAACCAGACATTGGGCATCATGCGATACTGTGTGGGGACAGTAAATGAGTTTGGGGTTAAAGAATGACCATGACTGCAGGCGCCGGGTGTGGTAAAACAGCGGCCATTTTTGCATAGAACCCGAAAAAAGCCCTGCCTCGGCTGATGGATCACGGACACCAGAATCGATTAATGCGCCTGTGACTTTGTGGATACAAACTTAGAATATCATTTGGTCAAGATATAAACAATGAAAGCGGGCAGTGGTTGACTCCGGTTCTAGACATTTGAATACTGACCCAGGAAACAAATTTCTGGCATAGAGAATGTGCTACGTATGAAAACCACAGACACTCCAATCCTATCCTACCGTTCTTAAACCCTGCCTAGCGATTATCCAATGCGCTGGAGACACACAGAGAGGGTTCTCCCAGGCTAACACAACAGATAGTGAGGAAACATTAGCCTCTTAGATCACAGATGGAGAAAATCAAGTCGGTCCAGGTAACCAACAAAACCCCGCCTATTAACCAGGAACTTTCCCCAGAGAGTGCCTAGAAAAGAACTGCACCAAATGTTGATTCGTCAGGTTGAAGTTTGCTGTATGATTTGGCCGCCCAGCCAGGTCCAACCCGATGGTCGAGGGCCACGCATGACCCAGGCCCTCGACGCTCAGCGTCCTGACCTCGGCACCTGGGCAGTCCCAGACTTCCTCCCACGCGCCCGGGTGAACCTCCTCAACGCTGTCGGGCTGGGGGAACTGGCCCGGGTAGGTGCCCCTAGCACACCCGTTGCGCTCCGCCCACTGCCGCCGCCACAGCCGGACATCTGGCTCCGGCCCGAAGCTGCCTTCCTCGGGGGTCCGACCATAGAATGGGGTGATGACATCCTCGATGCCGTGGACATGAAAGATGGGCACAGCCCTGGAAGGGGTGCAGTTGTGGAAGGCATACGTGCCCTGGTAAAGCGCCGGGCTGACGGGCGCAAATGCTGCAATGACGCTGGAGGTGTCTGGGCGGCATGCCAGAAGGCTGGTGAAGCCTCCGCCGTTCGACTTTCCGCATGCGTAGATGCGAGAGCGGTCAATGGTGTATTTGGACGAAATGGTCTTGATCATGTCGAACACATACGCGATATCGTCAACAGAAGCATTTTCATACGGCGCGCCCTTCCAAATGTGTCTCATGTTCCACTCAGTATTGTTCACGCCCTGTGCGTAGGCCGTGAGAAATGGTTTTCCTGCAATGTGCAAGGATGGATCGGAGAGCTCAGTGATCCGCTGTTGTTTCTCACTGAAGCCCCCGGCTTCACACGCGTGAGCAAATAATTTAGTTTAACCGATCATTTGTTCATCGAAGCCACATACGACTCACCTCCATGAAACGAGAGCACCAGCGGGTGTAGCTCCCCATGTCTATAGGCAGCTGGTACATTCAGAAGAAAGGTGCGGTCTGTGGGAAGTGTGTGGGCGACATTGCCGGTCTGAGGCTGTTGAGTGGAAGCGTCGCTCAAGACGACTTGCGTTGCCACTGCGCCGCTGGCACATGATGTGAGGAGTATAGACAAAAAGTGTTGGATTCCAATGAACATGATGAATACAATGCAAACACACTGCGGGACAACCAAAGGTCTATTCTATAGGCCCAGTCACCACCGTATGGGGCTGGATTGACGGCCGGCGACCGCTCAAGTGATACAGGCCGAGCTTCAGTAATACAAAAGGGGAGTCCCGCCTGGAATGAGAACCCTGGGATCTCAGAAGATGACCCTCGGGGAAGGACAGAACAGGAAGCACGCGAGTGGCGAAACGCCTGATTGTCGTATCAGGTTGCCGATAAATCCGGCAGATGTTGTGTTTCCACAGTCTTGAAGCACTCACTGCTCGGTGGCCTCCGTCCCAGAGCCAGAGTTCCGAATTGCTTTCTGCCGATTGAGGGGCAGCTACATACTGCTCGTCAAAGTCTGGCTTACATAATGGGTTATGCGCAGCGCAGGTTGGCTGGGTCAGGTACCTAGGTACCTGGGTACCTAAATTTCGTGTTCGATGATAATAAGCGGTGAAGGACAACATGCCCAGGTGGATGAAGGACGCCCCATTAGCAACATTTGAACTTCCAGCTCGCCATAATACTTCAACAATAGCAGATTTGATACCCCCATATAATCTATCGAAACACCACTTAATACATAATGTCCTTCTTCAAGAAACTCTTCAAGTCCGAACCTCCACTCCTGGTGGAAGGACAGGAACCCACGGGCCCACTACCCCAGCGCGTGCTGATGAAGACAAACTTTGGCGACATGGAGCTAGAGTTGTACACCGAACAGACTCCCAAGGCATGTCGACTTCTTGACTTGAATCAGTTTGACTTTGATGGGCCTCTTTGAATAACACATTCCCCCAGACATGCCTGAACTTCGTCACGCTCGCCAATGCGGGCAAGTACGACAACAGCATCTTCCACCGTGTCATCAAGGGCTTCATGATCCAGGGCGGCGACTATACCCGCGCCGACGGGACCGGCGGCAAGTCAGCGTGGGGTGGCAAGTTTGACGACGAGATCGTCCGGGGGCTGTCGCACGACGGCCCGGGCGTGTTGAGCATGGCCAACGCAGGGCCGGGGACGAACGGGTCACAGTTCTTCATCACGCTTGGAGAATGCGATCACCTTGACGGCAAGCACACCATCTTCGGGAGAGTGGCTGCAGGCTCACAGAACAGCATGGACACGCTGAAGAAGATTGGCAGCGTGAAGACCGAGATGCAAGACCGCCCGGTGCAGACGGTCAAGATCGTGGAATGCAGGACTGTCGGTTAATCAATCGAGCCTGGCTAGTGAGGTCTTCCAATTGATCGAGAATCCTGTCTGTGCGTATGTACAATACAGTATTGGCGAGAGGAAAAGGTAGAACAGAATGACCAGTGCAAATGCATTGCAAGTGATGTAGAACGGAGTTGTAAGAGGTGATTCGGAGTGGTTGATCTGCGTCCAGTCGAGGCTGATTGGCAGGAGACCTATACCCTAGGAAACTCCAGAGTTCATTCCAAAGATTGCATTCATTTTTGGTGTGCGGCGTAATCCAAGGGACAAAACCCAATGTGCTTAAATTACTCCAGCGGTAGTCAGGGTGCCAAAAGAGCACAAACTAGAAGAGTGTAAAATATGAAAAGAACCGATAGCGTGAGATCATGTACCGGTTCGCAGGAGAGTTTTCTGAGGCTCATGTAAAGCACGGAAGACAACAGTCGAGGACAACGTTGACGGCCATATGAGTGCAGCTGGATAAACTAGCCATCGACGTGAGAGGCCGGCTGGCCCGAATCCGAGCATCTGGAATTGGTCTGTGGTCCGTGAATCACACGACTTGGCTGCAATACCTTGACCAGTGACTGCAAGTACCCGTCGGCCCGCATCGTTCATGCATTTATTAGCCATGCAGAGGATATGTGGCCACCCGAGTCTCAGAGAAGCTACCACCATACATACCTAGGTAGCAAAATCCGCGGGAAAGCATCTCTCATCATATCATATTCTGTTAGGATCTAGATGAACGTCTAACCCACTACAAAGGTGACTCGAAGCGCTCTGCTGCGCCGCAATGATGCCTAGGTGGCGACGTACACATGCGTACTGTGTAACTAGCCTAGAAATTGAAATTGGGAGGATAACACAGTTCACTGCAAACAGTGGAGGCCAAAGCCATGACCCTAATATTTCAAGGTCGAGAATACACCCATGGCGCTTAAGTAATTGCTATATTCAATCCCGAAGCAAGATTCAGTTCTGAACTATGTGGCAAGTGATTCCGATAATGTACATTTTGGTTCAAGTTTGATATTGACAAGTAATCATTTGTACCGTCGCGGCAGCTTTCGCGGTGTACGACTTGAAGATTCCCATGATTCCCCCATCCGATGTGTTCATGAACGAACCGAGTCAGACTCACGAGAATTCTTCTTTCGGTCTACTCATGAATGCACTCCAAATGAATGATGCTGTCCACATGCCACCAGAGTGGGGACAACTGAGCCCTTTGTAAATTGTTATAATCGGTCTTCTCAAATTGGCGGAGGACGTTGTAGCCCTAGAAATGCGTGGTACAATAAAACACACTGTCTGAGATTAGACTCGCTTGTCGTAATATCCCGAGACTTCACACGGACTCCCTTGGAAACCCATATCATCTAGGTACCTCATCACCTGGGCACTGATGACCAGGTGTGGAATCCTAAGGCTCATGCCAATATCATCATGTCATCAATCCAATACTGTCGCAACACAACATGAGCCCGTCTTGGTGTTATGAGTGAACCAAGCGAAATTAGATAACACCAGCCCGAGCCATCTCACCACCTCCCTCAGCAACAACCTCTTCCATCCTTCGCTTCCCCTTGCCGATACCGCCCTCGCCGACACCCATCCTCCGCGCCACATACCTCTGCGCTACCACGCCGACGGAGAGGGTGATGACCTCCTCGACCCACTCGGCCACCCATTCGCGGGGGTCAACGCCACCACTCTCGACAATGTCCCTGATCTCCTCTGGCACGTTCTCCACCTCGCTGCGGCCGTTGCCATCGTTACTGCTCGCTGGGGTCAGCGGGCTGGGGGCGTCCAGCCAGCGGACCCACCGGGCCGGCACGGCCTGGCTGACGGCGCTGAACTGGATCTCGTGGACGGGGTCGAGGATGAAGACCGCGAAGCACACCTGGGCGTCGTTGCTGTCCTCCTCGACCACGGTGGACTCCTTCTCCTTTTCGGTGGCCGCGGCGCCTGCGAAGAGATTCTTGTCCTCGTCGGTGACAATGGCCTGGACCGACAGAAAGAGGTCGGAGCTACGGACCGGGTTGGACTCGCTGACGGGCTCCACGGCGCGCTCCCTGGCGCCCTCGATGCCGCCCGAAGCCGCGAAGTACTCGGTAGAGTATGCCTCGGCGCTGGCGCGGCAGAGCTTAGTGCCCTCGGTCAGACCCTTGATCAGGCCGAGATCACGTGGGGAGCTGACATCCCGCCACCAAGGGCCATCGCGCCAGCCAGCTGTGCTATGGCCACCAGAGAAGAACCCGCTCTTCTCGTTGGATGGCGACTTGATGGTATTCTCGTGCCCTCGCTGTACCACCATCAGGTCGCCGCCTTCAACCTGTGCCATAACCCGGCTGAAGACACCATAGATGATAGGGTCGAGCGATGGGTAGCCGACGAGGTCATGGGTGATGTGGATGAGAAGACGCTCGTGTTGGGAAATTGGAGGCGCGAGTGTGTTCATAATATCCGTCAGAGTAGGCAGTGCCCTGTGTGCAATACCATCACCTAGATGTAAGTGTCAGCCTTGCATGCTCGTTTGCGCTAGGGTAGCCTTGTGGGCGGGAATGGTGGACTCGAGTTGGAATGCGGGTCTGTCCATTGCACCGTGTTTGTGGTCCACATCTGAGTACGGGGTGACTCGGTGGCCAGATTTCTTCGCAGGGCACACCCATCTCACTTGAGATGCCAGCCGTAGAGAACGGCGTGCTTGGCCGCTCCACTGATGGCCACCACATCCTGCCTTGGCCACGATGGAAAACAATGAACATGGCCCATCATCAAGAGCGCTTCCCACGGCCGCCATATTATGACTGTTCCCAGCCGTTCCCTTCCGGGCTGCTTTTGAAGGCCAAACAAATGACGACCCATTCGGAATCACACAGCACTATGGTGCCGTTTCTCCGACTTTGCCTCCGCCTCCGTGTTTTGATCGAACAGGCAGAATGATAAGAATGCAACTTACCAAGGCCCCTGAGCGCGCCCACATTACCTCGCACCTGGTCTGCCCATTTCTTGGCCTCCTCGTTCTGCTGAATCTCCTTGACGGCAGCCTCGGCCTGCTTCATGGCGGCCGAGGCTGTAGACAAGATACCGCCCCACCAACCGCCGCCGCCGCCGCTGCCTGCTGTTGTTGTCTGCTGCTGTTCGACGGCGCCTTTGGTCTTCTCGGTGTCCTGCAGCTCGGAAGAGGTGGCGCTGGGAGTGAAGCTCGCGTGGAGGGATCGAGTGCTCTCCCCCGACTTTCGGGCGAGGGCAGACTTGGGCTCTTCGGTTGAGGGACGGCCAGCATCTGTGGTAGGGGTTCCGACGCGCTTAGTGGGCTTCGCCGTGTCCCTCACGCGAGGGGTGTGTGGCCGTGAGGGGACCTTGTCCCCCAGTTCGCTCTCGAGCTCGGCTAGGATGTCGTCACCTGGCTTCTGTTTTGCGGCTGATGCAGGAGCCTTGGTGGTGGGCTTCTTGGGGGCAGCGGCGTCGTCGCCGATGCCCTCAAAGAGCTCGTCGAGCTCGTCAGCCGCCGAAGACTTGGTACCGCGCTTGCTGGCCATTGTGGATGCTGTTGGCAGATGTTAAGAGCAGGTGCCGGATGAAGTGTGGTCAATCGTGGGGGGCCAGAGACCTCACAGAAGCCCAAGCTAAGAAGAGAAGGCTAGTCGCCGTTGGCGGGTGTCGTGCCTGAAGCTGGTGACGATGCTGGCAAGACGTTACAGACGGCGGTTGTTCTAGAGTGGTGTTGTTGTTATGGGTGGTGTTGGTGGCGGTGGTCGAGCTTCCCGCCAAACGAACTGCCCGCACTGGAAGGGCACGGTACGCTACGTCAACCCCCAGCACCACCAGTGTACACCAGCAGCTGCAAGCTGCAGCGGCAGGGGGAGGGACCAGGACAATGGAATGGAAGAAGCAAGTCAACGGCACTAGTCCCAGAACGACTAGCATGAGGCTAGCATGAGTCCTTGAAAGATGATTGGCTGGAAGGGGGATACCTGCGAAGGGGTGTAGAACAACACCTGTCAGCGTGTATCGCCGCATTCTCAGTGGGCAGAGCTGGCCCGAGCGCCGCTAGGGGCGTATTGCAGGCCATGACATGAAGAGGCTCCAAAAATTCCGAAGCCGTCTTGATCAGGAGCCACCAGCAGCAACGGCCCTCGTGTTTCGCATTGGGATATTGGCACCTCGCGGCCTCGACGACCTCGTGCACAATACGGCGGGCGGTTCTGACTTACAGCAAGAAGCCGCTGGTCGATTTTCTGGTATTACAGAGGTACGTGAGTTGTCAGTCATTCAGTCAGCCAGCCAGCCATTCATCCAGTCAGTCAATGATGAGCGCGGTGCCCTGGTGCCCTAGTGCTCTTGGTGCTTGGGCCTTGGGCCTGCATTGCAGCGCAGCGCAGGGCAGTTGCAGCGCCTGTGCAGTATTGAGTGGTGCGGCAAAAAGCTGTGTGGCCCAGGCCGGCCAAGCTGCTCATGTCATCTCAAGTGCTATTTTCATCTGACACGTAAATACCGTTGCCCTATTCACCACACACTCACTCCTCTACTCAGCATGCACTGCGCAGCCCCCATTGTGCTCACTCATTAAAAAGTCATTGTCTGCATTCTGCACTCTGCATCTTGCACCCTGCCCAGCACCCTCCCCTCCTCCCCCAAAACCCGACGTCGATGGAATAAACCCAGCGGGGCCGGGCTGACATCTGGCATCGGATCCAGTCTCAATAGCAGCCAGCGCCCGGCTTTTCTCCCTATTGTGCCTGCTCTACCCCGGGCGGGGCCGTCTGATTGGCTGCATGCAGGCCAGAATGGAGTCTCATCAGTCTCAGCAACAGCGCGGTGCCAGGAGCGGTCCTGGCAGGCCTCGCGGCTCATCTCGAACAGGACGGCCCTCCTCTTCCTCGGGCCACCACCATGCGCACAACACCTCGCCTGGCTCGCTCACAAATATCATCAACTTTGGGGACGAGCCCTCCTCCATCAACGCCCGCTCCCCCGCCAAGAGCCGAGGTCGCGCCAGAGGCTCAAACCACACCTCGCCTTCTCACCACTTCCTCTCATCGCCCACCTCTGCAGCCTTCCCCGAGCCCGCCTCAGACGCCATGGGGCTCGACGACCACAGGGCTGCTCCTCGCCCAGACCGCGTGCCCAAGCAGCCTCTGAATCACTCTTTCACTTTCTCCACCCCCGAGAACCCCCGCCATGAGCCCGGCCGCAAGCGAGCCCGGACCCTGGAATATCCCGCCGACGCTGCTGCTGCTGCTGCCGCCGCCGCTCGCCACGACGAGGCAAAAGTGAAAGGCGGCCACTCACTTCGGAAACGGGTACGCATTGATTACGCCCAGATGAACGACGACAATGAGGAAGACCACGCCAACAAGGACCTGCAGGACGACAGGACTGAGATCACTGTCTCGGGCGCTCGCGGCGTCCGCAAGCGACGCTCTACTGCCGACCCCCACAACGACGAGGACCCGCCACCACAGCCGCCTCTCACCACTGTCACCACCACCAAAAGGGCCAGGTCTGAGAAGCAGCGCACTGTCTCGCCTAAGCCCCAGCGCCGCAGGACCCAGCAGAGGAAGTCAATCTCTGCCCCCGTCGTGCGGCCCGCAGAGTCACCTGACCAGCAGCCTTCTGATACCGAGCTCAAAGACACCATCGAGGTCGGCGCGCCCCTTGCCATGCAGTTCACTGGCTCATCGAGTAGCCAACCCTCAGAGACTGCGAGCAACATTTCTGGCCAGTCTCCCTCTCAAACTAGGCATGCTCAGCCGCCGACTTTCACCGGGACCCAGGTTGCATCACCCACAGCCATAGGGCAGGAAAATGAGCCTTCAACGAGTTTCGTCGAGAAGGACGAGGAGCCTCCTTTATCCGTTCTGGATGGCGCTGAGCAGAGTCAGCCGGAAGAATCTGCCGTTCCGGCCTCTAACGAGCCCACTCAGGAAGACGTGGGTGATGTTGCGGAAAAAGAGGAGAAGGAGGCGAGCGAGGAGCCTGCGGCCACTCTCCCAGATCTTGGCCAGCAAATCACCTCGGCGCTCTCTGCAGTGTCTGAGATTGACGACGCTCGCTTTACTACCCAGTCCTCTCAGGATCCCGAATCTGGACCTCTTGAAACCGAAATGCCCGCCACTTCATTCCAAGACCAGTCACAAGGCCTGAAAGTCCCAAGTTCTCAAGAATCAATTGATTCCGACGCCACTCAGGACATGCCTCCTGATGGGCCCCTTGGAAGTTCGGCACTCGCCAGAGAATTGAGAAATACTATTTCCTCAGTTGTGGATGAGCAGCCAACAGAGCAGCCCACAAAAGTTCCCGAAATTGACAACCAAAAGGAATCCGCAGCAGAGTCTCTTCAAAACGATCAAGAGACAGAAGTCTCGCTTCCTCGTACCCGCGTAAGTGTGCAGGCGGTGACTGGGCAGTTACCTCAATTGTGTTGCAGTCGCTGACTATAAGCTCTCTTCAGAGGCGCTTGGGCCGCCTAGTCGGAAACTCAAGTGCAACCGAAGAAGACTCTTCTCAATTGCCCACCCAGGCAGAGAGGAGATCATCCACAAGTAAAAAGAGTGAAAAGGCCAAGTCCGACGTCAATTCTACGGTACCTTCTGTACCGACGCCTGAAAGCCCCGAGACGCCTAAGAGGCGAAAACCAGGCAGGCCGCCAAAGATTCGACAGAGTATTGAGCAAGAGCCCCGAGAGCCCCGGGTGCCTCGCAAGCGTCGTGCCACGGCGACAACACAGACAATTGCACAGCCTCGACCGATGCGGGCTCACACTCCTCGGGATTTCTCCTTTCTCACACCATATACAGATGCTCAGGATGCATATCCTGAAATCGCTCAAGACTATGGCGTTCCAACCCCTGGGGAAACCCCAAACCTCCAGAATTCCGAGGACCCAGGCGAACCGCCCGATGATGTTGAGTCTCTAGCCCCGGAGCGGGACTCAGGCAGCCAGGAGCAGGGACAATCTCGGCTTGATGGTGGCTCAGGGTCCAATGCACCCACCCCTGCGCCCATGTCGGACATGCCAACGCCAGCTGCTGAGTCGATGCCTGCTAGCAGGAACGCGTCGCCAGAGCCGGTGGTTGAGTCGATTCGTAAAGTCAAGCCACGCAAACAGTTCAGGTTTACACGCATCAGGTCTCCCACCGACTTCGTCAATGTCCTCGACGACCACAAGAACATGTCCACCGAGGATCTCTTCAATGTCCTGGAAGCATCTGCCAGTGCCTTGGGCGCCTGGCAGGATGAGTGGAAGAAGCGCAAGCTTGTCACTGAAGACGAGGACAACGCTGTTCGTCGCCGCGCCCACGACGCTGCTTTGATGGCCCGAGAAGCCAGGGACATGGCCAAGACCAACGGCGCCATCTCCGTGGAGAAGAGGGACTTCGAGATCAAAGGCATCCGTGCGAGCCTCATCGATGAGAATAAGCTGAAGTACCCGGAGAGCAACCCTGAGGTCTACGAGAGGAACCAGGACCAAGTTGCAGCACAGGCATATGGTTTCGAATGGGACCCACGGCCAAGCATGATTGGGAGGCAGGATCCCATCGGACAACGGGACGGTCTGCAGAACAACCGACTTCGCAACAGGCCCAAGCTTAGCCAGCGGGCTGCAGAGGCTGCGGTAGACGACCCGGTGGGCATCGTCACCGGCAAGCGAACTCGTAAGCCACGCATTCTATCCGACGACAGCAAGGATGTTAGCAGGGCCCCAACCCCATTGGAGCCTGTCAAGCCGAAGCAACGAGGCCGCCGCAGGAAGAATGCGGGCGCCGAGAACTTGGATAGTGATTATGAGGCTCCCGCCGCTGCAGAGGACAATACTCCGACCCAGAAGGCTGAAGTTCCGGAGGCACCGCCACCAGATCAGCCGGTAAAGAAGCGCAGGGGTCCCAAGCCTGGCGCCAAGGCTGCGCGCGAAGCAGCGGCTAGAGCAGCGGCGGAGAAGGAGGCGGCTGAGAAGGCCGAGCAGGAAGCCCTGGCCAACGCCGAAGCCGCGAGAGACCATGAGCTGTACGGTGTGCAGGAAGAGCAACCCCAGACCCGCAAGCGCCGCCGTGGTGCGGCGGCCACAGACACTCTTGGTTCATCTTTCGATGGGGCTCATCAGCAGCCGCCTGCCAGTGAGTCCCAGTTTGCACAAGGAGACGCGGCTCTGCCGGCGCCCAAGAGGCAGCGCGGCCGCAAGTCTGCTGCTGCCACGCAGGTCGAGATTCCTCCCGGCACATTCTACAGCGCGGGAAGCAGCGTCCCCACAAACGACGACACAGTCACGCCGACCGAGGACTTCAGGCCGTCTACGTCGTCGTCAACCAGCTCGATGCACACCGTTGGAAGCAGCTACTCCTTCCGCCACCGCCCGAGGAAGAACTACTCCGAACTGGCTGACCCGATCAAAGAAAAGCTTGCTGAAACGCGGCCCAAGCGAGGTCGCAGGGCCAAGAAGGACCAGCAAGAACCGGAGCCCACCTCGGCGCCGTCCAACTTCATGCCCGCCCAGCTGGATGGCAGCTCATACGGGCCGCCCGGCCATGGATACATGCACCACCAAGCGGCCCCTGTACTTGCGCCCCCCAACAACATGAACCCCTTCATCAACGTGACGGGAGGCGGTCCTGGCCAACTACTTGCACCTGCTCCAGTGCGGATCGGGCCGGCGCCAGCGCCTCCGCCTCACCCGGTTGGTGCCCAGAACCCTTTCTCCGCCCCTCACACCAACGCCCCTGTCGAACATCCTCCCCATATCGAACATCCCCAGTCTCCTAGGAAGAAGCAGCCGAGGATCAAGGTTATTAACAGAAACCGCCAGACTGTGACCCCCCAGCCAAGCGGACCACCACCTCCCCACCAGTCATATTCTCACTCCGGACACCAAGCTCCGCTCGCCCCACTTCAGCCACCCCCGAGCTTCCACGGACAGACTGGTTACGAGCAACAATTCTACGGCGGCGCCCCCCTCCAGCCCCACTCGATGCCCGGAGCCGGCCCAGGACAGTTCTCTTTCCCTGTGAACTCTTCTCCTCACGGCGCCATGTCCATGCCACCCATGATGCCCAATGGTCCCCCGTTCCCGCCCATGGGCAGCCTGCCAGGAGGTCCAGGCTCTCTCCCATCGACAAACAGCCGGGGTAACTCCAAGCCTCCCGGATCAGGCCGCGCTACTCCCGCGCCTTCTTCTGCCGAGGGGGAGGACCTGAGTGAGAAGGACTACGCAAGCATGACCAAGAGCGAGAAGATGAGCGCCAGCATGAAAGGTAAGCCTGCTTCATCGTCCCTCATCATGACTGACTGCTTGTTAACGTCTGCACAGCTCGATGGGCCAACGGCTCCATGCGCCAGGCAGTGAACAAGCGCAAAGAGACGCTCGCGCGTAAGAAGCAGAAACAGAGCGACGAGAAGAACCAGACAAAGACGTCGACACCCACCCCACAGCCGGAGATGCCACCATCACAGTCCCGCACCCCGGTGACGACGACCGCCCCCAACTTCCAAGCCCCAGCGGCAGGAGGCGGCGCCGCACAGCCGAGCCCGGCCGACATGGCCAAGAACCTGCCGCCTGCCCCGGAAAGGCCGCGCGATTTTGGCGGCATCCTGATGGGTGGCGATTACGGCGTCCCCCCGCCCCTGCCAGGCGGCATGCGAGCCCCGTCACAGGCCCCAATGCAGCACGACGACAGGCAGATGCTCGGTTATATGCACGACGGCCCGCCCGCCCACGTTCCCATCCCGGGTAGTATCTGGGAGGCCCACGGGCGGCCGTACCCCAACGGCAGCGGGCGCGAAGAGCTGAATGGCGACAGGCATGTCGGTGGTGGAGGAGCACATGCACAACCTGCGCCCGGATGGGGGCCACAGGGCTGAACGGGGGACGGTTTCCGCCTGATAAAATATTGGCGGATTGTGTATCTGTGATACTGTTTTAACTGTATTCTATTTGTAAAAGGAGGCGCACTGTTTTGCTGCATCCACGGGACGGGTGATTGATGAAAAAACAATATTAAAAAGGGTGGAAGTCTCACGAAATTCTGCCTCTCTAGGTACACACTCGCGGGGAGGGCACAGAGTGCCGAATCAGCATAGCGACGGTAGTACAAGGCATTGCATTGCATTGCATCATCAGGAGGAAAACGGATCCTCTACTCTCAATTTATCTAGGCGTAATTATTACAAACTTGCTGTTGTGATGTGCTGGCCCCGTGCATCCTGTCCTGCCTTCACTTTCTTCATCATTCCAAAGCGAAAAGCGAGGCATATGCCAGAGACCATAATGATTGGATGATTTGTCTCGCAAAATGCGCTCTTGCGAGGATGCGAACGTACCGTAAGCAAACAATTAACGTACATTTTCTCATCTTTGGGAGGAACCTTGGAAGCGTCTTGGGATAAGTGAAGCCTGTGGAGAACTCCAGCATCGCGTCCGCGAGCTTCTTCAATCAATCGATACAATCCAGTTGAAATAGGTGATGCGGAGGCAGTTTGAAAGAAGCTGTTCACTATTGACTCTGCTCAGATTGATGTTGACAAACATTTCGGTCCTCTCATACTTGTACTTACTCACCTGGCCGAAGGTCTCCATGATGACTTGTCCTCTACCTAATCAATTCTTTATTTGGAAAAGTCATATTTGAGAATGAAACATTCGTGCTAGAATCCTGCTCGGCTCATATTATGCATCGCGATTGATGGAACACTACCTTAGAAGCATAAACAGATTGTTTACTAAAAGAAATAAAACCAAAAGGAAAAGAGGCTGAAGGGGGAGGCGTCTCTCTGCCATCTAGAATAATAGGTAAATGAGAGACCTGTGGGTCATTCAAAGCCTTCTCATGCGATCAATCACCTGAGGCATTCGCATGGTGATCTTTCTTGCTCTGTCCCCAGGAGCACATGCAGCGTTCGAGAACTAATAAGCACCCGTTCCTTCAGTTCTAGGGGGTGACCGGAAAGGAAAAGACACAACTCCAGCCCCATACTAGGTATTTAACATCCAGTACAGAGTCATCTTCGTGGCCATACCCGCTCGGTCAGCTATATAATTTTCACTGAATTACGCAATGTGACAATGCACGAGACGGCAGCATACATTCCAAAATGTTCGTGGTAGCTTTTCCTGCTGACATTGAAGTTTCTGCCTTGCCGAGGCTCAGATTTGACTTGCACATGCTTCGTCTAGTAGGTATCGTGTGCCACAGCTCAGCCTTGCACCCCTGACAAAAATTGGGCAGCAGATAGGGACCGTGGACTTTCTGCCCAAGAAATTGTGTTTGAGTAACTTTCAATGTGACCTAGGTACTAACACGGCAGTGTGGCCGAGTATCTAGCTAGATAACCGTGTTGGGTTCTTTCAGACACAGAAGGCCTGCCACAAGCCTTAACAGATTGTCTCTCTCCATTTTGCCATTTGGAAATGAGCAGACAGGCCCAGCCTGCCGGGAAAGAAGCAAATGCTGATGCGTCAGCATGCTTTGCTGCTGCCTGGGAAGTTGTGCATGATCATTGGATTTAGCTTACGTGGGCCGACTTTGTGACACTGTTGTGTAAATCTCAGACCAGAACTATTTGCATTTGAGTTGAGGGATTGCCCAGGAGGCACAGCACAGGATATGATAAATTGGGGTACCAACGGACCGCTGTCGTTGTCAGCGATAACAAGCACGTAGAGTGGGTTCGGCAAGGCTGCAGCCTTGTCTTGGCCTTGTCCAAGCGATCTTCAGTGGATTTCGAGAGAAGCATAGTTCCTCGTTCCTGATTTGAGCACTTGGCAGGTGTACAGTTATGAGGCACAAACGATGCAGGCGGGCAATCCGGTACATCACCAAAATCTACGTGTGCGGGTTTCAGCTGCCGCAGCAGTTCACAGAGGCAGCACGTGTTGAAAGCCCTCAACGTACACAGCTCCTGGGACCATAACATGATCGACACCTCGTGAAGCGTGTTTGGTCATTGACACTGGAATCTTGTGCTATCAGGCCATTTCGCCTCGCAGCATTCGGGCAGATAGAACGGGCACCAGCTGAACCGACCTTTTCCCCTTGGTCGGTGAATTTCATGCCATTGGTATGAACCTCCGTTACACGCCAGCCGAAAAAAAATGCAAAGCCTGACTTCTCTTTTTGCCAGTCACGCCGTGAAAGCCCGTTCATTGCCGAGCCTTTCTGGTCTCGGATTCGTATAGGATCGTTCTTCTGTATGACCCGTTTCCTTCGTCGCTGATCCTCGCACGGAAATCATCCCACCTTCGCCAGCGTCCCCATTTACATCACAACACCAGAGTTGGAGGCGATACGCTATTCGACGCTGTCAGTACGCGCTTGATATGTTGTCCTGCGGTGGGAACTTACGGGCCACAGCTCAGCAGCCTCCTTTCCGACGGGGCCAGTGATGGCGGATCCCTTCATCTCACCCTTGGGGTTGACGATCTGAAATGCCTCGTCAGTAGTTGTTCTGCAAAGTCTGATGGTCCAGCATCCTCGGCCTGGCATGTGGGGCTGCTGGTTCGGGGTGTACTTACGACACCAGCGTTGTCCTCGAAGTACAGGAAGACACCGTCGGTGCGCTTCCAGGGCTTGGACTGGCGGACGATAACGGCGGGGTGGACCTTCTTTCGGAGCTCAGGCTTTCCCTTCTTGACGGTGGCCATGCTGTGTAGGGCGCAGTGTCAGCAACATACGCCGCGATTCCGTCCTCAAATTCATGAATCCGAGTGTGTGGGATGGGATGATCGAATGCAGCTCTCATGCGTCGAGGGTTTCGGCGACTGTGGAGAAAACGATGCTTGTGTCGGGCTTGAAGATACGTACACCATGTCACCGACACCACCGGCGGGCAGCCTGTTCAGGCGGGCACCGATGCCCTTAACGGAGATGATGTACAGGTTTCGTGCGCCGGAGTTGTCTGCACAGTTCATGATGGCACCGCTATGGTCCTGTCAGCTCCCATTCCTCGTCCCTGGCTCGTGTCCACCAAGCAAGTCGATTCCGTTGGATCGCGAGTCGATGGCTGTAGGGCCGGGAAAACATACACTGGGAGACCCAGGGTCATCTTGAGCTTGCCACCGGGGGCACCACGACTGCGAGGAGACCTCCGTCAGTAAAAGTTGTCATCGAATCCACCAATTCTAGCTGCCCATTGTGATCCATCTCTTTCGGTCGTCTGTCCAAGCTGTGTGCGGTCGTCTGGTAGCACTACGGTCGGGATCGGGAGTTCGTCTGGCGTGTGCGGTGAAACGCTTCGGTTCGTCGTCGGTTCTGCGTCCTTGCCGGATCGACCAGATTTCCAGATTTCGCATCGGCCGCAACAGCTTGGATTGACGCCCAGGGCCGACCTCCGCCAGGATCAGAATCGCACTCACGAGATCTTGGCCATTTTGAGTTATTTGGAGGGTATCGACTTGTCGGTGGGAGAAAATGGCCGAGGTTCGGTACGATGTCGCGATGTCGTTGTCGAAGGGGTGTGGGGGGGCGGCCGGTCGCTCAGAGATGCAATGCAGCAGAAATTTGGGTGTGGAATTTTCGTAGGGTTGTTGGAAAATTGTTAGTGCAATCAGCACGTGCCGATAACGATAGTGTGCTGGGGGCCCCACCGAGCTGTCAGGCTGTGTCTCATTGGCCGGGCCGGCCCTCTAGGATCCTGAATCCAGCTTCAGTTAAGGGAATAGCGCCAAAACAGCCATTGCACAGAGTGATTGATGCTGTGCAAACTTCCGAGGTTGTCTTAGTGCTGCTTTTATGTACATCTAACGGCACTGAATGATTGCTTTCAGCTTTCGAGATCCCTCGTTTCTCTTTACCTCTTGTTGTCTTTTCTCTCAAGCTCTGGACCCACTTGCCTAGTGCAAATGGCTGCCCATACTCTAACCGTACTTACTGTGTACCTAGGTAGGTATCTGATGTTCAAGGCATCGCCGTCACAGTTTGAGATCATCACGACTGTGCGGCTGTATGATGCATTGCATTGTAGCTTGATACGTCTTTAACCAGAAGAGCCTTCCGCAAGCCACAAATTGACATTGGGCGTGCTCCTTCCATGACGGTAAGCGTAACGGCGGAGTGCAGCTTCCTCAAGTGTGCTCCTTGCAACAAGTGCAGGAAGTCGTAGGTCTCTGTCGGCAGCGGATTGCTCTTTTTTTTTTTTGGTGAGGTCGGTTCCTCTCGTGTCCCTGGAGGACTTGGCTTATTGCCACAATCTCATCAACTCATCTTGGTTTTGCTCCCAGTTTTGCTGTTGCTTCTACCTCTGTTTTGTCGATCTCCTCAAGAAACGCGCCGGCTCTCGGACGTTGATCGTCTGCTCGACGACATGATCCTGCTCAGTTTGATGCTCGTCATGGCTCCATTCAGCAGCCTCCCCCTCTCAGTCATCATCGCAGGCTTGTTTCTCGCCTGGCTCGCTGATGCACAGACCGTCTATGTCACCCAGACAGTCTTCACAGCTTGTGAATGTTCCGAGTCCCCGTCCAAGTCCCCTTTGATGCCAGCTGATCTCCCGGTGAGTGGCGGCCGACCCCCTCCAAAAGCTTATGCCTGACCAAACCAAAAGCCATTGTCAGTGCTCAGTGGTACCTCCGGTGCAGGTTCTACGCCAGTGGTTATTTCCATTCCTTCGGAGACCCCTGGCAGTGCTTCTACACCTGCGGTTGTGCCAGTCATGGGAGGCTCTACACCTGGCCTGGCCGAGCCGTCACTTTGGACTTCGACCCTGACCGGCACATTTCCAATTCCGGGTGCCCCGTCGTCCGACGCCTCAAATCCACTCTCGATTTCCATCCTGTCTTCCCCATTGCCGGAATCCATCTCCAGCCTGCCTACCAATCCGCTGGGGGAGACCTCTGCAGTGCCCACGGTTGCCTCCGCTGTTTCTCTGTCCGGTGGTCTTGGGCCACTGCTGTCATCAAGCAAAACTATGCCCTTGACCAGCAGCCCTGTGGCTGTCTCCATTGCTCCCTCTGTTTCTCTTGATAATGACAACAGCATAGAGGTGATCTCCTCAACAATCGCGCCCACCGCAGCTTCCTCGGCTTTGACGACCTCTGGTATTCCGGAGGCTTTGCCGGCGAACTTCAGCCTGGACAGCTCTGACATGGTGCTTGCATCGTCTGCCGCACTGATCAGTTTCGGCACGTCTTCGCCCGCTGTCATCTCGACGATGGTTCCCTCTGGTGCCTCACTCGGCACGTCTTCGCAGGTTCTGACGACTTACTCAGCCATTGCCTTGGGCAGTCTGACCTTGACGGGCGTCACAGTCCTTGTGCCCCGTTCTCCAACATCGTGCTACTCACTGCCGACACCTCCAGCTTCCATGGATCTGGTGGCCATAGCAGTCACCCCGCAAGACACCGTCGACCTAAGCAATCCCATGTTCCTTTCATTCGGAGAAAATGCTACAAATCCCCAGTACATTGGGGCCTTCGCCAGTGGAGAGTCATACGTTCTGGACTTGTCTCCAGACAATCCAATCACTGGCCAACTCGGCCTGCAAATCCCCGGGGACAATGCGCTGGTGTTTGAGGGCTCGGGGATGTCACTGTATAAAGGGAACTGCAGTCTACTCTCGGAGGTTCTGATCGACAACTTCTACAGCCAAGCCGGTGCGGTCACTGGACGTGCTGCCAAACGCACAAGAGATGCGAGGCTCGAGATGAAACAAAATGCTGTCAGCTCGAGCACCTTTACTGTTGATATATCTCTCGACAGTTATTTGAACACGGCGGACTTCAATCCTAGCCTCATTTTCGGTAACTCGATGTGCACCGTGGTGTCTACTGCAGCGGGCAAAAACACGGACAATATTACATGGTCATGCTCCTACCCCCCACCCCAGGGCGGCGCCGCTTCCTGTGCGGCGAGGCTTAGTACTTGGCTCACTGGCATCAACTCGCCGTCATCTTCACCCCAAAATACGACTGAGATCCTGGCGACGCTGAGCCCATTCCTTGCCTTGGCTGGTGATTCGCTTCCAGAATTATTCCCTGGCGCAGACCCTGCTCTTGGCCTTGGCTTCACTTTCATGAGGCAGGTTGAGGATGCACTCAAAGAAGCTGTTGGTGACGTTGGAGCGGCTGCATGCGACGTCATGCATGCTTTGGACTCTGACGATCTTGTCATTGAGGACAGTGGTCCGCTAGGGACAAAGACGCTCGGCTCTTTCATCACCGAGCCGCCCCCTTCCTTGGCCATCAATCTTGCCGCGTCTGCAACAGCATCGATCGTCGAACTGCCGCGTCGCAAGGCCAACCCGACGGACAACTTCCTTCTACAGATCGCGACGGCTTTCGAGTCCTTCTTTGCACCTTTCAATTCGTGGCTTCATGGACTACCAACTTTAGGCATTTTCGGGATTGAGCAGACTGGCATGGTGCATCTCCCAATGCCAACAACGGATGACTCTCTCACCACGACCGTCACGACTACGGTGGCGCCCCCGCCAAGTGGGAGGCGTGAAGAGGTGCCGACAATGACGGTAACACATGTCCTCGGTGAAGGGTGGTTCTCTCCAAGCACGTACGTTGTGGCACCTGGCGCAACCCCGGGCCTCGATTTTCCAGCGTTCGCCATGCACAGGCTCGCCAGTGACGACAGCGCCACTCTTTCGATTTCCTCTGTCCTCGACTCAGCGCCGGCGAATATCATTGACCAAGTAGCAGTTGATCTGGCAGCCATGTATGGCGATCCAGGTGTACAGCCGGAATGGCATGCAGATTGGCCAAGTCAGGTGCATGAGCATGGCGAGGTCACGACCACTACGGGCGCTGACATGGGATATGACGGAAAAATTGTTTTGGTGACGACGACGATCACTGAGTGGATGCGAGCGGTCGATGACTGACACAAACTCTGCGGCCTGGATGAGCAAGCGGCCATTTCGAACATTGCGACAGACAAGATTGCTGACAATTTTGGTGTTCCTTTTGAAGTTCCATTCTGTGCCGAGTCTTTCCGGCACAGTTACCTCAAATACTCTCTTTGTAGCTAGAGACGGGTGTTTTTCAACAGATAGGTAAAGAGTTACTGTAATTTTGGCCCGACTTTATTCTCTTTGGTCACACTTATGCAGTGAATAGCTTGTATTCTTGTCAGCGTGTCATTAGTCCAAGTGGAGGGTTCGAACTGTTTGCTATGTGCTTTGCCACCAGCGCTACTGCCGAAGCCATTCCAATATCTATCTTAAGTTCAGCACCACCTCCCCCAGAAACACCACTGCCGCACCAAAAATTCCCCAGGGCACAACCTCTGCCATCCATTTCAAGATGATGTAAAGAACACCCCAAGTCGCCTTCTGGCTACAGCGGTAGAAGCTGTTTCCGACACCACATAAATGATTGACATCCACATATCCGAGCAAATGTTGGATGCTGCTGAGGCAGTAGAAACCGCGGATCAGCGCGTATGAGAGCCAAACCAAGAAGGATGCTTCGCGGAGAGTGACCCTCTTCGGATGCTGGATGAGCTCCGAGACACGGTATAACCGGACGCTGAAGAAGGCGTTGCGGCGGTGGGCTTTGCGCAGGTGGCCGTTCTGAATTGTGGGACTGTTGTAGGACATGTTGGAAACTTGCTTGGGTCGACTGATATTTGTGGCTAGCTTTGGTCCCGCCGTGTGCCGTCTTGTGCGAGGCTGTGTCTCGAGCTCTCTGGAGAACGTGGACTTGGGAACGGTCAGGTATTCTCGATGATGCGCCTGCTCATGACGGCCCGCAATGCTTCCGTCAACCTCCAGGTCAGGATTGAGGGCGAAAATACTCTGAATTCTTTCAGCAGGAAATGAGAGAAAATCTTGCGTGATTGTTGCCTTGCCAGTGGGGCTAAGTGCGGCACGGATGGGATGCGTACCACAGTAAGCGCACCATTCCGAAAGGGGCTCTGTCAAGCGAGCAGGTTGCGCTCATCTCCTATACAAGTTTCCCGAAGAGATCTTCGGGAATTTTCAAGGTATTCTGCCTGGCGATGAATCCGGGTTTGAATTCTAACTAGGTATACTGGTACTTTAGCAGCCTTGAGGGGGGATATGAACAAAGCTCTTCGCTAACGAGCTCGGACTATGGAGTTTTCCTAAGAGAAGAGCTTCAAGGGGATCCGCAGAGCTCTGTGTAAACGATACCTGTAGAACTTTGGGGACGTGACGACGGTTGGTCCCTGGAAATTGGTCCAGCGCTTGAAAGGTTTAGATGTCAACTGGTGCCTTTTTGTCCCTGACATTGGGTTCATCGGTGGAATATTGTTCCCTCGAATGGTGTCGAGGAAAGAGAGAGTCGCTAACTCTGGATGCGCTAAGAAAAGAAATAATATAGCAATCTCCCGGGGCCATGAGGTGCTTTATGGCGCTTCTGGATTCGTCTGGGACGCTTCGAAGTCTCCCAAGAGTACACATCGTCACCGACTCAATTGGATCACCTCAGTCCAACTAATTATCACCCTGAACTATTGAATGTGCCTAGGTACAGATCACGGCGATCCAAAGTCGTGGGACAGCAGACGAGAAGCTTTATTGTCTCAGGCACCATTTCTGACTTAATCTCAGGTTCGGAAGGCCGCGACAACTTGTTTCCGTCAATTGGAACAGGGCCCCCACTCAAACCTCGCGGAGAAGGCCCAGCTCTTCTAGAAGACCATTCAGCTCCTTCGGGCTGAAGGCTATTATTTGTATTGCCGCAGTGAACCCGAGCTTCTGCAACCTGTCCTTATCTTGCAACAGTGGCCAATTGGTAAGAGCCACAATACACGCCTTTTCCAAGCCGTTTTCCTCTTCAAATGCACGAATAAGCTTTGTGGCCTCCATACCATCCATTACCGTCATGTGTGAACGCATCAAAATGCACTGGTAAGTCTGGTGCCCTTTCTTGTAAGCCACGACTGCTTCTTCACCGTTTGCGACCAAGTCGCAATAATGACCCCATCGATCGAGGATCTTGCGGAATAGCTTCTGATGGACCTGGTTGTCTTCAGCGACGAGGAAATGGATTAGCTTGAACTTTTTTGGCGACGGGACTTCGGAACTTGGCTGAGGCTGGAGCGTGCCGTCTTTTCTCTGTCCTTCCAGAGCCTCCTGTGGCTGGCTGTCCGACATTTTGATGCGTTGCTTGTTTGCTATGCAGCGGCTTGTGGAAGCGTTTGATGGTCAATTATTGCAGGTGTCTCACTGGGAAGGGGCATCATCAAAGTGGGATGATCCGAACATTGGAACGCCGTTTGCTGTGGGTCCGGTCTTCTGGAGCGGCTGCTGCCTGTTTGCACTGCCACTGCAGTGGCAGTTACTGGACAAGTGCGGCCGTTTGTCACATGGAAGTCTCAATCCGTAGGTACCTGGGTACTTAAGTACTTAAGTAAGTACCCGGACTCTGCAAATCTGTCCTTACCATACGAATCCTGAAAGGGGGAGAAATGAAAACAATTGCTGAGCAGTCTGCTTTCCGGCGCAATTTGATACACTAATTATCAAGCTTCCCAGACAACTACAGCTCCTCCCACTAGTAGTGTTTTTCTTTCTTTCTGGGGTGACCGCAGTCTGAAGACACCCCACGAAGAAGGTTTTCTCTATCATGGGAAACCTCTGAGACCAAGCTTGACATCATTGATGGCAATGATTTGAGGCACCGCCTTCAAAACTCGATGTCTCGATCCTTGGACCAGCTCTGTACTCGAGCTGTATTGAAATCATCGACGACGATAGACTCAATTCGCGATTAGAAACTCTCGCACCAACTACTGGCGGTATGATACAGGCGGCTGTCAACACTGTCCTCCTGAAGTCCTGTCTTCGTTCATGCCATCGCAAAAGTTCAGACCAACCTTCCCGACAACCGTGCCACTTCATGTACCTAAGAACTGCCTCCAGGTAGATCTCTGATGATGTGCTGCTCCGCCATCCAAATCATTATCTCCTCGTTGCTGAGCCTCTGAGCAATCATGGCTGGGGTCTCACCCCCCACTAGAGAAGGATCGTGTTAGCACCGTAAAAGGAAAGAAAGAGACTCCGCAAGAGACAAAGCCAGCGCGAAGTACCCAGTACGCGAAGATGGCGTAAATGTGTGTCTTTGCTGACTCTGCACTTGCTAGACCAAGAGTTCGGCAAGGGTTTTACTTACTGTTCTTGTCTTGCAGCCTGGCACCGGCCTCGTGAAGAGTCTTTAGACACTCGATGTCTCGGTTCCGCGCCGCGAAGTGGGCAGGCGTATCTCTTCCCACGGTGACGGGGCTGTGGTCTGCGCCGCTCTGTACCAGGAGGCGCAGCATCTGAGGGTAGCCCTCCCTGGCCGCGAAGTGGGTGGCGTAGAAGCCAAGTGCTCCCACGGCGTTGGCATCTGCACCGCGCTGGATGATTGCGCGAGCGCAATCCAGGGAGTTGTTCTGGGCCGCCAGGTGGATCGGCTGATCGCCCATGTTGTTTCGAGCGTGAAGAATCGACCGCAGGACGCCAGGCTGGAGGGCGAACTCGTGGAGTTCATAGACGAACTCGAGAACGTCTGGAAATGAGGGTCAGTTTGGTTACTGGTGCCGCCAGAGACCGTTTGATTTGGGCTTACTGGTGTTGTTGAAGGTGCAGGCAGTGTGGGCAACATTGTTTCCGAACTCGTCCCTGGCAAGCAGAAGAATGTTGGCTCGGTCCAAGCCTGTGGAACCCTGACGCTGAACCAAGACGTCCAGGGCCTGCCTTAGCTGTGAGGTATCTCCACGCCGAGCGTGGAGGGCGAGGATGTTTCCATCAGTGGTGGAGATAGACATGGTGAGGGTTTATGTAGTCGTGGTAGCAGACGTAGGGGGACTGGTATCTCGGATACAACAACAATGACCAAGGGCATTGAAGCTGGGCTGGATGGAAAGATACCAGATCGCGAAGTGTGAGAACCCGTGGTATTAAGTATTCCAGCGTCAACACCTCTGGGGGCTGCAGGTGTCTGTAGTTCTTCCATTGAGTTGGGGGAGACAATGGAGAGACTGCATTCACTTCTGAGAAGGAGAGCGTGCTGTGGTTGACCAACCAGTAATAAACGATGGCACAATGGCAGTCATAGTTTGAATTTGTTTGCACATTGGAATGGTGGATTGAATTTGTTTGTACATCGGATGGTTGATTCAATAAGAGTTTAGCAATGCAATCTTGAATGCAATGTGTCTGACGGTCAAAGGCCATCACTCATTCCGGACAGTGATTGAGGAGACACAATGGCAAGTGTAGAGGTGGATCTTTACTGGCAGACAAATATTGAGATAGATCACTTGGAATGAGCTATTGGCTACATTGCCTATAGGTCTGAAGAAATCCTTACACACAGTTCAGGCTCCTATACAGACCACTGCACATCAATTTTAATTTTGTACTGGCATGTCTGCAGCAATACCAAATTATATGAAAGACTATGCTTTAATATGGAGATATGTGTGAGAAACCTGCAGGATCTAAGATCATAGCATCTGGACTATGCAGAAAAGTCAAATTGGGTTTCATATGAATATTTCAACACAGCACCTTTTTCTGAGATTATAACCTTGGGGGGCTTAATAATATAAGAGACGCCTAAGGCAGCAAACATCTGGTAGGTACTAGCTGCTAGCTCAGTAGAGCACTCGTCCAAAAGACCACAGTTTCCTTAGAAACCCAGCAGACTATAAGCTACGGGCCAATAAATTAGATAATCGGAAAGGTACTACTTGAGTAGTAAGTCTTGGGGCATACCTTCAGAAGCTGACATACGGCCAGAACCAGAGGTAGACGAGGAAGTGGAGCTTGTTGCAGCCAAGTGCTGATTTGAAAAATGAAAGGCTTGGGTCCTGCGCTATTTACATGTCTGGTGGCTCTAAGAGTGGAAAAGTGAAGCCGTATGTGAGTCAAAGTCTCCTCAGTTTGAAAGCAAAGTGGAAACCATTTCTAGTCACCCCGTCAGAGCAAGCCATACACTTACCTAGGTAGCATTCATGTGATGTCAACATCCCGCTGTACTACTTCAAGCGCGTTTTGGATGGAAATGAGGAGGTGACTTGAACCTGGGAAAAAAAGAGCTAGGGAGGCAGGCAACCCCGGAAGTATGAGCTGGCATTTCCGGCCGTCCATTGTCATCATGTGAGGAGTCGTGGCTGCATGAGTGCGGCAAAGCATCGTCCTACCGGAGAGCAGGGGTCCCACAATTTCAAATCCTGAGCACCACACACTTGCTTCGTTGGATTTCACCGGTGAGGCGGTGGCCATGGATCTAGGCGCAAATAGATGACCTGGAAAGCCAAGAATAGTTAGCTCCAGCCAGAGCAATGCGCCGCAGGTTGGACAGTTGCTCACTTTCCCTCGCTTACTTAAAGAGGGCCTCATGCAAGTCAGGCTGACGTCCCGCGTCAATCGAGATGACCCAAACTTGTTCAACCTGGGATGTCAATATCAAGGAGCTCAACGGAAAAGGTTTTGTTCCACCATAATGGGCCCACGTGAGGCATCTGAACCACAACTGATTGGTGTTGTCACCAATGACAACGGGCTAGAAACATCACTGTCACGCCCATCGCGCAACATCCACCCGCAAATACCCAGCAGAGTGGCAAGCACTGCCCAGATCTCCGGTGACAATAGACGTGACAAGATGACGGAGCCGACTTTACCGCCGTCACTACCACGACGCGGGCAACCATTTCCCTTCATCCTACCACACCCACTTGGGCCAGTTACAACACCGACAGGAAGCAGTCCCAGAACAGACTTTATGATAACCAATGCATCAGGTCCAGCAAATGAGTATATGTTGAATCCCAACCACTCGCAAATCAACAGAACTATAGGCCGTCGGATAGTGAATTCGGATGACACTGGTGGATTTCTAATGCCTCAGCCAACAGCGGCCCCCCCAGCAGGGCATGCAAGAGGCATTTGTACGGACAACATAGTTGGAACTGGAGTATTGCCACCCCACCACGGCTTACCTCTCCCGTATCATAATGAAACGTTTTCAGAAAATGCATCGAACAGGCGGCAAACACCAGCAGCCGTGATGCGTTCTTCATCCGGCCGGGAAGAGCATGACTCTTTGTTTGGAGGACGGCTAGCTGCAGACGCTCGCGATGGTAATCGGAGAGTACCTCAGGGATATCGCAATTTCGATGAGAGAAATGAAGGGTCCACAACCAGCACCTGGGAACAGCGGTACCAAACAACATGCTTGCAAATGTTCCGTTGTGGCTGCGGTGCGGCGTACGTTGATGAGGCTTTACTTGTTGTAAGTTATCACTCTCTCGTCAATACCTACCTAGGTGCTTAAGAGCTTATGTCATCGAAAAAGGCACATCAGAACAACAAGGAATGCGAGCAAGGTCTTGTGGATATGGTAGGGGTACGTACCTAGCAATATGAGAGGAGTGAGACAAAATGAGGTCATCGAGTTAGAGGAAGTTCTGAGATGAGATTGGTGCTCTTGCATGATGCTACACACTGCCCTTAAAAACTCTAGGATAGACTTTAGGTAAAGAGTTATGAAAGATGATATTCCCCATTTGTATTGGAAATGCACTCGAGGAAGTCATATTATATTATGAACTGTTATCATTGAAGTACCTACCTACCTAGGTACTGATGGTGGACAACGTGCTCAAAGATTCTAAAAATGGCATTGATGGCAAGTAGGGCGGCAGTACAACTGCTCGACTTACGTGATTTCTCATTAATCTACATATTAAATGTCAGATGCCCCATTGGTCAAGAAGGGGGACTTCGGTAACTGAGTTGGCCGTTCAAGGCCGCATCTCCAGCGTACACAACCGTCATGCCGTGAAGGATGGTGACTACCATCCGGGTCGTCGCCTTGATACCACTCCACACGTTACATATTGATCTTAATCGAGTACGGCTTCCCAAAAACATGGGATGGGTGCATGGTATTGAAATTGGAGTTGCTGAAAGGCGCAGGAGCAAAATACGGGTTTCAAGTTGAACAGCACTTGACTGACAAGTCACACAATTCAGCAGGTCTGTAGCATGATTCCATCCGCAACACGCCCTTTATTTATTTGAAGAAGTAAATACAAAAATGGCTAAGAAGCCTATTATCGCCCTGAGTATGAGATGGCAGTCAAGTAGCATGTGCCACTCTATGTCCCACGAGGTAAATGCCTTGAGCCCGAACTGGCAGTCAATCCAAACTTTTGGGATAATGGTGAATCATCTGTCCCAAGTGACTGAGCCGGATGAGATGTAATTTGAGCCGGTGTAGGTAGAAAATTTAGAATTAAAGTAATCGTGAAACTCAGATGTCTGAAGAAATAGTCGACATGATGAGGATGGGGCGGCCCGTTGAAGCAGGTGTGCCAGGCCTTGGTACCGACTGATCCAGAGGGTGGAAAGCCATGATTGGGGGTTTCCGAGTGACTGATTCAAGTAGTGATCTGTTTATTGTGGCCGTCGGAGTTCTAGCCACTCAGGCTGTGCCCGGAATCCCGAATATGAGCCTAGGCGCGAGAAGCCCACAGGCTGAAGACTTGCTCTCTCCAACCCTCTGGAAGTGGCACTGCACTCAGGTGCCTTACATGACGGTGCAGTAAAGCGGAATACCAGTGGTGTTGCCAGCGTTCATCTGGCCAGGGGCCTGAGCATTCTGAATCTTCTTGGAGTCCATTTTGAGTGAGAGTTGGAAGTCTGATGACTTGAGATTTTGTTTGAAAGATTGGTAGTGAAATGAATGGATCTGTTGTGTGATGAGCAACAAGAAGAAAATCCAGGTCAAGGGCAGGGAAAATAGGGGTATTAATAGTTTGAGAGGTCAGCATCGAAAGATGCTGACCTCGGGAGTGACTGAGATTGACTCCCGAAGACACCGGGTGCAAGCATTGTTGGTGGTTATGCATATTCATGTTTGTTGCAATTGTCCTCTCATATTGTAGCGATGTTTTGGGAATCTTCTCAAAGAGTATGAGATTTCCACGGTCATGTGGTCCCGACGTACGATAAAAACCCCTTTCCGCCTTTTCCGCTCCCTTACCTTCTACTAAAGTATTCCCATATTAACGGCAGAGATTTTGATAAGACTTCAATCTCTCTGGGGCGGTATCGTGTGCCGTTCATGATGAATTCTTGACATGTTGCTTTTGTCGGCAATTCCACATCTTGCCATGGCCATAGAGCGCCCCTTGTTCGGGATGCACAATACTAGGCGACAATAGTAAGCCAGTCCAATTGCGGTCCCTTTTTTCCTTGCAGCTGACATCCACCTACCCATCGATTTTCACTGAACCACCCAGAGTATATGGCTTACTGGCCTTTTGGCGATCTGGGCTCCTGGCCTTCTGGCCTTCTGGCGTTGTGGTGGCACTTTGGCGTTGTGGTGGCACTTTGGCGTTGTGGTGGCACTTTGGCGTTGTGGTGGCACTATGGCTTTTAGTTAGCACATAAATACATTCATGCTAGAAGGGGATTATACCTTAAGTACCTACCAAGTAGGTAGCTTAAATGAGAGAAGAAAACAGTGTAAAATTCTTAGCACTAACTCAGAAGGTAAATATAAGGAAGTTGCTAAGAAACTACTTAGGTACTGGGTGGTTTGCCGAAAAACGATGGGTAGGTGGACGTTGGCTGTTTTCCTCGCGGCATTTCTTTAGGACACGAATCGGATACAGACAAGTCTATGAGAACGCGTCCATGGTGGCCTGCCTGTGTTGCGTGCTCGTCAGCACTTGAGATGAGCCAGAAATCACGATTATCTCAGTACCGATGCAGAAAGCAGGTGGCACCTGTTGCAGTTATAATCCACGCACAAGAGTCATTGATCCTCAACGAGAGCTAGGAGGATATCGAGAGTTTTGACACATGAGATCCTCAAACTTGCGTCTGCTAACTCAGCCCCGACCCGAGGGTTTCTGCAATGTCGCCCACCCGAATCTCGGCCAAACCACTCGGTCTTCTAACAGATCTCGCTGGATCCTTTTGATTTCCTCGTTACAAATATGGTTCAGATGGACGTCATCGTCCTCTGCATGCGGTTCCGGTGGGTACCGGTAGATGTCATTCCCCGTGCCCTGAGTGGAGAGGCAAACACAAATCGATAATACCCAACTACCGCTGCGTATCAACCCCACCCTGCTTATCTCTTAGGCCCGTCCGGGTTTGCCCGTTTGTGACATGCGGCGAGTTTTAAACACATCTCCGTGCACTGAGAGTCCAACCCTCGAACTCTCTCAGATTTACCACCCATTGTAGGAGACATTATGGCCACAGTAGCAAGACCCTCAAGCGATGTCACCCTCCGGGAAGTCAAGCAGAACCAGGCTGCACTAATCAGCCGGATCAACAACGCCGTGTTCGCCGATGACGGAGACTCGATCCCTTTGATCGACATTGGCCCTTCTCTCAACGGGAGCGAAGCAGACAGGAAGTTCGTGGCAGCACAGATCGGGAAGGCTTGTCGTGAAATAGGATTCTTCCAGATCACGAATCACGGGGTCAGCCAGCAGGCCCAGGCCGGCATCCTGGAGCAAGCCAGGCGCTTCTTCCATGACTTGCCCCTGGCCAAGAAGCAGCACCTCCACATCGACAATTCAGCACTGCTTCGTGGCTGGGAACCTAGCGGTGTTTCCAATGTCAACCCAGATGACTGGAAAACCGCGGGCAAGGAGACCAAGGAGGCTTTCAACTGGGGCTACGAGCCCAAACTCGACCCCACAGGCGGGGACGGCAATTATGTCGAGCTGGACTTAGTGAGATATCCAGACGGGGCGAATGTTTGGCCCAGTGAACAAGATCTGCCTGGATTCTTTGAAAAGATCAGCGAGTACCATGGCCAAGTAGGTCATTCCCGGTGGAGCAATAATCTGTGGATTTTTAGCTGATATGAGAACTTAGGTTCTAACGCTCGCACGACATCTCTTGAGGCTGTTTGCTCTAGCAATGGAGCTAGAAGAGTCCTATTTTGATGCGATGTCAACACATCCCGGGACTATTGCTCGGCTGCTATACTATCCTCCGCAAAAGCCCAGGCCGACAACCGACACTACCAAGGAGACAGACGATATTGGTCTAGGTGCCCATACCGACTACGAATGCTTCACATTGCTTTTGTCCGATTCGAACCCGGGGTTGGAGGTGCTCCACGTTGATGCATTGACTGGTCGGCCGAAATGGATCTCAGCACCTGCAGCACCCAGCTCGCTCACTGTGAATGTTGGTGACTTTCTTTCAAGGTGGACGAATGGGCAGTTCAAAAGCACTGTCCATCGGGTCATCAACAGGAGCCCCGAGAAGGAGAGATATAGCGTGCCATTATTCTTTTCGGTGAACTACGATCAGAAGGTGTCGACACTGCCAACACCCGCCCCAAAACCCACACCAACGGAGTCTGAGGTAGAGGAGATCCAGGCAGGGCCTTGGATTTTGGAAAGACTGCGGGCTACGTTGAAACAAAATTGATGTCCAGCCGATTGAGTCAGCGGATGTGTATAAATCTCGCCTTTCCGCTGTGACTTGAAGCACGTGCAGTTAACAGAAGGCTGGCTACAACTTTTTCCGGCGTTATGTTTTCCGGCGTTATGTCCGAGTCTCAATCATAATTTTGAAGAAAGCCAGGGTTTCCGGGCCCGGACAGACTCAGAGCTCTGTAATTTATAATTGCCCTCTGAGTCTTCGCCACTTGTTGATGCTCTTTGGTAGGTACAAGATTACTTCATCAACAAGCTTAGTGCCTGTCCGACGGGTAAATGGCCTCAAAATTAATGCAATATCCGAGATGGGCAGACCAGTCGCAACTGAAGATTGACACAAACCCTCCGGGGCCGTCTTGAAATATGAATTTTCAAGACAAATACGAGACTTTCAGCGCGAGTTACAGCAATCACTGGACTGGGAACCTTGGAAAGGACGGACCCGCGACCCGCTTTTGAGCCTCCGACGTCAACTGCTTCGTCAGGACATTAGCGCTGAAAGTCGAAATGTGTTCAGCATTCTAGAAAGAGCGGCGTCTGGATAACTACTGAAGTACCTGGGTACCTAGGTCAATAAGGTCGATTCTCTGATCAGGTGGCCTTTTTTCATATTTACTAATTGTGACCATCAATCGCCGAGCCTTGAAGTTCGGGAAAGCAATGATATGATTTTGACACTAGATGCGCCGAACTCAACCGAGGCCGGCGCCGCGCCGCACGATACCACGACAGTGTGGCAGATCCAAGCCGACCAGTGCCTACAAGTGTCCCAAAAGCTCACCCTATGACTGGAAACTACCTTTAGAGTCCTCTAATTTCTAATTAACTATCTATAACAGGTACTATGATATGTTCAGGCACTAGAGGCGAACTAGTTATTGTTTCTTGCTTCGCACAGGAGAAGATTGTCTGAAGGGCATGTTTTCCCTCTTTCATCTTCCAAAAGCCACACGCACCGACATCATACGCAAATTACACCGCTCTGTTCAAATATTTTGTACCAACCACTCCAATACAAATTCTCGATTCGGAGTCTGAAACCATGTTCACTCCCAGCAGTAGGCAAGCACTTTCTGAGGTATTTCTACCACGGGTCGCAAGTCTCGATCCGGGCCTGGCGGAAGAGCTCACACACATGATCTTGGAGATGGAAGACGAAGATATTATTCAGCTGTTGGTGGAATTCCACCGCCTATATATCGATTTCTATTACTGACTCGGATGTCATAGGCTCGGCGATGACGACCTCCTGCGAGCACAAGTCGACTTTTTCAGAGCGGAAATTTTGCGGGAATCTGCAGCAGACAGTGGCGAAACATCTGATTCGGGCTTCGAAGAGATCTATACAACTAGCAGCTCAGAAGACATGAGAAACTCGAGCGACGAGAGCAGCTCGGCAGATGGTAATGCGAACACCGCACACGACGCAGCCGATACATACGAAGCATCCGGCTCAGACGAAGCATATAGCTCAGACGAGACCAGCGCAGACGAGACATCCAGCTCAGATGACACACGGACACGCAGAGACTGCAGGCCGACAGTAAGGGTCCACACGGGGCCCCCAATGCCCGAGTGGAGGACATCACAACCAGCTCGCCAGCAACATATGGAAGCAGTTCGTCATGCTTCGCCGGCGCGGGAGACAACACAAGCTACCTGGGCCGGCCCTCATGATACCACCACCGGCTGCCCCGAAGAAGTAGAAATATTCGGGCTCTGCTGCACAGTCATCTTGTTTGGGGCGGGGGTGTTCCTGGTGGTAGACGCGTTCATGGTTGGCGGACACTAAGTTTATTCTTGGCCTCAGCCTGTGGTCACTTCAGTCGCAAGTTAATTCATGCTAGAACCTTGGAACACATCTCTGTCCGTCTAAATTATATTGCATAGACACATGGATGTGCTGTTCTACTAAGTATGTGGATGCCTGGTATGGGCGGGAAATGTAAGGGCCGTGTGATATCCAAGAAAGCAGGTTCTCGGAAAGCAGGCCGCTTGGCTAAGCGGGAGCTTTGTTGTAGTTAGGAGAATGTCTGCACGAATGCAAGTTACCTACGACGGTCGTGCGTGGCGCTAATTCGCAGTCACTCACTGTCAAGATGCACAAGCACTATTCGAACCTGGTATGTGTGTGATTTAAGCCTTAATATAAACCAGCCAGTGTTTTACAGAATTTGAAATATCCATTCTTGCCTACTCCGCGTCCAGAGGGCATATAGGAGGCTTGTTGTTGACCTGGATTCCACCGCGCTTCTTCTCATCGCTGTCGTGGAAAGGCAGCGCCCATCCACCCTCAGACTCTGGGGTTGCAAGCCACAGCCGAAGCAAGTGACGCCGAGGGTGCGGTGGTGGGAAGTCTGTGGTAGAAAATATTAGCCATAAGCCAACCGCATCTCGCACAGTATCATAATCTATTCTCCACATACCTTTGTAGGCCGTCCGGGCGTGCAAAAGATGCGCGTCGCTGACAAACTGGATGTCGCCAACCTCAAGGACCATGTGCAGCGCAAGCCTCTGGCACGTCTCCTCAAGGATGGTCAGGGCCCTCCATTGCGCCTCGCTCAGGGGCGGGATGATGCCCTTGTCAGAGAACCGAGTGAGAGACTTGACAAAGTACGGGTCCCACTTGCAGTACACACGGCCTTTGCCCCGGGGCTCGAGATAGAAGACAGACGTGCGGATCCACTCCTCCTCGCCCTCGCTGACCTCGCCCTTGCGGTCAAAGTACCACACGGGCTGTGTCAGCAGCTCCGCGACATCCGGGTGCTCCTCCTGCAGGGTGTTCCACACGTTGTGGATGGAGACGATGTCGCTCTCGCCGCCCTCCTGCGCCCGGTGCACGCACAGCAGTCCCACGATGTCACCTGGGTCCGCGTGGAAGAACTGTCGGGCCGTCGTACGGTAGATGCGCACCCGGTCGATCTGCGTCGGGTCGTCGCCCACGTCCTTGACGTGGCCCAGCACGTGGCCGCGGCCGTTCTGCGAGATGAAGTAGCCGATGTAGGTACCTAAGCCCATGTACGCCACGGCGTTCTTGTGCGGGCCCCACTCGCCGGCCGGGAAGCGTTTGAAGAGGATGAAGCCCTTGCCGTTCAGGAGGTCTTCCCGCAGGGCTTGGAGGACCTTGCCTAGTCTGGGGAGTGGAAAGTTTTCCTACGCCGGTTGATTAGCTCATAAAAGTCCTGTGTTAAACTAGTCTGAGTTCTGCCCAGTTGGAGTGGGACAGATAGAATGAGTGAAGGCATACTTTGGTGATGCCTGTCAAAGGCGTCCCAGATTCGATGAACCGGTCGGCAGTGTCACTCAGTTCCTGGATCTCCTCGTCCGTGAAAGGGTGGATCCATTTCTCTGGGCTGTTGACGTAGTCCTCCTTCCGCCACAGGGTCGGGCCAGTGATCTTCTTGGGGAATTCCGAGTATGGCTTCAGCTGGTCGTATACAGGCGGATGTTGACCAGATGTCCTTATGCCATCTGGGAAAATGTCTCTTGGGGCATCGTGGTTCTTGGACCGGATGGCGGCGGCGGTGTTGACCGGCTCGTCAATGAGTGCTCCTGGTGCCATGTTGTGTGACTACTAGTCCCTGGTCCCAATCGAGAAAGTCCTACGAAACTTGTTGCTTGTTTTTTACCCCACTGTCAATGGAGGCTTGAGGCTCTTCTACACGTCCACCTCCACAAGAGCGCAGGGTAGGAGGCGGGCGCCCCAATGGCTCTTATACTGAGCGAGGACCTCGCCAGTGCGGGGTCTCCAACGCTCAACGGCCCTCTTAGCACGTCGCAGTGGTCAATGACGTGACAGCTCTTGTCCACAATGATTTTTCGGCTGGGCTCTGCAACTCTGCGGCGGCGGGCTGCTTCTTGGGGTATCGCTGGTCATTGACGAGATCCGAACTGCCGATGGCGTGCTCAACTCAGCATCGCCGCGTCTCGGCGCGACCACCAATTGCATAACACCTTCTCCTATGCCCCCGAATAACCACCCGGGGGGACGCAGCCGGACTCCAGGAATTCAAATATGAACGCATGGTCGTATGATGATCTTGGGTCTACGTGGGTCTTGTTCATCAAGGGCCACTGTTGTTTTAAGACCATGGAGGTGACGAACCACGTCTGAATAGATGCGATGTCGCTCGCCGGTATGCTTTTGTTGCTAACTTTCAGGGAACCCGGAGGAGGGTTGCCATCAGCAGAGACTACAAGGCTCAGGGGTTTTACAACTTGTTGCGCAGACAGAACTCTGCGCGGGTCATTCACCTGCGTGGCTTTTCTGCTGCTCCATTTCCTCCTGACTTCGTTCGACACGAGCCGTGACCTAACAAAGCCGGCCCCCATACTTAGCCGGGCCCGGTCGAAGCTGCCCGGTAGCAAGCAGAGGTCGGTCATCAGCACACACGTGGAGACTCACATCTTAGCCAGCCCTGTGGGCTCCATTCAAGGCCAAATTTGGCGAGACCGACAACCTGAGTATTGAAACACTCCTGCATATGCAGTCTCCTTATCCTAATCATATACGTACAACCCTACTCCACTTGCCAGAAGTGCTGCACTAGCCTCCCAGAATGTAGGATCAAGCCTATCATTGTGAATTGATATGCGACCCATCATCAAGTACAAATACAGTTGCAGTCCGCGCACCTTGACGTGCGTTGTCAGAAAGGGCACGACAAAAACAGACCAGCAACGCCATACAAGTCAGTGGCGCCTCCCAGCACACCCCGGATGGTGGCAGGATGAAGCGCGGCAGTTTCGCTAGAAAAAAAGAAACGCATCCCGACGAGCAGCATTATAGCTCAGCCTCGGTATTTCACGTCCACTCGAATACAGTCAGGTCATGCACCCGAACGAGACGACACCGTATTACCACCGCCAACTTGTTTAGGTACCGGTGACCGTCCCTGTGGCGAGGGCCTCCCAGGCGAGGGCGAGGCGTAGGCTCTTCGGAGCTGATGATCCTATCGCCATACTACACTGGGTCGCTTCGATGGCCCCGCCCCGCCCGGCAGACCAGCAGCGCCGCCGATAGTAATCCTCCTAGCCTTACTATCAAGCCTGGCCAGCGTCGCTGCTGATAATTTGGCCGCAGCCCCTCTGGGACTGACGATTCCTTCTAGCCTCATGCTGCCGCCCATATTCATTCGTCTGGCCTGGCCAGCGGTGAAGGCCCGAGCTGTTCCTCCTCCGGGAGGCGAGGCGCTGCAGCTGAGTGGAGGACTTCTTCGACGCTCGGAGGCTGCGGTACCCGCTCCAAATCCCTCACCTGATCCGCTTCGTCGTCTTCGGTCTCGGGAGATCCCATTTGTTGACGAGGCAAGCGGTCCGGAGTACGAGGAGGAGACGCGATGGATGGACCGTCGCCTGCTGTCGATTCCGCTACCAGAGGAGCCGACGCTAGAGACACGCTTCGCGCTGGCGCTCGCAGTGCTCCCCATCGAGGATAGGCGGTCTCTTCTCTTGGCGAGGTGAAGAGCGGATCGGAGCTTTGTCGGATCGATAGTTTTCGTGGTCGGCTCGGCGTCACTGTTCGAAGCGGCAGGCGAGAAGGAGGCGTTGGCGAAATTCGCAGCGGGAGGGCTATTTTCATCCAACGGTGTAAGTCTGGGTGGCTTTGGACTCGACCTCAAGGATCCAGTAGATCGCGGAGAAGAAAGGTGGTTACCCGTTCTATCTACATCAAGGGCTCGTAGTGGAGAATTCCTGTCTGACGCACCGGCTAAGTTCAGTCGCATTGCGGGCGGCGCCGAGAGCGGTGACCCATCGTCCTGAAGGGGTTGGGATTTGGCCAAGAAACCTGCCTGGAACCTGCTGGGTTTAGCCAAGGGGAAGGTGGCCGTCTTTGGCAACTGCAGGGAAGGGCTCGAGTCCGATCCGGAGTCGCCTGCTCCATTAAGGTATGGCGGCATTGCTGGCCGTGGAGGCACAGCTACGTCCGGAGAAGCCTCCCGGCCTTGTGGGATGGGACTGGGGTCGAATTTCTTGGGGGTCTTGTCATAGTCCGCGAGCGTGCCCGAGGTCTCTTCGTCTCGCCACCGCAGAATACGCTTTGGGGTCGATTTCTTCTTCACCGGGGTAAAGGAAACCCCCTTCTTTGCGTTCACTGCCTTCCGGCGTCTCGGGGACTTCAACGGGGAGCCGTGCTCGCGGACGGGTGTGGGCGGCCCGGCTGCGAGTGCCGGTGCAGCAATTGGCTTCACGTGGATGCTGGAGCCTTTCTTCCTCTTGGGTGTTCCTCGCTTGGAAGGCGGGAACATCTCAGCGGGCATCACAGAGCCGTCAGGCTTGATGACATTGGATGCCGCAGAATACCCTGTTTCGAGCAGGCCTTTGATGACATTCTTTGCGTGTGCGACGGCGTCCTCCTCGTCCATGGCCACGAGCTCCGTCATAGAGGACAGTATTTCAAACTGAGCAGTGAGGAGCGATTGAATGGTTGCAGCATCCGCGCCTTTTTCCTGCTCCAGTACTTGCTGGTTTGCCTCCCGCATAAGCTGGGCCTTCAGGAGGTCGGCCTCGCGGGCAAGGCTCGCTGCCTCGCCACAGTCCGCGATGCCATCACCTGATGGAAGTTGGACAATGCTGTGCTGCAAGGCAGAGTCGATGGCCCGTTCCCAATTCGTGCGTTCCAGCTTCTGATGGAGGTGCTGCCGACTTGACTCTAACTCAGCGAGTATGCCATGTGCGGTCTTGCGCATCGCCTCCAAGTTTGGCGGCATGCCTTCATCTTCTCGTTTGTCACAAATAGTGTCAAAAGCAGCGATCCAAGCGGAGAGCATGCCGATCCGCCGTTCAAAGAGCTTCAGACGCTTCATGGTGTTGATCTTGTCTTGTCTCTCGGCGGACGAGTTGTCATACGCTGTTCGAATCCGCTGGACGCCCTCACGATAAACCTGTTGCCGTTTTTCAAGATTCTTTTTGAACTTCGCAAAGAAAGTGGCCTCTGCAGTTTTCTTTTCTGCTTGTAGCTGCTTGATCTGCTCCATTTGCTCATCAATCTTGACAAGGAAGTCCTTCACGTGGCGATTAACATTGAAAACGTTTCGGGTGACCTTGGTCTGGATGTTCTTGGCGCGGTTGGCATAACGAAGGGTGTTCTGGGTCTCATCGAAGTGTTCGCTCGAGGGACTGACGCATACAATCATGACGGTCTTGCAGTTGCCGCCGAGCGAGAATTTGAGAAGCCTGGTGAGTTTGCTATTGCGATAAGGAACGTGGTTCTTCTTTTTTGGGTCGCACAGGGCATTGATGCAGCTGCCCAGAGCCAGCAAGGACTTGTTGATATTGGCGCCTTCCAGCAGCCTTTCCCCCCTGTTCTTGGTGGCACTGGCTCGTTCACTGCCAGCAAGGTCGATTATGCTCAGCGTTGCCATTGTGTGCGGTTCGTTGACAGAGGCGTTGCGGTCCTTCTGTGCCACGTTAATCTGCAAGACTGCATGCGAACGCGATGAGGTCTCGTTGGCTGCCGTCGGAGAAACTGTCCGGTATTCATTGCCTTGGACGATCATGTCCATGACTTCCTGGACATCCTTCGGGCGGTGTGTTGTGAGGCCAGCCACCGTGACAGCCTGGTTCGAGTCCTCTCGGAGCATCAAGCCCTGCTTGCTGCCGCCGGGGACTAACAGATCACGGATTGTCTCGTTGTAGATTTCAAGGTAAGACAGGGTTATCTCGGTGGTCTTCTCTTCATCCCGTTCGGCAATTTTCTCGAACAATTCCTGCATGGTCATGAAAATGATGCCGGGCTGCGCAGCGGTGCCGGTGATTGTGTGTGTCTTGCCGCACCCTGTTGCTCCGTATGCAAATACTGTGGCATTGTACCCGTCCAGGACATTGTCCAGCAGATTCTTTGTGGTTGCTTCGTAGACCTCGGCTTGGGTGACATTCTCGTCAAAGATTCGATCGAAGGCGAAGACCTGGTCCTTGACCTTCTTTCCCGAGGCGGGCACGACGGATCTCGAGAACTTTTGCATGGGGTTGTCTTCGGGGGGATCGAATACGCTGTAATGTCCAAATGTCAGCCGAGGAAATCAGAAAAGCGGCGAATGCAGACGGGCCGGGGAAACTTACAGGCACCGGTGATCGACTACCTTGACAATGTTCCGAATGCCTCTTTGATGCAGCTTGGGAGTTGGCGCAGCGGCCAACGAGCCGTCGCCGAGGAAGTGTGTGCCATCGTCACTCCTGACCCTTCGAGGGGTCAGCGGGATCAAGTGCAGCAGGCAGCGGCCTGAGGCTCTAAGGGTTGGGACCTACAGTTGGGCGGCTTCTCTGATAGTGAAGGGACGCACTCGGACTGTATGCCAAAGGTTAGAGGTCGCTGCATTGGAGTAGGATTGGCGACGGCAGCGCTTGGCTACTGACCTGAGACGGTGATGGAGGATGCTCCTGGGTCAAGTGCCGACATGTCGGTTGGATTGATGGTTCATGAACGGCTGGAAAGCTGCCTCGATCCGCCCCCGTGGCTCTCGCGGCTCGATTCGACTTGGTCTGGAATGGAGGAATGGATGGGTGGATGGGTAGAAACAGTCGGGTGACGACAAAGGGCACAGCTGAAGGGCTGAGCAGCAACGCCGCAGGCACGTGGGAAGAGACAAAAGATAGGAGAGTCCTGCGCCTTCGGGGCAGGGCAATGCAAAGGAGAAGCTGGTTCCTAGTATGAACAAACAAATGTTGAGGCACAACGAAGCTAATGGAAAGCAGGAAAACAGCTTGGGTGAAGACGAGTTGTTGACAGCGAGGGTGCGGGCACGCTGATGGGCAGGTACAGTTTATCTGGGGTTAGTGACGTCGGAGTCGGCGTATAAGCTGTCGGAGGCTTGATTTTTGTCGAGCTCAAGCTTTCACAGACTGCCGTGGTCCATCCGTACGGAGCACATGCACGTAGGGGCCCTTTACTTTTCAAGGGGCCGTGCCTGCCTGCCAGCCTGCCTGCCAGTTGGCCTGGTCAATATTTTGGAATCCACGTCCCGAGTGGGGCGCGGTTACCCCACCAACAGCGCTAGTCCCCGAGACCGTGCAGCTCGCTTATTACAGTCATTGGCCAACCACTTTGGAAGCATGTACTTCTCAGGTAAATGGGATGGCTGCACGGCCGCAATGCGCACGCCCTGCATAGAGTGGTACCGAGATCGCCCCCAAACAATATAATTTTTGCCATGAATTGTCATCTACGCATCTATGGCGCATTGGGGGACATCTCTCGGCAGCAGGTGCTGCAGGTACGGTCGCCTGGCCTGGTATTGACCACCTGGGCAATTTTCTTTTGTGGTGGCGCGTTCTTCAATCTATAGCCACTCCTTGCTGATCCAGCACCCTTTTGCGTGAAATCCGATATCAATCACTTTTGAAATCCTTTAAGCCTGGCAGTGACAGCTTGCTGGTGGGTTATAACACCTTGGAATCCATCGTATTTTAACCATAGTTATCGACACCGTATCTTTTTCAAGAGCTGGGCCTTGAGCGTTTACCACTGTATGAAGGCGCCATATATGTCCTCGGACGTGTACGGAATAAAAGCGAAACCAGATAACACCTTGGGGCATTGGACACTTTCAGCATCAATTGTTGCCTATTGACAGCCAGGGGCGCCCTGAAGAGACCTGCTCCCAAAATATCTTCTGCTACCAATAGCCATTGAATATGTACACTGAAACCTTCGCCGTACTATCATGCACAGACGAATCGCAAAGCTTGCCTACTTGTAGCATTTGAGGTACTGTGGACTTAGAGACCGTAACGGCTCTTCAGGTTGCGCCACCAATCACGCATCATCCACCCGTCGAAATCCGTAATTTGAGTGGAAGATCCAGCAAGCATGATGAAGTTGGTAACTCCAGATGGCGTCCAATCTTTGTCTCATGTCAGTAATGGGGTTTTCAAGAATGAGTGGGTGAACTCACCATAGACTGTAAGTATTGAGAAGAAAGGAATGACAATTAGCAACGTTTCTACGCAGAGTTCGGGGGGGGGGGGGGGGAAGGTGGGCGCGGAGGGATAGATTCAGTTTGACCGCCCTATTAGAGATCAAGACTTACAGTCATCAAGAGCGTAAGTGTGGCCCTATTGGACAATTAGCGGACGTCAAGACCACGACATTGCTGGCAGCGATTTAGACCAGGGGTAGGATTGATATTGCATACCATCTCGTGTAACAGAATGTGGATGTCTGACGTTCCAAGTGCGCCCATGAAGTACTCGCGGCCAATGCGCTGGCCCCAATCACCACCAGCACCACCCGAGAAACCATCAGTAAGCCACAGAGAGACGTCGTAGTGGCGGGAGGCACCTCCCGGGCAGGACCCGTAGTTGTTGTCCTGATGGAAGAAGCGGCCGCACCGAGGATCACACTCGGGGATCCCTCCGCTGTCCTTGGTGGTATAGACGTCGAGGCCTGACGTCGAGCCCTGGAGGAGGCTCTTGTCACGGACCGCCCAGCCGACGACCTTGACGGGCACGCTGCTGTAGGGGAACTTGTCGAAGCCGATGAGCCACTTCATCCACTTGTCGTGTTGGGCCTGGAGGACGGTGGCGATCTGGTTGCGCTGCGCCTCTGTGACTGCGGTGCCGGACTCCCAGCGGACGCAGTAGTTGACTTGCCTACGCAATGTTGTCAGTGATTAACGCCCTAGAAAGGTCGAACGATGCCCCCTTACCCTTTGTTGGCAATCAGCTGGTCGTATCCATAGTTCTTAAAGCCAAGAGGGTTGCTGTAAGTGGACATTTCGTGATCCCACACTTGCTTCAGTGGCGTGACGAGGTTGGACGGCGGGTTCCATGTGGTTTGACGCCTGGCAAGACGGTCTTGCATCTCGGAACGGACATGGAGGTCGTTGACATTGTCCCAAATTGCACCGTCAGAGTCAGAGAAGCTGCTGTTGTGGGCACTAGCAAAGCCAGCAGCAATAGCTGTGGACGAGACGAGCTGAGAAAACCGCATCTTTGCGAATTACCTAGGTGCTTGGGCGATGAGGCTATCAGAGTGAGAATCCTAGCGAGCATCGCGGACCACGCTCATTTATAGGAATGGGCGAGAAGACATAATTGAGGATCGGGCTTGCCCGAGTACACCAACCCACGAACTAGGTGCTTTCAGGAGACAAGTCCACGACTCGGCCTGTCGGGATACATGTTCAGATTTGTTCTGGGTATTTGGCTGTCAAAGCTGCATGTTTCCACCAGTCATCGAATGAGAATAGCCCTCCTGTGACCATGCAGTGGCATCCTATGAATTACTCCGACTCAAGAGCCCTGTCTCTGGCAGACCTTGGAGACGATTCTAGATCTGGAATTGAAAAGCAGTGACATCGCCGACTTAGTGGGGACGGATAAGATTGAACAAGGCAAGTATGGGGAGGTATTTGTCGGAATAGAGGCTCCTTTGCTGCCCTTTCGAGGACACTTCTCCCAGGAAAGCAATCTAAGAGACGGCATAGCGGACTTGGCAAGGAGGAGCAGAAGTCTTGGTAGAGACGCTTAGGCCGAATAGACAATGGGCAATTGGCCCACCTGGCTTGAAACATCCAAGGGCTCTACGGAGTATTATTGACCACAACGGCGCGGTCGACCGTTAGGTGCCATGGTGGCGGGGCAGACCTGGTATGCCACGGTACATAGCGTGACAGTGCTAAACCCAAGGCCCCCAACGCGAGACAGGAGACCCGGAGCTAATGTGGTTGGGTAGCCCTCGGAGAATTTGAACAAGATATAAGCATAGAAACAAGAACATGTCCAAGATGGGATGTTAGTGCGTCTCTTTTTGGAAGCTTGTACTCCGTACGGCCAGCTCTCATGTAATCCAGAGCGTCTTGGCGACTTCCAACGTGATATGCAACGGTCGTTGTGACTCGTAGGTGCGCCGTGCACTGCTCTAGTCCCTCGCCAGTCGACCCCAACACGGAGAGACGTCTTTGATCGTTGCCCCAATGGAGATGCCCGGCCCCTAGAGTCAAGACTCGAGTCTTCCCCCACAAATCACGAGGCATGAGTCTCTCCTTTTTAGCAGTGACTCGTGGCCCCAAATAAGGAAAATGGCTTGAGGCTTGCAAGGATAAACCGTAGCGAATGTAACAATCCATCAGAGGCAAGCCTCCCATCCCGTACACCAGGGGCTGACCACTCAGCCACTTCAACACCTGGCTAGCTGGAGCCTCAAGAAAAACAAGGGCACAAACTCCAACCTAGAAATACTATGCTTGCCGCAGGAGCTGGAGTACCGAGGTCTTTTGTCTTGGCCGGACACATCCTTGATTCCATTCAGTTGCCACTCATTCACCTCAATACTTGTCTGGCAGACGGCCTTGGCACTTGAGCATCTCAGGAGACGGACGGGTTCAGGCCCAGAACCGGACCCTTCCACTCCGAACTTGCCGGAGTGGTTGACCAATTTCCAACACGACCTGGGCACTCAGGCAGAGCTACCCCTGGGGCCATCTTGTGCGATTGGTTTTCTACCATTCTGCCATTCCTACCGACTGACAGCCAGGAACAGAAGACTTCACGGTCGCCATTCGAGCGGCTCGCATGGTGCGTCCTGCACGTGTCTGGTCGTGGAAGACTTGGGCGGGCCTCCAGGGCTGCCCGGGCTGGCAGGGGTGCATGCAGGCCGCCATTGCCAACCGTTGCACGCTGCCGGTACTTATTCCACACTGCCGGCGTTGCTGCATGGCAAGCATGGGTGCACAGCACAGCACAGTGCCTAATAAGCGACGGCCAAGTCTCGACCCACCACTGGCAGCGTGCACTCACCCTCACCTTGGACGCTGCCCCGAGCAAGATTGTTGGCCACCAGCCTAGACACCTGGGCGCGTATCGTCGTGCGGTCAATATATAATGGGTCTTATAAGTAGGTGTCCGGCCTCCTGATGACCAGGCCACTCTTTTCTTCTCGTGCTTGTGGAACGAGCTGTTCGACAAGTATCTTTGCCTCCTCATCTGGAGACCTTGTTACTCCCATTTCCCTTATTCATGCACACATTCTGACGACGGAGGGACGACCTCGACGTCGGCGGTAAGCATGCAGAGCCCAGGGGGTTCCAGCGCGCTGGATATAAGGACGGTCTATCTTAGCTCAGACCTCACTGCCGCTTCCGGGACAGGGCCAACCACCTCGGGGACGGCCGTGGCGATATCGACTGGCGCAACGAAATCGGGCGCCGCGGGCGATACTGACCACCATAGCAGCTCCGGCCCTCAGGCTTCGACGGGTGTGATCGTCGCCGTTGCTGTGATCATCAGGGTGGTGTTAATGGCCGCCAGCCGCTGCGGGGCTATTCTTCCCCATACGCAAAGAGCGCAAGCAGGTGCAGAAGGGACGGCAGTAAGGGATGTTCTATGACTGCAGCAAGAATGGGTACAGCGCAATGGTCCCGCGAACAGGTGCTCAATACGACCCGAGAGCCCTGGGCCGAATAGCGTCTCGCATTAGGGCTGTGAGACCGCATGTCCAAGAGCATCGTGAGCAACACGCCTTAGGAGAAGCGAATGTATTTGACTAGATCTAACGTGTATTGTCTTTGAGTCTCTTGTATCAGATGCACCGCACATGTCTAAGCCACAAGGGCCGGTACCATGCCGCGTGGCATCTGCTCGGTTGCGGCACAGGATCCTTCTAGAGTCTTGGTCAAGATCCATGGAGGAGTCGCCCCCCCCCCCCGGTCTTGGCTGCAAACCGAACCATCAACACTCTATGCTGTACTAGACTCCGTCAGCGTCGTCGGCGGACCCGCCTGGCCCACGGCCTCCCTCACCAGGTCCTGGAAGCCCGCCCCGAGAGCCTCCATCACAACACTGACATCTGGTGCCTGAGGCACAGTACTGTCTTCCTGCCTAGCTATCGCGCCGGGGTCCCACCCATCCTTGATGCCGTCGGCACCGGTCTTTCCCGAGACCTTCTCGCCCTTGACGTCCCTCCCCGTCCTGACTGAGCCCTGAGGTGTCGCGGGCGTGATGAGCGTGCGGTCCAGGGTTGATTCCCACCGCATCAGGTAGACACCTGGACCGGACATGTCATCTCCTTCTGAACTACCTCGCGGGGTGTTGCGCTTACTGCGGATACCATTCCCACTGGAATTGGCCGAGCTCTCTTTCAGCGCGTCGAGTATCCGCTGCATGCGCTGCGCGGAGATGTCCGAGGCATTGGAGAGGTATTCTGCGTGCGAGTCCAGGGCAGACACGACCGACTTCTGGGTCTCTGGTGGGAGCTGGCTGAATATCTCCTGCAGAGAGCTGCTCATTGCCCCGGCTGCACCTGAACCGCGTCCCGCGCTGCTCGCTGGTGCCGCCTCGTTGGCGTCCCGAAACCTGTGTATCGTCTCATTGGCCCACAATCGGAACTTGTCCCGGACGTCGGTGCAGTTCGCGGTGAACTGGTGCATGTACTTGTAGAGCAGATGCCGATTTCGCCGCAGGAGGGCCACGTAGTCCTCTACCGAAGGCGGCCTCGTCTTCACGGGGGTACTCCTGCCGCTCGAAGACCCAAGGGTTTTCCACTTGCTGCCGTTGCTGCCGTTAGGGTTCTTCCCCTGTTTCGGTTTGCTCGTCTCGATGAAGTCATTCAGGAAGGTCTCCATCGCAGTAATTTGCGGCCGGAGATCCATGCTGCCGTGAAGACTCCTGATGAACGGCTCGTATGCGGACACGGCATCGCGCATCACAACAGTCAAGTAGTCCGGGACGGATTTACAGAACACGTTGCTGAGCTCATTCCTGTCGCGCACTGACAGATGTGCCGAATACCATTGCATGCATTGCATGTGCTGAGCTTCACTCATGGAAGCTGTCAGCTTGGGGTCGGCCGAGTTGAGGATTACTGAGATAATAGACTTCTGCTCCGCTAAGCTCTTGCGGCGAGCTTCCTCTTGGACTTCGCGCGACGAGGCTATGTGGTCCCTGAGGGTAGCTAGTTGTTCCTTGCTCGGCCTATCCTTGGAAGATTCGACCTTCTCGGCTTGTTTTCGGAAGTCACTGGCATCCCAAGACAGTACAAGGTGTATGATCCTGCCGGTCACCTCGTCAGCTCTGGATCGATTCCACGCCGTCAATTCGGCGCGCCAGCGACACGGTCTTACCTTTGTAGCAGATTCATACCATCGTCAGCCTCCTTCGTCCAGCCAATCCAGTTGGTCATTGCCGTGACACTCATTTTGGCCAGGAATATACGCATCATGCCATTGATCATGGAAGCTGCATTGCCTATCCACAGCGTATTCCGCATCTGAAAAACCAGTTAATCAGCAATTTTCAAATTTTAAATTGACTCGATTGCAAGATTAACGAACCATTGTATACGGCACCAAGTTCTGCACGTTCTCAATTAACTTGATAATGTACTGCCCCTCGGCGGAGAGCACCAGAATACGATGAAGAAGTGAGGCGATGTGAAGGATTGCATAGTCTACCGCTGCCTTGACTGCTGGCGAGTGGGCCTCAAAATCCTCATTTTTGGCGCAGTGGTCAAACATCTCGTCGATGAGATGTCCATGAACGAGCTCCTGGACACACTCGTTCCAAGCCCTCTCGAGCTCTGCTGCCTGAGTGACGTCGTACTGCTGCTTCTGCAAGTCGATCTTGTCTCTCGGCCTGGCCACACCGCCTAGAAGCCCGCGCGTGATAGCCTCATGAACCACGCATGCCAGGGTCGCCAGAGTCTTCCTAGTGCCCGGTGCGCCCTTGTCGTAGGACTCAGAAAGGTTCGCGTCGGCCAGCCCAGACATGATGCCCTGGAATTTGGTTGGCCAGAAATCTTGCGGCAGATCGCCTAGCCCTGGGAGTGTTAAGACGCATTGGGTGAGAAGAAGTTGAAGCAAAGGCGAAGCGGACTTGGCATTATAAGTGACAGTGCCGGGCTGTGGTGGGTCGAGGCTGAACGGATACCCGTATTCTTTCATAGCATAGGGGTATTTGAAACTCTCGGCTTCACGATTCGTCTCATCGTGAGTGATGATGTCAAATAGGGCATGGAGCTGTGCTGAAGTGAGGGTCACCGCCGTCGGTGGTGGTGGGTCCGAAGCCATCATAAAGGTGGAAACGTGTCGTGAGTTCCGATATGTTTGGTCACCAGTATCGAAGAGGTAGTTGTTGCCCGGGCTCGCAAGGGTATGTAATGGGTAAGCTGAGGGGGACGGATACCGCTGGCCTTTTGTAAGAGCACGAAACAAGAGTATCGTCACTTCCTGTCACTGCGAAGAAGTGACTGCAGATGTGGTGTGGGCAAGCGTCCTGTCGGCCAGAGTGAGTGACGCAAGTAGGGCTTGGTGCTCAGTGGACGAAGTAGATACAGGACCGCGAGAAGGAGAAGTCACAGTCAAGAACTCGTTCAGATGCGGACCATGTTGAGGTAAAGAACTGGAGGTGTGCACATGTGACCACCTTAAGATTTGAAGGGCGAGATTTATACCAGACAGGCGCGAGTCAAATTCACGGTAGGGAAGATGAACCTTCGAAGTGTGATTGTGCGTGGCGTGGCGATCTTGTGAGTAACCATGTGCACCTTTGGTCGGCTCTGGCTGAGACGAGATTCGACCAGATCAGGAACACAGCTCGTGGCCGCGTCGCCTGTGTCGCCGTCAGGGCATAGACTAGAGCCTCACGGCCGGGCTGGTGTGAACTTGCCCAAACGGGGAATTCTTTGCGTTATAGGTGCGGTCCCGTTGTTAAGATGGTCCTTGTCCGGCCGTTCGGGTTCGCAGGGGATCGATCCCACTCGCAACCGACCCCAAATTTCGAGACAATGCGAAGATGGGAGTCCTTGAACTATCAGTACGGCCCAGTCCAGAGCAGACGCAGCACGAGGTCGAAGCCAGGTGGCAGGTGCAGACCTTCACTCTAAAATACTCAAGGGCTCCTGTTCTGTTCTAGGGCCGCTCCTGTCAGTGACGTATCCGCTCACAAAGGACCCAGCACACAGCTCCGGCGGTACGAAGTACCTGCTTACTCCCTCCCAGAATACGCTAAGCTTCATCCGCACTAGCGCCAATCTGTCGCGTCCCTCCGCGGTGGGAGGCTGCACTTTTCGACGTCTCGAGCTGCCTTCGTCCATCGCCGACCTCGACCAAGCTATCACTCAGCTCCCGCCGTCGCCCTGCCGCCATCAATTCCACCGGCGCACTCCTATCCTTCGTCACGTCGGTATCCCAAGACGCTGAAAGCCCTGCACAGCCGTCGTGATCAGACAAGATGGGCAAAAAGAAGCGCTCACACCCCAACATCGAGGAGCTCCTTGAGCGCCCGTGGTGTTACTACTGTGAGCTTGTCCCCCCCCCCCCCCGACCCGGCTGCGCTCTCCATGTCGATCCCGACTAACCATCTCAAGGCGAGCGTGATTTCGAGGACCTGAAGCTCTTGATCTCTCATCAGAAGGCAAAGCATTTCAAATGCGACCGTTGCGGTCGTCGGCTCAATACTGCAGGAGGTCGGCGAACCCAACCCCATCATCTGTCCTCTTATGATCTGCCTCTCTGACTCTGGTCCGACTCTAGGTCTCTCCGTCCACATGAACCAAGTCCACAAGGAGACACTATCACACGTCGAAAATGCCCTCCCCAACCGTCAGGCTCTGGACGTCGAGATCTTCGGCATGGAAGGTGTTCCCGAGGAGGTCAGGGAACAGCACAAACAAAGAATCCACCAAAACTACTGGGCCGCCCAGGACGAGCGTTTCAAGGCGACAGGAAACCCACCCCCAGGACAAGAGCGACCCTCCAAGAAGATCAGGATAGAAGCCCCGGAGGAGCTGAAGAAGAGGTTCGCGGAATTCCGGGCCAAGAAAGCGGCGGGAATACCAACAGGCACAAACGGCAGTGCGAATGCCGCGCCAGCCAATGTACAGAGTCCCGCACAGAATGGCAGCCCTGGAGCTTTCGTAAGTAAACATCACATGCCGCATCAACAGCATCAGCAGCCCGTAGAATGCTAACAGTGCCAGAACTCCCCCTTTGCTCCTCCACAACCTTACGCCCAACCTGGTTTCCCGAACTACCCGCCCGCCGGCCCTCCCCCTGCTGCCGGTTTCCAACAATACCCTCCTTCTTCTCTTCCCGCACGCCCACCCAGTCTGCCTACTGCACCGAACCTCCCTCAACGGCCAGGCTATGCGGCTGGGAATTACTATCCCGGCCAGCCCGGCGCCCCAGGCTTCCCCACCGCCGGTGGCGCATCAGCAGTGGACGAGCTTGTGGCCAATGCTAGACAAGGTGACGATATCGACCAGCTTATCCGAATGGCTGAGGCCGGCATCAAGCCAGCCAGGACGCCGACGGACGGCGCGCCGACTGCGCCGCCTCCGGCCGATGGTGGAGAGAAGAAGTCGAAGAAGGACAAGGGGCGGATGGTCTATTCCGATACCGAGTTCAGCCCGGAGGAGAGGATGGCAATGCTGCCCAAATACGCTTGGACGCCCACTGTACCCGCTTAGCCTGCATCTACGCAGTTCACTGGGGCTTTTTGAGGCATTGCAAAGACCTGCAGACTTGTTGGCTTCTTCTGGAATCGGTGGTACGGGCTACCGATGTCAAGGGAGTTTTGGTGGAATCATCACACCTGTTTAAGCATTAGGAATCCAATGACAGGTTATGTGAGAACATAGTATGGCGAATCCTCAGCTTTTTTTTTTGTGATCAACCCCTGTGGTACTGCCGGGTTGTCCTATTTAAAACAATATGCTTCCAGATTAATCGGGTGGTTCGTTTCTAATCCCCATACATAAAAAACATATGCGGCGCCTTCGTACAGTGGTAAACACTCAAAACCTAGCATTTAAAAAATACAGTGCCAATAACAACGGTTAAGATACGTTAGGTCGCAATGAAACCACATATAAACCAGCAGCCATTCTGTTCATCGCATTCTCTATGTTTCTCACTAGACTACCGGTAACTCTAGTTTTTAATTTAGGATCTCAGCTGGGAGATCCGTTTCGCAGTCAGGCTTACTAGTATGTTAGAGCAAGTATTAGCACTGGTGAGGTGACAGCCCACGCAACCTTGGAAGCTGGTATTGCGGATATGTCAAAGTTTAAGTTGACCGTCGTTGCTAGCTACACAATCACTCGAGCTGAGATTGTTGGCGACGTGTAGTCAAGAATTATACATGTGTATAATCGAACACAACTTCTCCAGGAGGACTATCAGGATTTGGGCTCTCATGTCAAATCAGACACTTGGAATTCATCCCGATCCTTTCAATTGGATTTTCCGCAATTGTGGCAGGCGTTTTCGAGACGAGTCTTGGTCCATTCAAGATGATAAATATCTGGACCCTCTCGTATAAATCCTGATGAATTTACCCACCTTCCAATGCCTTTCGCTCCTCGGATTGGAGCGGACACTTTCTCACAGGTTACAAGAGCCACATACCCCCGCAGTTGTCTGACAGTGTCGGTGTTTCACAACATCAAGTAGATCTCTGTCAGCCAAAAAGATTTAGCAGCTGACTCTCAACCGGTGTCAAGAGTGGTAAGGTTGGAGTCTTGTGCATATTGATTTGAGTGTTTAAACTTTGTTAGCTTTCCCGTCCAACTGGTGGCCACGGACTCCACTTTCAAGCCAAAGCCCAGGGGGAAACCATACTTCGACCCACGTCCCGTGACTGTTACCCCGATTCCGTTCCATCGAGCACGGAAGTACGGCCTATGATGGCCCCAACGGAACCTCGAGCAGGAGGATGGAATATGTCGCGGCCGTAACATGATGCCCATGGTGCATCATCCCAGCGTCTCTACCTAGGTATATAAGCTTCTGGACTGTTGCGTACGCTTCTGCAACCTTTCACACGGATCACTTCCTCACATGAACAGAACAACTCTGAGTTTGTTTCAGATATGGCAGTGCACTCGACTTTGACAGCCACGGCCGTGGAACCGGATCATTTGACCCTGGACACGACGTCCTCTTTCCCACCGAATCTTCCATCACACATCCTCCAGCGCTTCCCCAAATTCGACCAAGCCCAAGCAGGACATATTCGCCATTTCCACAATCTTGCCACACAGCTCGACGGAGAATGGCGTCACAGTAAGTAAGAATTCAAGCAGAGCTTACATCTCGCGATACACACCCCATCACCCTCAAATTGTGCGATTGATCCTCTCAGTGACGGCGAGAAACGGGCCGCATGGCAGTTGGTGCTTCACATGTGGTGGTATGAGCCTCATTACTCACTCCCCGTTCCAACAGTGGGCAGCCCTGTCTCAGGGCAGGAGCTTTTCGATGCCTATCGCTACCAGGTCGCGACGATGGCCTACGCGACCGGTGTGGCGCACTACCACCGCCTGCCCGCGCTCCGCTCTGTCTTCCGCACACTCTTCGACCAGCTTATCCACAAGATGATGCTACGTGATGTTTGGGGTTACTGGTTCCTGACCAGCCAATCCGGAAAGTTCGTCGACCCGGACATCAGCGAGCTGCGGAAACCCTGGCCCGACCCCGTTTGCCGAGAGAACATCATGTTCTCCGGCCACCTGCTGCTCATGGTCAGCCTGTACGGGATGCTCTTCGACGATGATAAGTATGACGAGGGGGGCGCCCTTACGTTTGACTGGAACCCTATTTTCTTCGGCTTGGGCCCGGAGAAGTTCCCTTACACCCGCGGCACGCTGCAGCAGACGATAGTGAGTGAGATGGAGAAGACGGGCTGGATGGGTGTATGCTGCGAGCCCAACTGTGTCTTCATCATCTGCAATCAGTTCCCAATTATCGCCATGCGGTATAATGATGTACGAGACGGGACTGACCTTGTGTCGGATGTCCTGAAGAAATATCAGGCCGCTTGGAAAGCCAAGAATGGCGGTTTCATCTCCCCAGATGCGGATGGGGATGAAAATTTCATCTTCTACTGGATGATCAAGCAGGATTCGCTCGTCAACCTCGGTGGGATCTCCGGGAATGCATGGGCGTGTGCATTCATGAACTCTTGGAACTCCGAGTACGTCCATGAGTGGTATCCCAAACTGATCCGGGGGTATCTCACGTGGTACCCCAACGGGCGTGTCAACCTGAACAACATACTCGTTGCCAGCGAAATTCGGGCGGCGCTTAAGAGCGAGGAGAATTCTAAGGGGCTCGACGAGCGCAGCTTAACCGTCTCGGCTGAGACATTTGCCCAGGCTGCCTCCAAAGTCCAGAAGGGCCTGGATGGGGGAGAGATGCGGACACCGATGGGCCCATCTAACTCCGCTACAACATTCGGTTATACTCTCCAATGGGTCTCTGAGGTGGCACCGCCACCCGCGGAAGCTGAGAGGGATGTCGTTTCTGGCCTGTTGAAGCACGCCGACACATACCTGAACCCGACTTGGGAGAACGGCGGGCTCTTCTACCCAAGACGAGACGGGAAGCTCCAAGACGACCACGGGAACTGGATTGGTATGGATGTATACACTGGCAACGCCGGGATTGCGTATGGCCGTTTGAATGTCAGAGATGGCCAGAAGAAGATGTGGGAACAACCCTGGACTAAAGATGGCCACCACGCGACATACCCGTACGTCGAAGGAGTTGATCTTTCCAGTGGAGTAGACTTCCTCCGTGGCGAGTGGAATGAGGAGGTTGGAGCCTTTGCTTTGACAATGAGAACTTGGGATGGTTCCAACAGCAGGTATGTATATGGCTCACATGTGGTCACTTATCGGGAATGAATTTCAAGGCAGACAATGCTAACTTTCATCTAGGGTCGATTTGAAGATCCACAACCTCCCTGCCGGATTATATGGACTGTACCAAGCAGGCAAGCTTGTCCAGGTCAAGCAGGTGAAATCTGGGGACGTGTTTGAAGTGGCAGGTGAGGTAGGCGCTGATGAAGTTGACGCTGTGCTCGTCCGGCAACAAGTCTAATTGGTTTCGTTTCTAATTATTCCGTATATGCCCGAAGCCATACACAGTGCCTTGGTACAATGACAATGCTCAGAGACCCAGCGTCTTAAAAAATATGCAATGCCGACAACAACTCTAAACGATAATCACATTGGTATTCAGCTTGACTTCCAATATTCCCAACGCGCCCCAAAAGAACTCTATTGTGTCATATCTGCACGCTGGATCTGGAATTGTAAATTAAGTGTCACATGAATAAATGGATTCTCTGTACCAATTCCCATGCAAAGCATTTGTGAGTGTGGCACGAGTCGGGATGGTTCGCAATAGTCATGCAGTCAAGATGACCATCTCATCTTGAGTGGTCTGGACTAATACTGGCCCCTTTGTTCGCCCCCCTGATCCCAGATTTACCATGCAGCGCCAAGGTCAACGGCCGTGGGGAAATGGAGAGGTAGCAGGGGGCTGTATTCCGGCTAAATACAGCAGTTCTCCCCAGATGCTCCCCCGCATTGGTTTCCTCGGGGTCATTTCCGGCCTTGACGTCCACCCATGACCGTCGGGGAAACACCATTTTCGTGTCAATGAATTCCGAGTGGTTCCCAATGTCGACAGCAGTCTCGCGCTCCGGCCATGGTGACAAGCAAACAAAGACATCTGTTTGAGTCTCATCTCGACAGCAAATCGAATATTTAAACACCCTGGGATCACCCAGCGTTCGTATCTCCAAGATCGGCAGCATCGTCATCACAGGTAGGCCTGCGAAGTAGTCAGTTTTCGTGAGGCTCTCCGGCGACGGGGATCCGGAAGCGACGTGCTACTACTACTGTCATGTCACCTGGCGGAAGCAAGGCCAGGGATCCCGCCTCGACGCGTGCGTCTACCTTCCCTTTACCCGCAATTCCGGCAAGGCGGCCGTCAACTGGTCTCTCTTGACGCCCTTTCAGCTACGTGGAAACCTTCCAAGATTGCCACTGCTAGTTTTCGTTGGCACGCCCCATCTTCTGTGTTTACCCAGCAGCGTGGTACCTGGGCAGGATACACCCGCGGGCTAGGCAAGCTGCTCAGCCGCCTTGCCTGACCTCACCGCGTCCTGCTAACCATGGTCTCCCCGGAATGTGGTATTTACCCCAAGGTGGGGTGGAGACTCCCTAGTAATTTCTTGGGTCTTATTGTCTAGCATTGTATATTAGGCCTCTTCATGATATTTCTCCTCTGCATGAATGGTGGACTACTTGTCACTGGTAGCCCACAGGCAAGCAAGACCGTGAGTGAGGCTGCTCTAGAGCTTCACCTTTCTCGTTGACTATCCAGCTCTGAACGACGCGGATCTTCCGTCCGTAGAGCTAGTTGCCAACGATGAAGTCAAGCATCCTGCTTGCGCTTTGCAGCGCATCAACTCTTGTTTCCGCCCTGGGTCAAAAGCCTGTCGTTTCCTTCCAAGATTCCGATGGGGCTTTCCAGATAGCCGGAGGGCCCGTGTCCGCCGGTCAGATTTTGGTATCAGACAACGACTACTGGGGTGTCATAAGGGCAGCTGGGGATCTGGCTGCCGATTTTGGCAGAGTTACAGGCACCAACTACACACTCAGCACTGGCACTGGGATCTCGAATTCAACATATACCAATTATACCAGCAGTGCTTCGGCTGCCACGTACTCGTTCAGCCCGGTAAACAACAAGAACAACACAGTTGTAAGTGTTCCTTCATTGTGGTCCCCAGAACCCAATTCCCAAGCTTACCAACCGCATATAGTACTCTACCACGGAGCCCGAGCACTTTACGGGACCAGCTTATGCTGACCCAGACCTATCATCTGTGGTCGTCATTGCCGGCACTGTTGGCAACAGTACTCTTATCGACTCCCTCGTTTCATCAGGCGCCATAGACGTGTCCGAGATTGAAGGAGCATGGGAATCATTCACGTCCAAGCTGGTGTCCAACCCGACTGATGGAGTGTCTCAAGCCCTGGTGATTGCAGGAAGCGATCCCCGTGGCACTATTTTCGGTTTGTATGACGTGTCTGAGCAGATAGGTGTCTCTCCATGGTACTTCTGGGCCGATACACCCGTGCGCCAGACCACGGACATCTTCGTCCCTGCCAACCTCACAAAGGTTCAGGGTCCGCCCTCAGTCAAGTATCGCGGCATTTTCCTCAACGATGAGCAGCCAGGCCTGACGAACTGGGTGGCAACCAACTTTGAGGACGCCGAGAATGGCGCAGCGGGCTACGGCCCCGAATTCTACGCCCACGTGCTCGAGCTCATCCTCCGCCTGCGGGCAAACTACCTGTGGCCGACTGTGTGGGCGTCGATGTACGAGGTGGACTTCCCGGAGAACCAGCCGCTCGCCGACGCCTACGAGGTCGTCCTTGGCAGCTCACACACAGAGCCGCTCATGCGAGCCCAGAACGAGTTCCAGAACTTCTACCCGGGCGCCTGGGCATACAATCTCAACAACGAGACCATCGATGAGTACTTCCGGTACGGCGTGCAGAGGGCCAAGCCTTATGCGCGTAACTCGCTGTGGACCATGGGCATGCGCGGAACCGGTGATACGGCTATCGAAGGCCTGGGCGTCGACAAGATCGTGACGATGCTCGAGACTCTGGTGCACAACCAGCAGGAGATCATCAGTGAGGGTCTGGGCGGAGTTGACATCTCCACCGTGCCGCAGATGTGGTGCCTGTACAAGGAGGTGCAGACGTACATCTTCGAGGGTTTGTCCGTTCCAGATGATATCACCCTACTGTGGGCGGACGACAACTGGGGCAACGTCAGGCGTTTCCCGCTCGCCAACGAGACAGGCCGCGCCGGTGGTGCAGGCGTGTACTACCACTTTGATTATGTTGGTGACCCGAGAAACTACAAGTGGATCAACACCGTGAAGTTGGCCAAGACCGCGGAGCAGGTAAGCATATTTCTCTAGGTTCAGGAGAGCAGTATGATGAGACCCGTGTTCTGACGGCATAATAGATGCACATGGCCTACGCCCGTGGCGCCGATCGCATCTGGATCGTTAACGTCGGTGACCTGAAGCCTGTTGAAATCCCCATCAGCCACTTCATGGACATGGCCTATGACGCGGAGACATGGAATGTCGACAGCACGTCGGACTGGGCCGCGGCCTGGGCAGCGAGAGAGTTCGGCACGGACCTGGCAGCAAATATCTCGTCGTTGATGGTTCACTATGGAACTATGGCAAACCGTCGCAAGTTCGAGTTGATCGAGCCCCAGTCCTACAGCGTCATCAACTACAACGAGGGCGATGCGCTCCTTGCGGAGTGGGCTGAGCTGCAGTCCCAGGCCGAAGCCGTGTATGATTCTCTGGACGAGAGCCAGCAACCGGCGTTCTTCCAGATGGTCCTCCACCCGGTCATTGGGGGCAACATCGTCAACCAGATCTACATCGGGGCGGCCAAGAATATGTTGTACGCTGGTCAGAAGCGCAACTCGGCCAACCCAAAGATGATGGAGATCTTCGACCTGAGTGCAGCTGACTCTGAGCTGACAGATAGATGGGATGAGATGCTCGATGGGAAGTGGGCACACATGATGGACCGTAAGTACTTCCCTTGGCTGTAGGTGAATCAAAAGGTACCTGCGACTAACCAATATCATCAGAGACTCATCTTGGCTACGACGGATACTGGCAGCAGCCCATGCGGAACACGTTGCCCGCCATGAGCTACGTTCAGACTCAACGCGCGTCCCTCGCTGGTCACGTCGGCGTCGGCGTCGAGGGCTCCAACGGCACGGTCCAAGGTGACGATAAATATCACACCAACAGCGGTAACAGTCTCGCCGTTCCGCCACTGGAGCCATACGGCGCCGCGACTAGATACTTCGAGGTCTTCTCCCGTGGCACAGAAAGCTGCACGTGGACAGCTACGCCTTGGGCTCCTTATGTGAAGCTCTCCCAAAACACCGGCGTTGTCGGCCCCGACGGTGGTGACACCCGGGTGTACGTCACAATCGACTGGGCCAGTGCCCCAGCTGCCCCGAACGTGACGATGGTGAACATCAACGTCACCAACTCATGTCGTGATCTCGACAGATTCGGATTCAAGGAACCACTCGTGCAGGTGCCGGTATACAACCGCCTCCCACCGTCCAACTTCTCAGAGGGTTTCATCGAGTCGGACGGACACGTCGCCATCGACGGGCCCAACTACCAGGCCATCGTGCCAGGCTCCGGATCCGCAACCACAATCAACGGGTCCGCCGCCGAGAATGTGACATATCACACCTTTAAGGGAATCGGCCGGACGGGCGACGGCGTGGGTCTCGTGCCGCAGGACCTGGAGAAGCTGTCGCCTGATGCCGCCCCGGCGCTGGAGTACCAGATGTACCTGTTCAGCAACTCATCCAAGGCCAACGTCACGGTCTGGATCTCACCGTCCCACAACTATCTCGGTGACGGGACCCCGCTTCAGTATGCCATTGATCTCTCTCCTGCCGGCTCGGATGTGCCGTCGAACCTGACGATCGTCTCGCCCGTTGGCGCCACCGTTGGGCAGAACCTGCCGGCGGGCTGGGGATATGCGGTTGCGGATGGCGTGTGGGGAAAGACGGGCAACTACACCACTAGCTCTTTCAAGGTGCCGCAGGAAGGCGCGTACACCCTGCGTATCTGGGCTCTTATGCCAAGTATTATTGTGCAGAAGGTGGTGGTTGACCTGGGAGGCGTGAGGCCCAGCTATCTTGGTCCGCCTGAGAGCTTCTTACTCGGGCGGGATGAGCTCGGCGCGTACAATGGTACCACCGTCTTCTCGGGTTGATTGTTTTATTCATAAAAATAGTAGAATAACATTCAGAATTTAAGCATGCTTTTACAACACTGTAAGGCCAAGTCAGAGCCACATCTTGACTGTGAGACAAACAATGTGCCGTATTTTCTCTACGGCCATATTACCGTTCTGACGATATTCCTATACCTCACCGACTTGCATTGGAAATCATCATGAATTTCGATAACCTACCTCATGGTGGTCTACATTATTCATCCCCACATCAACCCACAAGCTCCCTAGACCTACCTGGAGGATAAACCCCTGAGGATGTTTGCCGACCTCGGAAGTCTTTCGATAGTCACCATGGCAGTAAGCTCGTTTCTATCGATCCAGAGGACACATACCCCGCGAAGCTCTGAAATACGCTTAGGTGAACCTGAGGGGTTTTGCAAATCCACGAAGCTTTCCCCATCACATAGATACGACAGGGATAATTTCTCATCAAGACAGAGCTTACTGGTGACGATGTCAGGGCGACAAAGACTGGGTTGAGATTCTTGGTCGGTGCGATGGCCACATTGATCTCAGCCCTAGTCCTTCGTCACCAATCTCGAGGGGCTAATGCATTCTGTGGGCGATAACTTGCCAGGTGGAAGCGGAGGCATAGGGCAATGTGTAAACCAACGGATCTAGCAAAACTTGAACATTGACAGGAGCAGCAGAAATTCGACACCTATCGCACCGTAGTCGTGATACTTTCAGATCGGACCCTGAAACGCATCCTGCGTAGGCTAGGTATTCATGTATCCCAGCAGATAGCATTCAAAATGTCACTTCCCTTGTTGGAAAATATGCCAGAGCACGAAGCAAGTAGTATTGACACGAAGCACACAAGGTCAAGTCTATGTACAGGAATTGCGCCAAGGAGCGCCAACCCGATGCAAATGTTTCTACATCATTCATTCTCCACATCCATCTCAGTGACCCAAGTGACCATCCGAATTAAGCAGCCATGGTGACGTAGACAGTCTTGGTCCTCTTGACGCAAGACTTGGTGGAAGCCGAGGGCAGGGGCGTGATGGCAGGGGCAGCATCGGTAGGGGCGGCAGCGGTGGGGGCGGCAGCGGTGGGGGCAGCAGCCTCGGTGTTGGCAGTCACTGGGGCAACAGACGAGGAAGACGAAGAAGCAGCTGGGGCGGGGGCGGCGGCCGAGCTGGCCGGGGCAGAGGGCTCAGCGGCCTCGCCGGAGCCGGACGAGGAGGAGCCGGCGCTGGAGAAGCCGGTGGTCAGGTCGCCGCTCTCGATGTAGACGCCGGAGAAGAACAGGTCCTCGGTGGCATCCGCGTAGCCGTCACGGGCGAGCTCGAGGACACCGACGTGCCAGTCCTGGCCGTTGGAGCTGACGCTGGCCTTGACGGGCTTGACGGCCTGGGTGAGCGCGTCGGAGCCGGTGGAGTGCCAGAAGCCGACGGTGCTGGCGTCGAAGTCGACCTCGTAGGCAAAGTTGTGCCAGACACCGGCCTCGAGGGTGGTGTTCCACTGAGACTGGGAGTTGGCGTACCACCGCAGCTGGTCGTCGGACTCGCCGGCCGCGCCCGAGATCCAGCCGTACTTGAGCTCGGTGAAGTGGGACTCGAAGAAGGCGATCTGGTGCTCGCGGTTCAGGGAGGGGGCGTTGGTGCCCTCGCGCTTCATGGAGAAGTGGTAGTACAGGGTGCCCGAGGTGATGGAGCTGGTGTCCTTGACCGAGGGGATGAGCTCTGTGCGGCGCATGTTCTGGCCGTTCCAGTAGGCAGTGTCGTCCAGGGTGACCTTGGCGCCCTTGGCGGCTCCTGGGCCGGCATAGTCGGCGGTGAAGTCGAGGTACTTGGAGGTGTCTGCGTCACCGTGGATGTACCACTGGTAGGGGCCGGCCTGGTTGGACCAGGACCAGTCGGCCAGGTCGGCAGTGGTCAGGGTGTCGAAGCTTCCATCCCAGACCTTGGTCCCGGCGGCGGCCAGACCCACGAGGTGGGCGGCGAGAGCAGCGAGGGCGGAGTGCTTCATCATCTTGGTTGAAAATGCTGTGTCTCGTGTGTGGTGGAAGAGAAAAAAGATCCTTTTGTCTTGTTTTGAGGGCTATCCGGAGCCGAAAAGAGCGAATGGGCTTAAAGAATGAAACGAACGAAAAGAGTGGTCGTCGAAAGGATCGAGTGGGAGACAGAGCAGCAGAATGCAGAACAGGAAAAGAGAGGCCGACAGGTCGTGAAGCACGTACGGTCACGATATTTATTGGGCCGTCATGGCCCGGCAGCCCGGAAATGCCCCTGGCAGGGAGGATGGCAATATAATTACAGGAGCGTTACCTGAAGTTCACCGTTAACGACGGGGCTGCTGGCGGCTCCGGGAGCAGGGCCTTGGGCGGGGACGACTTAGATAGTGAGGTACTGCGATTGGTCTATTTTCTTGCCGCAAGCGCGGGAGTATGGTCTGTTTTGAGGAAACATCAGGGGAAACAGACCGGGGTCCACGATGCGCCGCTGGGGAATGTCGTTTGAGCTTGATGATGGGGCCCCTGAGGGAAAGGCGGGTAGCCTCCTCCCAGCAGGGTTAATGCACCAATGGGAACATTTCCAGCCAGCGTCTCGCCTCCATCCCGTCCAGAAGGAGCACTGCCAGCGGCGACAGCAACTTGGAGGGGTGCATGCTAGATAATAATAATTCGAGTTGTGTGGTATATATATTTCATGTATCAATAACAAAACATGTTATAGGTCTTGATTTGACCCCAAGCTTTGCGGCTCCCGAGCAGTGCTACTCAAAGCCCAGCAGAGCAGACAGACCAGCGGCGTGGGATTGAGCTTAGCTTCTTGGCCTGCTCTCCCAGTCTGATGGCATGACGGAGATGAGCAGGGCTGTGGGACCACCAACCCTGGGAAGCGAGATGTTTCGAAACGCCCTATCGAGTCGCGGAAATTGAGCCGCCTCTGCTGCCTCACCTGCCGCCCATTTTCGACCGCCTTCTCGATGATCCAACAATTCTGGGCCTAAATATTTGGCCCTCCCGAGGTCGGGTGTGCTGGGAAATCGGTCGATCCGGGCGATCTTCCTGACAGCCAATGGGCGGTGGCAGCAACCACCCACGACCGTTGTACTCCGTATTTGCATGCACCGTTCACAGTGTGGGAGGCCGACCAGGGCTGCCAGGGTTAGGAGCTGTCGTTGCCTGCCCTGCCTGCCTGTCAGCCGCCACCCCCCCCCACCCGCATTGCAGCCATGATCCCGGCATCGATCAGTCTGTCATTGAAACATTGAAGTTGCTTCCACTGTGGACTGTCGATCCGACTAACATCAGGGTCCTCACCTTGCGATGGCCCTAACAAGGTTGGCGACGACAACATTGAATCTGCCAGACGGACCTGTCGAGGTCGCTGTCGGAGAAGCCACACCAGAGCAGCAACTGGAGTGTTGCAGGCTTGCCGGGACCGCCTTTGCTGCACCTCTCTCCCAGGACCAATATGTTGAGCTGGAGCGCCATCTCGGCAGCCTGCCACTCGCCGTGCCCCGAGCAAGACGCTACTGGTGCCTGTACCCAATCAACAACCCGAATTGCATCCTCGCCACGTGCAAGACCCTCCACAGATTCATCCTCGTCAAAGAAGGCGCCAAAGTGACCGAGAATGACGGCTACTGCATTGCCAGCGTCATAACAAATCCAGACTACAGGAAGGCTGGTCTGGCTTCTATGCTGATGGGCCATGTAGCCGAGTGGATGGATGGTCCTGGAGCAGCAACAGCCAGCATGCTTTATACCAGCATCGGAGATGTGAGTCTGGTCCCCGAACTTGAATCGCGTCGGCCAACAGGCTGATTGATATGTCTTCAAGTTCTATGCCAAAAGGGGCTGGGGCCCGCTGCCTGCTTTCGAGTCTACCTTGACGTGTGCTACCAATGCCACATTTGACAGGCCGCCCAGTCTACCTGGAACGCGAGTCTTGACTCCTACAGACGTCGATACGCTCTGTGCCAGGGACGTCGAGAGCGTCAAAGTGGTGATGCGTCAGATGCAGACCTCTACAGGCCAGAGGCTTGCTGCTGTTTCTCCGACGGCCGATCTCATCAACTTGTTGCAGGAAAGGGCTAACTTTATGGCCCTGAAACAATTCGGTAAACCAACGGAGCATCGGGGTGCGATCAGCGAATCTGGGGACTCTTGGCTATATTGGTATCATGATTTCCGAAAAGGACAGCTGGCCGTGCTGAGGATCCACCTCTCGCATGGCTTTGCGGGAAGGCAGCCGGAGCAGCTTGTCAGTCTGTTTCTAGATGCTTTAGAGGAGGCTGCGGCATGGGCGTTGCCGAAAGTGACAGTCTGGGACGCCAACCCAGTCGTCCTCGAGGCGTTAGATCTTCTTGAGGACCGGCATGCGGTGAAGGTGACAAACGGGCAAAGACAACAAAGGAGTATACCATCATTGAGGTGGAGAGGCGACGATGGATCAAAGACGGCCTGTCTTCACTGCAACGAGTTTTATGCGTGGAGCTGAACTCCATCATCGATTTCCATTCTACTTGAAAGCCAATTACGGCGCGACAGGGCGCTCACTACAACTGTGCGTGCGGAGCTCCTTCACCCTTAGGTACTCACTGAAGTCGCTGCACTTATTCGATAAAATGACCCCGGAAACCAGACTGTCATTCCGCGGACTGCCTCGAACTTACCATGCCAATTTGTCGTGTCTACAGAAGACGAGGGTGTCATTGAATGTCGATACAACGGCATAACATCATCGCTATTCGCGAGATACTCGCTTTGGCACGAATAAATGCAGAGTATAGTACCGCTTCATGAGATCTCAGAGTTTTCCTGCCTGGATCGTAAGCCTGGTTCCCACACACCAGTTTCACTCTTAACACCATGGTTAATTCGATATCTAACAGAAGGCTTTCTGGTTCAAAGAGGAAATAAAACGTTTGTTTGATAAGCAGCCGCGGGGCATTGATGGGCTCGAACAGCCACTTTGGGCCCCGGGGCGTCATCTGAAGCGCGCTCAGTTTGATCTCTCAAGTGTGTGTGGGCAGGGCTGTTAGAAGGTCGCGGTCTGTCTTGGATTTCAGAACCTATACTAGTATGTTTGGTACTGGAATATGATTCCCGACTCAGCCAACCCTATTTTCATTTGTTTCGCTCCATGAGTGTAGCTCAAATTCTAGTCCACCGACAAACGTCAAAGACGTTGACCAAAATCAGCAAGCAACAACCAAGAACACCAGTATGGGTGGGCATTCTCCGTGAAACCCCCAAGGACTCATACCCATTCCCAAGTCGCATCTCCAATGGTGGCGGGGTTGTAACCATTGAAATAAATGGCGAAATCGAAACCAGCAAAGCCCATGGTGAAGTAGAAACCCTCGATTGTCCGTCCTGCGAACTCGACATACTCGTTGATGGCGCGTTGCATCGACCTCGCAAACCGTGCCCGCTGCATTATGTAGTTGAAAGCGTTGTTTTCGTTGGCTCCCGCGCCATTCCTGAATACCATGAGCGGGCCGGCGATGTTGGCACCCATCATCTGGTATACCTCTCCAACCGCGTTACATAAAGTGTCCTCGATGACAGTGTCAAATCGGACCTCGGTGAGCAGGTTCAGGTTCCTGTAACCCGGATACATTCTCCAAAAGTTGATCACATCATCGTAAAAGGCTGCCCTCTGGCCAGACGGGCGGTTGTCTCTTGCAGCCCATGCCTCGTGGACGCGCAGAACCCCGTTGTTGACGCCATTGATCATGAGAGCGAATGTTCCGATCACACTGGTCTGAGGCACTGGAGCCTGTTGGCCTGCTTGGGCCGGTGGTTGGGTGGTCCATGTGATGCACCCGTAGTTCCAGCCTGGCTGGGGGTCAATCACGACATGCGTACCGACCTCAACTGCGTAACCATACTGGGATAGTTCTCGGACTTGGCGGGAGGGCACCTTGATCGCTGGGCGTAGCTCCCCGGGGGACGAGGCAGGCAAGTTGTCATCATCATCGTCGCCGAATACGGATGGGGTGGGGCTCGTGGTGTTGGAGCAGCTGCATTTGCCTGGGGACCACTGGAACAGCAGCTCGTCCGTAAAGGCATTCTTCCAATACTCGTTGCTCGTGTCAAACTCGGGCGCGATACACTGCGTGGGTGATTGTCAGCATTTAATCCCAAGATACTTGAGTCTGCATCGTCTCTTTCGGTAAGAATGCTTCTGTGCCGTTGAATATTGAGGGGTTTGTGGTTTCGTTCTCAATCCGTATACATTCCAAAACGTACGGTCCCTTCAATACACTTGAGCAGTGGTAAACGCTCAAAGAGGCAGTGTTTGAAAAATAAAGTACAATGCAAATGAAGGTGTAAGAAGACCAAGGAGGTGCCCAGGTGGCCTTATCGAGGGGTAGACTTACATCCCAAGTGTTGAAACCCCCATTCATGAAGCAGTACAGTTCACAAGAAGCGAGCGACTGCAGAGGACTAGCCTCGAAGGTGGTGTAGCTCATACATTGTCCCTTCTCCGCGAGGGCGAGGATGACTTTGTGCGTGGACCAGTTGTCAAAGGTCGAATTGACAGGTAGGTAGGGGTTGGTGAAGACTCTCATTTCCAGATTGATCGGGTCGTCGCCGTCGACCCTGCCAAAGCAGACACCTGCGAACAGGTGCAGCAGGTTGAGGAACAACGGCAGGAGTATGATCAACGCCATGATATACGATCGAGGCACGCTGGTCGGGTGAAATTGGCGACTCAAGAGACCTCAAAGACTGCAGATTGTGGGCGTGGATGTGTGAGGTTGTGAGATCGGCGGTCTGAGATGGCGATGGATGTCGAGAGGAAGTTCAGATATAACAGTCTCAAGGAGTGGAGACACTGCGCCCTGTCAGGTTCCAGTGAATGCTGGGGCTTGTCGATTGGAAAGTCACAATCGATGGGATTGTACAACGTCTCCTGTATGTAGCGTTTGAACTGCTCCAGCGTTGGTATATCAAACGCAGCACAAACGACCCAGCTTCTGGGTTTCTACATTGTGAGCCCGATTCACTCCCGACAAAATGGCTGTGAGTGACTGAGGAGTTGGTTTCGGGTGTCTAGAAAACACCTCGGTGCATAGTACCTCAAAACACTCTCAATTTACTATCAGTGTCCCGGAAGTGCTCAAGCCACGCAGACTCCGAGTCTGTACCATAATTGCCCTTTCCCGAACTTCCACAGCAGCATATTAGAACTAATCAGTCTGCCGGCGCTAGAATTTGCCATATGAACTGACTCCATACATTGTGAGGGAAGCTTGAAGCGATCCTTCTATGATGTTACTAGGTATGTGGGCCATGACGCCGCCGTGGAGGACTTCAACGTTTGCTAGCACCGGAGGAAGACGGACTCGTTCTAATTACACCGCTCTTTCCACATCAACTGACAACTCGCTCTTCACCATTATTGCAGAATTCGAGTATTCCCTGCTTGTAGATGGCTGTGGCGTGGTGACAACTGCATCTGACCCCAAGGCACCATCGAATATACCCAGCTGCCCATTGTGGCCATATTCATACAATCGAGGTGTCCTCATTTCTATTTTGTCAAGCTCTAAGCCTCCCCGTGCCATTCCCAATTTTGCCCAAAATTGGGCTTCCCGCAGCTGACGGAGCGAAGTCTTCCCATTCGGCATATTTCGTCTTGAATCCTTCTGTTGTTGTTCGTAGCCGGGTAGCGTCGGTAACCTCGGCGGCCCTCTGGACTTCTGTGAAGAATCCCCGCCAATGGACTTGAAAAGTGGGCGCAAGAGAGGCAAACAAGCTTCAGGTTGCTATCAGTTCAACAGACCGTGCAAGGCAATATGGAGGAATAGCTTTGCTCACTTGATGCGATGGCCAGATTCACTTCCGCGACTGTCCATATAAAAATAGAGGCCACGTTCCAGGAGAACTCATCAGTGTTGCTAGGATCGTATTTGGTCGAGTACACAATCACCGCGATCGTAGCCACACAGACAAAGATGCCGAACATGAAGAGGCCGGTTAGACCGCACTTCTTTGCTCGGTTTAATCGTAACTTTTGCACCTGAATTGCGGGTATGATGAGAAGTGCAATTTCAGCGAGAAGATGTATGTACTGTAGTGAGACGTTGGCGTGGTAAAAGCTCAATTTACGGTAGGGACATCGAGCTCCAGACACCGAAGTGTCCCAATATGCATGCACTGGTATGCAATGCAGTATGTTAAGGATAAGCTAGGCACACCAATTAGCTGCCTTGCTCTTGGTTTAGCGACGAGGAGCTTGGTCTGGAGTCGTCTATAGATAGATTTCCATGGACACAGAGATGTATATAGACTGGGAGGACTGACTCTGACCACAAGCCATAGTACGGCTATTATTGTCAAAACAATAATCGATACTTTTGCGCTTCTGACGCTGTTGAAGATCCTCCAGTAAAACGCCAGCACAGCAAGTTTGGAGAAGCTGAGTGATGGAATGTAAAACATCTCTTCTACCATTAGTCACCTGACACGATTCTATAGTGCTCTGGTAAATATGGCTTACCCAGGACGAATAGGTCAATCCTTGCATCACGGAGGATCTCGTCTTTGGGTCGGTCGATATCTTCGACATGGAGGCCAAAACCATCTTGAGTCCCTAAGGCCCCAATGTTAGTCCTTATAATCTAAAATCCAACGGGTCGCCCACGGTCCCGAGGTCTCTTACATTTGATCATCGTACCGGCAACTCCCACATTCAGTAGCTGGCGCAACTTCAGCAAATATTCATAGTCTTGGCTCAAAAACACCTGTAATATACTGCTAGCACTGGACATGCAGCTCACATATGCAATAATAGCGAAATAATCGTCCCACCACAATCGATTTTTTGTCAGCCGTCTGCACAGTAGTCGAAGTATCAGTGTCAATGTCGCAAAGGACCACGTGATGGAGAGAGCGGCAAAGAGCTCCGGCTGTCGCGTCATGATTTCACCATAGGTGCCGGTCGCGGGCGATCCCAAACTCGTAGCAGAGCTCTGTCGCTATCTGTCGCAGAGGCCGGTGGTGGTGTTCGATATTTGAGAGGTCGTCGATCCAAGCCACGGGCTGATCCAATATCGGGCGGAGGAAAAGACTGGCATGGGGTATCTCGGCGCCGGTAGGAGCCCGCTAGTTCTGGAACGTCGTCATGGCTCGGAACGACGCGATACCGAGCCCGTTGTACCAACGAGTCAGAGCAGAAAGGAGTGGTATTGTTGACGGAAGGAGAGATCTATCCCAGCAGTCTGGGATCATTCGAAAAATGCAACCGAGAACTGCCACAACGGGCCAAGAAGGCTGGGGAACGATCACATTGGATGACGTTGGGCCTAACGACGCACGTCATGAATCGCGGTGCCAACTGGTGGCCGGTGGCTGGAAGCATCATTCCTTGCTAAACCTCGATGGTCGGTCCAGAACTCTCGGTGAATGAATAGACTTCGCCTGACAAGAACATCCCCACCCCGCGCAGATGCTTTTGATCTTCCGCCGGATAAAAAGTTCAACTTCTGGAGTCGGCCAAGAAAGTCACACATTCTGGCGACTATCTCATGTGAGATGATGTCGAAGGCGCCGACCATAAACATATCGATATTTTGGTTGAGTAACTGGGTATTATTTGCTTTACTACCTAGGCACTTGACTAGGGCTTAAAGCTACGGTTTCTGCTTCGGCTTATTATCAGTCATTTTGTACTGCGCTGTCGCTCTCTGGTACTGCGCCCGCATAGTATGCACAAATGGCACACTAGGACCCCGGGCCGATCATGCCACGTCAAGCATCGACTTTGCAGATCATGAACGCCACTGTTATGCTTTGTCGGCTTCTGCGGCGATGTGATCCCCGCCGTGGTCTCTCCAATGAGATCTTGGAGATCTCCCTCGAGCTCCCAGATCTTGCCTGGGGACCCTGTCTTGTGGAATCTTGCAAGACTTATCTTGGCAACATTTTTAATCTCCACACTCCCAACCATTCACCCATTTAAGTCCCTTCGAAATTACCTCTGTATATGCTAACTTGTTCCGTTATCATTCCGTGTTTGCCTAAAGTTGTCCCTAGGGTAGGTATATACCTAAGCTAAAACAGGTAGAGAGCCGTTTCGTGCTGGTCCCAAGCTGGAACGTGTTTCCCCTCTTTGACTACTGCCTTGATTAATTGATCAACAAATAGATTTCGTTGTATAAACGCTCGGCCTTTCCCATACGGACTGAAACTTCTTTATTTATATCCATCTACTAAGTCTAACTTTCCAGCATAGAGGCAAGCCTCAGACAGTATATGTTTCTACGTAGTCAATGTGCCGGCATTTCCGTACCTAGGTATGCATGGTCTGAATTCAATTATGTTTTTTTGGTCATAAATTGCGCCTGGATCGTCATTTATTTTGAGAAAAAGCTCCTTAAACAGTGTATGTTTGTAAACAGCAAATGCCGCGTGTGTGGGACAAACTTACACCGCATTCTTTTCATCTGCACAGCATCGATGTACGTTTTCTGATTTGGTCTTGGTATATCCTATTATAACTCTCTGTGGAAGCGCTTCTTTCGCCTTTGGCATATTTTATTGCCCCTACATGTGACCCCCCACTCATTGAAATTGCTGCATTGGAGTTTCATCCAGGTGGCTTAGAGTAAAGCCCTTGAGTTGGTCGACCAGAAAGTGCACAAATGTTGAGGACTTTGGGATCTGTCGACGCCCGGGCTTATGTCCGATAGACGGAAGAGGTCTTGGGAACAAGGTTGCCTGCCACAGACGGGATTGGAACGAGTTTCTGAAGATCCATAGGATTTCTCAATGAGCCGTCTAAAGGTTTCGGAGGTGCTAGTAGCATTTGGCAATATGTGGCCGCGACCTCGGGATCCTCCTAGCAAGCCAAGCAACGAACGCGGACCATTATCCCCTTCTCCTGCGGTACGCCACTGTTGACGTACCACAGCCCTCCAGGGGAAATGGACGTGGCCAGGAGATCGCCAACACGTCGCCATTGCCGATGATGATGCGTCCAGTAATTCCAGCAGACCCGGAGAGCGACTTGTAACGCCGTCAACAGCAGCACCAAAAAAAACCGGATTACTGATACGGTCCTCAAATTCTGCCGATTTTGTATCGTGCCATGTTCTCAACACTTTTTCTCTCGACAGGGCCCAAAATCGCCGACCTCTTGCAGCGAAACGAGCAAGGGTAGATGCTTAGTTTCTAATCTCTATACATATAAAACGGATGTGGCGCCTTCACATAGTGGTAAACGCTCAAGACTACGAGGAAAGGTACTGAATGCATTATGAGCGTTCGATATCTGACGCTCTCTGTGATCGACGAACGTCTCGGAGGATAAGTGAGCGCCTGTCTAAAATCCGAACGCGTAGTGTTCTTAGAGCACTAATCTCACTCTTGTCTTGTTCTGTCATCTCGGCCCCTGCTTCTTCAATCTTGAGTGCTGCTGAATGCAGCATCTTGGTCATTTGCAACATTTCCTTTGCCTGTACATCTAGCCGTGCTATTTCCTCGTCGCTTATTGTTCCCTTAGCGGAACCAGTAACAGAAACTTCGGAGTCGTGGGTCTGACGGTCGGCGTTATTTTCAGTGCCATTCGTAGCAACGCTGGATGGAGTGGGTGCTCCTCTGTCGCTGGAAGCGGTATCGGGGGCCTGTGATCCGGTTTCAGCTTGATCAGTATTACATACTGAGGTGCCGTCTGCAAGAACTGTCTGTGGTTGTCTTTTGGTGGGTTTCGACAGCGTGGATGCTTTCGCAGTTGATGATTCTGCTACTTCGTGTCTCTCTACCGACTTCTCCGTGTCGGTCGTTTTTTCGGTTGCCGCAGCTTTCGCGGTGATTTCGTGGTGACTGATAGAATCATCAAATACAAGCTCTGTCTTATTTGTAAATTCTTCTTCAGGTGGGTTGGTTGTTCTCGCCGCGATCTGCGATCTCTTAGCCAAAGCGCGAGCAGCCGCCATCCCTGATGGCTGCAGAGCTGATCGAGATGCAACCCGCTTGAGCTTTTTCTTCAAATGTGTACGCTCCGTTTGCGCCGCCTTGCTAGGTTGCCACAGCCGTTTCGTACGTGTCCACAGCCGTTTAGCATGACCCCAAAGCCAGGTATCCTGCTTCTTCCGGGCAGGTAAGCGCTTCGAATGGGAGCGCTTCGAATGGGAGTGCTTCAATTGGGTTTCAAGAATACCCTCCAGGAGTTCGAAGTGATGACCAATAAAAAATTTGTCTGGGAGGATCATCTGGGACTTGACGATTCTCCAGATCCACGACCGTTCCGCAGGCTCGAGGAGCCGGTGCTTGATTCCAAACCGAGTGTAGATCCTTTGGACCTGCGCTTCACTGGCGCCGTCCACGTCCACGGCAGCGATGAGAGCTTCAAGTGTGGTAGCCATATCGTATGACTTCACGATATCCTTCGAGACTTTAGATCCATCAGTACATATGTAAGGGCCACCCCTTGTTGATGAAAACAGAACGACAGAGAACGCCCCTCGACTGGAACTTGATTACTGCGAGATTACTTACTTGCACACTCGTCGAGACCCAATTTGAAACCGATTTCAGCAAGGCGTTCGTTTGAAAGAGTCTGAAGTTGAATTTCCGACCACTCGACGCCGCCCAAATTGGCCTTGTCGTACCAATTGCGAGCCAGCTGCAACGTTGAGGATTAGCTTCCAACTAAGGCACCAACGGGGTACTTAAGTACCTAGGTAGGTAGCTTTCATACAAATACCCGGAAGGGGGGGTGGGGGTCGACCAGACTATGCTAAAGGCATTAAGGTGTTGCCTGCAGGCTACTTACATGGAGTGTGCCCAGAGCATCTCCTACCAAGGCAAGGCGAGAGTTCCTTGGTCTCCCGCGCGCTTTTCCACTTGGCAGAAGTATGTCCCGTTTCTCTTGGTCCAGAGCTTCGTATAATTTGTCGACATCCTTGAATTGATAACCGAGTATTTTCTCGGCTGTTGCCAACTTGAGTGCTGTTGATGCGGTCTTGGACCATCCTCGCATTACAACCGCCATTGCGCCGTTAAGAAAACAGCGCACATGTGGGATCCGATGCCCACTATGTGCATACCTAGGTACTGCCTGGCTGACGCTGTGTTGGATTGGGCGCAGGCCGGTGGATCTGGTTAAGCTAAGAGCTTGAGCAAGCGCGTCGACGACCATGCACTGATATGGCGTGAGTTCGACGCGTGCAAATTTTCGACGGTCGCCACGCGGTCATCTGACCCCACACGTGACTTGGCCGATCAAAGCGTCGGCCTAGCCTTTGATGCCTCTGCTTCTGACCTCTAGTGTTGGTGGCGAGAAGGGTGTTGCTGAAGCTGAAATGCGGCCCTTGAAAAAAATTCGCTGTCGGAACGAATCAATAGTGGTGTGAAAGCTTTGCTACCTAAGTACCCAGGTACCTAGGTACTGAAGTCGGTAGCCTAGGGTAGACTTGCACATGTGGTTTAGAAGGTCATCAATGGTCATGGTAGCGCCGCCGGGCGAGCAAGGGTCTGAACTTGGGTTCCCTGATTAGCGCCGCACACTGGGCAATCATTGACTCCTCCAGCACGTATAACCTCAATACATGAAGAGAGTAATACAGATGTGCGCTGCCGACGCGACCTGGAGGAATTCTCAAATTCGAACAGTGGGTCGCAGACCACAGCCGACGAGTCGCCAGCACCACCAGGGCCCTCTTCCAAAGCATCGCCACTCAACATTGCAGAATACACATCGTCACTAAGCAATCAGACCTCGCCTCTCGATTCGAGAACCCTTAAGCAAGGCGACCTTCAAGTTTAGGGCCTGTAGCACAGATGCCAAAGGCTGCTGCTATCTATGCAGTCTGGGTACCAAGGTTAGAAACCATACCTAGTCCACCTGGGCAGCAATAATGTTGAACCCACAGCCAGAGGTTGTGAATGCATCCATTTTCCTCTTGACTTCATAACAGTGCCAGGGGTGAAGATAGGTCGACAAACCAGATACCTAGGTACTATGTCTTGGCTCAAAGGTATTGTTATTTCTTGTTAACCTGTACTTGTAGCACATGCCATGCCGTCCACTCCTCATAATTTAGTCCTTCCTCGTCCAGAACGCCTGAGGGTTGCACCATCCCTTGAGGCCAACAACACCCCACTCCATTCCCAGACCGGCCTGCTTGTGCCCACCAAAAGGCATGTGTGGGCCAACCTCAAAGTGGGTATTTATCCAAACGCTACCAGCCTCCAATTGGTCCGCGATCTTTGTTGCCTTGGTGATATCGCTGCTCCACACGGACGCACCGAGCCCCGAGTCGAAGCCGTTGGCGCGGCGGATTAGCTCGGCTTCATCAGACCACCTCATGACGGGCAGGATGGGTCCGAAGGGCTCCTCGGCCTCGATGCGGGAGCCCTCGGCCGGGTCATCTATGATGGTTGGGGGGAGAATGAAGCCCTTGCCCTCCTTCTTCTCCTTGAGACCGCCCGTCGCAATCTTCCATCCTTCCTTCTCGGCTGCCTCAAACAGGTTCAAGACCTTGGCATATTGCATGCTATTTTGCACTGGGCCGACACCAGTGTTGGGGTCTGCTGCCGGACCGGGCTTCATGTTGTTGCGGACGAAGTCAACCATGGCCTTCAAGAAGTCGTCATATATCTTCTCGTGGACGTAGATTCGCTTCACGTTCATGCAGATCTGCCCGGAGCTGATGAGAGCGAGTGTGCTGACCTAGTGATTGAGTCAGTACATAGATTCCTCACGGAAACCGTAATCAGCTAGACACACCTTTGGCACAACTTTGGCGAGGTCGGCGTCGTCGCACACGATAGCAGCGTCATTCCCACCCAGCTCCAGTGTGAGCCTCTTCACAGTCTTGGCGCAGGCTTCCGCAACCTTTTTGCCAGTGGCAGTGCTTCCAGTGAAGCTAACCTTGTTGATCCCACTGTGATGTGTTAGCAACTACGACGGAAGATGGCGAATCATGCCAGGAAAAGACCCGGACTTACGGGTGCAGAGTCAGAAGAGGGCCCAGGCTCTCATCACCACTAAGGACCTGGATGACACCAGGAGGGAAGATCTTTGAGGCGAGCTCGCAGACCTTGATCAGAGTGTACGGGGCGTAAGGCGAGGGCTTTACAATGACGGTGTTTCCAGCCATAACACCAGGACCGATCTTGCCCACACCGAGCAGCAGCGGCCAATTCCAGGGGACAATGGCGCAGCCAACACCGAGAGGGCGATACCGAACGATTGCAGTGCGCTCAGCCGTGTCCTCAACGGTCTCGTCAGGTATCCGGAGCCCAGCCGTCACGCGGAGGTGCCCGATGGCGAATTGCATCTCCATGTTAGCCGTGTTGAAGGCTTTGCCGGACTCGTTCACCAGGAGGTCACGGATCTCATCATGGTTGGCCTCAATCGCGTCTGCCAGCTTCTGGACGCACGCGCCACGCTCATCCCATGACTTGGAACGCCACGCCGGGAAGGCCTCTCTGGCGAATGACACAGCCTGGTCGACCTCCTCCTGGCCGGAGACAGGCAGGTCAGGGAGGTTCTCTTCCGTGCTGGGGTCCACGCCATGTCTGACCTCCGAGGTCGACTTGAGCTCGTTGTTTATGACATTTTGGAAAGTCTGCACAACTTCATTAGTCCACCGATACATATGAGCTTGATCAAACGGGATAAGGGCAGCTTCGGGTGCTCATCTCCTGCAAACCATGGTACTCACCGTGAACTGGATTTTGTAGTCGGCCATGATGACGATTAGGGGCGAGAATCACTAGGCGTCACGAGGTTCTGCAGAAATGAGGATGAGGGCTACAAAGAGAGAGGTTGCTCGTTTCGAAGACCGCTCGTGATGCCTTTTCAGGGCGGAAATCTGTTCACTTATGTAAACTCACGAGCATGCAGTCAAGATCCGTACAAATCCAGGGGCAGTGGGGACAAGACGGTATGCACGTACCCAACAACCCCTCGCTTACGCATGAGCTAACTGCAATATGGTCGCTCTCCCATCAAAGCGGCCCCTCCTCCGCTCACGATCCACACGAAGCTGTCGCTTCTCGTGACAATGCCCGGGCCGGGAGAAGTTGTCTTGGCTCCCCGGCATCTCATTGGTTGCCGAGTGGGCCCTGGGGTCTTGGTATTTGGGTCGCCCCGCCCCTGCTGCGACCAGGCGATCCTTGAGTTGACCGTTGGAAGGTCAATCGCCTCATATAAGATTGGGCTTCGCTTTTGAGCACCAGTCCCGTGGTTGGTTGCTTAATCCCGGCTGTTTACTCTTCCAGCCTGAAACAGAATTCCGTGATCAAAGAACGACACAACCAGTCTTGGCAGCAGTATCTGCACGAATTGGGAAGGCGGGTCACTCGCTTGATGTGCAATCAATTACCATGGCCGTGCGACTGATGTCGATGATGGCACTTGCATCTCGGAAGAAAAGATACGCTTACAAACAGCCATTTATTGATAGGATACGAGTGAGATATTATCTCCTTCCAAGAGACAAGTCCTCTTCTCCGTCTGGAACCGAGACAGGGAATGTTCAGCCAGATATTATGAGCGCCATTTCTCCCTAAAGAGACCTCCTTTACTCCCCTTCGAGCACCCTTGCCTTCGCATCAGCGATCCACAAATGGAGGCAAAGCCAGCTTCGCCAAGAAGGCCGAACCGAAAACTGAGGTCTCTCCCGTATTAGGCATATGATGATTGAGCCCTGATTCAAGGTTTACCAATCGTTGTAAGTGAGTGTGGGCATAATTTTTGTGCAGGCGGCATTTTCTTTTGTGGCCGAGTACCTACCCACCGTGCCTGGACGCTTTTGGCTGTCTGGGGCGATTACCACAGTGAATCCGAATAGGAGTTAGACTGTGAGGTCTGTTCCAAGTTTCGGAAGCGATTGATCATTAAATCCACTTGCACAAGCGCAGTCTACAAAACTCTGGCGTTCCGCACCGCTGCATCCTCTCACAAGAAATCCCCTTCTCGGTTCGGCATTCCCACGTGGCCCTATGCACTTGCAGACTTCGCGGATCTATCACACGGCAACGACTGAGTTAGTCGTACTACACGATAATCAAGATGGCGTTCACATACAACCCGCTGGTCGAGAGTAAGCAGCTTCGAAATACGATCTCCACCATCTGAAAAAGGCCCCTCTGCCTCGAGGCTAAAACCTCTTGGCTAGACGGTGGCCACGTGGTGGCGCACCCCACTCACATCTACATGGGACTACTTCCTCGATACTCTGACAGCTGACCCCAAATACCGCAGTGTGGACGCTCTATGTCGTGGGGTCCATGTTGATATTTATAAGGGTAGCAACCAGGTGGCGAATGGTTGGTCTTCAAGGATTCAAGCCGGATGACTATCTGGTCTGGTTCTCATGGGTTTGTTATCCTATTCACGCTCTCAAGTACCTCTTTACTGACTCGGCCTTGTGTCAAAGATTGTGTATACCGTGATGAGCATTGCTGCGCATATTTGCGGTGTACACGCAGACCTCCACACACTGTCCCTAGAACAACGCAGGGTCATGACCGAAGAGGAGGCTGCACCCTATATCTGGGTTACTCAATGGTTCTGTGCTGGCGTCGCGACATACATCGTCTTTATTTGGTCTCTCAAGTTCAACATGCTCTTCTTCTATCAGCGAGTCGTGGACGGACTTGCCGTCGACAAGTTCATCAAGCCCGGCTTTGTCTTCGTTGGTTGCACCTTCATCTCCATCATCTGCATCTTGTTCGCATCTTGTCGACCTTACCATAGGATGTGGATGATGTACCCAGACCAAGGAGCGAACTGCGAGCCGCAGGCCGAGATTTACATGTTGCCTGCATTGATCATGAATATATTTGTAAGCTGTTCATGTTTTGTTTTGAGATATTCTTTACTTCAATACTTTAGAATCTGAGCAGAGCTAACGTTGCTGGTAGACTGATCTATGCATTATGGCTATTCCAGCTCCAGCTATTTTGACTGTGAGAACAACCATCCAGCGCAAGATAAGCCTTATCATCATCTTCTCAGCCGGAATCTTTGTGATGATTGCTGCTATTCTCCGAGTATCGATGGTTTTGGTCGGGGGAGACGGCGGAACGGCGGCCATCTGGTCGTGCCGGGAGGATTTTGTTGCGATCTGTGTCGGGCAGGCTCCAATTCGTGAGTCCTCTTTGGATTCCTTTCACGCAATGCTTAATGGTGATTTTACTGACCATGGGCAAACTACTTCCTAGTGCGGCCTCTCCTCACCAAGCGTTTCTGGACAGGAGAAATGTCTCACAATTCGAAGAACAAGTCAACGATCCCGATCCAGAGCAACGACGCATTCGAAATGAGCGCCGCCCGGAAAGGTACAATTAATGGGTCGAGGAGCAAGAAGGGAAATAGTGTGAATATCTTTTCCACACAGGGTAGGGATAGCGACGAGGAGTCGACGGATAGGATTATTAATAATGGTGGTATAATGGTAAATACCTGGGTTGGTGTTGAGACTGAGACTCCGGTGAGTCGCCAGGGAGAGTCCATTCACCACAGCTTGTCATACCGGGACGGGCAGAAGTCCTAGGCGACTCATGTAGATATTGTTAGATAGCATTTGCGATTTTAATTACAAGCGCCAGCCCTTTTTTCTCTACACGTCCAAAGCCACTCTTAAATCTTAGAATACTCTGCCTAAGAACCTTTCTTATTGCATCCTAATTTATTAAGTCCTTCCGGGTAAAATAAAAGCTTTATATATAAATTATCCTTAGTATTATATATTATAATTCGAGATTTAAGTATAAAATTCTACTATAGTATAAATATACACTTAAGTATATTCTATAATATTAAAACTATATTAGTAATATAGAAATATTATAATAAATTAAAGTTAATAATATAATATAATAAAATAAAAATATTTTATTATTATTAAAAATAAGTAAAATACTTTTATTTATTAATAAACCTTTTAAAATAACTTTATATAATTAATTTAAAGTATTTACTTTTATATAAAAACGTTATATATATCTTTAAATATATATGAAATAAAAGTAAAACTATATAATTAATTTAAATTTTTAAAAATAGTAATTTAAATATAATTATTTTATTTAAAGTTATAAAATATTAAAATTTTATTTTATTTTTTTATTTTTTTATTTTTTTTTTATTTTTTTTTTATTTTATTTTTTTATTTTAAATTTATTTTAAATTTATTTTAAATTTATTTTAAATTTATTTTAAATTTATTTTAAATTTATTTTAAATTTATTTTTTTAAAAAAATTATTATTTTATTTATTTTTAATTCTATAAAGATTTTATTTATAAAGTATTTATAATATATTATTAACGTAGTTACTTTAATCTTATTATATAAATAAGGGTATTACTCTATATAAGTTAGCTATAATAAGTTAAATTTAGTGGAACTACTCCATCCAACCAGGTTAAATGATCTACATGGTACTGCCTAGTGATAGTCTTTGAACGCACTTGTCCAGGGCCGCATGCTAGTGCTGAGCGCGGCTATTGTCCCTAGTGGTTTATGGCCTGGTCGTAATGCACACAAACCTAGCACCTGAGCATCAATATCGCTTTTCGACGATATGAGCGGCGCGGTCAATGCATCAACGCAGAGTTGCTCTGTATTCCATTGCGTACCAGTCCCACTCGACCAGCACCGGCATGTATATTGCACATGGCAGTATTTGGTCGTTGCCACATCCCCAACGAAGCTTGTTGATGCTTTTAACCACATTCGGAGAAGGCCCGGGGTGGAATCGTGCTAAGGATCGAGCCAACTGCTTTGTGAAACGCTACTTTTCCCCTCTGACCAAGTAAAAAGTCTCAGCGCAGCGCAAATTTGGTACCGTGCAGGAGTAAGCACTATAATTCTAGAGGCCAAACGAAAGCCCACTGGCGCTTCCGAACGGCGGCTGATCTTGAATGCCCAGGTGGCAGCCCGACGGCCGGAATAAAGGTTGGCATTGTCCATTTCCCCTTGGAGCCCGAGTCTTGGCCCCTGGGCATCGACCTCCTCGCATTCGCCAAGCTGCAACAAACCAACACGACCAATTATTCCGAAATGGGCATCATTGTAAGACTGCTCGGCTCGGGCCTGGGCATCGCAAGCGAAGCAATACAGTATGTGGTACCGCAGAGATCTTTGGTTCATGGTTCTATCAATTAGCAAACACCTACTACTATCATCCCGACACATCTCACACGTAATGTTTGCAGTCGCTAATCCCAGCGGGAAACAGCGACTACCGCGCCCGCTCTCGTTCAAGGTCTGCACAGAACCCGTCCACAGAGCCTGTGATTGCTTCGTCATCAACCTCTGCAGCACCGATTCCGGCAGACTCCCCTCCTGAGTATGTCGAGGTTGCCGACGAAGCAACAGCCGATCAACTCGTGCGCAGCGGCAAAGCTGAACGTATCTCCGACTACGGAAACGAGAAGCTGCGCCAATCGAAGGCTTCTGAGGCCGGCTATCCGGACGATGATGGGCACTCGACGAGTGACGATGAGTCAGACACCAGCGAGGTGGACGATGAAGCTGCTTGGGAGCTAGACGACATGGCCGAGAGGCTTGCGCCCCCTTCGTATGCCGAGTCCGAGGCAGGCTCGCCCACGCAAATGACTGCAGAAAATGAGTCCGAGGAGACCAAAGTCAGGAAAGAGGTGCAAATGATTAGTGACTTGCTCCGCTTGGCTGGGCCACCGCCACAGCCAGCACAGCGTATTCCATGCCCAGTCATCATCCCTCAGAGGCGGCCCCGAAACAAAGACAGAGGCTTCGTCAGGGCATATTCTCCTGTGTTGGACGACTGTGGTATCAGCCAAGACGTATTCATCAAATTCCTGAAGGATTGGCTTGCGGCCAGTCAGGTAAGTATTCCCCCAACTCAAAGACACCGATATATCAATAACGAAGCATTACGGGCCATGTGCTAATCCAAAATTTAGTCCGACCCTTGGATCGATATAATATTCATCGCAGCTGGTATCGTTGGATTTGTCCCTGAAATGGCCACCCAGATTGTTAGCACGGTCGCTCAGGTGGTTGCCGGGACAGCAAAAGAGCTGCAGTCACGCTCCAGGCGGAACACCTTCCTTGATCGTGTGAACCAAGAGCTGTTCATGCCTCGTGGGCTGTATGCAATGGTCATGGCTTTCAAAGACGAGGTGTCGGGACAGCAGCCCCGCGGGCCGTTGAGCAAGCTCGCCAACGCAACAGGCAAGGCACTATTCTCGGCAGAGCGGTTGGACATCAACCAAACCGTTGCCAAGTACAGCAAACCCGAAGCCGAGATGTCGAAGATGAAGAAAGGTTTGCAGAACTTGAGACTTGTCAGTGGTAAGACCCATGGTGAGATTGAGTTGCCTGAGTCAGCCCCCCTGGTCTTTCCAGGACTGGACCGAGCAGCAGATTTGGACCTGCAACAGCAAAGCAACGGCAAAGAGGTAGTGAACGAGACTACAAAAGAGAAGTGGAAGAACGCTGGAAAGTGGGTCCAAGACTACCTGGACAGAAGAGCTCAGGCAACATACGTGAGTCAGCCTGGTTAGGTCACGGTTGTGACACAAATGCAAATGTGTTGCTAATAGTCAACGGGTGTCTTAGGAAAGAGAACACCAAGGCTCATCTCTGGCCGTCCCAACGAATGCCCGACCGGCCTTCTCATCACGCTTCAGTGACCCAAACCATCCCGCGAACAGCGGTTCTCTAATCTCCTTGCTCACAGGTGGAAGTGTCAACCCTGCTGCCAGACGCCAGGAGCGCCGGGAGGCCAGACAAGGTCGTAGAGAGGCGAGGCGGGAGTACAGAGACCATAGCCGGATGGCTCGTGGGAGAGCACCTAGGGGTCCCAGACAGGCAAGAAGGCCCAAGGGTCAGCGTAAGAAGGGCGGAATAATCAAGAGGATTCTCCAGCAGGATGTGCTGTATCTGTTGATTGTGAATTTGCCCACAGAGCAGGAGGTGCAGGATTCGGTGGCGAATCTAGAACTGGCCATGACAGGGAACAATAAGACTGTGTGAATGGCAATGGCAGAGGATGCGAAGACTCATGGTTCAAGTTGAAATACTGGAGGACTGTCAACACAAGGTGTCGCAGATACCTGTCACAATATCTATAGTCATCCATGGTACAGCAATACGTTCTGTGTCCCAGTTCAGGGAGACCGTCCATCATGGAACGCTGGATGGTCAATTACACTATGTTGGTCGTTTCTTATCAACATCATATTTCCGTGTTTCCTGTTTCTTAATCCTTACTGTGTTCACAAGTTCTCATATGGATCCGAGATATTGTCCAATTACAGTGGTTTGAGTTGTAGAAGACTTTTCCTCAGTCGATGGGCTTCCAAATATTACCAGAAATCTTAGTTTTTTAACAATGACACACAGGAAACCGAGAAGACTTTTGCTTTGAAAGTGGATTCGCGGCCGGCCATACTGAATTGACTGAAAAGTAATGAAGGACAAAGACCATCTACAAAGACAATGGGACTCGGGAACATTTGTATAGAATTTGACAACATCGAGGTGAAAAGGCAGCACAGCATATTGTTCGGTCACTGCATGGTTTCTTTATGGTTATGGACATATACTAAGCCTGATTCTTCATTTTGGAGGCCAGCCTCAGGCATTATATATTAATCGTTCAGCCACTGCATCGAATATCGCCCTCACTTAAAAGTTCTGTCAACAACCAGCCAAGACACACAAACCCACATCAAAATGCGCCTAGTTCTGATGATTGCCCTCGTGGCAAATGTCTTAGCAACCAACATACTTCTACCACTCGTAAGTCATGTTTTCTTTCTCTTTCTCCATCCACAGTCTGTCTTTCTTGTCATTTCAAGCAGGCTCATCCTTCATTCTACCCAGTATCCACCGTGTTTTACTAACTTACTTTTGCTCTAGTACGTCTGGCCGGCAAGTGGAGCTTGGAACAACGTATACGAGGCTATCGAGATGAATAGCCAGCTCACTTTTCAAATCATCATCAATCCTAACTCCGGCCCCGGAGGTGGGGCACCTGGCGACAGCGAAGAGTACATGGCCGGTATCACCAAATTGAATTCCTATAGAAACGTCGAGCTCTTCGGCTACGTTCACTGCAATTACGATACCAATCTCGGCGACGAGATCAACCGCAACGTTACGCAGTGGAATGCTTGGAATGTCAACCCGGAGACCACAATCCGAGTCAACGGCATCTTCTTCGACGAAATACCCAACGAAGAAGACCAGGGCGACAGCGAGAGCGTTACATTTTTAGCATCGCTGGTCAAGGCTGCAAGGTCCACCTTCGGTGTCCACCCTTTCAAGAGCATATTCAACCCCGGCACAATCCCACAACACACCGAGCTATATGATTTGGCGGACTACATAGTCGTTTTTGAGTCAGAGGCTTCCTCGTACAAAGAAGCGGTCCTTTCAAGTCATATTCCATCTGGGAAGGCGAGTAAATCATCCATCTTAGTGTACAACTTTGAGAGAGAGGGAGACAAGGGACAACTCGAGACTTGGTTGCAAGGTATGATATCCATTGGAGTGGGTAGCGCCAACATTCTGAATGCAGGGTACGACGAGGCCACCAGTGATGACGACCCGGCTGGTATTTCAACTGTCGCTTCAATATTGTCTGCTGGGGTCAGATCCACAGCCACGCCTCCCAACGGCACCAGTTGCAGATGTCATTCGGGAGGGCATCCTGGTGGGCTTTGAGGACACACGAGACCACAGGATACACGCCTGGAAGACGTAGCGAGGGCATCCAAGAGGATGATGTCCTGCAAGGGGACGGTGATATTCAAGAGGCCGACAACTGGCAGGTTCCGAGTTTGGTAGTAGGTATTTTTAGGATGCTGCACATGTGGCTTCGCAGAAATATATCCAGCCTTGAAAATGAGTAGTTGTACAATTTGAAAGAAACAGGGAATCCAGCCCGTGATCGTATATTCGACGTTCTCTAGAGTAGCCCCACATACAGCCGCCCACATTGTGACAAATACGTTAGCTAAAATTGGCGCAGGTGAACAGAGATGAAGACTCAGAAGTTTGTCTGAGTGCCCCTTTCCAAGGAACATTGACTGTAATACAGGCTTGTGTGCAGTTCATCATCACCCTTGCCTGCCCACCTGTGCAGGTGTGCCACTATCTCGTGTTCTGAAACAACATGACTGGTATGTCATGGTGCGAAGAGGCGCGCGGCGGTGGGATGGCCCGGCCCTAGCCCGTTGCCAAGCTGCAAAGCCTGTCTAGACTCTAGTGCCAATGCTAATGCATAATTCACGATAACATTGGCGAGTCATCAACATGTTCAGATGATCACCCATCGCCAGCATCTACCCAGGTGGCCCGAAGCATGAATGCCAAGATAAGTATAGAACACCATCACCGTGCGTTACACTAAAACAGGGTTTAGCCACAAACAACGTAAGCTGTATGGCCCCATTGTTTCCTCTGACAGCCTCGGCAAACTCTCGACCGAACGCAGACTAATATATCAACTACTATAACTTGGTTTTCCTTGTAACATGGATCAGGGTGTCAAAACCACTACTGACGAGACACAGAGTCAAGTGACCGCCAAACCCTGAAGTAGACCCTTGGTAGTTCGCCAGCCCGAAGTGCTGCATTGTCATGGTGGGTTGCATCGTCAATCTGATCTTGGTCAAGGGTGGAGCTATCGAGCATGTTGGAAGATCAATGAGGCTGAAGAATCTAGGCAGGGGTGATCTTTAACCTTATGATCTTATCCTGCGGACACACACTGGCAGTCCCAAGCGAATGCCAAATTTAGACCTTCTTAGCAACTTCAGCCCTGGTGAAATCTATCACCATCGGACAATGAATTGATACTTCCACGCCGAGGAGCACACTGAAGGCTCGCAATGTGTGTATTTAAGAGGGAACGGGACGCGCAATTCTCGTCTAGATCTAATCATCAACAGATCAGCCATCCGTTCTACACAGCAGCACGATCTGCATCCTTCATTCCCTTTCAGTCATTCTCTTGTTCGAACCATTCCATTCCTAGCCTGATCACTCTTTACAGGCTCGTTCGCTCCGTCACGTCCACCAGAGTCACCTGTCCAGCCCTACCAAGATGTGCACCAAGAAAGTTTTTGCCTTTGCAGCCGCACTGCTCGCGATCCATCCTGCCTTGGCAGTCCCCGTTGCCGACAATTCACCAGCAGGTGTCTTTCCACGAAATGAGACCACAGTCGTAGACCCTCCCAGAGACCCCAAGCCCGACATCACAAAGATCCCGGAAATGACTTGGGAGGAACTTCAGGAGCTGATCGACCTCTACAATGATGAAGGGGTCCAGCTCGAGTCCAGGACCTATAGCGTCGATGAGCTCGCTGCCAGGAATGAGCAAGTCGTGTCCCCAGACACTTCTCTTCTGAAGCGTCAAAGCGGCGGTACATCGAAGGAAGGCCCTTTCTTGTCTTTTCTGGACGGTTCAGACAAGCCTGGGACCAATCCAAAATGTGAAGACTTCACTCTGAACGGCCCTTTTACAAATATCCAGTAAGCCCTGCCGGTCAGATAGCTTAATCAACGGACTTGCTAATATTCATCACACAGCGTTTTCATGGGGTCTTCCAACTTGCGTGGAATCAAGGCCACTAGCTACTCAGGAAACACATCAGAGGTGCACTCCAACGCGTCCCTCGCTGATGCTGAGTTCACATTCGCCGACAACGAGCGCATTACCAAGTTCTCCATCGCCCGTACTGATGCAGCCAGCATCTTCGTTTCCGGTCTCAGGTTCGACACTGACGCCGGTAACTCATTCGAGATCCTTGGCAGCATTTTCTCGCAACCCGATTCAAAGGGTCCCGTGTGGCAGGACATTCCGACGGGATCGGGGATTCTCGCCCGTCTCCGTGGCACCAACTGCGACTCTTTGGAGATCTTTGGCAGCTTTGGCGTGGACTTCCTCGACGATCTTGGGTCTATCTCTATCACAAACATCGACTACGAGGGCTTTGCCAAGTCAATCATGCCCGCAGGTCGTGGGACTCAGATGTCCGTCGGCTCGCAGATCCTGGACAACCGCAACAGCTCGGTTTCGCAGACTATTACCCTTATGACTACCGACGCTGTCACTGAGTCCAGGACTATCGGTACCCAGATCCGAGCTCTGGTCGGTGGCAGCGTCGCGGTCGACGGAAAGGTCGGGATCCCATTCGTCAGTGAAGGCTCAATAAGGACCGAAGCCAACTGGCAACTCGAGAAGTCAACCGTGAGTCTCTCCAAATTCCAATTTCCTTTTTTTTTTCATGTTTTATTTTCTTGCTTTTCTTTACTGCCTCCGGGCTATAAATGCAACTGTCTGTCTCTAACAAAGTCAACACAGAGCGATATTGATATGGTCGGTTCCACCACCACCCGTGCCGCGACGTTTGCTCTCGCCTGCCCAGCCGGCAAATTCTGCACCGCCAATGCGTTCTTCATGCAATACAAGGTCGACGTCAACATTAATGCAACTTTCACTGCCACCACAAAGGCTGGCTCGACGTTCAACTGGATCCAGGGGGGCACTTACAAGGGAGCCGACAGCCTGTCCATGCAATTCAACGTCACTGAGGTCGACCACATCAGCTGAGCTTCTGTTGGAGGATACAAGGATTTGATGACACTGTGGTTCCTCTCTTCTTCCGAGTTCACTTCCTTCTTGTAAAGTAGCATTGTTCAGTTGCGTTGTGTATAGCTTGATGATGGTTACGATTTGTGTTTTGCAGACTGCATTTTGCGGTTACCTTTTGGGACTGCAAGCGCCCGACAGTATGGCTTTAGAATCCAGAGAATTTGAGTGTTTTACCTGCAAGTGGGTTCTTTGGACTTGTGACACATGGTGGGGTTGCCTAAACCTATTTTACACTTGTGTCATCTCCATGAACACGCAGTATCAGACTCGTCCTAAGATGTCATGTCTCTTCTCATAATTGTTGTCATTTCTATAACAGATCTCACATTATCCTAGGACAGCATCTAACATCGATTTAAGTTGAAATCAGTGCCTATACGATGCCAAAATCATGCTGCAGAGGTGTGGAATGTATCTGCTTTCCTCAGTAGCTTAGTGATATTGTGAGCCTAGATAGCTTATCCTTAGAGCCATCTAGCTACTCGTGGACTGAGCCAGTCTTTAGTTTGAGCCTAGGACAGAGCACGGTTATCACAGCAAGGAAGAAGATCCCGGGCAGGAGGAGCTAGAGTAGACCTAAGGGGGGGCGAGAGCCTAGAGGAGCTTAGCTAGAGCTACCTTGTGTCTGTAGGCACCCCAGAAGGCTTAGACAGGCACAACAGTTGCATACTGACGGTTGGCTTAGCTTACGCGTAAGAAGTGGTTGAAGTGGAGTGAATTGGTGATAGTTAGAAGGTCTGCCTGTGGGCGGCGAAGCGCCCAGTTGGGTTGGCCAGACCTACTGACTAAGCCTGGTCCGTGCGCGGGCACGGGCCCACTATTCCTTGCTTGCAGTGGCTAATCCACTGCAGCCTACTATTCCCACACTGGCAACTTTTTAGTCTTCTGAAATCGAGGTCCAACGTCCCTTCCTTCCTTCCAGCCAATCAGAGAGCTCCATTTGCTGATAAAGTGGTTTCCGACCAAATCGCTCCAATTGCTTAGAATTACCACCAAACGTGCGATTACAATTTGCTCGATTTAAGCACCCAAAAAACGCTCCAAATCGACGTTTTACAAATCACCTAAATCACTTAAATTTAAATTACTTTAGTAAGTAAAATTAAGTTTAAATTACTAATTAATTAATTACTTACCGAACTATCGCTAGTTACTTACTAACTATAACTAATTATTAATTAATTTATAACTATTAATTAGTTTAATTAATCCTTTAATAGTTTCTTCTTCTTTTATAACTTAATTAACTTAATAAATATAATCCTTCCTTATTAAATATATCACCACTTTATCTATAAGGGCTATTGTTTACTTTATCGGTCCTTCATCTTATACTTAGTTAAGAGTTTTATTTTAATTAAAGATCTTATCTTCTACTTAATTAGTTATATAGGTAGCTATAATATCTCCTCTTTATTTAAATAGGGCATTTAAATAAAGTTAAGTAGGGCTTAAAGTAGTAGCTTAATATCGATATAAACATTGTTTAAATAAAGGTTATTATAAAGGTCTTTAAGAAGTTCTAGCTTAATTCATTTAAGGCACTCCTTAATTTAATTTTTAAAAGTTTTATAAAAGTACTAGAAGTACTTATTAGAGTAGCCTATATTTCCTTTAAGAAACTATTAAACTTCTTTATTATTAACTTTAATAGCTATATATTCCTCCTTATAGATATTACTAATATACTTCTTTATTTTATTCTTTAACTTAAACTTCTTTTAATAATATAAGTAGGTATACTATTAATATATACTTATAATAGCTATAGATAACTTTATTGTAAAACTTAGGGTTATAATAGCTATACCGTTAAAGTATTCTACTTAAATTACTTAAAAAAGAGAAAGAGAGAGAGAAGTTAAGAAAGAGTATAAAAGTTACTTACTTAATTAATTACTTAAGTAATATAAAATAAGTAGGTAGGTAAATAAATTAATTAATAGGTAGGTAAATAGGTTAATTAATAAGTAGTTATTTTAAGGATTTAATAAATAAACTTAAATTATTAATTTATAAAAGAGAGAGTTATTATAAGAGAATTACTTACTTATAAAACTTACCTAATAAAAGGGTCCTACTTAATTAATAGTTAAATTTACACCTAAGTAACCTAGATAACTTACCTTCTAAAGAGGCTACAATAGTAATAATAGTATCACTAATTTATCTTCTTTAAACTATAATAGTAAAATAGCCTTACCGATTCATCCTTCTAAAGGACTTAACGCCTAAGTAGCTTAGACGATTTACCTTACTATTAAAAGCTAGTTAGTAAAGCTGGTTGGCGACTAATCAGTGATGGTTGGCTTAGCTTATGTGTAAGAAGTGGTTGAAGTAGAGTGAATTAGTGATAGTTAGAAGGTCTACCTATAGGTGGCGAAGCGCCTAGTTAGGTTAGCCAGACCTACTAACTAAGCCTAATCTATGCGCGGGCACAGGCCCACTATTCCTTACTTACAGTAGCTAATCTACTGCAGCTTACTATTCCCACACATACTATATAATACTTAGTAGTCTATATAATAGGTAGGCTATTTCTAGTATAGAAGTTATATAAAGATATAAAGAAACTATCTTCTTACTTTTAACTTAAGTTTAATTAAATAAAATTTAATTTTAAAATATCTTTAAATTAAGTATATAAAGTATTTAAAGATAAGTAGATAGTGTTAATAAAGTTATTATATTTAAAGTTAAAATTTTAAGTACTTTATTTAACCTAAAAGAGATAACCTCTTTATAACTACTTTATTATAATAGCTTCTTCCTAACTTATACTACTATACCTATTAAACTTTTATTATATAACCTCTATATATAAGTTTATATAAGTATTATATAAAGTGTAGGTGTAAAATACTAGCTAAAGCTTGGAAACAATTGTAACTATGGAGTATTGTGTGCCTGTGTAACTGTTATGGGGTGCCGTGAAGCACCGGTACGATAGCTCATCGTTGATGACCTGATAGGGTGAAGTGGAATCCTTCGATAGATAACACCAACCAGGGTGGGTATACAAATCTGGGGCATTTACGGGATTGGGATCAACATTTGCTCGGCCTTAGTATCACTTGGAAATGTGTTGTCTGTACCTAGGTAGCTAAGGTGTGTAGAATGATGCTTCGCTTGTTTGCCAAGTCACGGTTTTTTTTTTTTGGTTTTTTTTTTTTTTTGCACAATTCCTATTTATGCTGCGTCTCTTGCTATCTTTGTGAGCGTGTCTACTCGTATTTATAATAGAAGAAGAGATGATATTTATTATTAGCACCTCGAGAGCCTATACTAGGGAGGTATGTTCTTGGCTGCACCTCCGCATGCACTGGCAGGCTCGGTTCCCGAGGTCAGTACGTTCGACAGGATCATGACCAACAATTTGGAAATTCCCGTGACGTATATCCGATCTAATGATCATGTGCCCGAGATAGGTCTTTTCTCGCTGAGTAAACCCAGGCGTGGACACTCGCCTATGGATGCCTATTGGGGCAGGTAGATGCGAGGGACGCGGCCTGGGCGTTGTGGCCGACATCCTCGCACGGCAGAGGCTAGCCCAGACGGGACTTTCAACGTGCCGCACCGATGGCATCCTGAGCTTAAACAATCCGGAGAGTAATCGAATGGGCGATAGCGCCGTATATGGGTGGCCAAGCAGCTGCCAAGATGCGGTCCCAGACTCCTGGGCAGTAATCTGACAGCCTCCGCAATCTCCTTATCTCTCTGCCGGCCCTTGGCGGTCTCCACCAAGGGAGTCTCGCCAAGCACCATTTGCAAGTCCTATTCCCCCTTCCTGGGGTCAAATCTTGCTTATCGGGGGTTCTTACGCTGACGGCTGACTAGCAGACACCACGCGACGTCCGGGGAGGGGGGCGAATGTCTGCGATGCATATATGTTTGAACATGTAGCCCGCCTCGCTTTCCTGGCTGCCAGTATACTGGCCTCCATCTCTCTTACGAGTCGCTCAAACTCCCGAACGACGCAATGGGTGTCCCAGAAGACCAAAAGGAGCCAATGGGCATCTCGTCTGCTCAGTCAACATCCGAAACCCATGTTGGCGTGGGCGATGTGAAGGTCACTGGTGGCGGCGGCCTTGAGCGACGAGCCGAGTACGAAACGCAACGAGGCCTCTCACCTCGACATGTGCAGCTCATGGCCATCGGTGGATCGATTGGCACCGGGCTCTTCGTCGGCATTGGCAGCGTGCTATCTCAAGCAGGTCCACTGTCGCTTGTCCTTGGTTACCTCTTCTGGGGTATATTGTTTGTGTGGCCGTGCTACCTGTGCGTGGCCGAGATGTGCACCTTTCTACCTATCCGAGGAACGATATTCGAACTTGCATCTCGGTTTGTCGATCCGGCCCTTGGTTTTGCAATGGGTTGGACATACTTTTTTGCGGGGACCATGTTGGTATGCATTGAGGCTGAATCACATGTCCGCATTAAATCACTAACCGGAACATCTAGGTCTGTGTTGAATACAGCGCTGTGGCCACGGTCATACAATTCTGGAACACCGATATCAACCCGGCGGCTTGGATTGCTCTCGCAATGGGGATATGTGTGTTCTTAAACATCGTGGGGGTCCGGTGGTATGGCGAAAGCGAATTTGTCATGGCCTCACTCAAAGTCCTGCTTCTTTTTGGGCTTGTAATACTCACAATCGTGACAATGTCGGGCGGAAATCCACAGAAAGATGCCTACGGCTTCAGGAATTGGGGTGATGGAAACTATATGATCCCATGTAAGCCCCAAATCTATTTTCCGCTTCGTTCTGAAATGTTGTTGGAGACATTACCTCAGGGCCCATCCTAGCATTACATTATTAACAGTTTCTAGATTATGCCGAAGGATCCACTGGTAGATTTCTCGGATGGTGGTAAGTCGATTCAGGATTCCAGGTGAAGTATACATGTGCTCACAATTTCCTCAGGTCCGTGGTGATCTACGCCGGATTCACCATCGCGGGCCCTGATATGCTCGCCATCTCGGCCGGAGAGATCCAAAACCCACGTCACACTATCCCACGTCTCGCAAAGCTCATCTTCTATCGGCTCGTCGGATTCTACGTCGTTGGTGTCCTCGCTGTGGGCATCATCTGTTCCCCCAAGGACGAGCGCCTTATGGGAGCCATTGAGGGTTCCGGGTCTGGAGCGGCCGCATCTCCGTAAGCAGCTTCTGGAAACAATCTTTCCCCCTTCATGAACAAACAAGTCCAATTTCCAGCCTTTGCGATAATGATCTCGCGGGCTATCTTGCGATAGGCTATGATCACCTTGTGGCTTGCTCCTCCCTACATTCACATCAGACTACTTGCTTAGTTCTTTGATGGCTAACTTCTAATGCTGTAAAGATGGGTTATTGGGATCCAGAATCTGGGCATTACTGGGTTGCCCAGTCTGATTAACTTTCTGATTCTGACTTCTGGATTGTAAGTCGCCTGTCGTGATGGACTGCATTGAAGACTAGCTAATCACTTGCGCAGATCGTGTGGAAATGCTTATCTTTATTCCGCCTCGCGTACTCTGTACGGTCTCGCACGAGGTTAGTACTAACTACTAAGTGGTCTCTACCACGAGTTTGTTGTGCTGGATTTCACTGACCGACTGTACACAGATGGGCAAGCTCCCAGATTTCTCCTTATCTGCACGAAGGCTGGAGTACCTATTTACTGCGTCGCGGCTGTATCCCTGATCACATGTATCACTTTTCTGGTATCATCGAACTCGACTGTCACGGTCTTCTATTGGTTTGTCGACCTTACAACCACCGCTCTTATTGCGACATATACCGGTATGCTGTGGACCTTTATCGGCTGGTACAGAGCAAGAATGGCACAGCCCAACGCGGTGCCCCTGACGGCACTACCCTACGTTGCGCCTCTGACCCCTGGGGCCGCATATTTCGCCTGCGGCTTGGGGTGCTTTACTCTGTTGTTCATCGGATACGACGTATTCGCGCCGTTTGACTACCAGACATTCATAACAGACTACTTCGCAGTTGCGTTTGGTCCTTTCATGTTTTTGCTCTGGAAAGTTGTCAAGCGGACACGATTTGTGTCCCCGGCCGAGGCGGACTTGCTCAGCGGCAAGGACCAATGTGACGAGGAATGCAGGATCTGGGAAGACGGTGGAGTGGAGGAGAACGTCAGGGCGCGTTTGCAAGAAATGAATGTCTTCAGGAGAGCCTGGGAAAAGTTGTGGTAGTTGGTAGTTTACCACTTTATTGTAAACCTCCTTAGTACCACAGACATGGCATTTTCTTTGTTCATATTAAAGAGTAATCAGCAATGAATCCTCTTGACTAAATCCGCATTTTCGTGTTTTGTTCTTTTAGCTTCTTAAGAGGATTCCAGTCTTTTCATCAAAGTCATGAAGAAAGACGTCCTTGCACGTGAGTGGTTTCGTTCTGAACCCGTAGCTAGGTTTACACCCCGAAGGCGTACGTTACGGTTACTTCACACAATGGTAAACACAAAGACCTAGCGTTGAGAGTAAAAAGTATAATATCGATAACAGTGGTAATAATACAATAGGTCAATTTAATTTGCTAAGAGTTCTTTCTCACCACTGTGCTGCTTTCCTCTGTAGACATTGGGGAAGATGTACTTAAAGAACTTGAACTTGTTCCTTAACTTGAAGCGCTTGTCAAGGTGTGGAAGGAGTTGTTACGGCATGGCGCTTACAACTGCTGAGCTCCAGGTTGCAGAAACTTGGAATTATGGTCTTTTGGCCGAGGTTTCTGTTCCGCTAGCAGTAAGCTGATCCGTCTCAGGAGTGGTGGGTGGTCGTTTGCGGTACTGCTTGAGTGCTTGTTTAGGAGGGAAGCGAAGGGGACCTCGGGAGACTTCTTGTGCTGAATGCCCGAAACACAAACGACCTGTTTTTGGAGTTCTTGTCGAAGAAATAAGGGTTCTTTAAAAACTTAGGTAGAAGTTAAGGATGAGCACTTTCTGCTGGAGGTCTTGGAACTTTTCTGCCGGGGATTTTTCTTGCGCCGAAATTCTTGTAGGCGGCTTAGTTGAAAACTAGCTCGGTACCTACTAAGTACCTAGGTAGGTACTAAAGAGGTTGAGGTTGAAGACTGGCCCAGCGAAGAGGTCCTCATGGTTGTTTGCGCCGACACCTTGGTGGGGAACTTGCCTTTCGTTCAACTTAGAGGACAGGAATGTGCAATTCTGGCACACAAAGTCGACTTTTTGCTATTACTCGTGGCAGTCAGCCTCGCTTGTTTGTCCCTTCCCACCAGTTTCCATTGCTTCGAACCGTCTAACCCTTCAATTCAAGTTGTGGTCTCCAGCAAGCATAGATCTCATCGTCCAACTGGCACACAACAAAGTCGCAAGACGCTTTCCCTTACTATGGCCCAGGTAAACCCTCCATCTACCGGTGTGGACACTGGTGATCCTCCAACTCTTGATACCCCAGCGGTTCCCTCCATGCCTACTCAAGGAGCTGGGGCAAGCGCACCCCCGTTGGAGCTCTCTGCTGGTGACCCTCTGCTTTACAATCCTTGGAACTTCAACTTGATTGCGCCAGGCGCGATGCCGATCCCTTCGCTGAAGACTAGCACTTTGCCGAATGGCACCACCACACTTCCACATCACGAAGGTCAGCAAAACGGCGCACACCTTGCGCAATTCGACATCCCAACCCCTCAGAATCCTCAACAAGCCGTCGCAATGCCACAGCTAGGGACTGAAGCGGTCGGAGCCGATGCTGCCACTGCCGAGGAAAAGGTAGAGGATTCCTCTGATGACTTGTCAGACATCCAAATGAGTGATGGGTCTGAATCTCGAGTTGCATCAGAGTCCTCCGACATCGATCGTCAGGACAAGTATGCCTTCAACTTTCACAATCAGGCTTACGACCACCAAGTCCCCCGGAACCTGACTGGCGGCATTACCATCTTCGCGAAGAGAGTGTGTATGGGCACTCTCATCCATCAGCACCTCGCAAAAGCCAAAAAACAAGGCGATGCCGACACATGCCCTACGCTTGTGCCCCACGAACTCGAGTTGCAGGGCAACCAGATGGCAGCGGTGGAATGTGTCTGGGTTGGCATGCTACCTGCACTGCTCCAGGACGGTGGAGACGACAGCGCCGAATCCCAACCGAAAATACCAAACAGAGGTCAGAAGCGGGCGAAGAAGGCCCAGTCTCTCGTCGACCTCGAGGATGACCAGTTGGAAGTCATCCCGCACAACCCGAAAGCCTTCCGTGTTGTCGCAAAAGTGCAGCCCAAACAAGTGAAGACCTGGCACCTCTACGCACTGACTACATCGGACACCGGCTCGAAGCTCTGCCAAGGCTGGAAGGTTCCGAGCGACGAGGTCTTCTTTTTCAAGGCATTCCGCGACGATGCTGTCCCGGGACCAATGAAGCGAAGGCAAGCTACGGAACTTAAGATCAAGGCCAAGGTCTTTCCCATGCCGCCCGCCCCAATTCCTGCTGTGGCGTCCCAGTCGGCCACCCCATCCAGGCCCGCGGCGAGTCCGGCCTCGGATCCAGCTGGAACCCCTGCTAAGAACGAAGGGGGTGATGACGGTCCTGCCGCGAACAGGCAGTCACCAGCCGAAGATCCTGGTGCCGTGGGTGACGATGGCAGCGAGGATGCCTACCCGGAGCACGCCGTACCTTCCTCGGACCCTATTTTCAAAGGTTTTCTCGATAACATGTTGCGCGAGCTCTCTGTGGTGGAGCCTGAGGGTGAGAGCCCGGGACATAAGAGGAAGAGGGTCGCTTTTGATACCGGCGGCGGCGACGTTGCGAACACCCGTAGAAAGACGAACAGCGGTCCCCAAAGCAGCATGCAGACCCGGGACGGCGAGGACGGCGGGGCTGAACCTTCCTCGTTCGTCATTGGAGAGCGAGCCCGCCATCTAGCCCTCAAGTTGGAGAACATGGTGAACCAGCTCGTGGAAAAACAGGATGTTTCGGGCCTTCACCAGTGTGTTACGATGATGCAATGCATCCAGAAGCGCCACGCACCCGGCCCTACCAGCGCCCTCGCCCCCTACCTGAGCACCTCTTCTAAGAAAGATGCTGACTCGCAAGCTTGCACTGGAAAGCTACGGGAGATTCTAGTGAGTTTTGCTTCATCTATTACGGCCGTCAAAAGACACGGAAACTAAACGCTTGTACTTAGGACCTCTTCCCCAAACTCCGAGAGGTCGATGGCCTGGACCACCGCGTGCTTGCTTGTATGATCCATGGACTTCGCGAAACCGGCCAGTCCATTGAGATTGGCCTCGTCGAGGCTTGCATAAAATGCTACAGTCGCCTTTTCCAGGAGAAATACGGCGATAAACCTCCTGCCAACCCCGGGAAGATGGCAGCATCTGACGTTATTGACATGATCTGTCAGGCGCGGGACGATGCGGAGCAGATGCTCAGACCGACTCCTCTCAAGAAGGCAAGGGTTGCCCATGCCTGGACGGATCCCCGCCACAGCGCTGATCCTGTGTGTGATGAGTAGATCGTTCGAGGCCGATTGAACAAGGTTTAAGGAGGCGTGGGGCGGACTTCACGATGGGCTTTGCTTTATTGATGGTGTTTCTGGCGTTGCTCTGGAACCAGTCTTGCTAACCCCGACGAAGCTGAAATCAAGGGGCTTCCAAGGTTGGAGGACTATGGGACTACCTCAAGTCTAGGTAGATTGGGCTTCCAAGGTTGCGACGGTGGTTCTTCTGCGATGATTTCTTTCGACCTTAGTTAGGGTGGGCTCCGAGGTCGTGCCTTCGAATCCTCCTCGATGCATACCCTAATGAAGGCAACATTGAATTTGCTCTATTCCACACATCAAATGCAACGATGAATTCCAAATTTTCAAGGCTGGCATTCTATGCGTGCCATAAGCCAGTACCAAACTTTTGCGATGATCACATTCAAGCCAACAACCAGTCAATTGGTACTATTAACGGCCCACAATGTCAAACTGATTCGATACAGCTAGAGCTTCTAGGTTTTCTGTGGAAACGGATGAGCCGCTTGGAACAGTGAGTGGTTTGAGCGGTCTGCGAAATATACGGCGAATGAAGTAAAGAGCGCTTCTCAGAAACGGACATTAATTAAGGAGGATAGAGCTGCTGGTTGAGCGCAGCAGCAGAAGAAACTTGGACTTCAGCAGACGCGCCCCACGCACACAGGCTGACAGGCCAGGGAACCATGAGACTGTTCACCAATAATGACCCGCCTCTAATGTCATGCCGTGCCTGGGCTAGTCTAGGCAGCTGATGCGGCTGGCCCAATCATCCCTGCCGTCAAGGAATGGGAATAGCGCCCGGGGAGCCAAGGCACTTGGGGTCCGTCGTTCCAGGCAGAAGCTGGTATGTTCCAATTCCATGGTTCCCAGCGGCCGTACCAGTTGACGTATAAAACTCGGGCAATCCTCCTTTGTCCACTGTTTGACGCCCTGTCACTAATTCCAGCAGTCGCCGAGCATACTTAAGGACAACATCATGTCATCGCAAGACGGCAGTCTAGCTGGCAGCGACGCCCCTGGCCGAAAGCTACTGAGCCTCGCACCGGAGGTTGTCGAGCATGTCATTAAGCAAGTCGAAGGCAAGAAAGACCTGTCAAACACACGGCTGGTCTGCAGGGAACTAGACAGGCACGCCGCCAAGGTTCTCTTTGAGGTCGTTTTCCTCTCCCCGTCGAAAAAACGCATCAAGACCTGGAACAGTATCAGCCTGGACGAAAACATTCGGCGGATACCTCGTCACGCCGTCATCCACACGCACTCAGACATCAAGGATCACGGCCTCGGTGCTGGCACAAGGGAGCCGGAGGGGAATGGCGATAAGTTCCATGAGGCTCTTGCTGCGCTGTCGAGGCTGCCCAACCTTGGCTCCATTGAAATTGCCTTCACCCCCGAGTGCTTGGGTGAGCGTGAGAACAGACGGTGGGAGGAAGTGGCAGAGGACGCGTCGAGTCGCAGGAAGAATCTGGAGCTTATCTTCCAAGCCATCAGAAACAGGGCGGCAGACGAGGGGAACAGGACAATAAAGAAGTTGACAATTACCAACCTTCAGAATTGCCCCATCCCCGGATTCACCTCCTCCGACCTCTTTCGCGACGTCATGGGCCAGCTCGATGAGTTGCACCTGTCTCTTATCCAGGAGTACAATGAAGCCGGCCCGGACCATGATTACGCACGCGTCGAGCTGCAGACCTTCCCTGCTCACCTGTGCTCCGAGTGGCTGAGACCGATCTCAGGGAACCTCAAGGCATTATCCCTCTACCACAAGACGGACAATTGGGGCCCCTTCCCGGGCTACTTCGACCCCAGCGGTATCTTGTTCCCGAAGCTTGAGACGCTGGCCCTGGGGCATTACACGCTTGCGCACGACGGCGACATCGACTGGATCCTGTCCATCAAATCGCTACGCAAGCTTATCATGCACAACTGCATGATTGCCTCCTGGATATGTATCGACGAGCACAACATGGCCCAGTGGAAGGTCCCGACCACGAATTGGACCAGGCTGCCCGATGATGGCGAGTACAGCAACGGTGAACACTTCTCGTACGGTGGCAAGTGGAGTCATTTCCTGGACCGCATCGCCGCAGACTTGCCCAACCTGATGGACTTCCGATTCGACCAAATCTCTTATCGGGACAAAACACCGTATGGCCTCGAACACCGGGACACTTGTCGCGTCAGGATCTCCCCCCAGCGGTACATCTGTTTTGATAACTGCATCTTGCCCTCACATTGGTCGGACGCGGATGATGAGGGTGAGATGGAGTCTTGTCTCGAAGACGGGTTCCCAACCAATGTTCACCAAGACAGCCTGGAGGAAGACCAGGAGAGCCTGGATCGACTGCTGGATAAGCTGAGGAAGTCGAGTACCGCCCAGACCTAAGAGGAACCAACGACCACTTTGCCACGCCATGGGTCTATGAGCGTTGACCACTGTATGGGGCCGCCACATACGTTTGATATGTAAGGGGGTTATAAACGAAACCACTTACCAAGGAAGCCGGCACTAAGACCTCAAACGGGATTGAGATCTGGATGGGTGTTGGGCATGAGCGACGGCCCCTCTTCATTCCCCGCAATCTTGACGCCGACAGATATACTGTCGTGGACACTACCTCTAGAAAGCAGGCTGTCCCGACCCCGATCTTCGAGATGCCGGAAACCATACGGGCAAGCATGACCGGCCCGGCGCGACTAAACTTGCAGTTGTTGTCTTTTCAAAAATAAAGTGGGCAGTAAAATCATCACACTGGGGAAAAAACAATGCTGAGCAGGCAGCGGCATGGGGGTCAAAGATGTGTGTTATTGGCCTCGCAGAAATAAGATATTGTCGACACTGCGAACTAACGGTGCTCACAATGTGGGATCCCACATGGCCTTTCGTTTTTGCATGGTGTTTCTTAACAAGACCAGCCTTCAATGACAATGCAGAATGGTATCTATTTCATTACACATTAACCCCCGTCTATAATTGTGTTGGTGATAACGATGGCGGCGGTCCGGGGAAAACAACAGCCGAGACCATCTTCTTCCCTAACTTGCAACTTCCACTCTCGCCTCTTCCCATCCGCGCAGTTCGAAGGCTCTTACAGAGCCAGGGCGGCGAGGGCGGCAACACCAACCCAGCTGGCAACAATCTTTCCAGCGCCGGAGGTCGCAGCCGAGGTCGAGGTGGAGCTGCTGGAGCTGCTGCTGCCGGTGGCGGTCCCGCTGGCGCTGGAGCTGCCAGAGGACGACGAGGCAGTGGAGGACGCCTCCTCGGAGGAGCTGCTGCTAGTGCCAGTGGCCGAGGCGCTGGAGCTCGCGGCGCTCGCGGTGGACGAAGCTGCGGTAGAGTCAGCCGCGGTGCTCGACGAGGAGGCAGTCGAGGAAGCGAGCGCCGTCGAGGACGCGGAGGAGGGAGACGAACCCTCGGTGATGTTGAACTGGTTCTGGACGGACGCAGGTGTGTCAGCAAGTTGTATTCTGGTGCGAGGCCCGGTGTGCGAGGTTTCAGCTTACCGACTGGGCGTAGAGCTGCTCGGTCTTGGTGCCGTTGGTCAGGTTGATGGTGTAGCTGTCACCGGTGGAGAGCTTGCTGCCGTCGACATCGATGGAGCCGGCGCTGGTCTGGACGTCGGAGGCAAGCAGGACGTCGGTGGGAGGGTAGGTGGCCTTGTTGGACAGGTAGATGTTGAAGCTAGACTCGTCGCTGGAGACGGACTCCCACTCGATGGTCTGCTTCTCACCGGTGCTCCAGATGGTGTTGGAGTCGGGCGAGGTGACCTTGAGGGCCAGGGCGCCGGAGGCGAGAGCAAGGAGAGCCAGGGAGGAGACCATTTTGAAAATTAGTTTGCTGGTTATTATCCTGTTCCGGAGAAGAAAGAATTAAACGGATTCGTGAGCGAGTGACGAATTTAGTTGGAAGCTGAATAAACGATCGTGGGCGTGTCGTTGGACAAGAGTCTGGCGATGAGAACAAAGGAATCGAACAGGCCTCGTCCCGGTGACGCGGATGCAGGTTAACCTTATATCAGAGTAATTACACAGCAACACTGGCAGAGGATCAACAAAGACGCATGGCCTGTCAAGCGGGTCCATGGATGCCGTATACCACAGTAGTGTAGTGAGTACCCAAATTTAGCCCACAGTAGCTTCTTTTTCCCTCTCTGCGAGTCAGGGGTGGTGAACGCTGTGCCTGGCAGGCTGGCAGGGTTCAGCTGGCCTTGTGCAGATACGAAACGGTTGCTCATCGAATCGGCATTGGCCGACTCGCTGTTGATTCGTGTTTGTGGAGTGGCAGCCAGGGCCCGCCAGAGATCGTCTGGCGTGGTCTGGCTTTTCCTCCTGACCCCGGGAAAATGGGGAAAAGCCAGCGAGCGGATGGGGAGCTGGAGGAGGGAGCACACGCCGACATAGCCGAGAAAAAGGGGCGCTCAACCGTGTAGATTGTCGTATGCACCCCGTTTGCCCGTACGCGCTACTCTACCAGGTCTACTCTATACGTGAATAAGCCACCTCCCCCTTTGGTCCCGCGGCCTCGGAACCGGGCTCCATGACAGATCAACGCGTTGCCCCCCAGCGCGTGGGTTATAAGTGAGCCCACAGACTGGATGCTGTGCCAGGGCAGCAGGGCCCGAGGGGGGTGGGCTTATCTTAATGTGGGTAGGTCGCTGGCACGGCTCGTTGCCATGATTTGACAATTCTTGAGTGACTGCTCGGGTCGATTAGAGTTGATGTCACAGTGGAGGATTCCACTAGCCTAAAAAGAGTCTTCTCTGCCCCTGGCGCTAGGCCGTTTGTCTCGGGGTGTCCCCGGGAAGCCGTGAGGTGCTCACCCCACGAGGATAAGGCCCGAGATTAACGAGATTGACAGCGGGCCTGTGTGACCAGGCCGCAGCACTCGCGCACGAACAAGAATCACCCTAATCCTTGCCAAGCTTCTCTTGTAATTATCTTCCCAAAGCTTCACGCCAGCTGGTGCTCGTGATGGTCGAATTTGGCCACCCAAAAGAGGCAAGGATCTTTAGAGCCAGCGCCCAATACGGCCATTGACTGGGAGGATCTTGCCGTGAGATGATAAAGAGAATCCTCCTCGCTGGAGGCTAGACGCCCGGCCCTTGGAGGATGCCCCAGAGGACGCCACAAGCCTGCAGGGCGTGGAGCCGGACCGCCGCTGTGGCTTTTATTGTTTTTACTCGAGATTTGTGCCTGATGAGGAGCTTGGCCTGGCTGTTGCGTGAGTTGAGTGGGTGAGTGCGTGAGTGCGATCCTGCCAAGACAACAAAGACAAGAAAGAGCCTTCCTCTTCCATTCAGCCAGCTCGCGGACATCGGCCTGTCTTTGGCCGCCGAGATTGGGAAGGGCACTGCGGACACTCCTCCCCGACACCCCTCTTATTAGGCAGCCTGACCCTCCGGGCCTTTCCCGAGACACTGCAATGTAAGTCAAACCAGAGGGTTTGGGTCGGTTGCGGCAATAAAAATAGCATGCCGTGGCAAATCCGAGCGTGGTGCGCACTGTCGTGTTGTGGAATGGCTGAATGGGCAGAAGAAGTTTGCAGCGCAACTCTCACATGTCTTAAACTCGTGTCCCGTAATGGGGGGGAGGGCTCCGCTTTGAAGGGCTGCCCAGTGCCCACCGGCCACCCTGCCGCCCCAGCCCAATACGGACGGAATCACACCATGTCTTGATGGGCCCCGCGCCCTTGCGTCGGGGAAGAGACTAAGCCCTAGGCCAAGGGTTTTTTATTTACAGTGGTATCTATGTTATCTACAGGCCGGATTCAACATATACTTATCAGAAACAATGCTCCCTGCTACCTTCAGCCGATCAGAACGCCCGAAACTTCCTCTGAGCAGCTGTCGTAGTGTCAGAAATTCCGAACCAAGCCATGTCCTGGTCACCCATCACTGGAACAGTGTGCCCGATCCCGGTACCATATATGCCAACGACATTGTCACCATATATATATTTGGTGTAAGCGGCGGAGGGCGTCTGCTCCAGCGTCTGCTCCGGAACGTCAGAGTACCCAAAGACGCCAGTCCATTGCTTGATTGTCTCGTTGAAGTTCTGGATGGACCTGGTTAGCTTCCGCTCAACGGGACGGTGAGGCACACGTCTGTTCACGTGTTCTCCCTTACCTGGGGCAACAGTGCCGTGTCTGCAGTTCCGTGGAAGATCATCATCTTCGGCCTCGGGCCAGTGTATCCGGGGTCCATTGCTAGCGCAGTATCTGCCCACTCCTTCTGGGTGTGGATGCTCTCGCCCGAGGAGCACGTGTCGTTCCAGCCGTCCACCGTCCCCGTATAGAAGCAACCTGCAGGTACGCCCGAGTACACAGTGGCGGCCTTGAAGACGTCTGGATAGGTCGCCGCCAAGACGTTCGTCATCATCGCGCCCGAGCTACTCCCGGTCACGAACACCCGCGAGGCGTCCGCGCCGTAGGTGCTGAGGGTATACGACACCATCTCCGCGATCGAGGTCGAGTCCGCGCCGCCGTCGTGGGTGAGTGCATCCTGCGAGGAGACATCCCAGCAAGTCCCATCGTAGGGTGATTCTGGGTAGATCACGTAGAAACCATACTGCTCTGCCAAAGCCGGGTAGGGTGTGGAAGAATAGTAGGCCTCTGCCGTGCCTGTGCAATAGTGAATGGCCACGACGACTGGGGCGTTGGTCTTGTTTCCCGCGGAACTGAGTGAATCTGGCGCGTACAGATACATCTTAGTCCCGGATGCGTTTGGGCCAAAGTCGGTGACCTGCTGGAGGGAAGCCGCTTGAGTGGTCGCTGCTAAGGCAGCCGCTCCTGCGATGAAACGTGATAGTGAAGCCATCTTGATGGTTGTCGTGACTCTCCTATGTGGCTGCGGGTGGATTTACAATGCTCGAGGCCTGGAGGTCAAACAATGTTTACCTATTTGATTCCAAGAACAGCTACTCCTTTAAAACAAAACGAAAATAAGGAGAAGCAGAGGCTTGCCAACGGACATTTGTCGTCGCAGTCTCCGTTGCGGAGGATCGAGGCCCGGAAGTTCTCAGGGGGTCGGTGACCCCAGCCATTGTGAGGCCACCATTTAGATGAACGGCGCATGAAGGTCACATCTGGAAAAACGTTCAGCCACAGAATAAGGCCTCCAACCTCCTAAAGGGGGCCATTTTGGCATGAATACTGGGGCGGTGGTTTCCAAAAAAAAAAAAAAAAAATTATATCGACGGCGCCGGAGATGCAGTATGTTGTTGAATTAAGCTTTTGCGGCCAAGCACACGCTGAGCCACATTATCAACACGGCTGGTGTAGTCCTGGCATTCGGGCCCGTGGACAACTCTCCATGGTGTATCAGGTTTCAGGCGAGATCTTATGCCGCCGTTAGACAATGTCCCTGGTCATCTCCGGCATACTTACCGCCCTCCGGTCACTTGAACCGTGTCTTTCGACTCTAGCTTCAAGCCGATTCAGTTGCAAGAACTGGCAAGGCAAACCATACCAATGCGAGAGTCCAGATACAACGGCAGCGATGGTCAGCAGGGACGGCTAGAGAAGCAGGGTTCCCTCCTGCCGGCCATGTGACAAGTGCAGAGTCGCACTCGGGTCAGGTTGAATGTGGAAGCGACTCTAGCCCGTCAAGGGGTTCATCGCATCATGCCGGCAGGGACTGCCGGGTCTGTCCTGCGCTACATAGACCCAGAGGCACCCCTGTTCTGGACACCGATTTTCCTTGTTCTGTTTGAGAATCCTCAACAAGAAAGGCACCGTGGCGTAGGACTGGCGGCCACCTAGAAGAGCAAAACGGCCGTTCCGACCTCTCTCAGCCCGTCAGCCATAGTCCACTCCGGCCCAAGCTGGCCCCTCCGCGCCCATACGCCTTCCATAACTCGAAGCGCCGCCGCGATCGTTCCAAAGCTCGACAGCGTTCCTAGCGCCTCCACCGTGCCGCGAAAGAAACCCTCCTCCTCAGGCAGAGCGAGACACCCGGTTACGCAGAAGGGCCACACGACAGACCGGACCGAGGCGGGCGCGGGCGCATCGGCGAGCAGGGCGATCGTGGCAGCGACGCTTGCTCTGATTTCAGGGCATGACGGCTGCCACCCAGACACGACGGTGGATAAGTATGTGAGTGTGGCGTGCGCCCAGACCAAGCTGGTCCAGACGGTGCTTGAGCCCTTGGCGAGGGACGAGCCGACGTTGTGCTGCGAGATAAAGTCGATCATGTCCATCGTGGGCTGATTGTTGTTGATGTTACAAGCGTTCTGTCTCTCCTGCTCCAGGCACTCAATCAGGCCCCGGAGGAGTGTTTCAATCTGCGATGCGCGTGTGACCAGCTGGACCACCGACAATGACCCTGCATTTGTCATCTCCTTCTTCCAGGCGTGCAGGTCTGCCACCTGCGCGAGTAGGATAATAGCATCATTTTTGACGCCGACAACACTCTCGAGGTCGAGCTGTGGTCCGTTGATGGCGACTCCGCCGAAGTCTCCCGAGATGGAGTCGAGTAAGATGGCATGGAAGCTGAACAGCCTTGGGGACGTCTCCAGTGCCGTGGCGGACACGACATCCGCAAATAGCAAGAGCGTCGTGAAGAAGCGCATTGCCGACTGGTCAGAATTAGAAGGAAACGGGTCTCCGGAGGGCGTGAATCCCAGTGTGGGCATCGGTGAGCCAGCCCCCAGCTGCGCCGTTATTGCGTGCCAGCAGTAGTGCTTCGCATCCCCTTCGCCAGTCGAGCCATGAGCCTCCATAATTTGTTCAAACATGACAAAGGCCCCGTCGAGATGCACCATCCAGCTCTCAGCACTAGAGACTCTCCGGGTCACGGCGACCTCGAAGACCACCAGCTGGACGATACTCTCCATAATCCGAGCACTTTCGACCAGGTCTGAACCAACGCCTTTCTGGTTTACCACCGCGACGTCGTTCTGCAGCTCCCTCAGAGTCAGCTCGTGTTGTTTCTCCAGCTCGCAGCGGAGGTGCTCGCGGCAAGACCCGTGGCCGGAGATCAGCTTTTCGGTGACGACTGCAGAAAAGTATGTCGACAGTGACAGCGCCGAGTGGAGCAGGGTCGTCTTGCGTATGAGCAATATAAATAACCAGCCACGGCCAGAAGGTAGCAGTGGCGGCCTGTAGAAGGGAAAGAGGAAAGGGAAAACGTAATCGAGGTAATTGGTGAGATTTAGGAGTTCATGCTCATTGAGATTGTTGAAGCCTACTGAAGGAGCTGAGGCTGCTGGTGGTGTCTCATGTGCCGGAAAATGTTGTCCCTGGACATACGGACCGTCCGCGGCGAGATGAGCGCCCGGCTCGGAGGTTGAGGATGGAGTCGTGTTGTCACTTGTTCCATCTGGCGTGGAGTTTTGCGGCGAGTCCCAAGGGCTGCTTTCCGATGACGCCCCCTTGTCTGCCCTCGTGGGAGCTGCTCTGCTGCTCTCATCTTGGTGGTTGGTGAAGGTCAGGTCCGAAATAGCATCGGCCATGCTCAATTCCTCGATACCGGGTTCTATGCCGGTCAGGTACTTCCGTTCCCTCCTCCAGGCCGCCTTCTTCTTCACCTCTGCTTTCACCTCCTCGGCCTTCTTTGCCTGCTGTTCACCACCATCCATCCACTCGGGCTTCTCATCGCTGTAGAGGCACGATATCTCGAGGGTCGCACAAGCTGCGCAGCGAGGCCTGCCCTCGTCACATTTCTTTCGGCGGAGACGACATGTCCAGCATCCGTCTGAGCTACGTGCCAACGGCTTGTTGGTCATGATTCGTCGAATGGTCTCCATTGGCCAGGACTGAGAAGGTCACTAGGTCGTGTGATGCTGGCAGGAATCTAGATGAGATGGTCTTCCCTGTGTCTACTCTGAGAAGTGGACGGGGTAAGCGCCGAGGCGCAAGCGGTCTTGGTAAGCCGGGCCGTGCCAAGATATGCCCAACGGCACCGATGGCGCAACCAAAGCCGTCGCCACTGAGTTCGCAAGGATGAATGCGAGTACCTGCTTCGATCAGGTACTATGTAGTTGCTTTGCTCTGCGCTATGGAATGGTAGTGGGAAATTAGCTGTCTCGATGCGGCAGTGGAGCTGAGGATCACGGTGAGTTGCACAGACGGTTGTTCAGGAGAAGGGCTGCCATCTTTACTCGTGCTTGTGCACTCAATTCGCTGTGATTACTCAGCAGTTATCGTGGACGCTCAGTCGACGACCATTCTGCCTCTTCCTGCCTGCTCAAAGTCAACTCCTTGACAAAATACTACCTAGGTACCTCCTAAGTATACAGCACCGAGACGACTTGGGTCATTTCGAATGCATGTTCATATGGTCCACGTGCTAATTTGAAGGAGAGCAACGTGTTTGCAGCCGCCAAGGCCCAAGGATCAAGGGCGCAGACCCAGACAGATCAAGAAGCAGCCATCGAGTGCTGGAGTCCAATATCGCGTACTGCACACAGCGGGCAGCAGTGCGCCACATCCAGACTGGGTACATTTCAGCTCTCGCTCAACCAACAGTCAACGCCATGTCCGTCTCTGTCTCTCTCATGAGGTCTTGGCCCATACCTGCGAATTCAGTTGTCCAGACCGCCTCATGAGCAACAGATGGTCGGATCCCCCGACACGCTTGTGTTGGACCTTGGCCCCTCCCAAAGCGTTTCCCAACTGAAGACGAAAGCGCCGAAATATGCGCCCACCACAATAGAGATTATGATGTATCCGTTGTAATTCATCGCGAGCCTTGATACGCGTCAAGCTCTCATCAACACATGTGTCCATCAAACAACGGCCGCGGGCCTGTCATGGGCATCGGTGCAGGGTGGGCGAGTTACTTACATCATGACAAAGTACGCAACGGTGAATTGTGCCGCGTGAAACAGCGCCCTAATCATCTGCTGCCACACATTGGGGCGAAACGGCGCCGAACACCCAGACTCTCCACCTGTGCCAACAATCATCCCCCTAGCCGCGGCAGGAGCAGCATCAGCGTGACTCCGAGTAGCGTGACCAGGCAAGCCCGACTTCTCCTTGACGCTTGGAAGGGCAGCGTCACCACCATGAGCCAGCCCCGTATACTCAGGTACCACTGCCGTGGAGCTCGACTTCCTAGATCCCGTGCAGCACTCGGCGGGAGCTGGGGCCGTGACGGGGTTCGGCAGCACGGGGTTGCTCGTGTCCGCTGGCGCCGTGGGCGAGACCTGGTGATAGCGCACCTGGGCCGCCTCTCGATGCTGCTGTATCAGGTAGCGGTCGAATTGCTTTGCGCTGCGCCGGAGCCCTTCCAGGGCCATCACGAGGAAGATGACGCCGAAACACGTGCCCACCATGGCCCCTTCTGTGGCGATTTGCCATTGCGGTGTGATGAAGCATGCGCCGATCGTGTGCCAGTTCCACAGCATCTGTGAAGAAAAGGGGTCAGACTGTCAGCGATTTGCTCAACAACACTCGTGTTGGGCCTCCTCGAAGCAGTTGGAATGTGCGGCTGTCTCTCGAGACCGAGGGTCGGGGCACATACCTGTATTTCACAAACTCTTCCGGCGCTGCCAACAACACTACTCATACTCATGCCCATTGCTGCAGCCGCGGTAGTGGCCGTGCTGCTTGCCGTACTCGCTGCTGTCGATGGCATGGACATAGCCGTTGTGCTTGTTGATGTAGCCAATGTCGTGGCTGTTGACTCTATTGACATCCCCGACATGGTCCCCATGTCCATCCCTGACATATCCATATTGACCCTGACGAATTTTCAAAATCTGCCAAAGGGAAGGTTGCTCTTCAGAGGGTGGGACGTGTGGCTTGTGCCATCCAGCAAGACAGGCGGGAGCAGAGTTGAGATGCGGCGAGATCTGGTCGGTTGGGACAAAGACAGCAGGCCGTGCCCCTTCCCTTGGTCACGCGTGCGAAGGGCGGTATGGACTCTAATAATGTACCAAGACAAAAGAGCCAGAAGCGGGAGCGGGCAGCGTGGCGACTTTGTCAATGGTGGGAGATTGCAGTTAGGATGCAGAAACACAGCCCCTCCTGGTGGTTTCAACTTGGACGATTTGTAGAAGTCAGGGTGGTGCAACGGCAGCAAAGACTGCTCCTGGCTGCCTGGTCAGCTGGCCCAGGTGGGCAGGAGCAAGACAGTGGCAATGGGTCGCGACATTCCTGTCTGTGGAGCCCAGCACCAGTGTTGCCCTTGCCGAAGCCACGTTCAACAAGGCCCAGTTCTTGCCACAGAGCATTCAGCCGCAGATGCAATCTTGTCGCCGACGACTGGAACAATCAAGATTGGATGATCGATTTCTGCTGCTCGACCTGTAAACCGGCACGTAACCTCTCTTCTCGCTCTTGCCGACCCTAAAGAATGCTAGGCGCTGCTAAACACGCAGCTGCCGTGGACTGCCAAATGATATAATAACAACCCTTGTGACCTTGGACCTTGGAACCTGGAAATCTTGGCCCCAAGAACGCATTCAGACTGGACAATATAAAGCATAAAACCACAAACCCGTCCAAAACAGCGTGATCAGGCCAGTGGGCACCTACGACTTGGCCTTGTCGCCCTGCAGGGCATACAGCTCCCTCCTCGCGCCCGAGGCGTCGCAGCTGGAGAATTTCCAGTAGCCGCCGTAGAACCAACCACCGACGTTGATCAACCCCCACTTGATAGGCGCGGGGATCGGCGGCCAGTTAGCCCACTGGCCCTCCTCGAACTGGGTGGAACGGTCCAGGTTCAGCAGGAAGAAGGGCACCACGTCCGTCGTGCCTGCCTTGGTGACCGTGTTCTTACCCCAGCTCTTGAAGGTCGCGGAGGCTTCGGTGGCGCGGGGCGTGTCGGGCGCGGGCGCGTTGGAGTGCTCGGCCAGATTCGCGATCGTCTTGATCTCGGAGTGGAAGTGGTTCTCGAAGTTGGCCGCGAAGCCGTCCATGATGCGCACGAGCTCGGTCGCGTCCAAGGTCTTGGGCTCGGGCTGGACGGAGAGGAGGTACTTGTTGAACTCGGCGAGCCCGGGGAGGAAAGACTCTGCAGGGGGTCATTGTCAGCATTCGTCTGGGGCCAGGCACATGCTCCCCAACGCACCGTGCTCCTTGTGTGTCTCTGCGAAGACGGTCTTGTCGTCGAGCAGCTCCTCGATCTTGGTGAACAGAAACTCCTCCTCATCATCGTGGTGCGACTTGACAAACTTAAACCAAGTCAAGGCGTAACCGATAAAGTCGGCCTTGTCCGCATCCTGGACATGTGGAGCTTGCAAGTAGATGCTGTTGTAACCTCTGAAGATCGAGTTGTGCAGCAGTGCCATATGTGTTGCGCCTGTGCTAAAGAGGTCTGTCTGTGGTACGAGACACTTGATGTTAGCTGTCTTGTCCCGGTGCGACGGGGCGAACGTGCATTGCATGCCTTCTTGGTCTCGTACTGTGGAGTTGCCACGAGCTTCATGGGCTGGTCGGCCCATGGTCTGGATCCAGAAACCGGTTCTGCAGACATCATGAACGGTGATTTGGACACAAAGATGCCGAATAGCAGTGTGGCAAGACCCAGGAAAACGGTCAAAAAAGAAGGCATGTTGGCGATCCGGGGATGATATTAGAATGCGGCTGCCCTCCAGGAGTATGCCGATATATGTATAACTCCCTGCACGTCTGCCGACCTTGCTGTTGAACTACTGGCTGCTGCTGGGTGAAGGGTAATGGAAATGGCACGATCAGGGCCGTCGTATGATCGGACACCACCCTCGCCTCGGCCCACGTTTGCTTATCAAGCTCTGGTCTGAGCTGGCTGGCTGGTCGCCATTCCATCTAGGTGGCTACCAGGGTAGCTAGTACCTAGGTAGGTGCTGTGTTCGCCCGTTCAGAGCGCTTCAAGCACAATGCAGCTGCTAAATAAGCTTCCCGTTGGTAATTCTCAGTGTCTCATTGGGCCTGGAGGATGCAGCAAGGGTACGAGCTCCAGGGCATCCCCACTCGTTCCCGGTAAATCCGCCGATCAGCATCGGTGCTTGCAGGGATTGGGAGCTCAGACTCGGTGCACAAGGCCTCCGACTGAATTGGACACAGGATTACAGTTGTACGCACCATAGAGTACAGCACCGAGATGAGAATCATTCTGCACCTACCGGTATATGACGGACGAGGCAGTCTCAGTGGTGATAGCTTGCCTAATGCCAGTCCTACCGCGACACTAACACTGACAAGGAATTGCTCTCTTTGCTTGTTTTGAGTCCCGACTCTCAGGTCTCTTATCAATCCAAGAACCCATCTGCAAGACGTCGTGATGGCCGTGGACCCTCTCATCATGAATACAAAGTTCACGGTGCTCAAACCAGCCAACCCCTGGATTGGCAATCATGCCAGCACGGCTGCCAGGCCACTTACAAATATTATGGTGTTGACCCTACCTGATCCCATTCCTGGGTGGTTGTGGTTTCGTTTCTAATCCATCTACAAATAAAACGTTTGCGGCGCCTTCATACAGTGTTAAACGCTCAAGACCGATCCCATGCCTAATGCGACGCCTTGATAACCTAGGTACTTAGTAGGTACTCAACGCTCTCATTTTTCATCACTAAAGAAGGCCTCATACCGGGTTACTGGTAAGGGTAGAACTTCTGTTGCTGCCAATTCGCGTGCCTGACTAAGAACTGACTATCAAGGCCGGACGAAACACCAGCAGAAAGGACACGCCCCTACTTACCTAGGTAGAGACCATACATGTGTTTGAAGTGGGAATATAAGGTGCTATAAGGCACAATCGGCATTCCTGCTGCGTTTGCAAGGTTTTCCCATGGGAGGCTTACAGTCCCCATCAGCTATTTCCAGAGATCCTGGAATAGACCCAAGGCCGTCTACCAGTCCTTCTAATACTTGTTGTGGCACCGCCAGTCCAAGGAATGGGTCGTTGTGAGAGGCTGCCGTCTCACAATTAAGTAAATCACGATATTGCAGTGATTTGATGAGCGCCGAGTTTTGCTCGGTGTGTCACAGGCTTACAGACCGAGACATCCCTCATGTCTCATGGCAGATGGACACATGTTGACCGTCTAGAATCTTTATTTTATGATAGTAAATGCCAGACTTCTGAGTTGGTGGGGGGTGGAGGCTTTCAATATTCTCTCAGAAGCTTTTTAGTGTGAATCCGTCCCTGAGGCAGTTGGGTTGATGAGACTACTTGTTGTGGCCCACTGCCCGGATGGAGATCTTGAAAAGAACAACGTACTGTACAGGCCTGTTATTCTTTGGGCAAGTCTTAGGACTAGTATTGTTGGTCGGTGCCACCGAGTCCAATGGGACTTCAAAGGCATGTCGTAAGTCGTCACTGCCTATAGATAGACAAGTACAGTAAGTAATCCGATACACTCACTCCCAACCCCATTCTAAGTTTCAAGTCTCCATCAGTATCTGAATGTCATGCGTTCAGCAAGCTTGGCGAATATTCCTAAGCACCCGAGGCTTGATGGATGCACATGGGGATACTCGCAGCCCTTGCACCTGCTGATGGTGTGACATTGGTGGCAGCCCCAAAGAGGTGCCAGTTGGCGGTGGGGAAAGTGGCACGAGACCATGAATGGTTGAAATTACATGAATGACTCCACGAAACTAGAAAAGTGCGGAGGATGCATCGTTGGTAAGTTCTCCAGCCCCCAGAAACCCCGCTCTACAACTTCATCATAGACAAGGACACTTCATTTGCATTATCATGGCGCAAAAAGGCGGCGAGGAGAGCGATACGACAAGAGAGACGCTCTGCATGTACACGGCTCTGTCTGATGGACGATGACAGGCGTGCGGCAGTTGACTTTTATTTGTTTTTGGCCGGCGCTCCGGTGTTTGCTTGGGCTCCAGTAAGTGGACTCCGGAAGAAGAAGGCATCCCGATCATTCCATGTTGTCTTTTGTTATATCACAGTGTTTCTCGACTTGCAGCTCACGATGGCACTTTTTCGCTTTTTCTTCACGTGATCATCATCATCATCGTCACCGTCGTCGTCATCGTCATGATCATCATCCAGGTCACACGCAATCACTGTCACGCTTCACGCTCATGGTGAATCCAAGTCAGGCACTCATAGGACCCTGAGAACGACAAAGGTTGCCGTCACCCCGCAACCCTTCCTGTAGTCCCCGGACTCGGAGCTCAGCACCTTGGCCTTGCCGCCGGCCTCGAGCCCGGCCACCTCGGCCTTGAAGCCCTGGCTCTCCCAGATGTCGTCGAGCACGGTGGCGACGACGACACCGTCGCGCTTGGTGACCCGGACGAGCTCACGCAGCGCCGCGGCGCCCACGTGCGTGTGGGTGAAGGTGCCGACGCACACGACGACGTCGTACGCGCCGTCTGCGACGTCAAGCGGCTTGTTGAGGTCCGTGGTCTGCAGGCCCTCGTACGCCCCGGACTGCCGGGCCACGGCGAGCATCCCCGGGCTCAGGTCCCGACCGTCGATGTGCTTGGCCCCGAGCCGCGCGAGCTCGACGCCCGCCAGGCCCGTCCCGCACCCGGCGTCCAGGATCCGTAGCTCGGGGCTGATGGTTGGGGTCCCCAGCGCCTTGGCCACCAGGCTTGCGACGGCCGCTGGGCCGACGTAGTTCTGGGACGGGTCACGCAGGTCAGAGTCATAGGTTGGGGCCCAAGAGTCGTACACGTCCTGTGCCTCAATAACATCCTTGAGGACGTAGGACCGGGTGAGGTGGGGGTTGTTGGCGGTGTTGGTGGTGACAGACATGTTGAAGAATAGGCCACGGGGTTGAACAGAGGGTGGCTAAAGGTGGCTAAGTAGGTGTGAATACTGGGGGTATGGAAACGAGGGTGCGTCTCTTGTGTTGAACTTGTGGATTGAGGAGATGGATGTCGAAGGTACAGAGTCTTGCCTCACTTCCCCCGACCGACCGCGCGAACGACGGGCTTTAAGTATTCTCCTCAACACCATTTTTCCGGATCGTAGTGACAGATGCCGACTACATCGAAGGCTCGGCATGTCCAAGATCAGCGCTACGGTTCCACGGACTGCATGAGGCGCTCACGTCCAATGTCAACAATTGGCTGCCGAGGGAATAGCTTGGATGCTCAAACCTTTAGCTACATGGTGTACCATGTCGAAGAACCCACCTTGGTGTTGTTGGTCCATACAACAGCCGCACAGCCCTCACTCCGGACTGGGAACACGCAGGCGATGTGACGCACCTGGGAAGCTCAGTCCCTGTATCCAAATGGCGCAATCGTTCGCATTTAATGAACTACATGCCGGGCTGGCGAACTGGAGTTCTCCGTCAGAACTGCATTGTGCGAACCCTGCACCGTTTATTAGCAAAGTCAAGCCGCCGCTTATATAGAAGAGTAAAAGCTAACCTAATCCCATTTCTTCATAGAAATTTATATAAGCTATTCTTATATTAAAAAAAAGTAGAGACTAAAGTTTTTTAAATATTTATTAGTAAAATATTAGTTATAAAGTTTATATATTTTATAATTATATTAAATAATAATAGTAAATTATTTATCTTATAAAATTTTATATTAATATAATAATTTATTATACTTATTTATAAATAATATAATATCTTATATTATTATAAGTTCTCACGCTAAACCTAATTGAGAGTCTGTTAGTATGTAGTGAACACTCTGTACCTGCATTTAATATGGACAGGCTGAGGCGGAGATTCTAGTAGCCACCGACCAGGTCGAACTGCCCAGGTGGTCAAGTACGCTCAAGCACCGCCCCAAGTCACACATTACCTTCCAATACGGTGATCCTTGGTGAGGGTGGCTTAGGACGCGACTCTTCCCCGCTATTCTCAGCTTAGTTCCGACGGCAAGACGGTTAAGCCCTCATGATGGGTCAGAGAGGCGATCTAAGTCGTCAGGACTAAACGACGTACCCCAGGAGCTGCCTGTCGCCGTCGCTCCTTTGGGCTAGAAGAGGATGCAGTCCCATTCCTCAATCCTGCTACGACACGAACTTGACGTCAGGTCTCCCTACTCGGGCCTCTTGTCCTGAGGGGGGAAAGGGGATAAATGGGCCGCGGGCGACGGAGGACGCAGAAAGGGAGGGCCTGTGTGCTCTCGCACGGAACGGACGGGTACTTTTGGCGCACTTGCTAACTGCTTCTTTCCTGCTTGCTTGCGCTGACCGGCCCACTTCTTCTGCCACTTTGGACGCGGCTCGCGGACGGTTCGCGGACGGTTCGCGGGGTGGGCATGTGCAGTTATTTATGTACCCACACATGCATGCGACATGTTTTTTGTCCCATCCTGCCTGCCTGCATGCCCTTCGTATGTGACTATCATATGACAATGCTGGGGTCGAGGGTCTTGGCATGGGGCATGGCCCCAAAGTGACGCGGGGAAAAGGTGGCCCCGAGTGCGATGGAGAGTCCCGCCGAGGGTAACCGGCTCTGACAGGTCGGAGTCGGTGCCGTTGTGGGGTCAGTTGTGGTGGGGCCCGGAATCCTGCAGCTCGCCGTAAGAACGGGCGCTGCGGGGTGAAGAACCGCCGAGCGTTCGGCAACGCAGGCCCTCCCTGCTCCGTGGGTTCCTGAGAGCAACCTCCTTAATTTCTTTGCCAACCCCCAGCCCGCACATCTCAGCATGACAAGAACGAATATTGTAATTCTTAGCAATAGCAATAGCAATAGCAAAATCAACACCTTTCCTACGAATGGCGATGAGGCTGGCATCCCGCCATCCTACCATCTTACCGGCCCTGGCCCTGCTTGGCCCAGGCGCCCTCTCTCCTGTGACTTTCCAGCTCCGCGGATAATCGCCAAAGCTGCAGGGAAATGCGCGGCCGCACCACCTCTCCTGGCCCTGACCTATGGCACCGCAAACAGCTGCATGAGATTGATGCAAAGTGACGTAGAGACCACCTTCGGAAGAGGCTTGGATTCTCGATTCGAAAGGGCTCTAAGCAAGCATTGCCAGTGCTGTGTTGAAATTGAAGAGAAGCCGCCACGGTGTTTACGGGTCCTTCCCCGCAGCGTGCGTGGGTGGATTTTCCTCGACGGCGTGGGATCAGAGAGCAATTTGTGCCGCTATTACTAAATCCTCCATTGGTGGACTCAGCGGATGCGCATCTAACTATGCCTGAACTCTGTTCTCGACTCTGTCCTTGAACCATGAGCCTCCTGGAACTCTGCTCAGATTGGATATTCATTGCTCCTCTAGAATCTCCGGGAACCTCAAGTGCTGGTAAGATTGAGGGGCACAATGATTCGTCCTCCTTCTCTGACCACCTTCGTCACATGCGATCTGTAACCGGCGCACCTCCTGCCAACCTCCTGCCAACTCCGTGGGCCCGAACCCCAGAGGTTATTCGCCAGCCCCCGCGCCTGCAGAGCACAAGTGTGACAGTAGCCTCCATTCATCCCACGCCGGTGTGCATTGGTGAGGGGCAGCAGTTTCTGGCTATTTCATTCATTCATTCAATCAATCGATCAATAGATCTCGGTCCATACCTCGGTAGCTTTCCTATTGATGGAATTGACCGCTTGACATCTCAGTTTTCCTTGGACTAACCACTAGTTCCAGTTCCGGGCTGGGGCAGAACAGATGGCCTCGAAGTGTCCCACCGTCGCAGCGAGCAATGTCAGCCCGGGGGAAATCTCGCTTTTCCCAAGAAGTCCACCTTGCTTACCTCCAGACATCCGACCACGTATGTCCCATTCACTGCTATGAGGTCAGATTCAAGGTTGCGGTTGTAGTTTCAGCGGCCTGACCAAAAACCACTTTGTGGAATCAAGTCGTCTACGGCTCCCGGTCATCACGCACGGAGAAATAAAAAGGACAATGCTGGATCAAGCCACTCGAGTCACAGCTGTGTCAGAGGAACTAAATGGGATCTGTCCTAATCTGACTTTGTGCCCAGGAACATGCTGAGAACTGAGACCTTGGACTTGATGTCAACTGGTACTATCTGGAATATGCCATTTGTTGCGGATGTCTCCGACCGCAAAACTTCATCTACTGCCCTCGCTTCTCTCATCTCGAAGCTCACACTGCACATGTGCATGTTACCCAAGATGTCATATGGGAAGCTTGCTTTTCATTTTTCGAATCCTGCCCCGATGCCGATAAATTAGGACATCATCTTCCAGAATGATCCGTCGGCGTGTTCATCCAGTGAGATAGCCTCGGGTGAGATGCACTTCGACGCAACAGTGGATATTGAGAAGGAGTTTCCAAAAAGAGAGGACGGAAGACGCACTGACACAGCGAGCTCTTGAGAACAGACAAACTCAACGCAGGCCCTGGAGATCCTGGATTCCTGTGTAGCTGATCACCTGGGCAATATCCATACAACTACGGTGAGGTGAATCGTTGACTTCGAAAGATCATTACTTGAAGCCTAAGTCTGGCTTGACTTGAAATTCAACCAATGGCCTAATTTCCGCCTGCAAATAAGTCAGCTGTTTACATCACCCCACAAAATCAATCTCATCCGCGGGAGAAAGGACTCTCACCTCAAGTATCGCCCTTGGCGCCCATATCTCATACATCTTCTCCGCTGCTCTACTCCCCCCGGACGGATCATCGCCGGTGTGCTGCTTAATGCAGAACCCCCCCTTCCCAAAGTGCAGACTAAGCCAGGCTTTGAGGTGGTCGGGGCCGAGTTGTCTGGATATTTCGGCAGAGAGTGTTGTTGAGGTGATATTGATGGGCATTTTGTGTGGATTGGTGTTGTACCTGGGATCGTTGTGTGGTCATGGACACACTGTATGTATAGGATTCAACAATTGCATCTGGTGGGCGGTTAGTCGACTCGTACTTTCAAGCGGCAGCGCAGTCTGGGTGATGTTGGTCAACGCCGGGCTGGTGATCTATGGCCAACCGTATTATTTGATTCACTGGATCTATGGCAATCTCATGGGATTCAGATGGTCAGTGAAGAACGAAACACCGTGACCAGCGGTCACTTGCGCTATCCTGAGCACTTGACAGTTTAATATGCCGCTGGTAGGGGACTTCAGGATCGCAAATTTGTCCAAAATCAGTTCCTTAAAAAGAATCAGAAACGAACGATACCGGCATCAGGAAACAGTAAGTCTGTCAATTTCATCGTATGTAAGCAATGGCTCTAACATGTTTCTCTTGCCTGTGCCTCGTTGCTGCCGATACCTCGTCAGTGCTGAGGGAGCTCCCGAGGTGGGACTTTGAGTTGATCCCATGACTTCTTTGGCAGTTCTCTTACTCCCCTTCCCTATTTCTTGACGAAAATCTCTTTCCCAGTCATATCCTTCAGACGATCGTGCTGAATTCATCCCAAATCTCCCTGCCCGGTGAGGCAGAGGCTGTTGTTCAAGTCGCGAGATACTTCTTCGCAGGAATCCTCGTCTTCCTGGGGAGATTTTAAGAGTCTCAGCAGTGAGTGGCGCTGAGTGTACGTACCTTTGTGAGTTGCTGTCTGGCTGGCGACCAGAGCTGGATCATGCCATTGCTGATCAAGCCTAGTCCATGGCCATCGCGACCCAATCTACCCTCTAGAAACAATTTGTGGCGAAGTGGATTGATTTACTGGCTCGAGAAGTACCATGTCTCCCATTCAAGCCGGCGATGTGTTGAATTCTGTTGTCTCCCGTCATACACGAGGAGCGCACTAATGATGAGAGGGAGCTTGCAGAACTCCTAGTCTGTGTTTTGGCATCTCAGTCAACCCTCCCAGACCCCACAAGGCCTGCGATCCACCGTATTTCAGTAGACAACTAGCACGATCCTTGACTTTGGAAATTGGTGGCCAGCGCTGTGCACACAAGATATCCCCGTTGGAGTACATAGGGTACCTCCCAGGTCCAATTTCGGCCACCATATTCTCCAATCAGACTCAGTGGAGCTCGGGCATTGCTGTATTTGTCCTGGACCACAATTCCCTGATATGTGATGGTACACCGTACCACAAAGACCCCAACATCCCGTGGGCCTCAGTTCTGTCCGTTACGCGCGAAGTGACTTTTTATGCCATCAGCTACAAGCTTGTCTTGGTCTTTAGATCCCAGGTCTTGGGCGGTTTTCGATGCAATAGGTATTTGCTTCGTTCCATGGGCTACTTATGTACCCTACTTGATCGCGGAGCCGTCAAAATGTGTCGTTTCCGTGCCGAACGACAATCGGCGCCATACTACCGCCATCAACCAGCCCAGTTTCCCCCATTCAAGAGTCTAGCTCCGACGATGTTCCCCGTCTCGTCACAAGTGGTGTCTGTGAGGTGGTAGAAATGCTTGAAGTCTGGGTCTAGGGCCCGCAGCAGCGTTTGAGTACCAGGTCTTTATCATACATCTCGGATTTCATGGTATACCGAGAATGCAAATTGGCAGTATTTTAATTGTCTCCATTCACCCGACAAGTGACTTAGGATTGGTAAACTCAACGCTATCTGGCGGGTTTGCACTTCCCTACTTAGGTACTGATGACCGGCAACACTCGGACACCTCAGCCAGCTAACACCCAGTCTGCTATTCCCTTAGCATGCAATTCCATGGTATCAAGCAGAGGGACCGTGACATCCTCAGCCTTCAAGATGAACTGCAACTCGGTGCAGGCCAGCACTATCACTTCGGCCCCGTTCTCGATCAGCCTGTCAACCAGAGCGGCAGTCTTCGCCCTTGTCTCATCTCGGAAGATCCCAGCACCGAGTTCCTCAAAAATCGCCTTGTCCATCGCGAGCCGAGCCTCTCGGTCCGGGATCAACACTTCCACGCCAGCCTTCTCGCTCAGGCGCCCCTTGATGAAGTCGTCCTCCATGACTGTACTGGTCGCCAGCAGACCTATTTTCGAGAGGCCCCTCCGCTTGATCTCAGCGGCCGCAGCGTCGGCGATGTGTAGCAAGGGCAAGCCTCCCTCAGCTTCAACCCGCCCGGCAACCTTGTGTCCGATGTTGCAGCCGATGGCGAGGCCCTGCGCTCCCGCCGCCTTGAGTTGCTTTGAAGCCGTGATAAATTTGTCCGCGGCCGCATCCCAGTCTCCAGCGGTAAATAGGGCGGAAGTCTCTGCGTGGTTGAACGAGTGCATTATCATGGGCGCTGAGGATGCGCCCCCGAGCGCCCGCTGAATGTGGCCGTTGATTGAGGTGTAGTAGAGCGCCGTCGAGTGGTAGCTCATGCCGCCGAGAAATCCTAGTGTCTTCATGCTGTTTGGCAATTGGCGTGCGTGCTCAGGTTGAAATTGTGATGAGAGATACTCAAGGGAGCCAGTGCCCAAGACGAAAGGTGAGAGGACAGGGTTGATGGCTGGTAGGTGTGGTCTGGATGAGTCAACTTGCAAGCGTAAGCGGGGAGCCTCCCCCTGCTCGACGTCTTCTTTAGTGTCCGAAATGGTTTCGCCGTCATCATCTTGCTCTGCTGTGATGATCCCGTGGTTCTGGGCAATTTGATCTGGGTGCGTTCCAAATTCACGGCTGGGTACTTTTTAGAACAGCAAATATGGCAGGTTTCGAAAAAGAAAACATACTATTTCTTGTGAACTCCCTCTCTCGCATTCTTCTCGAGGAGCTCTCGGGCAGGGGCGGTGGAATTAACCCATTCTGTCGTGCTTCGTAGCTTTTTGAGGCACCTTCGGACTCCAACCCTAACTCTTTCCTTGGCGTCGTGGATTTCCTTTTGCTGTGCAGTCATAGCCCTGACACGCTTGATGGATTTGACGGTATTTGTATTCGTTGAATACTCATCGTCACGTTTGCGTTTTCCTGACATGTTGGGCTGCTTGAAAATATTGATCAGTTCATGTGAAGAAGGCCTCTAGATATCATGTAGTTACTTACCAACCAAAAAGTTCGGTTGCAGGCAGGTGCAGGTGATGTGGTCTTGAAGTGTTGGAAGTTTGGAAGTTTGGCCGACGGTTGTCTGCAACAGTTTCAAGGTTGGGTGGGAGATGGAGGAGGAGCGCCACTGCAATTGCTCTCTCGACACTTGCCGTTCACAACGACAAGGCAACAACTACCTCCAACCGACCTGGATCAACCTAAACAACCACTAAAAGTGCATTCGAACTATGTCTGAATGGAATTTTATTGTTCTTTTGGTATAATGTTGTCTCGCTAACATCCAGAAACACAGCTCTAGTCTCACTTAGTACTACTAACCACAGCTCATCACTGTCTACAATTCTCTTACTACCACGGTAACTTCTCCCTTACACTGATATATCTCAAGTGCCTTCTTTACTACTTATGGCTGATAAAGATGATCACGAAAATACCCGCTGTACAGCAGCAAGTCCCGTCCCGGTACTGGTCCTCGGGGCAACAATCGTCAAGATGACAACAATCATTGGAGAAATGGGCAGCAAGTTGAAACTTGGGTATTGTCTGAGCGCAGAATTGGGCGGGGGGCAATGCATCGAGGGAAAGCTGAAATTGTAAGGAAATACTCCAAAACTTCTTCATGATGACTAGCCTGGCCAACCTCTCGGATTGACTTAATTTGCGCAATGGAATCAATGTGCCAAAGAAATGCGAAAGACACGCTTGACTGGGAGGGATCCGTATAAGTCCTGGGACGGCAGGCGGTGAGTGGGTAGCTTGGAGATCGGCAGCTGGCGCTTCTACCTTGGCGGCGGCAGTAAATTTCGCGGGGCCTGGATTACCTGGTCGCTCGTTTGCCAAAAGTCATCTCTGCAGTCACTAGGTAATTTGGATGTTCGGCGACGACTCCCACCTTACAACCGAGCATTGACATCAAAGCTGACCCTAGACCTTCCTATCACCTATAAGTGGTCGCACGGGCATTTTATTAAATAACGGACGGATCCTGCACTTTGAACTCCCTGCCTCTCCTAGCTCGTGCGGCGCGTGACTCACTTTCCGCACCCAAACCTCAACTTCGACCTCAAGATTTACCTCGACCCTCGCCGCTTTGCCCTATCTAGAGGCTGTAATACCACCTGACGAGCCCTGACCATGGCTGCTGTCTCCCCATCCGGGTCGGACGCGGACCCAGCCAAACTCAGCGTCCTGAAGGACGCCCTGTACGAATCATGTCAGCTCAACGGCGACGAGACCCGGCTCTTCAGCCAAGAAGACCTCCTCTCCCTAGGCGTGACCGACGATGCAAACACGCTCCTCCGAGTCCTCCAGGCGCTCATCAATGACCGCCTCCTCATCTCGGTGGCGCGCCAGGGCGGCGGCTACCTGTGGAAGTGGAGGCCGGCCGCCGACGCCGCAAAATACCGGGCACTCAATAGGGAACAGTCCATGGTGTACGAAATGATCGACGATGCGGGCGCCGACGGGATCTGGTCGCGCACCCTCAAGGCGAGGCTCCAGATGCACGACTCCGTGCTTAAGGCACACCTCAAGTTCCTCGAGTCCAAGGGCTATATCAAGGACATGAAGAGCGTGGAACACCCCAACAAGAAAATGTACATAAAGTCCAGCCTGCGGCCGTCGGAGAAGGCCACTGGAGGCCCATGGTACACGGACAGCAACCTGGACGAGGCCTTCATCTCAGAACTTCTCAAGGTGATCTTCGATTTCATCACTAGGCAGAGCACATACCGGAGCGTCCACAGCGTGCACAAGGAGAAACAACCAAAAAAGGGCGTGCTGAAAGGCGACAAGGAGGCTGCCGCAGCAAAGGGCAAGAAGAGGGCGGCAGAGGACATCTCAGGCGAGGACCCAGCGCCCGCCCCGCGCGAGAAGCACCGGCACCGCGAGCCGAAGCGCACGCAGCTGCTGCCCCTGCCAGCGGGCTACAACGCGTACCCGACGGTGCGCCAGATCGCGGAGCTCATCTCGGCCAGTGGCATCACCAACGACACGACGCTGGGCATCGCGGACGTGCAGCAGCTGGTGGACGTGCTCGTGGCCGACGGGCTGGTCGAGCCGGTGCGCGTCGGCAAGGTGAGGGGCTTCCGGACTGTCCGCGCCGCGAAGGTGGACCCCACGCCGCTGACGGCCCTGATGCGCGACCACAACATGGACGAGGACGTCCTCGACCTGCAGGCGCAGGACATGGGCGCGGGCCCCATGAGCAATGGGCTCGCCGAGGCGCCGTGCGGCAGGTGCCCCGTGTTCGACCTGTGCGAGGAGGGCGGGCCTGTGAACCCGGGGAACTGCGTCTACTTCCAGAGGTGGCTGGGCGACTGAGCCCAGGCTTGTCGAGGTTGTGTCAGGCAGTACCAGACACTCTCGGGCTCCTAAAAAAAGGGACGACCAGAGCAATCAGTAAACGAGGCGTTGCGAAAGCAAAGTACCGAGCGACAGACGGTGAGAAGCGTTTTTTTTGCATTTGCTGGTCCTGCATTTGGGTGGTGGACGGGATGGCGTTCAGGGCGACAGACAGGGAACAAAAGAGAGGATCATTTGAGATATCCCATAGCCATACACAGGGCTTAGAAGGCTCTCGGCTGTTGAATTATTACTGTATCATTACCAGCAACTGCCATTGACTGCTACTCAGTGTAACAAAGACACAACGAGATCATTACCATGCATCGATGGCAGTTGTTGAAACAATCTCGGCATCTATCGCTAGAGGGCAACCAGCTCAGGGCATTCGATGCAAACATCACGTCAAATCAACACCATGCGATCACTGATTCATTATTGAATGGGCACAACGAGCGGACAACTTTTGGGTAGAAGAGCAGATCCCTTTTATTTTAGATTGCCTACGCCCAGACAGCATGAAGCTTGTCTTCCAACGTTCAGAGACCTATCGTCCAGTTCATTTGCTCATCGAAGCACCTCCAGATTGACCGCAGTGGCAATTGGTTCCGAAACCTGCATTTTGGCCGATTCAACCTCCTTACGACGTCTTGTGACCCTCGTCAGCGTGGACGATGGTGGGCTTCTTGCCGTACTTGATGGCACCGCTGGCGGAACCGGCAGCCTCGATGGCCTTGACGACCTTGAAGGACTCATCGTCGGCAACCTCGCCGAAGACGACGTGGCGGCCGTCCAGCCAAGAGGTCACGACGGTGGTGATGAAGAACTGGGAGCCGTTGCTGTTTCGTTTGGGTTAGCTCGCCTCCAAGATGAGACCCAATTGGGCGCAGCGTAGGAGGGTGACATACGTGTTGGGGCCGGCGTTGGCCATGGACAGCAGACCAGGGCGGGTGTGCTTGATCTGGAAGTTCTCATCGGCGAACTTCTCGCCGTAGATGGACTTGCCACCAGTGCCGTTGCCACGGGTGAAGTCGCCACCCTGGAGCATGAACTCAGGGATGACACGGTGGAAGGCAGAGCCACGGTAGCCGAAGCCCTGAGCGTGGGTGCAGAGCTCCTTGAAGTTCTTGGTGGTCTTGGGGACGACGTCGTCGTAGAGGTTGAAGTTAATCACACCGGACTGGGCTTTGTCGTGGGCAAGCAATGTTAGCAGCTGTGCTCAATGGACCAGAAAGGGTAGCATTCAGGAACGAGTGGGAATGTTTTAGCAGGCAACTAGCAGAGTGGCTGTGTAGGTTGAGGCCCACGAAGCGCAGAAGCCCAGCCAACAAGAAAGACGGGGAGATGGATGGATGCGAGGATGGCGATGCAGTCGAGACTCAAAATGAATATTGCTTACCCTTGACCTCCTTGGTGGGCTTGTTGCTGCCGTCAAGGACGGGACCCTCCCACTCGAGCTCGAAGTAGCTGCAGAGCAGGTGTGTTAGTCGAGAGAGCTCTGAGGAAAGAAAGCTGCAGACAAAGGTGATTGGAGGGGTATCGATGGCAAGTGGCAAAGATTGCGAAGCCATCGACAGAGCTCAGGAGGAGAGGACAGTGGGGCTCAGTACTTACACCTTAGACATGATGGGTGATGTTGATGAGAAGAAGCGGGCAGAGTTGAAAGTGGCTGATCGTTGATGAAAGGGAGAAGTGATCGAAGGAGAAGTCTTGTTGACGAAGCTGGGGATAGAAGAGGGAGAAAATCGAGGGGCAGCAGCAGCTCGGAAGCTGGAAGTAATAACGCGGGGCATGCAGAGCGGGGCGGCCATGACGGATCTGGGCGAATGATGTGATGTTTTAGCAAAACGGGGGTCGCGCAAGTTGGCAGGCAGGGATACACCCAATAAGCAGACTCAGGCAGACGAGCGTGGCGGGGTACTGGGAGAGCGGACGAAAAGTGAGGACGAAGCAGCTCTTGACTTGAGACAGATGCAGTACACAGTACGGGCACAACAGACAAACACCACACAAGAGGGGCAGGGCAGGGCAGGGCAGACCTCGTGTACATCTCACATCACGTACAGTACCTGTACACCCACCGTACCCAGGCTGCCAGGTAGGGAACCACGTAACCCGCCCTGGGTACCTACCCCCTAGGTTGGTGGGTAGGCACAAACAGGCTCGCCTAGGTACCAGGCCAGAGGCTGGGCTAGGGCGGGCAGAGCTTCCAAGCTGCCTGGGGACCGGACCGAGGTCGCTGCTTGCCCTCACCACTCGCTCAGCTCGGGTTAGGTAGCGTGTCGGTGCCTGAGCTGAGTGCGAGGTATATGCACGGACGTGGATGCAACAGGCGCTGGTGTTGTACCCAGGTACCAGGAACATGATGCGTGTGTTATGTGGGTAAAAGGAGAGGGGGAACCCAGGGGGCAGCAGAAGCTCTGGACTGACGAACAGACCGGCCAAGATCGGCAGAAGACGCCCACGCCCACGCCCACGCCCTGCTGTCGCAGCAACGAGCCTGGCCTGGGGCCTGGGGCCTGGGCAACCGGATCGTCGACAGTCCTGACGAGCTCCTTCCGAGACGCCTCTCTACCCGATCGAGATCTGAAGAGGAGACCATCCTGAGCCTGAGTGCGAGGCAAGACAGCTCAGCTCCCAGACGAGAGACGGCTGGGTACAAGCCCATGCAGCCTCGGGCGTCGAGGAACCGTTGCCGCAGGCCGTACAATGGTCACAATAGGCCATGGGAGCTGTCTCTGCCCGGGAGCATCGAGTCTCCAGAGTGGCGCCACGGCAAGACTGGAGCTGTATGGGACCGTCTCGGGCGTCTCTGGGGTGATTGATATCAACAGGAACGAGCCATGGATGAGCTCGACCCGCCAGGCCTGACTGTCTCCCTGGGGCAAAAACAAGACACGGTACAGTACAGTAAGAGCTCTCGACGTACCGATTTGGCTGGTTCGGAATACCAAGTACAACTAGAAATACACAACCGGGAATGTCAATTGGACAAGTGAAAGCGGGATCGAGACCGTGGAGGATGATGTGGTGGATGGGTGCAGCTGTCAATTCGTTGAGAAGCCGGCGGGAGAAACTTTTCCAATTCGTCGACTACGGAGTACCTGACATCACCAGGGGGTCCTCACTGTCGATTGACAGCTTGACAGGGCTGGCCTGAGGCAACAACAGGCCAGACAACTTCCTCGATAACCTTGGCATAGATATCATTCAAACCCCCCATCCAATGGAGACTTAAAAATGAAAGACAAGACTAGTACTCACTCATTGTCTATTTACAACAACCGACTGTCTCTCCTCTGGGAGCTCCTTCACACTTCCTATGTCCCAGACCACTGCACCACGCAGAGGAACCTGCCGCTCTTGCGTGTCATGTGGGTTACGTGGGGGGGGGGTGGCAATTTGAGACGTGAGGCGTAGAGCTTGGCCCGCACCTAATGCCCTCAGATGCTGAGCAGCCGATTCCCAATGCCATGGATTATTAAAGACCAACCATGGATGGGTGTTTTGCACCCCGAATACATACATGTACATACTAAACAAATGATCTGGCTGATTTGCTCAGGCATTGAGCACTTCTGGCAGCAGCTTTAACTAGGGGCGGGCACTCTATGAAGCCGATGGCTCCGAAAGGGGGGGTACTTTGGCACACCTCAAGGGTTGAGCGAGGGTTTGGGGGAAGGCGGCCTTTGGGGGCTTTTGGGGGGAGGCAGGCAGGTCAGCTCGACCTTATTAGTCAGAGTCCATTAACACACGTTCCTTGAGTGACACGCCAGGGGCCAGTTTGGGAGGCTCGGCAGGGCACTTGCACTTTAACATTCTGGCCAACTCATTAATTAAATGGGGTACAGCACCACAAGACACCGTCGCCGGCCCCTAAACTGAACGCAGACAGACAAAGAAAGCGACCAGCTTCGAAGGCCTCACCCGATCTGATTACTCCCAACCTGGGCACACGTATTCGACGACTCTGTCTGCACCAGGACGCCAATCAACCGCCAAGATGGATCTCAACAGCCTGAGGGACACCGTATCCAACCTGACCTTGTATGATCTCAAGGCGGGAGTACGCAAGGTCCAAAATGGTGAGCGACCTGCGACAAACGCCGACAGCTCCTCCAATGGCTACTGACCGCTGAGCGAATAGCTGTCATGAACTACACCGAGATGGAGTCCAAGGTACGACGGCCACAGTTGGTCTTGCGCCGACGCTTATGTTGCTGACCGGTGCCGACAGGTGCGCGAGGCCACGAACAATGAGCCGTGGGGAGCATCGTCGTCGGTGATGCAGGAGATCGCCAACGGCACCTTCAACTAGTATGATTGATTGCACCGGTTACAGTAACGATGAAACAAATCAGGTTGGCTGACCACGGGTTGTGACCGCAGCCAAACCCTCAACGAGATCATGCCCATGATCTACCGGCGGTTCACAGAGAAGGCCGCCGAGGAATGGAGACAGATCTACAAAGCCCTGCAGCTGCTCGAATATCTGATCAAGCACGGCTCGGAACGTGTTATCGATGACGCCCGATCCCACCTCACCCTCCTCAAGATGCTGCGGCAGTTCCACTTCATCGACCAGAATGGCAAGGACCAGGGCATCAACGTCCGGAACCGCGCCAAGGAGTTGACCGACCTCCTCGGCGACGTCGACCGCATCCGGGCAGAGCGGAAGAAGGCCCGGGCAAACAAAGCAAAATACACTGGTGTCGAGGGCGGCGCGGGCCTTGGGTTCTCGAGCGGCGGCAGCAGCAGCCGATATGGTGGTTTCGGCAGCGAGAGTGGCGGCTACGGCGGCGGTGGTGGCACCTCTGCCAACTTCGGAGGGTACTCGGGCGGCGTCTATGGTGACGGAGGTGGGTTTGGTGGTGAGAGCAGCGACTTCCGAGACACTGGTCGACGTGCGGGAGGCGGAGACCAGTTCGAGGAGTACGACGAGTTTGACGGCCACGATGCCCCCGAGCCAGCACGCCGCAAGACAACGGAGCGGGCTGGGACCAAGAAGACGACGCCGGCGCCGGCGGCCGTCGAGCCTCCAAAGAAGAAAGAGCCCGAGGTTGATCTGTTCTCGTTCGACGACCCCGTCCCCTCCTCGTCCTCCGTAGCCCCCGCAGCACCCTCCAACGGCTCCGGCCTTGCTGCGCTGTCTACGACTACTGCTCCAGCCGCCGCCGCCGATAATGACGACGACGACTTCGATGACTTCCAGTCCGCCACACCGGCAGGGCAGACCTCTGCTCCGCAATCATCGGCTTTTGGAAACCCGCTCATGACGTCGAATGCCTCGGGCGCCACTTTTGCCGCCCCAGCGCCTGTGGCAGCCCCGGCCAACCTCAACGGCATGATGGGCTTCTCTTCCATGACGCCACCTCCAGCCAGCTCGACGACGACCACCCCCGCGGCGAACTACTCTTCTTTCAGCAGCCCCCTTGCGTCCTCCACGACCATGTCGCCCCCCGCGAACAAGCCTCAAGCCGGCGGGTACCAGCCGTCCGGGCCGAACTACTTCACCTCTGTGCAAGCTGCCACGCCTCAGTCGGCCTCGACACCGACCTCGGCGGGCGGCATGGCGGCCTTGCGACCCACAGGAACTGGGCCAGCGGCCAAGAAGCCTGCCGGTGGTGACGCGTTCGGTGCCCTGTGGGCAAGTGCAAGCGGCACTGGTGCCAAGAAGCAGAGCACGGGAGGTGGCCCAGCACTGGGCCAGTTGGCAAAGGAGAAGAGCAGCGCCGGCATCTGGGGTGCCCCAGCTACTGCGCAGTCGAAGCCAGCAGGTTCCAGCCAGCCCAATACCGGAAGCTCAGGGTTGGACGATCTGCTAGGATAGATCGTCATACGAGGTAGTTTGTGACAGGCGAGGCAGCCTTGATCGTCACTGCACATGCCAGGCCAGGCCAGACCAGCCAGGCCACGCAGTATATCTGATCAAAAGTTGAGACATGGGGGAGATCGGAAGGGTTGGTCGCGGGTTCGCTACAGTCATAATACAAGCATAGGAGGATCGACCAGTTTCTGATGCGCTTTTTGTTAGACCTAAGATCTTGAGGCGTACTGGAGTTCAAAATCATTTCTCTGCAGTGCAAGCTAAATTCTAGTGTTTTTGATGCTGCTGGTTGCCCTAGATTGCATGTCCAGAACTCGCGGTGCTTGACACCCATTCCTGTCATCCCAGCAGATAGCACATGTGTCATGGGGCGGATCTGAGAGACCGGGTGCCAACAACTGTCTAGTCAGAATCACCATCTGCCATTTGCGTAGTTTGTTTGTGGTTGAAGCATGGGCCTGCAAAAGAACCAACACTAGGTGCTTGACACTCCACAAGCAGCCTTCTTCTTATTGCGTTGCAGCAAGTACACAGCCTCCGGCCCCTCTGTACACATTGATCCCACTTCGAGGCCTGAAGAGCCAGCCAGCTGGCGGGCCCGACCGCAGCTGAGACAATCCCAAAAAATGCGGCGGCCGTATACAGAATACAGCGTAGGCCGGGGGGTCGCTTGTTTGGTCGCCATCGGTGGCCGGGCTTGTTTCATTCGGCGCGGCTGCGCATCGGCACTGTGGGCTTGGTCCGCAGCTGCGGCTTCCACATGCACAGGGCTGGGGCTGCCACGCGCACGGTATTGTGCAGCCGTCATGACTTACGAGAGAGCGTCTTGCCCTGCATCAGCATACGGAGTATACGAACCCCCATCATCGAGACCAGAGCAGCAGTGCACTGAACGTTGAGGTGAGAAATTGGTGGATCTGCGCGGAAACATTAGAGAAACGCCCCGGCCCAATCGAGGCCCTGGTGTCTTTGGCGCCGAGGTGGATCTCTGCAGACTATGGGCAGGGCCAGTGGCAGGTGGTTGGTTGGCCCAGCTGCCCAGCAAGCCTGGGGTGTGAGTTCAGTTCCTGGACCCGAGCAGCCAGCAGCCAACACCAACTGCTGCTGCCCTCTCTGCCTCTCAGCCACTCTGCCACTCTGCAGACGCGGTGGAGACCACATACCTCAGCAATACCCCGTACCTGACCAGCACGCCATCGCGGCTGTTTAAGCGCTCGCCAAACAAGCCGAGGGGGTGCCTCTCGATGCCCATTGGCCTTCTCACCTCGACTCGCGCCTCTCGCATGGACTGATCTCCCCGTGATCTTTTGTGTCTGTGGAGCTCTCAATCTCCCCAGCCGCCGGTTGGCGACATGGATGGATAAAGAATCGAAGCATGTCTCGTGCTGTATCTGGCCTCCCGTTGGATGCCCTCGACAATGGGCCCTGGCCACAGAGCAATGACGACTGCTACCTCCCAAGGTTGTTTCTTAGTCGTACCCACACGGCGCGCCATGTGTTGGGTCGTCGACGGCCCGCAACAGGCCCAAACCAAGCCCAGGACATGGTTCATCCACAAGTACTGCCGCTGCCAGCTGTATTTGGCAACATTCCCACTCACACACACCACCCTCGGTGCCGGTCTCATTGCCCACCTTTGCTGGGCTGGCTGGAGACCCGGGTCTAGACCTCCCTGAGCACATGCGGCGGCCGTCGTCCAGGCTCGGCACAAGTGACCCTGCCTGATATAATCCGGATGGCCTCTTCTCCTTCGCCTGGCCGGGACTCTTGTTGGGGTCCTTTTTTCCTTGTTGCAACTTTTCCTTTCTGTCTGTCAAAGCCGTCTGACGAAGCTTGAGAAACAAGCATCTTTCCTATCGTCCTTTTCTTTCCCCTTTTCGTCACATTTCCTTGACTCCTTGTTCTCTAGGATTCGTTTCCCCAGGTTTCACCCGAGTCTTGTCTGCGGGTTGTCATCAGAGCAACCACCTGCACTTACCAAGAATAATACCTATGATACTTCTTATTCTCACTGACAACTGGATCTTGGCCTGGCACCGATGTCCTGACCTTCGACCCGCGGCCCCCAGACAGATATAATCAAAGGTCGCTCGTTGAGACGCCCCGTCTCACGCTCTTCACTTCCCTCTTCTGCAAACCCGAACCGTCATCCGACCGGACCACTGCCGTTCATCATGAGGACCGGCTTCCGGAACCACGGCTACTACGGCCATGCTTTTGTGGGCGCCCGCCTGCTTTCGGCCATTGCCCTCCTCGCCATCATCGGCTTGGTTGCCGGCTTCACATCCCAAATCAACAAGGCCAGCCTTGCGCCACCCGTACAGCTCACAGGCGCCATCATCGTGAGCGCGGCCGCGTTGCTCTGGGTCCTTCTTTCTTTCACGGCTTACGACGACACTCACATACCTTACATGGCCACGGCCATCGTCGACGCCGTCTTTCTGATTCCCTTCGTTATTGTTGTCATTGTCCTCGGCGGACAACTGAGCCAGACCGAGTGCTCAACTCTTCCTGAGGCTGGCGATGGGACTCTACTGCAATTGGATCCGGCCGACGGCGCCGTGAACGGAACGCTCTCTTACGTCACATTCATCGCCTCGGATCGCATGACCTGCTACAAGCTGCAGGGCACATGGGGACTGTCTATTGCCCTGTGCATCTTGTTCCTGCTCTCTGCGCTGGCAGCGGCCTTCTTGTTCATGGGGAAGCGGAAGAACGGCTACAAGGGGAGGTTCTTTGGAAAGAACAGCGCCCGGTATGGCGATAAGTATGGCGCCCCTTGTTGAGGGCGCGGGGCGGCGGGTAGGGAATGGGCTTGGTGGAATGTCTGGAGATTTGGCAAAGGTAAGCCTGTCCAGGGCTCCAAATCTCCGGAGACGCGGACGAGCCAGGACGCGAACGGCACGAGGAGCGCAGAACCTGCATCACCAAAGAAGAGCAAGAAGTCGAAGCAGAAGAAGCAAAAGAACGGACAGAACCAAAATTCGTCATACGACAAGGGCTACAAGCTTTTCAAGCCCTCGACTTGGTATTCGTCCGAAAAAGCTTCTGCCAATTCGTCATTTTCAACTTCTCGTGGTGTAAGCAATTCAGGTTCGAGCGCCAACTCTCCGTCGGCTCAAAACGTCAACACCAACAACCAAGCCCCCCACTCGACGCCCAGCAAAAATTATGCAGAGCCGCAAAGCGGCTCTGATGAGACACCCGGCAAAGGATTTTTTGGTTTTGGATGGCTGTGGAGGAATGGTCGTGGCCGCCGCAACGGCCGCGACCGCTCCAAAAATATCACCCAACCCGGCCATCGGCCGGAGGACATCGCGCTTACGGATGTACCCCAGGGGCGCAGGAATGGCCCAAACACCATCAACTCCAACAACAATGACAGGGACTTTGGGGGCCCACAAGGAGAATCAAAAGGCATAGGCTCCCTTAGTCCCTTGCCGTCCAAGCACACATTGAGAGACCCCTCGCCCACTTCGCCCCAGACCAACAGATCTTTTGACCCCCAAGGACGACCACAACAGCCAATCCCACCCAACAGCAACCAAGCCGCCAATTCTGCTGGGCCGCTGCAGGGTGTGGCCGACGTCGACACAAACATGCCGGCTAAAGGGCAAGGCTATCCTGCCGCGAATGGCAGAACGAATGGTCGTCCGGGTCCAAGCACTGCTGGTAAGGAACAGCACCCGCGTGGCGGAGCATCCTCATCCAAGGGACCATTATCCAACAGCACGAAAAAGACCACGGCTGGTGTGAACGGCCTTACCCCTCAACGTACAGGTGGTCCCGTACAATCACTCAACCAAGGCCCCGGGGCACCACCTGCGACTCTGCCGCGTAGCAGTGGGACGCCCGCGAAAGGTAACAACAACCCTGCTGGTATTGCTAACATGAATAACCCCAAAGCGAATCCAAACGTCAAGCGCGAGAACGCCGCCGCCGGCCCCGGTGATCGCCCAGCAGCTGCCGCGACCATTGGCAACTTCCAGGATGGTCAGCGGACATTTGAACAGCCTCTCAAAACAGGGCCTAATAGCCAGGCGCTGCAACGCAAGCAGACTGGCGAATTTGTATGTTTACCTCTTCTACGGCCGTTGGGTCCCCGAAGTCTTTCACCAAAATTATACTAACTTTATCCTCTCAAGAATCCTGTTGTGCCTGGTCAGCAACTTCCTAATAGGAACGGACAGCCTCTCAAGTCTGGTGAGAAACCAACGCTGGCGAATAATACGCCCTCGTCCAAATCCGGAGGCGGTCACTTCTCCAGCATCAAGAATCCCCCCAAGCCCGCACAGCAGAGGAGGAGCAATGAAGTCCTTCCTGATTCTTCCACTCAAAACATTCCTAATAAGCACAAGAACCCTGCGAAACCAATCCCAGATAACAATCCCACAAACCTTGCCCCCATCAGCAACCCAGGACAACAAGATGGACCCCGTGGTTTCACGCCAAGAAGAGACAAGAAACATGCCGCTCCACCACCCAAGGGCGTGCAACCACAAGATCAACGTGAACCCAGTCTTGCAGAGTCCAGTTACTTCTCCATACCACAGAGTAAGGCCGCTCAGGATGCTGAACGACGTGGTCTGACGGGCGCTGAGAAGAAGGCTACAATCGAGGCGAAGCCCGTGAAGAAAGAGCACAAAGGGAAGCAGCCTCGTACGACGAATACTCAAAAGAACTCATTTGAGGTTGAATCTGCCGCCGATGTTCCTGCGTTCGCGACGGGAAATATTCCCTCAAACAAGAAACCAAAGCAACAGGCTGGGTTAGGTCGCCTTGAACCCCCTACCGGACGCAATGAACAAGCGGGTTCGCCTCATCCCGTCGCAATTCCACTACAGCATGACGCAAGTGGTCTGCGTTCGGGAGAACAAATTCGTCCCGTGCCGCAAAGCGCAATTGATGGAACACCAGGGGAGCCAGGCATTTCGTCGTCTCTTGCTCCTGGTTCAAGGCTCGATGCGAGACGACAGCCATCTTCCCAACGACCTGGACAGCCTGGTGTTCTTGGGGCTCCTAGCCCAAGTGTTAAAAATGCACGTGGCCCTCATGTCATCCCCAACGAGCCCAAACAACAAATGGTGCCGGCTAGTAATGAGAGTGGAAGGCAAGGTGGACCAGCGCCAGGGTCGTCATTGCCGGACGCTTTCGCCCCTGGGAGCAACCCGCACGGCGAGCGCGAAAGGATGCCGCCTCAGAAGCCAGAAGTTCACGGACGTGATGTCCGCAATCCACCGGCTCCAGGTGGCCGATCCTCGCACGAGTCTGTCAGGGCTCCAATGGGCCGCCAGATGCCTGCTTCTGCTTCTGCCGCTGGCCAGCCACACCAGCCGTCGTTAAAGTCGAGGGGCGCACCGACGAGAGCAGAGGCAGAGGCATCACAAGCCATGCCTCCGATACCGCCACAAAACCATCCCGCGACTTATGACGAGCGTTCAATGCCTTCGATACCTCCTCCACCTCAGCCACCCATCATGCGCGCCGATCAAGGCAGAGCAACGCCACCTCCTATACCTGGTGATCGTGCACCCAGAGATACATCTAGATCACGCCAGCCTCCTCCTAAGCTTAGTGACCGCAAGTCACTGTTTCAGCCTGGGGTGCCTGCTCGGGATGCTGTTGAAGCACCAATGCCGAAAATGCCTGGTTCGTCTCGGGATGAGCTTCGGAAGGTGTCTTCCGAATTCGCTGCTCCTGGGTCTGTTCAACCTGGGAGATACAACGACAAGAATGGCGATCGCATGCCTGTGCCACCTCAAAATGTCCAAGGCCCCTTCGACAACTCGTTCAACGATCCTCGTCAGCTACGCTTTGATCCAAGTGATGCTCGAGCGCCACAGGGACCAAAAGATATGCACCAGCGGCCTGATCCAAGGGTTATGAAGGCTGACGGTCACAGCGGACAAGCTCCTCCTTTGCCACCGCGAAATGAGCAGATGAACGATAAATTAAACTCATCTCCTTCTTCTAGAGGCATGGACGTTGGCAGGCTTGACACAAATGTGTCTGGACGGAATACACCCTCGGCTGAGCCATCCAGCGCTACGGGGAGCCCTTCAAAGAGGAGCTTGCTTGGTCGTTGGTTTGGAAAGAAAGACAAGAAGAAAGCCGAGCCCGCGGAGACTTTACCAAAACGGCCGTCTCTGCTCCCACCAGGCAGGCCGCGGACGTCTGTTGACAGTGTTGCTTCTGCTACCGCTTCTGGGGCAGTGCAGCCTGATCAAAGTAACCGTGCTCCATTCTCCCAAGCACGAGAAGTGCAACCAGACCAGCCGAGCGGATATTTGAATCGGGGTTCAAATGACCTTCCACCTTCCCAAAGACGAGAAGTGCGACCAGACCAGCCGAGCGGATATTTGAACCGGGGGTCAAATGACGTTCCAACTTCCCAGTCACGAGAAGTGCAACCAGACCAGCCGAGCGGATATTTGAGTCGGGGGTCAAATGACCTTCCACCTTCCCAAACCGTTGTGGATGGCCCGCGCAAGTCTTTGGTAAATAACAGCATTCCTCACTCACGAGATGGGCAGCAGCACCCGCCTCCAGAGCCACCCTTGCCTAAGCCGTCAAGGGCTCGGTCCCAGCCTTTCCCCACGCACCCAGGCCAGAAGCCACCGCAGCCTATGCCTCCGGCAGCCAACGACCTCAATGACCTTCATGCTGCCGCGGCTGCTTCTCGGTACATGAACCCGAACAAGCAGGATGAGTCGAAGATGCCGCCGGATCCAGAAAATCAGAAGAAGGTGAACAGAAAATCTCGCATGCTCGGCAGTATGATGCAACCGATACCAGGTCAAGGCGATGCCATGCCCGTGCCTGCAATTCCTCAAACACCTGCTGCCTACAAGCACGGCGATGAGCATCCGACTCTTCCTGGCGGCGCAGAGATGCCGCCACCCCCAGCCATGGATGACAAGCAGAGGCGCGCGGCGAATAGGAAATCACATATGAATGGCTTTGGTCCTACAGACCTCCAGATGCCGCCAGTGCCGGCACTCAAGGATCACGTCACAGCGAGCTCTGAGGTGCCACCATCGTTGCGACCTGGGATTCCGGACGGAATGCCGCAAGAACAGCGAGATCTGGCTGGTGCACCCGCGAACGACAAGCCCGGCATGATGCCTCCACCTATGAGGAAGGGGCTTCCATCAAGGCCAATTGCACGCGGTGCCATCAAGGAGTCTGCTGCAACGACCGATTCTGGTCTGCCTACTCCTTATGTGGATCACGACATGGACAGTCCAGGCTCGTCGCAAGACTCGCAGCTGCCTCCTACACTGAGAGCTGCACGTCCGAACTTAAAGCTAGATGCCAAGGATGGCGAGCAGCCTCCCCCGCCTCCTGGTACTATCCCAGAATCCATGGCCAAGTCTCGAGACATGCGATCCAAGGCTATGGGTATGCCCTACAATCCCGGGTCTAAGAAGACCAAGCTCGGCAAAGACAAGGAGCAGACCCGCCAGCCTCTTTCTCCTATTGATGGGAACATGTCGCCACGGTCACCGATCAATGTTGAGTTAGGAAACATTCCTCCGTCACAAAAGCCTTCTAGCCCCAAGCCCAACACGCTGAAGGATTTCTTTGGAAAGACCAAGGGCGAGGACGGCGCTTCTCGCGAGATTGGCTCACAAATTATGGCAAGTGAGAAGCCACTGTCGCCTACATCTGCTAGATTGGCAGACATGGAGAAGGAGCTGGACAATTTCAAACTCGCCCGGTATCAGCATCCCGAGCGCCTCTCGAAAGACTCTATCCTCACTGAGGACATGCTCGACACGCCGCCTCTTTCCAATCATGAATTCACCTCGAACAACAACATGATCCGCACGGACGTTAAGGATCAGCCACTCAAGTATACCCCGAGAGGGTTTGCTGACAAGAACGGCAGTCTTGATTCTGCCCCATTTTCGTCGTCGGCTAAGGATGACAAGATGAGCAAGAAGAACAAGTCTCGTGATCTTTCAGGCGACAAGAAGGATGGGTCTGCCATCAAAGAGGAGCCGACGCGTGACTTCCTTGGTGGAAACCTCTTTGGTGGTGGTAAGGACCGAATGTCTCCATTTGGTTCGCCTACCTTCAAAGACGATGAGCCTTGGGCAGCAGGGAGAGATGCCAAGGCTCCTGGAGACAAGAAGCCCGGTTTCTTCAGCATCGACGGCATTCAGAAGGACCGGGGTCATGCAGACGACTCGAAGGGCTCCAATCCTGTGTCTCCAACCATGGCCGAAGCTTCGCTCTCGCCTGGCCAAGGTGAGCCTTGGTCACCTAATGGAGATGTACTCAAGCAGAAAACCCCAGGTGACAAGAAGACTCGTGGTTTGTTTGGCCGCGGAAAAGACAACATTAAGGCCGGATCGAGGTCACCTACAGATGAGAAGCGCGGGTTCCTCGGCCTCGGAAAAGACAAACAGAAGATTGGCGGCGATAAATACCAGTCTGGCTCTCCGGCGCATTCTCCCACCATGAGAGACGGGCCGCCTATCGAGTCGTGGGCTGAAGACGAAAAATTGGCTGGTGAAGAGAAACCGGGCGAGAAGAAAGCTGGTTTGTTCAGCAGCTTCGGACAGCACAACGGCAAGAAGAGCGCATCGGGCTCTCCGCTTAGCTCTCCGACTTGGAGGGACTCGCGGGCTGCATCTCCCGGTCTGGAATCAATGGGCGAGGATGGTGGTCCTGCGTCCAAGGACAAGGGCACCGGGCTATTCAGCAACTTCGGCAAAGACAAGAGGCAAAACCATGGTGAAAGGGGCTCGGAACTACTCGAGTCCCCCGACGCCGACGCCGAGCTTGAAGACAACAACGCACATGGGGAGAAGAAGTCTGGGTTCAAAGGTCTGTGGAGCAAAGACAAGGACGGCAAAAACAAGAGAAGAGGATCAAACTCAGAACCGCTGTCGCCCGGCAAGCCAACCATCTTGGACGAGAACCATACTGGCAACAATGACCATGTCATGATACCAGCCTTTCTTCTTGTTCAGAAAGACTCGTCGCAAACAGGATCTCCAGTCCTTCCCGGCCAAGAGAAGCCTGGTCAATTTGATGGCCGCGACCTTGATGAGGTTGATGATGAGGATTTCTCTGAAGTCGGAAAGAAGGAAAAGAAGGGCAACGGACTGTTTGGCAAGAGTAACAACAAGGATGAAGATGGACACCATGACATCTACGATACGAAGCCAGACGGACGTTATTCTCCCCAAGTTGGGCCACTTGATTCCCCGGAGTTCGGCCAGGGAGACAAGAGCGGCAAGTACAGAGCCTCCACTGTATCACACTCGGACGACATCTACACCGACCAGTACGGACATCAATTCTCACCTCGGCTCGAATCCCCTACATCGCCTGGTGTCAGCCAGAAAGACAAGAAGGGCAGGGGACTTTTCGAGCGCTTCCGGAAGAACAAGGATGGGAAGGTGACACCTACCTCGACGGATAATTTCGACGACTACGATACTCAGTCGCTATCACCCCAAGACGAATCGGTGGGCAAGAAGGACAAGACTGGAAAGGGAATCTTCGGATGGGGCAAGAAGGACCGGGATAGTCCGCTGGCGTCCCCTCTGGCCGACAACTATAACCACGCCAGCATGTCCCCACGATCGCCCAGATTTGACCAACGCCTCTCTCGCGACATCGACGCATACCCGGCGACGATGTCTGAGTCCCCGATAATGAACGACTCGATGCCCTCGCCTCGGCGATCCTTGGAAAACGCGTACTCCCCGCCTATGGACACCTACGAGGAGCCCCTGAGCCCCGGCCAGCCGGGAAAGATGAAGCCTGAGCCGCTCAACTTCAAGAACAAGATGCGTGGCCTCTTCGACAAGGTGGCTGGAGTCGATGGTGACAAGCGCCGATCGAGCCGCGACTTCGGCGGTGCGTATGGTAAGTCCCGCTGCTATCCTTCCTTGAGACTCGGGGTCTTTGCGTACTAACACCGTATGATTCTGCAGGAGCGCCCTACTCACCAACTCCTGGTGATATGGATGAGTACAGCTCAAACAAAATGCCCCTCTCGCCTGTGGCTATGGACAACTTCGGTGGCAACAACAGCATCTCGCCCTCTCCAGCCGGTATGGATAGCTTTGACAGGGACGGCGCTCCTCCGTCGCCAGGTGTTGCTGGCACGGGTGACTTTGGTGGTAACAGTATGCCCCCGTCGCCTGGTGACATGAGCAACTTTGGCGGGAATAGCATGTCTCCTTTGCCAGTTGGAGGTAACAGCTTCCCTGCCTCGCCTGTCGGTGACATGGACAACCCCAGCAGCTTGCCTCCTTCACCCTCGCCAACGATCGGTGCCGACGTTGCGCCCATGCCCATGCAGACGCCCATCCTGTCACCTGTGCAGTCTCCAGCTCGGTCAGAGTTCGACACAATGCCTGGGCAAGACCTTCCGGCATCGCCTCGGGCCGAAATGGAAATGCCCTCGCCAGCCCTTCCGGAAGCTCCAGTTGCCTTTGACGAGCCCGAACTGATGGCAACAGACACTGGTTTCGTCCAGACCCCGCCCGCTTCCCCGCCTGCTCAGTTTGAGGCCGCCGGTATGGACCCGCCTATGGGGTCTCCTTTCATGGGCAGTTCCGAGCTGGTAGACATGGCCGCGCCCATGTCTCCCATGAGGGACGACTTTGGTGGCGCCCCCAGCCCCGGTGCCGGATACTCTTCGCCCCCGCCCATGGTCGATGATTTTGGAGGCGGCATGGGCCCGACCGACGACTTTGCAAGTGACCGCGGTCCACCTGGAGGGTCTTTTGAGCCGGAGCCTGCTTTCAACGACGACTTTGCGGGCGGGCCACCTGCTTTCAATGACGCTCCCCCTCCGCCTCCACTTGATAACTTTGGGGATCACTCGGCTCCATTTGACGATGCTCCTGCATTTGATGATGCTCCACCATTCGACGATGCCCCTCAATTCGACGACGCTCCTCCATTCGACGACGCTCCTCCATTCGACGACGCTCCTCCATTCGACGACGCTCCTCCATTCGACGACGCTCCTCCATTCGATGATGCTCCTCCATTCGATGATGCTCCTCCGGCTCCTTTCGATGACGGTGGTGACAGCTTCGGCAACGATGGCTTCGATGACCCACCAGTCGACATGGACCGTGGCTTCGATATGGAGCCTGCGCAGGACTTCGGACCTGAACCTGACATGCCGACGGACAACTTTGACGAACCTCCACCATTCGATGACAGTGGTGACCGTGGTCTCGATGAATCCTTTGATGGACCAATGGACGCCCCCATGGATGAGCCCTTCGAGGAAGCTTTCGATGGACCGATGGACGAGCCATTCGATGAGCCCTTCGATGGCCCCGTGGACGAACCATTCGATGGCCCCATGGATGAACCATTCGATGGCCCCATGGACGAGCCATTCGATGGCCCTATGGATGAACCATTCGATGGCCCCATGGATGAGCCATTCGATGGCCCTATGGATGAGCCATTCGATGAGCCACCTATGTCAGATAACGGTGAGGAAATGATTCTCCAAGACGACTTCAGCGGCGGTGCCGAGCCCGATAACTTTGACGACGGTGACCGCGGACTTGGCGATGACTTCCCACAAGATGACTTCCCGCAGGACGACTTCCCGCAGGACGACTTCCCGCAGGACGACTTCCCGCAGGACGACTTCCCGCAAGATGACTTCCTACCGACGGACGACATGGGAGGCGACGGCGAGCGAGGATTCCAGGATGACATGATGGATGGTGGATTTATGGACGGTCCAGGTGACGATCCGCCGTTCGATGAAGAGCCACCATTTGACGATCAGCCATTTGACGATCAGCCATTTGACGATCAGCCATTTGACGATCAGCCATTTGACGATCAGCCATTTGACGATCAGCCATTTGACGATCAGCCATTTGACGAGGAGCCGCCATTCGAAGACCGAGGACTCGATGATGGCATGATGGACGATGGGTTCATGGACGGTCCGCAGGAAGAACTCCCGTTCGACGAAGAACCCCCGTTCGACGAGGAACCCCCGTTCGACGAGGAACCCCCGTTCGACGAGGAACCCCCGTTCGATGAGGAACCCCCGTTCGATGAGGAACCCCCGTTCGATGAAGAGCCTCCCTTTGACGAAGAGCCCCCATTCGATGAAGAGCCTCCCTTTGACGAAGAACCCCCATTCGATGAGGAGCCTCCCTTTGACGAAGGCATGATGGAAGAAGAGTTCATGGACGATATGGATGGTGATCGTGGCCTTGATGATGAAATGATGGATGGTGAAGGCATGATGGACGACGAGTTTGGAGAAGGAGAAATGGAAGGTGATGAGTTTGGGGAAGAAGGTATGGAAGGTGACGAATTCCCAGAGGAGGAAATTCCTGAGGATGGATTCCCGGAGGACGACATGCCAGAGGATGAATTCCCCGAGGGCGAAGATGAGAGAGGTCTTGACGAAGAAGCCTTTGAAGATGCAATGGAGGACGAAGGCAGCCTCGATTGCGAGGGAATTGAGAATGAGGATGAGGGCGAATTTGACGGAGAGGAGGACGAAAATGAGGACGACGAAGGGCTCGACGATGACGACCTGCAAGACATCATGAATGACTCTGCGCCAGGCTCACCAACTGGCTCGGACAACGAGCGGGGTCTAGACTCCCCTGGCATGGAGGAAGAGCCAGAAGAGGTACAGGACGAAGAAGGACAAGAAGGCGACGCCCAGGAAGAACAAACCGAGGAGCCCGAGGACACAAATGACGTCCGCCTGTCCCAGCTGTACCGACAATCAGCGGTCATGTTCTCGCCACTGCTCACATCACCCCTTCCGCCCAGCCCACCACCGGAGCAAGACACAGCCAGCCCAGAAGAAGGGGAACCGGAGTCCACTGAACCAGTCCGTTTCTCGCACTTGTACCGCCAGAGTGTGGACCTCGACATGGCCTTGACTGTTCAGTCGCCCAACTCGGACGATGGCCTGCCCGCTATCGCCGAGTCCCCCGATATGGAACAAGGACAGAGCTTCGATGTCCCCGTCATGGCCCCTGTCCCAGACTTCGCAAAGAGGCGCAGCGAGAGGATGTCGGCACGCATGTCCACCATGTCACAGCAACTCAGTCCTATTCCGGCCAGCCCGCTGTCTCCTCGCCCACTGGCAACACCGCCACCAGAGGAGGACGAGACCTACGATGATGAGGCAGCACAGCGCCAGTATGACCCGAACTACGATGTCGAGCGTGCCATGTCCCCCGAGGAGGAGTACGAGAACTACTACGACGAGGACGATGAATATGAACCGCAGGAGCAACGCGCGTCCGGCCCTAGGGGGCCACAGACCTTCGACGACATGAACCTGTCTCCTAGGCCTGGCCCTTCGCCGTCAGAGCGTTACAGCTATCATGAGGACCTCGAACAGGGCCCTCCCACGACGCCGTTCACCCCTAATGGAAACCGCAAGACTTTGCGTGAGAGGGTTATGTCCGGGTGGTGGGCGCAGGGCAGCGGTACCGAACAGCAGGGCTCAGGTCAGCCTCGTGCGCCACCGCCCCCGATGCCTTACGACAGCGGCCAATTCATTTGAGAGGCCGGGAGCCCCATTTCGAGTGTTGGAATGATAAGAAAAGAGTGGGGTTGGAGGGTGAATTCAAATTGGCGCCGCTTAATTGCAGTTGGGTTTACACAAAAAATTGCACATGGCATGCACGGATGGGAAGTTGACTTTCTTGGGTTGATACCTAGCATGACTTTTCTTATGTCTGGATAGAATCTGGCGTTAGTAGGTAGTCTCTGGGACCGAGATTGGGCACATTTATATAGGATAGCATGATGGGTACATATATATATTGATTCGGTGACAGCTCAAGGCTTCGCGTTTTGTCCTTCTAAACCCGTGATCAAAAGCGACAATTGTGGAAGCTAAGCCAGACACTGCCAATGAGAGTCAGGACTGGTGTCGGGAGAATTTGGGTATTTGCGGATTACAACTTGACTGGGTTATGAAGCCGATGAAGTCAGTCTTGGTTTGGTTGATATGATGACATCTGGAAGAAGCAACCGTCTCGTTTTCGAGTGCCAGGGTCTGAGCTTGTTGGGGGGGGGGCGGCATCGATCTCCCACCGGCGTGGACTCTCTCTTTCCTTGGTCGACCTCTACAGCCCCACCAGCCGTCTTCTGTCAGCAACAGCTACAGAACATTGTATCTGGACTGTATTCCATGGGCTGATTAATCAATCCACTTGTACCATCATGCAGTTCGCAACATGGCGCTTTTTGGCCGCTCTGGTGTCGCTGGTAGGCGGGCTTGTCGCGCACAGCATGGCCGGTGACGGAGACGGCACCTGTCTCATGTACCTCACAGGGTGAGTATAATTGAAACCTTGATCCAAACAGCTTGACAGATGGCCTCTGATACCTGTAACAGGCAACATGATGTGATTCCGGACGACAAGGCCCTCACTGATCCAATTACCCATGTGGCCCTTGCCTTCATGCGGTCAGGCCTGTTCCTGGAGTCGAACCGTACCGAGTGGCCCAGTGATCGAAGCGTGGGCTCAGCACGCGCCGCCTTTGCCCCGGGCACCAAGATATTGGTGGCCATCGGCGGCTGGGGCGATACCGACTTCTCCATTGCGGCACGCGATGAGAGCTCGAGAAAGTCATTCGCCCAGAATGTGGCCCGGATGGTAGAAGCGACCGGTGCTGACGGTGGGTCTCGAGAGATCACGTCGGCCAGCAGTAACCTTGGAGGCTGACGGATCATTAGGCGTTGATATTGATTGGGAGTACCCAGGCGGGAATGGTGAGGACTACAAGCAGGTTCCAAACTCAGACAAAGAGTGGGAAATCGAGGCCTACCCGCTGCTGCTCGGCGCCCTCCGCTCCGCCTTGGGGTCCTCCAGGTTGATCACAGCTGCAGTTCCTGGTCTGGAGCGGGACATGGTTGCATTCCGTGGCAATATCGCACACATCGAGCCCCATCTGGACTTTGTCAATGTGATGACCTACGACCTTATGAACCGGCGAGACCAAGTCACGAAGCATCATTCGAGCATCGCAGGCAGCCGCGATGCAATCAAGACATACATAGCCGACGGCATGCCGCCTAAGAAGATCAACCTCGGGCTTGGCTTCTACGTCAAGTGGTTCAAGGTCGACAAGCAGGACTGCGACAACGCCAGGACGCCTGTTGGGTGCAAGACCTTGTTGCTGGAGGACCCCGTCACGGGCGGGGATCTTGGACGAGCGGGTGCGTTCTCGTGGCATGATGAGGTGCCTGGGGACATGAAGGCTTCTTTTGGGCGGGCGCTCTCGAATCGCAAGTATGACGAGGATGAGGGAGCCACTTATTACTACGACTCTGAGGAGGCCATCTGGTGGACGTTCGATGACCCCAAGAGCATCACGAGCAAGGTCGAACAGTTGAACAGGGAGCTCAACGTGCGTGGGACATTTGCTTGGGGGTTGGGTGAGGACGCACCGGACTTTACTCGCCTGGAGTCACTGATTGAAGCTGTGAAAACGGACAATGGTCTGGAGAGGGACGAGCTGTAGCCAGTGAGGCCTGCGAGCGGCGGCAGCGGCGAGAGCTTTGTACCAGTTCCGCATGCAACAGGCGTGTGTCCGGCTGATCAAGTAGTACAGTGCATCAGAGAACTGTTGGAACTGAGAGATCCCTTTTCTGTTCGTCTGGTTTCAGAGCCTATTGTTTAGGAGTGAAAACAGAAAGAAGGTTAGAACACGGGCTGAAAAATAGCGACCGAAGCAGGAAGAGGTCGTCCTGCTAGTCTTCAAGGCAGGGAGGGAGCTATCGACCGGTTCGGTACTTGGGTACGACATGCCTGCACCAACGCGGGCCGTCCCCCACGTTCAGGTCTTGGTGCGCTGACGGGAGCTGCCTTCTAGAAGCTAGAAAATCTTCAGACTCTTGACTCGGCCGTTTTTGGCCAACACTTTTCTGAGCAGCCAAACCCACACCACCCACCCACCGCCTTGCTGCATGGCCTTTTGAAGAAGCGCGGGGGATGGAACGTTGCTGCTGAGCTCAATTGACCTTTTCGCAATTCCAAACACACGCAACATGTTCGAAAACCTCTGCACGCTCCCGTTGACCTCGGACCTGTTCACCCAGGCCGTCCACCCAACCGAGCCCGTCCTGACCGTGGGCCTCTCGAGCGGCCATGTCGAGACCTTCCGGATCCCCTCCTCCGACAACGACTCGGACGAGCACGTCGACGAGAACAGCAGCATCACGAGCGGCAAGGGCCTGATCAGGAGCGTGTGGAGCACCCGCCGTCACAAGGGGAGCTGCCGCAGCCTGGCTTACAGCTACGATGGCCAATGTACGTCCACGTCCCGATCTCGACAGCCCGACGCTTCTTTTTCTGTGTCTGGGACACCATGACTGACACGGCCGACCACGACAGCTCTCTACTCGGCCGGGACAGACTCGGTAGTCAAGCACTTCTCGCCCGAGACTGGCAAGGTCATCTCCAAAATCAACATCCCACCCCGGGGCTCCTCCGCCGACGACCCTGCCATCATGCGCGTCCTGAGCCCCCAGAACCTCCTCGTCGGCACCGACAGCGGCGCGCTATACATCTACGACCTGCGCGACAAGCTGCGCGCAGAGAAGGACCCCGGGTCCAAAGACCCCCTCGGCTCGATCGGTGCGCAGCCCGTCCGCAAGCACTTTCCCCACGACGACTACGTCACCAGCATCACGCCATTACCGCCCAGCGCCGAGTCGACTTCTGGTGTCCCCCGGCAGTGGGTCTCGACCGGAGGGACGACGGTGGCGGTCACTGACATCAGGAGCGGCATCATCACGAGGAGTGAGGACCAGGAGGACGAGCTGCTCTGCGCCGAGCTTATCCCCTCCGGCCTGGGCCCCAAGAAGCTGCGGAGCAACGCGGTGGTGGCGGTGGGGACCGGCTCCGGCGTGCTCACAATCTGGGACCGGGGGTCGTGGGACGACCAGCAGGAGCGCATCTACGTCGCCGGCGGGCGCAACAGGAAGGACGGCGAGAGCCTGGACTGCATCACGCGCCTGCCGGACGAGCTTGGCTGGGGCAAGAAGGTCGCCGTGGGCGTGGGCGACGGCAGCCTGGCGATCGTGGATCTCAAGGCACGGGAGACCCAGGCCGTCCTCAGGCATGACGATGTCGAGGGGGTCGTGGCTGTCAACTTCGACTGTGAGGGGCGGATGATCAGTGGCGGTGGTCGGACTGTCAAGGTGTGGGCAGAACCCAACGGTGCAGAGAAGGAGGAGGCGGAGGGCTCGGACGAGGAGGACGGCGCCAATGGCGGCAGCAAGCGCGCAGCCGACAGCGACGATGACTCCGAGGATAGTGATGACAGCAGCGACAGCGACCGTCCCAGGCCTAAGAAGAAGAGGAAGGGCAAAAAGGGCCAGCTACGGGGCGAGGCGTTCCCTGGTCTAGATTAGGACCTGCAAAAAAAAAGTTCAAAAGTCGGCATGATACCCACCAAAACTCCTTTTCCACACACACAACTCTATCTGTATATTAACAGGACCACGAGACATACACGGTGCGAGGGGCTCAGACAGGCGACTCTGCTCATATACCTGTATAAACAGATGGGCCCGGTCGTATTGACGACACGGGTCCCAAAACTTGCAACTCTATGCTTGTTCCCCGGGCGCCGCCGACCTCGATGCAAGGCAAACTGAAATCACGCACCGGGCCGGGAGTAATCGAGGCTCGTAACTCGTTTCCAGACCTCTCGGACCAACCGTTCCTGGCCCTGGCGCGCACTCTCGGTGGGTGTCGGGCCGGCCGGCCTTATGGCGAGGTACAGCCTGCTCCCCAGCCTCGCGTCCGGGACAGCTGCGGTGGCCGGGTCCTCGGGCGGGTTGGCGGTGGTGACGAGGCCGCCCGCCTCGTCGAGGATGGCTATCCCGGCGGCGACGTCCCACTCCCAGCAGCCGGCCTCCCACCAAATGTCAAAGGCGCCCATGGCCGTGTAGGCCAGGTCGAGCGTCGCGCTCCCCAGGCTCCTCACGCCGTGCACCATGCCGCCCTTGCCGCCCCTCCCGCCGACCTCGACGGCCATGTTGGTGAAGCTCTCGAGCTTGCGGCCGAGGTTGCCCTCGCCCGAGTCCGGGTCCCGCCGGTCCTTGCCCCACTCGCAGCTGAAGACGCAGCCCTTGGGGGCGTTGGCCGGGATGGGCACCGACGGCACCAGGGGCAGCCTCTGCGCCTCGTTGAGGAAGGCGCCCCTGCCGCGGCACGAGCTGAAGAGCTGGTTGAGGAAGGGCGCGTATATGACGCCGATCACCGGTCTGCCGCCCAGGATGAAGGCGATGGAGACGCAGAACATGGGGAACAGGTGCGTGTAGTTGACTGTGCCGTCCAGCGGGTCGACACACCAGGTGGGCTCGTCGTCCTTGATCAGGTACTCCTTTGACGAACCGGCGGAGTACGTCTCCTCCCCGATGAACCTATTTTTGGGGGGGTGTTGAGCGCCTCATGCCTCGTGCCTCATGCCTTATCCGCGTCCGGGCTTGTGTGACTCACTTGTGGCTCGGGTAGGCCTTTGATATCGAGCCATGTATGAAGGCCTCGACGTCTATACGGGCCGTGTCAGCCAGCTGGGCCGGGAAACAGGGCCGGCCAGTGGGGTCAGACTCACCTGTGTCCGTCTTGGTCACGATATCGACCGCGTTCTCCTTCTCCACGGACTCGTGTGCGGCCCCGCCGGTTGCCATCCGCAGCTTTGCGGCGTCCATGAGCATCTTGCCAGCATCCTTGCCCAGCTGCACGGCAAACGCATGTATCTCGTCCAGCTCCCTCTCGCTTACTTGGGCTGCCATCTTGGGATGTTGCAAACAAACAAGGTGCCAATAAAGGCGCTAGAGAAGTCTACGTGCGGTTGCGAGAGAGCCTCTGCTCTGTCTGTACGAGGCTGAGGCTCACTCGGGCCCGGACCCCGCCATACCGGTCAGTCAGACTCAGCAGCCTACAACGCCGCCGCCAGCCGAGCGGTTTATTTCCGCCATAGCGGCATGACGTTCTGTAACCCCACTGTAGGCTAGTTGCAGGTCTCCAGAATCACAGCGGGTGTGCGCCTACCGACTCCCCAAGGACACAGGAAAACCTTGATAAGTCGCCTGACGGCCGCGAGTTCGAACGTCGGTCTACTCTCCGCATGAGAGCCATTCCTTACGTATGGCCTCACAAAGATATAATTAACACTCAGGGTCCCATCGGCTATGGGATATTGCCCACGTGTGAAAAAAATCCCATCCTCGGGTCAATGTTGGGCAGGGCCACTTGGCGGCATCAGCTGCGGATGAGTTCTCTTCCGGGACGGGGGAGTCTTTAGCCACTCGTCACACCCACCTTCCCTGCAATGCCCCGGCCCCAGGGTTCGGCGAGCCACCCCACGGTCTCGGCTCGGTAATAGGCAGCGGCATGCAGTGCACCTAACGTGTGGCCCGCTGGCAGGCCCTGGGGCCCGGATGTGAGAAGCCGCCATCGGGTACACTGGCAGGACTGGGGGGGTCTCGGACGGAACCGTGCTTTTGCGATATATGCCATTACATTTGTTGCTCTACAGGCATAGGGAACTTGTTAAAGAAGCTCAACTGGCCTGCCTTCACTCTTGTTAATTATTATACTTCGGATTCAAAGCCAAGACTGTAATCGATTTCATCCCCAGCATCCACAACAACACCATGGCATCCCGCGTGTTGATCATCAACGGCCCGAACCTGAACCTGCTCGGGACCCGCGAGCCCCAGATCTACGGCTCGACCACCCTCGCCGACGTCCTCGCCACGGCAGAGTCACAGGCAAAGTCCCTCGGGGTGACGCTCGAGACCTTCCAGTCCAACCACGAGGGTGCCATCGTCGACCGCATCCAGGAGGCAGCTGGCTTCGGTCCCAATGGCCACCAGAACAAGGAGGGCAAGGTCTCGGCCATAATAATCAACCCAGGAGCATACACACACACAAGTGTAGCGTGAGTCGTCCCGGATTCTCTTTCTATGTATTATTATTTTTCTTTTTCTTTTTCACCTTGACTATTCGGAATCCCCTGTCCTGTTACTCCCCCTGCCTCCGGCAGTACACCTCCTTGACCATCGGAATATCTCTACTCGCAACTCCCGCACCTACATGACTGACACGCCACCAGTATCAGGGACGCGCTGCTGGGCGTGCAGGTGCCCTTTGTGGAAGTCCACGTCTCAAACGTGCACGGCAGGGAGCCGTGGAGGAAGCACAGCTACTTCAGCGACAAGGCCGTGGCCGTCATTGCCGGGCTCGGCGTCTATGGATACCAGGCTGCCCTAGAGTTCGTGGCGAAGCACATGAAGCGGTGAGGCATCACAGCCGGGGGGACCGGCGGTGGCAAGGCTTCTTGTTTATGCAGTCTGAAAAGAATCGATTAAAAGTTTTTTTTTTTGAGAAAGAAGTCCCCGTCTGTCTTCTTGCCGTGATCTGATCTCGATATACTTCCAAGCTGTCTTTTGCTGCCGTGATGCATGATCTTCTTTGAGACCCTTATTTGTTACGCTCTCACCTCCGCAGCATGAGCGTGTGAATCTGGACCTATGGGGGGGGGGGGGGTTACACCACTGTTTGGATAGAGCCTTCCGAGTTCGAGGGGAAAATACGCCGTGCAGACCGCGCAGAAATGGTGCTCATGCCGTGTTGGAGTTTCAAGCAGCAACCATTCCCACAGACCGTAATCAGCGTTCATACAATAGGCTCATGGGAAGAAGACGCCCGCGGGCTGAGCCCTGGACGCTGGGCCCAGAAAATAACCTCTGTCTCCCAGTTATTTCATTCAACCCATAACAACTATCACCAAGTTCTCAGTCCGCTAGGGGCTCTCAGCGTATGATTTCACTACATGGGTCAGACTAGGCTAATGAGTGAATTTGGGCAAAGCGTCGGTGTCCCCGGCCAGTCCCCACGTGCTCAATAAGGTAAAGGATCTCGCTGTCATAGGCTTCGGCCACATTATATTTTTTATTCAACTATTTATCTATTTATTATCTTCTCAACTTTTAAACTAGCTATTAGCTTATACCTTAAATATAAAGTTAATAATTACTTAATATATACCTTTAAACTTATTTATATATAATAAAGTTACTAACTTCCTTTATAAAGCTTTCTCTTCTACTATATTCCTTATATATTATATAATAATAAATAAATTCTTAATAATAAAATAGTATATCTAAAAAAAAAGATTTAGTTTTAAGTACTTAGATTTTTATTTTTTATATAATATTTATTTAATATATAATAAATAAACTTTATTTAACTTTTAAAAGGTTTTAATCTTTTATAAAATTTATATAAAAGGTTTTTAAATAAATTTATTATTATAATATTATTATTTTATTAATAACTATATATTTAAAATATGGACTATACTAACTTATTTAATAAGAGTAAATTTAAGTAACTATATAATAAGTATATTAATAAGGAAGAGCTAGCTTATTAAGTCTTATATTATAGGATTCTTTTTTATAGAAGCTATTTTAAGACTATTTTAATCTTACTATATAACTACTTTACTAACTTTAACTCTAATATTATAGTAGATTAACCCTTAAGCTATTTATATTAATAATTTTAATATAGTATTATTAGGAGTAATATCTTTTAGTTTTATTTATATAATATAAAGCTTAATTATATATCTATATATTATATTCTCTTTTTATTATTATTAATATTATATTTCTTTAGATATTAAGTTTTAAGTATTTATTATTATATAAAGGCGCTATATATATTTTATATGTATGGGGATTAAAAATGAAACCACCTCTTGCTGTCATGCTGAGAAGACATCGGGTTTGCGGGACACCCATGTTGCTTTACTTGGCCTGAGATTATTCATTGTAAGAGATTCTGATCCTTCTTTAGACATGGCTGCTGCATACAGATCAAGTCTGGCCGGGGTTGTATGACGGTCAAATCGCGACACCCTCTTTTGAAGTTCTGTGGACAGAGCCTTGATGCTGCTCTTTGAAGTATGTGCCTTCACTGGTGTAGCACTGATCAACAATATGAGGCAGTCAATATCTGCTTTTCATTTCCAGAGGTTAAGTGACCATCCACCGCTATGGATGTGGCCCGCATAAACCATGCTGTTTATTTCGGATACCCTTAGAGTATCGAGAATTTCTGACCACTGGTATTCAATAACCTCACGCAGGGGGTGAGGTTGCTATCCGGGCATAATTCGGATAACACCGAATTTCTAAGCCCTCTGGTATCTTCTGTGGATCGATAATTCCAAGGTAGCTTCCAAAATCGCATGATATCTGTCCAAAGCCTTTCCAAACTGAAGCTCTAAACATACTCAAATTTCACAAGGTTTACCTCAAGTGCTTGAAGTCTAACTTAATGTGAAACCACATCTCGCATTGCATGTCAAATTCTCTTTTTATCAAACGCCTTCATTCCAGCGGGGCTGAACTCAAGCCTCATGGCACTGCTAATACATATCTTGAATCCTCATCTTTCATCGTATCATGTAGTTATCGTACATAGAATCATATCGCGAAGCATATTTTGAGTCATTTTGCTCAGTCCATGCTCCACCAGCTTGGGCTCGAATGGGACTCGTACAGGTAGAATAGCCTCCAGGGGTAGTTAATTTAGAAAGTTCCTGCAAATTATCAAGCGGGTTGACAGGGCGGGTAAGGCCCATTTGGAACTTTGTCTGAGCTAGCTGATCAGCCTTGGGAAAGCCATTGAGGCGATGATCGAGGTGGTCTCCTCTGACTTCTAGACCAGTGAAAGGAAATCATTGATCTCTGTTGGATGCAAGCGCGATTCTATGCTGATCGCCTGTTTCACCAAATGTACTGGTGTTGATACAAGTTGTGTCCGGTTCAAGGTATCTTGATGAACATGGGTTCTTCTGGATCCTGAACCGGGTATGGATATCATATTAATCAAATGTTTCATAAATCGATTGGTTCTGGGATACGAAATTGCTTGTTTTGACATCGATAGAAGAGCCGTGGTGGGCAACACTTGCAACCTATATGGAGGCAGTTAGTGGTTAGGTGGGAGCCTGCACACACTGGTACCATTGAAGATGATAATATAATCTGGAGGCAAAAGCTTTCTTCAATACTTCACACCTCAGGTTTGTCGCCTCTTGTGTACCTGGGTTTACACCACAGTCACTGAAACATGGTGGATCTCGGGGCGAGAAAAGTTCCAAACGCTGAAGGACCACAATGGGATCTTTCGGGAAAAGAAAAAGATGCATTACTCAAGTGCTGTCTGCGGATTTAATTCCGCCTTCTTGTCTGGTTAAATCTTCTAATGAGGAAATCTAGTTATGTGGAAGTGTGACTGTCTCACCGGGACCTCCTGGCACGCAACTTCATAATACATATAGATTGATTCACGAAGACTTTCCGCATAATCTCATCAATTGATACCAGGATTTCCAAATCTTTAGTACTCTTTAGGGAAACTTGATGTGCTTGCAGATGGGTTGTTCCTAATTTCAAAGCTCCAGACGAAGGGGACTTTGAGTTACATTGCCATGTCTGGCGGTCTGAAGATATTGTTGCAGTACGAACCGGGTCTTCTTACGTCTATTCAAAAGTATCGCAGCATGGTGTTAGACAGGGTGTGGACTCTGTGCGCCTACACGTGTCTGAGCCAGTACGATTTGAAAAATATGATTCATTGGAGGCTAACTAAGCTCGACGCTCAATCTGTTCAAATGTTTGCAATATGCCCAAAACCGAAACCGAACGCCTTTGAGTCCCATGCTCGCATGCTATTATGGTTCGCCCGCTCCACACCTGAGCTCATCACTCATTTGCCAAAATCAAATACCTTAGACCTGAACCCCTGGACAATGGCCGAGACCGCCTTCTGCGCAGTTTCGAATGTCCTTTTCGACCAGGAGTTGATCAGCTTCCTGTGGGGGGGAAGGCGGCGGGGTGAGCTGATGGTGGGCGACATACGGGGTAGCATATGACACCACGGGCGCGTATGGCACGGGGGCGGGCTCGTCGACGGTCAGCCTCATGTCCTTGATTAGCTTGCGCCAGGAGATGGCACCCCGGCGGGCCAGCTCCTCCGGGACCTCCTTGGCTGTGTCGCCCATGCGGCGGTTGAAGAGCTCCAAGCTGACCCAGCCCTTGAAGTTGAGCTTGTTGAAGAAGGTCTCACAGATCTCGCGGACGGGCAGGTAGGCTCCGTACTCGGCCTCGCCGTAGAAAAGACGGCAGTTGCGGCTCCAGCTCATACGGGCCGGCTGCTCGGCGTTGTAGTACGCGTGGCCTGGGACGAGCGGCGCTGAGAGCCTCTCGGCGTCGACGACTTGGACGTAGAACACCTTGTGGATATGTGGCTTCATCTCCCTGACCAGGCGCTCCATGGACTCGCGGACGACCTCCTCGGCGTTATCGCACTTCCCCGAAGCTGCGCAGGGGTCGGCGTATATCCTGCCAGCGATGTTGAAGCTGTCGAGGCAGAGACCGAAGTTGTCCCTGTCGATCTTCTTGACGATCTCCCACGACGTCTCCCAGAGGTCTGAACGAGTCCCCCAGCACAAGGACTCGTATACGTATCTGATTGGAGGCGAAGCTGCTGCGCCGATGTCTGCGATCTTCTGCAGGTCGGAGACGATGAGGTTCATGTCCTCCGAAACCTGCTCTGCGGGGAGAAATGACGAGGGCACCTGGATCATATCGGTGCCGAGCTCGTGAGCAAGGTCAATCCAGAAGTATAATTTCTCGATCTGCTCATCGTGTGCTTTCCTGTCAACCAGGCCTTCGTAGTGTGCAAAGGGCTGCAAGCAGATGATAAAAAGGTCACGCTCTGCACAAAGAGCGCGGATGTGTCGAGCCGCCTCCAGCTGGGCTTCCTTGGAAGGAGGTGTAGTGCCATTTCCGAAGCGGGAAGCTGCCTCCTCACACAAGTCTTCGTAGAAGAGCTCGATCCCCTTGTAGCCGTATTTTACGGCCATGTTGAGTTTGTGTGTGAAAGAGTGGCCGGCCGTGGCGCGGCCTAGTGACATGGAGGTGATTCCCAGCTGATACGACATTTTCGGATATTCTGTGGTAAAGCTTGGGTGAAGAAGAACGGATATGTTATCCAGTACAATTAGTCACTGGACTAAAAGTCCTTGCGGATGACTGTCGAGTTTCAGAGGCTTCTGTGTGAGCGAAACTTGTTGAATGTTGGCAAGAGCGCGGTCGTCCCGGGATAAAATAAGGTTCTACAATGATAGCGACATGTCAGAGATCGAGTTGTATCGGGCCATTTCCAAGTCGACTTGCCTTGGATGTATCGACCTTGTGCCCTTAGGATACGATTACTGGTTTGTAGAGGTGGCTGTGTGAACGACTAGCTACGTATTGGGTAGACAGTGTAGCTGTGCATGCAGACAACATCTGCCCGGCGCCCATTATTAAGCCACACGGCGGGCCGTCTTTATGTATCGAGATTGATAGCGCCATGACGAACATCCACATCCTCGTGTTGCCGAAGATAAGCGTGCGTGCCAGTGAATATGTCTTCTTCCAGACATGAGACACTGGTGGTTGCGTGTGGGTGTGGTAAAAGTGATACCCAGGTAATACGGGTGATGTCAGATTGATAATGACCGGTTAAACATTCAATAAACCCTGCCAAGTGCTGGTCTGGGCAAGAATTAGACCACAGGAGGTGTGGCTCGGTAGGTGGGAGGCAAAGCGGTCCTCTCGGGGGCACAAGAGGGCCCGGCTTACACGTGGACAACGGGCTGTGACGCCCACCTCGGCCACAGGGACGACCACTCCTGGAAACGGCTAGATCATATTTACGGGACTGCCTGAATAAGTCTAGATCCGGAGATGGTGCCCTAGTCAGTTGCGTCTCCTTTATTCGGTCGACCAATCTTAATCCTTCGGCGTTCCGCAAAGAAGGCCAGAAGAACGTTCTATGATGCAAGCCACTCGTAGATGTCGTGTACATCTATCGAGGCCCTTGAGGCTGGGGTCCGACTCAGATATGCGAGTGCTCTCTCTACAGGGCCATCTGATTGATGTGCAGACCAAGAAGGGTCGGAAATTTGGCCCGTATTCGGTCCACAAGGCAAAGAACCCGCGCAGGCTCTTCACCCACAACGTTCTAGTGGAAACTGGCTGCAAGTGGAGGCTGAAAAGCCTTTACCCCGGCGGGAAAGTATTCACCAGTACGGCTCCCACGGAAATCTTCGCGTGGGCGTGGCACTGCGTAGTTCCAGATTGGCATCCGGTTGCACCAATTCGGCATCTGGCATCCCATTCTGGTGGATCTGTTTCCAAGACGGTCGGGGTACTGGCTAAAAGCCCTCGGTGGTATTGCAACCTGACCCCGACAGCTCGGAACAAGAAGTATAAGGATGTGGATGGGGTCCATTACTTTACTCTATTTGTACAATCTGACTTTTCGTAGCTGCCCCTATTCTGTTGACCAAATTGACCGAATCACGCCTCTTTCTATCTGCAGACTAGCCTCTATCCCTTAGGACCCGACACACACACACCGGTGCCTCCCCTCATCCGAGTCTTTACAGTGCATATCCCACGCATGCCTCATTCCGTCACCTTGGAAACCCCATCCAACGGCATCATGGCGACCATGACCGTGTCCTCCACCACAACCACCACAGCCCATAGCGATTCACGGCAAAAGTTAGAAGCGCAACCCTCAACAGATGCGCCAAATGTGGACCACCTAGACAGACATGGCTATCTTTTCGGCCAAAAACTCACAGCATCTCTATCCCCACTTCTGCACGATGTGGTCTACCGAGAAATCGGCCTGAACTGGGCACAAGTACGGCTGGACTCGACAGACATGGACCTGTTCCTCCAGCTCCGACAACACCCAAAATTCTATGGTGAGTAGTAGCATGTCTCCGCTGCAACCTCGTACGATGAAAACCGCTCTAACTCGCTCGACAGGCGCATCAGTAACAATGCCACACAAGGTCGCCATCCTGTCACATCTGGATGAGGTGACGCCAGAGTGCCGGGCCGTGGGCGCCTGCAACACACTGTACATCCGTGACGAGCCAGACTCGTCATCGCCAACGGGTTTCAAGCGCGTCTTCTGCGGGACCAACACCGACGTCGTCGGCGTCCGCGAGTCGTTCCTGCGCAACGTCCCCTCAGAGAAGCACGACTCCGTCTTCCGCGGGAGGCCGGGCCTCGTGATCGGCGGCGGCGGCGCCGCCCGCTCGGCCGTCTACGCGCTGCGCAAGTGGCTCGGCGCGACGAGCATCTACCTCGTGAACCGCGACAAGGGCGAGGTCGACGCCGTGGTCGCCGAGTGCACGGATCGGGGCTACGGCGACGGGCTCGTGCACGTCGAGACGGTCGAGCAGGCCCGCAAGCTCGAGGGCGCGGGTGCCATCGTCGCCTGCGTGCCCGACTTCCCGCCCGTCACCGAGGCCGAGAAGCAGGCCCGCGCCGTGACCGAGGTGTTCCTGCGGGAGAAGGAGCACAAGGGCGCCATCCTCGAGATGTGCTACAACCCCACGCCCTTCACGGCGCTGGGCAAGCTGTCTGAGGATGCGGGCTGGCAGGTCATCCTGGGCACCGAGGCCATGATCTACCAGGGTATCGAGCAGGATCGGTACTTCACCGGCCGCAACACCGAAGACCTGCCCGTGCAGAAGGTGAAGGAGGTGATTGACGCACAGGTTGCCCTTAGAGCCAAGTCGTCGTCATAGCCGACCGAGTGTGAAGCTGTCGGCCGTCATCTTGAGAAGAGGCGCCATTTAAGTGTATTACATGAAGGCCACTGCTTGATCTAGAGCGAACTTTGTGACGACATCTACAAGTTTATCACGAGACACCATAATAGACAGACTCGGATACGCAATCAGTTTCCATTGACACTTGACAATGCCTACGTATCGTGGATGCCTCCACAAATAGTGATGTCTGAACATCACGAACACCATTCATGTCGCGTGACCTGGTGATTATGCGCAATTTCATGCCAGTGTAACCTGTGGGCTATTTTTGTGAGAACAATCATGCACAAACCCTGTCGTTGATCTGTCCCAACGGCTCGTTTTCAAGGTTCACAAGGATGGAACACATTTGGATACCTAGGGTCTCATCCCCAATCAACGACGTAGTCCTTTTTGTGATGAGCTGCAACGCGCTGATCGCTCTTTTCCAATCCAATTCAGAAAGTCCCCACGAGTTGGCCCATGCGGTCACTTGCATGGAAGCGAGAAAAGCATATTCATGCGATCCGTACCTAAACGAACCCGAAGAACACCGCTATATTACCAGAGCACTACTTCTTGGCCAGACATATGCCACATCGTGGAATCAAAAACGTACAAATAGAGGCCGGCACAAGAGTACGAATCCCGAATGTGAGTCTTAGGGAGACTGCATGAATTTCATCACGAATGTGCTTGACATTCATGGTTTCAAATTTACAGGTAGGTATTAGGTCAGTCCCAGTCCCAGTCCCCAGTTTGTGGCGAACACTGCGATTGGACCATCGAACGTAGCTAGTTGGTGTGTTGCGGTAGATAGCACGCGTCACATCTTTCAACGATGTGGTATCCGGGCCGACTTGTTAAAGCCACGCGGTTCCCGAACCGCCATGACCCTTTTGGTCGTCTGCTACCTAGGTAGACCAGTGCATGTTGCAGTGGTGACGGTGTTGAGGCGCCTAACAGGCAATGACATCTCTTCTTCCGTGTAAAGCCCTTTGCTAAGCTCTAGAGTGCCACAAGAGTCTTTGATGATGGTATTAGAAGTGGGGATTTGTCTTCCTCTCTTGTTACCCACGGCCCCGTCTCTATCTGGTGTCACGAGACCCGCGGCTACGTCCGTGGGCAAATACGAGGTAGCTCCTCCGTTGACCTCAACATTGGCATTGTGGGCCGCGATGCCCAGACAGGCTTCGCCATCGTAGGAGCTCCCCGTGCAGGGGATATGGAGGCCTTGGCCATCAGCGAGAGAATGCTATTCCGGCCCACTGCTAGTGTAGCTTGGGACCTCCTTGGCCCATCACGGCGTCGCCACAAGCTCGATGGTTTCCCAGTTTTGCGGCACGGCGCAGATCTTGGCGGGGAGAACAGGGAGACAGTTGTGAGGATTAGGCTCGGGAGAGAATATGCTCACACAGAGCACCGTACACCTCATGATGTGCCAAGAATAGCTCGGTTCTACTTGTATTCTCCATGGCGATGCTGAGATGACCATCGAAGCCTCACGGTTGAAGACACAACCGGTGCAAAGCCCGCAGATGTCACAAGTCACGGGGTTAGCCGCGGAGTATGTGTGGGTTCGCGTCGCTGTCATGATATGCGGCGTGGATCCTGCGGGGCAAATGAGTCGGATGAGCTCCATTCTTCTAAACACTGATTCGTATCGTCGAAGACAGATTGGCTGGTCCATATAGTCTGACAAAGTCTGAAGCATTTTGAGATAACCAAACAGCCTTTCCTGGCCTTATAAACAAAGCATGCTGATTTGGATGCCGTTAGATCCCCACCGTCAGAGGCTCCTAGGGGTTGCGGAGTGGTGTTTCCAGGTCCCATAAACATGTCTCATAGACAGGGCCTCTAGACGATGCCCTTGGAAAAGCTCGAATAGTACCCCTTTCTTCTAGGCAGTAAGACGGAGGTTCACCTGTCATTCAGAGAAGCTGGTGATTGTCGTTTATAGCGTGTGTCAAGCGCAAGGGTCATCATCCCTTGGACCTAGCCTACAATCCCATGTCGTTGCGTCGAGATACCCAAGGGACACAGATGCAAAGACGCACAACTTTTGAGCTCGCCAAAGATCGTTGAAAGTGTGAACAATTTTATTCTCGGTCAGATACATCGCTAAAGATGCTCTACAGTCAAGGTCGATCGCCGGGAAAACAATTAAAAAGATGGTATCACAATATACTCTTAAGACACCTGTTGCACAGCGAGAGCCAGGACTTTATGCCATGTCCCTCTTCAAGTCGGTATCCTCCACCTGGCCAACCATGGCCTTTTCCGAGTCGTTGCCCACGTCCAGGTCGCCAGCGTTGCGCCTGAACTCCTCGTCGTGGATCCGCAGCTCCTCCATGATGACCTTGTTGGCCTTGCGCACGGGCTTGATCTCAAAGAGCCTGTCCATGGTTTCGAGCGGGATGGACTTGGTCTCCGGGATGAGGTAGAACACGAAGATGGCAGAGAGGATCATGAGCGAGGCGAAGAACATGTACACACCATACTTCATGGTGAGGAACATCTGAGGAGTGAAACGGGAGATGATGAAGTTCCAGAACCAGTTGGACGCCGCGGCGGAGGCCTGGCCCAAGGAACGCGTGTTCTGGTCGAACATCTCCGAGTTGACGACCCAGGGTGTACCGTTCCAAGATGGCGTGTAGAAGGCCGTCCACAGGTAGAAAAAGAACACGGCGGCGATGCCGCCCGAGGACAGCTTGCCTGAGGTGTTGGGGTTGCTGGCTGGATCAGCCACGCAGATATATGCGCCAATGATCCACATGCAGACCGAGCCTCCCAAGCTACCATAGATGAGGAGGTTGCGTCGGCCGAAGTTGTCAATCATCCATCTATGTCAAGGTTAGTTACAAAACCTTGGACAAGATACCTGGGAAGGAGAGATACTTACAAGAGCCATACGAATGTGAACACAGTCTTGACACAACCAAACAAACCAGTCGTCAGGAAGGAGGTGTTGGTGCCTGTGATACCAAGACCCCTGAAGACAGTCGGGCTGTAGTAGTTGATTGCATTGATACCGGAACCGTTCTGCCAGAGGAAGAGCATAGAGCCGAGGAAGAAGCGCCACTGGACCTTGGGTATCTTGAGCGCGGCGAAGGGTTTCCAGAAGCCGGCACCGACTTCCCTGCGGTATTTCTCGAGGTCCTCTTCGATGTAGCTGACCTCCTCGACAATGTAGATGTCCCTTTCGCTGAGGTTCCTGATCCAGCACAGGTTCGCCATGCCCTGCTCGCGCATGCCCTTCATGAACAGCCAGCGGGGCGACTCCTTGATCCAAAAGGCTCCAATCAAGAGCAGGCCGCCGGGGATCAGTTGGACCGCGAAGGGGATAATCCACTGGGCGTGGTTGGAAGGTAGGGTTGTGTTGACACCATAGTTGATCCAGAAGCCGACGAGACCTCCAATCTGCCAGCCGAGCTCGTAGATGCCGACCAAACGGCCGCGGATGGCGGGAGGCGACAACTCAGAGATGAAGATGGGAACCATGTTGCTGGCTCCACCGACACCGATACCGGCGAGGACACGGCCGCCAAGGATGAGCCCGAGGCCACGGTCACCGTTTGCGCCGAGCATGAGGCCGGCGCCGAGATTGAAGACGAGGGCAAAGACGAAGAGAGACTTGCGGCGACCGAGGAAGTACGAGGTGACATAGGCGAAGAGACTACCGAAGAAGGCGCCGGCCTGGTACACGGAGACAATGTTGGCCTTAACTAGCGCCAGCGCTTCAGTGCTGTACGTGTCGAACCTGAACTCATCCTCGAATGAGGGGAGCGCGAGCGTTGTGCCGATGAAGGCAGAGTCATAGCCGATCATGCATGATGCGAAGGAGGCGATGGCGGCGGTTGTGTAGACGCGCCAGTTGTACACGGCCTTTGGCGTGGGCCGGTCCTCCTTGAGTTCCAGCAGCGTCATGATGTGTCAACAAAGGCCTTGTCTCTCTTTCTTTGTAAAACAGAAAGAAGTGGGTGAGACGAAGGGTCGAATGGTTGGGTTGGTGAAGCACGAGGGAGGGTAGGATTCGCAGAGGAGGTGGTCGGAGGCGAGGCCCGGTTGATATATGAAAATATTTCACCGCGGCCTGTGCCAGGGGTTGTTGGCTCGTTGAAAAGGGGGGATCTTGCGGGACCGTGGAGTCGGTATCGGTGCTATAGACTAACCCCAGGAATAACCCCAGAGCAAACACGGGGTCCCCAGAGTCTCTGCGTCTGGGCCTCGTCCAGACTTCAGACTAAACGACGCAACCGTGGGGTATACATCTATCCGCTCGTGCACTCCTCCTCGTGGCGTTCTGCTCCCATCTTGAGCCTGCGGATGAGGATTGAACCAGGTGGCTTGCGGACTTCTCTGCCCCCAAGGCTTGGCTGCTAGAGAGCCCCCGCTGACTCGTCGAATTTCCTCGAGGTTGGGGTGGGAATCCCCCGCATCCTGGCATGCGCCAATTGCTAGAAAAGTAGGACCGCAGCCCAGTTAGCCGACCCCACAATCCGGGGATAGTCTGGGGGGCGTCAGCGTGCCTGTGCAGCGATGTCCCAAGTACATTGGCACCGGGGAATCCTACGCGCACGCGCTGGCGTATTGGAAGCAGAATATTCTTCAGCAATCAAGCCGAAGAGGGTGTGGTGGTGTCTGCGAGTGGGAGAATCCTTAGCCGTGCTGACCGGCACCTTGGGTCAGCAGCCTTGGCGATCTGTCTAGCGCGAGCTGGGCTTTTGTTCGTGACTGGTTTGGGCCGTTTGGCCAGCTGACCTATCTCTGCATAATCTAAGATGGCCTGGGGAGATAACAGGTTTCACACTTGGGTGTGCCTGGAGGCGGGAAAACTTACTGCAGACGGCCAGTCTTCGCATCACCGCCCGCCGCCGGCAGCCCCCCAATCACCCGTGCATCCGAGGCCGCCGCAATGCCGCGAAGCCACGTAATGAAGCAGCTAGACAAGACCCCGGCTCCTCGGCGACACCTCGGCGTCCGAAACTCATTCTCCTTCAGTAGATTTGGCTGTCGGCCCAGCTGCAATAAAGGACCAGCTGAGGGCGAGTGCAGCGAAAAGGTACCCAGAACGCGCATCTCTTGTAAGAACAGTAGAAATGACACAAAATATCGTTGGCCCTGCTGGCATGTAAGTAATGTTGTGAGCACATGCCATTTTACCGGCATTCTGTGAGTATCAAGGACGGAGGTGCTTTCCATGGAACGGTACAAACGCTTCGGGTGCAAATGTGTGTTCGCGTAAATAATTATAGATGATTTGATTGTAGCCCGATTCCTACCTACACGTCTCGCAATATGTACAATTGACGTGCCTGTCCCGGGTATATTTAACCGTGTCTTTATGCTGTCATGCCAGACAGCTTCTTCTTGGTCGACGACCCCTGAAAGGGTTTCGCGAAAAGCCAAATTCCTGTAAAAGAGAGGTCCCTGTGACCTCGTAGTTGTGGGCAGGGTTTGCCCAACGACCGCCTGCGGACCAGGATATAATTCGGACCATCTCATGGCTCCTGCTCTACGATATTTTCTATTCGAGGCCTGAGGTGAGCAGGGTGCCGGCCTTGCTCATCAGTGTAAGCCCTGAAAACTTCTCGCCTCATGAAGCGCCTCGGTGCTCGGCGGCCTGTGAAGAGCTCGAATTGGGCGAACCCCTGCTCTGGCAGGATATCGAGGCCGTCCATCGTCACCCAGCCCCGGTGGGCTTCTCGGTGGCTCTGGTCTAGCAATGGTGTGTGTAATGTCTTGTAGGCAAATTCGACCACCACGCCTCCGGTCGGACTGTCGAGCCACTGTGGTGGTAGAGTGAAGTCTGGGGCCGGCTGGTCGCCGACGCCGTGGCCAGGTATGGCGGAGACGATTATGGTGGGCTGCCGCCACCCTTCGGGCCACACGTCGTCCCTTGATTTGAGAATATGGAAGCGGGTCTCGACTTCAGTGTCAGGGCTAAATAGCGGTAGGTCGTCCCTCGCTAGTAGTTTTGTGAAATGTTCGACAAGCTTTTCCGCGTTCGAGTAACTGGAGCGTCGGTTGTCAGAACAAGCCTGGTAGGCACGATGCTAGGGATGACAAACTTACGTGCGGTTTAGTACACAGATATTCTTCACCCCCATCTGGAGCATCGCGTACGTAGCGGCTCTTGCCATACCGCCCGCCCCCACGACAAGACCACAGCTGGTGGACCTTACGGCATTGGCGGGCGAGAGGCCGCGGCGTATACACGCCCTAATGCCAATCCAATCTGTGTTCTCCCCGTACAATGCCTTGATTGGACCCGCCCGGTTGCGGCACTGGAAGAGACGGGCGTCCTCCGGGACAGTTCCGTCTTCGTTCAGCGCTCGGATCGGTATCAGGGTGTTAACCGCCCCAATTGCCTTTGCATGCTTGCTCAAGGAGTGCGTGATGCTGATGATCTCAACTTTGAAAGGGAGGCTGATTGAGGCGCCAGCGAAGTATGGGTCCATCACAACCTCCTGCAGGCTCCGGATGGACGAGGTGCTGTGCGGCCGGTAATGGTGGGGTATGCCAAGGGCCTTCAGCGCTGCGTTGTGCATCCCTGGGGACAGACTGAAGGACACATAGCCGCCGATCACGTACAAATTCATCGGGTCGAATACAAATGACGAGTAGAGGCTTCGCGTTGCTTGAAGGGCGGTTATGGAGGGAGAGGGGTAGGCCAGCTCATCGTCGCGGTCTGCGCTCGTAGCTGATCCGACGGGGAGAACCGAGCTAAGCACTTGATTGAAACAAGAGGACGTCTTTCCCTTTCTCCCAGTGTTATACGCAATAACGGGTAGTTTCGGCTCGCCCAGATCATCGATTCTCGTGCGCAAGGTGCCGATATCGAAGTTCTCGAGGTGGTGGCTAGCAACGCGTGAAAGTCGAGTCAGGTCGCAGCCAAGATCTCGCGCTTTTTGATATGCTCGAAGCCAAGAAGGGTCCGTCCAAGACGGCGCTGGTTCCCCTGTTAATTGTAAATTGCCGATAAGTTTTGATCGGCCCTTTGAGGTGTGAATTTGCGCAATGAATTCCTCCTCGAGTCGCAAGTCGACCGTCATGTACTCAACGGCCAATCGCAAACCATGCTGTAGGTAGGCAAAGTACAGCGACTTCCACGCGGGATCGTGGAGTGCTTGCTCGGGGAACACCACGTGGTAGAGTATGGGAATGACGATATTCCTCCGCACATCGGCCAAAGCGCGGCTGATGTCACTGGCGTGTTCAGGACTGAGGCCATCTTTGAGCATACCGGGCGCGGACGACAGGACAAGGTCGTCGACCACAATCTCGATAGCGTCTGCGCCGGTTTCGATGTCTTCGATGTCTAGCTTGTTGGCCAAAAGGGAGGACAGGGGGACCGAGACGGCGTAGGTGAACTGTCTGTCCTCGGTGGGGATGGAGGCCAGGGGAAAGGCGGACTCTATGAAAGGGATGGCGCCCTTGGGCAGGATGAGCGACAGGAACTTCAAAAAGTGCCTCTCGGCCCTCTTGAGGGTGAGGTAGGGAGCAGGGGACCTCTTGTCGAGGGCCGTTGCCAGGCCATCGAGCGAATCGGTCTTGTTCTTTTTGGTCATGTCCTCGGAGACGTTGAAGAACTCAAAGTGGCTGCACCTCCGGAAGAAGAGGCCACCGGCGTCGAGCAGGGTCTTGAGCCTCGCATCATCAGGTATCTTGAGGTGGTGCTTGATGGCCGGGGTATCTCGGACAATGTATATGATGGGGTGTATGTGGCTGTACTCCCGCAGCAGGTATTGGACATTGCGCTCCATCCACGAGCACACGATGATGGTATTCTTGGAACAGCGGTGGAAAAGATCTTCGAGGACATCAGCCTGGCGGCTGTGGTAGCTGGTCAGGCCGTGTTTCTTCTTGAAGACCGGGGAAGGGAGGCCAGTCATGTCCTGGAAGGCCCTCTCGGTGTCCACGACCTTGCGTTTCATGGCGCCGGAGGCAATGACGGCCAAGGTAGACTTGCCGGCACCCCGCAGGCCGGTGAGGACCAGGGAGACATCGGAGTCGAAAAGCCTAGCAGTAGAGAAGTCCGGAGTGTGCGGGGGGGAGCTCGGGGCAGAGCGTGAAGCTGGGCGGGCGGGTCAACGGAGACGGACGGAGTGGCTGAGGGTCAGCAGAGAAACACCACACGACATACCTCTAGACGGCGAGCCGCCGGGAGTTGGAGGAGACGGCTCATAGGGGTTGACGATGTGACTCAGGAAAGGACTAAGCTTTCTCGAGAGGGGCTGTCGGTTGGCGTCGTCCCAATCGGCGGCGGCGGCCATGGTGGCGAAGCTGCGCTTGCTGCCAGCCATGACAGACGCCATCTTGACCTGCACGCCGAGAGGGCAGGGCGGGGGAGATGCTCAGGCGAGGGCCATGTGCTCAAGCCGGCGATGTCGCTGGTGAGGTGAAGCGGTGGCGGTGAGTGAGGATGTGTGAGAGTGTGTATGCGTGGGTGTATGCGTGTGTCGAGGTCTCAGGGCGAATGCTGCTGCTGCTGATTGTGTGAAAGCCAAAAGTGAGGCCGAGTCGAGTTTCGAGATGCGAGGTTGCGGGTCTGCTCGGTCAGTGGCTGCGCATCTCCAACCCAAGGAGCAAAGGCACAAGAAACGGGCCAAGAGCAGGCAGAAAAGAGACAAGAGTGAGGCGAGAGTGGGTGTGTGTGTGTGTCCCTGGAGCTTGTCAGGTTTCGCGGCTGAGAGGGCGAGCGAGGTAGAGCCAGAGCAGTGATGAAGAATGTGAGTGGGTGGAATAGGTGGGATAGGTAAGATGTAAGGATCTGGGTACCGATGCCGAACCAGGACAGGTCGGGTCAGTGGTCGCACACGCACAAAACAGCAAGCCCACACTCACACACTCCCTCTCTACACCAAGTAGTAGTACTGGGAGTGCAGACCGTCCTCGCAGGCGGGCACAACTTGCAGGCAGGTCTGCAACAAACCGACTGTCGGGTCAATGGAGAACAAGGGAAAGCCGAGGGAAGGTTTGGCAGGGCAGGGCAGGGCAGGGCAGGGCAGGGCAGGGGCAGGGCTAGGCAGTGCCCAACGGGAGGGAGACTGGTCTGGTGGACGGGTGACGGGTGACGGGAGCTGCTGCGGCTGCGGCCTTGTGCGAGGGCGGCGCACCAAGAAGGACCCTGATGAGTGAGTGAGTTGAGAAGTCGAGAGTGAGAGTGATGAGAAATCCGGGATGACGACCGGGGTGGGCCCGCGGAACTGACCGCGGCCTCGAGGTTCGTATGTAAACGAGCACAGGGATCAAGGCTGGGCGCACATGGGCCAGTAGGACAGGGTGGGATGAATCTAGGTGGGGAGGGGCAGAGGGGTGGGGTGGGGTGGGGAGGGGAAAGCTAAGGGGCTAAGCAATTATCCTCAGCCTCTGCAGCCGGATGAATACCACAGTAACGCCCCTTCCCCAGATCCGATCCACAACGTGTCTCGTCTGCCAGTGTCTGGGCGTGCCTGTCTCTGCTGCACCTGTCTCTGCCTGGCTCCTTCCTGCTCCTCCACAAGCCCACAGCCTAGCCCGATTTTGCAGCCAGGCACACAGAAGACACTAACTAACTTTCCGACTTACTTACTCGGTACTGACTGACTGACTGACTTGCTTGCCTGCCTTGTGTCACTGGTCGGCTGCCGAGGTCGGTCCCATCCGACCACAGACCATAGACCAGAGAGACCACAGACCGCACCGCACTGCACTGCACTGCAGTTCAAGCAAGCAAGCCAATTGATCCAACTGCCTTTACTCACACACCCTACCCTCTCTCACACTTTCACCCTTACCATTACCCTTTATCTTTTATCCGTCTCCCGCCTCCCGCCTCCCCGTCAACCCTTTGCTTGCTTGCTGTTTCGGCCGGACGATTGCTGCGGATGAATGCCAGCCCTGCTTGCGCATCGCCATGAGACGGAGATGAGATCGCCAGGGGGATACCAACACTCGGGCACGACGTGCTGCAGCCACTAGCAGCAGCACCAGTAGTACCAGCTTGCGATGCCTCCCAAGCGCAAAACAACCGCTGAGGCCGACAACCCCCCCTCGGCCACCGCCAGCCCCGCCAACTCAAACACGGCCTCGGCCCGCGACGCGCCTCTCAAGCGCCAGCGTGTCTCCAGGGCCTGCGACCAGTGCCGTGCCGCACGCGAGAAGTGCGATGGCATCCAGCCCTTGTGCTTCCCCTGCGTCTCGCAGAACCGCGCCTGTACCTACGAGGCCAACCCCAAGAAGAGGGGCGTCCAGACCGGCTACATAAAGACCCTCGAGGTCGCCCTGGCATGGCTCTTCGACAAGGTCCCCGGCTGTGAGGACTCCCTCGAGAACCTGCTGATGCACGAGGGCGGCCAGGGCCAGAGCCTGCTCGTCGGTAAGGACTCGGAAAAGTCAAACCGCCTGCACAAGAGGTGGAGGAGGAGCAAGGTCCACAGGGGTATCGACCATATCCTATCCGGCGGCGGCGGCGGTCCCGGCGGCGGTCCCGGCCCTTCTCAGCAACCTGACGAGCCCGAGGACCCTGACAGCGACACGGAGCACGCCCAAAAGGCTTCCATCATCGTCCGCGGCCACACTCCCCCGAGCGCCGGCCTTGACCCGCCTCCAACGCGCATCGACGGCCAGGCTGTACCAGAACCCTCCGGGACCCTGTTGCTTCCACCCAACCACTGGAGACTCCTCGACATCTATTTCAGCTATACCCATTGCTGGTTTCCTATCCTTGAGAAACAAGACCTGCTAAAGACCGTATACCTATACTCCCCAGAGGGTATTGACGTCCAGCGCAACACTCCCAACTCCGCCGCCCATGCCGAGCTGTGGGCCGCCATGGCTCTGGCCTCTTACCAGAACCTGTCGAGTGCGAAGCTCAATGCCAACAACCAACCTCCCGACGCCGGGCACTCTCCCGACAAACTCTACAACATTGCGCGGACCCTCGTACCTTCCGAAGAGGGTCGGTTTGAGATCCAGCACGCAAGGGCGTTGCTGCTTCTGGCCCTGATTAGTGTTGGCAAAGGCCAAAAGACGTGCGCCTGGATCCTGGTCGGCCTCGCCCACCGCATCGCCCTCGATGTCTCGGACCTCCATCTGGGCGATGAGCGGTTCTCGAGGCGGGTCACAGCAACACTTATGGGGTGCTACATCCTTGACACCCTTATTTTCGTCCATCGAAGAGGCATGCCGAGCCTTGAAACAGCAGGCATACTCGAAGGAATGAGTATACCAGAGGACAATTTGGACGAATGGCAACCTTGGGCACCCTGTGATGGCTTCGGCCAGGGCTTTTCTGGCCCGGCCACCCTGTCACGGAGCCCGGCCTACTCATTGACTACCTTTAACCAGCTCTACGACGTTTTCAAGTTCCTAAGAAAACGGTCGGTCCACAGGCAGAACGGCCGCCCACTGGAAAACCCCTCCGAAGTAATGATGCTCTTGCACCAGACCATAAAACCACGCCTGCCCTTTGGCAATTTCATAGTGGCCCGGGATTCGAGCTCCGCCACCATACCATCTGCTTACGTTCTGAGGGTCTTGTTCTTATGGGTCAGCGCGCTGCTCAATTCGGCAGAATCGCCCTGCGCCCTCATTCTGGAATCCATCGAGCAATATCTGGCCCAGTTCGGCCCTTGCGGCGCCCCGCCGTTCTTCGCAACCTGCTTAGCCATGTTGGGCCAGCACAGGAGCTTCGCCGACCTCGACTCGCAGGCCAGGGAGAGGTGGCAGTCCATCAAAGTCATGCTCATCATGATCTGGAGCCCCGCTGGTCCCGCTGGAAACAGGCTTTCCAGCGAGCCCCGTCCAGGCTCTGCAATCTCAAATCCTGCGGGTGCATCGAATGCATCTATGGCCTCGTCCTCGATCAACACATCCAAGAATCTGCCAGCGGTCACAACCGCAGGTTTTGTACCAGCCAACCGCCTCCAGACGCCGACATTGGCTTCCAAACACCGACCAAGCACATCGTCTTTCATGATGGGCCAGTTCTCCCCATCTACACAACCCGGCCTCAACCCAGCGGGCAGCCCACAGGTGGGCAACGCGAACATGAACGCAATGGACACCAATACCATCATGCACGGCGGCCACGGGCCGCGAAATATGGGCCAGCAGCCCCATCAAACTCCAGGCGCCGCGCACCGCGGCAGCTTCGGCGGCGGCTCACTAGACTACGACGCCATCCTGGACGACCTGTCGTCCATGGACTATATAGACCGCGTCGACGCGGACCCTCAGTTCATGGCCAACCTGGGGTTCGCCCCGGGCTGTGATATTTCCGAGATATTGAATCGGGAGTTTGGGGCGATATGAACATACCTAACATACAGAGACGCGACGCGACGTGACGGTTTGAACGGCCTGTACTTTCCCGGGTCACCGACCCGTTGTTTATATATGTTCTACTGTATGCGTGAATATATAATGCATAAAAGCGGCTTTTTCATGATCACTGACAAAGTTCGTGACCAGAACTTGCATCTTCTTTTGCCATTCCATAACACATCTAAAGTTGTTTCGCTTCTATTCCGTATACGTCCGAGGACATACATGGCGCCTTCATACGGTGGTAAGCGCTCAAGAGTACATGGTTTACGTAAGGAGAAATGGGAGACTTTGACGAATCGCGCAAAATATTGCCTATCAAGTGAGTTGCAGTGGTAATTATCTTACAACTTCTGTCAAGCTCATGGGCCGTCTTTGTCCCACCGGATGTTCAAGTGGCCACCGTCTCCCTTCCCTAGGCGGTCTTCTTGGCCACTTCAAAGAAATTTCTTTAGCATCCAGTAGTGATGGTGGCATCGCCCATCCGGCGAACCATGTTTTCCAGGAGTTCCGTGTCATGTAGAGTTACAATACTAGTATCCTTCATCCATACCAACCTGAGAACACCCCGAGCAGGCGAGTGCTCTTCGCCCAATGGTAGTCTCAGATAGAGGATAAGCTCACGCAGCTCTCGTCCATACTCAGCTTCAATGCTGATTCGCGGCGAAGATTCCTCCTATGACAATTTGAGGGTGCCTCAAATCAGTTGCCATGTCTTCCAAACCCGTCGTCACCGAATCTGGCCTCAGGAGTCGATCTCACCCTCGCTATCTTCCTCGCTCTCGGTCCAATAGTCCTCCTCATCGATTCCCTGTCCATCCTCCACGTCTGCTCTGACAGGGGTATCAGGAATGCCAATGCCACGCATGTCAATGAATGCCGCCTCCGTCCGTCTCTCGGGCCGCGGCATGCCGAGCTCGTCAAACGCCAGCAGGTAGTTGTCCCAGGTCATCAAGTCGAGCGCTTCCTGCATGGCAGCCTCCAGGCGCGCGGTGTCTTGCCCGGGTGTCAGCGTGACCTTCTGGAATAATTCGCGGCACATCGAGCTGGTAAAGTGCACCATGGCCCTGACCTCGTTGACCGAAAGGTCCTGGTCTTCGGCGCTGATCACAAGAGCCCCAATGAGTGGAAATGCTCCCGACTCAGCGCACCCCTTGAGAGAGTTGAGATCAAACAGGGGGGAGCGGTTATCAGTGTCCTTCTTGAGACGGCGCATGAGCTCCGCGGCCGGGGTACATGTCAGCCATGCACGGTTTGCGTCGAAACGATGCAGTTCAGTTGGCATCATGCAAAGGCGCAGGGGCCGGCCGATGCGCTCGGAGATGGGCGATATATCTCCACGAAGCTCGGCCGCGAGCCCTCGGATCATGTGGTCGTAGGGAACGGAGATGGCCTTGTAGCGCTTCGAATCGTCCTCCGTGAGCAGGTCTCCCGCGATCATAACGCCCTTGATGTCCTTAAACTTCCAATATCCTGTGGAAGCCAGACCGATTGGCGGAGAGTAGAGAGGCTCGTAGAGTTGATGCTTGGGGTACACGGCAAGCCAGTCGATGGTGTGACGGAAGTCGGCCATCGTGGCACTTGACGGCCTGTCCGAGGGGGTGATGCGTCTTACGACAATGCTGCCACCCCAAAGGCTGGGCGGGCATGTGGCACCTATGGCTCGGACGGAAGCGAGTATGGACTTGTTGGCCTTTGATCCGTCTGTTTGGAAGTTGCCGCGGCAGAGGATTTGGATGCTGTGCTTTCCGATGAGTCTGCCATTCAGGCGGCAACTGAAACCAAAACCGCAGCGTTCGACGGACGGGCCGTGCTCGTCATCAGTAGGCTGGCGAAGAAGCTCGCTGACGGGTCTCATGTCAAAAGTCATGTGCGATGAGGTGGAGAGGATGACCACTTCTGGCTTCAAAGAATCGGCCCGGAAAAGGAAGCCTCGGTAGGCGTTTTCGAGCGGCTCGAGGTCATCGGGGTTGGCGTACTTGCTGCAGAGAAGCTTATGGCAAGGCCAGTCCGCCCGCTGGCATTTCTTGTTGTTGTTGCCACAGTACCAGACACCTTTGCAGCCAGAACACAAGCTGATGTTGTTGGAATCGCCGCACGTGATGCAGTATTTCTCTGCCTTCTTGTGGAGGGATGGGTTGAGAGGGCCATGAGAGCTGGCAGGCGTGTTGTCCTGCTGAGGCGCCATTGTGTCTGTCGTCTTTCTGCAGGCCACGTGATACAGTGAGAGGGCCTTCAGTTTCTGCATAGACCCAAGAAAGCAGGTTAGGAGGTCACAAGAACAGAGGATGGGTGAGGCTCATGTGATAACTGCAATGTTTACTGGCTGAGACCCTGTCGCTGATTGACGAGGCGTGGTGTGGGAGTTGGGCGAAACGAAGATGGAGTGGCAACTGGAACAAGGCATGGGAGGGAGGGGAGAATCGAGTGGAAGAAAATCAGAGCAACTCAGAAACAATCTCGCGACTGATGGTCCAACTCGTAGCCAAAGTCTAGGGATTTGAGAGGAAGTTGACGGAGGTTACCTTGAGCTCTCTGCAGAGTACTGTAACTCAGGTAGGAAATCGGTATCGGCAGACTTGGTCTTGCTGTCTGTCGTCTCGGTATGGTTCTAGGTCAGCTGCCCAGGTGTATCTCGAATGGTCTTGGGAGAAAGAATTAGGACGTGCAACAGAAACTCGCTCAGGTCATTCATAATCTGGGAAGTGAGCGACTTGGGGCTTGTGTGGGAGGAAGAAAAGGGTGCAACTGGTTGTTGTCAGGCAAGGGTAAATCGTCAATCACAACAACCTTGTGCAGTTGGTCTTTCTTGCGCGGCTGCCAAAAGAGGGGTTGGGAAAAGGAGCAGCCGCTTGTCACTTTGGGTAAACTGCATGCGAGGAAGGCCGTGGGATGTAGAGCGCGAAAGGAGTGTGATCTTAATCACGTTGCTGAAGACAGCTTTGAATGAGCTGTTTCCATCTGATATGCTTGGAGCTGCAAGAATTTGCTTTCCTAACGCGATCGGCCTGCTACCTAGAAAAGCGAGAAATTCTTGGGGACAATGAGCTTCGAACTGGGTGGAAGCCAGAATGTCTTGCTCAGCGACTTTCTTGAGCTCAACTGCCTCTGGTGAAACCTAGGTACCTACCTAGGTACCGTAATCCCATAAAAGTACGCAACATCTACACAACAGTTCAGACTCACAGCCTCACTACCTAGGTACGGTCATTTCCAGGCGAGGTTTCCGCCTACAGCAACCGATCAAGTAATCTTGAGCGGTAGAGGCGCACATGGCGTCACGCATTGTGACCACGTTCGCAAAGGAGGTAGTCCCCGCTGAGAAGCCGCTTGGAGTTTTGCAAGAGCTATGTGGTTTCGCTTCTATTCCGTATACGTCCGAGGACATACATGGCGCCTTCATTGCAAGAGCTATGCCCCCACGATGAGTTGCTAAAGAGCACTGGTAGGTGTTGTGGTGGTCTCGTCCAGCTAATCAAAACGACTCGCTTGTTCCACAAAATATCGTGGTCCCCGAGAGACTTGGCCTAGGAGTTTAGCTGTCTAGCTTCTGTACCAACACATCGAACCATATCTGTACTGTTTGAAACCGCTGCAACGTTCGGGTGGACCTCAGTAGTCGCCGCGAATGATTCGCAGGTCTCTCAAATAAGGAAAACATTTAATCGCGAAAGAATGAGTAGGGCAGTTTGTGGGAAAGCTTTTGCTCAATAGAATTATCAAGTAATTTCTCAGGTTACCTTACCCTAGGGTAGAGGTTACTGAGAGATTTGAAAGGCTAAGGCTATAACCGTCCATTTTCACACAGACAATTGGTTTCGTCTCTGTTCCGTACACGTCCGAAGCCATACACGATCCCAGGCTGACACGGAACAAAAGATTCCCCGTGTGCAAGTTCACTCGAAGACTGGTAAATGACCAAAGCCTTGTCTTGATAAATTTACACGCAGGCACCCGGGTTGGGATAATCTGCCTGCGTAAAAGGAAGACTGAATAGAATCAGAGCGACCAGTCTTCTGGTAAGGTTAGAATCATGAAGCATAATGAAGGCTCGGGTGTGATTCTATCCACAGCCTCCGGAGGAAAGGAGGCAAACCAAATTCGATTCGGTGAAGCAAAATATTGTCTCCCCCGGTGACCGCTTGGGGCGATACAGGTACATATGGTAGGTTGTATGGGCCTCTCAAATCCCCCTAATTGTCTATATAGTGGCTTGATGAAACACAAGACTGCCCAGGTACAGATGAAGTCCTTTCCAATATCGCACTGCGCGTGAGTCTTTACTTGTAAGCGGTGGACCGCCGAAGGACACAGGGCGCAAAGATCAAGTTGAAACGGGTATATTTAGAGCATTGGGAGGAAGGCTGTATATCTGACGGACTTGGTGCAACAGACAGCTCACGAAACAAAGCGGCAGCTCTCGCGAGTCTTGTCGGAATCATACGCGTGGCAATACGGGACGTCTAGAGGTGATCCACCTGTACTCCGCACCCAGAGGACCCATAAACTTTGACCGCGAAGGCCCATAGCGGCAGTTCGGTGGAAGGATACTACTAAACTCCGAACGAAAGACCCCACTGCTGGCATGTACGCCCTCCACAGGGCGGCTCGCTGAATCGCGATGTGCACATGTGGTGAACCTTGGAAGCCGGCTGGGCAGGAAGGAGACAGTTCAGAAGCAGCCGGCCTGCTCCAGGAAGTCAAATCTCGTTTATCTTGGACCGTGGCCAATGATCGGCGCATCGAACTGGCGCTGCCCTCGCATTCGGGCCGCACCCGGTGGTGGTGATGGGCGACGACCCCTTCTGTCGCTCGCCCAGCGGAAAATCGGGGCGCCCAGGGGTCTTGGGTGCCAGTCCTGACGCAGGGCCAAATGATCGACAGGCACGTAATCCGCACAGCCAGCCAGCCAGCCGGCCGGCCAGCCGCAAAAAGTTCCGACAGCAACGTCAAGAAGAAGAAATGATAAGCTGAAGCATGTAAACATAGGGACCACGCTTGCCACGCCACGAGGAGTGTGGCTTGCAGCTTGCAGCTTGTTGGGCCAAAGGTCAAAAAGGGCACCTAGGTAAGTTCCGTGACGAAGGCCGAGTTGCAGACAACAAGCAACTTCTTCGGGCTTCACCTGTACAGCACTTGAGTAGAGCCGCGCCTCCCACAAAGACCAACGTCATTCCTGATCGATTTCTCGCCCTCTGCGAACCTCTCATGCTTCTGCTGCAAGAAGCATCGACCCCTTGATGCCCGATTGATTTCTTTTGCCCTTGGTCTTCCTCGAAGAATACCATCATGCCCAGCCAGGCGACATGGAACGTCAGTTGACGCTTGGTCTTGGCTGGACACAACTCGAAAGGACATGTCATCATTCCAAGGTTGATATGACCGCGTGGGAGGTCGGATGCCACCACTGCACATCAGCTCCATCCACAGAGATATACGGAGCACACACATCAGGATCAGGTGTGGCTTGCTTCTCTGGGCCGGAGAAGCGTCCCCGTCTGACAAGGTCCACTGGCATGGTAACCTCGGTGAGGGCCCACCCAGACGGCAGACATCGATTCAGGCCTTGGCGCTCTGTCGATTCCAGAAGTCTCCCTGTTGCCTGCTGCAAACAGACATTACGATCCGGTCTTTGTACCGTGATATAAGTCCTCCTGCCGCCTGCGTCTGCTATCAGCGGGGCCGCCTCCGCCCTTGACCATGTTAGTCCGCGAGGCCGAGCCGGGATCACAACGATTGGCCGACCTCGAGCGCGGCACCAACGGTGTATTCGGTAGATGAGAGACAACGTTTCTATTGCTGGGCTCGGGCAGGATCACCAGATAGTGCAACACTAATGCCCTAGGTAAGCACGAGTTGAAGCAGTAGAGATCAGTTGATAGCTCTCTGCGCGTTGGCCAAGTGCAGTGCATGCGCCATCGCGAAGTGACCAGCACGCGGCAGAAGAGTCCATTCCCGACCTGCCTGATGAGACCGCTAGCCTCGTCTTATCAGTGGGGCGCGGGGCTCTTGCTTGGATCCAGATGTCTGCTGTGTCCATTCGAGGGCGGACTTTCGTCCCCATCCTCGGCCCGCCCAGAATCCAGACCGCGAATGATTTATGCAACACTGAGCCTTTTGTCACACCCCTCAGAAGACAGGCCAATTACCACTCCGCAAATGATCAAATCTAAGGGCTCCGGCGTGCCTGGATTGAGGGCCCGCCCAGGCCAATCATGGAAATCCGCCGCTCTGGTAAGGTTTGGAGCCCCCATTGAGATTGCTCTGGCTGTCTGGGGTGTTGGTTCGTCCAAGGCTCGGCTTCTCCAGGGGGGGCGTGGCATGGGTGCCGATAGCTATGGCTGTCTGGCCAATGAAGCAGCGCTCAGTCAAGGAATTGAGTGATGGCAACACCCAACCAAAATCTCTCTCATCAGACTGCTTGCCTTCCCAAGGGCTGCTGCTCTCTTCCGCCCTCACGATGGGGCCAGGCTCGACCGAGCTCCCGGGAAACAAGCTCTGGCTCTTCAAGGATGGAGTACGGAGTAGATGAGCATCATGCGTTGGGAAGCGGTGGAGCTGAATCAGGAAGCGAGTTGAGGCACGCACCGAAGCAGCACGGCGGTCCGGGAGGCCGTGCCCACCTACATGTACATAATAAATTGGCTGTCATTGAGTTGACGGGTGGCCCGGGGTGGGTGAGCCCACTTTCCCACGTTGCCCCCCGGTTCCTTTTGCGTCTCGACCCTTGCAATATGTATTCACGCAGGTCTGGCGAGCCGCCTGCCGCCTTTCGTATTGTGATCCTGTCACAGCACTGTTTCTTGCGGAAGCAGCCTGTATGCGTCCGCACCTGGCTAACAAGACGTGCCGAGCAGTCATGATTCGCTGCGCGGGCCGACAGCAGATACAAATCGGCGTCTAAACCCATGAGTCCTGGATGATCTGGTTACTTTTTCCTCCTGTCATTTTCCCAACCCCCCTTACTTCGTCTCGGTTGGTGCTACGCCGCGTGCATAGGGCTCCAACTCTTGGCCTTCTGGTCACCCTGCCAGCCTGCCAGCCTGCTCGTGTTGCGGGCACGCCCATCAAAGGGCGGGCGCCCGTCTGGTCAAGCATCCCAGGTTCCCGCCCGTAACTCACTTCCACGGCGTCATGTCGTCACATTCCCTTCTTCAGGATACGGGGTCCTTGGGATTTTTGGCTTCCCGCCTGTCCTCTACAGCATGCCTGAAGCTCCACATGTGTGCACCGGTCCGCCTTGGGAGGTAAGGCTAGGTGAAGGTTCAGGGATCGGAATGTAACCGTGTAAGCTGCATGCAAGGGTCTCGATAAGGCCAAACCGAGCCAAATCGAAAGCAGACAGGTATAAGCTGGTTGCATGCCCTGCAGCTAAAAGGGGTCTGGGGTTGAGGATCCTGCCGCGGAGAGCTCCAGATATCCGCCTCGAACTTAACCAGCAGAAGCACAACTCGTTGGTTGCCTCGGCCTTATAGTTGGGTCCCCGCCGCCGGCCAGCCCACCGAGCTTATTCTCGCCGGGCCCACAGAGCTTCGTCCGCCTAGACTCGCGTCTGTCGCATCTCGACCCCTCCGCTGCTCTTCTTCATCTTGGTTATTTCTACAAGAGAATTGTTCTTTTCCATTCCGTGGATTTTGCGTACAATCGCACTGGCTAGGGTCATACCAATGGACGGGAATACTTATGTTGCGACTAAAATGACCAGAGTGTAACGTCCCGCCGGTTCCCCAGCTCGAAGATCACCCACGTGCGGCCCGAACCCCGGATCGGTCCGGGTACCAGCGGCGGTATCAGCCAACCTCTGAATCGGACAAGAACGCCTATCACCAACAATCGAGAGCGTCAGCATCATCTTGTGATTATCGCGACGGCAAACTCCTACTGGTGTAAAACAGCCAAACAAGCAGGAGTGCTCGGGCACACCCCATTTTAATCATGTCGGGACGTAGCGCCTACGTACGCAAAAAGATCACTGAACCAAAGGGCAAGGCCCAGCATGGACCAGACGCAAATCTTGATGAATTACCCACGTTGGCCCTGGGGCCATCCAGGCAGGACTCGGCCAGATTGGGAACTGCCCATGGACGTGGTCCTCGTCCCCAAGACCTAACAGTGGATGGTGATGTTCTGTCCATAGGGGACAGTCAAAGCAGCGGCAGCATTGATGGCCGGAGACTCGATTCAGCCCAGCCGAAGCATCCTCTGGATGACTTTGCGTACGCTCGAGCCAGGAAGCCCACCATCAAGGCGGAGGATATTTCGGGTGTGGGTATCTCCAAGAGTGGAATGAGGTCTGTGATGGACCAGAACAGTGAAAAGGTACGGAAGGGAATCGCAAAAGCCTTCACCTTCGGCGGGAAGAAGACCAGGCGCGATGAGGTGATCAGGCCACAAGAAATCAGACCCGAATCGTCGGCGACCGTGCGGCCAGGCCATTTACCTCGTGGAGGAGAGTCTGAGCCATCACCCCTTGAGGATCGAGAGCAGCCGCCATACCCGCAGGCGAACTACACCTATGACCCACAATGGGACGCATCCCTTGGGCCGGCCTCGCCGCCTCCAGTGACCAAATTACCCGCACTGCCTCCTCCAGCATCGACGCCCCAGATCAAGCGGTGGACAGGCACAGGGAGGCCAGTGCAACGGTGGAACAAGCTGCGGAAAGACCCCGAACTCTGGGACCCGAACGGTGATGTCTTGGTGTACCTAGGCCACAGGGGGCAGAACCCCCGACCAAACCCGTCCTTCAGACTCTCCTCCCATGTGATAGAAGCGACAGAATCCCGGCCCCTCATCACCATGCTCCGAGAAGGGTCCACCGAGGACGAAATGACGCTCTTGCCATCGCCAAGGGGCGCGCCGCCGATGTTATTACCGCGGCAGAGCAGCGTGTCAGCTGCTGCTCGAGATCAAATGGCCGCCGGCCAGAGACCCCAGGCGAGCAGTCGAAGCGGTAGCCAGGCCACGCCGCCTCTTTCGGAGGACACGATCCTCACCAACACGGATGGTCAGATTAGTTATGAGATATTCTTCTCCCCGCCATCCAACGCGAGCAAGACCGAACAGATCCGTTACAGCGTGTCGGTGCGCAATCTGTTTGGCATACTCCACCATGCTTCCCTGGTTGGGCTCTCGCTGTGCCAGGCCCTCTCGGATCTCCATTCACGCATGGAACAGTTCATGCCGCAGGCGGACACGGATAATCTGAGCACAATCCTGGCCTACCTCGGTGCGCGGGGCATCGATGATGTCCGCAACGACGCAGAATCAGCCATAAGTCTTTTGGCATGGTGCGAGGACCCCAAGGTTCGCTGGGAGGAGGGCTGGCGTGAGAGTTTCTTGCACGTGGCCGGCATGTACGGCAGCCTGAGAGAGCGATCGCTGATGGAGTCGTCGCCCGACTTCAAGAGGATCAGCCCGATCACCAGGGCTCTCCTGGAAAGAGCAAGCCTGGAGATGCATCTTCGAGTACAGGCTGCCGAGGAACCACTGAGTACCTTTTCGTTCGAGGACATGTGGCCGGCCTCACTCTCGTTTATATCGCCGGCCTCTGGGCCAGTTGTCGCAAGCCCGGCGAAGGCAAGTGCGGATCGGTTGCAGAGGTTCCTCCTTTCGTACTACCGAAGTACGTGGGGACGATGGCCACCGCCACCGCCTCCCGACACGGTCACCTCGGATGAGAGCGACGAGCCGTTGTGGCTCACGCGGACGGTAGTGCAGGCGCTGCAAAAAGACTTTGGTACACTGTACGACTATCTCGTCAATCGCGACATCGTATGGGACGGGTCCGAGACACGCTCGTCAAGGAAGTGGCTGATGGTGTCCGAGAGCGGCAACAAGGCGTTTGAGGCTGATACTGATGAGCTGCCAATGACGGACGTCCTCATAGAATACGACAACAAGCAGCGGTTCCCACACATCCCACACCCATACCCCTTGGTCCCCGAGTCCATCCCACCCGCGGCCAACACGGCAGCCTCGGCGGCCAACAGCAAGGGGAGGAAGCGAAGCAAGACCGGCGGCGAGGCCGTGCCCGCCGCGACCCCCGGCGGCCCTCAGCGGCCAGGAGCCGTGGAGCGACGGATCCAGCTGGCCTACACCGAGGCGACCAACGTCTACGTGCTCGGCAGCGACTTCGCCCAGACGGATCTGATCGACGCCTTTGTCAAGTTCGAGAAGACGGACCGGATCGGCGAGATCGACCCGAGCCTGGCGCGCCGGGGCCGCTGGATCCTGATCTACGGCATCCTGCAGAGCCTCGCGAGCGTGTCGGCCGACGCGCCGATAGTGCGGTACTCGGACGGGGTGGACTACCACCTGGGGCCGCGCCTCAAGGGCGCCAGGCTCCCGCCGTGGGCCAAGAAGGGCAAGCAGCCGGCGAGCATCCAGCCGCAGGAGGCGTCGCACGAGCTCTCGTACTGCTGGCTCGCGCCGCGGGCGTGGAACAACAGCAACACGTCGGCGAGCGAGGAGGGCGGCCTGGACAGCCAGGAGGTATCCGACGACAACAACTCGCCCATCGACACGAGGCAGGGGTACTCGTTCCCCCAGCCGCCGCACCCTTCGCTGTCGGCCACGCTGTCGGGCGTTGGTGGTGGCGGCGGCGGCGGCGGCCGCGGGTACACATCGGCGCAGTCGAGCCGGGCGCCGAGCGCCAGCGGGCAGAGCCGGGGCTACCACGCGGGGACCAGCTACGCGGGGAGCACGACCTCGTACGACGCGCTGAGCGACGCGGGGACGACGACGTCGTCGTGGCTGCACATGTCGACGACGTCGTCGGTGACCACGGCGCCGCTGCAGGGCGGGCGGACGAGCAAGGCGTCGTCGAGGACGGGCGTGCGCGGGGTGGCGCGCAGCACGGAGGCGCTCGGCAGCCGGCGGGGCGGAGGGGCGCCGCAGCTGGCCAGCCCCGGGTCGTCGACGCGGCTCGACGAGGCGGAGGAGGCGGCAGATGGCGGCGAGTGGCCCATGCAGATTGGGGGCCGGGATCGGGACCGGGACCGGGACCGGGAGCGTGGCAAGCTTCACATCTCGACGGAGATGACCTCGTCGTCCGGGGGCAGGACGCGGCGGCGCGAGGGGTCTCGGCAGCGCAAGGAGAGCTTCGGGGTGGTCAGGGAGGGCGGCGAGGACAGCGATGACCAGCAGTGGGTGGTGAGGAGGATGCACAGCCGGCCGCTGCTGAGCCCGAGCGAGACGAGCAGCGTCGCGCAGGCCATCAAGGACTTTGACGAGCTGGATGTGGACGATATCATTCCTCGGTAGGGTACATACTCAGGCAGGGAAGGGTGCTGGGGGCATGGGAGGTTTATTACTATCACAACATTCACATTTAGTCTAAAAAGTCTGGTGTGGGGATTTTCGGATGTTGGTGGGCTTTATTTCTGGAAATCATAGCTAATATCTGGTATCGATGGGATCTGCATCGAGATGGTGCATGCATCAACCTTATTTCTTAGACACAAGTCTCCTTGTGTTATTCCATGCCACGCTATGACGGCAACACACCACGTGGGGGACGGCATCACAGCCTGACGGCGTGCCGTGTCTTGCTCCACGGCAGACAAGTCGGCCCGCAGCAGGAGACATAGATACGAATTTGTACAGGAAGTAGAGGGCAAATATACTGTGTTACTAGATGCCTGTTTGAGCCGTGTGCGACGACACTGGGACCAGAGGAGCTACTGCAATCCATCTGTGACGATCTGTTTCAGACACGCCCTGAGTATCTTGGACAGAAACCCAACCGATGGGATGGCACCGTGGGTTCCAAGTTTTGGAGCATCTTGGTTGACCACTGGCAGGCCAACTGACCTGGTTGGCAGTTGGGTGGTTTTGCTCTTCGCCCGAGGTGCCATCCCCAGCCTCCGCCGGCCCACGCGGGTGCTAAAAACGTACCAAGGTACCACAGGAGGCTAGTGGGGATCCAGGATCTGGGAGCTTGGGCCAGAAGAGACCCCAAGCTCCCGCTTAGCCTGCCCTGTTTACCTAGGTGTGGTCCGCCGTCCCACCCGTCCGCTGTCGACCAGCCCCGCGGATTTCCACTCCCGTTTCCATGTGGTTGGAACGTGGGGTGGGTGGGAGAGACAGGAGGGGAGGAACGAACGTCATGGTCATCGAATGCGTGCGTCCTTCTCTCTCCATCCATTCCTCGCATCCCCTCGCATCCCGGCCCAAGGAATTGGATCAGGTACTGCTGAAGCCCGCGTGCCAAATCTTGCAGTCTCACGGTCTTGCAGTCTTGCAGTCTTGCAGTCCGCGACTAGTCACCAACATCGGGTCGTCCTCCCGGATTGCCAGGCGATCACAGGGCAGCCCCAGATCCTGGCCGCCCACCATTCGAAGCTGGGGCACCAGAAACAGCAGGCGAGCCGGCGATCAGCGACGTCACAGGGTAGCAAGGCCCAAGCCCAGGCCGACTCTGGAAGCCTCGTCGAAGGCTGCTTATTACCGCCCTCTGGCCCTACAGGCTACAGCTTAGCTTGTAAGTTGTCGGTCAGGCAGTCGCAGTCAGGCTACAGCTTGGTGGGTGAGCACTGACGCCCGCCTGCATGCCCGCTGCACCCTGAGCTCATCATCAGTCCAAAACAAATCCCCGAATCAAGTGCCTCCTCGCTTGCTCGCCCGTTGACCCTGGCACTAGCCTGGGCTGAGCTCGGCAAGCAGGGCCCTCCCCTCGACGCAACCTTTTCACACCTCGTCGAAACTGGGAACCACCCCTGCGTGACCTTTTGTTGTTGTTTCTACACAGCAACAGTACTAAGGACTCAGTAACTAGGCCGGGGTGCAACGGCCCTCTTCATCATCAACCCTCAACCCTCGTCGCTCGCCCTGCCACCCGACTTTTGTACTTCTATTCCAGTCCACCCAAAAACTCCACCCCGTCTTGTCTTCAGGCACCACTTTCTCGTCCTGTTCCTGTCCACTTACTTCAGGCCAGACCTGCGACCATCCGCCCAGAATAGCCAGTCTGCTCGTCCCTTTTTCCTCACTGCATCTGCTTGCGCAACTCCTCGGGAAACCTTAAAACCCCACCAGAGAACGGCACTTGCACTCACGACTGCCTTCACGACTTGCGAATCACCCACACAGTTCCAAGGCATCACAGACTAGTTACCCATCATGGCAGTCCTCTTTACCATCGGGTTCGTCTTCTGGCGATTCATGGAGATCATCACCCTGGTAAGCCCTCACCTGCGACAGCTGGCGCAGAGACTCCCCTGCGTGTCATCTTTTGCGAGTCGCAAACCTTCGCATCGTGCCCCGGCTGACACGGGCGTAACCAGATCCCCACGATGGGCATGTTGGCCTATTTCGTCAATGGCTTTGTCAACGCCAACGCGTTGACGCCAAACTACATCTTGATATTATTCATAGTATCGGTGTTAGCCCTGGCGTGGGCTATATTCACACTCTTCTCCTACCACAGGAGCAGCTCCAATGCGCTATTCGTCGCAGTAATTGATCTCGGTACGACTATAAAGCCCCCCCCCCATCTCCAGAAACTTCTGATCAGACCACTGACCCGCCGGCCCCCCTCGTACAGGATTTGTCGGCGCGTTCATCGCAGCCGTCTACTACCTCCGATTCATCGCGGGCGCCAACTGCACCAGCGTCTCGAGCTCGAGCTACGAGGTCGGCTTTGGGCCCCTCGGCACCTTCAGCGGCAACGGCTTCTCCATCGACACCAACAAGTGGTGCGCCATGCTCAAGGCCTGCTTCGCCTTCGGCATCATGAACTGCATCTTCTTCTTCTTCACCGCCGTCCTGGCCTGGTTCCACGGCGAGCGCGTCGGCAAGGACACCCGCTACTACCGCGAGACCCACTACTCGCGCCGCGGCCACCGCAGGCACAGCACCGGCAGCAGGCGCAGCAGCCGGAGGCGCAGCTCCCACTCCCACCGCCGCGTCTACGTCTAGGAGCACTCGCCCGGCGGCGGCGTGGAGTCCGTCAGGCTCGCGTTTCCTTGAGGGGAGAGGGAGGCGTCTTGGATTCCTGGGAATGTCGGGGTGGACGGCCAAAGAGTTATGATTGTTTGATTATGCGATACTACTACTACTACTATACGGGCAAGGGGGTCATGAAATGTGTCACTACTAATGAGACGGCGATTTGAGATGGCAGGTGCGGGTGGGTGGTCACGATACCTTTGGAGGAATACCAGGATACCTGTTTCTTGTTTTTGTTTTGGGGTTTTGGATTGATGACTTATGATGACACGCATCTCGAGCAGGAACTTTGGGAAGCTGGTCCGTCTGGCCTCGCGGCCCGTTCATCTTGCAAGACTTCACTTCGAGGTATTGTTTGAAAATAAACTGTATTGCGAAGAGCATGTGCCATCGCCGCCGTCGTCAACATATACTACATCCATGCCACCGAGAACCTCCGTGGTCCGATGTCGAGTTCGGGCCGAAGACTGACTATACCGCGACGCCGGCGGACTTTGTTTCTCGGACCAGCAAAGGAACTTTGAAGCTTTCCGGGACAGCATCTCACCCATCCGTCCGGGTAGTCTGACGTCCCCCTTCCCCAGGGAGGGTCTATTGTGTCATGAGATGTATCCAAGCTTGTGGCCTGACTGCTGAGTTGGATATATGAATCACTGCTGATATTCTTCTTAATTCGGTGAAACAAACGGGATCAAACCATTACTTTTAGTATACTGCCCAATGTGAAGGACAAATCCCACCGGCACCGGTCTCCACCATGAAAGCAAAACCCCAAACTCCATCATGGCCTGTCACTCTTCACATTCTAGGATTGTCATACAAGCAAGCACACGTGGGCCCAGTATACTCGTCATCAACGGCAGATATCAGATCAACAGGGCCGTGAAAACAACAGCAACGGCAGCCGGGAACCAACCGCCCCAGCGGGCCAGCACGACCCCGGCGCCGCTGCCCAGCCCATCCTGCCCGTTGAAGAGCCCGCCATCCGCAACAGAGGCGTTGGCCACGGGCGTGGCCCCGTCAAAGTGGAACCCGGTCCCGTTCACAAACGACCACCTCGGCGCGCCCCCCGCCCCGGCGCCGACCTGGATCGCCTCGGCAGGGCCGCCCATGTCGTCCAGGGCGCGCGCCGCCTCAAGCCGCAGCGTGGCCGTGCCCAGCGGCGCGGTCAGGACGAGGGATATCGTGGCCGACGTGTTGGAGAAGGTGAGGTCGTACGTGAACGGCGTGGTGGCGTTCCACACCAGCGGTGGCCAGCGGTGTGCCGTGCACGCCTCTGGCTCGGGAGGGTCGCTGGCCGGGGTGTAGTTGGCCGGCGGGGAGAACTCCAGCCCCGACCACTCGATGGTCTCGTTGCCCATCCACGTTGACTGGTCGCCGCGCAGGGTGTAGGATGCGGCCCCGTTGGCCTCGGGTGCTGTTGCTGCGCCCAGGAGGCCGGGGGGTGTGAGGTCCAGCATGCGCATAGGGTCGTACATCTCCGTCCCCTGGCCCACGGCCCGGATCATGCCGCACGGTAGGGAGTCGTGTGTGCAGATAGTGTACAGAGATGCGAAGAGGAGGTTCTTGAAGCCTCTGGAGCCGGTGAGTCCCGGCGGGAGGACCGGGTCTTCTGCTTCTTGTCTGATGTCCAAGGCCCCGGGGTCTGGATGCAAGGCTCTTGGGACGGCTGAGAAGATAGGTATGGGCATCACAGTCGGCCTGCCTAGGGTGAAGGATGGGGTCCATGTCATCGGTCTCGCTGGCTCGGTAGGAGCCTGGGTTGGTGTCGGCGAGGCTGTCACTGGCCCCGGTCCCGGTGGTGGGAGTGTTGGCCCGCCTTGTTGGACCATGAAGAAGATTGGGTTGGCATCAACAGAGGGCGGATTCAGACCGACCCTCAGCGTCGAGTTTTCCGTGTCCTCGAAGAAGTATGTCCCACTTCCGCCGGCACATTGTGCTGCATCGAAGTCGAGCTGGGACGTATCAAGTTGGAATGAGCCCGTTAGGACGCCGGTGTAAGTGATGAAGAGCCCAGGAGGCAGGTTGGGTAGTCCGAGGGACATGTGCCGCGCGTCAAAATGAGGCTGCGATGATGTTGAGTGTGCAGCCGTGAACAAAAGGATGAAAGTGAAGACAGACCACCTCCTGCCTGCCTTCGCGGTCATGGTCTGTGGCATTGCTGAGCTCATCCTGGGCCCAAGTGATCATGACAGCACCGTTTGAGCCGAGAACTCCTCATAAGGATTGATGAAGTTGGTTTCCACCAAATCCAATGGAGAGAAATTCGGTGGAAGAAATCCTGACATCAATCAGGGTGCAGTCTGGCACGACTGTCTCCTGCTAAAGCGGCCATCTAAGGTTGCCAAGCTGGAGGGGTTGGTGCTATGGGCATGCCCGACCCTGGTTAGCAGCCGTGTTATCCCTTTGCACGCCAGGATGCCTCGATTTAAGTTTTTATCAGCCTTATCTCAAAGCGCAATGCCCAATCTTAAATTCGAGCATTGAGGTGCCCACCTGGAGGGATACACTGCCTGCCTAGTCTCTATGTAGAAGGAGAGACCAAAACTCAGTAGCCCTCGTGGTCGCGGACCGAGTGAATGACGAGTGAGTTATTCTCAGCAAACCGTCTGGAAGCTGGAAGGGAACGGGTTGGAAGAAGCCGTCGACTGTGACGATGTGGCGTGGCCGAGTTGAGCCCCCCGTTCCGAGCAAAGCTGAGCTCCTGGGGAGGAAGGAACAACATACGCGTGGTAGTACTAACACCCGCGCTGCCAGAGCGGGACTGAAGCAGCTAAGTGGGCGTGCCCTTGCTATGGCAGCCTCTCCTGGGTCAACCTTGAATCCTTCCACAGATCAAGGTCCCAAGGGCTGGCCTCCTACGGTTCAGTCTTGTTAGCTTTCCAAGCTTACCAGACAGCTCATATCCGCCTTCCTTATCATGACATTTATACGAGGCTGGGCAGTCCTGCTTTGAGCGGCAGTCGTGCCTACCTCGCAGCCTTGCATGCCGTGCTTGCCTTGCATGGGTAGCGTCGTCGTTTCGGGGTGACTTTCCAGAGTGCAATACGTGAGCCTCTAGGGACTGCATGTCCGTCCTGAGATCTCGATCACCCTCGGAGATGATACCAACTCTCTGCAGTCTCAACTTGCGGCAGATTGCTCAAGTCCTCGACCATGGCGACGTTACCGTCAAAGAGCTGGCTGAAGCTCACCTTTCCCGCATTACGCGATTGATGGAATTCATCACTCCCTCCCTTGAGCCGCGAGGCGGGCACCACTACGCGCTGGCCCTATCGAGCCCCCGCCCCCCAATGGCGTCCCCATTTTGATGAAAGACAGCATCGCCACCAATGAAGACCTCGAAGCGACCCCCCGGGTCTCTTGCCCTGCCCGGCTGCAAGCCCGACCGCCAGAATTCCGCTGTGACCAAGCTTAGAGCCGCCGACGTGGTCGTCCTGGGGACGTCGAGCTGCTCCGAGTAGGCAAATTTCCGGTCCCGGCCGAGAGATTGTGGCTGGAGTGCTAGAGGGGGACAGATGCCCGGGGCGTATCACGACAAGTGTGGTGTTGTGTGTTCTGGCACTGGTTGCCGAAGTAGACAAAGATGCAGCGCAAGCATTCTGCTAACCAGCGGTATCAGACATACCTAGGTATGAGCCCTGCCGAGGGAGAAAAAAATGTCACCAGCCTCAAGACAACGGCAGGGTTGGTCTCACGCATCTCGGTAATCCCAGTATCTCAGGAATAGTCAGAACTGTACCAGATGTGGCTACAATATCGAGTGTCATTGCCGGGAGAGACGAAGGTGACGGCAAAACCACGCTCGTTTCGAATCCGTTCCGGAATATCCGAGAGCTTGTGAACAAACGGACGTGTCGGGCTCACCGGTCGGCATCCCCCTAATTCAGCCGATACGATCGGAAACGACGAAATATTTCAGACTTTCTGGGGCATGGTACTTACTCCGGCCACAGGCCGCAGAGGTGGTCGAGTTTGATTACTCGGCCAGGCGACGTCTGACAGCCTGTCACCAGAAGAGAATTTGGATGCTATGGCTGGGGACTTCAACGCTGCTCTTCCGAATTATCTTCGCAAGCCAAAGCATAACCCACACAACCTGGACTGGAGACCACTGAGGATATTTGCAGCTTTGTCAAAGGCACGTAAGGAGAAAGGAATCTTGAGCAAGCTACTTCTCCAGAGGCGAGCTCTCTAAGACCGCCAAGGGCCTGAGGACACATCTGGCAGCCGATGGCGGGATCAAGTGGGCACTCGCCGAGTTCTTCTTGGACGTCATAGTTGTCCCATAAAAAATGCCGGCAAATTACTTCGCAGCCTGTGGTGGTTACCCGCGGATCCCGTCTGGGTATCAGACTGCAGATCTGGGGTTGATATATAACGACACGGGAACCAGTACACGGGCCTGATGGGGGGCCAAATATGCCGTGAGTCGTCAACCTACATGCAAGAATGCTGCTTTGCTGATCTTGACGGCAGTTACAGAATATCGGTTATCGGGGACAGTTTCTCAGTGACCACTCTGCTGCGGATCGTCGCTTTCCTGCAGACGAAACACACAAGGGATGTAGCAGACTCCAAGCGCCTTGAGCAGTTCCTGTGAAAGCCAGTGTACCACTGTGCCATGATGCTAAACGCCGACAAGCACGTTCTGAGGCACTCTTGAACCTCAAGAGTTGATACTACGGCCCGATCATCCGAGCTACAAGTATAGTGGACACGAGTGGGTGGCGGCAGAGGCGGCGTGTTGAGACTGGTCCAGCCGACTGGTGAACGGCGGTGGAGGGCCGCCCCTCGGTGCTTCATATCGTCACATCCGCTTGGATCAATCTCCCTCCCGAGAACCTGAGGAATGCGAGAAAGCTCGGCAGAGCTGAGGTAGGGGTTGCCAAGCCTCTTGAGAGTATTGCGCATGCGCCGACCGAGGACCAAGCTGGTGGTATATGGTGTTCATCTGGTGGATTGAAAAGTTTGGGGAAGTTTGGCAGATCAAACCATGGTCAGACGGAGGTGTCTCATGGTCGACGTTGAAGATGATTAAGCGAGGACGGGGCCAATGGCCTAGAAGCGAAGGGGCCAAGAGGCCTGGGGGTCCAGGGGCACGGTGCACCTGGGGGTCTGCCAGTGGGGGCAGGGCCAAGCTTCAGCACATCATTGAGATCTCTCACTTGGCTCCTCGATCCCGGAGCGGCTCACAAACTCAACTCAACTTCATCCCATCTAGGTCTGATCGCCCGCCCATCATGTTTGTGCACGGGGGCTCTCTGCCTACTATTCGCGCTTACATGCTAGCAGAAGCAGAAGGCTGAATTAGCCGCTGGTCTGGGTTTGCCGCGCTCGTGGTCATGGTCAGACACGCTCATGAAGGCCAAGCTTGATGCACCCAGATTCCTGCGGCTCTTCTCTTTCAATTCTGATGCGCCCGCAAGCGCGCACAGCGTCTTGCCAAGTCGCTTCGTCGCCCCGCGAGCCGAGATTCCATCCCTGCAGGGCAGGCCGTCGTCCCACGGGCGCCTCACACTCGGCCTCCTCCCAGACTCCTGGGCCTGGGAAACGTCTGGCACAGCTGGCCTGCGGGAGGGATGGGTTTCGCGTCTTGTCGGCCCCTTGGACTGCACCAATACTGGGAACAGCCACAGCTCCACCGCCTGCCAAGCTCGGGATGGAACATCCCCAAGCTCTTTCGCTACCGGTGTGTCCACACTTCGCCCTTTCTCGACCCTACTCCGGACGTGGCCCACAGTCGACCTCCCGCCGAGTGGGCCGCAAGCAACCAACGGCTGTCAAGGGTGAGCAGCAGGTGCACCTCCGAGTCGCAGCTCTGCACGGCTCAAGGTAGGTTCTGGGACTTCTGGGACCTACAGTATACCGGACTGGCATCTCTGTGCACTTATTAGCGCGCCCTGCATCGTCACCTCGCCGGCTTTCCGCCATGGCATCTCACCATCCGATGGGCTCTCCCCTTCCCGTCTTGGCGACAGGGCTCTGTTTCCCCCCGGTGCTGTCATGAGACTTCATGGCACACCTCACAACGCGCCCGCCCCAGGTATGATCGCCATTGAAGGGGCTCAAAGCCTTGGGCATACTTCCAACTGACATCTTGGCATGCAAGTGCTCACACGGCCAGGGGAATCATTGTTTCGCTGCAAGCACACCAGACCGTTACTTGTCAAACCACGTCGATGCCTGGATCGGGCATGCGTATATATTTTACATATATCGTCTGGCTGTCGAATTCGCTTTCCGTTTGGCATCATTGCATTTCCAACTCGCCTTCGTTTTCGACTTTCACTTTCCTTCCTATTCAACTATTTACATTCTCTTCTGCGTGTGCTTCAACCGCTAGGCCGGTCGGACTTTTCTGATATTTATTTCTGTTACTTCAAGATTCTCTGGAAGATCTAACTAGGCACGATGTCTCAATTTCTGAAGTATGCTCTACTAGTTGCCTATGTCGAGGCGCGGTTCGGCCAGGAGCAGCTCCCCGTGGCGGCCATCCAAGCCCTGTCAGACTTTGGCAACCCTGGTGATGCTGGTACCCTCTCCGGTCAGGTCCCCGGTGTTCTTCTCGCAGCTGCCAGCCCTTGCGACAAGGTATGCCCCTAAAGATCGTCACATGTACACTTCCAACGAGCATGCGCTGACCGAGTCGAAGCTCTCCCTGGCTGACGAGATCGTTGCTACTCTTGGTAACGATGATGCCGTCCTCGAGGCTGCCGCCGGCCTTGTTGCTGCTGAACAAAACTTCAACCCATTTGCTGTCGACCAGCCCAGCCTGTGTGCCGACGCCACCCTTCCCGCAACAGAGGAGCTGCGTGGGATCATCCCCCTCGTCGACCCTGATGTCGATGGCGCTGACGCGGAGAACGCCGCGTCCGCTCAGTCCCTGGCCCAGCCCCTCGACGCAGAGGGGCTCTCTGTCGCCGACCTGACTGCTGCACAAGGCTTCACCACCTTTACAGCTGTAGACGGCGCTGGAAATGCCAATGCCGGTGCGGGAGCTGGAAACGCTGATGCTGGAAATGCTGATGCTGGAAATGCTGATGCTGGAAATGCCGACGCTGAGGACGATGCGGCTGCTTGTGACGCCGGTCAGGCCGACCAGGCCGACCAAGCCGACCAAGCCGACAAGAACGCCGGCCAAGACCAGAAGCAGGACAACCAGAACAACCAAGGCAACCAGAACCAGGGCAACAACCAGGGCAACAACCAGAATAACCAGAACCAAGACGACCAGGCTCAGAATGGCCAAGACCAGAATGCTGATGCTGGTGCCAATGCTGGAGCCGCGGGTGCCGACTTCGGCCAGTGCACTCCCACCATGGATTTCCAGCTGGGCCGCGAGGGACGTAAAGCGGACGAAGGCACCTTCTTGCCCTCGGACCCGCTCGTGGCCGAGGGACAGCAGGACGCTCTCAAGTAAGCACCACTTCCCCCATGTTCCAGACTGCAACACTTCAGCATCCGCCCGCAGCAGTGCTAACAAATTTGAAGCCCAAACATTATCACGAACAGAATTTGTGACCAGCTGGTGAACGTCTGCGAGGCTAACGACGCTGCTGTGGCTGCGTGTGAGGACGCGCAGGCACTGGTCGAGAGTCTGGGCACCAAGGACGAGACGACTGCTGATGCGTTCAACCAAGCCCTGGGATTCTAAGGAATGAAATTGACGCGGGGCCTGGGCTGTAGAGGTTTCTGCTCTAGTAAAAGGGCATTGGTTTCTTAATGAGGCACCTTTGGGGGTCCTCTTGTATGTGTAATGAACGTGCATGTCGGCAAAGCCAGAATAGTACTAGTAATATCCAGTGTGGGAATATTGTCAGAGCATTTGAAGCATGTTCGGTGTGATCTCAAGCTTTGAGTCGTCACCTTTAGTCCTATGTGTCAACTGGCATTTATCTCAGTCTCAATGATTTAGGCTCGTTATTTATATTTGCCAACCCCCGCCCCCTGCCCCAATCTTTTCGCATGTACCAATTTGGTTCAATTCCTTTCTAGTGGGAGAACCTGAAATCCAACCTTCTGCTCCCCTGCAGTCTCGTATTTTTGATATAATATTCTTGTTCTTCTTTCGTAAGGGCGTTCCAAACTCGGTCCTTTTGCTTGTTCCTCCAAATATAATACGCCTTGGTGAACAGGAACAGAACGATGGCGAGGATGTTAATAATGAATAATTGGCGGTTTCCACGTCGGTAGTAAGGCTTGTCATCGTCGCGGTAGATGAAGTTCGCGATTATGTTGCCCAACTGGACTGACATCTAATTGAAGACGGTCATGTTAGAACCCTGAGTACCGCACAAGATCAGTGCACGAGGAGACCCTCCCGGGGGTCTATTTGGATGAGCGCGAGCAACCAAGAGTCGACTTACATTGTACAGCGCCGCCGAAACGGATCGAGTCCCCACATTATTGCTATTCTGGCTGGTCCATGCCACGAGTATAGCGTGGCAATATGGGTAGCTGAGGAGGATGGAAACGAGCGCGTACGTGCCCCATTTGTTGTCTATCATGCCGGGCCACCATTCTAGGGCGATGACACAAGGCACTTGGGTTTAATTATGTCAGCACGCTCTGGACGTTGTGCACCACGAGAATCACTCCTTTTGCCTTTTCCGATGACGGCAGTGTCTGGAACTTACGTGTCCATACAGCTTGCAGCATTGCTACTAAGGTTTTCTCGTTCAGGTAGTCTGATAATCTTGTGAGGGCAAGCAACGTGATGATATGGAAGACGCTCTTGTAACAGGTCAGTCCGTGTTTCAGCGGCATCAGGGATTTTGTCAGACTCAAAAGGATCATTGACTTACGGATGGAATCGTGAGAAGATTTGTGTTGAACGTGCTGAAGCCAAGAGACTTGACAATCAAGGTCAGGTACTTCGATGGAGGACTCTGAGGAATGAAGACGACCAATCCAAGGATATAGAGTGGCCACAAATCATAGTCCTTCAGTGTTTGCAAGAGGCGCCTAGGTGTTAAAGCCTGTCGATTGTGCATGTCGCCTATGTTCGCAACTCAGTTTTGGCGCCCCAGACTTGCAAAGTGGTAATGCTCGGGATCTCACCTTTGCTTGGGTCGTCCCTCAAGACTCGGTTTACGACAATCGCCACCTCACGGTCACTAAACCAACCATTGGGTCTGAACCAGGTTTTGGTCTGCACAGCCGATGCTGGCATCAGGAAAAAGGAGGCTATCCCCACCGTGAGGGTAATGAGACCCTCGATCAGGAATCTGATATGAAATCAGTCAAAACTCCAGAAGGATTTAATTTAATTTCTACGGGAAGATAACTTACAGCCACCGCCAGCCGGCGTAGCCCAACACCCCGCGCATATGGAGCAAAGCGAAAGCCAATAGGGATGTGAGGATAGTAGTTGCAGACAGCGTGGTCCAGAAATAGCTGTAGACTGATTAGCAACTTTTGGGCCTCATGAAGCAATTCGTAGCCCACCTTAACCTGATTGGCAGTTCCCTAGACGTATAAAAATAGCTCAGCCATAGAACGAGATCGGGGATAAATCCGCCTTCCAGGACGCCCAGAAGAGCTCGAGTGACGAGGAATGATGCGTTGCCTGAAATCCAAAACTGGCAAGAAGCCACGATGCTCCACAAGCAGATCTGCATGGGAATCCATCGGTCTGGTCCGACTTTTTTGGAAACGAGTTGAGACGGCAGCTCAGCAAAAAGGAAAGATACCAGGAATACAGTGTTTCCGTAGTTATAGTCTAGTAGATTGGCTAAGTCAGTGCGCATTCAGTAAAATCGAGATATCGCGGAGAGTAACGATCTCACCATTGGTATTCAGACCAAGGTCATCCAACATATTGTCTGACACCGCCTGGACCAGATTGCCACGGTCTACCTGGAGGCCGAAAAACATAACGCAGGCCCATAAGCACACGCGCCAGTCGAGTTTGCGAATGATGGCTTTCTCCTCTTCCTCGGTCCACGTCAGGGCTGGATCGAAGACATGGCGACATTCATACTGTGACTCGTGATAGACCTGCCTCCAGTGCTCTGCGACAGCCTCGTCCAGAAACGGATTCTTCCCGTAAGTATCATACGAATCCTCCGGGCCTGAGTCCTCGCTGAACTCTTTGATCTCGGCCTTCCTGGATAGCGGATCCCCTATCTCATTGTCGACGACCGTACCCGCCACCGGGTCGCCGGTCTGGATCGGCGGTACGGACATGCTTGTCTGTGCCCGTGGTCCGCTGAATGTGCTATAGTTCATGGACGAATGCGATTCTCGGGCGTATTATTCGCAGCGTGCCTGGGCAGTCAGGGTGATGAAGCTCTCGGGGCCTCTCTCTCAAGACGGAAGAATGCCGAAGGACACCCAAGCTTTACTTATGATGCAAAGCATCGTCAAGGGCTCACATTATCTGCCATTTCCTATAATGCTTGTTCTGTTGGTAGCAGACCCCTAGAATCCCCTTCGCGAATGCCACGCACGAATGGCGTGCTCGTGGCCAGAGCGGGCGTGGACGAGGGGTCACGCATTGTGTGATCGCCCTTTTGGAACTAACTTTCCAAAACGGTGTATACCCCCGCGCATTGGGCCCAGCTGCTCCCATGCCTCGGTCCACTGAGCAACTTGAATTGCGAATTGCGCGATCGTGTGTCTCAATGGACTCAGTACTGATGTCCGGGTTGAACTCGACAGAGTGGGCATAACATTGGTGTTGGTCTCCACATGTGCAAGTACGGGAGCTGAGATACAACGCGCACGCCATCGTCTTGGCCAGTCGGATTGTGGAGCGATAACCGGTGTTGCCTTGAAGGATCAATTTCTCCTTTGCAGTAGTCATTAGAGCATAATACCTTATCTGTGGACGTCTACAAGCGGTAAAAGTGAGAAGCCATACCTTGCAGTCCTCCACGCTCGTCCAGGGCCCGTTGGCCTCGGATGCTTGCCTACTGTTCCCATGCGACAATAACATACAACTATTAATCCCAGCTTTCCAGGCCAAAGATAAGGACATGTTAGGCTGAAATTGCACAGCATTATTGTTCTATGGGTACACCTGTTGGTATGTTACCTACAAAGCTTCACGGTACATATGTAGGTGTTCGTCATGATACTGCTCTCGACATCAATGTGACGTTTTTTTTTTTAGGGGGTTAAGCCATCTCACGGTAAAAGTGGCTAAAAGATGCATTAAATGGCAAGTATATTGTTATAATAGGCACTATCGGCCTAAAACTCCTGCAGAAATAGATGATATCATCAGTACATGTATTGACGGCCACTTTAAGTTATTGTAGGACTAACAGGAATTCCCTACACAGTAGGACAACTTGCTACAGTACTACCTCTTAGAGTACAACCTTCTAGTTATAAGATAACTCCTATTAGCCGATCTCTAGTAACACAACCTACAATATTACAAACTCTTGATATGCCATCAATAGTCATACTGGTAGGCTTGCCTTTAACGTTCAGTGATTAAGGACGCGAGCCATAGCACTGCTCGCCCTCATAGGGGGCGACACAGATTCTAGCCGTTGCCCTAGCCTATATTTAAAGATAATACCATCATAAAATTCAAGCTCAAACTAATTAGCTTGTCAATCAGCTTCCACTGGAACAGGTGCTTTATTAGGATCGGATATTATGCTGTTCCGTCAATACCTAGCATCTGTGGGCACAACGCATTACCGCCACTTATCTTCATCGTAAACCATATGCACTTAGACTTTGTAGGCTTACCTGGTGAGGGTCTTGTTGTGAGGTGTATGTGTGTGTATGTATATATTTAGAGGGATAATATTTTAGCTAGGATTCCTTCTATATAATTCATTTATATAATAACTATCTTTAGATTTCATCTTATTATATAAGTTCTTTATAGTAATTAATTTATAAACTACTTATATTTATAATTTTAATTAATATTTTTATTAAAGTTAAACTTTTTAATTTTATTTATTTATTATAAAGTGAAAACTATAAATACTTATTATATTATAACTATTATTATTATTATTATATTCTTTTTAAATATTAAATCTTAAGTACTTATTACTATATAAAGGTGCTATATATATCCTTAGATATATATAGAATAGAAGTGAAACCACACACTATGTTAATTACGGCCGAACTAAGTTTTGAACGGATATCTTCACCTAGGCCTAGAGTTGTCCGGGGCATTTTCCCTTTCTTGAGTCTAGTATCAAGAAGGTCTTTCTTTGTCTGGTCGGGTCGCGGCAATGTTTGCATCCACTAGAATAAGTTTTCTGAGCCCCTTTTGTCAGTGAAATGATGGAGGTCGATCCATTTGAATTAGCATCGACACAAGAGTGATATAATATATTCTTGCATCTTGGTTCCATCGCCAATAGAGGTGTGCTAGCCCGGATACCAGACCTGAAATCCTGATTGAATATTGGTCTCCTGCTCCCACAGCATGGGCTTGAACTGATTACGGTGCTCCGAGATGACGACGGCGTGGCAGGCTTCGAGGATGCTGGGACGGTTATATATACTCTCCGCACCGTATGAAGGCGCCATGTATGTCCTCGGACGTATACGGAATAGAAGCGAAACCACACATCACTTGGAAGTCGCTCCTAGGTTCGTGGCACCTTCATACAGTAGTAGTGGCTTCGTTTTCAATCCCCATACATATAAAACGTATGTGGCGCCTTCATACAGTGGTAAACGCTGAAAAGTTCAGCCATAGCTAGCTAGTAGTCAAAGGGAGGAAATTTGATTCTAAGAGGGCAATGCACATCTCTGAGTGTTTCGGGTCTGAGCCTCCTTTCTGCACCGCATGCGTTGCCATTTTCAGCCTCCCACACCTGTGCCACACTCCTGTACTGTTCCAAAGATAAAAGGTCCCCACATTTGGGCTGTATCCAGCTTGGAAATGTTACAAATCGATTCTCAGAGATTAAAAAGTACTTCTTGGTGGTTGTATGAGCAACCTTACAAGTTGTGCTAGCAGACTATGAGTCCGTCAGGATAGAGGTAATGGTTGAAAGAGGACTAGCCAGGCAGCAATCCATGTTAACACTGTAGTTGTGACTTCAGGGTTCTGTCATTGTTTTCATTGAAGAGCTTGGTCACACTCGGGTTCTTGTGGCATTGACCCGTAGACGTATGGCGCTAGTCATGTATCTGAGACCAGTTGACAAGAGGTTACAAATAGCTGCAACCGAAGTGTTCCCAGGGTTGTCAACGGGACATCATCTCGCTGATATTAATACTGTGCTGTCGAAGCTTTGGGCCAAAGCTGCCCCCGACCGAGTCTCAAAATCTGCTGTTGGCTCCGACTCTTGGATTGACGAATCAGAAGCCCCCAAGGGCGTGTTGGGCGGGATCATGCGGCTCCAAGGACTGGCGCCTTATAACCAGGCAGACGCCTGCTCAGCTCCTAACTTGAGCTGCCCTAGCCAGTCAGTCCCCTCCTTTTACACTCAGTATCGCTGGAAAAGGCATTCCATCATCCATCAAGCTCTAGCTCATCTTCAGTATCATCATGTCTCTACTTACCGATCTACCTCCCGAGCTCCGGCAGCACATCATCCGCCTGATTCCCGGCAGCATGCCCGACGAAATCCAGCTGAGTCACACGGGATGGCCTGATCCAGTCAAGCAACTGCTGGCCACCTGCAAAGTACTGCGCGCTGATACCATCTATCTCATGAGTACATGGTCATTCGACTGTCTTGTACCACGCAGTGGCTACATCGACCATGTGTCTCGTTTGAGCCGCGCCATCGAGGCTTTGGGCCTGAACAACAGAGTCCGGAAAGTTCGCCTGTTGATCTTCGCCGAGATCACGCTCGCGTATCCCCGTGAACCTGGAAATATTGAATGGCGCCATGTGGGAACACTTCGTAGGATCATGAGGAAGTGGGAAGAGCGATGCTCAAATCTCCCTCGGGGAGATATTCAGACTGTCGTGGTCGATATCACCCCCTTGCCACGGAAAATGCTCGAAAGCCACCCAAACTTGGTTCATGCGAATCTTGTGGACGCGCGGACGGTATCGTTCTTCAATGACCGTTGGGCCCCAGTCTCACACATTATGACTTGTCTCAACAAGCACTTCAACCCAGCGCCGTTCGAGCTGACTCCTGTGGTGTTGGTCTGGGCAAAAGACGAGGACGGTGAGGACAAGGTTGTCTTGGCCGAGGAGCCTCCTTATATGCCTTTGTCAGTCAAAGTCGCAATTGGTGGCCAAATCGGAGAGGGCTCAAGGTCAGATATTGAAAGCCTTAGATATCATGGGGGCATCTCCGTCACGTTGATCAAGAACGGCACTGCTGACTTCATCGGCACATACTGCGACGGGGAAATGCCTGAACATCTCTCATTGCATCGATTGGTACAGAGATGCGGTATACAGCTGGCCACCGACGAGTCAGAAACAGATTACGAGGTGAACGTATCTGGCATCACGTTACTGGAGGACGCCGAGGAAAATGAGGTCGCACCGGCAAAGGATTTCTCAGCGTTGAGCCCCATGCACTTGTCCAAGCACAGCGCCACCGCATTCTACAAAATTGCCTTGGAAAATGAAGAGGCGGCTAGGGGAATGGTTGTCAAGCTTCTCACCTTCGCTGCGGACTGTCGACAATCACTTGACAACTTGCCGCACTTGGACTTCCTGCCAGCCACCCCACTGAGAGATGGACTCGTGCGTGAGCTTTGTCGTGATTTGGGCCTCTTATGCAACAGCATTAAAGGCAAGTATGGGAAGTTTCAACGAGTCTCGTCGCTGGGTCACGAGCTAAACTCACGCCTGAATGGCATCAGAGGCCGTAACTGTGAGCCGCTGATGGAAGCCCTTTCTATCAGCCACACTGTGGATCCTGGTGCAAATAAAGATTAATTCTCTAGGTATAATTCACGAAATCAAACAAATCTCTTGTTCCTGAGTGGCTCAGCGTTTCAATTGGAAATTACTACTGGGAGTAAAGATGGCCGGTATTGGGGGTGGCAGGTGTGTTGTCGCGGGGGGCCCGTATGCCAGAAAAGACAAGCCAAGGACCACAAAGCTTCCTTCTCATGCTAAACACTCATGTGTGATGAAGTTATTAAACCTCATTAAAGCACTGTAGAGAATAAATGCATATATTCTCGGGCCTATACATCGCCATGGCGCGCTTATTCGAAACAACTGCACTGAGGCTTCGTCTCAGTGCGCCAGCGCTGGGTGGTTGTGGTTTCGTTTCTAGTCCCCATACATATGAAATGTATGTGGCGTCTTATACCTGGCTTTGTTTCTATTCCGCATAGTCCGAGGACATACATAGCGGCTTCATGCAGTAGTAAACGCCCAAGACTTAGCGTTTAAACAAATACAATGCCAATATGCGCCAGCTCTCTTGGGGTCTCAAGATGCAGGATATAGGACTCTTTCCACACTCAAGTAGAGCAAGCCACCCGTTGCTGCAAGAGTGTCCTTACTGGCTGTCACACGGAACCTAGTAGAGCCAGCCGCATTTCCGAGGAGCTTTCGGCGCTGGAGCCAATGTGCAGGCGCAGCACAAGGTTAGTCAACATATATATTGAGATAGAGCTATTTCGTCTTTCTTTACCATGTCAAATAGTTCTGCAACGATCATGGGATATGAATAGACCTTGTTCGAGTGTTGGTACACTCCTTGGCCATGCTCACCAAGACGCAATGCTGCATGGGCGAGATCATGGACCGTGTATGGATGTAAAGATGTTACTGGGTGCTTCTAATGCACATTCTAAAACATTCGACTGAACAGGCCAATATTATCGATGGCATTTCAACTTCGCATGAGAGTAGCAGCTTCCCGAGGTCCTGAAGTCTTCTCAAGGATAATACACGCCACACCCTGACCTAACTTCTCATTGCAGAATTCGAAAAACTATGACTGCACATGTACGCTCAAAATAAAACAGAAAGACGCCATTACAGATCTCCGCTGGCTAAATTTGTAACTTTGCCTCTTCCCTTGTTCCAGAGGAAGTGATTCCGTATAGGACCTTTTCATTGTAAATTTTCCCCAAGATGTAAGGAGCCACCTAGAAGGTGATAGCATACGTCACTATATTAAGGACAGCCTAGCCAGTCCGTTACAGATCATGTGGCCGAAAGGCGCCAGGGTGAGACTAGATGCAAGTTGAGTCGCCAATAAACACATTTGAAATATGGCAGAAAAAGTAAGTGGGTTGCCCAAAAGAACACCCCCCCTCCGTGGCATACACAGTTAAGCAACAGAATAAGGGACCACACACATGGCACCCTTCCAGCTACTTTACCGCCACAACCAGCAATTGTGCAAATATTTTCATATAGCTCAAATCGTACGGCTATCCTCAATGTAGTATTATGATACAAATCAAGAATACACGATACAATCACGAAACGATGGCGATACTGATGCGAATGAAGAGGTTTGGTGGTACTCGGAGTCCATGGACATTCACCAGACATGGCTACGGTCTTCCAAAGCCACATCCAAGAATTCAAGAGGCGGGATGACGTGTCAGACAGAAATAAACCTGCGGTGAGTTGCCTAGAGATCGATCAATGGATCAAGGAGGTGAAGACAAAGACCAGGTGAATAATAGAAAGGTTTCTGAAAGCGGCCCCCATCGGTGGTCCGCAGCCCAGCCAATGAGCGCACGGAGCCGGACAACATGGGCGTGGCGGGAGATTTGACTCGCACGCAGCCTTCGAAATGCGGGCTTTTTTTTCTAGACGTCAGTAATATAGCATTCGTTGGCGCGTGCAGCCACCGACCCATCAACCACGGGGATAGTCCCTCGGGGTAGGGATGTTGGGACGAACACATGTGCGGATTGGGAAACACGCTTTTATTGCGAATGAAACGTTGGTGGTTCCGGCGTGCCGCGTCGCCGCGTGCCGCGAGGCTGGTCCGTGTGCATTGGAGCATCTGGGCTTGAGCACTTGGGCATTTGGGCACTTGTGCACTTTGGCTTATTTCATGCTTGGATGGGACAAATAAGCGCCCGGCATGTGAAATGATGGCCATTTCGCCAGGGCAGGCTGGCTGACAAAACCCCCGGAGAGGTTCCCACACATGTGGTGGTGCTATTATGGTTCTGAGCGGGAAGCATGAAGTGGTGCAATTTTGGCGCAATTTCCAGAGGGCGGTTCGGGAAAGAAGGCGCTGGGAGGAGGGTGGGAAGCATTTAGAGTTGATTGCTTGAAAAGTGGCCTCGCAATTGGGCGGGTAAGCGAACGGATAACTCTAGAAGGGAGCCCGGTCTGCCGGGACCCCACAACGGCGGCATGTCACCCTTGAAAGCCATGTGTCAAGTGGCATGGATGGGACTTGGGGGTTTGATGTGGATGTGGATCTGTGGATTAGCATTCGGATTTGGACTTGGACTTGGACGGGTTGCGGGTGTGGGATGGATACCGTACGCAGGAGGGCCCCAGTTAGGAATGTAGGAGCAGGAGTGGATAGATGCGGGTTGGAGTGGGAGCGCGGGAAGGCGGGTGGGCAAGAGACGTGCGTGCATTTGAAATGTGAGGGTGGGTGTGAAGGAGGCCCATCACGAGAATACGGCCCAGGCGTCTGAAGCTGAGGCCAGACGGCTGTGTTGTGGATGTGTGACCACTGACCACCACTGACCACAGGACTAGAGAGCCTGTAGCGTCTCTGTAGGATGGGTTCCGTACGGAGCAAGTACTAAGCAGTTAGTGTATACGAGAACAATTTAGATTAAATTTCCGTCAGCCTGTCACGCGTGCATTCGGTCGGCTGTCAACCGAGGGCCCTGGGGCCCAGGCCACGCCTGCCTGCCTTCCTGCCTGCCTGCCTGATTGCCTGGCTGGACGAGACCTGGACCTGGACCTGGGCCTGGAAGCGGCAGCCCGGCAGGGCACTAGGTCCAATCTCCTGTGGCGTGTTTGCCAGATGTGGTTCTGGTCGAGAGGCTGCCTGTCGCTGGTGAGACCAAGGAGAAGTCTGTTTGCCCCCGGATTAGCATTGAACAGGCAGGGTGAGACACGTGAGAGACGGGAACTTGCCGTGTAGTCAGGATGAAGTCTCGTCTCGGGCTTCCCAGACAGTGGGCTGGGCTGCCGTGGAGTACAGAATATGAAATGAAGTGATTTAACCAAACCAGCGACGAACAAGAGGGGAGCCTGGAGGGCAGAAAGTCAATGGCCCCCTCTCGGGCGAGAGCGAGCCCCCACACTGCTGGTCTGTGGGACAAGGGCAATACCCAATTCAGAGCCACAGCTTTGCCCACAAGGCTTGAGATAACCATGATAGCCCGGGCTCGAGACCAATCAGCCAAGGCGCCTCCTCATGCAAGACATTCCAACAACGCGGAAGGCAAGTGGCTAGCGCGTTGTGCTGCAGCATGAGAGTCGACTGGCTAGGCGCAGATACGTGCATGCTATATATATCTACCTGCTGTATATGGGTGTATTATACATGCCTAAGGTAGACACAGGTATCTCCGTACCTCGCCTGCTCGCTCCTGCACCTGCACCTGCAGCAAGCTACCTCCTGCAAGCGCAACCGCAACCGCAACCACAGATGCAGAAGGAAGGCACCAGGGCACAACGGTAGTCCACCTTAGCGTTTGGGCCCATTCCCTGTCAGGCAGCCTGGCAGCCTGGGAGCCTGGCAAAACGTTACCTTGGGAGTCCCGCTGCACACAAGGTCCGTCCTAGTCCTCCCTAGTTGTACGTACTCCGTACTCCGTACCTCCCTTTCCCCTTCCACTTTACCCTCGTCGCCCAACACCCAACTCACTCAACAAGACTTGGTTCATTCACTCCTCACACTCCACACACACTCCTCCCCACTGTGCCTGACATGAACACATCGACACCAACACCGACACCAACGCCAACAAGCTGACCAGACAAGACCAGCCCAGCCCACCACCACCACCGCCACTACCGTCTGTCTCCCTGTGCAAGGGACTCGGGCCTTCCCACCACCACCACCGCCGTGTCCGGCCGGCCCACCCTCTCGGGACACTCTACCGGTTCCCACTTGTTACTCGTCCAGGCTGCCCAGCCCCGACCGACTTCCGAAGTCCAAAAATCCACGAGGCCGCTGGTAGTCTGTACACGCCGTCGCCTCAGAGTCCGTGCAGCCAAAGAAGCTCACTTGGCTTGCTGCCAGTCGTCATCGTACCTATCCGCCCGCCCTTTACCTTATCCTCTCCCTTAGGACCGGCGCCATCGCGCCCGTTTCTGTCGGCTCACTGTAAGCTCTTCCGTCTTGTTCGGGTTGCGTCCTCCCTGCTTGGCTGCGGCCCTTGAATCGTGGGCCTGCGCCCAATATGCACGCTCATAATCATGCGCCAGGCTCACCCGCTCACACAACCTGTGACTGGCTTGCCGCTAGGGCGGTGCAGTGTCACTCTGGCTGATACGGACCTCCATCTCTGACATAACCCTCTTTCTGCGCAGGAAACCCCCTCGCCCGCGCGCCCGCGCCCGCGCCCGCTTCCCTTCCTCTCACACTCCCGCACAGTCACCGTCCCTTCTCAACCCGCGGTCCCGTCCCGACTCGACTCGACTCGACTCGACACACTCCCAGAGCCATGTCATCGAGGGATCCCAAGCCCCTGCACCCTGACTCCGGAGCCGCACCTTCAATTCACGTCGATCCAAAGGCCCAGAACCATGCCTTCTCCTCTCAACCTCAACTATCTGCCTTTGGAACCGACTCCCGCTCCTTGACCCCCTCGCATTCGCCAGCAGACGCCGCCGCCCATGAATTTAAACTTCGAAACAGCCGCAATGCCATGCTGAACTCTGACATTGGCTCGATCCATTTCCCCTCAGAACCCTACGACCCTTCTGCCTTCTCCGTGCAAAACCTCGCGCCGACGAGTCTACCAGAAAATCCGTCAAAATCCCTCCCTCCCTTTCCAACTGTGAACCTGCCCTCCGGAGACTCGGGCCCACCACCGGTCGACTCGGATTTTCAACATCAGCCCGACCATCCATCCTCCTCCGGTTCCACCAACCCACTTCGAATACATACAGACCTCCACTCAAATTCAGTGCCCAGAACTGACGTCTCCCACGGTGCCTCGTCAACCCACCGCGGCCCGGAGCGGTCGAACCCGCCTACCTTCGTACCCTTGCCTCGCAAGTCGTCTCCGCCCGGCCTCAAACCAGTATCGCGGACTCCCAGCTTCAAGTCTGCCGCCTTCGGCCGCGGCTTTGGCTCTGCCACCAGCTCTAGAGTCTCGAGCCCTGTTATAACCGCTATGGGCGATCTGACACCTCTGCCGTCCCCACTGCTCTCTGGCGACTCACCTGGACCTTGGAAGCGTCTCAACGCCCGACCACCTTCGAGGGAACTCGCCCAGCCGGCGCCTACCACAATGCCCGAATCAGTGCTCGTGTCGAAAAATGGCGAATCAATAGCTGCCGCCATGGCACACCAGGCCCAGCGAAAGGCTCTTTCGGGCGCAGAGAAGATTTCGGGGGAGGACTCGGCTAGTAGCTCGGAGAAAGATGCCCCGGCCAAGGCCAAAATACACACGCGCAACAGGAGCGTGAGCGAATACCACCCGGACTCACTAAACATTCCAAAGCGCATGGTGACCGTCTCCGGATCGCATGTGGCCAAGCCAAACAACACGCCCATGCGACGGGAAGCCAATCTTTCAGAGGTTCGAGGTTTGACGCCAATAGAAAAGCCCCCGAGTCCGCCGCCGAGCGAATGCTCAGTCACAGCTGCAGATATCTCCGCGACGCCTGTCAAGGAAAGTACGCGATACGAGTACTTCGACGCCCAAGGGCGCAAAGACGGCAAGCTCCGGAGATGGAGGGCTGTCAAGTCATTAGGCCAAGGCACGTTCAGTCGAGTTGTACTGGCGACTAGTCAATTGGCCCCAACAGAGGAGGAAGTCGAGCTGGAAAGCAGGGCAGACACCGGCCTTATGACCCCTGAGCCACCCTCAAGTCTTGATCGAAAGTCACTTGTTGCTGTCAAAGTCTGTGAGCACGGCCCGAAAGGAGGGGCCTCCGAAGACCGAGTCGAAATGAGCTTGAAGCGTGAATTGGAGATCATGCAGAGCATACATCACCCGTGCCTTGTGGATCTGAAAGCATTCAGCATCGAGCCAACCCGAGCGATCCTGGTCCTCAGCTATTGTATTGGTGGCGATCTGTTCGACGTAGCAACACGGCACCGATCACTACTTGTACCCTCGCTCCTGCGACGCATCTTCTCCGAGCTTGTCGGTGCGGTCCGTTACCTGCACGAGAGACACATCGTGCACCGTGACATCAAGCTCGAGAATGTGCTTGTCAACCTCACCCCGCAAGAGCTCTCGGACCGGACCGTCGACTGGCAGCACTACCCGTACAGTGTGATTACTCTGACCGACCTCGGCTTGTCACGGAGAGTTGCAGATGACGAAAAGCTCACAACCCGTTGCGGCAGCGAAGACTATGCCGCCCCCGAGGTCATAATGGGCCTACAATACAACGGTCACGCGACTGATGCCTGGTCACTGGGCGTGCTTCTCTACGCCCTGCTCGAGAGCAGATTACCTTTCGACCCACCTCCAGGAATGAGTGACGCGCTTCGCATGCGCAGTCGTACAAGTCACCGGATCGCCCGTGTGGAGTGGCAATGGATCAGGTATGCCGGGCCTGACGGTGACCACGAGGGCGATATTCAGGCGTTTGATAAGGAAGGACTGCTGGGAGCGATGGAGGTCACAGAGGGCCTACTACAACGATCCCGGAGCCGATGGTCGCTCGAGAAAGTGGCCGAGATGCCGTGGGTGAAGGCAGGCATCGCTGTCGAGGGCGGCATCAAGTTCAGGGAAGAGAAGGAGGGCAAGATTGTATGACATTTGTGAGGAGATGAGTCCTCATCTGTCGTATGGTGGAACGGAGGCCATCGAGGCATCGAATCCGACCTCCCCCCCTGGATCGCTTCCGCAAAGGGCCATGGCGTTTGAATACAGATATCCATTGCTCTACGCGGGACGAAGGCTCGACAATTTCTACGACGGACAGCACAAGAGAAGGGTAGGAGTCAGAACAGAGTTTGCAGGAAGAGAGGAGCAGGGACTGGCCAAGCTTACCCACCTTCGTTTCTCCCAAGACGTGTTGCTTCTTAGAACCTTTTTTTGAATTAGAAAGTCAGAATAGGGGGAAAGTTGCCTATCTAAAAAAAGAAAAAAAAAATATCGAGATGCCTCAACGAAGGTCTTCTGCGTGTATCAGATAATTGTTTTGCTTCATGTGGTTTTTCTACAACTTCTGTACACTTTGGATCAGGAAATGGGAAGGGAAAATCGGTGTTCTTGATCGGGCCAAGCGATGGTGTCGGCGTCTTTGATGCTCAGTCAGCTCAATTTCATTCTTTTTGAGGTGTCAATAGTGTCATGGTGTTCGTGGCATGTTAAGATTCAATATCGACGTAGTGAGTGATATGGCTTGTTTGTCGTTTCTGAACCAAGTAACCCTTTTGCTTCGGTACTAGTTCTGGCTACTACTTCTGGCCGCAGTAGAACGTTGGTGTATTAGATGGGTTCGTTCTTAATCTGTATACACCCCAAAGGCGTCCGGTCCTTCACACAGTGGTAAACGCTCAAAGACACAGAGTGTCTTTTCTTTTTAGAACAGAAAATGTCGATCAGTATAGGCTCGAGGTCAGGTACTCATTATTATAGCTGGGGAAAGCTAGAGTGGAAAAGACCCAGACTGATATTCACATATCTTGGAGCCAGGCACCCTGGCCATGCGTCCCTGTCATTTGGTCGAGTTCCCTGATGTTTTGATGTGCACCAGGAGAAAGCCTGGCACCTATTCGTCGCGGTACAACCAAGCATGCTCATCAATCCTCCAACAGATCTCCCCTGAACCTATGACCTCGCAGTTCTCGGATGTGAGAATACCAGACTAGGATCGCCCTGACCCCGGAGCGCCTCGACGTCCACGTTTTCGTCGACCTGGTTCGTGCCGTCTTGTGCTCGTCGCTGCTGCTGCTGCTCCGATGGAACACCCCCGGGCCTACGCCCCTGAAAGCGGAATCTATTCGCCCAATGTCTCAAGAAAGCGTGGTATAAGATGGCGACCATTACGACGGTAACCAGGAGACAGGGGGCAAGGACTGCGATGAGCGTGGCTGTACCGTCCTCCATGTGTTCTGCGTTCTTAACGAGCTGTCAACTAGCTGATTCGAACTGCAATAATGCAACGTGTTCCTGGTTTCCCGAACGGTCTGTGAGCTACCTAGGTAACTTATAATCACAACAAGTTCTTAGAGCAAGTTCTCTGAGTATGGTAGGGCTCCTTGTTTCGTCAAGACTGGTCTTTGGGTTGTCCCAGAATGTGTATCCCTTTTGTGTTGGTCAGAATGGTCGAATAATCTGCAGGTTTATCATCAATGCGTTAGGGAATTGAGTGTAAAATGGCAAAGGGGTCACCCAGCATGGGCATAGATTCTTCCTGGGCTAGCTCTCAGGAGTGACATTGGAGTTTGAAACGGTCCTGTTGTCAAACAAGACATCACTCATGTGCACACAATGCCCAAATCGCAAACAAGGTCCAAAACTCGTTAGAATAACCTCCAGTCAGTGCAAACGTGCGGGAGACGAGGACACATTGCTTGCCTTGGATTTCAAACCATATGTACGACGAGTGTGCAAACGATGCTTTGGTTTGGGACTCATGTTTCAAGTAATCTCATTTAATACTCAGACGGCGTAGGACAGAAAAGTCTAGATACCGTTTGCTGGAAGAATCTTGAAGTCATTGAGACGCCGAAACAATCAAGGATCGCTAGAAATACTCTCAGGATTTAGCCGAGCCTCATACCCTTAAACCTACCTAGGTTTGTAGTCACCGGACCTATCCTGGTTGGCCGTTACGATTTATAATATGTAGGGATTGTGGTGGAAGAGGGGGCCCTTATAGGGGAAGCTAGTAACTCCTAGTGCGGAGATGTTTGGGGATATGTATCGAGTAATTATTATTTAAGAGAGAAACTCAAGTTAAGTGGTTTCGCTTCTATTCCGTATACGTCCGAGGACATAAATGGTGCCTTCATACAGTGGGACTCAAGTTAAAAACAGTTATTTATGTAGGAAAATGGCTACTGGCTATGCGAGGGTTTTGGTACCCACTACGCCAGCAGTGCCCAAGCAGAACCGAAACCCACTGGTACATCCAAAGGCATATGCGGTTCCTTCATACCATGATAAGCGCTGGGATAACCGGGACTAGTTCTTTTTGAAGAAAAAAAAGAAAAAAAGAAAGGATGCAAGGAAGGAAGAAAAAACACTACACCGATCGACAGCAAGAAACTGTCACGAAATGATACTCGCTCCTGTGTTGGCTTTCTTATACTCCGCTATGATGATCATAGGCTCAACCCGCCCCTTAGTGCCTGCCAGAGTGTATATGAGTTTCTCCATGGAAGTGACCACCCATGTTGTGGCCGAGAATGTGTTGAGAGCCGTAGCCTGCGTGGACTGGTTGGAGCCCTGAGCTGGAGTTCGTGATGGTGTAAATGTTTCCCGTCTTTGGTCGCTCCACCAGAGAAGCCGGAAGCTTCTTCACATCCTCCAGGGCCTCTTCCAAATCACATTTCTCCTTCTCGTTAATAAGCTGGAGAGGAGACTCTGCAATTTGTAGCATAGATACCAAGATATCTCTCATAAGCAACTCGACGGTCTTGTCCACACAGCCTGAGATGCTTTCGTGGTAACGCGTCTCGCGGCTTTCGGCATCTCCCGGTATGACCGCTTGGTAAATGTTCTCCATCTGGGTCGCTTTGGTGTTGCACTCGTTCATCAGCTGCAAGACGAGTGGGTAGCTTTGCTTTTCTTCGTTTGTTTCTCCAGAAGCAGGACGTCGGCCGAGACGACGTTGGATGCTTACAAGGATCCTCTCAGTAACAGGCAGATGCTCTAGAACTCCATGGAATCCCACGCTGAGGTGAGAGGCATGTCAATTGCTTTCTCTAACAATGATCTATCAGCATCCACGTCGATGACCCAGGAAACAAGTTCATCTTCCGATCACCGGACCCTACATCCCCATATTCGTCAATTCTTAGTCCAACCATCATCGCCAGTCACCCCCGAAATTGCCGCTATATCAGAAGATTCTGCGCTGAACAATGGCCAGAATCGACACATATCATCCTTAAACCCTTCCAGTCGATCCATGATTCCGGGTTTCAAGGCATCTGCGCAGAAGGAGCCCGGAAAACAGCTTCATGATACAGTCTCTCCCCTCTCCAAGAAGAAATTATACGACGCCGTGTTCGATGCTCTTTGCGACGCACGGGATGTGTTCCAGACACCTCCGACGTTTGGGCTTACAGCAATGATGCCGACGATTGCCATGATCCCACAGGCCGTCGTGCCTCCTATACAACTTCGGAGAAGGCGGCCTCGTTTTCGAAAAGCGTACAGACCATCAGATGACGAGTCTGATATGAGTACAATCAGCGCACCGAGTCATCCTCGAAGATACAGACGACGTCGAGGAACATCGGACCCATTGGCAAAGTCAGAAAGCACCGCCGCGCGGACGCAAGCCATTTGCCTAATGGTCTTCAAAACGGCATACACCATCAAGAGATCAAGACACAAAGTCTGCTGTCATTTACACAAACGCGTGAGCGCGTTATGCCTCCCCATGTTGACGGAGACTCTTTTCTACCATACGCCTCGACACATACGGACGGCCATGCCGGGGTGAATGACAAGCATGGGCGGGAACAGCGTGACAGCGCGCCTGTGTCAGTTCCAGTAGCAGATCAGATGCTCCATGATAACCAAGAGAATCTTCTGTCGAATCATCTGGAAATCAATGGCAATGAGTCCCACGGTGTCGACCATTCGGCTTCAGACTCAGAACAGAGCTTTCAAACCGCATCGACAGGCGGCTCAGGGCGGCTCAGGGCGGGCAAGGATGGTGACGGAGTCATCAAAGCGCCTAGACCAGCCCTTCATGTCTCTCAACCCCTCGCGGATAGCACGATCGATTTGGTCCAGGAGAGGAACTACAGCACAAGGCCTGAAGACAACCAGCCCCACCATGAGCCTCGTCACATCGACACAACTCCTTTCACTCCAGCTGATGAGTTTCCCTCGGCACCAACCCCGCCTTCTCTATCAGAAGAAAGCGATATCTCCCATCCCAGCTCCGCGCAGGATGCTCGGCTCGGACAACCGACAATGGTTATGATACAACCAAGCCCATCTTATTACCTGGTACTGCTCCGTGATGATACAAATCAGCTTGTCGTTGCCAATCAGAGTAATCAAGGTGACACTTCAAGCGCGAGGCATGCTAAATCGCGAGGTCGGCCACAGGCACAGCCTACACGAACACAGATGGCAAAATCCCATATCCGTCAAACAAGGCACCAAGCATACAAGGACGAGATACATTTAGACAGAACGAGCGAAGAGAGTTACTAAGCAGTTATATGAACTCATTCCTTATTTTCCTAGATTGATGAGGATTGAGGATATTAAATGTTTGAATCCCCAAGTGATTTGAAACGGTACAGAGTTTATGCAACAACCAGAGCTGTTCTCAGGATGGCTGTTTCGCCTAGCTAAGCTCCAAGGTTGCTTTGTAGGATCCCTCTGTCCTTTTAATGGCTGCAGCGGCTGCCTAAGTAGTACATATCCTGAGGGAGTTCAGTAGTGGAGGATGCTGCCTACGTATCAGAAGGTGTGCGAAGTCCGTTTATGCTGTGATAAACACTGAAAGACCCACCTAGGTAGCGTTATGATCAATGTTACAAGATGCGGCACCAAATCAACCACTTTGAGCATCTCATCGTTTTGAAGTCACAATTGATACAATATTTCGGGAAAATTAAGATGGTGGTCTGCCATCATGAGAGGGAACATCGACCACAAACCTTGTTCCATCTCTACTTACACTTTAAGCAGGAACCGGCAAAAGGGGCCAGCCATTATAACGCCGGAACCTGTCAACACCAACAACCAGCATGCAAAATAATACCAACACCGAGACAACAATTTCTCAAGGATTGGTCGCCCGGGAGTCGAGGTCAGGGGGGGAAGAGGCACTTGGGGCGCAGCACCTGTTTGTCTAGATAAAATCAAGCAATGCAGTGTATGATTAGGCGAACAGGAAATGAAGCGAGGGTATTTTCAGAAATGGATAGCTCGTAAGATAGCACGTCCTCTATATGATCATATGGAAAAACAACGAAAATGCTGGGAAGATGGGTTGGCCGCAGACCATCCCCCAGGCCCTCTCCTTCTATATGAACTTCACCTCATCATCGAAAATGCCGGCTCTCACCTGCACCAGCGCCGCCAGCTCGAACAGGAAGGACTGCAGGATGATAATGTTGGTGAGAACATGAGAAACAGACACCTTCTTCTCCTCGGGGGGCGTGTGCGTCTCGTTCTTGTCGCCATCTGCCACCAGCGCGCTCTCATTCTGTGCATCCACAGCAGCACTTGGTGCGTCATCCTTGGCTGGTGGCGTCGGGGGTGTCTCGTCCTCGATCTTACCGCCTAGCTTGAGCGGCGAACTGTTCACCTTCGACTTGTCAGGGAGGCCGACCTTCCTCGCAAGAATCTGCTGGTCCACGGCCTGGAAAGCAGCGGCCTGGCTCGCCTTGACAGGATCCTGGTCACTCCCGACTGGGGAGTACGGACGATGGAGCCCGCCTCCGCCTTTGATCGGCGTCTCGAACTTGTAAGAGTCCTTGGGGGGGACAGGTGGGCCTTTGCTGACGGAAGAAGGGGTGCCTATCCCAAACCCAGCTGCCAGGGGCGGCCCGCCTGGTACGGCAAGATGCGGGCCGCGTGGGCTGGTGGAACGGCTGGGTGTTCCAAGGTCATCAAGATCCTTCAATATACGCCGCGCGAAGCCTTCGAAACCACCCACCCGTTGGGGGGAGCCGCTCCTTGAGGTGTTCATACTCGACGGGGCCCAGGCCGGTGTGCCTGAACCTGGTGTGCTGGACGGTGGTTGAACTCGCCTGGGCATGGGAGTAGACGCAGAATCAGCGATCTGGAAAGATTCTCGTCGTTGCTGGAGGAGATCATGGAAGCGAGGAATTGTCTCGCGGTATGTGGCAACCTCTTCGGAGAGCAACTGCAGTATCTTCAGCAGTCGTGGTAGATCGGATGGGGACCATATTGGCCTGCGACGGCACTTGTTGATTTTATCGAGTGCTTCAGGATCCTCATCAAGCAGCTTTTCAAGGTCAGGATCCAGACCCTCGTCGGATTCTTCTTTCGGTGACAAGGGGTGATATGCATCATCCGAGTCGTAAATGTAGCTGTCTGGGTGTCGCACAAGCCAGCCTTCGAGATTCATGAAGCCGCAGATTGCGAGATCAAATAGTGTTTCCGTGATACCTAGATTTGTCTCGACCGGGTTGAGGAAGAACAGCTCCAGGTGATCAAGGAGACTGGTCAACAATGGGTCGTCAGATCGTATAGTGTGTGACCGAACATCCCGAGGAGCACCTGGTAGCGAGTCTGCGACGGTTGGGAACTTGTGGTTGTTGACGTTAATCTTGGGCACAGTGAGCTTCAAAGAACAAGGGTGGCTCTCTAGTCGCGATGTGGTATCCTTCAGAATATTCTCATAAACCTCGTCAAAGTTGTCCTGGCCTCCAATCGTGCCGGCCAGGGACATGAGGAACTCGAGCTCTTGCTGCTGGGCCCCCACAGTGCGGTGTGGCACATCTCCATATAGATTCTCAGTTCGTATCAGCGTCACCACAGCGTACCGGTGGTGCCTCTTGAGGATTGCCGATACGAGTTGAAGTGTGACATGTATGGTCTGGTGACTAGGTGATCGCATACAGGCGAGGATTAGGTCGACGAGGGTGTACAAAAGAGGGTCAAGGGTGTCATCAGCTTTGGCGGCCATCATGCTCGCCAAATCCATCGACTTTCTTTTCCTAGCCTTACTGACGGAATTTGAAGTGTCTTCTGGCGAGGCCGGGTCAATATCCGGCAAACCAAGAAGGTAGTGGAGGATGAGGTTGATCATGTCAGGGTGATCCAGTGCCTCGAGTATCTGGCGCAAATAGGTCAAAACCGCAACTGAGGAGCCTCCGTCGAGGTCAGATGATTCAAGAAGTGACGGGTATCTGTAGAGCATCAGCATGGCATCGTGTGGTCTCTAGTTAGAGTGTGACGTACAGCAACTGTTGTAGAAAGATGATCTGGAAGTGTTCCAACAGTGTCGACTTGACGTCGATAGATTTGCAGTGGTTCAGTACGTCCTGCCAGAATACCAGATGTGATAGGAATGTCTCCAGGTTTGCTTGGAAGCCCGGGTCTGTGGACGGCATGACCTCCTGGGTAGCAACAGGGGGCTGGTAGTCGGATAGTGCGAGAATAGGGGGCAGGTCGTGAGATGGGTAGTCTATGACCAGCTTTCCACTCAGTTGGCTGTAAAGCGCCCCCAGCCCGGTGGCCATGAGAGTTGACAGGTCACTCTCGACGATCCATTGCTCGAGCTCGACCGAGTTGGAGGCAGCCTCGATGATGTAGAGCAGGCCGGTCCTCGCAAAGTCGCCAACCTTGCCCTCATGGTGGATATAATCGACCAGCAGGTAAAACAGGGGAAAGTCCTGTTTCTGAGCCTTTCCTTCGAATTTATCTCGGGTGTCCTGGCTCCTGTCGTCCTGCTGCCTGTCGCGGTGAAGTTTGAACCATGATGACAATATGTTGGGCTCCAAGCGGATCTTGGTGGTGATGTTGAAGGCCAGCTCGACGACTCGGGCCTCGGTGTCGGAGCCCAGGCGGATGCTGTTGGCGCCTGTGATCTTAACAAGCAGGTTCGTCAGACTGGCAGCGAATGCGTCGCTCTCGACAAAGGCCTCCTCCTCGCTCTCGACCAGGGTTGCAAAGAACAGCACTGCCTCCTTGATGATCCATTCGTTGTACGAGGTGGTGGCTATCTTTGCGATTGGGATGTAGAGCTGCTTGTTGGCAGAGAAGGCGATGCAGGGGTGAGGGAGGGGCCGTCGTGTCTCGTCGCTCAGGATGTCGGTGAGGTCCTGCAGGCGGACCTCGACCTCCTCGGCAGCCTCATAGTCGTTGGCGAGGTTTGAGGAGTGACGCCATGTTTGCTGTGTCGGAGGGGGCAGGTCAGAGGTGGGAGTTGGTGTGGGAGACGACGATGTGCAGCTGCACGCACCAGAAGACGGCTATATTCCTTCTCGAAGCGGCGCAGGCGCCTGACGGGGTCCTTTGCGGATTCTCTCCGCGAGCTCTCGGCTAGGGGGGTATTCGCAATCAGTCGCGACCACTGGCGAGCCCGTGTCAGCGCAGGTCCGGTTGAGGGGTTGGTGACAGGCGGTGTTGGTGACCTACGAAGTCCATATCGTCTCCAGAGGCATTCCCGATGCTTCAACGTGCTCGATTTCCGCGGTTATTGGGTGTGTCGACGTCGAGGGTGGTTGTCGAAGGTCGTCTCCAGACGCATGAATCTGTTTGAGAAGGCCAGGGAAGCTTAGACCCCTGGGCCACAGTCATATGCAGCCACGCTCGGGATGGGCCTGCGGGTCGCAACGGCCCCACTAAGGGCAGGGGTCCCTTGACAATTACACAATGGGTGTTGCTGTCAAGCCTTGTGCACGGCAGTCCAAGACCACCTACCTGCAGGTACCTAGGTAATCTGTAGACTACTCCGTACCAGAGTATATCCAACCACTGATCTTAACATCTGCCCACATCCGCCGCACTCATTCTCAGCCGTGAGAATCAAGCAAGATCGCAGCTGCATCCAAAATGGGCTCAGCACCTCCGGCGCACCGAGAGGTAGTAGGTACGGATAGAGTGGACACCCCACTTGCAATCCTCGGCAATTTGCAGCCCGTGACGAGGACGTGCCTGAGGTCAGAGCCCACCCTTACGAAGAGCACTACGAAGAGCACCCGTAGACGGCACAGTGGGCCCTACGGAAGGACCACCATGTCCTTATTGGATCAGCATGTCGAGACAATTTCCCCCTCTTGATCTACACTGTAGACATGTTGTATCAAAAGTCGATGAGATGGCACACGGGAGGACCTACCGTCCATGATATTGACAGCAATTGTCTGCAGTGAAGCCCGTACTACTCTTGTCTACCGCAACATGGGCGGCCATGCTTGGTGCCAAGGTGTCCCTCAGATGAGCGCACGTACCGAGATGAATCGCAGAACAGTCCAAGCCACGAAGCTCGTGCAAGACGACACCAAGTCTGGTGCAACAACGACCAGGTCTGGGTCATATGCTCAGCCTCGCCCTTCAGCATCCTTCCCAATGGGTCAGTCGTAGCCCACTGCAAACCATTCGGTAGACCTTGTCGCCAAGTTGTAATTGCACACAGGCCTCTCGCGGAGGGATCAATTGATGAATCTCCAAGTCAGTGTCGAGGCTTGCCGCCAGATAATATATGGGTGGTCTGCCTTGGATTTGGCTTGAATGTTCGATTAGTATCTGACCCATGGAAAAGTCGAGAGAAGAATTCTGTGGGTCGCCCCCTGAAGCTTTGTTCTTGCATTAATAAGACGGGCAAGCCAGAGCCTACCAGCCGGGCCTAGCCTTTGGCCATATGCAGCCAGAGTAGTGTCGTCGACGGAAAGCTCCCCGCGTACAAGGTTGACTTTGGTCCCCCACAATCCAACATTCGGGCGGCTACGTGCAGAGTAAGCGCGGCAACGAGTGGTCGCCCGACCTGCATACTACATAGAACATATCAGTAAAGGGCGACCTGACTCAACACCACCCTTGCCAAAGCTTGATCAACACCATTCGAGCAAATTCGAGCAGCCAGCAGGTAGCAGCATCCTGCAGGCAGTGCTGGCCGGCTCTGCGCTTGACGTGGCCTGACAGCCTGGCCAGCCTGGCCAGCCTGGGTGAAACCATCGTCAGGGCCCATCGTCAGGGCCCATCGACACCGGCCCAGTGGGACAAGTCCCGAGTCACACTCAATGCAAGACCATCGCCTTCATCTATCTCATGCTCCCCTCGTGGTTCGCCAGCCCGTCCTACCTCGGCCAGAGTGGAGGGAGTGTTCGTGCGCAGGACGCCTATTGGGACAGCGCCAGTGGCCCTCGAGCGAATCATGGCCCGTAGGTGCTCACTTACAAGGGCACTGCAGTGCCTGCCAAGCCTCTTTTGGCTTGAAAGCGGCTAGTTGCACAAGACCAGCAGCAGGCCACGGCCCCTCATGGTCCCCTGGTTTGTCTGCAGTCTGCCCTGGTTTGTCCTGCCCTTCCCGGCATGTTTCTTAATAAAGCTTTGCCGCGACGACGTTCCCAGCCTCCAGACCTCTTGGGCTGTGTGTCATGCCGTCGTCCTAGTGTTTCTGCTTCAGCTGCCTCGAGTTGAGAGTCGTCGTCATTCCCGGCGACAACAAGACCGACAGGCACGTGGGCACGCATCGTACTCCGTACTCCTCGGTGCCATGCCTTGTGTTCTTATCTTGTAACAGCTTGTCCCCCCGCTCGTTCATGATAGAGATGCGGCTCGGGGCTTTTTTGTCTTTTACCAGCCTCATGCTAAGACTCTGAAATTCCAATATTGACCATCATCAATATGGGTTGGTTCTCTCGAAATAAGACCAACAAGTTGCAGCCTCGGTCTGGAGGGCCGCTCCCTGTGCTCCCTGTGCTGGCCGATACGCGACCGAGCCAAGGTCGCCTCCCTCCAGCACAGTATCATTCCCCTCAGACATCGGGCATCACAGACTCAACCCCCTCATGTCCTGAGTTCCAGTCTGCTGGCTACCTGCCGGCTCCTCCTGGCTGGAATGCGGCATCTTCGCCTCCTCCACCGTACCCGTACCAGCAACAGTCACAGCAAGCACCAGTCGTGGTAAATCAGCACTATTACATGCTGGCACCACCACCACCAAATGGTGAATACCGCGCGCACCAAGGCAATCCTGTCCCTTTGTCAAAGCTCATCATCGGATCTGCGGTTAATCTCGCCGACCAGCTCCTGCCTGGGGTCGTCCCCGCCTTGTTAAACGACGGACTGAACCTACGTGGTGGAGAATGCAACCAGTTCGCGGGCCCGGGAGCCGCAGCACTGAATCAGCTTGGTGACAGGTTCAACGATGTAATGACCCAGATCGACCGGGATCGGTACGCCGGAAATGAGAGGGACCTGTTCACGTACCGGCCAGACTCGGACTCGGACTCGTCCACGGGAACCACCACCAGGGGCCAGCTGGGCAGACCAAGGACGAACCAATCCTCCCACAGAGGGCATGCCACCTCGAAGGGTCAGACCGCAGCCGCGGCTGCCAGCGTCCTGTCCGGAAATTATTTTGCAAAGGTGGAACTATATGCCAACTCCCGGCTGCCCATGGATCTTCCACCGCTTAAACTATATATCCCAACATGGCCTCTACTATGCTTGGCTGCCCAATACTCGGACCGAGTCTACGAGAAAGCTCGAGGTGCCGAGAAGGATGTCCAGGTTGGGGCGAGTTACTCGAGTGGTACGCGGGCCATGGTCATAAAATCAGTGCCCATGGACCATATGAACACCATCGTCTTCGCAATCAGAGGGACGGCCACATTCATGGACTGGGCCGTGAACTTAAACACGGCGCCATCCTCACCTGCCGGGTTCTTGGTGAGCACACATGCCCCTTTATTGATAACTTTATGCCCCACTAACACCCATCCCCAAAAAGGACGACGCCGGCAACTACTGCCACACAGGCTTCCTCACCGCTGCCCGCAGGATGATCAGGCCCGTGGCCGCGCGCCTCCGCCAGCTCCTCCAGGAAGATCCCGGGCGGGCGTCCTACAGCCTGCTGATCACGGGGCACTCGGCCGGCGGGGCCGTCGCGGCCCTCCTCTACGCGCACATGCTGTCCGAGTCCCGCGCCGCCCAGTCCGAGCTCAGCTCGCTGACGGGCTGCTTCCGCCGCGTGCACTGCGTGACCTTCGGCGCGCCCCCGGTATCCCTGCTGCCCCTGCAGAGGCCCGAGGGCCGTGCTGACCTGCGCAAGAGCATCTTCCTCAGCTTTGTCAACGAGGGCGACCCCGTCGCCAGGGCGGACAAGGCGTATGTGAAGAGCCTGCTAGAGTTGTTCGCGACGCCTGCGCCTGCATCGTCGGCGTCGGCGTCGGCGTCGGCGTCGGCGCTGCTGGAGTGCCCCAAGCAGAAGGCGTCAAAGACCTCGCTGGCATCAGCCAGGTCCGGCAAGTCGGCGAGGTCTTCAAAGACCAAGGGGGCGGGGGGCAGCAACCCGACTGCCAAGAAGCCGGTGTGGAAGGTGCCGCCGAGCCCGCTCAGCAACGCGGGCAGGATCGTGGTGCTGCGCTCGGGGGACCAGAAGGCGCGGCTCAAGGGGAAGAAGACGGTGGAGGAGCGTCTGAACGAGGGGGTCGTAGCACAGGTGGCGACGGACGAGCAGCTCAGGGGCGTCATCTGGGGCGACCCGGTGGCTCACATGATGAAGTTGTACGCTGGGCGGCTAGAGATATTAGCTGTTGGGGCCGTGACGGCGAAGGGGTACTGATGAGGGGGTGGTTCGGCCATATCACGTCCTGTGGCCGGCGGACCAGGAGGTGTATTTACGCGAAATGATGCTTACGAAGTCTGATGATCACCCATTTTCATGATACCTCTACGAGCAGCCACGGTGTTAGGGTGTCGGTTTCACGGGCAGTTTCTCAATTTCAAGTCACGGAGTTGAAGAACGCACAAAGTTTTTAGGAGATGAGAAATTGAGGCATTCTCGCTATCGAGGCGGACGTGTTTTTTGTCTTGAATTTCAGCCATCTTATGTTCCTTGTTCTTGCACCTCCTGGCCAAGTCTTTGTGGCATGCCACGGCCGCAGATTATGTCATTCGCCATATAGGTGAGACACATATGCTTATCCAAAAAGAATCTATTCTGACGCTCAAATCTGATTTTTGTAGAGATTCATTTGATATGCTATTAGAATCAGGGCCCTCAGATCAGTTGTGACAATTGTGTACGTAGCTTCTGAATGAGATGATCGTACAGGGCCCCATGAGGGAAGGCATCAAATCATCAAAACAAGCTGTCACATTATGCTATCGGGCATGCACTCTTAAATTATTCTGCCAACAAAAGAAATCGTATATAGTGAAACTTTGAGACTCAGGAGTTACCTAGGTACATTGAGTCTCCAACCCCCCCCCCCCCCCAACTCCAACCCCCTGCCCCCAGACAACCTTTGAAAGCATTTGCCTGGCCTCTATCTCGGGTGACTGGCGAAATTGTCCACCCGCACCACCTAGCTATAAACTCACGAACAAAGACGGATCAAAGAGGGTGACGCGGTCCCTATGGCCGGCGGGCTCCGAAATGAATGTTGGAAAAAGACGCAAGGAACGAATAAATCTTCTCACTGCAGTCAGCAACAAGAGCCTTAAAATAGACCCAGTTGTACACAATCCCATAGTTCCACACCTCCGCTGCTCCTGATTTGAGGGCCTTGACACCGGGGATCGAGTCGACACTAGGGAGATGGTTCTCTGGTTGTGGACCGAGCTCCACGGTAACCGCCGGTGCTTTGGGTCTAGCCCCAGGTTCCGCCTTCATTCGTGACTCAGATGTCAGTGGCGTCTGTTTCTCGACTTCGACCTTGACCTTGACCTTACGGATGCGCCCTTCCGCCGCCTGTCTTTCGCGAACCATCTCTAGTTCTTCCTGTAACAGCTCTCTATATTCCTCCTTGAACGCCTCTCTGCAGCGTGTGGCCTGCCACCTGCCCTTGATCCTGTTCTCGCGGTCGTACTCGCAGCGCAGCCTCCCTTTTAGGAGCGTCTCAAACATCTTTGACTTTCGGATATAGTCCTCAGCTTCGTCTAGGTTGTGAGCCGTGAGAGACACTTTGTCCTGCAGTCCAAGACAAGTGTCAATGTAGAGAGCAACCTGGAGGAATTCCAAACGTAGCTGGGCGTGTTTACTCACCGGGTGGTGTTCGAGGCTATATCTCTTCCACACGCCCCTTAGATCCTCTTCGGATATCAAAGGAGAAACACCGAGTTCTTCATAGTAATTTGGCGGCTTTAGAGCTTCATTAACCATTGGCGTGTTCCGTAGCCCGATTTCAGATGAGAGGAGCCGGGCAATGTTGAGCCCCGCGAAGAGCAACGCCCAGATGATTATAAGGCAGCAGCCGGCATCACGGAAGGCTGATCTCCTGCGCCTGGGGCGAGGAGATGCATTGCATGAGTAACATGAATCCCTAGGCATTATCCTTGGCTTTGATGCGTCCTCCTGGGTTGCGGCTCGGTTTCTTGGCTCCCAAATTGTGTGATTGCGGTGTGTTACAGATACGAGGAGGTAAACCTAATGAAGCGGATCGAGTGTAATCACAGAAAGCAAAAGGGTGACGAGATCGCTGACATCAGACCTGGTTGGGGAGGTAACAGGTCTGATGTTTGCCCTTAGTTTCTTCAGAAGAGTCCATCTAATTAATACAGAAATGTCTAAGACACTTGATTAGTCTGTAGAAAATTGACCGCAAGTGGAGAAGGCCTGCTTTGTCTTCAACATGCACCATTGGCATCAATCGAAGCGGCCACAAAGCAGTGTGGACTCACAACAAAGCCCCGGGCTTATCGTCAAGTGAAAACGGCGAAATCGCTCCCGTGCTGCGAAAAGTGGGCGGCGTCTTTTGTTTCAGATCTCGAACCTTACGTCTATTCCACTGTCGCCTGTACCAAGCAAGACACTTGTGGTAGAGCACCTGGGCACTTTGAGCGAAACAACTATGCTGAGGGGGCCAAGGGGAGAATACCTAGGTACAGACTGCAGAGTCAATATCCAGAGACTGAATTGACCACAGCCGTGATCAACCCTTATTTCTGGCGTGCAGGGCCTCCAGAATCGTGCTGGTCAACTAGAGGCCAAGGTTGCCCCAGTTCGACAACTCATTGTGTCCGACCATAGTGCCCAAGATTGACTGCCCCAAGAACATCTAGTACATACCTAGGTACTTCAGTATTCAAGAGTTCAGGTATATCAGGTGTATATGTCAATCAATCCAATTTCATTTTCCAAGTTTTAACCTAGTAAATTGAAGAATATTTGAGCGATTATCTGAATTCCCCCCGACGAAGTTATAGTGATGACTGACCATGCTTCGTGATTTACATGTATTCCATTCTCTCTGCAACGTTATCGGCACTGTGCCTTTTGTTAAAACCCTTGGTCTTGAGCGTTGACCACTTTATGAAGGCGCCACATACCTTTCATACGTATAAGGATTAAAACCGAGACCACCACCCCTACCTGGATTGTAAATTTCACCTACTTGCGCCATAAACTCCTATCGCTGGTTCACAGACACGAGTAAAGCCCAGACGAGGGACAAATTCATAACAGTAGGATATTCTGAATATACAAAGCGAGAAAGCCCAAAGCCAAGCGCCCAGTCTGTCACTGTGGTATGGGATTGTGGCTGGGAAAGCCCGGCGGTAGACTTGAGAGGGAGGGGGCAGGAGGAGCAGGAGATAGTTACCTGTCCCACAAGCGGCCGATAGTGATGTGCCTTTTCGAGAACAGTCTTCCGCAGATTGCCGAGACGGTCCTTACGGGGCGTGCGCGGGAGCTCAGAGATTTGGCAATGGCCAACGGATGTAATGCAGGCAAGATCTGCGTGATGTGCTGGTGACAGACACATCTCATCTATGACCGACCATAGATCGCTTGAAAACACACCACACAGCTCCGAAAGAGAGGCGCAGGGTACCATGGGCGAAGAGGATTGCTAAATTCAGCACGGTTTCGCTCGTTTTCTACGTCGTACCTGCCATGGTGGTGTGTTAATATATGATATTGAATGGGTAGCGCACCTCAGAGTATGCAACCTCCCGCTGCATTGGGGGCCTCGATCCATTCGCTTTCCTTGGTGATCACTGTTGGTTGGCTTTTCAGCCTCAACTCTCTGGGTTCTTTCTTGGCTTCCTTAAACACCTCACAATTTTCACCGAGGAAGACCAGAGAGCTCCCTCCTCTTTCAAACTCATACCTTCCCTTTCATCTCCGTTGACATCTCAAGATACCGAATCCATCCCTCGGGTCATCATGGCAGTAGAAGCAGACGCTGGCCTCGACGGCCACTCCCCCGAATCATCTTCAATCCCAAAATCGACCATGAGTCCTGAGTTCGTCGATGTCCCAAGTCAGCCAGACGTGATGGACAAGGAACACGTTCCCATCGAATACATCCATGGCCCTCGGTTCGGGTTCGTCTTCGCGGCGTGAGTGATATTGAACTGGTTAAATACTCTGCGGTCGGTGTAGCTGACATATTCCTCGATGAGTGTCGCAATCATGATGTTCATCACCAACATGGAGATAACAGTGCTCATTACAGCATTGGTTGCTATTACTAAAGATCTCGGTGGCTTCTGCGGGAAGCTATTTAACGGTATGAATTGTTTATTTCGATGTTCGTTCTTCGAATATAAACTTACTAGTGTATCTAGCTAACTACGATTATATTCAGAAATTTCTTGCTCTTCAGTGTTTGGAAAACTGAGGCCAAGCTTGATGAGCTTGCAGCTGAATGTTTCTCACCACATCCAAACCGAATCCGAGAATATATTACTTCATGGCTTGGCACCTCCCGCCGGTCTCCACGGACCCACCATGAAAAAGTTCCTTAGTTTAGCGGCGAGTTCTAGAATATTGTTGATCGAGTTGTTCCTTGTTGATTTGGAGGCGTAGTGTCTTGGCATGTGGGAGATGTGAAGGATAGATCTAAGGATTGTGGGTGATGTATCCTGAAGTCTTTGACCTACAGCACCAATATTAAAATTCTGACCTTAGCCGACTTCCAGATTCCTCTTGTTAGATTGAAGATATTTCTTCTTAGTAATGTCTTTTATTGCCTAAGTAAGGAGGAAAGGGGGAAAAGACTTAGCCGTTGCCTTCCTCGCCCCACACCCTCCTTAAATCTTTTGGCGGGTCTCTAGTTGCGCGTACGAGGCTCATGCCATGGAGCTCTTATATTTCTACGTGCAGATGGTGGGTATTAGGATTAACTAGGGAAATCTAGAATTAATTACCCACTACTAGAGCTTATTATCTTAGGTTTAGAGATTGAAAGTTATTTACTATATAGGTAATAAATATATAAATAAACTTGTAATAAGATATTTTTATACGTTAAATTTAAATTTATTCTTTTTTAATTATATAATTAAGTTATACTTTATTCTTATTAAGATTTATTTAAGTTTACTATAAATTTAATTTTTATTTATTATTTTATTATTAATTAATATAAAATTATTTATATTTTATATATTATTTTAAATATAAGACTAATTATTATATTTTTATTAAGTATTAAAAGTAATATTATTTTTACTATAAAATATAAACTATTAAATTATAAAAATATAATTAATTAAAATAATAATTAATTATTAATATAATATAATTAATAATAGTTTTATTTATATAAATATACTTTTAATAATAAAGAAACATTAAAATATTTTAAAGATATTTAATATTTAATAAAGTTTTTAATTAAATTAAATATTATTAATATAATTATAAAGCTTTAATTTAAAGATTTAATAAATATAGTTTTAAAATTAATAAAGTAAATATTATTAATAGAATTAACTATATAATTAATAATACTTTTATTAATATAACTCTTTATATAAATTAAAGTTAAAAATTAAATTATTTAAAAGTTTATTAATTAATTATTTATTAATATTAATTTTATAAAACTATTTATAATAAAACGTATATAAGGAGATATTAATATTATTAAACTTTAAATAAAATATTAAAATATAAGCTTTAAAAATTTAATTTTCTTTTTTATTATATTAATACTAATTATTTATAATAAAAATAATAAGAGGTAAATTTAATAATATATTTAATAAATATAAATAGTTAGTTTATTCCTTTTATTTTTATAATAAAATAAAATTAATAGTTATATTTATTTATTACTTACTTTAATTATAGTAAAGATTTAAATAATAATATAATTTTTAATTATAAGAATAAATATTTATATAAAAATAAGTAGTATATAAATATTATATACTTTTATATATTAACGTTTTTATATTATTCACTTACTATATATAATATATATTTATATTTATTAATTATATATATTTTATTAACTTTTAATTTCTAATTCTTTTATTATTACTTTTAATTTAATAGTTTATTACTTCTTTCTTTTATTATTTAAAGCGTTTTACTAAGTTTTTAAACATTTAAATTTCTTTTATTAATAATACCGTTTTTATAATAAAGTTAACTTATAATAATTAATTAATAGTCTTATAAATATTTAGATAAAGAGAGAGTATATAAGTAAAAGAAATTAATAAGTTTATATAAAAAGTATAAAAAGTATTTTATATAGTTAGTATATATAGTTAGAGAAGGTTAAATAAAGCCTTTTAATTAATTATAACTTAAAAGAAAATAATATACTTATATACTACTTATCTCTTTATATAAATATTTATTCTTTTAATTATATACTTTAAATATAAAATATTATTTTTAATTATATTATTATTAAAGTTATAAATTTTAAGGGTGACTTAATTTATATTAAGTATACTAATGCTAAGTAAATAATTCTTATGTTTTATCTCTATTTAAGAATTTTTTTTTGAATGAGGTTTAAAGAAGTATGCGGCTTGAATCGGGTAGTACGGGCAGCATAAACAGTAGACAGTGGGCATGTAAGCATGTACCCTACATAGATTTGTGTGGATTTGTTTTTAATTCGTATACATCCCAAAGTCGTACGGTCCCTTCACGCAATAGTCAACGCTCAAAGACTCAGCGTTTGAAGAAGCGCAATTACAATAACAGTGTAAGAGGACAGGGCACGTGGCCTCAGCCTCGTCCCGCACACAATCATTACCATTTGAGTCAACGCCAGGAAATATTAATCATCCGTGCACAAGCCTCCTCAATTCCTCCTGAGACATGATCAAGCTTGCCTTTCTTCAAGTACAACTCTGCTTCCTGTAGTAGCTTCTCCGGCCCTAACACGTCATCAGGACTATCCTGTGTCAAGGCTTCAGAAAGCTTATAGAGATTCCTAGCATGCTCCAGTGGCAAGCTTTCCTTGTGAAAACGTGTCACCTCCAACGAATCTCGCAAGTGTTTCCTGTGGATCAACTGTTAGCACAGAACATCAACTGCTGGGCCCATAAAAAGAAGGAAGGCGCTTACACAGCCGCTTCAGTTTTTCCTTGGGAAAGGCAGCATAGGCCTATCTTGTACATGCACCCTCCGTTGAACGGATGCAATCTTGTATGGTCTCCCTGAAGCCATATATTCTGGGCATTGATGAGGTGTGCCTCAGCTGACTCCAAGTTACCCTGCAAGGTGTCGATTAAGCCCAAGATAAAACAGGCACTTCGAAGTAGATTAGCTTAGGCCCCTTGTGGGTTGTATCTCAAAGGTATCCACTTACTATGCCAAGGCTCCCCAATTCAATGGCTTGGTCTTCCTGAGCTCCCCGATCGCAAAGTCTACCTTCCCCTGGCTTCAACTGGCTTGCCCTGGTAGACAAGACAGCGACCGATATTTGCCATGATCACTGGGTCTTTATAACTAGGTTTTCCTTGTAGCTCGCAGGCCTTACTCCAATTTGAAAGAGACTTTTCCAACCAAATCAAAGCACTTTCGTGATCATTTCCAGTGCTGTACGCAACGCCAAGATTGTTCTCGAAGCCCGAGATAAGCACGAGCTTTTTTGGTTCCTCGCTGAGACGCAGACTGAGCCCTTGTCGGTTCAGTTCGATTGCTTTTTCAGCATTTCCCAGTGTCTCATGCAATTGAGCAAGATGAGAAAGGGTGGATGCCGTAACATCTGCACAGTGACTGGCATCGTTCAGAGTCTTCGCAGCATTCAGATTGACCTCGCACATTGCCTGGAGCTCTTCAAGGAGGTTGACCTCGAAAAGATATCTTTATTGCAGTCAGCATCTGACATTATCTTACTAAAAGTTGCACGTTACTTGAAAAGGTAAAGACCAACCTCTGACATTGTATTAGCAAGTCACAGAACTCCCATGTAGCCTTGAGAGGAACAGTTGTCTTATAACATTCCTGGAAACAGTCTTTGAGAAAGATGACATGTTGCAGGAGGGCATTGCACTGATCCCATTGATCATACAGTTGATCCTTCTCCTCTTCCTGCCTGGGAAAGATTCGATGTACCAGGTTGATAGTGTCTTGGAAGGCTTGCTGTAACTCTTCGGCGCTAAGAAAGTAGCGAAATTGTGTTTGAACCATTCGGTGAACAGAAAATACGCCTGTGTCGCGGTTTCTTTTGACTAAAGATAGCATGAGTAGGCTTTCGATCGTTTCCCAGAAGCTACACACGTATAGTTAATTGAATGCCAAGGTTGTCTCACTATCGGCGTTGGACTCACCTGAACTCATCTGAGAGGAACTTGATGCTCTCCGGCAGATCCTCTTCTCTCAGTTCAAAGAGGGACTGAGGAATACTATCCGGCATTAGAAATGAAATGACCCCCAAAAATGATCGGCTGTCTTTGTCCAGGGATTTGAAGGAGAATTCCCACAAAGACTGAAGTTCAGATGTATGAGCTCGCCGAGGATTTTTCATATAGAATTTCATGAAGTCAGAGATCGACCAGGACCGTCGCTGTATCAGTCCCGCCATGTGTGTGATGCCAAGGGCATGTCCATCCAGCCGCTTGGAGAGCTCTAAGGCAGACACACCTTCTGCATCAAGGTCCCTGCCAATCTGTCTTTTCAACAAAAAGATCAGGAACCTAGAGCCCATATTGGGATCCCACGCAGTGACTTCAATGCTGTCATTGGTATGATCGAAAGCAAGTGATGGATTCCTTGTGGTCATGATAGCACAACCGTGATTCGATACTGGCCAGAAGCGCTGCAGGATGTCTGCAGAGGACACATTGTCGTATACCGCAAGCCAGGCATCCTCTGTAACTTGAGTTAATTTCCAAGGCTACTGATAGGTGTTGTCAATTCATGTGGCTTAGGAAAGCATACCAGTAGATTGAAACCATTCTTGAACAAGTTCGAGGTTCTCATCGTGGCTGTTTGGGCGTGCTCCAGGTAACTTGAGCTTCATGGCAAAGTCTGTGAAACTCTGGCGCAGGGATGCAGAATTCTCCGCATTCGCCCAGAATATGGCATCGTATTGCTTCTGTTGGACTTTGAGATCGACATAGCTAATTGCAATGGAGCTCTTTCCCACACCCCCTAGTCCCCACAGAGCAACAGCCTTGAACGGCGTGCGACGCTCCTGGCGCTCGAATATTTGGTCGAGTCTTTCGAAGACATCCACACGATCGAAAAAACGGCCAGGCAGTATCCTTGTCTGCGACAGTAAGAGGGTTGGTCGGGATGGCGAAGGCGAGTGGTTCGATACAGATTGGATTGTCCCGCGAGGCGGGCTGTACTGAGCCAATTTCTCAACCCAAGAGATTGCGTCGTTGAGGTCGCGGTTAGCTTTGAGGAAACGCTGCTCCAAAACCACCAAAGGGTCTTCACAGTGCCCATTCAAGCTTTCTGCGTGAATTAGAAACGATGTCATATGCCTTGAGGGGTCGGACATGGCAAGACGAAAGTACATGAGCGACATACCGAACGTGGCATCAGAGAACTCCCCTCGGAGACATTTGATGGCATCAATGAAGAATTCAAGCAGCTGTATATGCATCTCAAAACAGGCTTCTTTCATCTGACCAGTCATGACGGGCGTGGTGGCACAACAGACTTGATTGAAGGAATCGGCCTTGTACCCAATGGATTTCAGGACCCGCTGGACAGTTCGTGTTGCTCCTGGGCTTTCACATGAAACCTAGTATCTTGGCTTTCAGCAAACCGAGTGTTGACTGAACCCCGCTCTCGGAGCTTGTCTTGGGCAAACCAGAACCTTGGAAGAGGGCTAACCTGAATCAAAATCCCCAGAACTCCCCAAAAGAAGGCCGCATCCAACTCCGCGCCAAGTTGTGTTTCAAAAACACCTACGAAGGTTTTCAGATGGCTCAGAGCGGGCAGGACCCGTGCAATTTCGCGATTAGCGGGATCCTGGAGCAGAGATTGCAGTGCACCCCATGAATTGAGACGTGCCAATTCTTTAAGGTCGTTTGGCTCCAATGAGCTCCGGCTATTCTGACAGGTCGCCTGCCAATGGCTCGCAAAAAATTGTCCGCTACAAGTCTAGTTGTCAGCTGAATCTTGATAATCAAGCAAACCTCTAGCGCTTGACTAACAATGGCGGGGTACTTACAGGTCTTCTGGATCCATGGGGACTCGCGCGGCCCAAAGAGACCAAAAGTCAAGAAAGATGCAGAAAAAAAGGGTTTTGCTTTGTGCTACTGCTAGGTCAGGCAAAAGCGCGAGCGGGCGGGGTCAACTTCTTACTGATGAGGACGAAGAAATGACAGGTTTTCCAAGCTGTCAAACGGCAGGGGGTCTGCCTCTTCTGGGGCGTCTATATACCACCAGATGGTGGTCAGCGGTGAGAGTCAACCACACCAATTCGATTGGCTCGTCAGGGTGGCCAACATGCCACCCTCCTGCATGTTTGCCGGACAGTGAGACAATCGGAACTGCACCGTTTCCCCCTTCGAAGGTTCACCGGCATGACCGGGCTGCAGCGGCTTAATGCACTGGTGGTCGACGGCCTGCATCCCTCCGCAGCACCCGTAGTCTCGCAAAATCCTGTGTCACCTGACTGAGGTGTCCGATAGGAGAGGTGGGGGATACATGTACGTACAGTAGCCCAAATAGGAGGCGCTTCGTGTAACCCATAGTGAGGGGGCCCCTTATAAAAAGACCAGCTTTCAGGACCGGGTGTTCTCAGGTCTCTTTCTGTCGACAACGATCCACATCCACATAACGTCAGCCCTAGGAATGAGCAATGGCCAGCACCCGCATTCAAGAGCGGGGCGCTCCTGTCCATCAACTGGCCATTAAAGACGTCTTCAATCACCTTTCAGAACGCGAACAGCTCTATGCGCATCACCTTTCCCAGGCTGCCTGGAATGGCGCTAGGATCATTATGCGCCAAGTCTCCCCGGAAGCAATTCGGATTTTCGACCTGATCCTTGAACTTCACAGCTCGTGTGATGGCCAGTGGTCTACTCTTCTAAGCGAAGGGGGTGTGACAGAGGCGGAGATTTCAGCTTTCCTCGACTATGCTGCACTCTTCCTAACCAACCTTGGAAATTTCTTCGTCAGTCAAGTGAAATTGCTTCTCATTTGCCCGGTCTCCCTCTGACGTTCGCAGGCCGATGGGGGCACAAAGATTATCCCTGCACTTTCGGCAGGCGCCTTGTACAAATTAGCCAAGAGTTCGCCCAAAGCCACAGCCATCCTCGACGAGGTAGCCGTGGCCATGGTTTCCGAGCTTCCTTCCAGCATTGGGTACCCCGGGGACAGTACGCAGGCCAATTATTATCCAGGGAATGATCGTTTGACGCGCGACGAGATAGCCCTAGTCTCCACGTTGCTCCAGGCGCACAACATCGAGCCTGAGAATACCCGGGTGACAAAGACCAGTGCCAATGGCGAACAGGTTCTACAGGTGTTGCAAGCCTCTGTGACGAAACAATGTGTTGGAGAATGGAAGAATGTGGATGAACTCGAAACAACTTTACGTGTTGAAGGCGGCGATCATGCTGAGGAGCTGTCGAGGATCTGCACATCACTTCTCGCGGCCAAGGAGTACTGTGAGAATCAGCAGCAGGCCGTGATCATTGACCGCTACGTCGACAGCTTCCGTTCTGGCAGTCTTGTGGCCTATCGTGAGTCGCAAAAGTTGTGGGTCACAGACAAGTCACCTCGCCTCGAGACTATCTTCGGTTTCGTGGAGCCCTATAGAGACCCGCATGGCGTACGGGCAGAGTGGGAATCAATCGTGTGCATCTCAGATCCAATCGAAAGTTCCAGTATGAAGTGTCTCGTGGACAAGTCGGACACATTCATCCGGCTTCTGCCCTGGGCGATTCCAGAGATCAATAATGGAAGAGGGCCTTTTGAGAAAGACCTATTTGAAGCACCAGACTTCGCAAGTGTACATGGTACGTGCCTCAGATACAAATTGGTCGACATTCGGCTGCTGACTCTCTTGTCTATTAGCCCTTGCTTCGTGCTCGAGCATTGTCTGGAGTGGTCATAATCTTCCCAACTACAACGACATCAGAGAAACATACGGCTGCAAGAACATGGTTATCGCTAATCGAATTAGTGCTGAGAATGATTCGGCCAGTCCGTGTCCTTACATTGACTCGTCGGACAAAGAGCGTTTCAAGGCGTGCGTCTATAGCATCAAGACCATCACAACTGCGGTGCACGAGCTACTCGGGCACGGTACCGGCAAGCTTCTCAGCGAAACAAGCCCCGGTCAATTCAATTTCAACAAGGAAGACCCGCCTATTAACCCCTTGACTCGAGAGAAAGTCAGCACTTGGTACCGTCACGGCCAGACTTGGACTGGGGTTTTCGGTGAGATTGCCACGTCCGTCGAAGAATGTCGAGCAGAGGTGATGTCCCTCTACCTGATGGACAACAAAGAGCTTCTGTCCATTTTTGGACACGATGACACGGCTCCCATCAGCGCTGACGAGCGTAAGTACAACTTGCTATCACTCTAGAGCTTCGAAGTCTTCGGATCACTCACAATGACAGTTCTGTACAATACGTATCTCTACCTCTCAGTCGAGGGGTTGCAGGCTCTCGAGTACTACAACATTGAGGAACACGCCTGGGGCGAGCCTCATAGAGAGGTAGGCTTCACCGAAAAGATTCCCTGCTAGCTTTCTAACAGATATCGTGAATAGGGCCAATTCGCCATCTTCAACCATCTTCTTGTCGACGGCGGTGGCGTGATTACTGTCGAGCATGACAAAGAAATCGGAAAATTGAGGGTCCGAGTTGACCGCAGTAAACTACTAACTCATGGCAAGCCGGCATTGGGAAGTCTACTATGCCGTATTCAGATCTGGCGTTGCATCGCAGACTTTGAATCCTGCAGTGAGTTCTGGAAGACTGTGTCAGCTGTGTCGACCGAGTGTGAGGCCTGGAGGAAGGTGGTATTATCGAACCCGGAGCCACGCTGGAAGTTCGTACAAGCGAACACCTTCTTAGAAAACGGCCAAGTGAACTTGAGAACATACGATGAGACTAATGAGGGACTCATCCAGTCATGGGTTGAGCGGGGTGTGTGAAGATTATGAGACTCAGGGATCTTGCTCGACGTCATGTACACGCACAATTGATACATTGGTCGCTTTTACAATTGCGGTCAGAATCAGATTTAAAATGGGCGTTGGGTTGTCAACCCTCTCGTGGTATCATCGGAATCAAGTCCATTGGGTCGTGAGTGGGGACCGGGTTTTATTAACAAGTCGGCAGGCACTATGTTTTCGGCGTGAATATTGGAATTACTTAAGTGCTGCCATGCCACCTTTCTAAACCCTTGTACTTTCCCATCATGTGCTATGCTACGTAAAAGCCATATCCTACGGTAGATAGGACGTTCTATACAGACTACCTTGACTTACTTCACTGTTATTGTCAGGTAGATCTGCTGCTGGCGCAAGACTGGTAACAGACTGAAGTTTGATGATTCCCATTGCAACGGAACTTCCGCATTATGGTCCATCCCCATTTGATGATGCCGCTGCAAGGTAGAGTTGCGCCACCCCGACAAGTAGTTGCAGGATACTTAAAACGATTGAAATGCCTCCGACCCACAGGACTGCCCAAAAGGTGTACCACTGAAGAGGATTTCGGCGATCCCGCCAGAGGTCTCTCACCTTGCTGGGTTGTTGCCGTGAATTATAGCGTTGCAGGGAAATGAGTCGAGATCCAAAGAATGTAAAATCCTCTGTGGCGGAATACGTGTCTGATTCTTGCAGTTTTCCGTCTGCACTCATGGTTGAATACGGAAATATGTCTCGCGGGAATTTTGACTCGCGCTGTAATGGACGGAGAGGCGACGTGCAGAGTGTGAAGAGGAGAGGATCCACGTCTGCTTCAGACCTGGACCCACGCAACTGTTTCTCGGCGAGTTTGCGAGAATGTTGTGACTGAGCGAACAATAGACGGAAGGACAACAAAATTTCCCGATGAACAGCTGAAGTAGTGTACAGTGGGTCGTCGGCGCCATGCTCAAGCTGTGGTAGGAGTATCTCTGGAGCGATGCTGTGATGTTCAACATTAGCTCAGATGTCGGCGGATGTGGGCGGATCTCTGCCAATATATGTAGTTTAGACTCACCTCATGATTACTGCAGGGTCCTTTCGGCTTATAACGCTGGCAAGGCAGAAGGTAGGAAATCGGAATAAGGACAAGGTCCGCGTATGGGGGTCAAACTTGAGGTGGTTGGTGATCACATCTACCCACTCCAACCGAACACGGCCAATTCTCTGCAGTGAATAACAGTTGACGATAGACTCATGTATAACATCTGATGGGTTTGGAGGTGAGGTGACCGCCGTATTTTGCTGCACAATTTCGGTATTTGGCTTGAAGGTCTTGAAAATCTTGATAATTGGCCGTTTCAATGCATGCTTTGATAGCGTTTGCCGAGAGCCCTCTACCCAGGGACTTGGTATACTTGAGCTCGTCGGTAAAGTGTCTGGAGTTGCAACTGGTTTCAAGCTCATCGATGTCAAGCAAAGCACGGCAAAGATGGCTCGGTGGACTTGATCAAACTCTTCGGGGGATATTTCCACTGAACGAGCGTAAATCACCGAGGACACTTTGTCCAAGACGTCTCCAATACTGACTTTGTCTTCTTCAAAATCCTCAAGGGCGTTGATGACGGCGAAACACCATTTCCATGCAATGGCTTGATCATCACAATTTGAATCGCCTAGGAGCCGCCTCATGACATCCACTTGGCGGTGTATAGAAGAAGATAATTCCTTCTCAATATGAGCTAGAAATAGCCTAGTTCCAGGCCATTTTTCAATGAACGCGTCGTTTAGATCAAAAAGGAGGTTAATTGCGGCCAAGTACAAAGACGAAGTCGGCGCCTGAGCGGCGCTGTTTGACACATTGCCGTCGTGCGCTGCAGTGGGTACTGGAGAGACCAGAGCGAAAGATTCCTGAGATGTGAATTCATTCAGTTGCTGAAGTGTTCATTGAACATTGAAAGTGCAGCAACCTCCAGTGAGTGGGTGAATGCATGTCTTCTCACCTGCTGTAGGTTCCCCACTCCGAACATGGACAGCTTCAATTTCTTCCAATGTCTCATTATACGTCGAGATTCAACCGGTTCAGAATTCCGAGTCTGACCTTCAATATCCCTTTCATTGTTGCTCATGAATATTGTCACAGGTCTACATACCTACATACATCAGTATGTAGGCAGCAGTTCCGGGAAAATGAGGATGACACAATTTGACCATGCGGGGTGACCCAGGCGAGACGGGTGAGATGTGTTGATATATGTATGTGTTTTCTACCAAGAGTAATTGCTGACTACGCGGAGCTGTTGCCACGAAATTCGGTCTTTCATCCCCGCGGGGTGCAGGGAAGGAGGGCACCTGGGCTTCCCCCAACGCAACGGTGGCGTCCCAAGGACACCCTGAAATTCGAGCTCAGCCAGGATTCCTTCTGTTCAGCTGCCTGAATCCAGAATGGACTTAGCCTCGTAGTCCAGGTTTGGATTGGATGTCCCATCAGCCAGTCCGGTGTGGATAATGAGTACCGTGTGCATAAGGCTTCATCGCGGTAATCGCCGATGACTCACTCGTGTGCGATACATGCGTGTCCACATTCGTGTCAAATAGCCTGCTCGGATGCGCAGCTGAGATATGAAAGTGTGTTTCTTGAACAAGCTACTACACCTGTGGAAATCTACGCACGTACGAGTTGTGAATAACATATTAGTGTGCCGTGATGGCTGACACGGTTTCATCAGAGACGGATCACTTGAAAGTTTAACAGTGTAAACCACTCATTCGCATTCTGCATTCATCGACTTCAACCCTAGGTTACATGAATGAGGCCATTTGCCAAGCCCACACTAAGACAGAAAATAAAGCGAGAGACACGTCGAAGTAGACCAGAGGGAAGGCATTTCAACACTATCAAGCTACATACATTTGTGAACACCAGGTCAGAATGGGGAGACAGGCGGGAATTTGATAGAAGTCACCTGTCATCTATGTCCTTATCTTGGGCTTGCTGAAATCAATTTCGTGTCTTGGGTGGAGCGCAACTGTACCATGTTTGGTCGATTGGGGTGGGTCGTTGCCATTTCCGTTAAGCAGAAGCCCGCCTGGTCCGATGATCTCACGTGGGTTTAAAAGCGAGAACCATTCTTTCCATGGCTGGGACAATGCCCTTTGGTGAGTTTCGGATGGCATACTGTCGAGCTCTCGAATTCGAAAGAATTACCGCGGAATCAAATGAGCAAGTAACGGTTTTGGCGGTTTGGAGGGGGATGCAACTTGAGGATGATCAGAGAAGAAGAAATCTAACATTTACCAGATCAAGTTGCATTTGATTTATAGCACCCCTTCCTTTACCTGATTCTTCGGCTTCTCGCCATAACGCCGCCTGATGCGTGTGACAAACTGAGCCGCCTTCATCCTCAGAGCGGGGAACACCTCACGTTCCGAGGCATTCTGACCTTCCCAGTGCGAGCCTCAAGAGGAAACTGTCCAAACCCGCATCATCATCAAGCCACGCTAAGCGAGGCCGGTGTGATAAGCTCGATAGCAGATGCAGGCTGAAAGCAAACGAGGCCAATCCCTGGAATTTTACTTATCGTGAGGCTTAAAATCAGTGGTCAGAAGTCAGCAGAATTAATAAGGCCTTGTCAGGTGTCTTTGCAGTGTGGGTAGCACAATAGGTAGCACGACTTCTTTTTGGCGAGTCCGAGCGGTTGCAAACGGCTTTATTTTGACAAATATGACAGCTCTGATCCACGGCACGGAGGTACTTTAGTGGCTGCTTGCGTAGCAGTAAAATGGCGTTAGTCAGTACCCAGAGCCTTATTGGCAAGTTTTCTCATGCCGTGTTTTGGGACGAATCCTGATGTCCTGACACTTGAGTCCAGATCTTTACAAAGTCTTTCGACGGAGACCAGCTATGCTGAATTTCAATTGACCGAGTCTGCCTACCTCAAGCCTTGAAGACTTTCCACGATTTTCCGTCGAATTATATACTTTTCCCGTGTAGTTGTCATAAGGATGGTGCTCGACACAACAATTGGCTACCTGGTGCGAGACGATGTTTTCAAGACCGAGAAGGCGTTCGACACGGATTTCCCCGTGTCACACGTGGCCGGAGCACGCCGAACAAACTTACAGACAGAAGCGAGAAAAGTAACGGTGCAAGAGATCACGGATTCATCTCAGTGGGACTTGGATGTCCACGGATTCTGTGTGCTTCGCGCCGAGACCAAGCTTGATCCCAAGGAAGCTTGGGAACGCAAGAGGGAGGTTCAGAAGTCGTATTGGGACCAGATCGAACGCTTGCTCGAGAAGAGGTTTCCGCAGTACTCGCGAATCGAGTCTTATGACCTGACCGTAAGACACCATTGAGACCACTTCGAGTCGGTATTACAATCTAACTATTCCATTACACCCAGCTACGAAGCAGAGACGAAGATTTTCCCAAAAATGCTCGGGTCTACGTTGACTCCCACGAGCAGCCGGCGACCATGCCCCACACTGATGTGTCTTCTGCTGGAGCGTTGACCGAGTTGATGCACGTCTTTCCCGGACAGAGGGAATACGTGGAGGGCAAAGACTACGATATTATCAAGTGCGTCTTGTTTTCTATTTGAAATTCTAGTCTCCCAAATTGAAATTGATGGCTAAAATGTTGGAACTCTTTGCAGTGTCTGGAGGCCATTGATTGGCCCAAACGATGACTGGCCATTGGCCATCTGTGACTGGACAACCATCGATTCACAGAACGATATTCTTGTCAACGATGGAATCAGGCGAGACAGAGTGGATGAGAACTGTTTGCTTCACTATAATGAAGCACACAGATGGTACTATATTAAGGATCAAACAACGGAGGACCTCTTGGTCTTCCGAAACGTCGATTCATCTGGGTGTCGGGCACGTAAGTAATTCTCTATCATTCTCCCAACTAAAAGTAGCTTGAGTCCTCATGCTGACGCTATTTTAAATTCAAGGAGGATTCCATTGCTCTGTTTTCAATCCTTCTGCAAAAGGCCCTCCTCGCCAAAGCATCGAAGCGAGACTTGTGGCTTTCAGAGACTTGGAGTAATGGCCGGGGATGTATATGGAAGGCCTTGTATCGTCAGTTCTCAATTCGGTATCTATTTTCTTATCCAATCATGCATTGCCACAGTGAAGCACAATACGGATGCGGGATAGCGTAGACGCCTTACCGCACCCTTCTTGGGCGTGGATTACTCACGACGGCCATCTTGTGACTGACTGGGGAAAGGGTGGCGCTGCAACTAGCCATTCAGTTCCTTCAAAGATGCCCCGAGGCAATACAGTGTCTATGCACTGTGATTTCGGTTATTTTGTGCGGCTGAATTTGAGACTTTTTCGGACCCCAAAGGCAGATCATCTGTTACACGGCATTCCAAGTGGTGGTCAGCCAGGCCTGCCAGGCTGCCAGGCAGCTGCCAGGCCGATAGAGTGCCTTGAGTAGGGGCCGATCATTGCCACAAAAAGAAACCGGTGAGCTGCCCACTACTTTTATCTAGCTTTTGCCTGCTACATGGCTGTCTGCAACTCTTGTCTCCGTGGGTTGGAAATTGCCAGCCTGCTTAGGCTCCCTTCCTAGCCGACCTGCTGGATGAATCTGTGTATATCCCCCCTCTGCACACTCTCTTGTCTGTTAACTTGTACAGAACTTCCTAAAGCTCGTGCAAATACTCCAATATGCCTGCCATTATTCCTGGGTTTCCCCGCAGTCTTGATCGGGCAGACTATTGTCTGTCCAACCAGTCTGCAGATGTGGAATTGCCCACAGCGCCTCAAGCAGTACCGAAGACAATCAACGTGGCGTCCAAGAATATTATGAACCAGAATGTTCCTTCCAAGCACGCGCAAGACGGTGTGGCGGCTGGTGTTACTAGGAAAGATAAGGAAGGACCACGACGCGGTTCCACTGCCTCGTGAGCCATGTTTTATGGGCAAGCAACCTCTTTCTTCTGCCCGTCGGCGTTGAGTTGCGGGGCTTACTAACTGATTTCAAAGTACGACCGGCAGAAAGTTATGAATTGGTGTGTTTCATGATGATTTACGCCAAACATATCCAGACCGTAAGACTTGTGGTCTGGACTGAGTCTACAAGGTCAGCAATACAAGATCCTGTGCAGATACTGTTCGCATGTGGAGTTCATATCGTACTCTAGGACCGACATTGGTCAACTTGAACAATTGAATTCATGGAAAAGTCTTTGGTATGAACTAAGCAACCTCTTCACGGCGAATTTGTGGGAGCAGTCTGGATTCGCCGTATGCTCAAAGCACACGTTGGTGCCCTGGGGTGTAACTGTTAGCAGGGTCCCTCTTCCACATGCCCAAATAAAAACTCTTCCATGCAGCGTGTCTCTGGATACCAAGCCGCTGTGGGCTCCCTGTCTGCCATTTCGGGCCACTTCCCGCGGTCAAGTGGGCTGTTCGGTCTGTTGAAGGGACATGAGGAGTGGTTGCACGATTATTATTCCCAGAGCTCCCCAAGAAAGAAATTACTTTCAAATTGGATCGGGCTCCTGGTCCCAGATGAAAGATCCCCGGATGTGACTCTGATAGAATGACTCCAAACCTCGGAATGTCACACCGTGGGGCACCCACCTCCGGGCACATGCACCATCGGGCAGCACAAATTTCCTAATACCCACACAAACTCTCCAACTTCACTTACACATTACGAAATCCAATCACTTTACACACTATCGAGACCTCTATTATAAATAAGTTAAATATACTTAAATGTTTTAAGAAAGCTTAAACATTTAAATAAATATACTAGTTTAAAAAACATTAATTAAATAAAATAATTATTTTACCTTTATTAAAGTTATTAATATATAACCTATCTTATAACTAATTTAAATATTCTTTTAAGTAGCTACTATTTTAATAACTTTAATATAAATAAAAAAAGCTCTTTTAATTAAAAACTTCTTTTCTATAATAGAAAGTAAAAGAAATTATAATATTACTTTAAGAGCTTAAGACTAGTATAAAGCACCTTTATAAGTAGGTTTAAGGGTTCTAAATTAGAATTAGGTAAAGGCTGTATATGTAAATAATTTAAGTCTATGTGGATGTTAGTAAATCTGCACTGTGTGACGGTACGGGCTCATATACTGATGGAATAACCAATGGTTGAATTGGTTATTATGGTCTTTTGGCCGAGCCGTCTGATTCGTCAGCAGTAATTAGATGACAACCGTCTCACACTGCCCGAAGGTGGGTATGCCCAAAGGTCCATAAGGCAAAGTATTGACTGGCTGAGAGAATGATGAGAACGCCTCAAGAGCTGTCAGTACACACCCCTGTCAGCGAACGCCGTCATAGTCGGCCACGATTTCGTTTATAAGAGAAGTCTTCAAGTTGTTTACCTGTTTGGTGAGCATATCATACCCGGAAATCAGAGGACGTCAGCTCGTTGATGTAACAGCCACGCGGACCGTTCGACCTTGCCATTTCAAATCCTGTCCTCGTCATGTCCACTGTGGCCGGGTCCAATTGCCTAAGTAGACGGAGCATCTGGAATTAAGGCGATCCATTGCATGGTCACAGCTCTGTGGCAAAGACTTAAGGTTTCAAGTTGAATGACCGAGGTTGTGTGAACCCAATTAGGCTTCTGGGTAAATATCTAGGTACTTAAGTAGGTACTAGCCATTGCTCCCCCCGCCTTAAAGAGTCCACTTGGCCTTTCAAGTATTCTCTCGCCCAGATTAAGGGCAGAAGTTCTCATCTTGGAAACCTCAATGAACCTCGACTATGTATTAGATGGCACTCCTCCGTGGAGAGCCTCTCACCCGGGGCATCACTCCCAGCGGGCAAGACATACAACATCACACAGTGACAATCGTGCACAATCTCACGGGCTCACAAATTAATGCAAAAGAGGCAGATTGTAAGGAGAACAAGAAAACTTTTCAGCTTGCATTCGACACAACCCTGCTTGGCACAACCAAATCTCACACTCTAAGCTAGCTAGCTGACGACGGGGATCCAGAACTACCTATGAACATGGACAGACACATTCGCCCACCACCAGAGATAGGCACTACGGAGATCCAAGGTGAGGCCAGAGACATAGACCGAGACCAAAGCCCGGGCACCCAGGGCTTTCCTTCCGGTCGACACAGATAGGCTCCTCCCATGATGCATGAGCAGCAGCAGCAGATCCAGTTGTTACAGGCACGAACAGCATTCCGACCCACTTCTTTCACGAGACTCCCAGACACTCATCACACCAGCCAAGTCGACGAGAGGCTGACGGAGACGGTGACTGGGTGTTGGCAGGACGGAAACACCGCGGAAGAGAGTCGCAGCCGAGCGCAAGATGCAACGAAAACACAGACAGCAACGCAGACGACAAGAACGAAGACAGGCAGAACTAGACACTCAACAAGCCCTTCTTAGGATAAGGGCTAGTCGGATCCTTGTTGCTCCCTTCAGTGCTCGCAACACCGCTCCGCACAGACCCAGATCCAGACCCGGTCCCAGAGTTGGAGCCGGGGCCAGATACCTTACGAGCAACATCGCCCGGCGTGGGGAACGGCGGGAAGCCAGGCGGGCTCCGCACGTCGCCACCAGCACTAGTACTAGCACCCACCGGGTACGCGTACTGGCCAAAGGGGCTGTGGTTCGCCGAGGTGGTGGTCGTGTGCGAGGGCGGGAGGAAGGGCGCGGCGGTGGCGTTGATAGCACTGCTGCTGGCGCCGCCGCCGTCCCTCATCATGGCGTTGTTGATGTAGGCGCTGCTGTTGTTGTTTGTGGAGCCGTTGCTGCCGTCATTGTCGTCATCGGTGGACTGCGTAAACCCGGACACGTCACTAAGCATGGACGAGGAGCGGCCCCTGGACTTGCGCGGCAATGGCACGTGGGACGGGTGCTGGTACTGCGGGAAGGAACCATGCGAGAACAGCTGATTAGGCGCGGGGGCTGTCGCGAGCGTCGCGTTCGGGAGTGCTGCGGAGGTTGCGGGGGACCACGTGTGGTTTTGCGCGTACTGTGGCCACTGCGAGGCTGCGTTGTGGTACGCGGCGGCCTCTTGTCGCTCGTAGAAGGCGGCGTACTCGGCCTGGTTGAAGTTATTGAGCAGGCCTGCCAGCATGGTGGCCATGTTGGCTGCGTTCTGCTTCTTGTCCTCGTTGTGGGCGCGCGCGATCGCCAGACGGTCGGCATAATCCTTCTCCCTGCGGGCAGCTTCGCTCTCGAAGGCGGCTGTCTCTTGCCGGCGGCGGTCGGCCTCATCGAGGCCACGGGCATTGGCATCTGTTATGCGCGCATGCTCACCGTCAACCTTGTTGAGCCGAGCGGCGATCTTGGTCCGCTTGGCCTGCAGGCTCGTCTGCTCATCGTCCAGGGCCTTGGCGTCTTGATCCACAGAGTTTTTGAAGCTCTTGAACGCGCCCTTGGCCTGGTCGAATTGGCCCTTCTCCGAATTGTACTGGCCTTGCTTCTTACGATAGTCTGCCATAACTTCCTCCGGGATCGACTGCAATTCCTTGACCTGCTCCTGAAGTTCTGCGATTGCCTGTTCTGCCTGCTTCTGCTGTGTCATGTTCTGTGCGATCTTCTGTCTCAATTTCTCGTCATTGCCACCGGCGGATTGCACCGCCGAGGTCAGCCTGTCGATGTCCTTCTTGAGCGCGTTCGTCTTCCGGTTATTGTCCCTCCTGAGTGACTTGAGCCTGGCCTTCTCATCATTCAGCTTCTGTTCCAGGCCGGCGATTGAGGTTCTCAGGGTTGTCGCAGGAGACTGGTGCCGATACTGAGAACGAGGTGCCGGGGCCTTCAACGCGTCATTGTCCTTGATCTTCGCCGGAATGGTCCTGAGACTGGTCGAAAAGATGGCCTTGCCGGTACGAGTGCTCACGAACTCGCACTCATAATTCGACATGGGCGTCAGACCGAAAATATCGCCCGTCCACCTCGTGCCCTGGACCCCTTCCTCCTCCCCATCGTCTATCGGCATGATCCGCGTTGGCTGCCAGATAGCATTGTTAACCTTGACATAGAAGGGCTTGGAGGTGTCCACGTATGAGGGCCCCTTGCCATCGCTATCTTGGTCAGTATTTTCAGTGGGGGGTTGGTCCGGGAAAGGGCTTGTGTTGAAGCAGACTGTGTCGCAACCAACATAACAAATCCAGACCTGTTCCGGCTGCGTATTGAAAGGGGCGTTCCCTAGGTTGTGAATGTCTGTCGCATTGGATCCTGCAGACTCGGTTGCCGCATGTGAGAGCTCGTACTCCTTCACCATAACAATCTTTGTGCTCGCCAAAGCTGCCCAAAGCGGTTGTCGAACGCGCACTTGATGACTCTGTTTTCTCCTTTTTTTGTTCGATATAGTTGTACTTGTAAGTTGTCTGTTCGCCTCGGCGACGTCCGGAGGGGGGTTGCCCCCGCCATCCGTGGCTGAATCCCCCGCAAAAGTCGGTGTCTTCCCAGCTTCTGGGTCAGACTGACTCTGGGACAGCAGGTCGCGTTTCTCGCGCCGAAGATACCATTCCCTCACGTAGCGAACAACACCCTGTACAAGTATATGTATGGCCAAGGTGCTCCGGAAGAGCCCCTTTGGCCCTTTCCTCTCGTAGCTTATCGAAACGGGCTTGAGGTCGTCGGCATCCTGGCTGCCCCAGTGGCCCCCGAAAAATGTCTTGAAATTGGAATACCTGTTGATGGCCTGGTGATGACCGAAGTGGTTGAACAGAACGATACCGGCACAAAGGAAGATGTTGTGCGTGGTGCCCGCTCTTGAGCTCGCGCCACCACCCAAGGTCATGGCGATCACGACCTGTGCAAAATCCAGGATCAGATCCTGCAGGGGCATGAAGGCGAAGACGATGAGGAAAAACAGGTCCAGCCCGACCAGGGTCCACAAATTAGGGGCCCCGGGCCCATCAAAGATCTCGGTGAGGCTGAGGCCGGAGCTAGTAGTGACAGGCGGGACAAAGGTCAGGAGGGTGAAGAGCATGTAGATGCTGGACAGGGCGACGGGGGACAGCTGCATGAGGATGATGAGGATGGCGATGGTGTCATGCAGGGGGCACGACCGGAGGACGGTGAAGGCGAGGTCGACGAGGCCGGTGTCTCGGTGGACATTGTTGTTCTTGGCAGCATTGACGTCGATGCGGCGGTGGGCATCCTCAGCGGCAGCCTGGGAGGTGGTGAGAGAGACGGACTCGGAGGAGGAGGACTCGGAATAGGCGGCTACCGAGGGCCGGCGGGCAGTGTCGAGGGACATGTCGTCGGAGCCGTGGAGGTAGCCGTTCCCATTTGCGTGCCCGTTTGCACACGGGGTGGTGGCTGAGGAGTTCGGGAGAGGCGAGGGGAGCGGCAGGGAAGCGGCGTGTTCGGAGGATGACGACTGTGGGTGAGGCCGGGGGCTGCCATCGGATCTGATCTCGTTCCTGCTCTTTTGCTTGACGATGCGCTTTCCTGGACCTACAAGCCCGTTCTCGTGTCGAGTGTCGCGATTGCTGGCCGCTCCCTGCTGTCGCTTAGCCGAGGAGGCGCGAGGCATACGATGTTTCCCGCCCTTCCACTGGTCCCAGAACAAGTTCCGAGGCCAGCAAAAGGCAATGCAGTAACCCAACCAACAACAGCAGAGGTTCACCAGCAACAAGAGGCTCGACGCCAGGCCTCGGCCACTCGCGCCTCTGTCCTTGAGTCCTTCCAGCGTTTCTCGTGGCCGCGCCTACCCAGTGCCCAGCAGCCGCGGTCGGGACGGCGGTTGTTGTTATCTGGCGGTGGACCTCAGCTCTCTTCCGAGGCTGGCTGTGGTTGGCATAAAGGAGGGTGGGTGGTGTCGTGCTGCGAGCCAGACATGCGGTGTTTGGGCTGTGAGGTTCGGTCCCGTCGCCAGCCGGTCCACTGTTTTTTGGTGATTGCAAGAGGGTTGGGACTGGAACAAGTCACAGAAACAGAAGGAGGCAAAAGGAGGGAACAAGGCCAAGGAGTGACAGGCGACAGGCGACAGGCGACAGTGTCGAACGGTGGAGAGCACGGGGGTGGGTTGGTAAAATAATGGGGAGGTCCGTAATGTCTGCGTGAAAGCAACGATGCGAATGCAAAATGCAGAATGCAAAAATGCAGAATGCAGAATGCAGAATGCAGCTGCGGCGGGCTTGCTTCCTCCTCTCTCGCGGCTGAGATTTTGGAGGATTGGGTGCCTCTTCAGGTGCAGTGCAGCTGGATTTGGGATGGGAAGGAGGAACCGCAGGCTCGGTGCGTGCAGGGCAGAAAAACCAAGAAGGCGAAGTTGTCGCCTGTGACAGACAGAGAACGGGGGTGAGGGGGGTCGGCCCAGGGGAATACACGGATACAAGTGGCCCATACAGTGCGGGCGGGCGGGCTCGAGCGGCGGCAGACGCTGTGTGCAGTGTGCAGTGTGTGCAGAGCATGCAGAGCGTGCACCTGCTCCGTCCATACGAGTGGTGTGCGCAATGCAATTGGGGCCAGGCCTCGCGGAGCGGGGGCCAACCGCAACAAGCAGCCCCATTAATTTCCGCCTGGTCGGCCATCGTCCACTCAGATATTGGCCATGGATTGGGGTCTGTCAGCCCTCTGCCGATCGCCTACCAGCCTGGCAGCCTCCTGGCCTGCCTGGCAGCCCTGGTTGCCCTGGCAGTGTGCTCTCCGCAATTCGGGATTTCTACAGCATGCACCCACCATGCAGAGGTGGTAGGTCTGTATTGTTGATTTTTTTTGTGATGGTGACGACACCAAGACGCCGCCGTTGTTGGAGACGGCACATTCTCAAGCACTCAAGTACTTGTTAAGCACACAGGCAGACAGGATGGCAGCCATGTGGTGCGCGCTGACTGGCACTGGCAACGCTTGGGCGACAAACGGTGGCTAGCTCCCCCAACGGCCGTGTTCGACACTGTGGTCGCACAGGTAGCCGGCTAACAAGTGCTCGCGACCTCCTGCCGCATGCAGTCAGCGCGAGGCGGTCATAGCTGACGCCCCAGGCAGGTCCCAGACAACCAGACTCCCAGGTCCCTTCCCTTCTGCACGAACAACACGGTTGCTTTGAACGGCCCTGGGCCCCATGACTCGAATCCTCGAATCGCCATGCTGCAACTGCTGCTCGGTCGCCCGTGCAATGGGTTTTCTTGCCCAAGTGCTGGGGTGCCTTGGTCCCAAGGTAGTCTAAATACCTAGAATACCTAGGTATCTATCTACTTGGAAGTGACCACCAGCCTGCCAACTTGATGTCTCGGTCGCATTTGCTGCAGATTTGCGAAGCCTACATAGTACGGAGTATAGCGGCTCGCTTAATTGGACCATTCCAACGACAGGGGTTGGTTCTTGGGGGAGTGGGAGGGCAGGAAAAAAAAGCTTTTTTTCTTAACGCCCTTCGTGACCTGCCAAACCTGCCTGCCTGCCCGCCTGCCCGCCTGCCTGCCTGCCCATGTTGGTCAGGTCCAGGACTGACATCAGGCATGAACAAGGCCATGCACCAGAAGCCCTGGAACTGGAGCTGGAACTGGAACTGTCGGCCCAGGGCTTCTCGCCCGTGGACGGCGTGGGGCCTAAGATCCCTGGGGCACGAGCTAGGAAGAAGACAACCGTTTGTGCGTACTACGGAGAGGGTGTTATGCCATGTTGGTGAAGAAGACGACGCCTGACAGGTCCACCCTTGGAGGCAGAACTCGCCCTCTCCCGGCTCCCGCTGGTCACGCCCCTCATCCACGCTCGTATATCCGGGAGACATTGCACTGGGTATCTGCTGGGCTGCTGGGCCAGGAACACCGGCGTCGTCGGTCCTGCGTAGGGCTCAGCTAGTGCCGCTAGTCTCGGGGGAACGAGCAAAAAGCATAAATGCCGGCTAATGAGGCCAAGCCAGCAGGGTCAACCGCCTGGGGCTCTGGCGATTCGTGGACGCGGGAGGCTCAGCATGTTTCGTTTCCCGCCGATGCCATATTCTTTATCCGTCATCCTGCCCGTTTGTCTTGGTGGCCGCGGTAATAAGAGTGCCCGGTGACGAACCGGGAACCTTGGAAGGGCACGACGACGGATCGCGATCTGTCGTCCACTTTCTCCAGATTCCCAGGTTGCCAGATTCCCAGGCCCCCGCATACCTGCATACCTGCATAGCCAGGCTTTGCTAGCCTGCAGTCACTTGTCTTCCCTGCCAAGTCAAGCCCTGCTGTCAAGACTCATGCACGGGCAGCTGGGAGCCAGGCAGGGACACTGGCAAGACTGGATGGACACTGGAGATGCGACGAGACTGTAGCACAAGCACGACATGGCTGCATGAGGGGAAGTATTTGTTCGGGCAGTCGCGGGACAGAATAACATCTGTCAGGGATAGCTTGACGCCATGCCTGCCTGACAGCCTGCGACGCGCGACGCAACGAGACCTCACCGTAGAGAGAAAGCAGAGTGAGGAGACATGGCCTTATCGCTGACCTACTACCACTATGTACGGATACTACCACTACTACTGTGTATATCTGCGCTAGAGGAGCAGAGGGGCAGATGGAGGTAACGGTAGCAGCGCCATCACATTAGAGGGGAGCATCTCGACTCTATCAGGTCTCTTTGCCCGCCACCTCGAAGGTCTAACCATGGTACTCGGTAGAGGGACATGCATGCAGCATGCAGCATGGCAGACATGGTTGGTGCCCCGACAGAGTCCCGGTTGACCGCTCAGTCATCGGCTCAGTGGTCGGGTCAGCTCCCGATGACCTTGTCCGACTATGTACAATGTGTGCACAGTGATGTATCGCAGCCGTGAGCCATGGGTTGTTCACCCACGTCAAACACCGCCAAGCGATGCAGGGTCAAGAAATACTACTGATCGCCGTTCAAGGCTGCCCGCATGCAGCCACCAGGTGCTTGCTGTGATGATAAGAAGAGAGGGCATTTCCGAACCTTCACTAGCAGACTAGTACACTACTACTACTACAACTGCTACAAATCAGGAGCAATTCCGACTCGCATTTCAATCTCTGCAGCCATCGGCCCACCAGAGCCGCAGGCCCACCCAGTCGCGGGCTCGCAGCAAATCACAAGGGCCCAGGGCAACCGTCTCTGGGCGGGCCTGCAGGGTCGATCTTCCCACTCGGCACTTGCTTGACAAACCTGCCAGGGGTGCCAGGTCCAGCCATGCTGGCGCCGGCTGACTGCCTGCGTGACCGCGCCTTCCAGCCATCAGGCGTCCTGCCGTCCTGCTAAAAACGGCAGAGGCGCTCCAGGCGGGAAGGAAGGACTGGCCTGCCAGCCCTGCACATCCCAGCCCAGCCTCTCTCTTCCCCACACTCGTCCATTTCATCCCACTTGATCCAAACTGACAGACTGAAAGCTCATCGATACGCAGTACCGCTGGAGAGCAGGGCATCTTGCTGATGAGTGATCTACTGCATTGCGTAATTGCTTCTTCAACCACACCTCCTCGCTCACCGCCAATAAACCGTCACGTTCGTCGCCATGTCACCCGCTGCCGACCTGGAAGATGGTGGGCAGCATTCGACAATGACAGGACGGCGCTGGACGTCACACCAAATCTCAACCGACGACAACTACTGCCACAGCCACGACCTCGGCACCACGACTGCGTGCTCACTGCTCACACCCCCACTGCATGGCTCCCACGCACCCTGCCAATGATGGCTTTGCCAGTACAACTGCGTCGCAATGCAGACTCTTCCCAACTCGGTTGAGCTTGACCAGCCAAGACACCATGCATTGAGCATTGGGCATTGGGAGCATGATCGCAGGATCGAGCCGGTGGTACCCATCTGCCGGCTGTGTCCCTGCTTGCTTGGTCCCGCCAGCATGGAGTCTGAGAGTATTTCATGCGGCTAGGCTACCCTTTGCCTCGTCCAAGAGCCTCCCGCCCGCCAGGCCCGTAAGGCACCTCCCTTCTGCCTTCTTGTGGTTGCCCATGTCCCCACGTTGGTGACGGATGCTTATTTGATCTGACAGCTGAGACATCCCCGTCCCAAGACTTATCGCCCTCCCTTGCCTCGATCGGCCGGCGTCGTTGACCAAGGGCGCGGGACGGCAGATCACGGGGCCCCGCCCGATACCGCTTGTCAGTCTCATCCACTCAACAATCGCCCATCTCCCGAGCCAAACTGGCCGATTGGGTCGGTGCTCTGGCCGTCCATCCGTTCGCTTGGTCCCGAGGCCGAATTCGCCCACGGCTTTCCTATTGAGTGTGCGACAGCACCTCATTCAGCACACTATCGCGCGTGTTACCTTTCGCATCACCAAGGTCGCCCCATCCAATGCATGTTTTCCAGCCGTTCAACCCGTTTCTCACTCCGGGAGCGACCCATCCTCGTTCCTTGGTGTTACTATTGGTCTTGTTAGCTTTGCGTAGTTGTCGTCCTCCAGTGAGGCCGATACCACACCGTTCCGTCAAGCTTGATGGGATTGCGATCTTGCAGGTGCGGACTAGCAAAGCTGCCTTAAGTCCCCCGTAAGCCTGGGCTTGACCTTATATCGAAAGTTGGCCGTCGCAGCATATTTGGCAGCAGAAAATGGTGGACACGCCGTGTGGAGTCTTGGTCGGCCTCAAGGACCACGTGCGTGCGTGCACATATTCTACGGAGCACACTAGAGCCGGCGGTTCATCGCTCGGAGAAAAAAAAGGGGGCTGCGTCGACCAAGCGGGAACTGATGGCGTCCTTTTGTCACTGCAGCAATATGGGTTTGTCGACTGAGGTAGCCTCAGTGGGGTCCCTGCCTGACCGCTTCCTTGAATGTCAAAGTTGATTTCATCCTGGCCCAGGTTAACAACCTGTCCAAAAACAGTACGTTGGTGAGGTCTCACAACGATACGGGCAAGATTTTCGTTACGAAACGTGGTTGAATTTAATCTCATTTTCTCTGCAGTCTTTTGCGTGTCAAATACATTGTGCCGTCGTATCCAATCTACATGGCGCTGTGCTTTGGAGTATCCCAAAAAGCCCTCTATCGAAACATCCTCATCACGAGTGCCAACACCTCGATTCCCCTATGCCTCCTGGATCTTGAGCACGCCGTATTCCATATCAATTGTCACATTGATCAGACAGCATGTCTCCAGGGCCGTTATCTGGTGTTTGGAAGCACTGCCGAAGGAATATTTGAGGGAGTACCGCAAGTTGGCCCAAATCCCCATCCTTCCATGGTTCAAATTCCGTCATCCCAACGTGTACATGTCTGAATCTCGTGTTATCCGCATTAAAAAAAATCCTCAAATGCCTGGCAAAATAGGCGGCCGTGGTGTCTCAAATTTCCCAACAAGTGTCGGACTAACATGTTTAAGATGATGGTGTGACGGTGAGACCCGTGCTGTTGAAGTTGTTGGCTGAGCGGGAGACAAGCTTAACGCCCGCAGGCACGTTGTCGTGCGTGGTCGAGCGGGAGAACTTGTAGGCGGGGACGGTCTCGTTCAGAGTTGAGCGAGAGAACTTGTAAGCTGGCACGGTGTCGTTGACACTCTGGGTCGAGCGAGAGACCTTGTAGGCAGGCACGGTCTCATTGGTGCTGTGCCTATAGACAAGGCCCGAAGGGGCCGCGGCGGCCAGGCCGGCAAGTGCGATGATGGGAGTGAAGTGCATCTTTGCTGTTTATTGACGTGGTAGCGACTGTGCTGAGTGAATGACGGCTGGTTACTCCGGTGTTGGAGGACGACGGAAAAGAATGTCGGCGTCGGCGTTCTTGAGAATTGATGAGCACGGATGGGATGAGCAAGTCGAGACCACTCAATGCTGAGGAGCGGTCGCAAGGAATTTTATACACGTTGCCGTGCGGCTCCATTGCTGTGTGGGCTTCCCTCGCGATGCCTGAGATTCCACGGCGGAGCACAAGTAGCGGTGGTCCGCCCTGGCTAAACGACTCAGGAGCTGTCAGGTTGCTTGGGTTGCCAAGCGGGTGGTACCAAGTAATGCTTTCAGATAAGGTGGTGATCCTCATTTAGGTATCAGCGATCGTCCACCCAGACCGTAAAGGTGTCACAAAGTCGCTGCAGGTGTGCATGTGCGATCTTCACCCAGCGGTCTCTGTCGGAGCTCCGGACAGTCGCTTCCGCTTCCCATGCACCGGGTCGAGAGAGAGCCCGGTCAGGCTATACAGTTCTACCGCTGGTGGACTTCTACCATGACCTCAACCTTCCGGATACAAATAGAAAAGAATCCGACACTTCCTCATCCAGGCGCTTCAAGGCCTGAACGTGTATATGAGCCCTCCGGCGGTACTTCCAAGCGCCAGGCCCCACCGACCCGTGTCACGTTCAGCCGCATACTACAATATAGGGCTGACGCCAACCAGATTCGGTGGTGTAGAGATAGCCTTGACAGACTATACAAGAAGGAAGAGAGAGAAGGTTTGGAAGGTGTCATCGGCGCTTGGGAGATGGAAAACCAAGCATCGCCAAGGCGGACCTTATCTAAAAATTGGGTCCAACGCTGGTGGACCCTGCAAAGAAAAACCCAAGAGAAATACCCCCGTAGCACCATCGCCCCACCGGTTTGTTTCTTTTAGAGATGTGGGTATTTTTATCTGGTGTGCAGCCGGTACCAAAGCAGGCACCTTCCAAGGTTCCAAGAACCAATAAACGTCTCTCTACCTCGGATCGACGACTTCACTACTTCAACCTCTTCTCGGATTGATTGTGTACTATTTATTCCTGTCCAGCTACCTAGGTAGGATTCACGCCGGTGCGTTTCAAAGCACATTGCCTTGTCTGTTGCAGACAGTTGTGGGGAGCCCGGTGGGCTGGCCAAGAAGAGCGCAGAGTCAAGACCACAGCACGTGGCATATTGACATCGCCGAGTGTGGAAGTTGCGCGACGGTTGTCTTTACTCGCCGGCGTCAATGTATGCCAGAGAGTTGCTCGTCCCGCCCGACACCTCCGGCCCGCTGCTCTGCTGTTTGTGTATGATCGTGAATTTGACTTGCACCACAGTAATGCCGATCCGAAGTCATTGCTGACTCGGGACTCTGGAGGTTTCGAGCTTTTGGGGGCCGAATCTGGATCCGAGCACCCGGGCTACTTCATTTACTTGGGATGCTCAACCTTGTGGCTGATGGTTGAAGTTGGGTTGTACCCACCGGGCTGGCACGACGGAACCTTGTAAGGGCTGTGGATGTTTCGTGCGAAAAGTGCAAGTGAGCCGCGGTGTGCGCCTCGCGCCTTGCACTCTTCCAAGGTTGTCGAGACTCAGGTTAGTTGCGATCACCTTTGTGTGGGGAAGATCGTTGCGCAACTGACTCTTTGTCGAGATGACGGCGTTGGTATCTGGGACTATAAATACTGGGTCGTCCAACTTTTTCCTTTCGGTGGTCGACGATCTACGCTTTATCAGCTCATTTACCTAAGTATCCGTGCTGGGGCCGCGCGCGTGGATCAATTGATATGGCTGTCTAGCCAAAACTGGGTTCTAACACATCTATCATTCAGTCACTCTCATTGAAACTTCAACCTTTCCCCCCCGGGTATGTTCCGTCATCTGGAGACCGCATCTTTTGGAGAACACTTCCCTCTTAACGTCGCGAATGATACCGCACCTCGGGCCTACCTCATCCCATGTCAAAGCTGCATTAACTTGGGCTCAGACCTACGCCTTTCCCCAGTTTTTTAAGGGATAAGTCACACCAAAAAAAAAAGAATATTAATACCCAGTCGTTTCTTTTTCTTCATCGTGACCATACCTAGGTAAATTGGCAACACAATGTGCTAGTATTTGACTTTCCCAGTCCGTTCGAGAGGCTCTGAAATCATCGTCAAGGTCTGTGGCCAGCTTTGAAATCACCATTCACGTCCACAAATGTGGACGATGTCTTGACACTTAGAAGACATTTGCGAGACCTGACTGATTGAAATTAACTATCTGCACCTCTGGGATACGGAAGCTCGATCACTGGCATCCAGGTGTCCAGAGGTTTAACAGCGTTCCAGACACGGAAGGACACAAAGAAAACACAAGTAATGGGTAGTATGCATCTACCATAATGACGGCCAGCTGGCCATTACCAGGCCAAAATTTGGCTCTTCTGTCTCCGAACGATGACAGGAACATCTATGCTTGAGAGGAGGGGGGATGTTCGGAGTTTGGGATATTCACTTCAGCATCTGCAAGTCTAACCGGAGGCCGTCCGGAGCCACCGGATCTACGATGATATCACTTTTGACATGGTTGCTCGAGTGAGCCGAGATCTGGGGGGTAGACGTACGGTCCTGGTCGACCCGGAGGCCAATCCGCAAGCTGCCAAGATGGCGGAGACCGAGATTGAGGCACTTGGGAAGACCGCGGACGGAGTTATGGATCTCACAGGCTTGAAAAACACCTCAGAAGAAGACAAATCCCTGGAGAGGACGAAAATGACTTGGTCCGGATGGAGGTGGTCATATCTGGCCAAGGGATATGTAGGCAAATGAACAAGTTCGCACACATTCCCAGTGTTCCTGGAGAGAATGTGAATCGGCTTATAGTCTGAGTCATCTACTCATGTTGAGGGCTACTATCATGACCTCGGAGCGATACCACTTTGGTTCACTAATCTTGACTTTGCTTATGGTAAATTCATGGGTGCCTTCTGAGCCCTAATCAATTTCGAGTCCCCAGCACAATAGTGGCGAGTGAGAGGTTTGTCCTTTTTGCACATGGGTGGCCTAATACAATTGACGGGCTTTAAGTCCTTGTGAGTCAACTTGAAATTGACGGCAGACTCCAAACTTTTGGAGAGGCCTGGAGACTTGAGTATGGATCATTTCTGATAACTGAACTACCATTGTCCCGAGTCAACACAACACGGGAGACTGAAACAAGATGAAGTCATCGACAAGATAATTTGGGAATCAAGATGGCAAGTGAACATTGGGAAGATTCAATCAGACTCATCTGACACTTTCGGCTCAGACTTCCTGTGTTCTGACCATTCTCTATTTGCGCTCATTAAGTCTTGCAAGACTCACCTTCCCAACCGACCTTTTCTGTCCCGTATAAAAGTGCTTCATTTGACCTAAGGTCCGGGCCATTCAGTATCAATTTCTAAGTCAACTTTCTGGCATTACGACCGCTACTTGGCCAAATAAACACACTACAACTAACCTGATTAGCCACCCAGAACGGGCCTATACCCTTCCAACACAGTTGAGTCTACCACTCGCCTTGGGGTTACATCTGCCGAAAGACGAGAAAATGTTGAGTGGCGGTGACGGCGCGGCTCTCTTCCTCGGCGGTTTCGGCCTGTGCGCCGTGATCTTTATTGTCTGTATTTTCTTCGACATTTTTGTATACAACAAGGAAAGGAACCACTGTTACATATGTGGCGTCGATCTGTTCAACTTTCTATGGTGTGGAAGCAAGTCAAGGAGAGAGAACGACATCGATTTTGAGTCTAGGTCGCCGAGACGAGGTATTTGACGGATATATGGATGACCAGTTGAGGTTTGATCTAGCCGCGGTGCAGCCTTGCTTCTTTTTGGGCGGTTGTGTGGACTGAATGGTTTGTTGAAGCCGCTCAGACTAAACAATCTCCTCTTCGGAGCAACGCGTTTTGTGAGCACTAGGAAAGGCGCTGGTTGCTGTTCTTGGGAGACGGTTTGCTTTGCTCGTCAGAGAGGGCCTAGAAGCCTTGCTATGGTTGGTGCCTTTATAGGCCAAATTGAAAGGGCTTTGAACATTGCGGAATATCCGAAGAAACACACCCCGGATTGAGAAATCACAGGTTTTGTGCCTACGCGATACTAATGCAACGACGTTCAAAGTTGGGTCCTGTAGTCACGGAATGTGCGATGGCTTGCTCGATCCGTTGCACGAACGAGCTTCGCCAGATTCTGCCCTTCACGCCCCCCCCCCCACCCTCTCAAAAAGAAACCTAGTTGGATCAACTGAACCTCATACTGGGTGGTTTCGTTGTTTACTCATGTGCGTCTGAAGGCATATACGGTCGCTTCACGCAGTGCACCTGATGTGATAAACGTTACAAGACCTAGAGGTTCAGAAAAGGAAATCGCCATATTGAATGCACCGTCTAAATTGAAGCCTTTGACAGAACAACCTGCTGCATGAGCATTGCTTTCGAGTCGATCCGCCGGGGGAAAAGTGGGTGTTAGATGGTGGGTAGACGGCAATGATTTCCCTCCCATTTTACAAATGCAGCGGTGTTACTGTAGCAATTTTCGTTTGGAAGCGCAAATTTCATCCCAGAAAAATTGATGCATGTTCAAAATTTTGGTCCTAGACTTTTACAAAAGTCAGCTGTTAGAAAATCAGAGTCCATGTTCTGACTGCAATGTCTCGCTCGACGTGGGCGTTCAAGTCTTTATTTCCCTTCCAGTTCCGCTTTAACAAGCTCAAGCAAAATCTAACTGAATATTGAAGGTACATACTTTCGGTCACGACCAACTCGCTGCTGGCAACTGCGGCACAGCAAACCTGGTCTGTCCCGACCTCTTGACCCACCTGGGCAACCGACTCTAAGCGCCTGAAGGATCGCACCTTAACCCCGGGCTGTCAAAGCCAAGACAATGATGTTGGGCGGCCGCATGGGTTCACGGCAAAGGGTCAGGTCAAGGAGGCAGGTCGCAGCCACCTCGAGGGCCAACAAAAGTTCCCATGGCCGCAGAATCACAGCAGTTGTGCAAGGCCGTCCCGTTTCACATGCTCCTGCAGGCCCTGCTCCAGCGTATTTGCTTTGATGAGAAAGCACCAACAAGTCTGATCTGACGACCAACAACTGGTAACCGCCTGGCCTACTTTGAAAATGGAAACACCAACAACTTCAAACTGTAGACCAACTGTGTTCCATCTCAGGTGGATTTTGACCTGTTGGATGATACTTGAGTATAAAGGTGGACATCATGCCAGTTGCCAGAGGGTCTCATTCTCAATTCTCATTTTCGGTTAGTAGATCAAATAAAACTGCCGTGCGTATGCAACGTCGTCAACAGTACTTCAATCTTCCACAACTCGTCTAATCTCTCCCCCTGAAAGCCGACCTTGACTTCAACTTGACTGCCGCAGCCACAGGCAAAGATGTGTCAAGTCCGCACTCGGCAGTACGAAGGATGCAAGCACACCTTCCATCAAAACGAGAAACCATGCAATGCCTTCATTGTTGAAATACAACAGAAAGCGAAGCAAGACCCTTCGGCAAAGAGCAACCTCTGGTGCAGCAGGCACGCCTCGAAAATTCCGCAGTGCGGCAAGGTCCAGCCCGTCAACCAGGGCACAATCGGAAAACAATCCAAGCCCCCGTTGGTCCCGATCTCTCATGTGAGGGATCCGTCAGAACATGACGGCATCGGAATGATTGGTTGGAGGCCGCCTGCAGCATGCGATATTCCTCGCCTCGTTGAGGGCCACTGCGCCGGTGAAGAATTGAATTTTCTCCGTGAGAAGCCCATGCTCGTCAAAGGGAAATGTGGGGCTTGCCAGCCGACGACAGGCTCAGGTCTTTGGGGGAGGCTTTCGGGAAGTTAGACCGAACAGAGGAGCAATATCTTGTCATCTGGAGTTGAGCAGTCGTACTCCTCAGAATAGGATGTAGGGTACGGGAGAAATCAAATACCTGTTGGGAAAGAGTACTGCTTTCCAGGCTTTGAGCGTCTGGGTGCAATCTCCTCTCTGTTTCTTAACCCCCCCTCTCCTTTTTTGTTAAAAAAAAGAGAGAGAAGTAGAATCAATCCCTTTGATTCATGGCACTCTTAATCTGCGCCATGAACGATCACCTTGTGGCTGTCTTGTCGCTCAACATTCGTAGCTTTAGACTAGGATGGGCTATCGCAGAGCTTAATTATAGAGTGACTGTACCACTTATAATAATCTCCCAGTCAGTATTACTGCTCTGAGACTCAGTATCCTATTGTGAGAAATACAACCACATTGCCTTGTGCTGACCCTTCGCTCCATACTTGGTATATGCACAAAGTTTTTGGACTTGGTTGGCCTCGTCTTAGTATTCCAAGGTTGTCTTGTCACAAGCTATGTCTGAGAACGGTCATTTTCTAATTTGTCTTTGAACATGCAGGCGCGGTGATGAGATTCTTTTCCAATTGAAAATTTGTCTCGGTAGAGCCATGAAAACATCCGAAAGCGAGTGTCAAATCTACATAGGCAGGAAAACAAGCTGTATCCAGGCCAAAGAACAATTGTTTATTCCGTGTTCCTATTCACGATGTGCTCTACGGTTGCTATCCGGTCCCGCCATTCTCAGGTTCCAGTTCCTTATAAGCCCTTCCGCGCCTGCATCACCGACGACACGGGAAGAGGACTACCACCCCAGCCCCGCGACGATTTTGAGAGCAGATAGCTTAGTACCTGCTGAACTCCTGAGGAGCGTCATGATCACTGGTGAGAGAAACAACAGTCATCAGTATGCAAGGCTCGGTAGTCGTCAAGAGTGCACTAGGTAGCAAAGGTATTGAGTGGGGTTGGGTCTCGACTCACGGGTGGAACTCGCTCTTGCCGCCGTACTGCTGCTCGTAGAGCTCCTCGGCCTGCTTCTTGGCGTGGTGCTTGGCCTTCTCGCGGTCGACAAAGTCCAGGCCCTTGGACTCGACGAGCTTGTCGACCTCGAAGCCGGCGGCGGCGGCCAGCATCTCCTTGGCCAGGCCGTGTTCGACGGGCTTGCCCTCCTTGCGCTGGTTCTGCTCCCAGAGACGCATACCCTCAAAGGCGGCGGCGGAGCCGAGGAGCTCGTGGGACAGCTTGGACTCGTGGGGCTGGCCGTCGTAGACCTCGTCACGGGCCTCCTTTGCGTCTCCTGAAAAGGATGTCAGCCACGAGCGTGGGGGAATGCTCATGGGGGTAAGGAAAGAGGAGGGGGAGTGTTCGTATGTGGCGAGGGAACAGGCGTACCGAAACCGAACATTTTGACTGTATTGGTGAATTGGAGGTTGGGTGGGAGAGAGTATCTTGAGAGTGTTGTAAGCTGGTAATGTTCCTGAAATCGTAGAAGTTGATGGTGATGAGACTGGATCAGATGAGGAGGGTGGAGGGGGGGGGAAGAGGTTGCTTATATGCTCAGGAGCTTCTTGTGCATTGCCCCCTTTCTGGTTAACATGTGCCCAAACCTATGGTCGAGACGACCAAGTGGAGTTTGGACCTTTCCGTGACTGATGTGAACGAAGCATGGCACTGCCCCTCCATCCATGGCCTCAATGGTGACGTCTAGGGTGTCCCTGGCCATCCCGGCGACTAGGGCGAACAGCCTGGGGGCCCATGGCCAGCCACACTTGCCCGTCCGAGAACCCCAGCGTCAGAGAACCCCTTGTCGATCGCCAAAAGCTTGTCCTCCGGACTGCTACGTAATTTCAAGCATCCCGCGTGTCTCCCCCCTGCGACACTGCAGCAGCTGAAAGCTGAGTGGAGTGGCGGTTACAGCTCGTGCAAGCGTACCTTACGCGGCCGACGCACACAGCGGGCACAGGGCAGGGCTGGCTCCTCTCGGAGTGCTTGCCCTAGGCCTTGATTGTTTCCGTTTGATGTACAGGTTTCGGAGGCCATGTTCAATCTAAGGCCATTGGATTTCCTGCAATCCATGGAGCGCCCTCCCTACCTGGAGATGGCACCATATATTTGCTCGTCCGATATGTGCCGCGAACCTCGTGAACCAGCCGGTGAGGTGTTGGGCAACTCGGCAGGGAAGGGCGGGACTCCGGCTTCAATGTTGTCCAATGCGAGAACAAGTCAACACGCTGGCATAGCAGTAGCCCACAGCTCCAGATCCTCAGTGAGCCGGGCGAAGCGGGAGGCCAACCAGTCGAGGGGTAGCTTTAGTTGATGAGCCGTCTATCAAGTTACCCCACCATCCGAGACCCCTGAGCTGCCCAGGCAAGGCCTTGATATCCGAAGTATGAGCATGACGGCGCACATGGGCTCATGTGGATCGACAGGTCAGGCTCCAGACACCCACTTGCACAGCCAGGCTGTCCGAGGTGGCGGAGGTGTGGGCCAATATTGATCACTGAGGAGCGTCTGTCTGGCAAGTCTGGCTTCCGATCTGGCGCCGCGCCGGGATCTCGGCATCCTACTGCCCAAACCTGGCATGGCCCATTGAGGTGGGGAGAAGGGGAGGGCATAAGACTTGATATCCCAAACCAGGTCTCATGCATGATTGGTAGCCAATGTTTGGCCACCAGGGCAGAACAGGTATGATGATCAGGGAGACCAAAGCTTAAACGTGAGAGGGAATGAAACCGTTCATCGTGTGCTGTGCTGTAATTGGCCTGGTGGCATTTCGATGCGGGCCTTTGCCTTGGTCATCACCCCGACCGAGGCCGCGTATATGGCGCAGCAGGGTCGTGGGGTCCTCCTGGCTCTGGGACCAGACAGCCAGAAGGCGGTGACTTCATAACGCCGGCCGCGGGAGCTCCAGGTGCTCCCATTGGGATTTTCAAGCTGCTTGTTGTGGCTTACCCCTTGACGGACCAATGTCAGCCAGCTCAAGAAGTGCGGCATCTTGTTTCATGCTAAGCATCCTGGACGCAATCTGGGTACAACCTGGACATGCCGTTTATGCTAGCAGGTGTTGACACGGCAAGCAGGCAAGATTGTCACGATGCGTGATGATTGTAGGCCTCCGGCGATATTTTTGGCACTCTGGTTGCATCACGGCTGCGATGTTACGACCAATTGGACGGCAGTCTACTGTACTCGTCACTGGCAGGACCTCGAAACGCTTTATTACGTGGTGCTGGTGCTCCGGCCTTTGTCAGAAGAGGCGGTCCTGGCCGGGCGCGGAATAGCCATTGGACGGGTTGCACAAGTGCTTGGATGCACGGCCTCGCTGGCATTGAAAGACTGGAGATGTGGTTGTCAAACTGATCCTCCCAGTGCGCAACAACAAGACCGAGACAGCCGCACTGGAAGCGTCTTGTGCAGTGCATTCTGAGGCTGTCGTCAAATTCGGCAAACGGCCTGGGTGTGACAGGTGCAGGCGGCAGCCTCCCGCAGCTTGGCAAGTCTTGGCCCTGAGCCAAGCTTCTGGAACGTGGTCCGACGACGATGAGATGCAGATCCCCCCCATGCGATCGCACGAAATAACCCGACGTCATTCTAGCCCCAGCTCTCTTTCCGGTGAGCACCACAATCCGCCGTCGGTCTGACAGGTAAATTGCGAGGCCACACCGGTCAAGACCCCCCCCCTGCATCGTTCCCGATGCTTGGGACAGGCTGCGGTGACAAGAGAGGTGTCGTCCTCAGCGGCAAGAACACCAGTGCGTGGCCTGCCGTCGCGAGTCCTGGCCCGTGACGTGCCAGGCGACGGGTCCTCGCTTGAGCCCCTCTCACTGCAGCTGGTTTTGCGATACCCGGGCACAGGACATGGTGCTGATGCTTGGTCGACACTTCGTGATGCGCGGGCAAACACCGCCTCTAGCATGCACGCTAGGCGGCTTTGTGGCCGAGTTTCAGGACTTCATTGAGGATCAGGACGCAACACCCGTTGCCGCAGTCGGGCGCGCAAAACTCTAGGGCCCGTGTTTGCGCGTTCGTGGCATGGGATGAGCTGACGATAGGCGGGCGGCCATTGGGAGCCCCGCGGCGTTCAACAAGGCGCTCAGACGGGCAGCCTCTCGTAATTGCACGAGCGGCACGTGAAAAGGAGGCGAGGTTGGTTAGTTGGCAAGTCGGTGGCTGAACTATTGCAGGTCACCCCGCTACCTTTCCTTTGGGAGCCTTGTGTGGCGTCCTGGCCGTGTTTTCAATGCTCAGGACTTGTGGCAGTTTTCGTGGTGGTCATGCAGAGTCTGAGAGGCACTTGGGGACTCGGGCACGGTGCTGAGGCCAGGGAGTGGGACGGCTGCTTCAGGCTGATTCTGGTGGTCAGGACGACAGCAGCCTGAGCAGCAGCAGCAATACGGTTCCCCGCGGCCTAGGTGGGGCAGGTACCTAGGTAGGCAGGGTCCCGTTTCGTGCTCCGTTTTTTTTCTTATCGATACCAGAAAATTGCCCACCAAGCAAGCTCTCGGCCGTAGCCTCGATTTCATCTCCAAGATCAAGTCGAAGTGGGCTGCGAAACGCATGCGCCCATTTTCCCCCGTGCCCTGGAGCCTTGAATAACTGAGGCATCGGCAGTTTATTCAGACCTTTAAACATTGGGCAAAATGCCGCGGCGAGACTCACCCTTCCTCAATCCAGGCCCGGTGGCCGAACCAAACCAACTCGCCATCATCCAACTTTCAAAGGACGACCTGGTCCCAGTCTATCTGCGAGATACCGAGGGCGAACATGACGGCTATAAGGAGGGTCATGTCCTCAACACCCGCTTCGGCTCATTCCCACACTCCACTCTGATCGGCGTCCCCTGGGGCTCCCAAGTCCGAGCCTCAAACGTCGACACTGGGTCTCGGGGTCGGAAGAAGAGGAAGGTCAAGGAGGCTGCTGCCGGTGCAACCGAGGCGGGAAGTACAGAACAAGATTCCGCGTGCCCCAAGAGGAAGAGAGGTGCCAACGACGAGGGTGAGAAACGAGTCAAGGACGCACCAGACCAACCTGCCAGTGCAATCGAGGACAACACCGCTGAACATGTTCAACAAATGACAGACAACGGGGATACCGAAAACCAGATAGAGGACGAACAAGCCCAGCAAGAAGCGCAAGCTTTAGAATTGTCGAAGCCTGCTCAAAAACAACAAAGGACCACGACCACGGCCGCTAGGAGCGGTTTCGTCTACATTCTCCCACCAACGCCTGAGATCTGGACGAGCAGTCTTCCTCATCGCACACAAGTCGTCTACACGCCCGATTACAGCTATGTCCTGCAGAGGATACGAGCCCGTCCCGGCTCCAGGCTCCTCGAGGCGGGCTCCGGCAGCGGCAGCTTCACTCACGCCTCGGCGCGGGCGGTCTACGATGGCGAGGTCGACCCCACTGGCAAGGTCTTTAGCTTCGAGTTCCACGAGCAGAGATTCGAGAAGATGAAAAAGGAGATCACCGAGCACGGCCTGGAGCGGGTGGTGGAGATCAACCACCGCGATGTCTACAACGAGGGCTTCTTGGTCGACGGCAAGAGCCCGGAGGCCGACGCCGTGTTTCTAGACTTGCCCGCGCCCTGGCTTGCGCTACCGCACCTGTCAAGGCGTAGGGTCAAGACCGGCTCGGAGGTGGAGGGTGTGCAGACTGGGGCTGAGGTCAACGGCGAGGACGACGAAAAGTGGGTATCACCATTGAATCCCAAGCGGAGCGCCTACATCTGCACTTTCTCGCCCTGCATCGAGCAGGTCACCCGTACAGTGTCCGCGATGCGCAGGCTGGGATGGGTCGAGATCGATATGGTAGAGATCGCCCACAGGCGGATCAATGTGTATCGCGAGAAGATCGGCCTCGACGTGGTCTCTGACCGAGGCGCACAGCAAGCCCCAGGGAACGTCGCTGAGGCACTGGTCAAGCTCAAGGAGATCGAGGCCAAGACTGCTGAGCACAACGCCAAGATGTTCGCCGGCAACAACAAGTCCAAGAAGGCCGACGATGATGACGACATGGATGACTACGCTCCACCGCCTCAGAAGACCGCTCCGCGGGATAACAGTGCCGAGGAGCCCGCCAGGGAGCCGCCCGTCAAGCCCTTCCTGCAAGGACGCCTGGTCACACGGCCCGAGGCGGAGACCAAGGCACACACGTCGTACCTCGTGTTTGCCGTCCTGCCGCGCGAGTGGACCGAGGAGGACGAGGCTGCAGCCGCCGCCCGTTGGCCCGTGGGCGACGAGCAGCCGCCAAAGACCATCGGGGCCATGGACCGGGCGTCCCGCAAGGCGCAACGCCGGGAGATGATGGCGGGCAACAAGAAGAAGAACGACAAGCTAAAGGGCTCGCACGTCCCTCACGTTCAGAGTCTCGACTTGACCACCGAGAAGGCCAAGTCCCAGGCGCAGGAGGTTGTGGCTGAGAAGATCGTGGAGGATGCTGAACGGGAGGCCGAAGGGGCTTAGGACCAGATAGAGGGAGGCTTTGTGTGTGGGTGCTGCCCCGGATAGTAATTGATACCCAAAGCTTGATAACAGCTCAGCATACTGGTTCAGACCCATCATCTTCCTCACAGTCCTGTTCCTCCCTCTTTCCTATTGCAAGGTCGATTGCAGTATCTTGCTTTGCATTCTGTGAGCCCGCACAAATGTCCACCACTCACTCCTACCTACCTTCCCATTCACTGGCGCACATCAACACGAAATAGTACATTATGTGGTTCCGGATTGCCTCGTCCCCTGTCGTCAGATGACAAGCCAAACTGACCAACACGCCCACCCTCATCTCGCCCACCCCCAGCTCCATTTCGGCACCACCCTCGGCGTCCGTCTGCCACCGCCAAGCTGAGCCGGCGCAGCCTCATCCGCACGCCAGCTCCGTGACTCCTCCACCTTCCGACTAGTCACAAACCCGGGTTCGCCGCCGCTGGTTTGCCCTCCTCCCGCCATCGGAGGAGAGTGCCTGCAAGATGCCGGCGACGCAAAGGTCGCGCTGACGCGGTATTCCGGCGAGCCTCCTCCATCGGTGAGATCACACGGCTCGGGGTGAGGCTGAACAAACCCTGACGTGTGCCGGATGGGTATCACAAAGTTGACCGATCCCGGGAGGCGATCCTGCCTCGCGCCGCCGGGCTGAGACGGCGACTCCGGGCTTGTTGTCTGGGCAGCTGTCTGCTGCGGCTCGTCTGCATGATACGGGGGCGGCATTGCGGGCATCCGCGCCGGTTGCACTTGTGACACCGCCCCGCCCCGAGCCCTGTCTTCATATATGTGCTCCTCTGGCCGGCGAGGCGCGTCATGGTCCTTGTGAGGTGTTTTCGTGACAGGAGCGGCCGTCCTCGGGGCGGATGGTCGACGCTGGTCAGACCGGCGTGGGCCTGGCCGGAGGATGGAAGGGAAGTGCGTCAGGTCTCGTTTTTCTGCCCCGGCCTCTTGCGCTGGCTGATCCGTCCCTATGGGTGGCTGCTTTTGGTCCATAGCAAAGTCGGGCTTCTCTGGGACCCCTGATCCCCCACGACACTGCATCCTCGAGACTTGTGAAGGCAAGCCACCACGATCGTGGCTGCAGCTCCTGGCCCCGGGTGCCCTCGTGACCCCGTCTTGCGACGTGTCAGTGTAGTTACCGGCAACGTATCTCGGCTGAAGCCTGGCGGTCCGATCATCCTTTACCAGGCTGGTACCGGGTCTTTCATGCGCCGGAAGCTCGTGAATGTTCTGGAAAGCGGAGTTTGGAACCACTGGTCGCCGATTCCGGCCTCCCTCGTCACAAGGAAGCTCTACGGGCGGCGGGTTGATCTCTTCCTCGCAGAGAGCTGTGGACTCGCTGTAGAGTTCTGGGATAACACCAACGGAGATGGCCCACGGAGGCGAATGTGCCGATTTCACTGCTCGTGCGTTGTCCGGCTTGGGCAATTCGGGAGGCAATGGTAGCTGCTGCGGCTGCTCGCATCCAACTCGGGCGGCAGGCCAGGTTTCGACGACCGCCAGGACTGGCTCGCTCATGATCGATTTATTCGCAGCTGAACTCGCCCGTTGATGCGACGAGGAAGCGCCGGCCGGGGAATGCTCTTCCTTGATCGCAATTGGCATGGACACCCGCTCGCCACTCGACTCTCCGGAAGCGTCAGCTATACCAACATTCGTTGGCATGGGGACCCCATCGCCCTCGCGCAATCCACTCTGCTCGCGGGTCCTTGTCCCTTCCTCACGATCACCACCATGGCCATGTCTGGCACGAGACTCGACAGCAGCGAAATTCTCAAAGCAGACCGAGCCGGCACCATCGCCGCTTTCCTGACGCGCAGGACGCCCACTCTCAAGCCCCTGCTCAGGCGAGAGCTCCACGCCGGGGAGCACAGCATCGCCGGCGCCGAGGCCGAACGCACAGGTGGGGAGCAAGTCCGGGAACTCGTCCCCCGGCCGCGGGAACTGAAACTGCGACTGGCCTGTAGGGCCATAAGTGAAGAACCAGCGCCGGCCATCGTAGTCTGCCGTCCAGCCGGGCGGTAGAGAGGCCATAACTACCGTGTGTACAGTTGTGTGTCCCGATCGAGGCAACAGTCACAGAATAGAGGCATCCTTTTGTCTTCACGATGAAAAGCTTAAGAAAAGACTGGAATAGAATTAAAACAAGATAGTTCGTCCAGTTTCGAATCCGTTGTACCCGCCAAAGGCCCGACGGATCCTCGTCCCCAGCCCGGTGCGGCTGAAGACAATAAAATCAGCCACTTGTGCTCTCGGATCTTGCCAAATGCGCGTACGATTAGTACCTCAGTGAGACACACCAAGCCACTGTCAGACAATTACCTATCAGGAATATGAATAGTGCTCAAGTGGCCAGACTTCCATCCGTCGTGCTGCTCCAGCTTCCACAGGCTCTTGAGAGACCAGGACATATTGCGCGGCACTGTTACTAGATCAAGCGAACGGCTCCAGGCCCCAGAAGTGCTCATTGTTCCATTCGCTGCGACCTGACTGAGCAGGCCACTCTATTTCGTCTATGTGGGTATTAAGGTCTATGCTCTAGTCAATCATCAGTTCTCGGCCAGCAGGCCAGCTTTTCTGCTGGCAATCTTCGGGAATCGCTAAAAGTAAACGCCTATCCAAACCGAACTGCGCGCTATACAATATCACCGCCGCCTCTATCACTCGCGACCGTCTTCGAGGAGCTCCGCGGCCTCCTAAAGATACCCCGACCGTGCCTGGTTGTAGTGTCACTGTTCATCGTGCCGACCCTGTCCAGGCTGGGTCCTCGTCCATACCGATCGACGCCCGAGGACTGGCTAGAGAGTGCGGCTTCCTCCCTCAAGCTCTGCAGGCGGGCCAGGTTGGAGGCAGCAGGGTCTTTACGGCCCTCAAAAACGTCGCCAAAGTCGGTGAAGCGTTCAAACTGTGCCCGAGCTTGCGACTCGGCCCGGCGTCGGCGCACGTCAGGGCTGGGTGGGCTGAATGGGCCCAATGAAGCGTCGTCATGGTGTACGCTTCCGGGGCCCGTCTTGAGGCTACCGCTGCGCTGGTCCCTGACGACATTCTCTTTTGTCGTGTTCTCGGTAGGTGCCGGCGGGTAGGCGAGGTAGAAGGGAAAGCTCTGGTTTCCGCCTGGCTGCAACTTCCTCGGTCCTTCTATTCCCAGCTCACCCATGACACGCATCAGCTCTGCAGCAAACTTGTTGTGCCTCTGGAGTCGGAGCAGCTCGTTTTGGAAATTGGACTTGTGGAAGAAAATGAAGTTGATGGTAACCGAGTAGACCTCGTCAATGGTGCGGACTTCGCTGATGATCTTTGATTGGTAGTCGCGCTTGTTGTCGAGGATGAAGTCGAGCATTCGGTTCTTGAGTTCCTCAATCATTTCTGCCGAGATGCCGAATTTCAATTTGAGTTCGATGGGGTCGGCCAACCCACTAGAGCGGCGCTGGTTGAGAATGAACAGCGTATTGAGCAAAGAGTTGGGTGCTTGTACGATGTGGCCTTCCATCTTCTTGAACTCCGTGTAAAGCAGGCTGATTTCTTGGACATAGTAGTCGTCTCCAGTGCCGAGCGATCCTGTGTTTCCGTACACCGTGACTCGATCACCCACGTCGAAGGGGTGTTTGACGAAGACGAAGATGATCGACTGCAAAAATTCCTGGGCCGTTGCCTGGAGCATCCAACTGAGCCCGAGGATCGTGGTACCGCTGGTGCCGAGAGCAGCCGCCGCCGAGCCCGACAGAATGGAAATGAAGACGATGATGGCGATAATAAATATGATGCACAGGAAAACTGTGTCCAGTTTTTTGATGACAGAGTCCAGATCCTTGAGAGAGGCAGCGATGGCTTTCTTCTCGAGATGAATCTCGTTACAGACAAGCTCGAGTTCCTCCATCGAGATGTCACCGTTCAGATCCTTGTCGAAGACACCAAAGCAGGTCTCGGCGTCCTCTGCTGAAGGGAACGCCTGCTTGAGGTCATCGAGCGTGATTGTCTCCTCGCCCGGGCGGACAAAGGTCCGATAAATCAGCCGCGCCAAGGTGTGGCTGCTGTGCTGGCTGCGAAGCAATTCCAGTACAACCTTTCTAGGGTGGCCGGCTGCCATAACCTTACGTCCTGTAAAGTCTCCTGCCATCTTCCCAGCAACCTTGCCTATCTGAGTCCAGGCCTGCCGCGCATTATCCTGGACCATCTTCATGGGGGTCCTCGCTCCGGATGGGCCGCCGTTGGAATTTTCCATCCACACCGGGTCGTCATGAGCCAGCTTTTCTTTGCTGAACTCATAGAGCCGGACCAGGAAGTTGATTTCGAGTCTGTTTTGCGCAATTCGAGACGCATATGTCCTTGAGTGGAAGGACGTGGCAATCCACTGTATCAAAATCTTCTCCACCCAGTTACTCGCAGCGAGAACAAAGAGTGCGATGATGACTTTCCAGACAATATCAATCCAGCGAATAAATGGAGGATCACCGTCGTCGGACCAGTTCCCCCCGGAAGCCCGATGGTCGTCCGTGATAGGTTTGAAGGAGGCAATCAGGCCCAACATCCAGAGGAAGCCGGCGCTTGGCATTTCCATCTGTCGGCCGATATCCTTCCACTTCTTGTGGTTGCTGGAACCGACCATCTTTGCCGCAAGGCCGTGTAGAAAGGGTAGCATCGAAACCAAAATGCGGCTTGCCCAGAGGCTGCACCACACGACCTCAAGCCATATGCCAAACCAGAGGAGCCTCAGGCCGCCTGGCCCTCCCACTGGGTTCTCACCTGGGAATGCATAAATGTCAAGCAGGATGGGAGTGAGGAGAACGACTGCCACCGGTATAGCCTTTGTAGTGACAAAGATTAGTTTACGGTGATATGACCAGAGGCCAATCTCGGGGATATATATGTCCACAGAGAAATGCTCCGAAACACATAAGAGCACTTACGTAGAGGAAGTAGCGGACTACTCTGGGGAACCTTCTAAGTTTCTTGAAAAGCTTGCCCAAGGCCGTCGGTTCTGGTGCTCCCGATATCTGGGGCAGGTGTGTGGGCTCGGTCAGGGTGTGAAAAGCGTCCTCGGGCGGGGCCTCAGGATTGTGCCTGTCCGGGTGATGGTGATGATGCGATCTTGACCGGCGCCTACTAGAATTTTCCTTTTCCTTCTCCGCGTTGCTGACCTGACGTTCGACACGCAGCAGTTCAAGGTCGTCCATGAGTCTAGCATTGGCATTGTCCCTCGTCTCTGAGTACTGACTAAGAGTGACAGCGTCTGTTTGGAAAGGGTCAGCTGAATGATCTCGAGACATGTTGGCGAGCCTTGGCGGGGATGATATAGTATGTCGAGACAACAAGGTGAGACCAGCGAGAGTCGAGGTGACACGACGTCTGGCGATTGATATGCGATGTGCGAGAGACAGGTAAGGAATGCGTGGCTTTGGAAGAGGCAACAAATATGAATAATTGATGTACGTACCGGGGGCCAGGCGGCTTTGGTCAGCCTTCTCGCTGGTGTCAACATGTACAGGGGACGTCATGTTGGCTTGGAACAGGCGCAGGAGAATTGTGGAGGGCGAAGGGGATCTAGAACCACGGACGAATCCGACACGGCAACCCAGGACCCTGTTTGTTCACGACTGGGCAGTGTTCTCCACGTCGGTTCAGGTCCAAAAAGATATATGTGACAGAGGCGAGGCTGATATTGGGTAATAAGGGTCCTGAGCTCCAGGCCGTGACGTAGTAGATATGGGACCCACAGCTCGTTCCCGCTCGGGCTGGGAGACGAGAGTTTGAGGGACGCAGCGGTCGAGCCAGTCTGATCAGTCCACGCTATGGCGATGGGTCGCCTAGAAGTGTGAATTTCTGCCCATGGACTGGGTGAAATAACCCAACAAGAAAATTGAACTTCCAAGAAGGGCTAACGTAGATGTTGTAGGCCGTCCAGCGTGTGCAACAGTACTCGGTAGTGGTGAGAAAGTACAAGCTCAGAGCAAACGACTGGCTGAAGAGAAAAATGCAACAGCAGTGACGGGTCAAAGCAGAAGAACAAGACCGATCATGTATCTATTAGTGCATAGAACGATGGGAAAGGAAGGGCAAAAAAACGGAGACGTGGGTGCGAGGGTGCGTGGAGCTATAGCAGAGATAGCGATGGGTACGAGGGCGAGGAAATGAAGTGAAGGAGGCAGATATGGAGGGAGAAGACGGGGCGATGCAGGTTCGAGAATGGGAAACCTGACTCGGAGGAATGAGAGAAGCAGAGAAGGAGGGACAGACGTGTACACAGTACTGTGTGTACAGTCCCCAGTACGGGTGGTCTTGAGGTTATTGGCAGGTGAGGTTGCAGGGACGCCAAAACCAAGACGACAAGAAATGGATGGCCAAACTTGTCGCAGTGTACGGAGTACCTACTACCTTGCTACCGTGCTATCTTGATATCACCCTGGTAGGTGAGTGGGCAGGGCTGGCAGGCTGGCAGGCTGGCAGGGCAGGTACCATACTTGGCTTGTTGGCAAGATCAACAAGGACGGGTACTTCCAAGGCGATCTTTGCCTCGGATGGCAATCTTGTCCTTCTTGCCCTTTCCTGTGCTGGGCAGCTGGGCAGCTGGGCAGTTGCAGCAGGAGCAAGAGAGCCGCCCCCTTCAAATGTTGGACGAAGCCCCTTTCCAGCGAGCTTGTGTGTGCTACGACTTGCTCGCAATGAATCTGGCTTTCTGGCCATCCTGGCTGGCTGGCAGCTGGACCCTCTTTTCCTTTTTGTTTTCCTGTTGAGAGCTCTTCCCTGCCGGTGTCTGAAAATTTCTGGTCCAAGAGCTACCGGGCGATATCAAGATGGAGGGTCGGTCCTTGATCGATGGCCTTACTGGGTGGGGTCCCAATTCGGCGGAAGTGCTGTCTGGGTATCCCGCAAGCCCACCTGCCCACCCGCGCATCAAATCGAGTTTGGATCAACCCATTCGTCGCGAGCAGGTACACCACACTACTGTACCAGGCTGTTTGACTGGCTCACCTGCCACCCGGCGGCTTGTCCGTGATGGCCTGGCATGGCCCTGAAACGGGAGCGTGCCCTACGCGTGCCCTCCCCTGCCTACCGTCACTCCCAGGTGCGGCAGTCCTGGAGGCAGTTCCTGGTGCGTGGGGGCACCCGCAAACCTTGATCAAGGTCTTCCCTGGACGCCCTCCTGCCAGGGCTGGACTAGACGACCTGACTGGCCCGCGGGCTTCTGGAAGCGAGAGGGCCTGTAGGCCTGCAGAGCCCTGAGAGGGTCGCTTGGATGGCGGTGCCACAAGCAGAGACACAGTCTCGGTGATCGAGATTGCTGGGAGACTGACTGGCAGACTGGTGGACAGGGGAATTCTTTTTGACGGCGGCAGGATGAGGTGTGTGGCTTGCGGCGCCATGCAGGGACAAGCAACCACCACTTTCCAACACGAGCCCACCACGACGCGTCCTTTTTTTTCCCTCGGGGCCTCAGAGTCCTCTCACATGCAGGCAAGCAGGGCCGACAACACCAATTAAGTGTCTGCTAGCTGGTGTGTTTACCTCTCAACCTCTTTACTCCGTGCCTCGCCTTGTCATCGCCCCACTCCAGCCTAAGCGATCTTGCTCTCTATTGCGCATGCTGCCCCATGGCTGACGTCAAGCACGACTCTAGGGGAATCGACGGCGGTTGCGCCGTTTTCCCTAGGCCGCTAGTGCCAAAACGGGCATTAGAGAGAGCACCACTAGGGTCAGGGCCGACTAGTCGCTAGGCAGGCCGTCACACTAGTGCAGGCGACCCGGGACGGGAGCTGTGCCTTTTCTCGGGACTGCTTGCTACCTTGGTAGTGTAGTGATCCGGAGCATCGGCCGCTCCTATTTTCGTCCTGGAGTGGCGGAATCCCGAGTCCAAGGGGGGAACCGCGAAAAAAAGCAGTCGTTGTACTATGTCAGAAGATATCGGATGTCGCAAGAGTGGCCATTTTCAAAGTATAGCTGGGTATTCGCAGTCTGTCTGTCTGTCAGCCCTTTCATTCCACCCGAGCTCCACTATCACGCGGGTAACATGAACGGAGATCCCAGATGCTCACAGCCTCACCGCCTGGGACCCATCCAGATACATAGATCAACCAGCGAGATACCACTGTACATAGTATCCCAGGAACACATCGTGCCCGACCCACGAGGACCCATAACTCCTCAAGTCTGGGGTCCCCAGGCTGACGGCATCAACTCGCGAACCCGCGCCGCCCTGAGGCTTAAGCCCGGCACCGTTCTCGAACCGTCTTCCCCATATTAACACCACCCGTCCCCACCCGCGTTGCCGATTGCCACACTGCACCACTACCACGCGGCCGTGGCATTGATCTCACATCACGGACCCTGTGCGTTGTTATGTGCTGTGTAGGCCTATTTGGCCGGGAGCAGTCGGCCTAACTCCGGGCAGTGCGCACGAAGCTCGCCGAGAAAAAGCCAGTTCGAGACAGTAATAAGATGGCAAGGAGAGAATGCAGTGTCAAGCCGTGACTCGAAATGCAAAAAAGGTCGTGGCTGTCGAGCAACACAGGCCTGTTCGGAAAGTCTAAAGGGGCCCTGCCCGCTCCATCACAGCGCGCATACACTCAAGTGCTGCATATGTACGACATGAGACGCATAGACTGCCTGACATTAACACGTGTCGTTTGTTTACCACGTAGAGGCGAGGAGCCGCCTGGGCTCGGGCAGTTGCCATATACCCAGCGACTTGTTCAACCACGGCGATGTGCGATGAGAGAGAGATGCAAAGAAGTCACCTGGACGTAGAGCGCCAACATTGAAGGATTGATCCCCCTCCGAACAGCAGGCCGGATCGAAGGATCGCACGATCTCGCCGATCACCATGGCGCTTTTTAGACACCAGCGTGAATGGGGGAAACAAGCCAAACAGCCTCAAAAAAACAAAAGCATGTACCCGGAGCCATGCAGGCAGATAGAGAACTGGACGCTGTAGCTCGCCGCATACAGTGCGTCGCAGACCTGCGCCTCCTGCAAAAAGTGTATTCACATAACATGTGAACTCTGTCGCGTTGCCCGTGGGGGGCTGAGACCAGTTCAGGCAACCGCACGGCTGTCGCGCATAGGGAAGCACAGTCCAAACTCAAATTCCTATCTCGTCTACGTGGCCGGTCTCACTTCCATACGCGATCTGATCTACATTGTATGGAGCCTTTTCACATTCCCACACCACTGGCACTGGTCTCGATCAGGACCCGATCTCAGAGTGAATCTACACGCGGAATCGCACGCTTACTGTTAGGCCTCACTCGCGGGGCTTGATGAGGCGTTTTACGGATGAGTTGGAAGTCTATATCTCCGTCATGATTCTCCCTGCCTCTCTAGTGGAATAGGTTCAGACAACACCACTATAGTACAAAGAACGTTCGTTGTGTATGTGTGAACAGAGACAATTCCCTCGGTTGTACAAATGTGAACTCAGACAAAATGAGAACGCCGAAACCTAGTGCGTCCAACCTTCGCTTCGCTTGCCTTGGCTGACCTGCCCACCCCCGCCATGATGACAGAGGCTTAAGAAGTAGTAGGAAAAGGAGCCAGGTCCATCTACTCAAAGGACACGCTCCAGTCCTCCCCAATCGGCGCCCCAACCCTGCGGACGACCGCAAATGCGGCCCTGGTCTTGGTGCCAGGCGTATAGTCGACTGCCGCGGTCCAGGTCTTGCCGTCCGCGCCAGTGACAGTGACCTCGGTCTTGTCGGCCCAGTTGGTTGGCGCGCCGACAATGACGACCTTGTCGACGCTGACGCTCTTCATGTTCTTGAGCCACTCGCCCTGCTTGATCTTCCTGGTGTCCCTGCCCTCGGCGTCCGTGGACGACAGCACGCTGCCGTCGAGCACGAAGCTGCGGTGGATGTACTGGTCCTTCTCGAAGTCGAACGAGTCGCCGTCATCCGCGTAAAGCTCGCCCTCGGCGTGGTTGCCCGACTTGGGTAGAGTCACGACGAGCGTGTAGTCGTCCCACTTCATCAGCGCCGCGGACCTCCTTGGCCGGTCGCGGCGGGGGAAGATGTGGCCGCCATGCATGAGCAGGGGAATCTTGTCCAGTGGCGCCGAGACGGTGACCTTCTTGCCCTTCTGGGTCGGGACGATGTCGTAGGTGAAGTAGTCGTAGTACACACCGTCATCGGGAATGTAAATGTCTGTAGATTCCTGATCCTTGTCCACGATAGGCTTGACGAGAAGACCGGTGCTGCCAAGGAAGAGTTGGTCGTCAACGTCAAGACTGCCCTCATCGGATGGGTTGGTGTAGAACATGGGGCGGACGATAGGAGAGCCATCCTTGTGCGCCTGGTAGAAGGCTGTGTACCACGAAGGCAGAAGGCTGTAGCGCAGGCGCAGGGCTGAGGTGACCATGCTGGTGTAAGGCTCGCCGATCAAGTAGGGCTCCCGACGGCGTGCATCGATGTGCGCGTGACCACGGAAAAAGGGGTAGAAAGCACCAGCTTGGAACCAACGGACTTGCAGATCCTGCTCTGGGTTTCCGAAGAAGCCACCGACATCAGCACCTGCGAAGGGGAAACCAGAGATGCCCTGGGCCAAGATCATGGGAATTGAAGCCGCAAGGTGGTCCCAAGAGGCTTGGTTGTCTCCGGTCCACATGGCGCCAATACGCTGAGATCCGGCGAAGAAGGATCGAGTGAGGACGAACGGTCGGCGCGACTCGCCCTTCTTACGCGACACGAGAGCCTGATAAGTGGCGTTGTGGAAGGTCATGCCGTTGAGGTTGTGGACGTCGCGGTGCTCCCAGCCGCCGTGGTGGATGTTGTCCTTGGGCATGGTGACCTCGGGTCCGTTGAAGACTGAAGGCTCATTCATATCGTTCCAGATCCACGTGTTCTCCATGGTGCCCTTGAAGGCATCGTAGCGGAAGAGCGACTTCCACCACTTGATGGCTTCGGGGTTGAAGCAGTCGACCCAGTGAGAAGACCCAGGCCAGCACCAACCCTCATATATGTTAGACTCCTTGTTCTTGACTGCCAATTCCTTGGATTTCAGCTCGGAGACGACAGCGTAGTCATTCTCGTTCTTGATATGAGGATCGATGATGGTCACCAACTGGCGGCCACTGGCATCAAGCTGCTTGCCCATGCCGATGGGGTCCTTGAACATTTGGTCATCCCAGGTGAAGTACTTCTTGCCGTCTGTGTACTCGATGTCGAGCCAAATGACATCGTATGGGATCTTGTGCTTGTCCATCTTGCGATCGACATCCTTGACGTCGTCGTCGGAGATGTAATTCCAGCGGCACTGGTGGTATCCGATTGCGAACTCTTGTGGCATGGCAGTGGTACCAGTAAGTTCACCAAAGGCCTTGGTGAGGTCCTTAGGACTAGGGCCAAGGAAGACAAAGACGTCGAGCAGACCACTCTCTGAAATCCAATGGGAATGGGTGTTCGTCTTGGCAGAAGTGCCGATGGCCAGTGGGTTCTTGGAGTCCTTGGCCTTGGTGATATCGACCCAGGTCTCAGCAGCGTTGAGCCAGAAAACACCAACTGACGAGTCCTTCTTGTGAGCCTGCATGAAGGGAATGGCTCCGTAGAGCGTCATAGGGCTGTTCAAGATGTACTCGAAGACGTCGGCGTTGTACAGCCTGTACGGCTCCTCAAAGTTGCCCTCGCCACCACGAGTCTCCCTCAGAGAGAGCGGGCCGGTGTGCTCGGGGATGCCGTAGACATGGTCGTAGCCGACGAAGGAGATGTCGAGAGCAACACTCTCGGGGCCGCGGGGCTTCGAGTCGGTGTTACCGCCGAAACTTTCCTCCCACCAAGTGCTCTCATCTTCGCCTTTGGGCTCCTCCTCGACCTTCTTCTCGGCTTCTGCGTCTGCGCTTGCCTCTGCCTCGCCCTCCTTCTTCTCGGGCTCGGCCTTCTCGATCTTCGGCCTCCAGTGCTCCATATTCAGCAAGCCACGGTCATTGAACTTGATCTGCGAGTTGCCGTCTCTCTTGAAGTCAACGCTGAAAGGTGCAAACTTGATGATCGCCTCGAACTTGGAGTCGGGTCCATACTGAACAGTAGTCTGGGACTTGTCCTCGAAGACAACCTTGGCATCCTTGTCCAGAGCGGTACCACCGACAATAACCAGCTTCTCGGCCTCGTTGTAGCGTTCCTTGCGGACTGGGCTGTTGTGGCGGAGCTCGATCTCTCCCTTTTGGCGCTTCTCCTCGTCAACGGTGACCCGCGCGGTGCCTGCCTGGAGGAAGGAGACGGTAATTGGGAGTCGAACGGTCTCGCCCTGCTCGTTGATGGTCTTGAGGATGACAGCCTGGAACTGGCCATCCTTGAAGGATGTTGACTCTGGTAGGATCTTGTATGGTGTTTCCCAGGAACTCGATGCGAGTGCATCATCGGCGTATGCCCTGTTGCGTTTGCAGAAGCCGGACTGGTGGCATTTCTTGAAGTCGTTCTCCTTGACCGAGACTGTGATGTGGCGGATTAGAACGGGCCCGAGTCTGGGGGCAGCATGGCCAGACTTGTGTGTTCTGATACTCACCTGCAGGAGTAATCATGGATAGCAAGAGGGAGAAGAAGCAAAAGTAGGCTGTCCACCTCTGGGACAGCCATTGGGAATGCATGGCAGGCAGGATGTTGCCCTCTGGGCTGCGGGCTACAGTTGTCGACGCCCTGGGAAAGCAAGTATATGCTGAAGACAGGCTATGAGAGGATGTGTATCATGGGTTTCTGTGGTGTTCAATTGTCCAGTGGGGTGCCCGCCGGAAAATTGTACGAGGCACTATCTCCCAGTCCTCTTGCTGGGTTGAAGAGTGTATGTAGCTGTCCAGTGTGTGGATGTTTCGAGGTCGGTCGTCGTGGTCTCGAGCACCGAAACGTCAAGCTGGCCCCTAGTTACCTAGGTACCTGGGTCCAAGTGGGCGTTGGTGTAAGCGCTGTCTCGGAAAAACGAGAGTTGGCCCCCCCCCTACAAAATGCCCCCTATTCCTCGGCTAAATTAAAACTTTGCTAGCAAAATAAAAAACCCAATATTTTTACCAAAATACCTATATTAACCTTATTAATACTAGCAATAAATTATTTTTATTACCCAATTAAATAAAAGTAATATTATATTAATTTTATATAATTAATTTAAGCCTAGCTTATAAAGGTATATATAATTTGCTTACCTTAATATAAGGTAATATTAGCCCAGCTAATATTATAAATAATATACTTTAATTAACCTATTAAGCCTAAATTATTTAATATTTATTATATAAAACCCACTTAAAAAGTTAAATTATATAATTTATTAATAAAAATATTATACTATTTAAATAGTTATATACTTAAAAGTTAATTACTAAGATAATTAAGGCTTAATAAATTACTTAAAAGCACTTATAAGCATTCTTAAAAACCGCCTAAAATAAGGCTATTATAATAAATTAAGCAATTTAAAAAGCGTAAAAAAATACTATTAAAGTTAATAATAAAAAAAATATATTTAATAATAAAAAAAAAGGCTTTAAAAAGTACTAATAATAAAAACCTTTTTACTAATAAGATGGGATTTTTAATAAATAATAATAATAATAATATTAAATATCTTAAAAATTGCCTAATTAATCCCTTAATATAAATATATTTAAATAAACTAGCCTTAATTTTATTTATTAAAATTTATAACTTAAAAGCTAATATTACTTTTATTATATAATTTAAAAATAAATTATTATATTAAAGAAAAAAATAAAGGTTAAAAGATTTAAGGCCTTTTATTAAATTATATTAATTTATTTAAAAATTTAATTAAAAAAATATAAAACTATTTAAATATAATTATTAAATTAAAAATATCTTTATTAAAACTAGTTAGTTTATAAGCTAAAAATTTTTAATTTTATAATTAAAAACTATAAAAAAATATTAACAAAAATTAAAATATTTAATTATAATAATATTATAAATATACTTTTAAATTTTAAAAATCCTTTTTTAATTTTTATATAATTATAAGGTTATATTACTAATATAAAAGTTATAAATACTTATATTATAAAATAATTATTTAGCTAAATACTTATTAATTAAGTTTTTAGCTATTACTAGCTATTTAGCAAATAGCTACCTTAAAAATAATTTATTAGTAATTAAGTAAATAATAAACCTAAATATGCCTAATAAAAATTTAAACCTTAAAACTTTTAATTTATATTAATAACTATTAAATAAAAGGTTAAAATAAAGATAAAAGTAAACCTTATATAAAAGAAATATAAATAATTAATAAAATATAATTATATTTTTAAATAATTACTATAAAGCTAATTATTACTATTAAAATAAAGGAAATTTTATAATAATAATATTTTATTAGGTAAAATAATATATATATTAGCTTATTTAATAAAAATTTAAAAATTGTTTAATATAATTATAATAAATAATATTATAATTAAATATTTATTAAAAGTTCTTTTAATTGCTAAATAGCTTAAATAAAGCTTAATAAAAAAAAGCTTAATAATAATAAAATTAGCCTTATTCCTTTTTAAAAAAAATAATAAAAATAAAAGTAAAAAAAAAATAGTATTAATATAATTATTAATTTATTATTTAATATTAATTTACTTAAAATTAAATATAATTAAATAGCTTTAATAAGGCCGCTATTACTACTATTATTATTAGCTTCTTTTTATAAATTTAATAGGGCTTTACTACTATTAGCAGCAATAATAATAGTATTTAAAAGCCTATTATAAAGGTAAAGGTTACTAGTTATTCTTTTATTATTACTATTATAAATAAAAGAAAATAAAATAATTTTATATTAAAAGTTTATTATAAAAGTACTTTAAAAGTACTTTAAAAACTTATTAAAAAGGGCTTAACTTAAATAATTTACAAAAATTATAAAATATAAAAGGCTTAACCTTTATAGGCTTTATAAAAAAAAAATATTTAATTTAATAAATATAATTTAAAAGCTATTTTATTAGTTAAAATATTAATTAAGCTATATTTAAAAAAAAATTTTATTAATTTTTTTAATAATAATAATAATAATAAAAACTTATTATTATAATAAAGGCTATTAAATAGCCATTTAATAAATTGCTAAATAAATATTAAAAATATATATTTTATAAAACCTATAAAAGTTACCTAACTAACTAATTAACTTTATTTAATATTAGGCCTTATAACTAGGTTAGCTATTTAATAAAAGGGTTAAAAGCTTACCAAAATAGTCCTCTATATTTAATAAAATGGAAAAATTATATAATAAGTTTTAAAAAACTTTTTAAATAAAAAAGTAATAATTAAATATATAAAAATATAATTAACAATAAAAGTAATTAAAAAAATTAATTATTTTAAATAAATAAAATAAATTAAATATTTAATACTAGATAACTAATTAATTAAATAAATTTACTTATAGCTAATTTATTTATTTTAACCCTAACTACTAACTTAACTATTTAATTTATAAATAATACTTTTTACTTATATAATTATATTTAATTAAAACTTTATTAATTTTAGTTTTATAATTTCTAATTAATATTATTATATTTATTTTATTTTATACTTTTTTAATATTTATATATAATAAAAATATTTTTAAATAGCCTTAATTTTAAATTTAACCTTTTAAATATAAAAATAAAAATTAAATAAAATTCCTATTTAAATTATAATTTAACAACTTATACTAATATTAATAATATAAATAATATTTTAAGTTACTAAAATATATTTTAATAAAATTAAAATTAAAAAGTATAAAAGTAAATATTTATATTTTATGCCTTTTATATTTATTATTTTAATTATTTTTATGCTATAATATTATAAAGTATTATTTATTATAAAATTAACTTTAAGCCTAAATATAAGTTTATTTTTAATAAAATATTTTTATTAGCTATTATAAAAGTACTTTTTATTATATAACCTTTATATATTATAATAATAAATAAGCCATTAAATATAATTATAAAAATATAAAAGCAAGCTTCTTATTTAAAAGACTTTTAATTTATAAAATATACCTAATAAATACTTAATTTATTCTTTTATACTATTTTGCTTATTAAAACTAAATTTATTAATAAAAATAAATATTTCTATTATATAGTCCAACTAATATACCTACTAAAAATAGTAGTTATAAAGCTTTTATTATACTAACAGGCTAATATATATATTTATTTATTATTTTATATATAAATTTTAAAAATATTACCTATTATTTTTATAATAATATTAATTTAAAACTATTTAGAAAAAACATTATATTTTATTAAAATATAAATTTAGCTTATTAAGAAAATCTTTTAACTTTTAGCCTATATAACCTATATATTAATTAAGCTTTATAAACTTATTATAAAAAATAAACTAATAAACCTTTAAAGCTTATTATTTTAATTTAATTATATTTAATAATAATAGTAATAATATATTTAGGGTAATTATATAAATAATAGCAACCCTTTAATAGTATTTTTAAATTATAATATAACTAATTTAAAATTTAGCTTATAGCTATTTATTTAATAAAAATAAATTAAAATATAAATAAAACTTTAATTATTAAAGTTTATAACTTAATAGGTAATAGCTTGCTATTATTAGCCTTTTTTTTTCCTCTTTTAGGGTATAAATGGTATTAAGTATAGTATTTTATTAAAAATGTTGGGTTTTCCGCCCTATTAGCAAAGTTTTAATTTAGCCAAGGAATAGGGGGCATTTTGCAGGGGGGGGGGCAATTCTCGTTTTTCCAAGATAGCGGCCCGGCAGGCAATAGGCAATGCCTTCTGATTGGAGGACCCCTGTCCTGCACCTACCTAGGTACGGAGTACATAGTACATAGCATGCATCCCCTCTAAGGACTCGGTAACGGTCAATATACAATTGAATGCAAATAGATGTATGCATGTCTGTATATCTTGGGCGTATCTGACAATAAATCCAAATACAAATTTACTGAAACTAGTCTTCCCGATTGTCTTATCATCTGTCCTGGGGTTGACAGGGAGGGGAGCTTCCGCCGCCTGCTCCTGACAGCTCATGCTCTGGCGGCGGTGAGAGATGTGTTTGGTTCTGGCTGGAGCTTGACTGCCTTGCCTCATCCACAGCAACCACCTCCTCCCAAGGCCTTATCCTCTTCCACCGGTAGAGAGGCAATTGCGCGGCCAAGTGTCCATACCAAGACCTGCCACACGTCCAATTAGTCTATTGGTTCTCTCAACGGTTTTATATTCAACACCCACGGGCAATTATTTCAGGTGTTAAGGTCTAGAGGGCGGCGGGATCCCGGGCTGCAACAGTGGTGAGCCACTGAACCATCGAGCTGTTGAGCTGGCACCCCGCGGGTTGCATGAAATGCCCCGCCAAGTCGAACAGCGGAGGCCTGGAGGCGGTGGCGGTCCAGGCACAAGCACAAGCAAGCGGCGGACCCCACTGCTGCCGTTGCTTGCCGTGGTCTTAGCGGCCCTCGTAGCTGTCCTCTCGAGAAATCTCTTTTATTCCAGCTCCCGGACCCCAACCGTCTCCTGTCCAGCCGCCGACTCTCCTGCCTCTATCAACACAGACATCCTTCCTGTTCGTTCAGAAGAGCCACCTCAACCACCAGTCACCATGTCCGCCTCCGAACAGACGTGAGTTCCTGTCCCCAGACAGCTCTCAGCATTGCCTCGACCTTGAACTGCACGACGTCGTCCCGAGCAGGTTGCTAACGTGTCCTACTTGCAGCTTCATTGCTATCAAGCCTGATGGCGTCCAGGTATGCAGCTTGACAAACTGGCATATATAGGGCCTCATCTACCGCGATGCGACAACTGACACCGCTCGCAGCGTGGCCTCGTTGGTCCCATCATCCAGCGCTTCGAGCAGCGTGGGTAAGCTTCTCCGTCCCTTCCCCCTTTTCCCCAGGCCATTGAGTTCTCGCATCAGAGGATAGGCACGGTACTGACACTGCTCCTCCCTCCAGCTACAAGCTCGTCGCCATCAAGCTGGTCACTCCCAGCAAGGAGCACCTCGAGACTCACTGTTCGTGGCCCCTCGCCTTCCCGACAAGACCCTGAAATTGCCTGCTGCTGGAGCTACCCCGCCATGCTGCCTACACACAGCCCCTCGGCCGAAACATTTTACTGACCGCCTCTCAACAGACTCTGACCTGAAGGACAAGCCCTTCTTCCCCGGTCTGCTCTCTTGTATGTTTTCCTCTGCCCCACAGTCCTCATGGGATCCTTTCGAACGCGGACAAAGCTGACCTCCTGTCCCCTTCAGACATGCTGTCTGGCCCCATCGCCGCCATGGTCTGGGAGGGCCGTGACGCCGTCAAGACCGGCCGTGTCCTGCTCGGTGCCACCAACCCCCTGGCCTCCGCCCCCGGCACCATCCGTGGTGACTTCTCCATCGACGTCGGCCGCAACGTCTGCCACGGCTCCGACTCTGTCGAGAGCGCCAAGAAGGAGATTGCCCTCTGGTTCAAGGAGGGTGAGCTCGTCAGCTACAAGTCCGCCCAGCACGACTGGATCTACGAGAAGCCTTAAATGGTTTCCTCACCACACGACCAGCACTGTTGAACCCTCCGTGGACATGGATCATCATGCATTCAAGAATGCGTGGTTGACTGCCCCAGGATCCCTCAGATAGAGCGGCGATAGTAAACGGGAAAAAATATAAAAGCTTCGACACACAAGAGCCACTCGACAGTGAAAGCAACTGCCTCGCCCCCTGGGGACTCGTGCTAGTAGCAGACAGTGGATCACCTCACGTAGTCCTGGGTTGCTCATGAGAGCTCGGAAGGTGCATATTTTTGGAATGAGCTTGCCAAGCGGTTCTACACGAGAGCCACACCAACTCATTACTGCCGCCTCTTGCCCAGGGGCAGGACTCGTCGCACCCGGCCCATCAAACCAGCAAACCAAGGGGTCGCCCACAGGCTGAACACGATCCGCGCGGGCAACAACACCTTGGTGATGGCATACGCCAGCGCGACCTCCACCACGATCCTGTACTTTCCATCCGAGCCCTCCCACCGGCGCATGACAGCATCACTGCCATCAGCCCCAGCCGCCCCGGCCGCCCCAGCCGCCTCGACCCCCGTGGCGGCCTGGTCACTGTCTTCTTGCCCGAAACCAAACCACTTCTTCCTAGTAAAGTACCGCTCAAACCTCGCCGTCCCGTCCCGCACGTAGTCCCCGTAGTGCTCCATCATGTACCCCATGGGCGCGGCCGACGCGCCGCCGTAGTGGAACAGGCCAAAGAGCCCGAGGAGCGGCACCACGGCCGTGATCTCGTGCAGCACGAGGAAGGCCACGACGTGTGACAACGGCGCGCTGCGGAGCCGGCCTGCGTAGCCCTGCATGCTGCGCGGCAGGCGCGACAGGATCCGGTCTGCCCGGGACTGTCGCTTGCTCGCCGCCGCCTCCTCCGCCGCTGCTCCCGCCGAGGACGGGGGCGGGGGCGGGGGCGGGGGCGGGGCCTTTGTGCTGTTGAGGCGCCCCGCTGGTTGTGCGAAGCGTGTCCCCGGCTGGCGGAGGGGCCGGAGGACGTGGGAGAGGCGGTTCCTCCACCACATGGCCGTCTTGGTTGTCGGCGGACGATTTGGGGACGAGTTGATTTGCCGGGCAAGGCGACAGGATAGTACTGAGTGCGATGGGTTCTTCGCTCAACCGTGTTTATAATTTCGAATCAACCATTGTGCGCCCTCTCGCCGTCTTTGGCAGCTGCCACGTTTTGCAACAGTGTCAGGAACAAGCTGTTGCTTGTCTGGAGCTGGAGCCGGAGCTGGAGCTATTGGATATTAAGCTCCACGCACAAGGTGCGATGGAGATGGGCCAGCTAAATTGTTAGTGCAAAAAACGGTCTCAGCTACCATCTCAAACCCTCTGCCATTCCCCTTCAGCGTGAGAGATGAACTATACAGCAAGGAGACACGTTAATTCAAAGAGGCAGATTTCTTGATCGATAGCCTGGCTGTGCTCCAGCTAATGTTCGAGAATATCAGCGTTGCTTCCTGGGGTGTTTGTTCCGCTTCCCCATTACCCGGGCAAGAATCGGCGAAGATTGCCGTTTTGCCCCCCGTCCTCCGACTTACAGTAGACGAGGGCTTGCTCAACTTCAAGCCACGGCCAAGTATATGGGTTTCGTGGACCACAAGGTGGGCATGGTTCTCAAAAGACTTCTGCAAATCGCCACGCTTTCCACCGTTTTTTCTTAAACCATGGACTCATGAAATCTGTCAACGGCCCGTTATCAAAGGCAATGAACGCCGGTCGAGGTTGAGCCTGAACCATCTCATACTCTAAACCGTCTTGAAGTGGGCACTCACATCATCCCCCGGTTGATCGCGATGGCATCACCGCCGAGCTCTCCTGCCTCGGCCATCACATCTTTGCCAGGCGAAGACTGGTTCTTCGCCGGCCTGTCCTCCTCCTTCCCCGACATCACCGACTCAAGCGAGCCCTACTTCAAACTAGTCTGGCCACAGCCATGCGGGACAGGAGCAGCAGGGGTCCCGCAGCCCGCAGACACCCCCAAGGCCCCCGCCTGCAAGATCTTCCACCCCAAGGCCGCACCCGCCGCGGTCGAGCAGGTCGACACCGACGCCGCGGCCGGCGAGGACGCCTGGCTGATGCGGGAGCAGGTGCTGGTCTTCCGGTACAAGGGCCGCTTCCACGCGGTAGACCACGCCTGCCCGCACCGCGCGTACTCGCTCTCGTGGGGCGTGCCCTTCGACATCGAGGATGCGGGCAGTGGCCGGACGCTGGGCCATGCCATCAGGTGCCGGGGCCATAGCTTCGCGTTCGAGCTGACCACGGGGGCTGGGGACCGCGGCGGGTACTGGCTGGGCGTGTGGGACGTCGAGCTGCGGCCTGTGGCTGGGGTTGTCGCTGTCAAGGACGGGGTCAGTAGCGGTGCTGGTAAGATTGATGAGGTGCAGCAAGAGGAGAGGGAGGTCTGGGTGAGAAGGCGGAGGAGGAGGAGGAATCAGGGGCCGCGCTGAGTTGTCACAGCTCTCGTTCCACACTCTATTGTATATGATGATGACTCTTCTACCACTGGCAGCCGTAAGCTGTGGTCTTCAGATTGTTGGAATCGTCACCAACCGCCCGGTCCGCCCTGCAGGCCGCTGGCCTCGCTAACATGTATAACCAAGTAGTCACACGCATTATCACTCTAACATTGCCATACCTCGAAAAGGCTACATGATGGTATATTGCAGATCCTACGATTAGCCTACTTCTAGTCTTATTCTGTAAGAAGCTGTTCCATAGACCTCCTTTTTCATAGTCTTCCTAAGGCTACCCATGATATGGCAATCCCTCACTTGGCAGAAGGTTATTTCATTGGAGGCTATCTTGTAAGAGGTTCTGGGGATTTGTTCTCAAGAAAGTCTTCGTACAGGAAGCTAAGAGTTCTGTCTAAGGGCGACAGCCGGTTACGATTTACCACCTGCATACAGTTTGCGATGAGCATGTTCTACTTCTGCCTCTCTCACTTCACCCCCTGTATCTTTTCCTACTTTCCAAAGAGAAGAGAACCGCGCGAATACTCTGTCACCTAGCAGACCATATTTCTCTCGTGGGACTCCCTTTTCTTGCTATTCACGAATGACGCCGCCGTTTCTGCCTCTCCGGGCCTTACGAATTCGATGAGAAAAGAGCCGGAAGGAGAGTTGCGGTCCCCTTTTACTTGCTCCACCGATGCCCTGTTGTGAATTCGTCAGCTCCGGTGGCATGCACAGGTGGCTAGGAGAACCCCCCCATGGGATGATCTCCTACTACCTAGGTGGCATGGGCGAAGCGAAAGCAAGACGAATGAAAGTGGTCAAAGAAACGAGTAACCAAAGAAATATACTTGCACGTCAAACTGCTTAAAAAGATCCAGCACAGTGTTCAGTAACGACATATCTTGGGCTCTTCCACCGCCGCCAAGGTAGTCAAAACCACGTTCCAGCCCCTCGACGCGTAACTCACCGCCGTCTCTCTGTACAATCATCAATAGTGGCGGCCTGCGCCCTGGCGGAACACGAACTGCACTTTTCCGCAGCGCTGCGATGAAGCCTTCCCGGGTGCCACAAGAGACGAAGGAGGTAGTCCCCGCTCCGCGATGGAATTTTGGTATCTCTCTTCTTCGGTCAAAGGTCCACGGATGGCAAGAGATAGCGTTGAGGCCGTCGTTTCGGATCTCTTCGCGGAGACGTTTGGCCTCAGTGCGCTCGAGTGTCGTCCACAGCACCGCATACATCGGGTAAATATGAGGCTCCCAGGGCTCGTCGCTTGAATTCGGCCCCTTATCCAGGACCGATGGAATTTGAGGACCTTGGATCTCGAATGTATCATTGCTGTGGTCCCCGAGTTCGCGGACAGGGATCTGTGGTGGGCTCCCTTCTTCGGCCACGTACATCTTCGTGTGGTTTTGAAGAAGGCGCTGGATTGCGTAGCCGGGCTCCTCCCCGAGGTCCATGATTGAGGGGATTGGTCGTTGTCTGGGCTCATTCTGGGCTTGCTGATTCTGGGCTTCATGGTCCTGGGCGTTTTCGTGATTAAGAGGTGGTGAGCCTGAAGATGCGCCCTCCAAATTGGTGCTGTCAAGTGGTTCCTGAGGCTGCTGAGGTTGCACAGGCTGGGTACTACCGACGCCCAGCAGTGAAGGCTGCTGAAGCTGGTTGTAGTCATGAACCCCCTCGTACCCGCTAGGGCCTCCATAGTAGGACATCCCTTCAAGTCTTCTTCAAGTATTGGCGACAGGTCTCGGTTTGTGTCAGATGTGGTAACTTCTCAGGATGATGATGGTCGTTATATGCGTGATGAGCTAACACAATGCCGGCGAATTCTTGGGTGGCGGTAAGGTCAACGTTGACTATGCCGAAGTATGGGAGTGTTGACAGAAGTGAGCGCATCCGACTGAAGACGAAAGCGCTGAATCACGTCGACGCGGGTGGTGCGCAAGGAGCCAAGCGCTATCCACGATTTCATGTTCACACGAGGAAGGAACGACACCGCCACGGAAGCACAAGCGTCCAGCGGAAGGAAGGCAAAACCAACGAGCCAAAAAATGGGCGAGCAGGTGGAGTCCCAGAGGATCACCGCCAGCCAACGACCCCATGAGATCAAATGGGGGGTATCTATTCCTTTTTGCTATGCTTGTTGATGCTAGGCGCCTTGTCTCCATCATGCGCAACATGACTGAAGAACCCATTGCCTCTACCCGTGCTCCTACCACACTCCCCGCCTTGTCTGAGTCTCATCAGCAAGACTGCCTTCCATCTCATCTTTTCTTGCCTTGCCGGTGACTTCAACAAGATGCTTTACCCCCGTGTGGTTGTCAAATGATTGATGCCGCTCCCTTCTCATCTATGCCCAACGCCCGTCGCTGAGGACTGATCCTGACCATCGTTCATTCATTGAGAGAAGACCGTTGAGCATGCAGCTACCCTGGCTCGTATATGCATTGCATGCCTCACTCGATGCCGCCATGAATCAACGATCGTTGCCGCACGCCGGCCACCCATAGCCGGTCGAACAAGTATGTCTTCAAGTCTTATTTGTAATAGTCCTCGGGGTTCCCGTCCGCAGTGGGAAGCTCCATGCTGCCGTCAATCTCCATGGCCTGGTCCATAATAGAGGCCCTTTTGTCGACAGTCCCGTTTGGCCGCCGGACAATGAAGGGCGACACGGGTGAGACGCGCTCAGCCATCTCTGGGGCCTTTGGCACATCCGCCCCATTACCGGCCTGGTCCTTCGCGTCTAGAGAGATCCTAGCAAGCCGCTCACTGGACCTTCTGATGCCAGGTGACCCGTGGTCACTCGCGTCATCCCTGGCTGACATCGGAGGCGAGGGCGGGGCGCCGCCCATGGACGCCGCGAGTTCTTGAGACGGGGTCGGCCGCATCTCCTCCATCTCGGTGCTCATAATGGCTGTGCCGTCACCGTACTGAAAGGGATTGATTCCGTCTCTTGAATCCTGGTCTCCCATCAGCGCGTCCCGCTCCCCCGCATCACTGAAGTCGCCAAGCGATGCCCGATTCGTAGCCATCGAGTCAACGCTATTGCTCCTCTGTCTCTTCAGCGGCGACTCTGGTACCTGTGGAGCATTCCGCTTTTTGTCTGCAGGTGTGGGTTCTTCCAGCAATTCTTGCTTGAAGAGACGATTGTCGAACTTGACGAATGTCTGGGTTGTGTTAGCTGGACAAACCGGCGACATGACGGATTCATGCAAATATTCGCGATTGATCTTACCTTCAGCGCATCCGACAGAGGGGCGGGCTCCTCATTCAACGCTTTGTCTGTCGCGTACACCAGTATTGGCACTTTGGAGCCATCTGCATCAGTCTCGGTGAAGATGGCTTCCTGGACCTTCTCAAAGGTCGTTACCTATTGAACGAGGGTCAGCATCCTAGGGCGAGATCGAAACCAGCGCTGCACATACCTCCTGTCTGACAGGATTCTCGTCACCGGCCACCCAAGCAACCCGCCACCACTGATCAACCTTTGAGCTTGGAGCCTCTGTCTCTGCAGGATCCGCCTCTTTCCGCCTGCACATGTACACTACGTCGTGTGACGTGATCACGCCTCGCAAAGTGTACTTGTGCGTCGGGTTCATTCCTTCCTCCTCGCTAGGGACAGTCAAAACCTCAGCCATCTGACGAAGAATATCGCAGCACGCCTTCTTCTCCCGCCCAAGACCTATCAAGATGTCAGCTACAAGTACAAGGATTGGCTGTCCAGGGGTCTTACGAGCTAGCTGTTGATCAATGTTCACAAGCTTGCGCTTGGCCACATCGAGCTGCGACTCGAAAATCTTCACTGTCTTGTCCTCTTGCTCGTTCAGCTCGGCAAGGTGGTTTAACTCGGCCGGCAGGTATGGGATCTCGTCCTTGGTTCCGACCGATTGCTCGTGCTTTCTCCACAGCGCGTTCGCTCGGACTTTCCAGATTTGATTCTCAACCTTGGCGATGACCTTCTTGGTCAGTGAGATCTTGTCATAGTCTTTCCAGGTATCTGCTGAATCATTCCATTTCGTTATCTTGTTCTCTGCGTCTTTACTCTGTGCCAGCGCTTGCCAGAGCTGAACCATCTGCGATTTCAGAATGCGGGCGGTGCCGAGGTTTTTCTCAAGGTACCTGTCAATGTAGAATGTTTCTGGGATCTCGATCCGATGATTCTCAAGCTTGATGCGCATCGTCAAGACTTCACCAGGGTCCTCCATATACGCGGTCTGCTTTGATTCCTCATGCGGGAAGCCGGAAAGTTCTGACTGCTGTTGGATCCAAAACAGGGCGTCCCACAAGCTGTAAAGGCTGTGCAGGACGTCTGAGAGCTCGTCCGGTACTTTGAACTCGAGGATACCGAATTCGGATGTTGGTGAGCTTGTTGACGCATCAACTTCATCCGCTCCAGGCTCGAAACGTACGAGTGTCCACATTGTCGATCGAACAATTTCAGAGCCGGCTTTGCTATATAGGTTCTGATAGAAATGCACCACGGGGTCCCAAGCATTCTTCATGAGTGGGCTTTCGCACAAGGAGTCGGCTGTTCCGTAGCTTCGCTGTGTATCGTCGAGAAAAGCCATCAACCGTTGGATCTCGTCCTCCAATTTCACGTTTGGGTAGCTGTAGGCCTCGGGTAAGGCTTCTGTTGATCCGCTGCTTGCACAAAGTATCGCATCGCCTTTCCACCACGAATTGTTGTGTCCGTACGTCCCAGGTTGTTCGGATGCATCCAAAGACAGGAAGAAATTCCTGGCTGCAGGGATGTCATGCTTGATCATCAATAACGGGCCAAGGCGATGTCTCTGTGCGCCGTTGTGTCGACAAAGGAGGAAGACCGGCGTCAAAGGGTCTCGTTTTCTCGCCGATGGCGACGGATCGGATGCCTCCTTATTCACCCGAACCATTGCCCACTGGTCGTCTTGATAGGTCTCCCTGTTGGCCGGGCCGAAGAAGGGGAGACTGGTGTCGGTGCTGATTACACCGCTCTCCTGTGGAGTGGCGCCTCTAGTAGCGGCGGCGCTCGTGGACTCGAGGAGGGCTCTGTTCAAATCTTCGTCGGCTTGCTGCTGCGTCGTTGGCGCACCTAGTCCAGCGTCAGTCTCCTAGGCCGGGCATTCTGCTGTTGAGTAGGATGGCAGGGGGAGTTGGAAATGCATAATATCAGAACCAGGCGTGATATATCAGTACCAACTGTGTAGTTTGTCGTCCAATCATCTATCATCTTACCCAAAGGTGATCTGTTCTGCGCTCTTGAGGGTGGTCGCGAAGGCGCGACAAGGCCACCACTCTGGTCCCATGCGTTAGCAGTGGGGTCGTACTGGTCGGGCCCTTGGACTTGGAAGCCTAGAACAGCAGGGAAATCAGCGCCGTGGCAGAATAACATGTCGACTGGTACATCAACGCACTTGGTAAGCTCGAGCCGTCTCGGTCCGCCATGAACTGCGCTTCATTCCATGAGAATTTGGACCTGAACTTCTGCAGGTCAGCACTTCATTTCCGCCTGTTACTCGGAAGGCTCGTTCGTAGGAGGATATAAGTGTACAGTATCTTGGTCCTCAAAGTACTCGTTGACGACTTGTGCCATGTTATTGTTGTGGGCCTGCGAAAGACAGAATTTAGTCAGCTGCTGGAGGAAGATGCGCGTCGCAGGGGTTGACACGTGCTGACCTTGAGAGCTCTGGAGAACATCTGCCTGTCTCTGGTCTCATATACATCCAGCATTTCGCAGACGGCGTTGATCTCATCCTCAGTGGGTTCCGCCATGGCTGCTGTCCGGTGGCTGGTGCACACCGGCGGTCTCGACCTTGGGTGTCAAGAGACTGTTGGCAGAAAAGATCGTGGGGCTGGCTTTGGGTCGTTCGCAGATTCGGGCTTGTGTTGTGTTCCATGCAAGCTGGAAGCTCAGAAGCTTCGAAATGGGGACAGGTTGAAGGAGGGGCAGAGGTCGTCCAGAGGGCTTGGGCAAGACGTCGATTGTTCGGGCCGCCCACGGAGTAGTTCCTGCTTGGACCCTCCCCAACGGCCAAAATCGTGTTCGTGGTGCGTTCCCAGGCGTGGGATCTTGAATTCGGCGGGACGAGATGCGCATAAGACGAATGATTGTATCAGATGAGCTCACTCGGAATGAAGTCTCCTCCCCGCTGCGTCAGAGCAAAGTGGGAGGTTGTGAAAGTGCTAATGAGTAGGTGCTGTCAGACAGCAAATGCAGCTACGTAAGAGTCCTGGCACTGCCCCCGGCACGCCCAAAGCTAGCTAACTGGCCCTAGTCACTTGGTACCTTGGGGGTGAAGTGCCTCCGGGGAACCCCTGTCCCTTGACAAGCACCAAATCTTCAGCAACGAGCATGCTGCGAGGCGGTCCTCACATTTTCTCGCAGCTCTTGTTATTATGGTCGTGCGTCTTGTTTTCTACATTCTTACAGTGGTTCAAGTCTCACATGTCATTGTGTCACGGCCAGAAGTTACAGCAAATCTGTGTATCCCTGTCTATCTCAAAAAGATGAATCTGACTCCCAGTAAGCGCAGTAAATGCTTTCTGCCCCACGACACCACTGGTTGACCGTGGACTATGGTTCCAATAACTGGCTGCGCCCTCTGATGCAGCCTTGTTCAGATATAATGGTACTGTGAGGGCAATGCAGCCCTTCCATATTACCTTCCTCCCCGCCCTGGCGCCTTTTTTCTTCTGGCCCCGAATCAAAAGGGGTTATCCACACGGCCAGTCCTTGATGCCGGGCTCAGTGAGCCAGAAACCTTGTCTGATAAGAGTCCGAGACGGTGGTGCCCATGCTGGCCCCTTGTGTAATTCCCAAACGCCAGCCAAGTTGTAAAAGCGCGCTATGCAGGTAATTTGAGTGCCTCGTGCCGGCTGAGACTCGCCGCGCGAGAAAGGCCTCCTACGGGCTACCGAAGCATGAGTGACCTCGGCGGGACTTCTAGAATGAGAGGTCCAACGCAAGGCGAGAGATGATGGCTTGCCATGCCTAGACATCATCCTCGTCATCCTCCATGTCGTCGTCGGAGCCGCTAGCCTCCCAGTCGAATTCCTCCTCGCTCTCGTTCAGCCAGTCATCGTCCATGGCCTTTGGTGGAGGGGCCTCTGGCTCGAGGGTGGTCGGTATGACGAAGTCGTCGGGGATGTCCTTCTGCGAGTCGGCCACCGTCTTCCGAGCTTTCTCGTTGTAGGCTCTCCTGTTGTCTCGGTACATGACACCAGCGTCGACGTTGGCTGGAGAGTTTATCTCGGGGTCGTCGAGGAGGAGGAGAATGGATCGTAGGACGGATTCAGCCCCCTGCAGCGGGGACCATCGCTCGGTGGCGCTCTCGCCCGACATGAGGTCCTCCCCGGGCTTGTGCAGGATGGAGATGCAGAGCTGCCCGTCGGGATAGATGTTGGGGTGGAAGATGGGCCTCAGGAAACGGAACTTGGGTGGCGAGTAGGGGTAGTCGTGGGGGAAGACCAGCTCGGCCTGGATCAAGTTAGCACCGGACCAAAACATTTGCGTCCAAGTTCCACGGACCTTTAGGTAACCGCCGTTGAAGGCGCTCTCGGGGTTGACCACCATCAGGGCAACCTGCCAGCGGAAGATGTTTGTCTCGTCGGCCTGCGCGATGCTGTCAGCTGTGTGCCACAGGGGCTACAAACCGTCCTTGCACATACGTCGACCCGGACCCATTTCTCCGAGGACACCTGCTTCAGGTCCCCCATGATTCGTTGCTTCGCCGCGGCGGGCGAGGGCCTGTCGGGAGACATGATTTGATGACTTTGGCTTTTCTGACGCGTTGAGGGCGCGAGGATGGCGGTGGGGGGGTCGAGGACTGGAAAGAGTAATTGTGGAGGGCGAGGCTTCTCAGATCTGCACTGGCTGAGGGTTTGTCGGGTCAGATAGGGTTGGCTGTCCGGTGTGGCCTCGGTGGGCGAGGGAGTCGGGGGGGGGTTGACTCGAGAGGACTCGTGACGAAATATGGGGGTGGGAGTCAGTAGAAGTGCTCAGTCGAGGGAAGACAATAGGATAGGGTGTCTCGGAGGGGAGTGGATGGTGGGCTGGTGTTGTGGAGAAGTTGGGAGGGTTGGCGTGCGGCGAGAAGGGGAGGGTATGGGAAAATGGGAAAATGGGAAATGTGAACAATAAAGAGAACAGAGGTGGTGTTTTAGGAAAGTTGGAATCAGCACGGGCGCCGGTGCAGACAGACGCAGGGCAGGAAGGGGCCGCGCCCGGCGCATCTCGACGGCCGGGTGGCAGTCGGCCTAAGCGCGATAAGCCCCCACTAGACAGGCCAACAATAGATGAGACGAGGTGTTGACTGCATGATGGCAAAGGAATCAGCAGGGGTGAGACCGTTCGCAGAGGCACATGATGTTCAGTATTCAGAACTGGCATATGGGACCAGCCGGCAGTCAGGCAGTGAGGAACCCTTCCCCTCTTTGATCCCATCCTGTTCGCGAAACACCAACCCACGCCTCTCGCAAGCAGGCAAGATGACGACTGTCCCGTCCCTGCCCCATTGTTGGTGAGTGGGGCGTCCCTGATTTCAAATGAGACCAGGCCAGGCCAGACCAGACCATACCGCCGCCGCCGCCGCCGCCGTCTTCATGGTCATCTGACTCAGCACGAAAGCCTTCGCGTGCACACTGAGTTAGTTGCCCCCAAAACCCGTAAACCAGACTTTGTGGTCAATACAGATTATGTACTAGACAAAACTAAAAGGAACACATGGCGGCCAACATTCCAACACAGCAGGCGCCTGTCTTGTACCGCACTCGGCCTGCACGCCTCGCACGCAACCAACTTGCCAACCAACCAACCGGGTTCATCGCTAGCGCCGGTCTGAGAGCGACAACTGGAACGGACTGGCCAGAAGATAGACTGGGGCCGGTGCCGAAAGAAAGCCGATGCCCGTCAACCACATTCTAATTTAGCGGGTCCAGAATGCGGCCCCTCTCTAGTGTAGTCCTCCCACGAGCTTGTTCTTCAGTACAGATGACTGATGGGCTGATGTGTAATGGGGGTGGGAAACCAGATGCAGCCTCTAGGTCCATCTGCTATTGATGGACCCTGCTAGATGTAAACGGGTCTGTTATTTGCCATCGTGTCTTGGTTGAATGCTCACCTTGGATGTGGGTTCTTGTCTCGCATTGGATACCGGTGCACTGGGCAGACCTCTGTAATCCCTGCGAGCCGTCAGGAAGGCGCGTCATCCCGGTCTACCGCGTCACAAAAAGGACGGGAAGGAACAAGCCATGTGAACCGGTGGTGGTACACAGTACGGTTTCTATTCGGGTTCCTACTCGGGCGGGCACGCGACCTCGAGTCGACTCCAAGTCCCTATCAAGGCAGCTGCACTCATCCATCCCGCTGCTTTGTACCCGTCCCATCCATTTATCTCACTGCCGACCCCGTCAGCCCGCTACAACTCGCTACAACTCGACCTCTCCCTGGTCTCCCTTTTGCTTACCACTTCCTTACTCATGTCTTGTTCGAAATATGACCTTCCTTTTTGCCTGGGTGTGCGAGCTTTTACAAAGCCTTGAGAACGATCTCAAGCGCCGCCGAGGCAGGCGAGGAGAGCACGCCATCGTTGACGACTGGTTTGCGCGATACCGCCAGGAGCTGGACCATGACCTCACTGACAAGTGTGCTCTGTTGTCCACGTTGCTCCCTGAGAGGCGCACAGATCGGGTATTCGGCATCAAGGAAAAGACTCTCCAACCCAAGATTGCGCGGGCATGTAGACTCGGTCACTCGAGGGTCAAGGACTTGAGCAGATGGACGGTCCCTGGGTCCAATCTTGACCTTGCCGAGTGCGCAGAGGCGATCCTGGAGCAAACTCCAAACGTGCGAAATCCCGCCGTTACGGTCGAAGAGATCGATGCTCTCCTCCATGCCTTGGCAGCCAAGAACTCGTTCAGTGCCCCGTCGGTGAGGGCTTCGGCCAAGCCGCCCACCGACGTCCCTGGTTCGAAGGATGGGGCCCTTGAAACATTGTTGCGCAGGCTTACCGCAAGAGAGATGAAATGGGCCACGAGATTAATACTCAAAAGCTTCCTGCCGGTCATTGTCCCGGAATGGCCAGTGTATGCTCGATGCCATCGCCTACTGCCTACCATTATGAAAATACACGATGACTTTACCGTTGCAACTCGGTTACTGGAGCAGGAACGCAGCCGCGTTACCTTTGGAGATGTTGAAGTCGAAGACCTACCGAGATTCCTCAAACCTCAGATTGGCGCCAAAGTCGGCCGTCAAACCTGGCTCAAGGGCCGCAGCATAAAGCACTGTCTGGAGATGGGCAAGGGCTTCATGAGTGTCGAGGAAAAGATGGACGGGGAATATTGCCAGATCCACGTTGACCTCTCCAAGGGCTCGAACTGCATACAAATATTCTCCAAGAGTGGAAAGGATAGCACCCAAGATAAGAAAAAGCTGCACAGTGCCATCAAAAGTTCTTTGGGGCTGGGCACTCCCTCCTGCAAGATCAAACACTGCTGTATTCTTGAGGGTGAAGTTGTCGTGTATAGCGACAGGGAGCAGAGGATCCTAGGTTTTGACAAACTACGGAAGCATATTAGCAGGTCAGGAAGATTTATCGGCGCCGAGGAGGACAGTCAGGCCCACAACTGGGAGCACCTGATGATCGTCTATTACGATATCCTGCGAGTGGACGACGAGTCGCTTCTCAACGTTCGGCACTCCGCAAGGTTTTCCCGGCTCTCCAAATTGGTGCAGTGTCGGACTGGGCGGGCGACACTCGTCCAGAGGCAGATCATCAATTTTTCCTCGCAGGTCGCTGCGGAAGACCTGAAAGCTGCCTTTGCCTCTTCCATCGTCAAGCGGCAGGAAGGTCTTGTGCTCAAGCCTGATGAGCCATACTTCAGCTTCGGCCTCAGCAAGCGGAGGTATGCGTCCTGCTGTGTGAAGCTTAAAAAGGGATACATCAAGGGGATGGGGGAGGTTGGCGACCTAGCTGTGGTAAGCGGCCGCTACTGCCCTACTAGAGCCAAGATGCTGAATATGCCGACGGTCAAATACACCCATTTTTATCTTGGTTGCTCCACGAACAAAGAGGCTGTCGAACGCTGGGACGCTAGGCCTGAGTTCACGATAGTGAACGAGGTCGAGGCCAGTGCCACGATAATGGACGCCTTACGGAGGACCTGGCTCATGGAGACGGTACCCTTAGACGACGACAAGGCACCGATACTCAACATACCAGCCGGTATTTCTCAAGGTAGAAAGATCACCACGGTCTTTACGGAGCCGGCAGTCTTCGAGATGACTTGCTTCTCCTTCCACAAGGAATCCAACACGCGGTTTTGGAGCCTTCGATTCCCCTACGTATCAAAGATTCACTCTGACAGGACCTTCACGGATTGTCTTACCTTCCAAGAGCTACAAGCACTAGCAGAGGAAGAGGTGAATTGTCCAGAGAGGGAAGATAGCCAAGAGCTGACTCGTTGGATTGAAGCCTTGGAGAGAGCCGAACCAAACAGGCAGAAGGCGGCTTTGCGAGAAAGCCAGTGGTCGGAGACGACAGCGAGCACATCAGACTCTCAGACCAGGACGCCGCAACGCGACGTCGAACAGTCTCCAGTCATGCCAGCTCAAACCAGAGACATCACTGCCGTCGAGCCTGGGCTGCCGACGCCTCCCACATCGTCTGCTGTCCAAGAGGGCTCCAGCTCGGCTGAGACACGGCCCACTCGCCAGTCACCTCGCAAGAGACACATAGAGCCACTATCAGGTTCTCCGCGACCTGTCAAATCTAGGAGAAAGGAGCCAGACGTCATCGACCTGACATCTCCAACAATGTCTAACAGTCTGCGCAGCGAGCGCCAGCCGCTCGAGGACATCACGTCTGCTCCATCATCCCAAGTAAACATCTCCACGCCGGGTGGTGGGTTAGAGCGTGGATCAAAAGACGTCACCAGCCCTAGGCTTCCTCGAGCAACAGCTCCGACACCGTCTCACCAAAGCCCTACCCGAGATCAGCGGTCCCCGGTCGCATCGTGCGGGTATGCCGGTGGTTTCTGCGCCTTGGCGAACGCCCACGTGCTTCTCTCCCCCTGCATCGCCAACATGCCCCTGCTCACGGAGGACCTCCTACCAGCCCATGGGGTGCGCAGCATCTTCACCGACATCGCGTCATGGGTAGCTTCCCACCAGGCGGCCCCAGCCGCCGACGCCACCAGGAGGAGACCCCGGCGGCTCGTGCTCGTGGAACGCCACCGCAGCGAGGCCACGAGCGCGTTCTTGCGGGAGCTCGAGGCCAGGCCGTCGCGCGGGCGTGGTGGGCGGGCGGGAGCGGTCCTTGTGTATGACTGGCGGCTCTTGGAGGCGATCACGCAGGAGGAGAGGAGATACCAGAGGGGCGGTGATGGTGGTACGAGGCAGACGCGGAGGACGGGCGCCAACGAGGAAGAGGTTTGGAGGAGGTATTATTTTGGGTGCATTGTTGAGAGCAGGGATGGATAGAATTGGGAGCGGGAGTTATCTACATCTGAAAGGGGTTTGGGAAGCATAAGCATGGGTTAGACATGGGCATTTTGCATTTCCTCGCAAGAGGACGGGGACGTGCCTGGCGATGATTTATTAGCATGGCTGGACATAGCATATCGATATCCACGGGACTGGTGAACAGAACATAGAATAGGGAGTGCTTGGGACAGTTTAGAATGATCAGTGCTCACACGGTCAACTGTTCATTCCCTTATAAAATTTGCGGAATGATTTGCCCTACATGATGTTGTCCTGATGGGAGTTGTCTTCAAGGAATTTCCTCAAGGACAGGCTCTCATAGGATGTCCTCCTACATGATATACTCGTGCTTATCGAGATGCAGGTTTACGAGTCCAAACTTGCTATGAGAGTTCGTCACCCGTTGGAAGCATGTCCGAATCTCGACCTTCGGAACAGGGACGCACTGGGCCTCTGTAGGGGCGGGCCCAGACTTGTTCAGAAATGTGTATCATTTCTTCGCTTATTTTAGAGCAGCCTCACGATCTATTGCTTCTCCTTGTCATACATCTGCAGGTAGGACGCCTGCAGCCTCATCTGCAAATGCTCATCAGCAGTGATGGCCTTCCTCTCCACATCCGGGTTCGCCCCACGCGCCGCCCACTCCGCGCCGTCGGTGGGAACATGGGACTTGACCCTCTCACTCGGGACCGGCTCGAGCGTCGTGGACCCGATGGGGTGGCAGAAGAATGCGATGCTGTACCGCGGCTCGGCATCGCTCTCCCCGTCCAGCAGGCCCCCGCTGGGGAACATGACGCGGTGCACTGTCGACCGCAGCAGCCCGTTGGTCCAGTAACTCAGCAGGTCGCCGATGTTGACGAGGATGGGCGGGCTGAGGTCGTCCTCCGTGCCGGGGGGGCTGACGGGCACGGGCGCCCACGAGCCGTCGGGCAGGTTGATCTCCAGGCCGGCCTGGCCGCGCAGCCGGAAGAGGAGGGTGATACTGCCGTAATCAGAGTGGGCACCCGCGCGGACGTCCTCTGCGCCCTCGCCGTCCTCGCCCAGGGACTTGGCTGGCGGGTAGTAGAGGAAGCGGAGGATGTTGCCACTGGGCCCGCCCTCACGCAGGTGGCGGTCGCGGAAGAAGGTGGGCGGTTGGACCTCTAGACCGATCCCCAGGAGGTGGTTTAGCCTCAGGGAGAGGTCGTAGCAGAGGTCAACTGCGGTGGGTTAGCAGTTGGGTCGTGTGGCAAAGGAGGAGGGGGCCAAGGGAGGGAGATTCCAGATCGGCTTACAGAAGTCGCTGTATTGGCTCTCGTACTGAGCCACGCTGTCTGGAATAGGCTGCTGGGCCTTTCCGTTCTCAAAGGTGCCGAAATTGAAGGCCCTGGAATCGGTGGGCCTTTTTGTCAGTTACTGGTGCCTGGTGCAGTAGCACTTGGTGCCTCGCGAGGGCGTCTTACTCCTTCAGATCGCCGACCTAGAGTTCGTTAGGTCAGGCTCCCACAGCTCTGTCAGAGGAGGGCCTCGATACATACCTTCTGGTTCTTGGGATCCAGCGTCTCATACTTGATGCCACCCCAGCCGCGGTTGTTCTTCTGGATGGTGCATTTTACCTTCTCTTCCAGGGGGGCCTCAAATATCTTCTTGCCCTACAAGATTCACCTGTTGGCGGGCTGGCGGCGAGAAGTCAACGGTCAGGGTCAAGTTATGGACCTACCAGGCCAAAAGCACGATCTACGGCACCTGGTGGGAAATGGCCACCGTTGTTCCTGATGTAGACGAACCCATGCGTTACGGCGGCATCGACCAGCTCCTTGGCTACCTTGAGCTGGGCATCTTCGCCGGCGGCGGAGATGTCGATGAGGGGGATTTTTGCAGCAGATGCCATGTTGTAAGTTGAGTGACCAAACGTGCTAGAGTTAGTTACACAGTAGTCGCAGGAAATTCGAGAAAGAAACGCTCGAGATCAAGACGTGATGATGCCGGTTCAGTGGGGTCTGAGATAGCCTTGAAGATAGATAACATTTGAGAGCGGGTGTACAACATCGGATTACTACTGACTTGATTTTATCTACACGGCTCCGTCTCGTAACGTACGAGCAATGGTCAGTCCAATCTCACGTTGTGAACTTCACCCGGATGGAAATGCCGATCATGCCGGATTAGCTGCGTCCTGAGATGTTGCAGGATCATTTCCATGGGTGGAATAGAGATGCAGCATTCTGAGAGATGTGATTGTTTGTGGATTGGTTTTCAACGAACGGTATACTCCGTAGACCTACCCCGTAGACAGCAAGTGACTAGGTACCTAGGTACATGCACCTGCTTACATATGCACTCACTGCCCGGGCCTGGTCCCTCGAAAGGTTAAAAAAAGAGGTGGGCCTTCCCAAAGCTGGCTGGACGGTTCTGGCGGCCATTCTGGCCATCCCCTGCAGCAGGTAAAATGGCCTGGCAACCTGGTCGCAAGCCCAGCAGCCTGGCAGCGAGCTCTGGTGACGATCCAGCCGTGTAGAGCCATACCATCCAAGTTCGTGACGCGCCCCGGGCTGGGCTGCAGTTCCATAACGAGAATGGAATGCACCACCAGCTCCAAGCTCCGACACCAGCAGCAGCGCCGGCTCTGGATCGGCCTGAGGCTCAGAGCACAGTCGATGGGGGCCAACCTGTTTTCTTTTCCGTCCCGTTTTAATCCACCATCATAACCATCATCATCATCACCACCACCAATCCCAATCCGTGTCCATCAGTCCATCCAATCCAACCCGATCCAACTCAATTCAATCTCTCTCCCCCCGTCTCACCCATCCCTCCGTTCATCCACCTCATCTCGTCCACTCCAACCACCACCACTTGCGCACCAGCAGCTTCACATCGTGCTGCATCGCGGTCTGTTGCCGGGAGTACAGACTCTTACGGACACACACGCTGGTTCTAATCTCTCTCGGTGCCGCAGCTTGCATTGCACTGCACTGCACTGCACTGCACCCGTCATCGCTCGCACCCCATGCGCTTCGTGGCCCTGCGGTGCGTCAAAAGCTGAGCTGACCGGGCGGGCGGGCAAGCTGATTGTGTCTCGCCTCGCATCCCTTCCTCCTCGCGGAACCACCACTCATTCGTCTTACCGTGCGTGCCGCAAACGCCAACTCGGCTGCGCGACTCACAAGCAGCCAACGCACCCCGTCAGATCCTGCCGCAGTCAACCACACCCAACCAACACCCCGTCCTAGCGCCACGAGGCGCAACTCATTCCCTTCCCTTTGTCACGATGGCCGCCTCCCCAACCTCCAGGGCGGCCACGCCTGACCTCGAGCCCCAAAGCTCCCCTCCCGCACACCTCGGCCGCTACGAGAGGTCTTTCATGACAAACGTCACCGAGGACGAGGACCGCTCCAAGATGGGCACCCCCGAGCCTGGCACCCGCCGTCGAGGCAGAAACGCTGCCAACAGCCAGCCCTCCATCGGCAAGGTCAGGCACCTGAAAAAGGACGATGGCGAGCCGCTGTGGCGAGTCGACATCCAGCACGACTTCCTCAAGGCCGTCTTTGACAACGAGAAGGCCGTCTTCACCAACAGCTGGGAGCCCAGCAAGCCCAAGCAATGCTTCGCCGACCTCTACATCGATACAATGTCAAGAAGCTCAAAGACCAGCAAGGTCCTGCGCGACAAACTGCTTAGCGATCGGGAGGCCGCAAAGGGCATGGCCATGGTCTGTCTGCTTGTCAACATCGGCCGCATGAACACCACTCTGAACTGTACGTGTCTGACCCCAGCGCCCCTCCCAAGCTTGCTGCTGTGACATGTGTGCCCGTGACTGACACTGCTGTGCTCTACAGTTTTCCCAGAGATGCGAGCTCAACTAAGAACATACCATGCCATTCCATCGCTTCAAGCTCGACAAGATCCGAACTCGTACAAACAGCTGCAGGATGCCCCCCGGCTCAAGTCGATTTTGAAGGGCGGCTCAGAAGATCGCGTCGAGCCATCCGCCCTGGAGGCCATCAAGTCCGCGCCTGTCCCCAGGACCAACCCCGTCAATCTGCTGTTTGTAATCTGTGCCTCAGCTGCTAAGATTGCTGAGTTGCACTTCCCTCCTGGTGGCGAGTTCCACGATCTCATCATGAAGACGGACACCAGCAGCGCGTCGAGGGCCCGTGCTTTCCTGTGGATTATGTGGTTCTACTTGGAATCGGACTTTACCGAAGAGGGCTGTATGGAGAACCCCTTCGGAGAGGGAGTTGACTACGGGGTGGACGTCGCGAATCAAGGCGTCCCCCGGCTGGAGCAGCTGTCGCGGGCCGAGATGGAGTACGAAAATGTTGATACGCAAGAGGAGCTGGATTTCGGGCTCCAGAAGCAGGCCATGAGGAAGAAGATCATCGAGGCAGACCAACAGTATGCAATCGAGTCCAACACCAAGCGTGGAGCTGCTAGGGCGCGGATGTTCCCCGCCGGGGAAGAAGGCTCAACCATGGGCATTCTGCCTCGGATCCGGCCCTCGAAGCACGAGTCCGATATGGACAGCGTCCGCTCGACCCCTCCACCGCGAGGACCTGGTCGCCACAAGGATGGCATCGGCTCCGGTCGTCGGGGTGGCGCGCCTCTCAAGTACCAGATCTTCGAAGGTTCCTCCCCAGGTGGACCGCAGATGATCGAGGGCATAGTGCCCCGAAAGCCTAGACCGCCGACTGCACACCAGATAGCTGTCGAACGCAACAGATCCCAACGCGTTGAGCACATTCTCGACCGCGGCATCAGGAAGCGGCATAAGAAGTCGCGCCGCCTCCGCAAGACGGATGGTGCCATCATTCGAGCTGCAAAGCGCGTGCGCCAGATGGATGATCCGTTCGAGGACAGTGAGGGAGACGAGAACGTGAGCGCAATGAAGCACCACTTGTTGGTTGGCCCCTCGGCCTTTGCTCCCGGTGTCGACCCTGTCACGGCGAGGAAGACTAGTTTTCGGGAACGAGGTCTGGGTGGTCTGGTATCACTGGTCTCCGAGCAAGACGACTTCGGCGAGGAGATGGTGGCATATTCAGCGGCACTGCGCCGGGCGACCCGCCGTCTTGACAGATGGGAGCGCCAGACTGGTCCTGACGTAGGACCCGTCGCTCCTATCAAGAGAGCCAGGCCCGAAGCCACGAATGATGGCAGGGATCCCGACGAGACGGAGGAGGAGCTTGACGCCACAACCTTTAGCTTGGACGGCAGCCTGCTGGCGGCACCAAGGGCCTCGTCGCGGACCAAATCCAACGGCGTGCCCGCCAGCTCAAATGGAGACGTGGCCATGGAGGACGCCGAGGACCTCAACGAAGAAGATAAGGAGCTTCTGGGTATTGCGAGTGACCGTGAGGAAGGGGATGGCGAGGGAGATGCCGAAGACGAAGAGCTCGACGACATAGAGCTTACTATGCTCGGTCGGAAGGACGTCTCTGACTCGGAATAGAAAATCTTGTCAGCCAGTCGCGGAGCCCCCTGAGGATATGCAAGATCATGTTCCAGGAGGCTGGCGTTGCAGATGGGTTGGTCATTTGCTTGGCAAGAGACCTAGGAGCCTGCCAATTGTTCCTAAGAGAGGCAGTAAGTGATACTCCTTGAATTTACGCGGAACGTGGGACGGCATAGTTGTGGGTTGGCCAGGACATTCTGGGGCAGGAAAGCGCAGAGATGCAGACTGTACGACTATTTTCACTTTGGGATTGAAAGAAGGTTCAATGTCTCTGCACCGATCATTTGAAGCTGCATTGGTCGGACTGTCGGTGACACAAGCAAGGGCCGTGGCCCATGGGGCGGATACCCCCAAGAGCTTCGCGTCCATTACGAGAGACATGATTACTTCTTCTACAGAAAGATGACAGAAGACTACCGCCGTCTGGTCACAGATCGGTAGATGTATCGAGATAGACAAAAGAATAAATTTGCCTTTTTGGACGAACATCATGTCTCTGGTATGCCGGATTTGTTTGTGGGACTGTGAAAATGATTTGCAGAAGATGGTCGATGTGAGGGCATCGCATGTCACCTTGACACTGTGGACAACTACCGCCGTGTAATACCGCTGCTGTACTAGTATCTCTCTCCAAAATTATGATATCTGCCACCACTACGTCTTTAGTATATGAATTGCTCCTGTCCTACAGTCCATCATGGCCGAACAATCCAGGGTCGGCTAAGCAAGTCCTCGGCCCTGGCTTCTCCCGCAAGTTCGCACGGCGGCCAATGTATCTACTGCGAACCATCCCTGGCGAACAGGCCTACACCGGAGCGCCCGGAACCAGGTCCAACAACGAACCCCCCCCCCCTGGTGGGGGGGCTCCGGTGGGACGCAACTGCCCTTGTCAAACAGCCGCGCTCGAAAGACAGCGACACGATAAACCCACGTGCGCAGGGAAATGGAGTCGGGCCTCGAGTCGGTGTGAGATTGCGCCATGTGGGACAGACAACGACGAAAAAGGAGCCCCCAAACCATCGCTCTTGTCTTGCACCACCTTGCACACGTGGGGTGGGAGCAGTTGTGGGACACGAGACAAACACCTCGTCCGAGGGTGGGAACGGGCGTGGCCAGCGGCCCGGCGGGCGGACAGAGGTGGCATGCCTTCAGCGTTTCGATCCACAGTTCCCGAGTCGTGCCCACCTCCTTCCAAGTCCGTTGCCCAATTGAGCAAGAAAAAGCAGGCGTTTGAGGCTTGGGAATGATGTTATGGCAAATTGTGGGCAGTCCTCATAAAGCAATGGGCGCTGCGGAAAGCCCTACCGGTAAAGTAGAGATAGGACCCGGCGCTGCGCATGCCACCAATAACTCCCTGCCATCAGCGCAAATTGCAAGAGTTCCCGATTGGCGCAGTTGGACACGGCCGAAGGCCTATCTGTGGTTTACCTGGAGATACCCCGCATATGATAGCTTCCTCTTGTGGTTGTATACTTCAAAGTGTTCATTGAATCAACCCTGCCAAACACGACGGCATATTTTGACAACCAAGTGAGGTCATGGCCAACAACATCGCACCGTAAGCCGCGAGCACGGGCAAACGACTAGTACATGTCACTGCAATGAATATGTTGGTGTAATGTAATCGTGTAAATTGTCGCTGCCTCGGCCGAGGTCGAACAACTATTGTGTGTGGTTTCGCTTCTACTCCGTATACGTCCGAGGACATACAGCGCCTTCATACGGAGGTAAACGCTCAAGACCTAGCGCTTAAAAAAAAATACGATGTCAATAACTATAATTGGAACACGATAGGTGCTTGTGGCCTCAGCCTTGCGACGCACAGATAAAGCTAAGGGGCACCGTCTTGACGACGGCGTTAACTAGAACGCCGCGTCAGTCCTTATACCTATGTACAATCATCCTCTACTTGTTTGATTCTGCTGTGTCCTTTTTTGATTACATGCACGCACACATTTCAGTCGGTGAAGTCGAGACTGAAGCCAAAACAAATGTTAATTTCTCCCTGATACAGGCGAGCCTCATCACACATTCCTGAATTTATTTCTTATTTAGCTAGAAAGATACATTGTCTTTTGTCATTATAGGGCATTTATTGTGACTCTGGCTTAGTACCACTTGAGAGGAACTTGAAGAGTACAAACAGTATATCCTTCTTGAGCATCCTCGCCATCACCACTTAACAGAGATTGGTAAGAGGACTCCCACTGCAGAGTCCTTTTCAAACAAGACCCAACGGCACCAACTTGTTGTCGTGTCGCCGCGACCAGGGGTGAAGAATCGTTACCCGCCTTGGTCTGATAACTGTACCCTGCGAATGTTGCTCTGTTCTCAACAGGCCCCTTGAGCAACAGCAACCAGAGGGTTGCAAACACTGCCCGCGCCATTGCTGTCGACGTGTCAACTTCGGACTTCGGGCTCCCGCACGGCGTTTCTTGCTGCCGCACACGCTGCTGAGGACGCCGCCTTGACCGTCCGCGAGACCCGCAACTGCAAGAATAAGAGGAAGTACATCCAGCGACGTGTTTAGAAGGCGATAAATTCTGCCTTTGAGTTCGCCGTGGCCGCCGAAGCCGATCATGCCATGTCGGGTAGCTGAATACCAACACGAAAGGATGTCACCCTGAGCCCAAAGTGAGGTGAAACGAGAGACTCTGATTGGCTGCAGCACGGCGGAATCAAGTTGAGTACACAGGTACATACCTAAGGTACGATCTATCAGAAAGTAGCCGTGGATCCGACCAGGAAAGTTTGTGTGTCGGAGTTGGACGACCAAAGTGCAACCAACCCCGAACCACAGACAGGAACAGGACCAAAGGCAGGTCGCAACTCCGAGGCACGGTAGGATCGCTGCGGTCTACCTTCCCGGTGCCGAAAGCGGCTGCGAAAGTGTGTCAAAGGGGGCTTCTTTTTTTCTTTACACGGTCCTTCCCTTTCAGGAAAAGACCACGAGACCCGGGGTGCTGGACCGGATTTACGACTTAGACGCGAGGTGTGGGAGAGGCTCGAAACCCGGGACGGGCCACGCAACCACGATTGCCAGTGACCCATGTCTGCTGCACATGTGCATGCATTGCCCGTGCCAACAGCGCGGTCTGTCTGGGCGTCATCACTCTGTCGTGCGTGCATCGAGGTTGTTGTTGTAGTTGTTGTAGTTGTTGCTGTCTGTGATCTCTTTGCCCATGCCTTCTGCCGTGCCCACCACCGGCTGGCCACAGACAGGCACTTGATGAATGTTCCAGGGGATGTTGTGATGCCAAGTGCGGACTTCCTAGGGCGGCAGGGCGGTAGTCATGGATGAGTCTGAGAGTGAGACCAAGGAAGCGGGTTCGGATGACCCGAGCTTACCCAGATACGGCAATACGGCGAGGAACTGCGTACGTGCGTTGTACTGCCGGCCGGTCTGCCTGGTCTGGATCACTGGCAGTTACACTTGAAGCGCTTTTCATCAGCCGGCCACGCTCTGACACACTGACTAAACAAGACAAGAGTGCCGTGCAAGCCGGGCGAAGCTTTTTAAACTTTGTGGCATTGCTGGCGGGGATGCTGGAGGGGGGGAGGGGACTTGGGGACTTCGAGAAGACTTCCCTCGAGTGTTTCTTGTGGGGCCACGATGCACTCGAGCTGGGAGTCGGACTTGGCTTTTTTCCAAAGGGTGGGCCCGCGGGTGCGAATCACCGGGAAGGGAAGCCTATCGAGCATGTCAACCTTGGCAAATTGGGTTTGTCCCTCGTGGGGCTACGCCGCCGCTGTTTCAATCGTAATCGTCCATCAGCCCTGAACCTTGAATCGAACATTTGGAGCTTCTTCAGACGACCATCGAGCTGGCGGGTATACTAAGAGAACCCGGATATATGTGCTGCTATATGCAGAGAATAAGAAGAAAAGAAAAACAGTCTCTCTCTCGTACACATGTGCACATCCACACCGAGGACATGATTAGAGTTAGCTGCGTAGAAGCTGCCCACCCCCACAGTGTTCGCCCCGATGGTCCCAGAACCTGTCGGTCGCGCCTGCCCTGCCTCGTGTACATCTGTACTGTGCCGTATCCGTATGGAGTACAGCGAGGAGCCATGGGCATGCAGCAAGAGGCGTGGGACTTGCTCCCCGGCCCACTAGCCATCATGTGGATTATCAATCCAGCCTGGACATGGCCGCCCCTTTCATTCAAGTGCCATTTACTGCTGGTTCTTGGGCCGTGACAAGTGCGCCTCAGAGGAGCCATCCCATCCCATCAACATTCCCGCAGTCCTAGGACCACTTTACTCTCCCATCCTTATAACTGTCACCTGGGCTGGCAGGACGCTTTTCATACCCCGTACCCATTGCCTCTGCTGTGGACCTCGGAATACAAGCCAGCACTTGAGATCGACAGACAGAGCATCCCTTTTCGTCACCTCAATATCGACCGCAAGTTGCTTGCGTCCCACAATTTGCCATTTCCCTCCCACAACTTGTGACAATTTGTGATTACCATCAGCAACAAAACCCAACCCAGCCGAACTCCGACCCGGACCAGAAAACTCAGGAGCGGTCTTTATTTGTCCTTTCTCACCATAAGCAACCCATCCGAGTCCACTCGCCCCCTCCCGGCGGAATTGTGATATCGGCACCGAGACGGCCACAGGTCCAATCACACCAAAGGTAAAACCATCCCAATCCCGATCCCACATGGTTGCAACGGCAGCGACGCACTAGAACCCAGGCAGCTAGGGCGGCCTGCCTGCCTGCCTGGCTAGTGCAGAGTCCTCGGCCGGTTGACTCGAAGCCGGACAACGGGCTAGCCGTGCGGCCAGTATTATGTGTGCCTTTTATGCCTGCATCTTGGGTTGTTGCACTTGTTCTGCAGGCCCGGCGATTACGGCAAGAACACAGGGGGGGAAGGAGGGAGGGGCGTTCCGGCAAGCACCACCTCGGCCACCAAGCGGTGGGCTCAACAACCTCCCCATTCCGGCGGCGCTACCACGGCGGCGCCCAAATTACCCCCCGGGGTCATCATCACTCACCCTTCCTTTTTTGATCCATTAATAATATACCTATGGATTTTGCCTTGCGCCAGTCCACATCTGCCTATCTCTCTTCTGACATTGCTTCTTCCAGTGCGCAGTAATTTTTACCTCGCCCACTCGCTCACTCGCTCACCCACGCAGCCGCACCACACCCACATGCTATTATTCCACTCATTGACTCACTCACTTACACTCACACACCCTCCCTCCAACAACCCCGGGTTCCCGACTCCACGGTGAGGCTGGCTTGGCACTTCGCGTAGCGCTATATACGGCCAAGTGGGGAGGGAAAGACGGCCGGCCTAGTCCGACTGCATCCTTGCAGTCCACATCGGACTGAACATGGCGCCGTCAAGACAGTCTTCAAGACCGTCCCTGAGGAAGACCTCAAGCGTGGCCAGCTATGATAGGGACATGCAACCAGCAGACCCTCTGGCGAGGGTCACCAGCATGGCCTCGGAGAGGGAGAATGTCCAGGAGGAGAAGGAAATCGCCGAGGCCGCAATGCAGGGCCGAGGCGTCGACCGCGACCATGACGATTATGACGATGCCGGCGAGGCAATGGATGACTACCATTCCGAGAGCGACAGCAACAACGAAAAGGAGAAGGCAGCGGCCACCACCGAGACCCGCCAGGAGTTCCACCGCACCAGGAGTTATGCCACCGACGCCAGCGCCACCACCCAGGCCACAAGCCATCACCTGGCAGACGAGAACCAGGCCAAGAGGCCGTGGTACAGGAAGGTCAACCCCCTGAGATGGGGCAAGGTGCCGCCGGTGCCAGACGAGCGCGAGGTGTCGCGGGAGCACAACGCCGGCTTCTTCAGCCAGCTCTTCTTCGCCTGGCAGGGCGGCCTGATGCAGACCGGCTACAAGCGCCCGCTCCAGCAGAACGACATATGGGCCGTGAACCCGGACCGCAGCGTCATCAAGATGTCCGAGGACCTCAACGCCTCATTCAAGAGGCGCAGCGCCGCCGGCCAGAAGTACCCGCTGCTGCGCGCCCTGCACGAGGTCTACCACTTTGAGTTCTACCTCAGCGGCGCCTGCCAGCTCTCGTCCACCATCATGCAGGTCATGTCGCCCTTCACCCTGCGCTACCTGATCCAGTTCGCCACCGAGGCCTACCTGGCGCAGACCACCGGCAGCCCGGCGCCCAACATCGGCAGGGGGCTGGGTCTGGTCTTTGGTGTCACCGCCATGCAGGTCCTCCAGAGTCTGGGGACCAACCACTTCATCTACAGGGGCATGCTGATCGGCGGCATGTCCAGGGCCGCTCTCATCAGCCTGATCTACGAGAAGTCCATGGTCGTGTCTGGCCGCGCAAAAGCGGGCGGCAGGTCACTCACCGACAACCCCGAGGCGGAGACGGCCAACAACGGAGACGAAAAAGCCGGCGGGAAGAAGGGGAAGAAGAGCAACAAGGACAAGAAACAGGCCGATGCTCAGCCCAAGGCCGGTGTCCTGGGAGACGGTGTCGGCTGGGGCAACGGCCGGGTGGTCAGTCTTATGAGCGTCGACACTTACCGTATCGACCAGGCCTGCGGTCTCTTCCACCTCATCTGGACGGCACCCCTTTCCCTGCTCATCACGCTCGCCCTGCTGCTCGTCAACCTGACGTACAGCGCCCTCTCTGGTTTCGCCCTGCTGGTCATCGGCATGCCCCTCCTCACCAGGGCCATCAAGAGCCTGTTCCGCCGGCGTATGCTGATCAACAAGGTGACCGACCAGCGCGTGTCCCTGACGCAGGAGATCCTGCAGTCGGTGCGTTTCGTCAAGTACTTCGGGTGGGAGAGCTCTTTCCTGGGGCGTCTGGCCGAGCTGCGCGGCAAGGAGATCGGCATGATCCAGCGGCTCATGTCTCTGCGAAACGCCATCATGGCCGTCTCCCTCTCGCTGCCCATCTTCGCCTCGATGCTGTCCTTCATCACATACACCCTCTCCCACCATGACCTTGCCCCCGCAGAGGTCTTCTCCTCCCTGGCTCTCTTCAACGGCCTCCGCATGCCCCTCAACCTGCTCCCGCTCGTCATCGGCCAAACCACCGACGCCTGGAACTCGCTCAAGCGTATCGAGGAGTATCTCCTGCTCGAGGAGCAGGCCGACGAGGCCACGTTCAAGGCCGACGCCCCGAACGCCGTTGAGATGCACGACGCCAGCTTCACTTGGGAGCGCACCCCGACGCAGGAGAACGGCCCCAGCCCCAGGGGCGGGAAGACACCGGGCGGTGGCAAAAAGGCCCCTGCCCCAGTCAAGGAGAAGGGCTCGCCGCAGGTCACTGCTGAGGTGGACGACAACGGTAGCACCCTCGTGGAGGAGCGCGAGCCGTTCAAGCTCCACGACATCGGCTTCGAGATCGGCCGCAACGAGCTGGTTGCCGTCATCGGCACCGTGGGCAGCGGCAAGACATCGCTGCTTGCCGCGCTGGCTGGTGATATGCGGAAGACGAGCGGTGAGGTCGTGCTGGGTGCTTCGAGGGCCTTTTGCCCGCAGTACGCGTGGATTCAGAACACTGTCAGTATATTGATTCCCCCTATGCCCTCATGAAGAAACGCTTCGTGGGTTTCATACCCGGGGTGATTTCTTCCAACCCGGATGATATTCCTTTTGCTGTTTTGCTGACCATGACACACGAAATAGACTGTGAAGGACAACATTTTGTTCGGAAAGGATATGGATCGGTCGTGGTACAAGGAGGTCATCAAAGCGTAAGTTCCCCTTCTTTAAAAACAACGGATTTTACCAAGTGCGTCCATTATTGACAGAACCTCAGCTGCGCTTTACAGCCCGACCTGGACATGCTCCCCAACGGTGACGCGACCGAGATTGGCGAGAGAGGAATCACTATCTCGGGCGGCCAGAAGCAGCGGTTGAACATCGCACGCGCAATCTACTTCGATGCCGATATCATCCTCATGGACGACCCGCTCAGTGCAGTTGACGCCCACGTGGGCCGCCATATTTTCGATAATGCGATCCTGGGCCTTCTCAAGGACAAGTGTCGTATCCTAGCGACTCACCAGCTGTGGGTTCTCAACCGTTGTGACCGGATCATCTGGATGGACCAAGGCCGCATCCAGGCTATCGACACCTTTGACAACCTCATGAAGCAGCACGTCGGCTTCCAGCAGCTCATGGAGTCGACGGCGGTGGAGGAGAAGGAGGAGGGCGCCGAGGTGGCCCAGATGCCAGATGCCAATGAGGCCAAGGGCAAGAAGAAGAAGGGCAAGAGCATGATGCAGGCCGAAGAGCGAGCCGTGGCCAGCGTTCCATGGTCCGTATATGGGGACTACGTCCGCGCGTCGGGATCGCTGTTTAATGCGTTCCTGATCTTCGCGCTGCTCGTCATATCGCAGGGCGCCAACATCATGACCAGCCTCTGGCTGTCGTGGTGGACCTCCAACCAGTACAACCTCTCAATGGGGCAGTACATCGGCATCTACGCCGGCCTGGGCGCGGTGCAGGCCATCCTGATGTTCAGCTTCATGGTCACCCTCACAATAGTCGGCACATCTGCCTCGAGGACTATGCTGCGCGATGCCATCACGCGGGTCCTCCGCGCCCCGATGTCCTTTTTCGATACCACGCCGCTTGGCCGGATCACGAACCGCTTCTCGCGGGACGTCGATGTCATGGACAACAACCTGTCTGACGCGATGAGGATGTACTTCTTCTCCGTAGCGGCCATCCTGTCGACCTTTGCGCTCATCATCGCCTACTTCCACTACTTCGCCATCGCGCTGGTGCCGCTCTTCTTCCTGTTCCTCTTCGCGACCGGCTACTACCGCAGCTCGGCGCGTGAGGTCAAGCGGTTCGAGTCGGTCTTCCGTTCGACCGTCTTTGCCAAGTTCGGCGAGGGCCTGTCTGGGGTTTCCTCGATCCGGGCGTACGGTCTGAAGGACCGCTTCATCACCGACCTGCGCAACGCCATCGATGAGATGAATGCCGCGTACTACCTGACTTTCAGCAACCAGCGCTGGTTGTCGGTGCGTCTTGACGCTATTGGAAATGCACTGGTCTTCACGACTGGTATCCTCGTCGTCACGGAGCGGTTCAACGTGCAGCCCTCCATCGCTGGTCTTGTGCTGTCGTACATACTCGCCATCGTGCAGATGATCCAGTTTACGGTGCGTCAGCTCGCCGAGGTCGAGAATGGCATGAACGCGGTGGAGCGGCTGCGCTACTACGGAACGCAGCTGGAGGAGGAGGCCCCGCTGCACACGATCGAGGTGCGGCCCTCGTGGCCCGAGAAGGGCGAGATCATCTTCGACAACGTCGAGATGTGCTACCGCGAAGGCCTTCCGCTCGTGCTCAAAGGGCTAGACATCCACGTCCGGGGCGGGGAGCGCATCGGCATTGTCGGTCGCACGGGCGCGGGCAAGAGCTCCATCATGAGCACGCTGTTCCGGCTGGTCGAGATCTCGTCCGGGAGCATCACCATCGATGGCGTCGACATCTCCACCATCGGGCTCAACGACCTCCGCCGGCGCCTCGCCATCATCCCGCAGGACCCGACCCTCTTCCGCGGCACCGTCCGCAGCAACCTCGACCCCTTCAACGAGCACGACGACCTCAAGCTGTGGTCGGCGCTGCGGCAGGCGGACCTGGTGCCCAGCGACGGCGGCAACAACCCGGACCGGCAGGCCACCGACTCGCCGACCACCAAGGACCCGTCGCGGATCCACCTCGACAGCGTGGTGGAGGAGGACGGGCTCAACTTCTCGCTCGGGCAGCGCCAGCTGATGGCGCTCGCCCGCGCGCTCGTGCGCGGCAGCCAGATCATCGTGTGCGACGAGGCGACCAGCTCCGTGGACATGGAGACGGACGACAAGATCCAGGCGACCATCGCGTCGGGGTTCCGGGGCAAGACGCTGCTGTGCATCGCGCACCGCCTGCGGACCATCATCGGCTACGACCGCATCTGCGTCATGGACGCGGGCCGCATCGCCGAGCTGGGCCCGCCGCTCGAGCTCTGGGGCATCGAGGGCGGCATCTTCCGGGGCATGTGTGAGCGGAGCGGGATCCGGCTCGACGACATCCGGGGCGCCAAGGAGGGCATCATGGCTGCTGAGGCCGAGGGGGAGGGCGCCGGTGTGGGCAGGGTGAGGAGCTGGGACGATGAGGCGAGGGGTGGCGAGAAGGCCTGATTTGGGTGAGCTGTGGCATATATATATATATATACCCAGCAGAACACGTATATTACCTAGTAATAGTCTCCATCATCTTCAAAGCGGGTCTGCGGACAGGATTCATTGTCTTGGCTGGTATTGCATGTATGCATGGTTCTGATTGATTCCTTGTTTTTTTCCCCATCTTGTCGAGTTATATAATCGGGCTTGGAAAATCGATCTATGAAGCATGGGAGAAAACGGTAGACGTTGATGACGTTACATAGACTCTCTTCGCTGAGAATGAATATCACTGAGCACATAAGTATGTTGCGTGCACACGAAACCGTAATATTTACGTCGAGTAACGACATATATACCTGCGACGCTGGGCGCTCACGATTAATACCAGCTTATACTGTTCCGGCCCCTCCGAGTCCACTGCCCGTCCATTACACCCAGGCCAGGATTGCTGCTCCCCCTCGCCTTGGATTTGTAATGGGCGACCGATCCTCCCAGCCCGATGACCCAGGATGGTAGGCATACAGCAAGATAAACAATGGTGCCATCGAAGCCGACTGTGTCGTGATGATAACGCACACGAGGGGGGGGGGGGGAGAGACAGACCGAACCCCTCCAACCAAAAGCCAACGCCAGCACAACTCGTCCGTCCGTCCGTCCGTAGCTGCCCACATGCTTATCTATCCAGACTGCAGATATATATATATGTATTGTATGCAATCACGTCCGTGTCACCAACAAAAGACCGTGCGCCAAACCAGTGCAGAATAGGACGCCGGTCGGTACCTTCACCTCTCCTTTTCGTCGGCCTGTGTAACCAAGCAGGGACACCAAATCGGGGTCGTTGCACAAACAGGGGACGGGGATACGTTCTGGGTCGTTACACCGGGCCAAAGCTCAGATGAATTGCTGTGCGACGCATCTGGCATCTGGCAGGTGTCAAAATCACGCAGCAGCGCCTGCTTTTTTCGACAGGCCCCCTGGCCCAAGCCACAGCCATATTGACATCCACGCTTTTTTGCTTATTTTGGGCCCAGTCAGTAAGTCAGTCAGTAAGTCAGTCACCTATGACGAAAGGGCACTGTGGGCAAGTTGATCAGGAGCCGTAGGCAGTGATGGTAGAAGTAGAATACTATTATTAGTAGCATGGGTAGTTGGTTAAAATGCCTGTACTTCAAAGCTGGATACGCAAAACGAGTAACACCGAGCCAAGCCGATGCTTGTTTTGATCCCGTTGAACCCCTGAACGCCGTTCTCAAATGCCAAACAATGCCAGTCAGAAAGCCACTCTTTGCCCCCAAGGGAACAATATGCCTGCGCCTTTGCCGGTGGAGGCATGTAAGCATAATTCTTGCAAATACTTGTACCCCGACAGGCCTCTCATAACGTTCCTTCGCCTCATGAGATGCTCCCAGACTCGCCGCGCGTGCTTCCACCTGCCCTGCGGAGTACCGGAGTTGAAGGGTCTATTCGTCCCAGTACAATGTCTCAACGCTGTCATCCACAGGTAGCTGGCCGTGTTCTTCCCAAGCTGCAGCTGCGCCGCGGGACTCGCCACTGTTTTCCGAAACCTTGGACAACTTCGTCTCCAGGCAGGAGGGCGGGGCGTCCATCTAGAACCGCCCGCTCTGCCGGTATGGGTGGTTGGCGTTATTACCACCCGTCCTCGGTTCAGGCGTCGTCCCCTGCGGTGGGAACATCTCTGGGTTCTCGCCAAGCAGGTCATCCAGGAAGGCGCTCGGCGCCCGACCGCCCTGTGGTTGTGCGTTCAGGTTGACGCTGCTGGTACTCATGTTGTTCCGGTGCAGTGGTGTCCTCTGGGGCCCGAAACCGGGAGACTCGGGAGGGCTGTGGCTGGACACGGCGCGAGGGTGGCCTCGAGAGTCGGGCCGCAAGTTGGTCATGCTGATGGACTGGCTGTGACCGTGGCCGTGGCCGTCGACGTTCTGTGGCGAAGCAGCGCCCGCGGCGTAGAAACCGGCGGGCAGGAAACGCGAATCCCTGTTGTTGTATGAAGAGTCCCTATAGGATGAATCCCTGTTTCCATTGTCGCGATAGACCGAGTCTCGATTGCCGGCGCCTGCAGTCGGGGAGAAGAAGAGGTTGGTTTGCGAAGGTGTTGCTGAGGGAACAGGGCCCCTCGTGGTCCTGCGCACACCTCGTCCAGAGTTGACATTTTGTGACGAATCCTGGTCGGTGTACTTGTAGAATGGGGCGGGGGGCGCGGGGAAGGCAGTCTTGTCGTTGTTGCCAAGATGCTGGGCCATGGCGGCCTTCTCGACAGAACGGTGGAGCAAGCACGCGATGATGGCCCGCCATAGCAATAGTGCGAGGGCGAAGGCGCCCAGCACAGCGCCAACACAGATGAAGACGGTGCCGTCAGGCAGCGTGGAGACCTGCATGAAGGGCGCATTTTGCGTAGGGGGTACGCTCGGTGCCGGGTACGTGGGGATGGCCGCGTCGGCGGCGCCAGAGGGAGTGCTGATGGTGGGCATGTCGGAGTTTACGCCAGAATCACTGGTAGACGTCGACAAGCTTGGCATGTCGCTGGTGACGGTGTCGGCCGAGGCGGACGTCGACGTCGAAGACTCGCCATCGTTGGCCGATGTCTGGCCTATGGTAGGCATCGCTTCCGAGGCCGTGGCAGTATCATCAGCGGTGGCTGTACGGTCTGAGGTGGCTGCTGCTGAAGTGGTCTCGTCATCCTGGGCGAAAGTCCCGACTGCCAGGAATGACAGCGCCAGGGTGGTCGACAGAAGCAGCGAGCGCCTCAGAGAAAGCCGTGATCTCCTCATCTTGACTGTGCAGCCGGATCCGTCGCAACGAGAGCGGATAGGAAGGAGCGGGGTGGGCAAAGTCGCTCCGATATTCTGGTTTTTTTCCTTCTATCAAACTGGCACAGGCCTCTGTGAGACCGGATGACGCGGTCGAGTCTGACGCCGTGTACGGTCGGAACGAGTCTTGGTTGGGCTCGTGTTGCGGCTGTGCAAGGCTCGTGACAAGACAAGTCAGGGGAGGACGAGGTGTTGGTGCGTGTTACTTTTGTGGCCGCGGCAGCGGCGGCGGCGGCGGGAGGACAAAGAAGCAGCCCTGGACGGGAGCGTAGTGGGGTGTTGATGACGAACGGGACCAAAAACACCAAGAAAAGAAAACAGATTCCTCGTCGTCGTCGTCGTTGTTTGTTCAGGGCAAACAAACCCTGGGCTGATGGAATCTGGGGAGAGAAGTGGAGAGGGAATTGGGATCCGCAGCCAGAACGACAGGCGGAGAGAGGGGACCTCGGCGTGCCAGCAGGAAGGCAGCAGGAAAGCACCACACACAACCAGGAACAGGATTAGCAGCAGGCACTGGTAGGGACTGGCGCAGGTGCACTGCAAAAAAGGGGGGTTTACATTCCATCTTGGGGCGGTACCTCGGTACATGATCCGCCCTAGCAGGCACAGCACCACTGGATGTTCTCGGTACGACATGGTGGACCCGTGGACTCAGCCATCGCGCAATTGGCGCCTCCACTGGCTGGCCGCCCCAAAGGGCTCGTGTCTGTGTGATGCGCCAGATCGAATGACGGCCCAGTCTCTTGGGATCTCCACCCTGTCTCGTGTAGTGTACAGCGACGCTACGCAGCCATGTACTCCATACTGCATGTACACAGGAAACAGATGCAGAGGAACCCAACGGTCGCATCGATACACCGTGGTCTGCAGGCCGAGAATTGCCTTTCGTGGCGATTGTGTGATGGCCATCTTGGAAAATCCCAAGCTGCACGTCTGAAACCCACCCAGCGCCAATGATTACCTGGCTTGCCTGGAATGCGTGCACCTGGATTGTTGATCGTTGGACCTCCTTTCCCTGCTGCTAGGCTGACAGGCTGACATTACCCGAGTACGCGTTAGTGCACGGCCTTCGTCTTTTTTTAAAGAAAAAAAAGTGCTGGAGATGCCCATCTGCAGCTAGCCAGTGGCTGCAGAAACGCAACTCAAAGTACCCAAGTACTGGGCCGGGGGATCCCCACTAGCTTGTTCTGTGTCGAGCAGCTCTGTGTACTGTGCGCACAGACCATCCACTTCCGCTACGGGCGGGTCCTCGGCAGTGATCCGTTGCCTGCCCAGAGTACGATTGCCTAGACCTGGACGGAATATTTTGTCGGTCGCATACAACAATTCGTCTATCTAATCGGTCAAACATCTCGCACCTACACACGACGACACACCCAGCCATTCCCACATCAGGCAACCTCCACGATGGGCGTCCAAAAACGAACTCGGAAATTTGCGGTCAGTCCTGTTCCTACAACTCCTTGCCATTTCCCAGCTCCCAGAGGGCAAGGCTGACCAGATGTCCCCAACAGCAAACCAAGCGAGTTATCGGCAAGCGAGATGACCGATTGAAGGAGAACCGCGAAAAGGCCGACAAGGTCCTCCAAGAGACCAAAAAGAAGGCAACCGCAAATGGCGAACTCATCCGCGAGATACCCCAGGCGCCATCTTCCTTATTCTTCCAGCATAACACGGCTCTCGTGTAAGCAAGATTCCGGGTCCCCAGCAGTCGTTTGCTGGATGTTACAGGAGGCGATTCTTTGGGAACTGAGCAGGCGGTTGACACGTTATAGCCCTCCCTACCAAGTCATCGTTGATACAAATTTTCGTAAGTCACCCGGGAGTAACGAGGTCATTTTTTTGGTTCCAACAACTAACACCGAATGCTGTAGTATCACACACGGTTTCTCGCGTCAGTACAAGCCTTCCAGGATGCACCATATTGATTTTCGCAACAGACTACTGACATACAATAGAAAATCGAGAGTAGGCAGCTCCCGGATACAAGTTTCACCTCTCAGCACATTCCCCACCCCAGCCTGTACTACACACACTTTACGGGCTGCTGGTTTCGACACAGGCTATCGACACCTTGTGGCCTGCTCGCCATTCTCCCATGAAGCATCTTCTTTGGCTCTTTGATGACTAACTCTGAGCGCGTAGTGTTGGAAGGGATGATGGACGCACTCTACGCGGTAAGCATCCCCTTTCCCCGTCATGGGTCCCCGTCTTTCATGCTTTCGGGTTCGAGAACGCATCACTTTGGTATCCGGAGCAGGACTAACGTCACCATTTTATAGAAAGTGGAGGTATTAATTACGAGCTGTGGTGAGTATTTCTGGACACATTTGCATTCTTAAACCAGAGACCATTGTAGTCTGTGGCCAGTCTTTCCGTCTGCCCCTAAAATCTTGGCCGGGCTGCAGGTGTTGAGAAGGCCGTGGCGACTCACCGGCCATTGAACCCCACCCTCTTCTGAACACACTTCTACAATGCATCGACAGCTAACTCCTCCGATAGTAATGGCCGAGTTAGAGAAGCTCGGGCCCAAGTACAGGATAGCCTTGAAGATCGCCCGTGACGAACGCTGGAAGCGCTTGTCTTGTGACAGTGTCCATTCTGGGACTTACGCAGATGACTGCATCGTGGACAGGTGCATGAAGAACCGGATCTACATAGTCGCCACCAACGATCGGGACCTGAAACGCAGGCTGCGCAAGATCCCCGGAGTCCCCATTCTGTCGGTGGGCCGCGGCAAGTATGTCATCGAGAGGCTGCCCGACTCTTTCTCGACGTGAGGTGGGCGTGCTGGGGAAAAGATGACATTATGATACTCAAACCCGCCATTGCCACCTGCCGGGAGTTTGGCGACGAGAGCGCGACCAGCGCAGGGTGCTTTGTTAGAGGAGGGGGCGAAGTACCGGTCCACAGATTCAGCCGGGACAGGGTCTCGAGGCTTCAGATTTGGGGGACCAGCGGTCACGGCTGGGAAACAAATAAGACTAGGCGGCTCATACGAGAGCTGTGGTCTCGGGGACTGGCTAGATGAACCAGGACGGTGGATCTCGAATCTCCCTCTTTACGGCTGAGGGAAAACGAACGAGAGCGGGCGGGCCCAACTGCAGAGTGGGATTATGGGTGCGTGCCGGCAAGTGAATGTGCTGGTATCAGTGGCACGAGGTATGTCAAATATTGGCGTTCGAGGGAAAGGCCAGGTCGGTCTGTCATAGTATCTCAGCCAGAGCCAACAAGGGCAGAAGTGTAGATACCCTCCTAGTGATGAAATTAATATTCACATACCAACGGTAGAACGTGAGCAGCTCTCAGACATCGGCCGTGACCCCTTTCAGGCCTGGCCAGCTTATTAGTCATGTGGAACGCAAGGCGAGCGGAAGGCAGCGACGTCGGGTATCCGTCCACTTACAACTAGATGATTGGACACGCATATTAGGATTTTCATCTGACATCTCCCATGGGAGTTTGGTTTCTTTTTTCTTTTTTGTTAAAAAAAGAAGAAGGGAAAGGCGTCCCCCCGAGATTCCCATAAATTCTATCACTATAACAACGGCATCCAACGTCACACCAGCGAGGAATCGGCCGAGAAGCCAGGTGCCTGCAGCTCTGCTCCCCGCCCAACCACACACTCGGGAACTCCACCAACCCCCAGCCTGCTTAGCCAGCCGCTGTTGGTCGCCCAACCTACCCAACGACCTATCTACCTAGCCCCTGAGACGTGAGGACGCCGAGATTTCTGGGGGTTGGGAAAAAGGTGCGACATCAGTGAAGCTCCCTGAGGTGCTTCTTCGTTTTCAGGGCCTCGTAACGAGGTTCCTTTCCACATTTCAGACGATGGGCACGATGGATAGCAGTGATACCGGCCACACCAGACCAGCGGCAGCGGCAGCGGCAGCGGCAGCGGCAGCGGCAACCACGACTGCGGACGCGCCCCAGAAGAGGTCGAGGGTGCTCCTCTCGTGTGCGCCATGCCGTTTCTCAAAGTTGAAGTGCGACAGAGCAGTGTAGGTCCCTGTTTTAAATATCATGAGCCGATAGTACTATGTAGTACTTCTTTTCAGTTTCTCTTCGTCTCAATCTTCCCTTCAACTGCCATAATACACTTCAGGTCTTGTAGCACCTCACTCGGCTGTCACCCAGCATGAAGTAGACGGCTCTGAAGAGGTATGGATCAAGTCATCCACACACTTCTCTTACGTGACAGCACATGATCACTAGTGCATTCAGAACACCTCTCAAACAATACTGACGACCACCACAGGCCATGCACAAACTGCCTCAAGAAGTCCCGTACGGACCTGTGCAAGTACGCGCCCAAGCCCGTCAAGAACAGGCCGCCCAAGGGCATGGCCGCCCGCCTCAGGAGGCTGGAGGGCATGGTCCGCGAGATGCTCGACGAGGACGGCAACGTCCGGGAGCCCTCGTCGGAGCACACGGCGGCGGGCAAGCAAGAAGACGGCAGTGTGCGTGGTGGTGATGGCGACGCCAGCGACGCCAGCGGCAAACCTACATGCACCCCATCGGTCCCGGGCGCCCAGGTCGTCCGAGGTCCGGGGGCGAGGGGAGGTACAGCCACTTACGTGGGAGCTACGCATTTCATGGCGATGTTGGGTGATGTAGGTGCCGCAGATGTCGTTTTGCTTTCCATTCCTAATGCACCACGGGCCAGGGAATGCTTGCCCAGCCGCGACGTCGTTCCGCGAGAAGTACTGTATCGGGATTGGGGACATCAGATAAAGAGAGCTGACGCAATTTATGCTTCACAGATTGAGGACCTGAAGAGTTACTTTGACCACGAGGAAGTCGATGAAGAAATGGACGGGGACTCACCCGAGTACTTCACCAACGGTGACTCGCCCGCGATGCTCATTGGGAGCAGGGCCGCGCCCAAGACGAGACAGGACCTCTTGGACCTGTTGCCACCAAAGCAAGTCGCCGACCGATTGATCATGCGATACTTTAATTCGCACTCCGCCTCACAGCGTACGCAAGCCGGTCCTACCAGTCCCCGTCTTCCCAGCCGGTCCACGAGGGGAGTGCTAATAGCAGAGGTTGGTAGACGTTGTTCACAAGCCGATGTTTAGCAGATGGGTATGCTTCACCTTTTGAATTTTTATTCTCTCGAAGAGCATGGGACTATGGAGAAATTCCGGTTAGAACTGACCAAATTGACAGTATAATGAGTTTTGGGAGGACCCGACGTCACCCACAGTAGAGATGGACTTTTTGGCCTTGTTATACATGGTTTTCGCGTTGGCAATCTTCTTCAGCAACTTCATGGCGCCGCACGAGCTAGCTAGCGACAACGTCCCGCTGACGCCCATACAGCGTTTCCGCCAGTATCGGGCTGCGGCTGGGTCTGCACTCACATACGCGTCGCGCGACGGCCAGCACGGCTTCTCGTCCCCGGGCCCGCTGACCTGCGCGCCATTGATTCTGTATGTTGAAGCTGACTTCCTAATCAACCGCACCTCGCATATGAACTGTTACCTGCTGTCGAGCGTTTGTATCCGAGTTATGCTCAAGATGGGCATGCACCGTGACCCGTCGAAGGTTCCTGGGTCACCACTCTCGCCTTTCGAAGCTGAGATGGGTCGGCGGATGTGGAACTTGGCTATTCAGATCGACCTCATGGTGTCATTCCACCTAGGTTTGCCTAGCAGTAAGTGATGGCCGGAAGTCGGCAGTGGTGGCCTTGGTTCTCCCAGGACTGTCTTGACGAGAAGCTTCCAGCATACAAGCCCGTCCAAGTACATCCAAAATGTGTCATAACGTCAAATTTGACATATCACTTGCCTGCGCGCTTTTCCGGACGCTTGGCTGATGTTATTCCAGTGATTCACGGTATTGAAAGCGACACCCTGCCACCGCGGAATCTTCTGGACGAGGACTTTGACATTGACACCAGGGAATTGCCGCCAGGGAGACCAGAGACGGAGTACACCCACATGACATACCCAACATTCAAAGCTGGAATCTGTAAACTGTTTGGCCTCGTGGCAAGGCAGGCGCACGCGCTCACGGAGCCGACATACGACGAAGTCATGGATCTGGACAACCAGCTCGCGACCAGATTCGAAGCAATGCCGTCGTTCATGAAGGTCAAGCCGCTGGAGGAATGTGTGACTGACCCGCCGTCTATGGTGATCCAGCGATTCGGCATTGCGGCGCTCTACCACAAAGCCATCTGCGTATTGCACAGGCGCTACCTGGCAGAGAAGACGCCTAGTAGGGAACACCGCTACTCGAGGCGGAGGTGCTTGCTGGCCGCGCTCGCGTTGCTCGAACATCAGAACTCGGTGTTCGAGGCGACCAAACCGGGCGGCATGCTTAACCAGAATGGCTGGTTTGTCTCCAGCCTTGCCATGCACGACCTGTTGCTTGCGGCCATGGTTATCTACCTTGTCATCCAAAATGATCACTATGCCGAGCCGGGTGTGGAATTCGACGGGACAAAGAAGGGCACAGTCTTGCCGAGTAAGAGGCAACTTATGGAAGCGCTCAAACGATCATACCGCATATGGGCAGAGGTGGCTCTTGCTGCGCCTGAGGTGAGAAAGGCACCTGAGATCCTGGCCGTCATGTTTCGCAAGATCGAGAAGAGCCATGCTGCAAAGGGAGAGACGATCTCGATGCTGGACGAAGATACCAGGCCTCGGGGGTCCGGTCCAACGGGTTATTCCCCGTCCCTGGACACCTTGAGGATCGACGACAAGCAGCTTGCGGAGCCTTATGGAACCAAACCCAAGGCCCTGGCCCCCATTGCGAATACCAGGACTGACTACGCAACCCCAGTGTCGCCTGTTTCTGAACAGCGCACATTCAACGCGTCATCCGGCACCCAACCTCAGATGAGTAAATATGGTTTCACGAGTGGACCGGTGACAGCTGACCCGACCACGGAAGCCACGTGGGTGCCAGAGGCGACAGATGCAATGGACGCAATCGACTGGACTTCATTGGAGACAGCCATTAGGGCCAACGCCGCCTTTGGCCAGTCGTCTGGCACTGAATGGATGGCTGACGACCCCACCTTCGACTATTCCGGCCTTGACAACTTTGTGGATTCTGATTTCATGACCATGAACTACTAGGGGCCATAAGGATTGGGATCTTGAGACGGTGGCTCGGCCTTAATTCACTGGCGGAGGTGATTGCCCAACCAAGAGAGGCCAGCCGCGCGAGCGAGTAGGCTAGATTCGGTACGAGCCGGAACCACCCCCTCCCTTCCAACACAGACAGACATTCCAAGGCTCTCGTGTGGTGATGCTCTGGCCCAGTCTGGACCTGGCGGGCCACATCGACAAGCAACGTTAACTTGTAGGATTGAGACGGGAAAATCCTCATATCAACGCGGCGTAGCCGTTCTCGGGCCAACCTTGTCCGGCTGGGTGGCCCGTCGAACGCGTCTAGAAGCTAGTAGCGACTTGGCCCAGGGACGCGGTAGGGCATCTGTACGGAGTAGTGCATCTCGCAGCAGGTGATGTCTGAATTGACATGCCGGGGAGTGGGACAAGTTCTCCAGGCTGGGGAGAAGCTTGTTCGCTGGGGGCCTGGCGTTCCCCATGGGGTCGGATAGAATCGAGCAGACACCTCTGCAGTGGAGACGGCTGCGGAGGACACCGGGCGGCTAGGGATTGCGTGGTGCAACGCCGTTATCATTCGAGGCCGGTGTGACCTCTGTTCTGTGCCAAACACCAAGAGCGCCGTGGGCTTGTTGTGGAAGCTAACGGCGGCCACGGCAGCTACCACGGGCATTGAATGACAGGGCAAGACCTCCGCGGAGATGCACCGAGCATCAGCAGGGGGCTAGGTCGTATGAAAGCAGCATAAAGCGCCATCGCCTGTCTCATGACGGCATAAAGAGCCCAAGGCTACTGGAAAAGCTGACGGTAGTACGGTTAGCAGAGGCGGCTTGTACGTAACGGAAAACCGTGCTTTAGATTTGGGCGCGCTTGGGGCTGCAAGGACTGGCGAGCCACAGGTGGTCTGCGGGGCAGGGGGGTGGCGGCGGCCCTGGCCGTCCGTCATAGGAGCGTCAGTTGTGTGCCCAGCGCCTGCGGCAGCAGCAGCAGCAGTGGTGATCCGACAAGTTGGGACCCTAGATGGGCTGGGATGGGATGGGATGGATGGGATGTTTAGTGCAGGAGTGTCTGACGCGTGCTCCGATACCGAAGTGCAGGACGTCAACATGGCATTGATAAGACAGCTGCTAATATCGAGTCAGACGGTTTTGACTTAGCAGCACCCTTTGGCTGCAAGTCAACCGGTCGTCATTTCCAAGCCTACCACAGTGATAGTGCGAGTAAAGTGCATCTGATCAAGGCATGTGTGGTGTGCGACGGGAGCAGGCCGACAAGTCAACAAGTCATGTTGCATGTACAGGCGATATCGCAACTCTACTGCGTCAGTAGATTGGCCGGCAATCAAAGCGCAATTGGCTGCGACAGTGTCCAAGGACGAGGTGCTCCGAGAGGAATGGGCCCGAAATGGAATGCGGCGTGCTTTTACTGGTGCCTGTGCAAGCTGTGGTACTTGCTGATAAGAGGGCAGCAGGAAGCCTGGGGGGCCTGTGTGGCCTGGGCGCCGGGCGGGATTGGCCATCAGCCTTGCTCATCTGGGCGGCGGCCTGGGCCCCCCGGGGTGTGTCTGACTCGAGGCAGAGCTCACAAGGCTGATGACACTGCGAATTGCGAGATGGCCGTGGTCCGGCGCGGGTGGTGACGCGAGCTGCAGGACCGGAAATGGGGAATCACTTGTCTCCATGAGTCCCCATCGTAAGCCGCAGGCGCAGGGAAATGTCAAACAAAAAAGTTCCGTTCTGAAGTTCGGGGGGGTAATACATAAGGTAATATGGAGGGGTGGTCGAGGGGGGTGAGGGGGGGGGTGAGGGGCAGAGGGGAGCAGTCTGGTGTGCTTCGTGCATTGAGTAGAAACCCACACCCCACCTTCTTACTGGGGGAGGGGGGTCACTGGGATGGCAGGATGGATGTCACTTGCACTCCTGAGCATCATCATTCGTGGGCTCGGCAGGTGCAGGAAGATACAAAGTACATGCACTACCTAGGTACGGAGTACGTGGGCACAAGGATCGCGCCTCCCCTTCAGACTTGAGCCGCAAAGACGAACCGACAGACTGCCAGACACCCGTGGGTTGTTGGCCCCATGGCCTGCATGCCTGCATTGCCCCCCGAATCTGGACCTGGACCTGAAGCCCGTCCAACATAAACTTTCTGAAGAGGCAGGTCTTTCCGATATGCGGCCATCTGATCCTGTGAACTGAGCTGTCGTCTTTGAACATCATGTATGTACTGACTGCCCAGGTGTCCTGTATGATCCAACAGAAGGGGAGAGGCATACATGCAGGCCTGCAACCGGTCAGGGAAGGAACTCTCACCCGCCCGGGCAGACCAACAAGGTGCCTTCCACCTATCTCTCGAGGTGTCAAAGTACCCGTGCTTGCCGTGCCTCCCAACAGGACGGGCCAAGCTGCTTCCCTGGAGACAGATGCATGCGAGCCAGCCAGCCCAGCAGCCCAGCAGCCCAGCTAACCGTCTCGAATCTTCCTTCTGTATCTGCTGGAGCGAGGAAAATTCTGAATTTTATCACGGTCGCTAAGTCGGTTTGGTTTGGCAAATGCCAGCAGGCCCTGTCCTGTCCGGGCCAACAGTAGGAAACTTTTACCTAATGTCTCGCTCGCACTCACCAGCAAAGCCCGACCTCGCTGTCGAATCGACGAAGCCCATGCCGACCTCGTGCTGCCCTCTGCGCTTCTCCCCCTCCTGCCGTCCGCCACTGCCTCCTCCCTCGTGTCTTGAGGTGTCCATCCTTGATGTGACGCCGACCTGTGTGTGGAGGCCTAACGCCGACGGGGCTTGATGGAGCGTGGAGTGTCCATGTACATCCTCAGCCTTCCCACAGTTGCACTGCTTGGCGGTACACAGTACCACGGGGCCAGAAGTTATGCTTCTTCTTGTTGTTGTTGTCCCTTGTTGCTGCTGCTGCTGCTGCTGCTGCTGCTGTGATTGCTGTGACTGTTCGTCCCGGCCTGATGACCAGCTCTGGCCGGGCCCAGCACCCGGCAGCTGGCTTGCAAGTTGGGGCTGCCTGGTCGGACGTGGGATCCAAGCAGGTTGATCTGGTGCCCGTGTCTCGTCGTCAACTGGTTCGCTCTCGGGCCGACCGCAGCTGGAACTCCCATAACACAAGACATAAAAGAGATAAGGAACATGTTCCATTCCTTGCAACCACCGGCAGTACCTCATATATTGCGTGACCCGCGGGACTGGCTGGACCCATCTTGAACCGGACGAGAGAAGTGGACGGGCGGAAGGACCGAGTGAGACTCTCTTTCTCTCAGTCAGTAGTAGTCTCTCTCCCTCCTTCTCTCCTTCTCTCTCTCTCTGTCTCTGTGCCCCCTTGCTGGACCTACTCCATACCGTGTCTACTCCGTACATATGTACTTCCTAAGCCCCTTCGACTAGAGCACGTTCCCCGATATCCACTTGGCTTAATTCTGTTTGTCCTCCACCCTGGGCCAGCCTGAGAATCAGACCGCACCGCACCGTACCGCACCACTTTCTGCCGCGGCTCCACGTCTGAAGGTGCCAGCCAACCCAGCCCACCGGGGCCCGACCACCATTGGGGAATTATCGTCGTGACCTCTGACGGGCAGACTTTTCTTTTCTATTTTTTCCTAGTCCCTTGCCCTTTCTCCTCCTGCTCCTCAAGTATACCAGACAGACATATGCCAACAGAGGAAAACGTCGAGCCACGCCCTACACCGCCATCCTCTCTGCCGCCGCCGTGCCCCTCACGCACACGCCCACGCACACGCGCACACGCACACGCTCAGGCTCAGGCCTTTCAAGGCTCCGCCACAGGCTCTCGCCCACGTATCTAAACCTACCTGCCTGCCTACCTCATACACCTACCGCGAACAAGGTTCTTGTAGCCAAACAGCTGTCTCGCCTCTTATCTTTTCGGGTCCCCTTGCCGAGCCTAGGCTTGACTGAGTCTCGTCTGGACGGAAACCAAATCGTTCAACCGCCCCGGCTTTGCCTTCCTGCACGCGACCTGTGACCTTAACACCCCCCCCCTGCCACCGGCTCCCTGCGCCGTTGAGAATTCCGACTTCACCAAGACCAGCGCAGAGGCTGCCTGTCAGAAAACCGATCGATCCTGGGGTCGGCGACCCTTTCCCCAGATGATATCTCTCTTCCCACCTTTTTTCCAGTCCACTCACCACTTGAGGCTACCTCGCGCCAACTGCCACTTGTGGTAATTCCCGATTGGGCTTTCAACACAACACTTACTTCTTAGTTGTTGAGTTGTCTGCTTGGCCACTCGGTGCTCTTATTACCTAGGGGCAGAATCCAACGTCAACAATAATTATCTACATGCGCTGAGCCAGGTCGCAACTTGATATTCCGCCCAACTCACCCAAGCCGGGAGATCTACGAGGCTGCACGAGCCCTTGCTCCAATCACTTGCAGCCATAACCGAGCATACCTGCATCTTGTCTGATATGTGAGTCCGTGGCCGTCGTCCCTTGTCGTGTTTTACTGCGCTCCCTGGGTTTTCTTGGGCTGCATGTCATGCTCCGGGCCTTATCTTGGTATATGCCTGTCGCCTGGAAATCGCCGCGGGCCTACGTTGCACGAGGGGCAGAGATTTTCTCTTTTGACCTGATCGCCCGTCCTTCTCAATACTCCTTTTGTTAGTGCAGTGTGACAATTGCCCATTCCCAAGACGGTCCTTGTTCCGCGCGGGGACGCGCTTTACCACCCTGCCCTCGCCCTTTTATTACATGTATCCCGCCCCTCATTCAGCCATCGCAATCCCGCTAACGCGCCTAAAAGCAGAGTTGTCCTGCAGCCCGGTTGCAGGAGTTGGCAAGCCACTCGCACGAACCCACGAGCGACTCTGCAGGGTGTGGGTGACAGCGAGAAGCAGGTAGGGTGACTTTCCGCATCGCACGGGGAAAACAAGACGGGGAAACCTTATCTTTCCTCCTTGCTCCCACCAGTCCCCTCCTGAGTCCAGTCTGGTGACCTCGGGACGCTCAGACGACACATAAATCGCCCGACGCCCGTCCCGCGCATACCTTCTCGTGGCCCAATCATATTTCTTTGACTGGTCTACGACATCACTACCACGCGTCTTCGCAACTGCGAGACCCCAAGGCATACAAATTCTCTCCCCGCAACTCTGTCAGTCACTGGCTGCCGCCATCATCGCCACAGACTGAGCCAACCATCTCGGCCTTGTCCCGGGCGCCATTGGCTCGCGGTGGTCGGACTGAGTTACGTGGAGGAGTAAGGATCTCGGCACGGCTTCTATCAGGAATGGCCATTTGCTCAACAAAGTCCGAGATGCCTCACGCGGAACTGCCTCATCGGCCTGCTCAGCAAGCCCCAGCACAGAGCATCCCTATCAGGACGAAGCCGGTTGAGGAGCGGAGACACAAACACTCGAGGTCATCATACTCGGAGGCCGGCTCTTTCATGAATTCGCGAAACAACTCTCTCACCTTCCGTCCCGCCAAGCGCTCCATGCCGTCCCCAAATAAGACCATTGCTATCATCAACGCCGGCGGACGACAGGCCTCATCTCTCATCAGATATGTCACCGCTGTGGGGTACCACGTGAGAGCCCAGATGAGAAATCTTGAGGGCGTCATCGCGACTGAGATCAGGCAAAACCCTCATGTCACCCTGCTGGTAGGCGAGCTCTACACGAGGCAAGGCGCTACTTCGGAAAAGGCAGATGTGACCCAGAGTGGACCCATGTATGGCATAGGGGTAAATCACCAGCTGATCTCGGAGCTTTTCCGGGGGGCTCAGCTCGCCTTCATCAACACGACATTCTACGGAGATGAGATCAAGATTGGTGAGGCCCTGGCGGACGCAGCGCGTAGGGCCGGCATCCAGCACTACGTCTATTCCTCGATGCCTGACCATCATACCTACAACGAGGACTGGCCCAGCTTACCACTGTGGGCTCCCAAGCAGAAGGTGGAGGAGCATGTGAAGCAGATCGGCCTGCCGGCCACCTTTGTCTACACGGGCATTTACAACAACAACTTTACCAGCCTGCCATATCCCCTCTTTTGCATGGAAATGCAACCGGACGGGTCCTTCGTCTGGCAGGCGCCATTCCATCCTGACGCCAAACTCCCCTGGCTGGACGCAGAGCATGACGTCGGCCCCGCGATCCTACAGATATTCAAGGATGGCGTGCAAAAGTGGGGCGACAAGCGTATAGCCCTGGCGTACGAGCTCCTGTCTCCGCGTGAAGCCTGCGAGCAGTTCGAGAAAGGCGTGGGCCGGCCAGTCCGGTACGTCAGGGGCGAGATCGAGCTCAAGGTGAAGATCCCCGAAGGATACAGGATACAGCTCGAGGCCCTCGAGAAATTGTTTGGCCTGGGTGGCGATGATCCCGCCAAGCAACCCCCATACTTCGGCGACAGTGTACTCGAGGAGACCTGCCTCCACGACTCTCTCCAGCTGTGGGAAGGCCCCCGAGGCATGGAAGAGTACGCGCGTGAGATCTTCCCGCTGGAGGAGCATGCCAACGGGCTGAGATGGATGGAGGACGACGTTGAGGATGGGGAAGAAGACCAGGAAGAGGAGGAGTACGAGACGGTTGGATCTCTTGGCAGAGGTGAGCATGGGCCTGACGAGGACAGCGAGTCCGAGGATGAGGTACTGGAGATGAAGAGACCTGCAAGAGGTGACCAGGAGTGGCTCGCCTAGGGGATGTCCAGCCGAGACCGGGCCAGCCCGGGGAAGCAATAAGCTACAGGAGCAGCAGTCTGGCGAGCTCATGCAGCAATGGCGCTATGGCACGAACTCGGTGACGGCCGAGAACACGAAGGAGCCTAAGGAGGGCAGAGCGTGGGCGCATTTCACGGAGTTGAAAGGGGCGCATCTGTTGTTCGACGACATCCTGCCGCCGCCGCACACACACACACACAAACACACAATGGCGCAGACTTCTTGCATCGTCACTTCCATATCGTACCATACCATCGCGGACGGCGTTCCCAAAAGGCCGCGAAACTGCGGTGTGACATCTGGTTTTTATCTGGGGCATTTCAAAACACGGGGTCTGAAAACTTGAATTAAATTCTGGAACACTATTTGGGAAATGAGAGGCGTGGGCTCTGGACGGAAAAGGTGACCAAAAAGAAAATGGACAGCAAGTGGCTGCATGGAGGTTTGATTTGATTTGTCTGTCTGTCAGGATATTTGATGTGTCGGGTATTTTCCTGGAGATAACTTCCCAGTGGCCACAAGAGGGACAACAGTATAGCACATTGGAGCCTACACCATCTGACACCCTCTCGTATCTCCTGTGAAAACTGGACAAGATAGATCATCAGCTGTTGGCAAAAAAAAACCCTTCCAAGCAGGCAGGCAGGCAAGCAAGCAGTCTTCACATGAAACTCCCAAGCAAGGTCCCATAAAAAGGTGTCTCGGCCCCGAGAAACCCGCAGATGATAATCCCGAGGACAGCCTCGACCTTCCCGATGGGGCAGTAGGGGAGAACGAACCCGGTCCATTGCGTCAGGAATGCCTGCAACTCCGGCCGGACTAACGCGCGCTTGATTGGTGTACCAGCCCAGGTCAGGTATTGATTTTCACTGCTCGCCGCGGCATTTCATTTCGGTCTGTAGGCGGCCCACTCGGGTCAAAGACTGGCTGGTTGATGCGGGCGTTGGCAGGTTGGGTGAGGGGAGGGGTGGTCGAAAATGATGCTATCGCTTGCAGTGAGACAGACAGATGACGATACCTACAGTGTGTACCCGGACTGGGATGTTTTGGTACGTACATGCGTACATAAGCCCGGGCGGGAAATGACCCCCACTCACGGGCCGGGGCCGAAGAAGGGGAGGGGGGGTCCGGGGCAGTGGCGGCGCGGAAAACATGCCATTCTGCTGTTTTCGATGGTCAGATTGGGTGCTTTCTTTGCTTTTGCGATCTACTTTCTGTTTTCGGCGGTGGCACTTGTAAGTGGGGTGGACTTTATGCACTGTGAACTTTGGCTTATCTATTTCTCGGATCTATTTCTCGGATGCATTTCCGTAGCGTGCTCTCCGCCAGCCTCTCGATCTCCGCTTCTTTCTCCCTCTTTTTCCTCTTTTTATATTGTTATCGCTTGGGTATCGTGGTTAGAGCTATATTTCCTCTATCGCGCTTCTTGTGAGCTTGTTGTATTTTTGCGATGTAATTACCTGCCTCGATGCCTGGCGCCGGCCGGGGGTAAGAGTATAGGCCAGATGAGTGAAGCCGCTCTGGGCCCATTGCGATTCAAACCATATATCATCGTCGGAGGGGGTATTCTGTCTTTTGCATTACACGTCATAGACTGTGTGTTGTATGTACAGAAAGGTTGGTAATACAAGTACTACTAAGTATATAGTGGGGGAGGACGAGCACTCAACCCAAACCAGAAAAAAAGAGAGAGACTCCCAAGTCCTCCGCCCTCGCGGCGTCTAGGTCTATATCCATACAGGCTCATTGCGACTCAGATCTTGCCCAGGGCCAGGTTCGCAACCATCTGCTTGCCGGTGACCCATGTGGTCCGCCACAGGGTGGGGAGGTCGAGGGTGCTGCTCAGGCCGTCGGCAAAGCCGAAGAAGAGCATGGGGGGGATCCAGCCGCGGGCGTACTCGAGGGCGAAGCAGCCGCCGTCGGGCATCTTGTACTGCTTGACGCTGCCGCGGCGCAGGTGGTGGACGCTGCCCTGGGGGTAGACCTCGGGCTCGTAGGAGCCCGGGGTGTAGGCGAGCTGGGTGCCGAAGAGGATGTGGAAGTAGTCGTCGGCGGTGTGGCGGCCGGTGTGGCCCTCGGTGCCGATGGGGGTGCCGAAGATGATCAGGTACTCGGTGACGCCTGGTGGTGTGGTTAGCTATCTGGTCTGCTGTGAGGACTGTGAGGACTGTGGGGACCCGTGACATACTGGCGTGGATGATGTACATGGCGCCCATGGCGCCGCCGGCGTTGTTGAAGATCCACTCCTCGTCGAGGCTGACGTGGTTGGCCAGGGCGGGCTGGCCGTGCAGCTCGGAGACGATGTAGGAGACGACGCTGCGGGTGTCGTTGCCGTGGGCGGCGATGGCGCGCTTGGACAGGTCGTGCAGGTGGTCCTTGTCGAAGATGTAGAAGGACTCGAGGCGCTGCTCCATGAGGTAGACGACGGGGCTCAGCAGGCCGACCAGCGCGGCGAGGAGGAAGAGGAGACGCGCCATGTTTGTGCTGTCGTCTGTCTGTGTACGCACTGGAGAGGGTGAGTGGATGGGGGAAGATTAGATATTATATGAATCGACGCCGTCGCGGGTTGTTGAGGTTGGTCCTGCGACGCAGAGAAAAACAGGCGGTCGCAGCGGATAGCTGGGACCCGGATCGAATCATATTCCCGTGTGGGCCCCCGGCAGCCCGGTCTGTCAATTGATCAATTGGATGGGGGAGGACGCCAGGACGGTCAGCAAGGGCCCCTGTTACCTGGGAAGAAACTTTTCTCCTGTTGTGTCTCCCACCAGCGCCAGGGGTCCAGGGGTCCTTGTCAGCGGGGCGGGAGTGGACTGCAGGAACATGCCGCTAGTAAACTTTCTACCTCGACTTTTTTGGCTTGCAGATCGACCGTCGCATCGAATCTCGCCCGCCGTGTGGGCTGCCAACGTCACCGCAGAGCTCGCCCACTCACAGAGCTTAGCTGCCCCGCCACATTTTGACGACGACCACGACCACGACCACGACCACGACCAACAGCCATGGCTGCAACGACACTTGCAATCCCAGGCCAGCTCCTCGGCCCAGCCTCAAAGTACAAGCCCGGCGCCGGCGTGCACCTCTACGAGTCGAACCTGTACAGCTCCCTCCTCGGCGACATCACAATCACCCAGCCCGCCTCCCAGTCCTCAGCATCCTCCACATCCGCCCAGGGGCCCACGAAGCGCATCTCGAGGATCACCCAGAACCTGCCGTCGCGGGCAGCAGCCGCCCCGTCCGAGCTGCCCACCATATCAGTGTCGCGCGGGGCCGCCGCCGCCGCCGCCGGCCAGCAGAAGCAGAAGCAGCGCGAGGTCCTCCCGCAGGTCGGAAACACCGTCCTGTGCCGCGTCACGCGCATCACCCCGCGCCAGGCCGTCGTCGCCATCCTGGTCTGCGGCGACACCGTCCTCGGCGCCGAGTGGCAGGGCGTCATCCGCGTCCAGGACGTGCGCGCCACCGAGAAGGACCGCGTCAAGGTCTACGAGAGCTTCAGGCCCGGTGATATCGTGCGCGCGTCGGTCGTGAGTTCGCTCCTTGCCGGTATCAGGGCAACCTTTTTGTTGTCGTGAGTATGTATATATATATATATACTGATGGGACTCACTGCAGATATCCCTAGGTGATCAGGCAAACTACTACCTCTCCACCGCGAGCAACGAGCTCGGCGTCATCATGGCCGTCAGCGAGGCTGGCAATGCTATGTACCCCGTCACGTGGAAGGAGTACAAGGACCCGGAAACTGGCCTGAGCGAGAGCCGAAAGGTCGCGAAGCCCTTCTAAGGAAGCCGTCGCCACCTTTTCAGTAGGGGGGGAAATCCCCTTGAGAAAGTGATTGGCCGGTCTTTTCTCGCATGGGAAGCGTCTTTGGCGTTGAGTTGGTCAGTCTGTCGCCGCCCGGCCGACCGCCGGGCCAAGATGCCTGGGCCAAGTGAATGGCAAGCAGGGCAGGGGGCGTCATCGAAACTCATCAGGGAATGATTCAGGATTGCATTCCGCCCCAAGACTCTCTGTGCTCATGGCGTCAGTGTGAGATTCTGGGCATCCCCCCCCTTCCAACGCCCGTGTACGGCAAATGCTACGTGCCGTCAGATGGCACACCCTCCCAGAAGGCGTAGGACGGAGAACGCCTTGTACTTGAATGGCTCATGATGGTCGGTTGAGATTTGGCATCCATGCGTCTCTTAGCTGGCAAGTGGATGGGTGTTCCCGAATGCTCTTGAGCCAAGTTATTGGCAGTCTAGCGGACCACACGATAAACGTTGAGAAGTTGCGGGCATGGCCCATCCGCAGCGAGCCCCAGCTAATGGGCCGCATATATACCCCGAACACACAGATTGTGGAAGATTGGTGTATGTTCTAAGAAATGAAAAACTTTTGATTCTAGTGTCTAGCACCTTTCTCAGTCTATGGTGTACTTGTCTGTCTACCTCTTGTCGTTGCACATATCTTCATAACCATCATCACATCTCTATCAATCATAATCCTTCCTCATTTCTTTGACACCACATCCCAGGTCACAGTGATAACCCCAGCGCTCAGGGCCCCGCACTGCTTGAACACGGCAGGGGACACGTCAATGTCCCCCTTGCCGCACGACATGCACTTGTCCACGACGGCCGCCGTGATGGTCTTGCCGCCGCACTTGATGCTCGCCGACTTGGCGCACATGGGCGACGCGTTCGGGTTCGCGTACGTCCCGTAAATGCTCTGCGAGATGGCCACGACGAGATCGTTCTCCGTGTTGGTCTTGCCACAGGAGCCTTGCCCGGGCGTGTAGTGCGTCATCTTGCCCGTCTGCGAGCGCCGCTCCATCAGGACCGCCGAGGGGCCTGCGGATGTGTTTTGGGCCTGGGGCTCCAGGGGGGCGGCGCTTGTGAGGGCCGCGAGGAGGGTGAAGAGGATGGCAGTGGTGGACTTCATTTTGGGGTTTGGGGTATGGTAAGGTTCTCTGAACACTTTCGTTTTGAAATGAATGTATCGGTATATGCTCCACTTGTGGGGTTGTGATATATTTTTGCTTTGAAGGGCTTCTGAGGTTGTTCGAGTATTTCTGAGTGAGGGTGGGTCAAACAATTGACGTCTGTGGCTCTCCGGGAGTGATATCCAAAGCCTGTTGGAGGTGTAATTGTAAGTACGAATTCTCTCGAAGATTGACTTATTCTGCTCATCCGAATATCCAACTACACCAGGAGCGCAGGACGTATTTATACGAAATTACTCGGTCCTGTTCCTGCGGGCACGATCGAACTGCCGAAACAAAACAGCGGAACTGAATTCTATTCTCGCAGCCAATTGGTACCCTACTGCACAATCACAGGCCGCTATTTCAGATTTTTGAATTCTAGACTTCAAGTTTCTGCCATGTCCCCGAACATCGCGGCCGTGCGCTGTTTCCCGATATGGGTTGTTGCCGAGTGGCTTTTTGTTTAGACGATTCTAGCGTGACGGGTCTCAGGGGCCGCGACGGGCACCACCGTCATAGTTCAGCCTCTAGGCTTTTCCTTTCGGTCCGTGGGGGCGTTTCAAGCCATCTCCAGACCTTTTGCTTGTGCTCGCTCACGTAGGAATTTAGTAACGCCGTGCCGACGGTACTTCAGTATCGACATGAATACCTACACTTGTCCCTGATGGTGTTTAGTGTCGGAACATCACTTCTAAACGAGGCCTCGGGTCTGTACCCGACAGGAATAGTTGCCATCAAAATCGTCGAGCACGCAATGGGTACAAGAATTATATGCGCTTTCCTTGAATCGATCATGAATTCTGCGTGGTTTCTCCGAAACGTGCCAGACTTCACCCTCAGACCTGAGCACATGCCGAGATATAGTGTGGTGCATATTCAAGACACGTGGGCACCTTGAACATTCTATTATACTGCTCAGAGCATTCGCGCTCACTTCTGATAACTTCAACTCATGGTTCGACCATTTCATCCACAAGCTGGAAGCACGTGTCTTGATTTTACTTCAAAGTTTCATGTACTAGTGCCGACCGAGATTTCAATGTTGCCAAGCCAAAAGCAGTGTCTGGTACCTGAAAAGCAAATCGATTCTGCTAGCGGCACAACTTGGACCTCTTCAGTGTGGTATACTAGCTGACTAGTCGAGTGTTGAACACCGGTGTTGTTAGGCCAGTCTCGGAGCCCCTAAATGTGATCCACAATTCATGGTCGTTTCCGGCTCACAAACTTGCAAAAGTCCGATCGCTTGCGTAAGCTGAAAGGTTTGGTTTCTAGGGTATCTCGATCTCGTACTGCCATTAGTGTCCAAGGACATAAATCCCTCAAGTCTCGGCCTTAAGATCTCGGTCTGAATACACCGAAGCTAGTTCCAGCTCATCGACATACACAAGCGCCAGGCTTGGCGAGTGGATAGAATCGAGGTTCAGCAGCAGAATGAACTCTGTGTCGGAATTCTATGTTTCCGGCCCCTGAGAAAGAAACACTTTGTTCAAGCTTTTCCCGCGGCCTGGAGGAGGAGGACGGTAAAATTTCATTTGAAGCGATTATACTACGCATACGGGGCCGATCAAGTTTCTTCTAAGTTAGGAACAAGGCGGAGGTGATATTCGCCTCATAAAGGACAAGTGCAGTGAATCACATGTAAGTGTCTCGCTCAAACTTTTCTAAGTCTTAGTTCGAAAGTCCGTAGATGATGTGGCCGTTTACTTTTCGCCGGGTTCCCGGTGTCCCCATACCCAGGTATGAGATTTGGGTTTAAGTAACGATCATGAGCTGGGCCTCATAAGGGCAGGCTCGACAATAATCTCATTCTGTTCGTGCAGTTCCTCTTGAACAGAGAAGCGTGAAACTGTGCAATGAGTATCTAAAGATCTCATTTTCATAGGTAATATTGAAAGGCATGGTTGATTCACTTACCTAGGTAAATAGTACCCAGGTAGAATGCAGCCCTAGAGATGCCATCATGATCAGTCATTGATGTCTCACATAACAGAAAGATCATCTTCTAATTCACTTGATATCCCCACATTACTGTGCACCGAAGGAACAACAAATGAGACTCTGGTATAAATGCAACATATGAATTCCTAAAGATGCTTAGAAAAATCATTTCACTCAACCACCTTATACTCCGAGTCCGATGCAACCTTCGTCAGCCGAGCAGGATATTAGAAGCCAACTTAGAAGCGATGCGGACAGAATCAGGGTCATTGGGAGGACGGCATCGAACACACATGTAAATGTTTTGTTGGACACAATAGTACCCGTAAAGCCCGGCGCGAACTCAATGAAGTGTACCATATTTCTCGCCATCAGCAGCACGGTGGCGACGAGGGCGGTGATCAAAACACCCAAGGGCATGTGAATGCTTGCAGCGGGGAGAGGAGGAGCACCGCTTACATGATCCAAGGCCTGATGTGGTCCGGCATGAAATGGGCTTTCATCTGCCGTAATAGCCGAAGACTTCGCCTGGAGGAGAGCTGTGTGCCCCAAGTCAAGTCCGATTGTGTGCGGGTGACAAGTTGGTGGAGAAGGATATGGTATTCATGGCGGTACAAGCGATTCCATTCACATACACATATCTGCTCACTGATGGAGCCATCCGGTTCTGGTCAGTGGCGGACCGCCGTCTGTTGGCAGAGCTTTTTCGCCCTCGAGGCCATCCGGCCTTCTTGTAAGGCTGTGAGGCGCAGGACGCCGGACGAGCCGGTGGAGCCGGATCAGGAGAGTTCTGTTCATGGCTTGTTGTAACGGATGGGTACTGAGTACATTGAATTCCTGAGCGGAAGGAGCAGGTCGCGCTGGTGGTGTATGGCCGCTTTACCTTGCTTCTCAAAGAGCTTGAGGCTTTCTGGGTTACGAAGGGGTGGGCGGAGAATATCGTCCTGGAAATCGACCAGTTCCTGGGCGAAGAGCACAGTACGTGGATGGAGTGGCCCAAGGAGCAGCTTTGGCTTATTGAGATTACGATCAAGAAGTATGCTGAGTCCACGCTGTTGGAATAGCTGCGGTTACAGTTAGTTCAGCGCTTTCGGGGGTGGGGGCGCTTTTTTGATCTTTTTCTGTAGGTACATATTAGTGGCCAAGCTTGACAGCAAGTTTGTAGAATTGCAACATATTTACTCATACCCTTGATAATGTCACCTCACTCCATGTCTGGGAAGCCCAATGAAAAGGCCCTAACGGCATATAGTGGTAACCTTGGAAAGCATGTGCCCTGCAGAAACGTCCAGGACATTCCATCCTCATGATTTGACTCATTGGCTCTCAATTAAAATTCGCTAGTGTTGAATTATCATGTCAATTCATTTTCAGGTCAGTACGTGCCATCTTGGTGGAGAGGTCGAGTTTACCAAGTCACAGTTCAGCTGTTATGTGCTTGGCAATTGCTGGAACGGAAGAAACCTTGGAACGTTGATAGATTGGTTATAAGTTTTTACATGAGGATGGGTTGTGGTTCCATTTGCCCACTGGAAGATTCAAGAGCGTGTCACGAAATCTAGTACATCCTGCGGAAGATGGCTAAGCCAGTGGACTATACAGCGTCAGCTGTATATATTCGCGAGTCAGTATTGTGTGCCACATAAGTAGGTCTGTAAAACTTTCAACTGAACGAAATTCCCTTCAACAGTCTATACATTGACAGCTTCCATACCTAGGTACATGCATCTCCACTCGAAGCAGTGGTACCTCATTGCTGGCTCGTACATTGGCTCTTGTCACGACCAGATAAATATTACTCTTGATGAGACAAGACATTCTATTCTGACTTGCGGCGTAACTACCGCCCTCGCGACTCGGTTTAAAGTTTCGTGAAGCGACATAGTTACCCTGGTAACACCACACCGTGCAGCAGGCAGGCCCAGCAGGTGGCCGCGGCCACCTGCACGATGCTGAACTGCGAGAACCACCTCGCGGTACGGGCCGAGCGTTAGGGCCGAAAAAGAGCCATGTTACCCTGAAAGCCGGCCAAGCATGCAGGCCGCAGGCAGCATCGACCACCTGAATCCTACATTGTGCGGGCTCGGGGTTTCCGGTCCTGCCCCGGTCCGAAGTGTCTTTGATACGCCGTCGGATTGGTGAAGCCTATTCGTGCGCTGCGACACGCATGCATACCTCCGGCGCGGGACACCCACGGACATAATCGGGGGCTTAACTCCTGGGTCAAGTCGCGATCATACTTTCATGGCGATGCTGTTTTTGTTTACGGGGTCGAGAACTATAAAGAGGCTGTTCTCAAGGCTTCAGGTAGTACAGATGGCATTCTCCAAGCAGAACAAGCCACACCACAGATGCAGACACTTTAAACTCTGGCCCAAACATCGCTCTCACTTACCTTGCGTATCATCAATACTAGATATATATCGCCCGCCATGAGCCCAGCAGCAAAGACCACCATCGCTGGGAAGCCAATCGGCCCCGTTGGATATGGCCTGATGGGTGAGACTTGCACCCAAAGCCTCGGGCTGTGTGATTCGACTGGCCCTGACGGAATTGACAGGCCTTACAACATGGACGGACATGAAGTACGAAGACGCCGCCAAGGCTATGAAGACAGCCCTTGAGCAAGGAGCAAACTTCTGGAACGGCGTGAGCAAGACCGCCGCCGACATGTTCCCGAGAGGGGCCAGAGCTGACAGGCACAACAGGGCATGTTCTACGGCACACCAGAGTCCAACTCGCTCCACCTCCTAAAGTACTACTTCACAAGGTACCCCGAGGACGCAAACAAGGTCGTCCTCTCGATCAAAGGCGCATTCGACCGGGCGACCAACACGCCGCATGGCAGCCCCGAGGGCATCCGTGCGTCGGTGGAGGAGGCACTGCGCATCCTGGGCGCGACCAAGAAGATCGATGTTTTCGAGATGGCGCGCGTGGACCCCACGGTCCCCATAGAGACGAGCGTGGCCGCGCTCGCGGGGCTCGTGTCGGAGGGCAAGATCGGCGGGATAGGCCTTAGCGAGGTCAGCGCGGCCACGATCCGGCGGGCGGCCAAGGTGGCGGAGATTGCGGCGGTGGAGATCGAGCTGAGTCTCTTCACGACGGACGTGCTGAGCAGCGGGGTGGCGGATGCCTGCCACGAGCGTGAGTACACAGTACCGGATGCAATGCCCCGTTCAGTTTTTTTTTTTGTTCCTGGACTGATGAGATGTTTCTGCGGCAGTTGATATCGCGCTGGTGGCATACAGCCCCGTAGGGCGCGGATGGCTCACTGGGGAGTTCCGGAAGCCTGGGGACATCCCGGAGACGGACCCGCGGCGTCACCTCCCGCGGTTCCAGCCTGGGGCGTTTGAGCAGAACTTCAAGCTGGTCGAGGCTGTTGAGAAGATCGCTGGGCGCAAGGGCGCAACGGTGGCCCAGGTGGCCATGGCATGGGTGAGACGGCAGGGAGCGATCCCAATCCCCGGGACGAGGAAGGTCGAGAGGGTGGTGGAGAACTGCCGGGATGTTGAGCTGAGTGCCGACGATCTGGCCGAGATGCAGAAACTGCTGGAGTCGCTGCCCATCACCGGAGGGAGGTATCCTCCCGCGTTTGAGGCCCTGCTGAACCAGTAGATCTGTTGTCGTCTCTCTCAAAGCGGATTATTGCTCAGGGATGTGGTGGGCACCGGGGTCGGGTCACCAGAGGGTTTCTTAAGTTTAAGACTGTGACTGATGAATCCATTTCCAAGACTAAAGGGCCCCAATCGGGTGGGCTATCAGGTGAAATCGGATGACTCGGGGCAGTTGTGTGAGCTCGCCTGGGGTCTGAGTGTGAGCTTGAACAGCTTGGATGTGGGTATGTGAAGCAGGTATTGCCTGGGGTCAAGAGGAGACGATGAGACGATGAGACGACACGTGCTGGATTGGTTGACGACCTCTGGGAGCTGTTTCGGATGGGACCATGCGCATGGAGGTGAGCAAGTGAGTTATTCATCCAGTGAGCCGATGTTGCCACACACAGACAGCCCTTCGTGGATGTGACTGTGAGGCCGCAAGGGCAGAAGGGCCGGTGCCTGAAGATCAGGATTGACGCTGCAGCACGCCGATCCTTGTGCTGTAGTCGAGGGAGGCAGGTGGTGAGTGTATTCTGGTGCTTGGTCGATGGTGAGTCGCTCAGCCGTTGAGGCCGAGCCTTTCGTCCACACACACCGACAGTTGCAAAACAAAGGTTAGATAAAACAAGGACCAGAGGATAAACACCCGACTAGCCTTTTCATCTCTGCAGCGTTTGAGAAACTCGGCCACTTGCCAGTACTGTGTGCCCGAACCGGACCCTGTGGACTACACAGTACTCCGTACACTAGACTTGCTATGCGACCCGTCGTGACCCAAATAGCACATGCGCAAGGACTCCCCGGCAGTTTCAGGACCCCAAACCGTAAAAGGCGGGGCCGAGTCGCGCACTTGGCGAGGGCTCGGGCTGTCCCTGCTGTCCCTGCTGTCCCTGCCGTCCCTGCTGGTGACACCCGCCACCTTACCGCAGCAGGCCATGCGGTCAACTTTATTCCAAGGCCCTGTCGGTTGGTCCCCTGCACTCCCCCATGTCCCATGTCCCCTTGTCCCGACTGCTCCCACGCCGTCGGGCATCACAAATAAATGATAAAAAAGATCAGACGCCCCTGCCCCTCCCCTGGATTCTGTTCTCGCGCAGCAAGAGGAATCAAAGCAACAGCCAGGTCGTGCCGACGACAGCGTGATTTGGTCTCGTCATGTGACAAGCAAGAGTGAGCCACGGCAACCACGACCCAACTCACCGATCCCGACGCTAGACGGCCGTCCCCATTCCCCATCCCAATCCCCAGTCCCCAGGGTCCCCATCCCCCAGCCACCAAAGAGAGGACTCCCGCCGTCATCGCCACAACCACATATTCACCTCACCCACCCGCGCAGCCAGCGACGCGAGGCACACCACGAGACTGAAATATAGGCCTTCACTCTTCGTCCTCGTCACCATAAAATCGAATCAATTGGCTCGCCCAGTTATCACCACACAACATCGAAAATGTCCTCAACAATGACCCTGACGATGCCTGCCCTCCCGCAACCAAGACTGAGCACAATCCCCTGCTGCCCCAGCTGCGGCAACGACCTCTCCTTGTCCTTCATCCCAAAGGACCCCTCCGCCGACGCCCAATCCCTCGCCCTCACCGCCGCCCAGAAGCAGATCCAGGACCTCGAGGCCCAGGTCCGCCTCCTGAACCAGAAGGCCACCGCCGCCGTCGACCGCTGGGCCGACTACGAGGATGAGCTGGGGAAGCTCAAGGCCGAGCTGAGGAAACGCAACAACAGCACCCCTGCCGCCAACAGCAACCCCAGGCCGCAGACCCCCACCCTGCGCGAGACCCCCTCGTCCCCGGCCACAAACAGCTCCGTCGGCAGCCCCGGCGCCGCCGTCACCAGCTTCGCCTCCGCCGCGAGCAGCCGCATCTCCGCCTACCTGTCGCGCAAGTCCACCCCGAACCTCAAGGCCCAGCAGCCCGCCGCCGGCCACCAGTCCTCCCTGAGCACCTCGTCCCTGCTCCCCGCCGGCACGCCCCCCGCCGCCAGCCCGGGCCACCAGAGCAGCCGGAGCACCTCGTCGCTCGCCCCGCCCCGCACCCCCGGCGGCACCCCCCTGACCCTCTCCCTCTCCGGCGGCAAGGTCACCTGGACCCCCGGCCACTCGCCCGCCCCCTCGAGCGACGACCTCCTCGAGGCCCTCACCCGCGAGCAGCAGCTCCGCCTCGCCGCCGAGGGCAAGCTCAACGACTCGAGCAAGGAGATCGAGGACCTGAGCGTCACCCTGTTCGAGCAGGCCAACGAGATGGTCGCCACCGAGCGGAGGGCCCGCGCCCGCCTCGAGGAGCGCGTCGGCGAGCTGGAGCGCCGCGAGAACGAGAAGAAGAGGCGCCTCGAGAGGCTCGAGCAGGCCATGGGCCGCATCGAGAGGGCGCGGGCGCTTCTGAATAGTGGTGCGGATGCCAGTGTTGCCGAGAAGAGGGTTAGTGCCTAGTGCATGACACGTCTCTGGGTTTTTTTTTGTCCTATTCTGTTCTGTTCTATACATGTCCGCCTTCTTTCTCTCACTATTTAATTCTTCTTTGTTCTGCCGTTATGATACCACGAAGGGATGACTATTAATGCTGCTCTTGTACTGAGTAGAGACTGGAATCAGGGGGAGATTGATAATGAGCCCGTTGACATGGGTGGGAAAATGGTCATGAATACGTTTAGATAGGTAATAATGCGTCGATTACGACGAGATTTTGGTAGAGGATTGTTTCATCACATAATCAAATCCTGTTTTGAAGCAGCCATGGTGGTTCGACACTGGTGCTAAACTGTGTAATAATGGCCTTTTCAAATGCCCACCACTTCTGACATGAGCTCCTCTATCAGATCCAAGTCTTTCTTGGACAAGCCATACTCAACTACTGCATATAGGCTGTGGTTCCAGCAGCATGCTTTGAGTCCAATTACACAGTCATCGGGCATCTGGCCTCTGCTTTGAAGAACTTGGTGACAATCATCGGCTTCTCAGCTCAGCTTTTCCTGGGGCTGCTGCTCCGCTCTCTCTTCGGACTGGGAGACCGCCGCGCTGGGCTACCGCTCTTTTTGGGGCCCCCAGCCCGCTCAGGCGTGCCTTCACGTTTGGGACTAGGACTCTTGGCCGCCTTCTCCTCAACCTTGACCTTCTGCTGTGCCTCGCTCTCGCCGCCGTTGATGCCCCCCGGCTGGTTCCATCGCTGGATCATGCCTGTGACCTTGGGGCCCCACACGTCCTCCCCCTTGGCGAGGTCGTCGTACTCGAGGCAGTTGGGCCCGCCCAGGACGAAATCGCCCTGTCGGTTCCGCACCAGCTCCGTCATCAGCCCCGCCGAGTCCAGCTTCTCGCCCAGGTCGTGGGCCAGCGACCGCACGTAGAACCCCGACGTCGCCGTCATGCGGATCTTGACGGCAGGAGGCCCCTTGTCCTCCCACGGGGCAGCTGCGCCCTCTTGGACCGGCGGGACCAGGTCGGAGCCCTTGCCCTTAGGAGGGAGCTCGCCCAGCGCGCCCGACATGACTGGGGAGGTTGGCTTGTCCTGGCTATCGGTGGTGGTTGGCGTCTCGGACTGGTTGCTGTTCTTCTTTTGCTTCTTGGCCTGGCGCTCCTTGACCAGGTCGTCCTGCCTCTCCTCGAACTTGCGCTTCAGGTCCTCGTGTGCCGCCAGCGCCTGGCTGTCGGCCTCCTCCTGCTCGGGCGTCATCGTCTTACCTGCGGCCTGGTCCCTCTCGACGCGCCACAGCTGCTCGGCGTACTGCTTCTCCGCCGCGGTGGCCTCGGCCGTCGGCCAGTAGTGGGTGTGGGTGCCGGGCTCATAGTACTCCAGCAGCTCCAGCTCCGTGACGGTGACCTCCCTCGTCTGGATCTCCCTCGGGATGGGCTTGCCCTCGCGCGCGTACTCGTATAGTGGTTTCCCCTCCATCTTGAGCGCGGAGAACAAGGGCGGCATCTGCTGGTAGGTCCCGCGGAAGTTCTCGAGGGCCTCCAGGACCTTCTCTTTTGTGATGTGGTCGTACGGTCGCTTCTTCAGCAGGTGTCCGCATCGGTCGTATGAGTCGGAGGAGGCGCCGAAGACAACGACCGTCTCGTAGGTCTTGGTGCAGCTGAGGAAGCTGGAGAGCGCCTTGGTGCCCTTCCCACACCCCAGGATCAGAACACCAGTGGCCATGGGGTCTAGGGTGCCGCCGTGTCCCATTTTCACCTCAATTGCGCGCTTGACCTTGCGGCGGCGCTTCTGCTGGAAATTTGACTCTTTTTGACGGGCGGCCGTCTCCTGCTCGATCATGGGCTTGAATACATTGGAGGGATTGAAGTAGGTCTTGCAGTCACGGATGACTTGGGCGGAGCTCATGCCGTAGGGCTTGTTGATGGCTAAAGGTAGTGGTTAGCCAAGGTTGTATCAATGGTGGCGGAATCGCATTGGTGCTCAAGACATACCAAAGACGCCATCGAGCACCTGTTCTGCAGCCATCTTGAACAGCCGCTGGGCTTGCATATATACGGAGTATAGCTGGGCAGCGACGCCGGCAGCAGGGCGACGGTGGAGCCGAGTCGACGAGACCGAGAGGAACTTGAGGAAATAAAGACTGGGGTGGGGTGCCTGAGCTCTGGAAGCGAGATCAATGCATTTATTTCAGCATGCGTGTAGACAGCTGGTGGATTTGGTCTCTGATAGTTCAAGTGGCCGCAGAAACTGTCTTCCTACCGGCTTGAACAACCGATAAAACAACTGGAGGGGAGCTTGGTCGGTTATTTTTTGCGCTTCGGCGATTTTCTGACAGTTCAAGCTCGATTGGGTAGTAGGCTCTTATCGATAGTCGACTGCCACTCGCCAGCAGGGGTAGTACTGTGGTACCCCTGCAGACCGTCCTTGGAAATGTATGAGTGACGTAGCGCAGGGCTGTTTCAAGGGCGCAATGGGCTCACTAGCAGGGTACTAGGTACCCGCCGATCACTTTACGCCTCCACACTTTGTTCGCGTTGGTGTGGGCGCAACTGCACCCGCAATCGCGTCTCCGTCCACCCAGGCAACTCAAGCTTGCGTTCCTTCTCCGAGCAACCACCCCTCCGACTCTGATGCCCTCTTCGCAGTCTTGGTCTCAACCATTGACAGGACGCACACGAGCAGGCCGATCTGCTGTCACCGCAAATATACCCATCAGTGCTATCATAACCGCTTCCAACACACCCATATTTCCTCACGTGCCGATCCCGTAATGGCTGGAGGCAGGCCGGGAAGGCCGCCAGGTCGACCCCGCGGTTCTGGAGGACGCCCTCGTGGTACTGGCCGCCGTCCTGGCCGTCCACGTAGGGACTCCGATTCGACTGTCGCCTCTGTCGATTTGTCCAATATCGAATACGTCCCCGAGTTGTCGATCCTGAAGCCGGCCCCTTCCAGCACCGACTTTCCTACCTTCGTCTTGGACGATGCCGTCATCTACAGGAAAGGCCCGGACGGAAACCTGGTTGTCGCCAACGTCTGCAACGTCAATTTGGATGGTCCTCTCATTGTGCGGGGGAAGTTGGAGGTCGAGAACGAGCATAGGCCTTTTTGTACGCCGCATCACCTGATCCTTTAGCCGCATCTCGCTCTCGCTGTACGCTTCTACTCACAGGATGAACTCACAGTGCGCAAACCTTCCAGAAATACCGCCCGCATCGAGGTGCCCGCATGCTGGGGCTATTCTATCGGATACGGCCCTTGGCCCGCGGTTTGGGCGTGTGGGGAGGCAGGCTGGTACGAGATCAACCCATCGAAAGAGTACAGGGACATGCATGACTACATGTGCGAGGGCATCACTCTTTACTACAAGGTCATGGATGCGTATGTCTCCCTGTCCGAGACAGCACCCAAGGGCAAGAAGTACAGGGCGTGGCAGACGCCCATTGAAAAGGTGTTGCTCAAGGTAGGCGGGACAAGACACCTAGCTTTTGGCTGTGGCTGACTCGACGACAGTATTCGGTCGCCATAGGGGACGGTGCCACGCTCGTTGACGTGCAAAATCGATGCCAGAAACACGCCCCTTTCCTCTTAGCCCATTTCGAGCAAGAGAGTGACTTCAATTGGAAACCGACATCCTTCCGGAAATGGCTACTAGCGACGAACGAGGTGCGTTCTGGCAATCGAAAGGCTACTCAAGGTGTCGATACTGATGCTTATCCTCAGGAACTCGTCAAGAGACTGAAAGCAGCTCCTAAGAAAGGCCCTGCTGCTGCGTCGGCCCCCATGGAGATACCAGCTGCCGATGCCACAAATTCGAAAGACGAATCCAATGATAGCAGCGCGCATGATTCACCATTGAATATGACTGTGGTTACTGACCGAAGCAAAAGAAGCAAATCTCGCACACAGAGGCAAAGCACAGACAATGATGCCCCCATGGAGGACCCTCCGCCGCGTCGATCGGAGACCTATATCCCTCCACCTGTTATTCCCCGGCCCCGACATGCGCAGCCAGCAGAACCGTCTACCCCCGCCTCTGGAGTTCAAGTACCACCCCCTCAAACTGAACAACAAGACTCACTCAAGCTCGTTCTGGAGGTGCTGGAAGAAATCCTGGAGGTGCATGGTGGGCACCCGCAAAACCTTGGGGAAGGCAAAATACACAGCCACTTGTACATGAAGTGCACCATCAATCCATACAACGCTGCAAGGGAAGTCACACATTTCTACGCCAAAGCTCTTCTCAAAAAGTTGCCCCCAAAATGGAATCCGAGCCCCTTCTGGAGTTGGCTTGCGGGCGTTGTCGACAAGCCTTTTGAGCCCACACTTCTCACCATTGATCAAATGGAGCAAGTCAGACGACGAAAGAAACTGAACAAGTCAAGCTCGAAGCCCAAGAGTGATCGCGAAGACGAAATCCGTGGTCCGCGAGGGGCCGGCAAGCGCTGGCCGCCAAATACACTCACACCTCGCACGGGAATTCTAGCCCCGAGTACTGGTAGTAAACGACCTGCCGTTTATTACAGTGACGACGACGACGACGAAAGGGCCCATAAAGTGGCCCGAACATCACAGGACTCAGGTGATGACGAGGACGAGAATGAGGATGTTGATGACGACACCTCTGATGACGACATTCCAGCGAGTACAACGCTCGCGACGCCAACACCGGCGCCTCCTTTGGAGACAGCCCGCCTTGTCGTTCACGCTGAGAGGGTCCCTAGCATGTCACCGAGCGGCCCTAATGGGACCTGGAGATGTGAGGAAGACAGCTGCAACTACATTGTTCGCTCGGCCGAGGAGCCGGAGGGAAAGGATCTCATTGCGAAGCATTTCCAGGAACACGCGAGCCGAGCCGAAAGGTTGGATCTCGCGCTCTCCGAGGGAACGCGCAATCACATGCCTATCAAGTACGCCTACTTTCCCCCTTCTTTCTTCGTCTATGTCATAGTCAAAGAGCCTGGTGGATGATTGCCACACGCCCTAGAACGACGCAGCTGGATGGTGGGGCCTGCCAGCCCACCGAGACTTCGTCTTCTCCTCCGTGGCGAGCTCAATTCGCGCTTCCTTTTTATTTCTCAGTCCGAGTGTTTGCAAACTCAACCACCGCTTGCTAACGAAACTTCCCCACAGTCATTTGCTGGAGAAAATCCGCAGCATGGGAGAAATGGCGCAGATCAAGGAGCAGAACCGTGCAGGCGAAGCTTCTGCGCCGATGCCAGTTAAGAGGAAGCTGATTATCTAGGTCGATGTTGACACCAGGACGAACGGCGGTTGAAACAGCCTCAGCATCTGGCGGGTGCGAGATTCAGTGGAAAGAAGGAGTAGCCTGGGAGCGGTTTAAGGCTGGCCAGACGGCGGCCGTGTTTCTTTTGGAGCTTGTATGATACCCAGGACGATATTTGAACATTACCATTCCTCGTGGAGGGTTGCACAGCGAAGGCGCGTTAGTTTTCGAGGGGGCCAGTATCGCTTCAGCTTCTAATCGGCAAGCAGCAGTGATAATAGCATACTATGCGCTTTTGGTGTCTCCCGCTTTCTCTCCCCCTTGCTGCTCTACTTTCGGCTTCTTAGAACGTGCAATCCTCTGTGAGATTTTCGGACAGCATGCTATAGCTTTTGCTATCGAGAGGCAGCGGTGTCTTATGATAGACCCCCCCATCTGTTGTGCTCCATCGATCTACCCGGGCGAAGGGGGATCCGAGGGACGGGATCTAATTTCTTGTCAGTACAGCATCACTAAGACGCGGACCTGTCAGGTGTCGTGTCACTACTATTCAGCGCGAGGCTTAAACCCCGTCTTCTTGGTAAGCTGGAGCGAGGAAGTGTTCAGTCATCCGACGGCAAGCTACCCACCCACCAGCCAGCCTTCTTCGCGATCAACGACTTGACAACGGACAAAAGTCTGTCCTTTCCTCTCTCCTTTTCAAAATCTTTTTTTCATTTGCTATAGAGGTACCTGCCTAGGCTACCTAGGTAGACCTAGACAGAAGCCCAGGACTGTCCTTGCCCTAGCTTGTTGGACAGCCAACACACCTTTTTTTTCTCTTTCGACGGCACTTTCTTCTCATGGGGTAGAGCCCGCAAGCTACTTGGTATCTTTGTCCGTCTTCGCGTGAGCAACCGCTACGCGTCCAAAAATCACATCAGCTCAGCTCGGCCTCCCCTGCTAGCACCGATATCAATCCACGTCTTTTGGGCGGTCCGTCCACGATCATGGCCGCTTTCCAAATATACTTGTCGCCAATTGTCATACCATGTCCAGGAGCCCCAATTGTGGCTGTTGGCATTTTCTCAGGTCTGGCAAGCCAGCTCCTTTGATACAACGCCAATTCGACGTCTAACCTCTACGTCGATTTCTTGATCATTCATGGCGACCGCTCTTGGCGACAGCCACTCACAGCGTACAGACCTGAAAACGCCATCATTGCGCAGTTGATTGCTTCTAGTCTACTGTGTCCGAGACTCAAGGAACTCTTGGGCCTTGACCCAGACGTCCTTCGTTGCTTGCTGTTCCAGGGTCTTGATGCCCGCAACCAGCGCCTTGAAGAACGCACAGAAGACTTCGACATCTTCTCGAATGGCCTTGGCCTTGGGGAAGTACAGACTTGCGAATTTGTCGAGGTCGCGGTGTTCGTCGGAGTCCATCTCGAGGTAGGTTCTGACGGCAACGCCCATCGCGGCATTGTAGTTTCGGTTGACGAATGGGAGCCTGATTGTGTTCAGGTTAGCAAAATCAAAGTTCATCGTGTGGGTACACAAGGTTGGTACTCACGCATTGCTTATGTCCCAGTATTCGGCGGGCTCTCGCTTTCTCTCAGTCTGGTTGTTCAGGAACATGTGCACTAGAACGGCTTCAATCAGATCCCGGTCCGCATCGCGAACAGCTGATACCTGCGATGCAAATGAGAGCATGTCCTTGCGGAGGGGGCCTGTATAGCCGATGGCTTCGTGCCTGAGTCTCAAGAGCACAGCAGAGCGACTGAGAAGAAGCAGAGACGGGTCGACGTCACCCTCATCCTGGCGCGGCTTGCCATTGAGCTGCTCGAGTCTGATGAGCTCTAATGCCAGGAGTAAAGCTTCATGGAGCCCAGTGACGTCCGGGTACTTCTTCACGGTCGGTTCGAGCTCGGAAAGAGCTGTGGCCAGAGCCTTGCCCCAAGATGTGAGCTCGTGAGAGTCGTCGACGTACTCTCGCAGGTGCAGAAATCGCCACATCACCGTAGACACGATGTGATGTGGAGAGTCGATGCCTTTGGGCTTGCTGCCTGTTTTCCCAACCGTCGCCTTGGCAAAGCCAGGCGCCTGCAGGGCGGAGACTTCAAACGCGATAGAACCCGAGCGGTCTTTCGAGGCTGAGGCGGAGAGGCTCCAAGACGGGAACTGCTCCTTGACTGCTTTCTCTTCGATGCCCCAGGTCGCGACCTTGGGGCTTGGCGTGCGGAAGGTGCTGTTTCGTATTATAGCAGTCCGTCCCGGGTCGGAGAACCAATCCCTAACTTCGATGTCCTTGAAGTGAAATCCACGGTGAAGTCTTGGCACGACAAGACCGAGTGCAAGCTCTCTCACCGGCATCAACGCTTGGGTTACAAGCTGCCTGTACTCGCTAGATGAGACACCATCCAGAGTTGGCAGAACCGTGATCCTGCTGTGCGTGATATAGCTGAGCAAGCGAGGTCCGATAAGACCCGTGTTCAGGTAGTGGTGAAGCTCGTCAGGGAGACGCAGGGCCAGGTACTCATGGGAATCCTCTGTCAAGGTGTCCTTGGCCTCGATTTCCACGGCGCCGTTCAGTGCTATGTAAATAAAGTGGTCGACAATCATGCGCGCCTTGCAGTACTTCTCGAACCAGTCGGGCTGTTGGCTCTTGAGTATGTCATCGAAGGCTTGGCAGACCTGCTTGACGTGCTTTCCATTGGTCCTCAGCATGTTCACCGCGTCCCTAACTGTGTTTGGAGCTTGCTGTTGAGTTTTGGCTGGAAAGGGTGGCAGGAATGAGGTCCCTGTGATGAGGAGCGCATCAACCAGAATGGAATCATCGACGTTAAGATGACGTTTCAGCGCGTCTTTGTCCACGGCCAAGAACTTGTTGCTGTCCCAGTCAATGGCCTGGATGAGGACATCGGAGATGGGGTAGAGGAGCAGCTCCCGGGGGCCCATGATTGCACCGCACATCTGCTCTACCTTGGAGAAGAATGCGATCTGCGAAGGGTCAGCGAGCAGATCTACGACCCTCTTGCCCAAGAGACGAAATTACCTGTGAGACAGCCTTGAAAGGCGGAACCAAGAAATGCAGACCGCGCTTTCTGAGGATGCTCTGGAGCGTTGGGTAGAACGACTCGAGACGGTAGGCGCCTATGTAGGGATCAGAAATTGTGCTGGCGTCCCGGTGGGCAATTGAGTTTCTTACCCGAGTGCAGTCCAAAGGTCTCGACAGCAGGCTGAGCCTGCGCATTGTTATATAGCTCCCATGCGGCGTTTGTGCCAACGTTCGCGGTCCGGCCTAGTTCAAGCGAGAGTTCATCCTGGCCCTTGACGGGACATCCATCAAAGACGAAGAAAGGAGTACAGTCATTGGCCTTCCACTTGTTCAGGTCTACCTCGATGCAGTCCTCGAGAGCGAGGGGTCCACCCACGGCGGGAATCAGAGGTTCGTGTGAGCGTTCGAGAAGGAGGCGCAAGTAGTAGGTCGCATCGACAGCGACCACGTTCCCCTTCAATTGAGAGGCGTCGTGTGACGTGGCGAGTCCGGAGATGAAGAAGTCATCGCCCTTGAGAGACGACATGTCTGCAGCACGTCGTGAGAGGAACGGGTGGGGTCGTGGCCGATTGGCTGTAGGGAGGCTGATCAGTGACAATGGCTAGCCGCGACGACACACACGCGCACACGCAAGCCGTGACAGCGGGCGACGAGAAGTGTCGTGTGGGACTTGGTGGGACAAGCCTCGTTGGCAGCCCGTTGCTGCCACAGATGTCTGGCCGGGGCAACACGTCGTGTGTGCGACTCTAGCACCCGAGGACGATGACCACCTGTCGAGAGACCTGGGGGCAGGCGCGAAGGGAAGACGGAAGGAGTGGCTCGAGCTTGTCTCGTCGGCGGTCAGTTATATGGAGGTGGTTCGGAGGCGAGGGGCGAGGGGCGAGGGGCGCGGGGCTCGAAGGATTATTGTGTAGAATGTGGAACAAGAACACGCGATCGAAGCGCCGAAAGTCCAGCCACCGAGGGACCAAGAGAGGGCGGAGGGATGCAGAGAGAGGCAGGCCGCGAGGGTCGGGATCCTAAAGGAGAGGAGGTGGCAGGTTGGGACACGTCACGGCGAGGAGCCTCGGAGACGGAGGGGAGGAGGGGTTGGGTCGAGTGCGAGGGTGTGGGTGAGGGGCGAGGTTGAGGCTGAGGTTGAGGTTGAAGTTATTAGGGGTGTGTCAAGCTGCGGTCGCAGGGCCGGTCGTTGCGAGGGTGAGCCACAGAGGCACGAGCACCAAGCAGAAGCACACGCCCACACCCACACCCACACCCGCTGCCAAGCGCAGACAGGCTAGTTGGGGAGCTGGCAGCTGGGAAGCTGTTCATGGTGGGCAGCGACGGGAGGGACAGGGGGCTAGGGATGTGCCTGGAGCTGCAGGGGTCTGTCTTCCCCACCCAGCAGGCCCTGATAGGAATGGTGCCCGAGAGATTCTCAACCCCTGCACCGACATGTGGAAGCAGCTCGTCCAGCTTCGACGAAGCCGACATATACATATACACACACACATATATATAATTGTGTGTCCTGAAGTGCCATGATTCTGCTGTGCAAGAAACGTCAGTGGACTAGGTTCTGTGAGAGTGTCCTCAGTTATGACAAGGTATCATACTGAAGAGTGTACCCTGCAAGGCTCGAGTCACACCCCACCGCATTTCTGATGTCCGAACTGTCAGATAGGAAAGCTTCCCAACATGCAGCAGTGCGGCCACAGCACAGACAACAGCATCATCCCGCGAAGAATAACTCCAGGCTGAGAAGAACTTCCTCTGAATCACATGTCAGGAGCACTCATAGGGCCCAGACCAGGCCACTTAGACCACTGTCCAACGGCCCACTGCGTGGAGCACGATGTGGCGCGCACCACAGTACCGTATAATTACACACGCGAGCTCGCCCGCCTGAATGCCAGCTCGATCAATGTAATGAGACAAAGAATATGAGAGTTGACCTGCCCAATTATCTTGACAGCTTCGTGTCCCATAACTACTGTTATCCGTTCCAGCTTCGAAGCAGTGTTCAGACGCGTCCATCACGAGCAATGGGGCCGATGAGTGCTCATCAACATGCGCAACACAAAGCCAACAGATCAATGTCATCCAACATTTGGGTAATGATGGCTTGATTGATGATTGCACGCTCAATTAGACATTCTCATATCTGGAGCGCCACTGCGCCTTTCCCGCGGAAGCCCTCCGTCCTCCGCCCTCGGGATACCTCACCCCTAACCCTAATCCAGCTAGGTCCCTCAGCACGACCGGGGCAAATGGAGCTGATCAGGGGGGCTCGTACCAGCTCACGCCTTTTCTTTTTGTCAATTCAATAATTCAGATCGACAGGACTGGAAGTCGCTTGGTGGCGATGGGAGATCAGTACCAGAGTCACCGGGAAGTGTTGTGTGACGTGTCGGCGAAAAGCAAGGGTCCGACGTTCTACCCTGCAGCAACGACGACATCACAGCCCCGCCTGCCTCTTTCCATCTTATCTTTAACAAAACAAAACAAAACACCACACTCGTACTTCCAGGTCGTGGAACAGAACCTCACACGAATTAGATCAAAATGGCCGAGAGGAAAGCACTCATCACTGGCGCTACGGGGCTCCTAGGGCGACAGGTCTTGAAAGCCTTCGAGAGCAGGGACTGGACCGCCAGGGGCACGGGATGGTCCCGGGCAGACGGCGCAACAATCCTCAAGGTTGACTTGGCCTCGACTGAAGAGGTTGAGAAAGCCCTTGACAATTCCAGGTACGCGAGACCCTGCCGCTCTTCTTCCCAGGGGTTCCCGACTGACATGACCAACGCAGGCCTCAGGTAGTCGTGCACTCGGCCGCGAACCGCTTCCCGGACAAGGTCGACAAGGACCCCGAGGGAACACGGAAGCTCAACGTCGAGGCTACTCGCCACCTGGCGAAGCTTTGTGCAGAGCGTGATATATTCTTGATCTACATTTCCACAGACTGTATGTACTTGTCCTCAGTCCCCACTCGTGCATCGAGACATGTCTCAGGGGCTGGATCGCTCCTGAGTCCTTGTCTCGCGACTATGAGTGAGCTCGTTTCGCGGTTTCACTAACCAGGCCGCCGCAAAGATGTGTTCTCTGGCAAGCCTGGCGATGCCCCGTACCAGGCAGATGCCGCCACCGGTCCTACCACACTCTATGGACAGACCAAACTTGACGGCGAACACGCGGCCTTGGAGGAATTCACGGCCGCCGGCAAGGACGGTCTGTGTGTCGTCTTGAGGGTACCAGTGCTATATGGCGACGCCGATATGCCAAACGAGAGTGCGGTCAACGTCCTGATGGATGCCGTATGGAGAGCTCAGAAAGGAGAGAAGATTCAGATGGATCACTGGGCTCTCCGCTACCCTACTAACACCGAGGATGTCGGAAGGGTCTGCCACGGTGAGATCCTTCCTACCAATGAGATCCGCAACTCCCACGAGCTGACCATTACATAGATGTTGCTGTCAAGTACCGTGCAGCCTCCGAGAGCGAGCGAGCCGGCTTGCCCAAGATCCTGCAGTTTTCCAGCGAGGACAAGTACACCAAGTACGAAATCTGTCAGCTATTTGGTGAGATAATGGGCTTGAACATCGATGGCATCGAGCCCAACACCCAGGGCAATGATCCTAATTCCAGCGTACAAAGACCTTTTGACTGTCACCTGAGCACCAAGGCCTTGAAGGACATCGGAATTGATGTTTCAACACAAGACTTCACCGGCTGGTGGAGACGTGAGGTCCGCGCCTTCAGAAGATAACGAACCGGACCAGCCCTTCCGGCGCTCTCACGTCACGACGGGCCAACGGCTGCCGTCTACGAGGTAATGGGGATGCGGAATTTGAATTGTAACATTGAGCTTGGCGTTCACCTGAGTGTGACTTTAGTAGGACTACCATCTGTGTACGTATCCGCTGGGCTCCCCAAAACCTCGTCCTCTACCCGCTTTCCACGTGGATCAATGGTCTCACGGGTCCTCACAAGAGCATTGGGGCATCCTAATGGACCGTGTTTGTCGCGTCGTCAATAGCAATTATATACGGCCCTTGGTCCACTGGCCTTATATATCTGGATGACAGCACTCAGAGCAAGCACACCTAGGCGTGAATCTCAAGTGCGATTAGGACTTACGCGTCGATCAACAGGAAAGAGAAAACATGAATGTGCATCAGATTCAGGCTTCATGAGAAGCCACCGATGTTACAGACTACGTCCTGGCAAGACGATAGCCCAATGAAATTTTATCGCTACAAATTGCGCAGTCTCAGAGACCCAGAGGGAATGCCTCCAATGGTGAAAGAGGCACAGCCGTGGCAATTCTGTGACGCCTGCGGCAGAAAGTGGTGGAGATTGCTGTGTGCTTACTACTTTGGTACTGCTGCATGCCAACACGACCGCGGGTGCTCACAAAAATGGCACGCGCGCAGGAATGCTGGGTGCGCGAAGGGGGGATTTCCAACCACTTAGCCACCCTAGGACCTCGACATTTTTCTCACCTTGTCGCTCCGATGGCTCCACCATGTTCCCAAACCCATCGTCATCCAAGTTTGTTTTTTCCTCATTGAAGTCGACACGTGAGATCTTATCACGGAGAAAGAGCTGGTTATAGAAGAGGTTGCAGTGGGATCGAGGTTATATTGGTCGGCTAAGCCTAGGCGAGGAAACGATCGACCACTAGCCGCCAACGCCTGTAAGCTGGAAATTAACCATATTATTGTCACCAAAAGATGGTGAAAGCTATTGGGACGACTGTCCTCACGATGTCCGCCAACACCCAGCCTGTTTCTCGGTACCGCCAATTACGAGGCAAAAGCGTTTCCGAGTCACGAGCAGCCATCGACCACGCGCTTGGCCATGACAGGCTCGATCGACCGAAGGAGCCGAGCCCTCCCTTGAAGTCGTCTCTCAAAAGACGCTCCAAATCTTTGGGACAAATATGTACATCGGACCTCCAACTTTTCACTCAACAATGCTCGGTTCCACCCGTGCCCCCGGTCCCTCATCTAAGAAGATACCAGAGCACCATCTCGCGGCCGACGGTTACGAGGGAGCCATTGGTTCCAGTGTCAGGTAACGAACAGCAATGTGAGGAGCCTGACAGATTGTTGTCGCCTAGGGCAGCTCCGTCTCCGCCTATTCCTAATCCTGCAGCCATGGCCACTGCGGTCACGACCGACGTTGCGGTGCGCGGGGATTTCGACCTGGAAAGGGAGAGATGGAAGCTGGTAGATGAAAGGTGGAAGGCGCAGGAACGGCGGGTGTTGAGCAAGGAGGAATCTGATCGCTTGGCCAACATACTCGAGTGCGAAACGGATCGAATTCTGGCGGAGCAGAAGAAGCTGGACCTCGCGAGGCTTCACCAACAGCTGGTTGCGACCCAGTCGACAGTCTCATTATCTCCGCCCTCCCTTAAGCCCAAGAGCCCCGTGTTAGAGAAATTCAACTTCTTCAACAGGGCCAGAAATTCAAAGGCGGCCACGCTCTCACCGACTTCGTCGACAACCGCGTCGGTGGATATTAGTCGCACTCACAGCCTGGATCCCTCCCTTCCACCAAGGGCGTTCATCGAGCAAGGAGGGCATGGCCAACTCATAACACCGCCCATGTCCCCAATGTCTGCGCATCATTTCCAGGAAAGAGTAAGTTGACCCGTCTGTAAAGATTACGATCATGGACTGACTGGGATCCAGCACGTTGCTGTCCGCTGCCGAGGTGTAACAGTGAATCTCACCGCCGTGGCCGAAAGCAGCCCGGTGGACATCTTGTTCCAAGCCTCCGAGTCTATCACGCAGCATATCAACACGGCTTCCAGTCTTGTATATGAGTGCTACACACAGCTTGGCCTCGAGCGGCGTCTCCGACGATACGAGCGCATCTGCGACGTGTTAAACTCATGGGACCACGACGCTCAGAATCTGTTGCTCATCGTTCCCTCTGGACACTCCGATGGTGACAAGGATCTCGACATCTCATCAGTTCCAACAACCTTGGAACCACCACCAGGCTTCTTCTTACAGCTCCACCACTCGTCGCGGCCGGGAAAGTGGAGCAAGAGATGGATCACGCTGCTCGATGACGGACAGATGATCTCCTCCAAGAAAGGCGAGTCAAGCGGGGACAAGTCAGCTCAATGGTTATGTCATCTGTCCGAGTACGACATATACACGCTCATGAGCAAGTCTGCGTCTTCTACAGATGCGTTTGGAAGGCAAGGTGCTGCTGGAGTCACTAAGAACCTCAAACCGCCAAAGAAATTCGTCTATGCTCTTAAACTGCAGCAAAAGACAATTTCATCGGATTCAGCCAACTTCGTGCATTTCTTCTGCACCGATGACCCGAGCATCGCCAACAGATTTACTGCACGTGTGCACAGCTGGCGAAGCTGGTATATGGTCAAGTCTCGCCGGGAGGCTCAGCGGAAGAGGCTGATGGAAGACGCGCCACAGATCACGCCAGTCAAGCATAAGCCGAGGAAGAGCATCAGCCATATGAAAATACCTGGGCAGAAGCATCGTATCAAGTTGTCTGTTGATGAGACACCGTACACCATCGGGGACTTCCAGCCTTTGGTGGAAATGGAGCGGTTCGAAAAGCCAATCGACGAGTTCGGAAAGGATTGGATCCCGGACCCGAGGCTGTCGGCGTTGCCGCCTGCGCTGAAGGAGGATGATGCCGTCACAACTGAAGCTCCAACTACGACCCAGGAGGAGTTGGTGGTCGACGTACACGAAAACACACCTGCTATTGCGCAAGAACCACGCAGCGACCAAGCCCGCCCCAAGACTCCTGCAACTGGCACCGAAACCGAGGGAGGGTTGCAACCGCTGATCGACGGGATCCAGGCGGGAGTCGGCATCGCCGTGCCCTTGCCAGCTCAGCCCAGCACAAATATCGCCAGCCCAACCGAACGCAGTCCTCAGGAGGACCTAGAGCCCGGGCCGGGGCCAGAGGCGCAGGTGAAGTCATGGCTGCCATCCGCAGTCGAACACACCGCCAGGCAGAAGTACGAACAACAACGCCTGGAGAGGCTGAACAACAGCAACTTCTCACCAACACCAAAACAGCAACAGCGGCCCAGCACCAGCTCCGGGGTGGCACAGTCCCAGCGCCACCACTACGGGGCACCACAGCCGGCGCGAGGGGGTCTGCGCCAGGTCGCCACGCGGGTCACGGCGCAGTCGACGCTGGGCGACATCGCGAGGAACTACCGCGCGGTATCGCGGTGGGCCGAGACGGGGACGCCGTCGCCCACGGGCGGCCCCGGCAGCGGCAGCCCCAAGTTCCTCGAGGTGCCCGGCGCCAGGGGCAACAACATGCTGCCGCCGCTGCAGCGGCCCTCGCTCCCTTTGCCTTCCAGCCGGCCGAGCACGAGCGGCGGCGAGAGGGGCCGGAACCACCAGTACCAGCTGATGCAGCAGCAGCAGCAGCACCAGCACCAGCAGAAACAGTACCAGCAAGTCCTGCTGCAGAAGCAGACGCGGGCCCGGTCCGGGTCCATGTCGTCTATGCGCAGGGGCGGGGGCGGCGGTGCTATTGGGGGCCCGCCTGTCGACCCGCCGCCTATGCCCCCTTTGCCGCCGCAGATGAGGGCGCTGGTTCGGGAGGCGCAGCGGTGATGTATCTGGGGCTGATGTTGGTCGAGCGGCAACGATGGCAGGTGGCGTCGGCAATAACGGCGAGGCTCATCAGGAGGTAGGGTAAAACAGCAGTAGGACCATCCCCCGACCGCCTCTGGCCGGAGTCATTCACCTTGTCTTTGTGGAATGACTTATGGTTGAGAAGTTGCGCTGCTTATGGAGCACGCAAAGAAGATGTACGCGGACCGAAACTTCACGCTCAAGTGGGAAAAATAGCCAAACTTATCTTCTTTGAGGAGCACTGGGTTTCAGGAAAGGATATTTACTTTTTGCATTTCCTTTTCTCTCTGGCCACCGAAGCAGCTTGAGTAGATTGGGTTGAGATGGTTGATACGTTCCATCCATTGCAGGAGTTGTCGGGGAGTTGGTCAAGAACCGTCACGATCATTATGTTGACGGCACCACAGGAATTCATAATGAGATGGAAGGGATTCTATCTTTGAGAGTGTATTATGAGGAACAAAAGGTATTGAGGTGGTTTCTGGAGCGGTGTCTTCGCTTCTTGTGTCAGAATAGCACAATAGAGAGTCTCGTTGGCACGGCAAGCAGTCCTGGAAATGTTTTGCTGCTGGTCGTGAACCAATATGCACCACATATTCTATTACCATACCACCGGCACACCTTCGGAAATATTACTACATCATAGCGGAGCCCCTGTGGCTGAGCTGCTTCCTAGGTATCTACGTAACTACCTTCTGTAGTAGGTTTCTCTATAGAAACTCGTAGGAGTGTACTATAGGACAGATCTCTATGAGAGGGTGTCCTAAAAGAGGGAATACTAGGTATAGTGGCCTGTCCATAGAAGGCTGGGGAAGAGAGCCGTGACGGCGGAGTCAGAGACGTGTGACAAAAGAAGAGTGCATTTCCTGCTTGAGCCTCTATCTGTGCTGAGCCTGAGCGGTGCTGTCTAGTTCGCTAAATCTAAATCTATAGGGTATCATCTTGATTTTCCTTCGCTTTCCAGTCAATAAAACACATTCGCTTTCTTAACATGCAATCCCCGTCACTCCCTCGAGATAGGCTCACTCCCGGGAAACACGATCTTCGGTATCAGCGAGCCATCGAGGCAGGTAGTACCGGAGGTTTTCGACGACGAGCAACATTACGCAAGTTGCCGGCAGGGTCTTCAACACAGTGGGTACCACCCCTCTGTAGAAGGGCCTGATCCCACTCTCCTGCCACATCCTCCTCCCGACGCCGAGGATGCCTTTTCCGTAGGTGCTGGTGTCACTCTGGTTCTGGAGGCGGTTCCTCACGACCGTATGCGGAAATGTAGCCACGTGAGCGACCACCTTGGAGAGGGTGGAGATGGCCACCGTGGTCTCGTCGGCTAGTTTCTCGGGGTTTTGGTTGTGTTCCCGCTGCTGCTTCTTAATGTACTTGTTGCGCAGCCGTTCGTATATGGTGAATTGGATGGCTCCATGGGAGGTGCCGACGAAAGCGATACCCAGACCCTTGTAGAAACCTCCGAGTCCCTCACCCTGATAGATATGCATGGCAGCGGCACGCATGTTGGGGTATGCCCCGGCCTTCTCCCTGGCGGTGGACGTGATGCGCGTCCTGATGACCCACAGCGGGTTCGTGATGCACGAGGTTGCGATGCCCGCGAGGCCCGAGGAGACGAAGTAGCCCATGTTGTTTGGCTTCTTGCCCGAGGTCATGCCATGGTACCCTTGGGAGACAATATGGCGCTCGAACATGTCTTTGAACTGAAAGAAACAGGCCCACGACGCAGAGTTGGCGACCAGGCTGATGGATGCGCCACGGTAAGCCGCGGTGAGCGGGTTCTTGGCCTTTCTGAAGCTCCGGGCGACGTCAATGGTAGTGAGCGGCCGCGAATTCGTCGAGCCTGGTTTGGACTGATGCACTGTGGGCCGAGTGTTAGCATCTGGAACGGAGCACAGCCAGCCCTGCGTTGCATTCGGGAGAGGACTCACCCTGCAGACGCGTCTTAATGACATCCAACGGGTGCGTGGCCAGCGACGAGGCAATGCCTCCCGCGAAACCGGCGATGAGTTCAACGCTACCCCCTACATCCTTCTTCTCCATTATGACGAGGGATTTTGTTGACACGGCATGCCGCAGGGCGATTGGCACATGGAGTTACTTGTACGCTGTTGTTGTGAGTGAGTGACGTTATCGAGCCCGAGGTTTCTTATCGACAAATTTCTGGCCCGATAAGCCGCCAAAGTAGCCGGGGAAGCCGCGGTGGACATGCACCATTGCCACAACATCGCCACTTCTCCAACCAGATCCCCAATGGCCCATCTACCTCTGCGTGTTGTCTTGTAGGAAATTGCCCTATGGAAAGCAAAGGGGTTGTCCCAGTCTCAGTCTGCACCACGCGCACAGAGAGTGCCAGCCCCGACAGGCGGGCTACGAGTGTAGGTGACTTCGCTGCCTGAATGCTTGGTATCTTGGTTTCAATAGAGTGGTCTAGTCGTGATCCATTCGTCAGAAGAATATTATACAGACAAGAGGCGCGATTCCTGCCACTTGTTCAGACCCTGGCGCCCGCGATGGTCGATGCCATGTCCGCCTCGCCCAACCCTTTCCCGTGCCTCACAGACAGTGAGAGTCCACCAGTACTCATCGAGGCCATGCGCTTTGAGCCCAATACTGGGCACTGCTTCATATCATACCGGTGCTGTACACCTCCAACATCGTTTCCCTCCAGAGGTTCTGCCTCAACTCACACTTAAGAGAGCGGGGACAGCAGGCTGTGTTCGCATTAGATGAATGGCCAAGAAATGAGCAAGTTGGGATCCGGAATATCATACCGGTGCAGAGATGGTCGGGGTTCGCTTCGGGTGTAGCCTGCATTCGAAATTAGAGCCCATTTGTTTTCAGTTCCCTGGGTCTTCCTCAAGTGATCATACCAAGGTACAGGACCATGGGCAGGTAGCCGCTGTTTGACCGTTAGTATGCAGACCTCTTCACGTCATGAAGTCCTCAACGTGACATACTAGTGGATGGCAACTCGGGCAACGTCGATGAGCTTGCCGATGCGCTCCTGTCGTGACCTGGTCAGTCCCTGCGCCCAATGCATCACCATCGCTGACCGCATCGCACCTTGGACTCCTCGGACAGAGTGAACATCTTGAGGTTTTTGAAAGCGCTCAACCAGGAATGGGAGACTAGAGAGAAGAGCGGTGGTTTGCGACGGCTTGATGGGGCTTGTGGGCGGTTGAGAATGAGGTTGACTGACGTCGACTCCGGGGTTGAATTCTCAGTTTGTTCGATGAATGAGAGCCCCCTGCTGGAAGCTTGGACCAGGGAGCTCCAAGTTTTGGGAGGCCCACTAGCCGAGCGGCAGATGGCCCATTTTAACCAAGTCTCATTGACCCTTGTTGTATGTATTTAGACAACATCAACACGACCAGTCTCTCTGTAACTTCTCATCTGTCAATATTGATCTCACATGGTGTAAAATTTTGAATTTTTTGCTACTCGGTCCTCACACGTAACACAGGTTGCGCAGACAGTTCTCAAATGAAGACACTTCCTAGTACCTTGCCGAACTGACCCCCAGAAACGCACTAACCGCTTCGGGTACCATTGTTGCCTTCAAATGGCAGAACTGATCTTCAGCGGTACCATCGACCAGAACTGTTGACATGAGTACCTAGACAACTGAGGACACATATTAAGACATTGAATAACTTCCTTGGCGAATATGAATATAAATTGAGTCCATGGCTGCGGTCGCGGTCGACAACCCCAACTGTTCACGCCCTCCCACCGATAAGATAAGCAAACTACTACCTGAAAGGGAAACAAGCACCCGAGCTGACCAACGGAAAGTCCCTGGCCGAGTCAAACCTTCTTGCTGAAGGAGAAAGGTACCTTCAAACCGTCGCTGCTGTTGTACACTTCGCCGGCAGACCTCGACAAAGCCACCAGGCAGGAAGGAGCGTCGTCCCAGAAGAAAAGGTCTTCGTCATGGCCAAGCACTGGTATGCATCAACCAACCAAGCTTCCTCCCATCAAGTTCAGAGTCTTCTAACATGCGGGCACGCGACTGCAGGGAGCAGAACAAGGACGCCACCGTCTATGTCGGCAACCTCGACGAGCGCGTCAGCGAGGGCAACCTCTGGGAGCTGATGACGCAGATGGGCCCCGTCTACAACGTGCACATGCCCATGGACCGCGTCTCGCGGACGCACCAGGGCTACGGCTTCGTCGAGTTCGACACCCCCGAGAGCGCCGACTACGCCTCCAAGGTCCTCAACGGCATCCGCCTGCACCAGAAGCCCATCCGCGTCAACAAGGCCAGCGCCGACAAGCAGAAGCCCACCGACATCGGCGCCGAGCTCTTCGTCAACAACCTGGACCAGCAGGTCGACGAGAAGATCCTCTTCGACACCTTCTCCCAGTTCGGCACCCTCGTCGCCCCGCCCACCGTCATCCGCGACCAGAACAACCTGAGCAAGGGCTACGGCTTCGTGTCCTACGACTCCTTCGAGGCCTCTGATGCCGCCAGGGAGACCATGAGCGGCCAGTACCTCCTCAGCAAGCAGATCACCGTCGAGTACGCCTACAAGAAAGACGGCAAGGGCGAGCGCCACGGCGACGAGGCCGAGCGCAAGCTCGCCGCAGAGGGCAAGAAGCACAACGTCGTCCCGGAGCAGCAGCCCCTCCCGCCAGCCTTCCTCATGTCCGCCTCCAACTCCACCGCCCCCGCCACATCAGCTGCCAACGGCGCCGACGCGCCCGCCATCCCACCACCAGGCCCAACCCCCTCGCCCGGCATGCCGCCCATGGGCATCCCCAGCGGCTTCGCACCACCCGTGCCCCCAATCGCAGCCGCCCCGCCAGCAGGGGCCGGTATGCCCCCCAGATTCGACCCAGGCCACGCCGGGCTCCCCCACCAGCCTCCCATGGTGCCCCCGGGTTTCGGACGCGGCGCCGGTGGCCTGCCTCCCGCAGTCCCGGGCCTGCCTGCCCGTCCGCCCGTGCCGTCAGTCGGTTTCGGCGCCATGCCGAGCGAATTCCACCCAGGCCGTCCGGGCGCGCCCCCGGGTGCTGGCGGTGCTGGCCCCCCCGGCTTCGGTGTGCCCCCTCCGGCCGGTTTTGGAGCTCCCAACGGCACGCCGCCTCCGCCTCCTGGGTTCATGCCCCCGCCTGCGGGCTTCGGTGGTCCGCCGCCTGGGCAGGCTCCTCCTGGGTTTGGGCGCCGTTAGGACGTGATGGCATGCTTTCCTTCTTATGCATAATCTTTTCGGAGTTAGTTAGAAAGGCTGGGCAAGGAGCACATTCAGCAAAATAGTTAGCTAAATCCCACATGATACCCTTCTGAAATCCGACATGTGACGTACTAACTTGGATCCCGGGTCTGACTACCCTTTTGTAAGATGCTGTCCTACAGGATACCTTCCTCCCACAAGATGACCTCTAAGATAACTCGCACAAGGAAGGCATGCTCCTAATCGATGACCACCTATAAGACGACCTCTTGCAAGATGATCTCTCACAAGATACCTTACTAAGAGAGCCTCCCTAGAGCCTCCCTGGATATGTTCCGTAGCAGCGCATGACCTTGTTTTACAAGAAACTCGCACAATGAACATTTCTGGAAAGAATTGCCAGTCTTCGAAGCCTTTTTTTCCTGCCCTTTTTTGGTGCCTAAGCTACCTACCTGTCAAATGTGACCCACCTGTTTTCTCTCCGCCACAGGCCGAGCATATGTGTCCAGCAGGAAGGAGTCTGCAATGGATAAAGGGACAAGCACCTAAGACCTGATGGACAAGTCAGCCAGAATGAAGATAGCAGCTGCAAATTTTGCCCAGATCTAATTCTCAAGGGGGGGCCCTGGGACCCTCAGAGCCTCCCCGGTAGTCCCTAATTCTTTTCCCGGCCATTGGACCAACCATCAACCGCGCAAGCCTCACCTACCCTCAACCCAGGCCCCTGGGGGAAAACAAAATACATAGCTCAAGCCTTGGTGTTCTTCTCCGCCTCAAGCAAGAAAGTCTCCTCGATAGCAGCCCTCCTCCTGACGACCCGCAACCAGCGGTCCCCCCACCGCCTGACAAGACGATCGCGCTCCTCCCTCTCGGAATCAGAGAGCCCGCCCGCGTCCTCCATGAGCTCGTCCTTGGCGCCAGAGGCCCACGCGACGAGGGCATCCTCCGTGGTGCGGAAGAGGTCGCGCGCCGCCTGCGCCTCGCGCTTCTTGGCGTCCTCCAGCTCGGAGGTCATGTTGGTGTCCTCGCCACCGCCCTCGGCCTTGGCCTCGGCGGCGCCGGCGGCCGGCGTGTTGGCGGAAGCGACGACCTCGCGCATGCGCTTGGTGACCTTGTTGATGGTGTTGAATACCAGCTCATAGATGTGGCTGCGGGCGAGGGCCTCGCCACGCGTCTCGCCGGCGTGGCGGACCAGCGCCCACTGCACCACGGCCGAGGGGCTGACGATGCTGTAGTTGAGGAGTTTCTCGATGATGGTGATGGCCACGCCAGGGTGTGCGCTCCAGAAGTCCATGACCGCCGTGATGATTTGCGCGCGGGCCGGCTCCGACGTCGCGCCCGCGTCCATCAGACGCTCCTTGGTGCGCTCGATGGCGGCCAGCACGTGGGAGAGGGACTTGCTGCCGATGGAGAGAACCGCCGTGGTGAAAACGTCGGTGCTGGCCACGAGAGGGTCCAGGCCCTGGTCGATGGCGAGGGAGTGGATCCGCTCGATGACGGGCTGGATGTCCTCGTCTGAGGCTTTGCGCTTCAGCAGTTGTGCCAATTCGCGGCCCTCCTGTGCGAATGGCGTGTCTGGGGAAGGATAGTCAGTACACATTCGCCTCACACGTGTTGTCACCGAGAAATTATGCAGTTACTCACCATCCTTCTCAAACTTGAAAGGAGGCTCTTCAACGTCCTTCTCAGGAGGGACTAATTCCTGGTAGCCTTCAGGGAGAGTCTTCCTGATCCGGCCAGCGAAGCTCAGCCGGATCTCCTTGTCGATGGCGCCCATGATGAATGCCTTGCAAGGGTGCAGATTTGGCAGTTTGACGTCCGCAGTCCACTCGGTCCACTTCCATGTGAAACCAAAGTTGCTCAGGTGGTGCGAGAACCAGTCGGTAAAGCGCTGGCCCAGCTCAATGTCAAGGCGACCAATGTTCCGGTAGAGGAATCTTATCGCTCGGCCGAAACTAGGTGCGATGGCCGCTGGGGCGATCCGACAGGCCTCGGTGAGCACGGAGTGGTAGTAGACAAGCTTCTGCTCTGGAGCAGGCAGCAGGAATAGCTGAGAGAACACAGCATCGACCACAACGTCTTCGGGCTTCCAGGTGGATTTCCCTTCGGGCACGTCTCGAATCTGGTCGAAAGGCGTGGCCCGGCTGACGAAAGTCCCCTCGGCGAAGTAGTTGTCGATATCGATCAGCCGTCTGGCGGCGACAGTTCGGTTGAAATGCAGAACATTAATCGTGTCTACCAGATTGTCGCGTATCAGAGATGCTGCGATGCTCGTAACCGGAGGAACCGACTCGATTTCCTGGCCCATGTACACAGAGAAGAAGATCTCTGGGAACAAGGGCCTCGGCCCGGCGATCAGAGTCTCGGGGATTGTGATGGCGGGCAGCTTGTGCTGAGGGCAGTTGTCGAGCTTCTCCTGCTGCTCCACCTCCTCCAGCGGCATCTTCCACGGCCTCGGCAAGCACGCCAGCTTCCACCCGCTGCTCGCCTCAGCTTGCAACTGCGTCTGCAGTAACCCCAGGAAGCTCATGGTTGCAGCAGGGCTTTTCTCGTCCGCCTCTGGGTGGAATGGATCAATCAGGTTCTGCAGGGCGTGTGGCTCCCCAGCAATGACCTCCGTCTTGTCCAGGAGCTCCGTAGCAAGCTTCTCCGTCTTTTCGGGTGCGGCCGAGACTGCGTAGGGTATTGTAAGGAGGATGATCTTGACCAACTCGGTACCGATGGTCTACAACCAGAATAAGAAATTAGTTGATCCGTTATTGAGCATGGCCATCCGAGTCGTAGATGAGGTGGGAGCTACTTACATCCTCATTGTTGGCAGTCTGCAGCTCGACAGCCTGGTTGAAGAGGTCCTCGAGGATAGGGAAGACACCGTCGCCCTCCAGACAGCTCTGCAAGCACGCAAGCAACTTGAGGTAGAGCTTCACGGCGCGCCACTCGCCCAGCCTGACCTTCTCCTCGACCTGAGCAGCGGCCTTGGCCAGCAGATCATCCACAACACCGCTGGTGGGCTGGGGCTCCACGGCCGCTGACTGGTCCTGTCCGCCGTTCTCCATATTAGTGTCGAGACCATCGTCCCCGCCGTTGGCAGCCGCCTGGGTGGGAGGCGGCTTGTGCGTCAGGGTGTTGACGACCAGCACAACAGCAGCGGCGAATGGTGTCTTGAGGGGCTGCTCGACGGCGAGCTGCAGGACCAGGTCGACAAAGTTGGCGCGCAGCCGCTCGTCGTCGTAGTTGTCGGCCAGGAGGTGGGCGACGCCATTGACCTCCTCCTGGACGCGGCGGAGGGGGCTGTCGGCCAGGTCGATGATCTGCTTGCGCAGGCGGGAGGGGACGGGGGGCTCGTGGCGGCGGCGCGGGCCGCGTTGGTCGCGGTAGGACTGGTGGTGGTCGTCATCCTCTGCGTTTGCGGGCGGCCATGATCAGTGTCTGAATGCAAGGTGCTCGCATCACATGCCTCGCATCACATGCGTGCAAGTGAGCAGATGCTTGGGGTACAAGAGACCAGACATGGCGGAATGGGAGCTCAAGCTGGCTGCTTGCTTGACTTACCCCTGTATCGTCTCTTCCGCGGATTGTACCCTCCGCCGCCCTGTCTGCGGTCGTAGTCGGCCATTTCTTGTAGGTCACTGCCTGCAATTGAATTGAACAACGAAAAGGAAGTGAGTGGGTGTGTTGTCGATAACGAAAAGTATTGGGGGTTAAGTTTCGCGACGTCAGCTCCGAAAGTGGAACCAGAGCTATTTGCTGGACCGTGTTGTACGTAGCAGTGGCAGTAGCCTCGCGCCGCGCAGCTAGCTCCAGAACCAAAGCTTGGGGTCGGACCAGAGACGACTTGTTAGGCGGGGGGTGCCAGGCAAGGAAGGCTGACAGCGGCCAGACGAGGTCGGTGCCGTGCTTATGTAATGCCATGACATTTGGTCTCTGACATTGTGCAGTCTCAAGCAAACAAACAGTTCGGCAGTATATCACAAGCGGATCTTTCGTCCCAATACTTCGAATAGTATATAAAGTACTGCCTGGGGATGGGGCCAAGCAGGCGCCCATTCCAAATCCAAATTGATATTGAGCCAGCCCCCCACTCTCCTCATCCTGCCTCCCGTCCTCCCCCCATCGACAACTAGAGCTCCCTCGCCTTGACAAATCGTGCCAATCCTCCCTCCGTACTGACTACTTACACAGCTCCCACCACCCCTACAAGGCACGGGTGGTCATGACCCCTCACCACATAGCTGTTGAAACATACCATGACGCACATGTCCTGACCAACACGGAAGATGGTGGGCGCTTGTCCGAGAGATGAGCTGCCGATCAGCTGAGCCTGTCCCGCCTTGGTGGTGTGGGTGGTCTGGTTCTTCTTGTCCAAATACCTACAGTTTCAATGATGCCCACAGAGGCTCCCCCGAGAGAAAGATGGAGCTGCGCTGTGCTACAAACAGGATGATTCCCTGCTCAAGGCCGACCATGACTAGTCTAGTTCACACCAGTTACACAAAGAGTCCTGAGTGAAACTGCCTGCCCGTGAGCAATGGCAACCCTCAAGGCGCAGAACCGTGCAATCAATCAATCGACGACGTTGAGGGACTGGGTGGAGGTGGTGAGGATCGCCAAGAAATCAGCGTTCCGCTTACAGTATTGCACAGTAGTCGCGCCAAAAAGGTAAACAGCCCATTTTATTTTATTGTTCCTCGATTGAGTGGCCCGAGCAATACATCCAGCCCCAGGATTCCCTTTTGATCACAACCCTGTGAGAGGACTGGCCTTTCCCTCGACCCGAGCCGGTTGATGAAGCTGTCCTCAAAAGAGACGAGGATAAAAACAAAAGAGGTTTAAATTCTTTTTGAACCATGATTGGCCCAATCAACCAACCCTCCATACACAAGGGTTTTTTTCGCCCACGCTGGTATCCCAATGCAAGTCCGTCACCAGGCTCCTGCCGCAAACCCCTCAGCTCATGTTGTAGTAGTTCCTGCCACCTAGTCCGACACTGTAGTTCAATACTCAAGTGGCCGCTCATCCAGCAAAGGCCCAACAACCCGCCAGTTCCTCCCAGGCGGTCTTCATCGAGAGGTCCGGCCGCACCGCAAAATAAAAAATTCGTCTTGGTCCTAGTCACCGCGTGGTCGCCTGCGCCATTAATCTTCCGGGCGGCCATGAACAGAAACAAGCAAAATCACGTCGGATCGTGCAGGAAAAAGAAATCTAATGGTCCCGCCAATCTTCATCGATATGCTCATCTTCGAATTTGTCGTAGGACCACGGGTCTCTGACGGGACAGGCGGCAGTGCCCCCCTTTTCGAATTCACCTCCTGGGCCCCTGTCAAAGGCCCGCCTTCGCTACCTCGTTGGCTGGGTACAAGTTGCGGCTTCTGCTTCTGTGGTCGTGGTGTATCGTATGTAACGGTTCGCACTTCCCATATCCGTCCGAGGATACACCAGTATGGTTGCATTGGAGCAGAGAAAAAGTCAATACCGCATCGGCGACCGTGAGCAAACGCAACGTTGGTATTCCAGACCGTCCGAGGCCGGCATCCTCTCAGAAAGTTGCTACTCCCGACAAGTCCAGTGTGTGAAGGTATGTCGAGCACCAGGGGGCGCTCAATCAAGCTTAGCAAGCATTTCTGCCTTTGTCAGCGGAGTCAAGTTGTCGATGTCAAGACCATCAGCAGCAAGACCCGGTCGCACGTGGGGCGGGACCAGCTTGTGGTTGAGGTGAGGGGCGATCGACAGTTCTTGTAAAAATTAGCCGCTGAGCATAAAGGAGGGGGGCATTACTACACAGAGTACTCACCGTGGCGAGTGAAGTCGAACAATGCTGGGAGTTCCTTCAATTGGCCAGTCTGGTGCCTCGAGTCCGGCAGCTTCGTATTTGGGTCCCGCAGCTCGTCGAAGAACGGATGGACCATAGCATCAATGGCTCCGAGTCGCTCGGTCGGGGTGTACTCGAGAAGCTTGGCAATAAGATCGATCGCGTTGGCGTCGGCCTTGCGGAAGACCTTGTTGAACGGGTGCGGCTTGATCTGTGGGAACTTGTGCTCCATGTAGTTGGGGTTCATTGTCCGAATCTGCTCCCGAGTGGGCGTACCGAGCACCTTGATAATTTCCACCAATTGGTCGATGCCAGATTCACCGGGGAAGAGAGGCTGCCCCAACATCAACTCCGCCATGACGCAACCCGTAGACCACACGTCTGTCTTCAGTTAGCACATATTTTCCGATGCGCGGGTAATAACCACGCAGGTCAGTCAGCCCTTACCGATCTTGGTAGTGTAGTTGGTGGCGCCGAAGATGAGCTCAGGGGCGCGGTAGTATCGAGAGCAAATGTACGAGACATTGGGCTCGTTTTCGACCAGGATCTTTGCACTTCCAAAATCGCACAGCTTCAGAATGCCACTGTTGGGGTCGAGGAGGAGGTTCTGCGGCTTGATGTCGCGGTGGCAGATGCCCTGCGAGTGGATGTAGGCCAGGGCCCGGAAGAGCTGGTAGATGTACAGTTTGACTTCGAGGATTGGCATTGTGGTCTTCATCTTGTTGAAAAACCTCGAGGCTCGGTACACCGTCTCGGGCACGAACTCCTGAACGAGGTTCAGATAGACTTCGTCCTTCTGTAGGCACGTCAGAGAGTGCCACCCAACTATCGTTGTAGGATTGATTAACGTACCCGTTCGCCATTGGAGTAGTAGAAGGCCTTCAGCTGGACGATGTTGGGGTGTCGCACGATGCGCATGATTTGCAGCTCACGATTCTGGGACCCCGTCAGTTCAACATTATCCAGAGCTCGAGGGGCAGCGAATGGCAGCGGACCTTGAATCGCTTGTCCTGAAGAACCCGCTTGATGGCGGCGTCCTCGTTGGAGGGCGAGAGTTTTGTCTGAAAGACGACACCAAAAGATCCGTTTCCCACAATCTTGCACTGCGTGTACTGGAGATCTCTCGTCTCGCCAGTGATTCCATCTTGGACCTTTTCGCGGATGACTTCTGTGGCGCCGATTAGCAAGGCGACAAGAGGCACGGGGCCTCGGTAGGTGCGTACCTCCCATCCGCAGGTTGTTGAACGCTGCAGGGCGGTTTTGGGCCATCTTGAGGGCTGTTTGGCTTGTTGCTACCGCTTTGCGGGCAAGAAGATGTTGTAAAGCAGATCGAGACGCCTGAGGCGGGCCGTGGTGGGCAACAGTACGAGGCCGGTTGTTGGAGGCAGGTCTCGTGAGAGATGGACTGGGTTCTAGCAACCGTTAGGCCCGTGGGGGTTGATTGCCAATGCCCAGGAATGCAAAAAAGACAGACACTCGAAACTGAGGCTTTGGTTGCAGGACTTTTGGACTGGTTCTGACGAGGAAGGAACTAACAGTCGTGGCGTGCGGGCAGGTGGGCAAGGTGGGCAAGTTTGTTGTTGCGGCGGGATGAAGTGGGTCGCCAGGAATGCGGGTGATCAAGGTGTGGCGCGGAGTCGGGATCGAACGAGAAATCTGTCAATCAAAACTGGTTCAAACGGTCAGAAACCTGGCTGCATGGTCCATCACACTGATGGTTCGGTAGCACAGACGGCGGCGTGCTGGAGAAATGCGATGCAGAATATTGAAGTTTTGTCCAGAGGTGGATTCGAGGTTGTGACTTTGTGAGAGAGGAGAGAGGAAGAGAGAGATGACGGAGTCTAGTCTGGGGGAGGAGGGGTGGGTAGGCGGGATTGGAATTGACGGGGGGACCCAGTGAGTAGAAATTTGAAAGTGGACAGAAGCCCAGTGCTGAGTGAATGGGTGCGAGGGGGGGGCCAGAGAGAGAGAGGGACAGGGAGACCTGGCGCGCGGCGCAGTAGCTCAACCGCTCTGCTCGCTCGCTCGCTCGCTCGGCAGCCAAGCCCAAGGCCGCCATCCAGTCCAATCCCAGCTTGTGGTGCCAGTGCAGTGCAGCTCAGTCGCAGCGCGGTTGAGGTGAAGCTGCAGCAACCCAGACATTTGAGCGACTGAAACGGTGGCGACCGTCGGGCTCGAGTTGGTGTGCATGTCCAGCAACGCAGCCATAAAAAACCACGCATGCCCGAGATATACGAAGTGTATGTGTGGGAGGATCAAGAAATAGGCCCCCTTTGATGATGCTGATTGATGACGTTGTACAAGGCGAGACCCCCGGAGGAGGAGTATACCATATGGCCTCAACGTGCAGGGTGGGTGGGGGAAATCACTTGATGGGGGGAGATGGCACTCGCAAGTCTCGCCATTTTGTGCTGTGCACTACATGTCGTACGCGTCTCTTTTTGTCGGCCGGATGGCTGAGGATGGGGTGGTTGTCGCAGAAGGCTGTTCGCGATACGCCCAATCTATCCTCATCGGCGCAGCCAAGGGTTGAGAGCGGGCGAGTGAGTGGTCTGCAAAGCACAGCGGCTATTGGGCAGCCAGACCTTCGAGCGAGCTCCAACCTCTCACGGCACACGAAGGGTCCATCGTGACATGGTGGAGGGGTAACTGAGTGCCGAATTGGCGCCATTGGGCCCAGACAAGACAGTTGCAACGCTCGACAAGTAATGTACTTACAAATGACTGAGAATTTTTGACCAAGCTGCTGCTGCTGCTGCTGAAGCTGAGGGCGATTCGAAGGCAGGTTGGTTCGCTAAGCGCACACGTCGCTAAGGCCCCCGGTTCTCTCGAGTCGAGGGTTCAAAAGACGGGGTTGCGGATCGTGAGGGCGGTCCAAGTCAAGCTTTGGGCTGGTGCCGGGTAGGTGAGTGAGGGGTAAGGAGGACTCGACAGCTGCCCTGAGACGAATGGGAAACCAACCACGGTTAGTCAAGAACGCCTCGTATAGGGGTCTCGACGGTACGAAGCAGGTGCTGTCAAAAATGATACGAAGGCAATTGCATGCGCAAAATGGATGAGTCGTTGTGGCAGGGTGGGATTTTACCAGCTGCACCAGCGTGCTGCGGCAATAATGAAAGAGGCGTCGACTTACGAGGTCAGGTCGGGGCCGATCAGGGTCGGGTCCAGGTCAAGGTCCAGGTCAAGGTCCAGGTCAAGGTCAAGGTCCGGGTCCCAGGTCCCAGGTCCAATCCGAGGCGGGCGTTGGCTGCTTGCTTGCTTGCTGCTCAGGTGCACGGGTTCCCGGGTTCCAAAGGATGAGTTCGGTGCAGGCAGACCAAGATGGACAAGTCCCAAGGTCAGAGAGAAGCAGAGGCCTGGCTGGATGGCTGGCTGGCTGGCTGGCTAGACGGCTGGCTGGATGGCGGGCGGGCAGGCGGGCTAGATGGCTAGCTGGGTAAAAAGGAGGGGTGGTTGAGAAGCAGGTCGACGGCAAGGTGTGGTAGAGGAAAAGAGAGGGAGGTGGGATGGATGGATGGGCGGGCTGGTTGCTTGTCCAGGAGGTGGTCCCAAGGTCAAGGTCAAGGTCACGACACGGCAAGGGCACGACACGGCACGACCGACTGAGTGACTGACTGACGGTGTCGACGAGATATTGTACGAGGTGTTCCAAGTCGGTCCGGGTGAGAGCGTGAGAGGGTGGAAGTGCGGAAGTGGAAGTGGAAATTGGCGCCTCGTTTCGTTTTGAGGGACTGCTGGGACAGGAACTGGACTGGAACTGGAGTCCTGGACAGGACGCATCGTGTGATGAGGCTAGCGCAGGCTGGGTGCATGACCACTTCAAGTGACGTACCCCGGTCCCAGACAGAAATAGGTACCAAGTACGTAGCAGCGAATAGCCTCATCTATCCCGTATGGGCTCGCGCAGTCTGCGCCCCTCCCCCCTCCACCCCTTTTTGAGCATCAGGATACCATGCAGAGCAGAGAGTAGCGCGGCATGCAACCCGTGGGCTCGGGACACGCCCAAGAGCTTCTACATATAACCATAAACCAACCCCCTGGCAGATGGTTTGGCCGTCAGACAGGCCTGTGGCACGCGCGTCTGTCTGTTTGCGCCTGGTGTGAGGGTGTGGCTAGGCTATGTGCTCAGCACGCTACCAATCCGGAAGTATATGTGTATCGTGGCCACGGCCGCCGCTACAGGTCTGAAGAAGCTCTGACCTGCTCTCGGTCCAGGTCGGGCCACCTGATGATACAGTTTGCTACGTCGGCATACCACAGTAGTGCCTTTGTCGGTGACTGAGGCTCAATTCTGGCCGGCGGGTGGCCAACGTGCAAGCCCACTCCTGCTGGTCGGTTTACCTTTTATGCAACGGCTTGACTTCCTCTCAGCCCGGGTCTTGACCATGCCGTGCATGCACGACGTGCGTGTGTGGGCCACGTTCGCTCGCACCAGGCTCTCGTTGCCCGTCTGTGTACCCTGTGTGCCTGTGTGCCCAGCATGCCCGTCTGCCTGTGTGCCTGACTGCCTTTCCCCTTTTGGGTGCGAGATCACCTTGGTCCCTCAGTCGTCCGCGAACATGCAATGCAGCAGAGTGCAGCCCTTCAGGGCCTATCATGTAACGGCTAGGCCTTGTCAAGATGACGGCAGGGACGCCTGCCGGTCTCTGCCATTGAAGAAATGATGGTTAGGCTAGCGGGTCCCGACTACAAGATTGTGTTCGCCTGTCATTCTGACCCGCTCAAAACGGAGCCTGTTCATCATGTGCCCTCTTTTGAGACGGCCGACAGGCGCTAAGCGGTCCGCGTAGCGGAAGTCAAAAAAGGAGGCTTGGTTGATCTGCTGAGTGACCCGATCCTGCAGGGTCTTCCGCTTTGTTATAAAAAAAATCCGGCCCTGTAGGGTCAGTGTCGTCCGGCAGCTCCTGGATGGCCTGGATGGTCATCGCTTTCCTTCGGTGACATCCCGTATGATGAGGACAGGGGATCTTCGGTGCCTATAGGGTCTTGACTAATTCGCGAGGAACTGTCTCGGTACAACGTGACGGGAAGGGCTTGCCCGGGCGGCGTCGAGCTTGGGGGCCCCCCTGGGCCGTGGGCGCCTGTGGCCTGGGGCCGGTGAGGGCCAACTGGGCAAGGGTGTGAGCCGCCGAGCTTGCTCGTCTCGGAACCGCGGGCGGGCTGGTCGCGCTGCGATCCCCTCCACCCCTCGATTCCCCAATGAGAAGGCCACCCAGCACGGATTCATCGCCAATGGCAAGGTACTGCACTCGATGCGCAGTATCGTCTTCAAGAGCGCGGCCCGTAGTCAAAGGCTCGATTGCGTCGCGGCATTGATTAGTCTGATAAGTCAGGGACTCGGGAGATTATTATCAACTCAGGCACGTCCCATGGCAACCCAAGGACCACCTCAAACGGGGATAAACCCATCCAGTCGTAGGCATTGGTGTGACCCGGGGAGCCTCCCTATCTCGAGCAGCGAGCGGAATCTTATTCGAGGGAGAGGTCTGTTTCCCCCGGGACAAGAGTCGATCGGTACGTGCATACACAATACGCAATCAGCAGCAGGGTGGTGGCGGCAGGCCATCCACCGTGGTCGTAAATCGAGGCAATCGAATAGGTCGACTGGTCCCTGGCAGGATCTGACAGCGTAGCAACAGACCACAGAGGTGGTCGTGGTGGGCTCGCGTGTGGTGAGTGAGTGAAGGCACAGTGTGCGCGTGCGTGTTCGGGCTGCTTTGAGCTCCCTGCATCTTGGATCTGCCGCCTGCCGAGCCCGTGATCACTGAGCTCAGGATTGAGTTCCGGAAGGCAATGCCCCTCCTTTGCATGATGCATCATCTGCGGTTGGCAGGAGTCGTGAACCTCGAAAGTGAGCTCTCGAGCCTCGTGCCTCGTGCACCATCGCCTCCCACGCCAGCGCGAGGCGGTTGGCCGTCCGCCGCCCTGCTGCCGCCTCGACAGCTCAGCTCCTCCTAGCCCCCGGTGCCCCCATCAGGCGGCATAGGAAAAGTTGAACGTCATGTCGGCTAGATCAAGATACTTGTGGTCTCACGAGTCCCTACCGTACGTGCCCGACTGCTTGGTAGACCGCACTGCCAGGGCTGTCAGGGGGGCTGCACAAGCTCGCTACGTGCTCACTGTACAGTAGTGCCGTTGCTGGAGACAACCCTAGAAGGATTTCCTCTGTCACGGCAGGGGTGCGATCTGGGTGCACACGGTGGCCAGCCCGCCAGCCAGTCGGAGTGAAGGTGACTCTCCATCTATCGACATGGGCGTTCCCCGCAGACTGCAACGCGAGAGAGGTAGCGGGAGGAACTAACAGTACGGTACGTTCTCGAGCGGGATGGCTGGATGGAGGGTGAGAGTGAGAGAGCTCCCTGAACAGCCCTGAACAGCCCTGGCCCCTTGCGAAGCTCAGGAGCCAGGTGAGAGCAAAAGGTCAAAGGCCCGCCTGGGCTGGCTGCGAGGACGACGCGTCGGATGCCATTGAGGGTTCAGCCTGGGCCATTGGACTCGGTGAGCACAGTCCGGATCTCGGTAGCAGATCTGGCTTGAGACTGGTGGCAATTGCATCATGTCGAGCCCGACAATGTGTGTTGTGTGTTGTGTGTTGTGTGCTCGACGGCGAGCCAACGGCCTGGGAGCTGGAGACATCGGGAGGCTCGCCCGTGTCGTCAACGCCTCTCAGCTGTCGACGTCGAAAGCGGGGCAGCCAAACCACACCACGCACGCACGCAAGCACGCACGCAAGCAAGCAATGGCAAGCAGACAGAGAGGGAGGGGAGGGGACTCGGGGTGGGTGGTGTGGGCCAGCTGCCAATATGGTGGGGCACGAGTGTGACTTTGCAGGCAAGACCTGAGCACATGGCCACCCACACCTTTTGCTCACCCTCTGGTGCCCCTCTGCCAGGCTGCCTGGGCTGCTCCAAAATGAGGTCAAGTGACGGTGCCAATGCACTTTTGCCCCTCAACGCCCTCATGCGTGCTGGACGTCAACGAGCCCTCTGACACATCGGCCGAGCACAGCGCACAGCTTGGGTGCGGCAGCTGTCACAGGAGGTCTGCCTGGCTGTCTCTCCGTACGGTAGGTACGGTGCGGTACGGTGCGGCGCGGTACGGTACGGAACGGTACATGACCGTGGCCGTGGCCGTCTCCTCCGACCGCACCGAGCTCCCGTTGCCAGGTTGGCTCCCACCTTGTCAGCTTGTCCTCCTGGTGATAATTGATGGTCGTAAAAGGGGTCTCCGAGCACCCAGACGGTGGTCCAGAGACAGAAGTTCCGCAGTTCTGCCCCAAGTCGAGCATAACAAACTCCCTCGCGCTGACTGTGCCTTTGTCCAGATGCACAGTAGGACAGAGCTCTCCGTCCCCTATCAGGCACATGTACCTAGATACTTCGATCGCAGCCCCTCTTGCCACGAGCAAAACCCGTCCAGCGCCTGCTCATGACGATTTCACATGCGTCGAATGCTGGCAAGGAGGGGCTGCCGCATCAACAGCCAGACAGCCAGACAGCCCGACAGCCAGACAGCCAGACAGCCCGACAGCCAGACGACCCGGACCGCTGCATGGGGAGCTCAGGGATCAGCTATGCAAAAAGGCGTCCCATGACACTCCCACCGCGCTAATCCTGCCTTTAGTTTGAGGTTGGACTTTCATCTAGCTTCAACGGCCTGCCCCCCAGGCCCCCCAGGCCCCCTCTGCCCATGTGGTGGTCGGTCTGGAACGGCCCTCAGAGTGCGTACTTTTTGTCAGCACCCCATCTCTGATGCAAGATGCGGGTTTACTCTAACGCAATTGTCAGGGACCACACCACAGCGTGCACAGCTCTGAGACCAGGCCACTCGGGCTCACGATGGCTCATGATGGTGGCGCTCCCTCGCTTGTCGCTTGAACATCTTGCAGCTGTCGTGGCAGGTGGCGGCCGCCTCGCGAGCGCCGCGGGCTGATGACGGGCTGATGAGGCTTCCAAGCTTCCCAGGCCCCCAGGCTCCCTGTCTCGCCAGGCCATTTGTCTGAGACATGAATAGGTTGAGCCACCCGAATATCACCGCTTATCAGCACGCTCCCGGCGCACATTTCTCAGCCCGCAAGGAGACTCTGAGACTTGCAGAGACGAGGAATGCTATCCTCATGGGTACGCGTTCCAAGCAGCAGCAAAATGTGCTGTGCTGTGCTGTAGATGCACAACCCCTTGCCAGGCTTGCCTTGCTTGTCATTGATCAAAAAGCAATTCGTGCCGTACAATGATCATCCCGGCCGCCGCTGCACCTCTGGCTGCTGCTACCAAAGTTACAGCAGGTCCTCCCGAAGCGCCTGATGCAGGTCATCTCGCTTGCCAGTGTGTCCGGCGCGGGATTCCCTCGAGGTCGAGCTCGCTCACACGACGGCTGGCCCACACAAAGAGCATATCTCAACAATCTCACCTCGTGTTGCGATCCCCTGCCATCGCTTTATGCTTCGGAAGTTTCACTTTTGGGTTGGGCGGCGTCGAGCTCCGGCTCGTAGGGCTGACACTGGCAAAAGCCAGCCTCATGGAGCCACCGTTGCAGCTGATCGTCCATAGGAACCCTTTGGTAGCCCGTTGGCCTCGATCATGACTCGGCCTCCTAGGAACCCACAGCCTCAATAATAATAATAGCCAATGTTCGGTTCTGGCCTGACCTTGCAGGTCCACGTAGCAGCAAGAACCTGCGCTGGCCTAGAAGCCTGCAGCCTGTCAGTTCCGAAAGGGCCGCCGGGCCCAAATCACCAGCGGCGGCGTCGGAGCTTTCTATCAGATGCCAGCACGACGGACCGTCCAGGGAGCTACGACTTGTCTCACAGCGAAACTTTCTGTCCCCTGCACCATTCAATCACATCGCGACGGGCTGCCTTGGAGCTACACTGCATTCCGCCGGATAGACCCGACAGTCACGCTCAGACTCAGCCGTCCTTGGCGCTAGGAAAGAAGAAACATCGTGAACATTCGTTTCCCTGGCCATGTGTCACCTAGAAATGGTCCTCTGTCAAGCCACGTTGTGCAAGAACCTGAAATAGCCTGGGACTTGCATGTGATCGTGAGCTCAGAGGCTGTGGGGCTTTCCCAACACAGATCGGTAGGCGGCAGCCCAGGTACAAGATCTAAAACCTTTCGTTTTCGGTGAGCCGCGCCTTGATTGGCGAGCACCTCACCTTGGTTTGGGCGCCTCTGCCCTCAGTTCAGATCCCAACGCTGCAACCAACCGCTCAAGATATTGGCCCTTATCCTGGCAACGCGGCGCTCCTTATACGGCCTTCCTAGTCTCGCCAAAATGGCTGGCCATGCCCGTTCCGCAATGACCAGCAAGTCAAGGTTCAGAACACTGAAGATGATGTGACCCAGTGGGACGGCATGATGACCTCGCAAGCAAGCAAGCACATCATCTACTACACAATGATCCACTCAGTTTCTAGCGGATGAGTCAGCAATACCCACGCTTTACCATTTCCTAGCTAATCATGCATGTGAGCTGGTGGGCTCACATACTATGTAGACACTATCTGTTTTTGTGGCCGTGCAGGCCCATCGTTGGACTATTACCGCTGGTCTGGTGCGGTGGCATTTTGTCTGCAATTCATGACGTTCCAAAGTCAGCACGCACATATGCAGAACTCGCACAGTGATGGCAAAGCATTGGCTCACGACCGGTGCACACGATGGCCTCCAGGGCTCCAAAGCAAGTGCGCACAAGCTTGAGCCCATGGCGCATCCATACGCTGCGTGTGTAGCGCTGCCATGTTTATAGGCGTGTGCTCCAGCTTGCTGCGACAGCGAAGCAATCGAAAGCTCTCTTGATCGCTGCAGCCAGGTGGCACCACACCGATGCCATCATACCGAGCCCGCCGCCGCGAGTGGCCCGTCACAAATGACAGCGGCGGTCCTGCAAGCTTAGCCACCCGTCCTCTCTCGTGACGTCCACGACCACGCACTGTCACGGCGGAGGTGCGCCAGTTTTGGGTTGTAGCAGCAACAACAGAGCAGCAACTCCTGTCATCAGTACATAATACCCTCCCATTTGCTGGTGCTGCCGATCAGGTCTCGCCTGCCCCCCTTCCCTGCTGGTGTTGCAGTTGAATGCGAAGGATGAACGGCTCTTGCAAGCGTGCCTGGACTGGAAGGCCAGGGCTACCCCACACACATTCATCCTACCACCCGCCACCAACATCAACAGCCCATCATCCAGCCTGTGTGGTGCATTAGGGTAATCCATCCCAGCCAAGTGGTAGCTCTGGGGCCATCTCTGGAGCACTCTCGGCCCTCACGTGCCGGCCCGATTGAGCGACGTGCAGGATCACCCCAGGCACCCAACCCTCGTCCTTCGGCGGACGGTCCCGTGCAGGCCTGGAAAGGGGGTCTGATGGGCAGTTTCATGCATAATTCGCTGGCTATTGAACCTTTTTGCGGGTGGGCTGGGGCTGCTTTCTTTACGGGGATTGTCAGACTCTCTCAGGGTCGATATAAGTACTGATGGAGACTCGGGGAGCCAGCGCTCCTAAACCACTAAAAGACGCAACCGAGTTCCATTCGTATCAGGCCAGGGTCCCGTACGGGACAGCTAGCTAGCCATGGGTTGGGTTACCTTGTAACGGCTCTTACCGCTGCCCGTACGAGGGCTATGCATAGAAGGTTTGAAACCTTATACGGGGAGAGTCCCTAGAAAAGGTTAATCCGCTGCTGCTGGTCCTAGGCCGGTAGAAGTCGGTGTACATTGTCAAGAGAATTATTATTGTGTGCGGCGGATTTCGTATCCAGTACAATGGAGACCGCTGTATTATAATCTTGATTGCTTAAACTTTAAAACATAAATCGAAT